CTCCTTGATCAGTGGTTGCGACATGTCGCGTTGCCATTTCGGGAATGAGGTCTTGAAGTCTGGGAAGCAGGTTTTGTCGGAAACGCCTGGCCATTCGGCTTCGGTAGGTGTGCCTAGGAGTCTGTTTTGGTCAGTATGAAAAAGAAGAACGACGAAGATAGGGGGAGTGAATACTTGAAGATCTTGAAAATCTCATCAATCTCCGAATCTCCTGCAAACAGCGGCTTCCGTGTACACATCTCTGCAAAAATACACCCAACACTCCACATATCAACACCAGTAGAATACTGTCTCCCACCTAGCAGGATCTCCGGGCTCCGGTACCACAGCGTGACAACCTCATGCGTATACGTCCTCAACGGCACACCAAAAGCTCTAGCCAAGCCGAAATCCGCCAGCTTGAGATTTCCCTCCCGATCAATGAGGAGATTCTGCGGCTTCAAATCCCGATGCAGCACACGATGGCTATGGCAATACCGTACCCCTTCGCACAACTGACTCATAAACTTCTTCACCATCTTATCGCCCAGCCCTAATCGACCGAGATCCGGTCCCGATCCATCAGGTAAACCCTTTCCCCTACCACCCTCAGACACCGGTAAGGCTTCCATGTATTTCTTCAGGTCCAAGTCAAGGAACTCGAAGACAAGGTAAAGCTTGTGACCGTCGGCGTGTACAATGTTAAAGAGGCGCACAATGTTCGGGTCGTTCATCTCTTTGAGGAGGGAGATCTCGCGAATTGCGGTGGAGGGGACTCCTTCGTCTTCCGCTTCCAGGCGGATTTTCTTCAGGGCTACAATGCGGCCAGCATGGGTGAGGTCGCGGGCTTTGTAGACAACGCCGTAAGTTCCTAGAGGGGCTGTAAGCAAGTCGCCTTTTGTGCACGCTGCTAACCATGTCGGGCACAATTAGACATGGAGATGCATTGACGTACCTTCTCCAACCTTTTCGAGTTTCTGGTAGTTTTCCATGATGAAATATGTGTATAAAGGTGCACAAACGAGTGTAAAAGGTGTAATTGATGCAGGTAAATCTGCTTTTCGAGGCTGTTGTCTGGTGGGGCGGTGAAAGAGGGGCAGTCCTTGATTACTACAGCATCTGTGGACGTTGCAGATGAAGAATTAATAGAGATGGACGGAGAGTTGTCAAATCGAGGATCCAGATCGTATCGAGTTGAGTGTGTTATTCTCCTGGTGCTGGTGGAGACGTCGAGGGTTGTCGTAGTCGAATGTTGGTCGTTGTTGTAAACAAAAAGTTGGGCGCGAAGTCAACACAGGAAAACGCGAAATGCTGGCTGGTGCTGGGCTGGTCACTAGTCCGCTTCGGACCCTGACTTTGATTTTACCTGAACCAACCTCAATACAATAACTTTATTTCAGCTCCTAGTTTATCATGCACAACATATACTCGAAGATAGGCATTTTCATACTAATAACATCATCCAGAAATCCCGGAATTTGAGCTGGCACTTCTTTCTTTCAAATCGCATGACTTTTAGCACTTTATTTAGGCGCCTCACATGAGTACCTCAAAAATGGGCTCCGTGGCCGACACAATGCCAACTTCTAAACACTTGGATCCTCACGAAGCGCCTCCTCAGAAGTTGAGAGATATTTACAAATCATGGTCCAGTGCCACGGCCATTACTCCAGAGCGTTTGAAGAACGAGGTCCTGGATACCGAGCCCCTCAGGGCTAATGCAGGCACTGGAAGTATCTCGCCCGAACTCTTAGGAGAACACTTCAGGCAGTTTCTGGCTAGTAATGATTTCCAGACTGGTGCTAGCGGAGATTTTGGGCTTGGAAATGTCTCTGGTCTCGCCGTCTCAGCTGATGGTATTGATATGGCTGCTTGGAAAGCAACCGCATATGACATTGAGAAGATACCTGGTAAGGAAGGACTTTTATTGCTTCACATGTCGCTTTTCAACATATTCTTTCTCATCAAGTCCAAGATCCAAATAAGTCTCTTTTTTTCTCACTCCTGAAACATATTCTTGTTCTGTTAACAATGGGTAGTTACCATCTGACATCGCAAGTTCAATAGTACAACATTTTGCCTTCTGCTTCACAAACCTACATTTTTTTGCACCTCTTCTACCTACTTTCTGACTCTATCAGGTCTCATGGTCTTCCCCTCTCTTCTCCCACCATCGGTCCAGCAAAGTCTACTCTCAGCCCTCCTCCATCGAGAGCTCTCAAACCCAGAAAACCAAACCAACCTGCATCTCCACCACACTATCACCTACCCACCCAACAAAGCTTCATTCTTCACCACCGATCCAGAAGATTCTCTCCACCTACCCAAGGATCACGCTACCCACAAGCCCCTCTCAAATCGAGCTGTCCTCGAAAAAGGCCTCCACTGGGTAACCCTTGGCGGGCAATACGATTGGACAAAGAAAGAATATCCAACAGGAACTCCTCCTAGATTCCCCCCAGCAATTGCTCATCTCATCCACTCTCTCTTCCCATCCACAACCCCCCAAGCAGCAATCCTCAACGTCTACACCCCTAGAGACAAGCTCTCTCTCCACCGCGACGTTTCCGAAGCCGTTAATCGGGGCCTCGTTTCCATCAGTCTCGGCTGCAGCGCGCTCTTCGTCATCGGCCTCAAGGACAAGACTTCGGGCGTACTACACCACGAAACAATACTATTGAGATCAGGAGATGTGGTGTATATGGACGGCGAGTCAAGGTATGCTTGGCACGGCGTCCCGAAGATCATCCAAGGAACTTGTCCGAAATATCTACAGTCATGGCCGGGAAAAGACTTTCCGGCGTATGAGGGCTGGATGGGGAATAGGAGGATCAATTTAAACGTAAGGCAGATGTTTGAGTAAGTGGGCGAGGAGAGAGCGCCTCCAACTTACTTATTTTCCTGTCCTCCCACTCTAAAATTTTCTACCGTACTATCTCACCACAGAGGATTTTTGTTACATTCATTTCACTCATACATCTGCTAAAGAGAGCATCAAAAAAGGATTCCCTCTACAACTCCACATAGGCTAAGCATTCAATCGCTTGATTGGAGAGCCTTAAGCGAAATGAGTGTAAAAAAATAATATTGTGGTGGGTGAGATAGCAGTACGGTATCAGCATGCATAAATGATTCCACACTACTACCAAAATATGCACCCCGCCATACACGCCGATAAGGATTTCTGTACATGTATCACCAGCGACGTCCATATTTTCAAAACTCTAGGAAAGCTCCAGATATTCCTACAATTTTGGAGTTGGAACTAAGCTGAAAGTCCCGCAACAATGGATTGGCAAACCCTAGCCAAAACAAAACGCGACTCAGTCAATGCCCTCATTCCCCCTTCCTGGCGTCTTCCCAGCCCCGTTCCCCCTGCCGCGGAACAGCGAAATGTCACCGGGAAATACATTCAGCAATTCTTGTCTCCACGGGAAATAGAAATCACGGAAACAGATGCAGTGGGAATTGTAAAGCAGACTACGGTCGGGTCATGGACTGCGCTGGAGGTTACGGAGGCATTTTGTCATAGAGCGGCCTTGGCGCATCAGATGGTATGTTTTGAAGGAAATTGCTTCATATTCTGCCTTTTTCGTCTTTGTAATGGAAAGGTTGATGTTAACCGTTTGAACAGGTTAATTGTCTGCACGAGATATTCTTTGAGGCTGCCCTTTCTGATGCGAGGAAAATGGATGAGTATTATGTTAAGAACGGGAAGCCGGTTGGACTACTGCATGGCTTGCCTGTTAGTTTGAAGGATCAGTTTCACGTGAAAGGCGTTGAGACTACGATGGGTTATGTTGGAGTAAGTATCTTCACACCTTCCCAAGTTCTCCCACCCCAAGATCCCTAAATTCCGAACTCACCTAACCCTTCATCACTCCCAATTTCAAAGCTTCCAATGAAAGACCAAAAATGCTAAAATCTTCCAGTGGATTAACACGTTCCAAGGAACCACTGGAACCGGCAAAGAACGTGTCTTTGAATCAGAACTAGCCAGCACCCTCCGCCGCCTCGGTGCAATCCTATACGTCAAAACCTCCGTCCCACATACCCTCATGGCCGGCGAAACAATGAACAACATTATAACATACACCTGGAACCCCACGAACCGCTTCCTCTCCTGCGGCGGCTCCTCAGGCGGCGAAGGCGCCCTTATCAGCCTTAAAGGTAGCCCCGTTGGGTTTGGTACCGATATCGGTGGGAGCATCCGCGTCCCCGCTGCATTCAACGGCCTTTACGGGATCAGGCCTAGCAGTGGACGTGTACCGTATGAGGGAATGGCTAACAGCATGGATGGGCAGAATACTCTTTTGAGTGTTGTGGGACCGCTGGCCACCAGTGTAGGAGCGTTGAAGTTGGTTCTTAAGTGCGTTTTGAGTCAGGAGCCGTGGCTACGTGATCCGCTTGTGGCGGAGATTCCGTGGAGAGATGAGCAGGAGAATGCGGTGTTTGATATTGTGAAAGCGGGTGGTGGGGGACGGCTTGCGTTTGGAATTATGAAGACGGATGGGGCTGTTAATTTCCATCCGCCTGTTAGGAGGGCGATGGATATCGTTGTGAAGACGGTTGAGAAGTTAGGTCATAGAATAGTTGATTGGGAGCCACCTTGTCATCAAAAAGGGCTTGATTTGGTGGTAAGTCACCTGATTCATATTGCGGGGAAAGCTTCTTCTGACCTTTTTTTGTTTTAGTTTCAAACATGGCTATTTGATGGAGGCACCGATAGTTTGTCTTTCTCTTCCCCTTTGGACTAGATTCTGACAGTCGCAGTCCACGCAGCATTTGCTCTCTCTGGTGAGCCCATGCTCGGCCCAATCGCCTCAGCCTACGGCACGCTCAAGGAACAATACACCGCATCCCAAATAGCAGCCATCAACATCGGCAAACGCGCCTACCAGAAAGAATACATGGAATACTGGAACAGCACCTCTGCCCTGACCGGCACTGGACGTCCCGTAGACGCAGTAATCGCACCAATCGCGCCGTACGCGGCTGCGAGACCCGATATGTATGTATAGCTACTATGATATGTTCATGTTCTTTGAGTTCTGATGGCTGATTTGACATGTTCTGTTTTATTAGGGATCCAGTCCTTAGTGACGACCCCACAGCCAAGTACTCGATGCCAAGCTTCTCAACCATCGTGAATCTACTCGACTACTCTACCTCCGTCCTCCCGGTCACAAGAGCGGATAAGAGTATTGATGTTGTGGATTCTGGGTACACGCCTCAGAATTCCCAAGACGAGGTGGTTCATTTAGCTTGTAAGTTTGTTTATACCCACCTACCTGTCTATCTCGCTTTTCGTCCTTTGTTATAAGAGGGGAAAGACTTTGATTTGACGCAACATAATGGATTACTGATATAGTGTAGATGATCCGGAGATATACGATGGTGCACATGTTGCCGTGCAGATTATAGGACGCAGGTTCCAGGAGGAGAAGGTCCTTGCCCTGACGGAAATCCTAGGCGATGCTTTGGAAAATCATCAACTTTGAGTCTTATCTTTCTACCGTAACACTCAGAATCACCTTGATTCTGCGAAGACATGTTTTACTTTTTTTCCAGTTTGTATCCGCCTCGGTGCCTGCCATGCAACTGTTTTGCTTTATACTTACAAACGTGATGCTCCGCCTCCACTTCACTTCTGCATTTCTTTCCTCGCGAGACACTACTTTACTTCTATTTCTAAGCTTTTTGATTGATTGATTGAATGATCATTGTTTGCTCATTATCGCGGATCTGTTGTCTTGGTTGTTTTTATAGGCTTGGTATGGTATTTCCCATTATGTTCTAAATGGCGGCAAGTGCCTTGTCTTTTCCTGAAAAATAAACTCGAGACAGAGTCGTACTTTTCCTTGTCTGTCCAACCCGGCAAAGTTTCGATCACCGTTCGCGTTCGTGAATTGCTTCTGGATCTTTGTGGTTGGTTCTGCATGTTGGAAGAATGTGTTTCGGTGTCCGTTGAGGTGTTGGGGTTTTGTGAGGAAGGTTGTTGGTGAAGAAGAATGAAGAAGGAAGTGGAGGTGTTGAAATACTCGTAGTGTGAGTGAAGGCATATCCGTTATTCACGTTGATTTAAGTCTGGAAGGTGAATCATTCCCAGTGGGAGTGGAAGTCTGAGATTCACAGCATCACCTTTCATGATCTCCACGATGTGTAACCTCAAGTCCAGAAGATTTATCACATGATGAGTTTTCTCGTGCCTTATCCGTTTGCAGCTTTCCACGCCATATTCCACCAGTCTTTATTATGCTCCATGCGTATTCTATCCATGTTACATAAATCACACGATTTTCCCTTTTCCTTCCTTCCTCTTGCCCTTTATCATAGATCCCCCACGGCTCGTATAAACGAAGTTATTAAAGCCTTGAATATCCCCACCACATCCTCCTTGCAGTCCAAGTCCACCATATCCAAGTAGGAATACATCACCAGCCACTTCCTCATTTCCGTCGCTATCTCTGCCTCCGTCGCCCCGTCTCTTGTTGGGTACCGGAGTTGTGCGTCGAACCTGAGGAAGCGGTTTTGTGCTTGAATTATTTTGCTACTGTTCATTGTTGTGTATGGAGTATGACGAACTGGTATTGAGATTGCTATGAGATTTAGTCTAGAAGAATTATCTTCAAAGTAAAAGATCTCTGATCTATCTGCCGAGGGGAAATCAATCATAACTCCTCTGTCAACGGCATCTCTGACCCACAAAGTTGTGTTATGCTATTCCAATAATTCAATGACTGACGATAAACCCATTCTCCTATCCTCGCTACCTATGATCAAAAAAATCCACTCCCACTCCCACCACCGTCACCGCTCCTCCTAGCATTAAGTTCGCTCGGCTTAATCCCCATCCACACCTCCTCCAACTGCCCATCCGGATGAATCTTTAGTATCACATACGAAACATTCACCCTCACCGTGTCCTCCCCCGGCTCCGGCGGCGTGGTAAAACGAAACACCCTCCGCTTCTCCCTATCCTCCGCCTCCCCTTCATCCTCCTGCTCCGAACCCTTGTACCCGCGGTCCTGCAGCCACCGCCATGTCTCATTCTTCCGCAGCTTGTTTTCCAGAAACAAGGTCTTGAGATCCAAGTAGTGCTTCTCGATTGCGTCCAGCACGTTCGCACGGTTCACGTCCGGGTCCCGCGTCGAGAGCCGCGAGCCGCGCGAGTCGCGCGTTGAGCGTGCAGTTTTAGTGGTAGTGGTGGGTGAGATGGGGGTGGCGTCGGGTGGTGGGCGTGTTTGTTTGGCGGGTTCTTTTGATTTGGTGGTGGGGAGTCTTGGGAGACGCATGGTTGGTTTGATGGGATGTTTGTTCATAAAGCTCAATTGTTTAGATGGATTAATTAAATAGTTGTAGAGTTAGGGTTCATTAAGTGTAGATGGGAGTTTATAATAAGCTACGTAGGTAGTTATTGGATATCTTGTGAATGATGCACTGTTCTGGCATCGGACTTTTGTGAATGGTTACATCTTTCTGATTGGTCGATGCATGGCATGCGGGAATGACGTAGGATGGGGTGGGTTTGTAGCTATAGTCCTTTGGCTTTGCTGATGTTGTCTTGTGGTAGTTGGTTTCACTGTTTACGGGTGCACGGAATGGAGTTAGAATACATGCGCTACAGCTAAAGACTAGAAGTTAGAAGAGAACAGAAGATAGTCGCTTATGTTCCAAACTATTATATAGATCTAGGCTCAATTAACAATTTTGGTTTCAGCCATCTCCATTAAACTCCAGCTAAAGGCAATGTTCAGGTGCAATGTCCGTCAAATTCAACGCTTTTGATCGCTATTTCATGCGACGATTATCCAATCTAGAGATCCATGAAAGGGGCGCAGAAATAAGAGTAATGTCACCATTATACCTCCTCGACATCGGCAGGTTTACTCTTCTTTGTCGTACCAAGACCCATTCCCCAGGCGGCCAGGAAGGCCAGCCCAGAAACCGCACAACCAAGATACTACAATCATTCAGTTCGCAGCCCGCATATATTTTCGTCCGCACAGAAGATAAGACTTACAAATACGTTCACAACAGCCTGGTTATACGCCCTCAAAACACCAGGGAGCTGCTCACTCGTGACCGCGTCCCTCACGCCCGCCGCCCCGACATCGAAGATTAAATTCGCATCTACACCGGGAGCATATTGTTTCAGAGCCGATCGTAGAGAGGTACTGAAATCCACTTCTGCCACGGCTAGGATCAGGGCTCCGCCGAAAAACTGGCAGAATATCACAATGGACGTTCCGACTGCCATCTTTGCGGGATCGAGCGTCTGCTGCACGGCGTTGATGGGTTGTTGCAGAGTCATACCTCGGCCTAGTCCGGCGAGAACTTGAAAGCCGGCCCATGCGGCTGTGTGGGACGATGGGGTGAAGGTACCCATTAGACCGCTGCCGATAGTAGAGATCCCGTTACCCAGAATGGAGAACATTGCGGGCGTTCCCAACTTGGCACCTATTAGAAAGGAGAACGTATGTAAGTGAGCATTCAAAAAACCAAGGGAAACAGGAATGGGCACAATGGATGGATGGATCTGAATGAAGATGATACTACCTATGACTCCAGTGAGAAACATGGTGACTATTAATGTCGCTGCCGTTGCCATGAAATACACACCACTGAGGATCGGGTCTACCCCCAAAACTGTCTGAAACCAGACTGGCAAATAATACGAAAAGAGATTCATGGAACCATATTGCGCGGCGGTAACGAGACAGCTCGAATAGAAAATGTGTTGGCGAAGCATTGACAGGGGTATCATAGCTGTGTCTCCTCTCCTGTGCTCCCAAAACAAAAACACGAAAAGACATAGTCCGGAACCGATAAAAAGCCCGATTATGGTAGATGAGTTCCAGGGATGCGTGGAGCCGCCCCACTGCAGGGAAATGAGAAGCATGACACAGAATGGCGCAAAGAGTGCGAATCCGATGGGATCAAGTCGGTTGATTGCTTCACCAAAGGTGGGCTTTTTCTTATTAGTCTTTTCTCGATTCTCGGGGATTCGAATGAAAGCAAGGACGGCCAAAGTGACCCCCCCAGCAGGTAGATTGATGTAAAAGCCTGTGATGTAGTCAGTTTCACAGGTCCCTACATATTTGCATTGTGAAATGCAAATGCAAGTATAATCAACACTTACACCATCTCCATGAGGTCCTCTCCGTGAGAGCCCCGCCGATTATTGGAGAGATAATGCTCCCCACCATGGAGAATATATAGATCAACGCCACTAGACCTATATCATTACACCGCGATTAGTATATCTTAAGATGCAGACACTCCTATTCAAAGATAGGAGCGATAGGTGTTATACTCACGCCCGCGTTGCTCTTTTGTTGTTGATTGTGCCACAATGGTGAGACCTCCACTGAAGATTCCCGCTCCACCAATTCCAGCTACAGCACGACCGATGACGAGAGCTATCGAGGACGGCGCAATGCCACAGATCAGGGAACCAATCTCGAAGATGATGATGAATATGAAGGCCGTGACCTAGAGCAAAAGGAGGAAATCAATTGTTAGCAAATCCGCCCAAGTTGAGCAGAAGTGGTAGAGGAAGGGCTAGTAGACTGTTGAATATCCACCTTTGAATTGTAGTATTGATAGAGCTTGCCAATCACAGGAGCACAAGAGCATCTAAAAAGAGGTTAAAATCGGGCAACGGGCCGCAGCTTGAGAGATACCCAAGAGTAAAACTCACAATGTGATGAGGTATGCACTCCCATACCAACCAATATCCTCAATGGTGTGGAAATGAGTTGTGATAGTAGGGATAGCCTTTTCGGAAGTTTAGCAATCAAAGCCGTGATCTGAGAGGTCTTTCTTCCTATTGTTGTAGCAGGATGTCTGAACTTACTGTCACAATGATAGTAACATCCAAGCTGTATAGAAACCCAGCTAATGAGATTGAAAAAACAAGCAGGTATAGTTGATATCCACTCAGCACTTCCGGTTGATTGATCGCCATCTCGCCAATAAAGTCGCTACTCGAGCCAAGCATCTCGTCTTTCTTTTCCTCATGGAGGTCATTAGTTTCCATCGAGGACGCAACGTTGGTTTGAGAATTGTTTAATGCCGCCATGTTGAAAGAAACAATTCAGGATAGTTCTCATTTTGGGACGAAACTGATGGCAATATAAGTATATGAGTCAGACTAAAGTTCGATGTCAGATTGGTTTGTTGTGATGTCTCCGACGGAACGGAGTGCAACTTTCTGGTCCACTCCGACGGACACATTCGAACTCATACTCACTTCTATTAAAAGTCTGACAGTGGAGACTGTTTTAGCGTAGAAATGATAGATTCCGCGTATGTGACTGGTTCTTTACCCTAGTGTAAATCTGCAGAACAGCACGAAGGATGATAGCTAAAGCAATCTTAAAGTGAGACTCCTTCTTTAGAGCCTCGTATTCCGTCGAATCTAAGCTCTTCAAGTGGCGCGGAGTATAAAGTTATAGAGTAAAAACTGTCTCCACTGTCAGACTCAAAGAAAAGCGAGTAGAGTCATACTTAAGCCCTGCAGTGTCCAACGGCCTTCTGCGCAAAAAGACCGCCCATTATAAACCCTTGAGCTTGCCGGACACAGAAAGCAGCACTTATTCTCATTGGTTTTAAATGTCGCTATTTCTGTCCAGGGCGAGGCTTCTTTCTGTAAGTACGGGCCGTAAAACACTATAGGAGTTAACCCCATCTACGCCAAGACACCGAGACGGGGTCGGTGGGATTAAAACTCAGCGATCTTAGCTCTAAAGTAAGGTGTCAGATACTCGCCAAAGAACTCGATTGTACTCTGAACCACAACACGTACCAAACGCACGAGAAGGAGGCATTGATTATGTTATATCACGTCTTCAGCTTCTAAACAGAGGCTGTATCGAGACAGCATCAAGCTATAAACGTGTCTTCGTTCGGCACATTTTGCCAAAACCTGTCATCAAGCAGATCAAATTGGTTCAAGAACAATGGCATCGACATGTTTATGGCGTCTCCTTGCATCTGTGTACCAGATACCGCAGCAGCAAGATCACGATTCTCATTTGCCAGCAGATGCTCAAACCTCACCTTCACCTGCCGCATCCTGCGAGTGACCTGAAGCCACGGCTTATCATCATCCCTCAAGTCATACCTAGCACTCGCGGCTTCAGTCATCGTGACCGCGAGGTCCAATACAGTGGAGAGATCTAGCGTCGTTTGGACGTTACTGGCGTCCCAGTCGTCGGCGTCGAATAGTGATAGTTTCGAGAGCGTCATCATGACGAAGTAGATCTGCGAGAGAAAAACTGGGCTGAAATTTATGAAGGGGGTGGAGTCAAAATCGATTGAAAAGTAGATGTCTGAGAAAGCTCGAGTGGCATGGTGGCACATGAGTAGGATTTCGGCTCTTTGGAGGGAAGGCGTATCGGTTAGGGTTGTGGGGGGCATGTAGAAGCCAATCTCAAACAGATACATCTCGATGGCATGGTAATGCATAAGAATGATCGCTGTATAGAATTCTTTGAATCAGTTTGAGTTTTACGATAAATGAGAGAACAATAAATGAAAGCTTGGGTGTTACCATCTTGCTGCAGATTCTTTGGCAAGGAGCCTTTGAACCTTTGTAATTCTGATAATAGCAACTTGAAGTGAACTCCAGTAGCTGCATTCCAAACTCGAGGTTGCGAAGGAAAGCTTCGAAGACCGCTCTGTCTGACGCCCTCCGAAATTCGTTGTAAGATTGAAAGCTGCCCAAGATAGGAATCATTTTCATTTTCAGGGGCGTTTGAAATATCATCGTAGCAGTCCTGGATATATGACGTCCACTGCAAGGGATTATAACGGCAAAAAGTTGCTGAGACCTGAGAGATCATTAGCAATATGTACAGAAGAATATGTGAATAACCTACGCATTCGAAGAGATAAAAGCATCCCAGAAGAGTCCTCTTTTCTTCCCTGGATGGCTCTGCTTTGCGAGCCCAAGCCACATGGTTGCAACAAGTTAAAACACCTTTCATCTCATCCAAGAACTTTTCGTGTTTCTCAAACCTCGCCATGGGTAGGTACAAGTGCAAGTCAATCACGAGAGTGAAAGCGAAACCAAGAAGCGTCGTGAGCTGTGATCTGGCATTAAACAGCCCATTATACCTATATATTACAGGATAATCAGTCACAAGCTCAATCACGACCAGGAAGATTACAGACCATGTGATATACACAAGAAGCCCTTGTAGCATATCTAAATTCTTGTGCCCTTGCAAAACGAGATGTTCCGTTAGATGCTTGAGGAACTGGTGTCCTAAATCGATCTGATGTACAGAATCGTGATATGAAGCTACAGTGACGATGGCTTGATAGAGGAACGGTCTCTCCCGATTGAGAGTTAGAGCACTCATTTGCCTAGGAACAAAGATGAAAGGGACCTGTCGAGCAAGTTTCTGGCGGAATACATCCAATAAATCATCGGCATTTGATGTGCTGCGTGGTAGATCAGAAGCACTTGATGTTGATCCAAACCCGGCTCCATGATCTGGTCGCGTATCTCCTGCTTCTTCGGCACTTGGATTTTGATGATTGGGAAACGTGCTCAATCCACTTGATAGAGTATTGGTGGACTCAGGGGTGAAGACCGGACTCGTATGTTTGGCACCGAGTGGAAGAGGTAAACGTGACACTAGATCATTCAGTCGTCCCTCTAGCTCAACTATTCGCCCCGTTTGAGCTTCATGACTGTAAGACCGATCAGTATGGATCGTGAAAAGAAGTTGGATTCTTACGATGCCTTCCCAGCTTTTCGTTTCCGCACAATAGGAACTTGCATCACGCACTCTCTACGCATGCGATTGCATCTACAACAATAATCAGTAGAAGTCAGGTGGCATGCCATGCTCGGGCAAGAAGCGGAGTGGATATACCTCTCACAAGTGCCATCAGTATGGCCATAGCACTTCGCCTTGGCTTTGACACAATTCTGACAGGACTGTGCTCGGGGATTAACGTACTCCGCCATATTAAATCCCACAACATTGAGTTTGGGGGAGAGACTAGGAGTTGCTTTGAATATCAGGGGCTGACGGAGACGGAGTCACTTTCAGTCCGGCTCGACACATCCCCAACACAGGCACGCTAAACTCGAAAAGGCAGCGCACCTAATTGTAGTTTACTACTCAAACACCCTCAGCTTCCTTCACATCTCATTATAGGTATAAGCAATTAATAACTATTTAGATGCACATGTCTCGACTAAAAGAGACGAAATGAAGATATAACCTGCATAAATAACAACTCATGTTATTTCACTCCATAGTCTCTATCGTTAAGCTTGATTTCATGACCATATTAGACTCTTCTTGCAAATCTCTGTCCACCAATCATAATAGCCAATGAGACAAGCGCCATCTATTTCAGTCTTCCGCCATCTGCTCTGTCCCGCTTAATTGAAACCCCCCTCCTGCAGGATCCGGGGAGATCTACCCATGCTCCACAAGAAGCGGGAAATCAAATCATGCAGGTATGTTAAACCCCCAATCCATGTTTTTCCGGTGCAAACTTTATAGCTACCTACAACCTAAACATCTGCCTAATCTACGAAGCATATCACGGCACAAATCTAAGTATTATGCTAAGGTAATGCCTAAACTATTAGCCATTAATCACATGGCTGTTGTATCCGTTTTACCTATGTGGAAGGTTGCACCTTGCAGTAAAAATAGCCAGGGATGATTGAGGATTTCCTAGTGCTATTGATCCTCCTTTTACCTCTGTAACGTACCTTATTTAGAGACTTACTTCCTTCCATTTCATTACATTTCTCCCCATTTGCCAGCCGTTGTCTTAGTTGCTTATGTTGCATCTTTCTTTGCTTTTCCAATTCATTTAACTTCTCAACAATACCGGTCCTTTACTATTGACTCACTATTGTGATTCCCACCGGGCTGCCCACTTGTTTGAATGTGAATGTGAATCACCTCTTGTTCGACTTTCAATATGTTGCGGATACTTTCATAAATCAAGACAATTCTATTCTTTTGTTAAATTACAAAACGATCTTCACAACTCCCAGACTCTACTTGCTTGTCTTTTCTCATCACCACGCAACGAACGATGTTTTCTAGTACCAAGAGCCAGCTTCACAGCTTAGCAATATGCTTTATTGGTGTTTTAGATATAGCGTCTGGTATCACGCTCGATGTCAAAAATCAAAGTCAGTGATTTCAAACCCCATCCGTTTGCCAGTATGATATCAAACGGGACATGTCCTAAGAAGATGTTCATAAACAGGTTCCCTTCTCAGTGCTACGCACACCATCGCCCACGACTTAATGTCCTACTACACCGGCTCTCAACCCAACTCTCCCTCCCTTGGCGTCCTTTCAAAGCCATATTACTGGTGGGAAGCGGGTGCCATGTGGGGGACCATGATCTCCTACTGGCACTACACCAACGACAGCACATACGTGACGGACGTCGGCCTCGCTATCCTCTCCCAAGCAGGCCCGAACAACGACTTCATCATGGCTAACCAAGTCTTCGATACCGGGAACGACGACCAGGCCTTCTGGGCACTGACCGCCATGTCAGCCGTCGAATACGCCTTCCCCGTCCCCATCACCAACACCAGCACCTCACCTGCGCCTACCTCAAACTCAAATAACCCATACCTCACCCTCGCCATCAACACCTTCAACGAGTTCGTAACCCGCTGGAACACCACGCAATGCAACGGGGGTCTCAAATGGCAATTCACGCCCTCCAACGCCGGCTTCGACTACAAATCCACCATCTCCAACGGCGGGTTCTTCCAGCTCGCCGCGCGCCTCGCGCTCCACACCGGGAATGCGACCTATCGCGAGTGGGCAGAAAAAGAGTGGGATTGGATGACGGGCGTGGGTTTTATCAACGAGACGACGTGGGCTGTGATCGATGGCGCGGGCGATGATAATGGTGAGAATTGCACTGTGCTGAGTACGCAGCAGTGGACGTACAATAACGCCATTTTCCTGTACGGCGCTGCTGTTATGACGTTGCTCGACAATGCCAATACCAATACCAGCGCTTCAAACTCCACTTCTCCTTCTCCTTCCACCTCCCCTCCATCAATCTGGCTCACCCGCACTAAAGGCCTCCTCGGCCACGCAACATCCCAATTCTTCACCCCCTCCCCCAATGCCACGTCCATAATGTACGAGTCCCAATGCGAGACCACCAGCTCCTGCAACACCGACCAATACAGTTTCAAAGCCTACCTCTCGCGCTGGATGACCACCACAGCCCTGCTAATCCCGTCGTTGCAACCAGATATCCTCGCGCTTCTGACACCTAGTGCGCAGGCAGCGGCTCTCGCGTGTTCAGGCGCAGGGGAAGGCTCGCAGTCGCTGTGTGGCACGAAGTGGTATGTGGGCGGTTGTGATGGCGTTACAGGCGTCGGGCAGGAAATGTCGGCGCTGGAGGTGTTGTTGGGTGTGCTGGGTACTAGCTAGATGGGTACTCGAGGTAAGGAAGGAAGGAAGGTAGTTGCACGCAATGTGCGAGGAAGGGTGATTGATAGCCAGGCTTGCTTTGGAAACTCGTAGCGTTAATACGTGAACCAAACATCCCGAACAACCAACCAACCAATAAATCAACCAATCAATCAATTAATAATGCCCCCCCAATATCGCAAAACTATATATAGTACGTGGGAGGTGAGGAACACTTGAATCTGGTGAAAGAGAAATGATATCATATATAGGTGAGAAAGAGGTGCTGTTGAATAAAGAATGACGTGCATGCAATGCAACGCGATGTAGAAAAATGACGTGAAATCAATCACTCACAACTTCGAAGACTAGTCAATCTCATCTTCATTTATGCTTTTATGATACAATTGTTCTTTCCAGCCCAGCCAGCCCCATCAAGTCTATGCTCTCCTTCAGGGGCCCCACCAGCCAACCAACAATAATGCACGCGCGTGATATTGAGAACGCCCCTTTCTTGCAAAAACGAGAACTAGTTAAAAAAGTGTTTCCTATCTTAATCAATTACAAGTCATCACGTCTACAACTCATCGTGAGAATCTGGCTCATCATCCGCATCTCCACCAGGAGCTCCGCCCGAGTATAGCTTCGATGTAATAGGGTAGGCAACGTTCGAGAGCTTCTCCTTTTGCTCCTCGAAGTCTTCGGATGTGGCGGTCGCAGCGTTCTCCTCGAGCCATTCGGTGGTTTCCTTGACGGCGTCCAAGAGCTATTGCATGCGTTAGCCGATTGGTCATTTTCCTCAAGATAATGAAATACTTACAGCTTCCTTGTCATCCTCATCGATCTTGCCACCAAGACCCTCATCATCATTGACCTGGTTCTTCAAGCTGAAAGCGTAGTTCTCGAGACCATTTCGGGACTCGATGCGCTCCTTGGTAGCCTTATCTTCATCGGCATATTGCTCGGCTTCCTCAACCATACGGTCGATTTCCTCTTGAGTGAGACGGCCCTTGTCGTTGGTAATGGTGATGGACTTCTCGTTTCCAGTTCCCTTATCACCAGCTGTAACCTTCAGGATTCCGTTGGCGTCAAGTTCGAACGAGACTTCGATTTGAGGAACACCGCGGGGCGCAGGTGGGATACCGGTGAGTTCGAATTTTCCAAGCTGGTTGTTGTCCTTGGTCATAGTGCGCTCACCTTCGAAGACCTGGATCAGGACTACGGGCTGGTTATCGGCGGCGGTGGAGAATATTTGAGATTTTCGGGTAGGGATGACGGTGTTGCGGGGAATCAGCTTTGTCATGACGCCGCCAGTGGTCTCAATACCAAGAGTGAGTGGGTTTACGTCCATGAGAACGATTTCGGCGGTTCCTTCTTCACCAGACAAGACACCACCTTGGACAGCGGCACCGAATGCAACAGCCTCGTCAGGGTTGATACCTTTGCTAGCCTTCTTGCCACCAAAGTACTCTTCGATGAGCTCGACGACCTTGGGGATACGGGTGGATCCTCCGACCAAGACGATATCGTCAACTTCACCCTTCTTGACCTTGGCGTCCTTGAGAACTTGCTCAACTGGCTTCAAAGTCTTCTTGAAGAGATCCATGTTCAGCTCCTCGAACTTGGCTCGGGTGAGGGTTTCGGAGAAGTCCTTGCCGCTGTGGAAAGCTTCGATTTCGATACGGGTAGTCTTTTGGGAGGACAGAGTTCGCTTGGCTTTCTCGGCCTCACGCTTTAGTTTACCCATGGTCTTGAGATCCTTGGTAATGTCGACGCTGTTCTCCTTGTTGAACTTCTTGGCGAAGTAGTTGATGATACGTTGGTCGAAATCTTCACCACCCAAATGAGTGTCACCAGCGGTAGAAAGAACCTCAAATACACCACGATCAATGGACAGAAGGGAGACATCGAAAGTTCCTCCACCGAGATCGTAGACAATGATTTGACGTTCTCCATCAGTCTTGTCGAGACCGTAGGCAATAGCTGCGGCAGTAGGTTCGTTGACAATACGGAGGACGTTGAGACCGGCAATGACACCTGCATCCTTGGTAGCCTGTCTCTGGTTGTCGTTGAAGTAAGCTGGGACAGTGACGACTGCGTGAGTGACCTTGTTTCCAAGATACGACTCTGCAACCTCCTTCATCTTTCCAAGAATCATGGCTGAGACCTCCTCGGGGGTGAAGGTCTTGGGGGATCCATTGACTACGACCTGAACATTGGGCTTGCCACTCTTCTCAACAACATTGAATGGGAAGTGCTTCATGTCACCCTGTACATCTTTATCCGAAAACTTGCGACCGATCATTCGCCTGCACAGGACACCTGTTAGTGACTGCTCAAAAGCACTTGGCGCATGCCAAGTATAAAAGCGAATAGGACACGTACTTGATATCATAAATCGTATTTTTTGGGTTCGCAGCAGCCTGGTTCTTGGCTGCATCTCCGACTAATCTCTCATCATCGGTAAAGGCGACGTATGAAGGTGTTATCCGATGTCCTTGATCGTTTACAAGTATTTCGACTTTGCCCTTCTGCATCACACCGACGCAGGAGTAGGTAGTTCCAAGATCAATACCGATGACTGCAACCGAAACAAAAACCATTAGCAGCTGTTCCTAAGCTCCGCAGACAGACTGTGGTTGGAGGTGTACATACCAGTTCCATAGCTCTCTTGTATTGGGTCCTGGGCATCTTCTGCGTTTACAGTCTGCATGAAAGCCAGGGGCGAGAGAAGAAGAATGAAATAGGCCACAAAGGACAGGCCCAGAAAGAAAGAGGTTTGATTGCCTCGCGCCATGATGATCGTTGTATTAGACCAAGATGCTGAGAGGGGAGGAGAGCGATTGTTGTGGAAGGGGAAGGTTGCTTGGAAGAAAAGAAAAAGAAGAGGACAAGATGGCGCTCAAAGGGAACTTTATCACAGCTAATCGAAGCTGTAACCGTGTCTTCAAATCGGGCGGTGGGGATATGATTGGCTCGCTTAGGTGTTGCGGCGGAAAAGGCTAGTTGTCCATAACTTTAACTTTAAATGGGGGGGAAGAGAAGGCGGAAAGGACAGCAACAGCATGGAGAAAGTTGTCTAGCGAGTGGCTGAAGTGATGTTACCACTACTAAGAGGCCACCTTTCTCTTCTTTCGTCCAGTAAAACGTGTCTTTATTATCCGTACCTTAATCCACCCTGCCACACCCCCTAACTACGCAAATCTAGTACCTTTTGAGCCGTCTCGAATATTCCATAAAGATAAATATACACGCACGGTTCACCAGCCAGGCTGGATAGAACTAATTCGAGAAGGGATGAATCCCAGAGACTCACTCATTCCCTCAATGCCCCTCTTTCTATACTATATCATCTAGTACCTTTCATTTGCTTTCTTTCTTGTATTCTCGGGTCTGATTTCATGAGAACCCTATACCTTATACAGGCAAAGTAATAGATGTACAAGTAGGTATCGTAGGATACAGCATCATGGCTTGACAAACTTCGAGTCAGACCAGACAGACGACGCCTTTTAAAATCGCATTATACATGCCAGAAGACAAATATCCATGTCATGTTTCCTCTCAGACAAAGAGTCACACATTTGATCACTTACCGAAGTCTGTGTTTCTTGCCGTGGAGACTAGATTATGCCACGAGTACGGATGGAATTCCAAAGGCAGGTCGCAAAAGCTGTAGGTATCTTAACGTGTATTCTCATCGCTCGTACTTCGTAATTCCCCCCAGCCTTTCTTTCATGCAATCCTCTATTCCAACAACCCAGCAGCAACCGTCTCCCCATTTCCCCTTAGAACCACCCGTCCCGGAGCCTCAAGTGGCACCCCCCCCTCACCATCAAGCTCCACTACAACCCTCGCCACCTGTCCCGGCTTCACAATCCGCGGCTTCTTCTTCCCCACCGGCATCCCAGTCCCCTTATCCAGCACCGCTACAATCTCTCTAATCCTCCCCGGTGTATGCAGACGTCCCCGATGCACATCAACACCCATTGGCGTCAAGAACTCAAACGCCAACACCTTTGCCGTAAACTCCCTCACATTCACAATCGGTTCTTTCGGGCTACATAACACATCCCCTACTTTCAAATGTTGATCAATGTCGTGAGGGCCAAGATGAAGCGTTACGTTTTGACCTGCTACCGCCCAATCTGATGGCTCAGAATCAATGTCTAGAGCCTTGATAAAGCATTTTTGGCCGGCTGGTTGAGCGAGCAATGCATCGCCAACCTGGAGGGAGCCAGACTCAATACGGCCGGATATGGAGATGGGATTCTGGACACCGCCACGGAAGATATCGCCGACTGTCAGTCTGAGGGGTTTGGACAGTGCGCGCGTGATGGGCTCCGAGTTATCTAGTTCTTCGACTAATGTAGGCCCTTTATACCAAGCTGCTTCTGGTTCTGTAGAGCGCCGCGCGATATTATCGCCATGTAGGCCGGAGGTGGGGATGAAAGAAATGTTTTTGGGGAGAAAACCGGCCGTGGTGAGAAATGCGGAAACTTGGGTTGCGATTTCGGTGAAGCGATCTTCAGACCATGCCACTGTGTCGAGTTTGTTGACGACGATTATTATACGTTGCACGCCCATGCTTCTTACTAACAATGCGTGTTCTTTTGTCTGGCCCTTGAGACCTGATTCAAAGGAGCCGGTGTTGGCGTCAATGACTAGCACTGCGAAATCTGCTTGACTTGCTCCTGCTATCATGTTGGGGATAAAATCTCTATGTCCTGGGGCGTCCAGAATAGTAAAAGTCGTTTTATCGGTCTCGAATTTGTTGGTGGCGATATCGATTGTAACGCCACGAGCTCTTTCTTCAGATCCTTGATCTAGTACCCATGCCAGCGCAAAAGACGACTTTCCCATCTTCTCGGCCTCTTTTCGATATCGATCTATCGTCCGTTGATCTACAACCTTCAGGTCATATAATAGCCGGCCCATCAAAGTACTTTTCCCAGCATCAACATGACCAATAACCACAAAATTCGCCGCATTCTTCGTCTTCGCCTTCTCATACTCGGCCAGAACATCCAGATTTTTGCTCTTCGCCCTCGGTGTATCATCAATTTTCATTGCCTCTACGCCCTGCGCAATCTGGTCTGCTCTCTTCTCTCCATTAGTTTTGACTGGTCCCTTACTGGGCTTATTGGCTGCTGATAAGGGAATAGTCAGTCTTCACTTCTTCCCGTTGCTAGTAGAAATTGCAGAACCTTTCGACTGCGCCGCGATAACTATATCATCTGGGCTGGGTCCTGAGAAGGGGTTAGAGGCTGCTGAAGCACTACTCGCAGTGTAGGGAAGCGTGAAGAGGTCTTCTGAAGGTCTGTGGGGTTGTTGAGGGGGGCTGCTGAACATGGTATTGGCGAAGGCGGAGGGCTCTGCTTGTTGGGGTGGCTCTTCTGGGGGTGTAGATGTCCTTGGCCCTGGTTCTTTTTGGGTAAGGGCAGCCTTTGGGACTTTCTCGTGCTCATTTGTATCCTTGCGTTTTCGTAAAGGAAATCCACGAGATGCATGTTTCTCCGGAGCGTCCACCATCTTTGTATCCCCATCGATTTTCAGATCAGCCATAGGCTTTTCAACCCCGCTATCCGCACTTCCCGATTTTTCCTGCGCCTTTTTCTTTCGGGCCGCAGCCAATGCCTGTAACTTCGACATCTTTGGTGCTCCATCAGACGACGAACCACCCAAAAGACCACCTCGAGGACATAGAGGTGCAACGAGAACAGACTGTCGATCGGCAGGAACGTTGAACCACGGTGTATCCTTAAAGAAGTCTGCAAACGAGAAAGGTCTCGAGCATGGTACACCTAGCAATCTAAGTCAGCAAGAGCGCAATTTACAATCTAACAACATTCGCAAGCAAGAGAGCAAACCCACCTGCAAAAGCCAGGCCCTGCCCTCGCAGCCCATTCCCTCACCCGAACACAGAAATTAAATGAAACGCACCTTGCACTTTCGGTTCCTTCTTCACACTCTCCTTTTTAACAGTCCCCACCAGATAGCTCACACTCTTCTCTACATCGTAATAATAATGCCACAGCGCGTCCGTGATCTGTTTATCGCTAATCTGACTCGTAATATCCGGTGGGAGCTCGGCGCGTACGGCGACAGAGCCCGCTTGTAGGAGTTGTTTGTCTTCTTCGCTGAATTCTGATGGAGGGGTCAGATCAGGCAAATGTATGGTGGGGAGGTGGGGTAGAGGGGACATACCTTCCGCTTCCGCTTCCTCATAATCGTCCCCATCAAAATCGTCGAGCTCGTCGTCGAGATCGAGGTTCTTTACTAGCTTGTGGCGAGACATCTTGGTCTATTGGCGTGTGGACTATGAGAGGATGTATTGGGGAAGAAAAACGAATGTTGGGGTTTGATGTTTCTGTGAATGGAATGGCATGGCTCGAGTAGCGGGGTTGGAATCTGGAGTGCCTGAACACTCATACCCCTGCAACACTCGTCATAGTGCGTCACGTGTGATTTATTATATAACAATTTATGTCTACGCTACTTTAGCTTCACATTCTTCTTTGCTGGGATTGTGGAGATTTAACATTGCTCAATACAGTATTTTGAGAAAGAAGGGACGGGTATAATATTGCTTCAACTCTAGCAAAGGTATGACCCCTATTTCAAGTCCAATCCCCCACAAAATCTGAGTCCGTCGTAGAATTTACATTTTCGAGTTTAAGCTCGACCCAACGCCATCGCTCCGTACCATTATCCCCTTCATAGATCAATCAAGCTCTCTTCCATTATCTTCTGCTGGGGTGCATGATGCGGTGCCGAAGGGAACGATTCTTGCGTATACCCACCATAAGTTGACCCAGGAGCTTGCCAAGCCTGCTGTGGTGCAGAAACTTGAGCTTGGGTTTGCCAGTATGGAGCTTGTTGTTGCGCAGACTGCTGTTGAGGCGGTGGGGCGTGGTGCTCTTGCGGATTTTGGGGCTGTTGCGTGAATTGCTGGGGTGATTGAGGTGCTGCTTGCGGGACAGTGGTGTGGAATTGTTGAGGGGATTGCACAGGAGGGTATTGCGAATGATTCTGTTCTAATACTGGCTGTGCAGGAGGTACTTGTGGCGTGTTATTGTAATAAAATGCTGCATTTGGATCTGTAGACGGTGTTACAGCTGACTCCGACGGCACGTAATTCGATACCGGTTGCGAGGGGGTATTCATCGGAGGCGCTTGTTGTTGAGGAGCATTCATAGGTGGATTGGATTGGTGCGGAGGCATGCTGTCAGATGCATAGCTAGGCTGCTGGGAAGCATATGGCGTCGCCTGGGGTTGAGGCGGTTGTTGCTGAGAGGCATACGGGTTGTAGCTATCACTCCTTTGTTGTGGATTTGGATAACTCGGGCCAGGGTTTGAAGCGTAGCCAGATTGGCTCTGCTGAGGTGGATACGAGTAGGTAGACTGAGGTCGTCCATATGATTCTTGAGGGGCATTTCCAGTATAAAAGCTTTCTGCCTGGCCAGCTCCATTCGGACCATTTGATGACAAGGCTGGATACATAGTTGACGCAGGGCGCTGAGCAGGAAGATTATATCCGCCGATCGTGTGTTGGTTGTAGGTATTCGACAAGCGGTCCTCCAACATACGGTCGTAATAACGTACAACGGTTGACAACTTAGCGTGAAGATCCAGAAGAGCATCTATATGTATTAGTCATGGCTTTACACCAAACTCTAGATAAACTTACCATGCTTGCTCATAGTCTCTCCGTAAGTGCGGGCAAGTTTCGGTCGAAGTGTACCAATACTATCGTAAAGTTCTTGGATTTGAGGCTCACGAAGTATTGTCCCCGGCGGTTGTGTTTGTAACCTGTCTACTAACGTCGAGAAAAGATTGATGTTCTCTGCTTCAACTGGTGTGAGTTCGTAGTCATTCTTGGGTATTACGAATGGTGATGAGGTTGTCCCTGGATTCGCCGATTGCTCCTTTATCGTTGCAGCATGTTTTTTCTTTTGTTCTTCCATATCCGCAATAGATGCAGCAATGGCAGCTTTCAAGTCATCATCCTCATCCTCGGCAGGTTTGCTTGCGGAAGGATTTGCGGCGGGGGTAACTTGAGGCTTGGTTTGCAGTTTCGCCTGTGGAACATAACCTGCTCCAGAATGATTGTTTACCTCTTCGAGGCTCATAGCCAATGCGCGCTTCAGGTCGTCATCGAATCCTTCATCAACCCTTGCGCTTCGAGGTTGCATGGAAGCATGATGCTTAGGTTTATGCACAGATTGGCTGTTGCTGAAAGATCCACCTTTGGCTGACTTGTCAGTCAATTTTATGTAGCAACCATCATCAACCCTAACAGGCTGTAGAATTCCGAGGTGGGGTAGAGGTATGCTCTTAGCGGAGCACTGTTGGTCGAAGACGTTGCCACAATTTCTGCAGTGATGCTTTCGATTCGTGAAACTGAAGGCAGTTCTGCAACGCATGCAGACATCGGAGTCGCTCCATTCGGGGGGCTGTAATGCTGTCAGAAGAGGGAACATCAGTAGTCTAGAGTACTCACTGCGCTGCTGTCCAACATGCTGCTTGCGACTTCGACTTTTGGTGGAAAGTGGAATCCTTCTCGTTGCAAGCCTTTATATGTCTCTCCAATGTAGGATAATTCGTAGCGACCCTCCGTAGCCGTCGCCCAGGATTGAATCAAGTCTAGTATCCTGTTTTTGACATCATCATTTACCGCCGCCGGACCATAGGCCTTTAATAGTGATACTAGATTGTCCATAAACTCCCTAGAAGCAATTTCAACCAGGAAATGTGAGCCGCCATTCTTTACACATGTGTCTGTAAGCTGTGCATTTAATTAGTAACTGCTCTGACGATTCAAAGAGTATACTAACATGAAGAGCACTGAGTTGAGTGTTGGGATTCTTGTTGCCTATCCGCCGTTTGAGGGACCGCATCGCTTCTTTGGATCCTACTGTCTTAGACCGTATCACATCTGAGATTTCGAGATTGAGGGCGATATCCTCCCTGGTAGAGTTAGCAGCCATTCCAAGCTTTGCTGTGATAGAAGGCGTACAAAGAACTCGACGTAGCCCGATCGATTTGCTCATCGAGCGCCGAGTTTGTGGAAGCAAACCATCCTGCCATCATTTTGGCCACGCGCAGCCGGAAATAACTGTGGGAGAAAGGCGTGGTATTCTGCTAGGTTTTAGTTGGATTCTCGATAGCTGTAGAAACTCGAAATGAGATGGTGGTATTCGTTCGTACTTCGATCGTGAGTGAGGTGAAGTGAGGTGATCGGTGGGAATCGAGTGTAAATTGCCAGCATCCAAGATTCTATGTCTTCTTTTTGATACTAGGGTACAGTCGTCGTAGGTAGACGTGTTTGAATATAGGCGTCGTAAGTGAAAGAAGCGGGCAGAGAGCTGTTCTGTTGGTTTGCTAGATACCTAGGTACCTACCTAGCCACTGCGTAATGCGCCGTGGTTGCCGCCACAGATATGGTTAGATCCCGCGTCACCCAGTCTAGCAAATTCCGCCCCGCCTCCAGGCCAGGATGGTTGATCGACTTGGCAGCGGCGCCCGAGGAATATTGAGATTGAGAATGTGATCCGCCAGATATCTCCATTATTCAAGTCAAGAATCTAAAAAACCACGCAGGAATGCAGTTGGCACAACAGAACACACAATACCCAATAAAGAAACATATGAGCGACTCTCCCTTGTCTCTCCTGCCTTTTCCCTGCCTTTGCCTTGCCTTTGCCTTGATTTGCTCTTTCATTATCCAACATCCTAGTCATTCTCCCCGACTTGAATGAACGAATACAGTATCCGCTGCGCAGCCTACCCTTCGCAAATCCCGTCCTCACAAATTTATTCTCAGATCGAATATCCTCTAATACTCTCGGCATACCCGTTGTTCTCTCCAAAGCCTCTCTTCGATATGCTTCGACAATTCGTCCGCCAGACGCCGTCATGAGTCCTGCTGTTCTGGGGGGTCCTCCCCACTCGCGCGCTTCTTCCCTATATGGAGGAGGTCCCATTAGTACGGAAAAGGGAAGGAAATCTACCGGTGTCGATACAATAACAGGCGTGAACCGTGTCTTTCCCCACCTCGAGGAACTAGTTTCGGTCAGACCTGATATAAATCCACAGTCGCCATTACGCACCATCCTCGAACGCGGCGAGCAGTTTGCAAAGAGTGCTGATACCAACCTCGACTTTCGACGTCCAGACCTGGCACTCCAGGAGTACATAAAGGCGTCTATTGTAGCAGTCGAGATCGTTCCTCGCCATAAAGATTACCCATCAATACAGAATGATCGAGGAGACTTGCACCGTCTATACCAGGGCCTGACCAAAAGGATTCGAGCTCAACAGCAGAAATTCGACGATGTGAAGGAGATTATCAAGGAGAATAATGCTAGAAATGGAGTAAAATCTCCATCGGCAGGGTCATTAAATTCATCTCGGAATCTGAATGGCCTTACCAATGGCCATGCGCGAACACACTCGGTGGAAACGCTTTCAATACGTGGCAACTCTTCATATAGCTTGCAAAATGGTGGCCAAGTTGGATCTTTAGATCACCCAGTCACACCGCCAAAAAGGAAGCCTCCAATACAACCCAAACCGAATGCACTTCATGGAAATGCCATTCAGCCAGATTTAGCTGCGCGTTTTGCACGTCTGCGTAGCCCTGAATCTAATAGTGTTATTCAAGATCCAAGGATACGGACCCAGCCCATCTCGATACCTGACCGCTCAGAACTAACCCCCAACCCTCCAATATCATCCCAGTCAATCAATCGGCCAACAGGGCCACGGGAGATGCCTTCGGTACCTACCACGCTTCCACGCCCCAAACTACTCCCGTTAGAGTTGCCTTCGATGCCAAGAGCACCAGATCCTATATACAATAGCCCGGCTCGAAACACTGATACTACATCCACAGCAAATCTTCCTTCCAGTGTCCCCAGGAGCTCTTCATATACTAGTAGTGGGAGGAAGAACTCTGCTCCTCCAATTTCTACGGTTCGTGGTACGCCTATTCTGGTTGATGATAGGCAGGATTACTTCACGCCGGCCCACTCTGTCAATGCCTTTTCCGCTCCACCCAAAAAGAAGCGCCCAGAAATTAACATACCTAACGCTAGCACCATCGAGGCCGAAGATCTTTATGAGTACCTGAAAATGGGTTCACAGGCCCTGCGAGTCTTACTCGTTGATCTTAGAACCCGAGCTCAGTTCGACAGTGGCCATATCATGTCACAGGCTATTATTTGCATCGAGCCAATGTCCTTACGGCATGGCGTGTCAGGTGACGAGCTAGAAGAGCGGCTGATTCTTGGGCCCGATTCTGAACAAGCGTTGTATAGCAAAAGGCATGAGTTTGACCTGGTTGTATTCTATGACCAGTCTTCTTCATCGTTTGAATCGTCAATCACCTCGGGAGACGTTTCCGACAACGATCTCTGTAATTTTTCCGCTGCTGTGTATGATTATGGGTACGAGAAACGATTGAAGCGTCAGCCAATGCTTCTGGTTGGAGGTTTGGATGCTTGGATTGATCTCCTTGGCCACAATTCACTACAATCATCATCCTCGGGTCCACGGTCTACAGCAACGAGTTTGAAACCCGCTCGGCCCCTTGGTCGTGTGGCAGTGAACAGGGGTTCTAGAAAACCGCTGTTCGTTCCAAGAAGGGTTGAATCACGGCCCTTTACAAAAGATGAAGAAACCAAGTGGGACGAAGTTTTGAGAAATGACGAGACAGTCGGAAGTCCTGCAGTCGCGCCGGATGGCGAGTCCGAAAATCTTTATTATGCTAGGACGACTGATGATTTCATGCGGCGCTTTCCTGAAGTCTCAACTATCCAGGAATCGATGATGTCCGGGGATAAGACCATTTTGGTTGAAAGCCCACTCACTGAAGAATTTCCTACACCCCCAGCCCGGCCTCCTCCTGCTCTTCCAAGGCAGCGATCAAGCGGTATTTCAGAAAGAGGCTCGGTCACGTACACTCCCGCGCATGCCGCGACTACGATCGAACTACCAAAAAAGCCTCCAGGACTTACTGGCTTACACAACCCTGGGAACCTCTGTTACATGAATTCAACCATTCAGATGTTAGCCACCATACCTTTTCTGCGAAATTACATATTAAAATACGAGTACCCACCAAAACAAAGAATACCACGGAAAGGAGCGGAACTCTCTGATCCTCCGCAAATCATGGTGCGAAACCTCAAGAATGTGTTTTTTTATATGTGGGCTGGCAGTTACGACTGGGTAACCCCGAAGACTTTTGCGGTATGTATATTCGCTGTGGCGCTCGAAATACTCGAAATATGCTGACTCAACTCAGAGATACGTGAATGCGCTTCATGTGGGAACAAGTCCCAATGGTACCCCAAGAGGGCACGCTTTTGGTGGTACCCGCCAACATGACGCTACCGAATTCCTTATTTTTATGACCGAGGTCTTGGAAGACGAAACTAATCCTAATCGCGCTGTGATTGAACCAAGGAGAACCCAGGCGCAGATGGACGAGGAAGAAAGGCAAATGCTCGAGCTTCCACGCTTCGTTGCTGCACAGGTTGCTTGGAAGGCGGAAAAGAGACAATACGACTCCCCAATCAGCCGTCACATGAAAGGCCAGTTTGGTTATTTCAAGCAATGTACCCAATGCGGTCATGAGACCCGGACATTCACCTCTTTCAACCAAGTAGAGTGTGTTATTCCTCGTGACAGTGCCGGAAGGACTCCAATCCGAGGAAGACTCGACGAATGGCTTCGTCAAGAATATGGTGAGGAACCTGATGTGGTGTATGCAAACTGCGACAACTGCAAGGCCCAGCAACGGCCTAGCTGGGAAAACCTCGCCCGAAGATCCCAAGTCTACATGACTTATCTACCAGACTACCTCGTCATCAACATCAAAAAATTCGACTTCTTCGGCGACACTAGAAAAATAGACACTTACGTCGAGCTTCCGGAAGGGCCCTTTGACCTAGGTGACATCTTCTTACCAGACGCGCCCCACCACCCTGGGAAGATGGGTCAGCCGGTTCTGGAGAGAGGACAGGCCGGGCTTTTCAAATACGAGGTCATCGCTGTTGTGCACCATATCGGGGCTAGTGCAAACCAAGGCCATTACTGGACTGTGGCCAGACACGTCGATGTTGCGGGTATTTCGTCAACATGGCATAAGTTCGACGACGCGCAAGTGACACGTGCAAATTTCAACCAAGTTCAGGGGAAAACTGCATATGTTGTTGTGCTTAGGCGATCGCAGACGGATGATAATTTATAATTACGATTCATTGTATCCCTCTTGTTCGATTAGGGGATCGGTTTGGAAGTCTGTTTAAAGGTTATGCATGGGCGTTTAGCGGGTGGGAGGCTGAAATATTATGCCATTTGCATTGGGTGGATTTTGCTTCTGAATAGTTGGATTCATGGATGGTGTCGAGGTTGATAGCGAGGTATTTTTTTGAATTCGAATATCCTGACAGCATATGACTTCAAACTTTCTTTTCAATGCTCCCTTTCAAATCAGCCCTTCAACTAGCCTGCACCTCCTCTCATCCACGCCCATTTCATTACCCACACTTCGCTCCCAGGAAGCCCTGGCTTTTTAGCTGTAGTCAGAGGTTGCTTGTTTGCTACAGAATTGAATAATTATTTGGTCTTTATAGATCTGCGCTGCATTTAAACAGAAACGAAATTTCATACTTGAACATTCGAAGTTCCAAGTTTCTTTTATAGTACTACTCCGGAATCAAATTACCTAACCCTCGACCATTCTTTGACTGTGGCACATAAGCAAACATGCGGGTTTCACGTGTACATTCAATAATTTGGAGGTCTACGCAAAAAAGAACAAGATCTGCACCCCTATATATTATTATTTCTTGTGATCTATTCCGGTAATTACGCGCAAACGCGATCTTTCCTTTTCATTACCGTCTCAATGAGGCATATTTCTTAGAGCAGTAAGATCAGCGCTTGCAATATTAGAATCATTGCATGATAGGCACCCTAATAGCAGCTTCGGGTATGGAAGTAATTAGATTCATGTTTGCGACTCTTAGTAGACAGCTTATTACTATGGATGTTTGAACATGAAATCAAACCTCCGAGATTTGTACCTGTCGAGGTGACTCAGACTTCTGTGTTGAAGAACAGTCTTGTCCATAAAGTCTAACAGCAACTCGACTGCTTTCCCTTTCGCTCCCGTTGAAAATTGCATTTCTTACCTCAAAGTTGGGTTGCGTACACTAACCACGTCCCAGCCTCTTTCTAACTAAGTCTTTTTCAAGTCAGATATAATAGCTATGCGTCCTTTCCTGTACGTTAAAGGTTACTCCTTGATAGCCTGTCCGCTTATACTAACTATTCTCTAAAAAATAAGTAGTTTCACAGCCAGCCTTTCCCCGCTGCTTATCTTCGTCGATATCGCAATTGCACACATTGCATTCCCGCAGAGTGACGGCGCACAGATAGAAAAGCGTCCCGCTGCCAGTCCACCCAACCCCATCCTCCCAATCGCCAACAGACGTGCTCTAAACACCAGCTCAGCCACTCCAACAATCACCGACGATGACGGCACTATTGTTTTCACTACATCCGAAACCGCAATCATTACTACAGCACCTGTGATCTCGAAAACGAATTTGACGGCGGCTGCTGCTGCAAACTCTGATGATTTGACGACAACAGTATATGAAACGACTACAATATATGCGACGGCCTTCGTGACGCCGTCTTCTTCATTCAACGTAACTGAGATGGAGAACCCGACTTCTGTCCACTTAAGGAGGCCGAGAATAGTGTTGGGGGTTTGATAGTGTTGTGGACTTTCAAGGGTCCGCTGGGTAGTATTGAATTATATGGATTATGAGAGGATATGAATGTTTTGTGTGGGTTGCTGAGAAATTTCTTGTCTTGATGTCTTCTAAACGGGTCACGGGAATCAATCGCGATTTGTCAGTAGTATTGGAACTTTTAATGAACATACCTGTAACTTTTGTTTGTCATGATATTAGAGTAAAGAACTTTAGAATCATATCACTTTCGGTATATTCTCGGACTGGAAAATATTAGCCGAGTATTAGCGCAGAAGATCTTAATACTTGAATATTGTAAAATAAGCGTTTTTAACTCAATAATAAGGTTTCAAAAATATCTTAGGCCTGATAGTTCAGTGGTAGAATTCTTGCTTTGGGTATTACTCGCCATTGGCTAGGACTCACATGTAAGAGGTCTCCGGTTCGATCCCGGATTAGGCCCATTTTCAAACTTCATTTTTAGCTTTTTTGGATTAACAGATTTTTTCTTTCCTTTTTTGCTTAAATTGCTGATAAGCGACAGAACAACCGGCTAACAACCATTCAACTCCGCGTCCGCCTTCAAGTACTCTATTACAAATGCTACCTAAAGGTTTACGATAGTAGCCACGGCTATAAGATAGATTATAACTATGTCCCATCGAAGTTGAGCGTTTAATTTATTTGTTTAGATCAAAATACTGGAAATCGTAAGCAGAAAGAAACGTACCAATATGGCATTAAGATTTGACAAGTTGATTGGGTTTGCAATGCCAAGAAATGCCCCATATTGCTTCTTTTTCCATTGGTGCAAGGGAAACTGAACTCCGGTCTCAGCCGCAAGATAGCTTCTGGTTTCTGATAAAAAATAGTATGATTTACAAGACGGTTTCTATTGACTTAATATAAGAAGCTCGACCCGTGTGTCAGCCTTATCCCTTGCACTATGCTGCGTTTGACAGAGCAATGATGTGTTTGAGATCGACTGGGTGCTGAATATTCAACTGATAGAGTGGTGAGTTAACAAAATAGCGTATGGTAAGTACCCGTCCGTGCCCCGCAATAACGCCCCGCTACCCCGCCTTCGTGAGACTCACCTCGTGACCAGGTGCGACCTCAAAACTCAGTATATATTTTGGAACAGTATACTCTCATCAGTGACTTGGGTGACTATTAACCCTTGCATGAGATCTGTCAAATATGGCATATTCGAACAGCGTACAGGTAAATGCTTTAATTAATAGTCACGTGCGCCGCCAACCAATCTGCGAGGTTTTTGCGGATTTGCGCATTTTATGCTGCATTTGGCCAATCAATGACATCTTGCTATTTATGACTATTTACGACGACGAGGTATAGCGGTAGGTTCTGGCAGTATCTCTGTCCTTCCTGCCCGTCAAATTTTTCTCCATCTCCATCTCCATCTCCATCTTCATCTTTGATCTTTTGCGCTCCTTCACCATCTTGCAAAGGTCAAAAGGTGAGCGGCATAGCAGTGCATCTTGCATCGCATATCGCATCGCATTCATCAAGATAATTCACTAGTCCAAGTGGGACAATATGGCGACGACCTCCTTTTTGCTGTCGAATCTACACTGCCCCTCGTGCGTGTTCCATATCAAAGATACCCTCTCCCATCTGGTAGCCCAGCCAAGCTCCGTATCACCGTCGCTCGTGACTTCCTGGGTGACGGTCGATCACGAGATATCCCTCCCCATATGGAAGATACAGAACGCTCTCGAAGAGGCTGGATTCGAAGTATCCGATATTGTAACCAACACGAAACAACCAACCACGATCACTACTCGCAAAGCGCACAAAACCGGCAACAGTAACATCGGTTACCTGGACCGGTTTATATCTAGATTGGAATTTGATAACGAGCCAGCAAAATCTAAAGTTGCAAAACGACACCTGGACAATTGTGAAGCATGTCGGCTGGAAAGAGACGTAAAGGCTGCCGAGCCCTCATCTATCGAAAATGAACGGGCAGGCGATACTGCCAAGCGCCAGGAAGATATCCCACTTGTCGTAGTAAAATCTAATAATGCATCCGAAACGATATGGCGAGCGTCCATAGCTATAGGCGGCATGACATGTGCGGCTTGCTCAGGGGCCATAACATCAGAGCTCCAGGAGAAGGATTGGATCCAAAATGTTGTCGTCAACCTCATATCAAACAGCGCCACGGTCGATTTCCTGGGCGAAGAACACCAGAATGATATCGTTGAGGCAATCGAAGATATTGGATATGAAGCGACGATCGATAGCGTCGTGGATATTAAGAAGCTGCAGGATGATTCATCAAAGACGGTACGTGAAAGCTTTGTTGACTTCAGCGTTTTCAAACGCCTCGGGGGTTTTGAGACATTTTCAATCGAGCTTTGCTGACCTATATATAGATCCGGACCCTCGAGATATTAGTTGACGGTATGTTTTGCGGGCACTGCCCGGAAAAAGTACTGGTATCTCTTAATGCTTTCGGAGACCGTGTAAAGGTTGAAAAGCCCCTAGATATTCGCGATCCTATTTTGAAGATCAGCTACACACCACATGTGCCAGATATTACCATCAGAAGCATCATGGCCGCCATTTCAGAGGCCAACGAGTCCCTCACTCCGTCAATCTACCATCCCCCAACCCTTGAAGAGCGGTCACATCAAAACCATCGACGGGAACAATTCCGAATACTGTACAGAGTAATCCTCACTCTGATTATTGCCATTCCAACCCTCATAATCGGCATCGTCTACATGAGTCTCGTGCCTTCCAGCAACCCGGACCGAAAGTTTCTTGGACAGCCCTTGCACGCCGGAGTCAGCAGATCACAGTGGGCTCTCTTTGTTATGGCAACCCCAGTGTATTTTCTGTGTGCCGATGTTTTCCATATCCGAGCGCTGAAAGAGATCAGATCAATGTGGAGACCTGGTAGTAAGACTCCATTCTTGCAGAGGTTTTACCGATTTGGAAGTATGAACATGCTCATGTCACTTGGAACGTCGATTGCGTACATCTCTTCAGTAGCTCAGCTCATCGCTGCAGGTGTCAGCCCTCCACTGGTGCCGGACAACAGTACTTTTTATTTCGACTCGGTAGTATTCTTGACTCTATTCCTCCTGATCGGTCGTCTGATAGAATCTTATAGCAAGTCTAAGACCGGAGATGCTGTAACCATGCTTGGGAAACTGAGACCCACTGAAGCCCTTCTGGTTGTTTCAGCCAAGTCTGAATCGGAATCAAGCGACACTCTTGCAAGGGAAGACTTGATGAACGGGGGAAATAAAGAATCTGTTCAGAGCATCAACGTTGATTTACTCGAGTTTGATGATGTGGTCAGGGTTTTACAGGGAGGATCTCCACCTTGCGATGGGATCGTCGTTCAAGGGGAGACAAGATTCGATGAGTCAAGTCTTACTGGAGAGTCCAAACTCGTCAAGAAAGCTGTTGGCGACGAAGTATTCTCTGGAACAGTCAACAAGGATGGTCCGATTTCCATCAAGATAACCGGCGTCGCTGGATCTTCGATGCTTGATCAAATAGTAAAAGCAGTTCGGGAAGGACAAACTCGACGAGCACCAATCGAACGTATCGCGGATACCCTTACTGGCTACTTCGTCCCCATGGTTACACTGATTGCAATCGTTACATGGATTATCTGGCTTGCGTTGGGCGTTTCCGGAGATTTGCCCGATGATTATTTGGGGGACAGCTCTCGAGGCTGGACTACCTGGTCCCTTCAATTCGCAATTGCAGTCTTTGTTGTAGCCTGTCCATGCGGGTTGGCCCTCGCTGCACCCACTGCACTCTTCGTTGGTGGTGGACTGGCAGCTCAGAATGGAATACTGGTCAAAGGAGGCGGGGAAGCGTTTGAGAAAGCGAGCAGGCTTGATTGTATCGTCTTTGACAAAACTGGGACGTTGACGATGGGTGGCGAGCCTGCCGTTACTGATTATCAAGTCTTTCCTCTTGATGCAGATTTTGGACCACAGGAATTCATACTGGGTTCTGTTAAAGCCGTCGAAGAGAATAGCAGCCATACAGTGGCCAAAGCGCTTGTATCATTTTGCAAGAGCGAAGACATTAGGGAGGCTGAAATCGTGGACATTGAAGAAATCGCTGGGAAAGGAATGCGTGGGAAAATATCTCATGGATCAGACATTCTCGATGAGATCCTGATCGGTAACGAAGCTCTGTTCACCGACTTTGAGATATCTCTTACACCGGATATTCTCAGTACTCTGGAAGCTTGGAAGCTCGAGGGCAAATCTGTTGCTCTTGCTACCATGCAAAGAGAGTCACGTGGCTGGCAGCTAGCCGCTATATTTGCTATTTCTGACCCAATTAGGAAAGAGGCACGTAGCATAATCAAGGCTATCAGGGATCGTGGAACAGAGTCAGTATTTCTTTCTAATGTCTGAGTTTGCTCTGGGACCTTCTCGCTAACTCCAATACAGTGTGTGGATGTTATCCGGCGACAATCAAATCACGGCCAACGCCGTCGGTAAGTACACCCTCCAATGTCCTACGATTCTAGAATAGTCTCCTAACCGAAAATCCATAGGCGCTAAAGTCGGAATCGCCCCCGAAAACATCATCGCCGGCTCCTCCCCAGCCAAAAAGCAGAAAAAATCCAATACCTTCAGAAATCCCTCAAAGCCCACACCACATCTCCCAGCACACAGCACTCCACTAGACGAGCCATGATCGCTATGGTCGGCGACGGCATCAACGATTCGCCCGCGCTCACCACAGCCGACGTCGGCATCGCCATTGGCTCCGGCTCAGACATCGCCATCTCCTCTGCGGAATTCGTGCTCGTGTCCAGCAATCTCTCCACGCTCCTCACGCTCTTAGATCTCAGCAAATGCGTCTTCCGGCGCATCAAGCTGAATTTCGCGTGGGCGCTTGTGTATAACCTCATCGCGCTGCCGGTTGCGGCGGGGGCGCTGTATCCGGTTGTTAGTGCCGGGAGTCATGTGAGGTTGGATCCGGTGTGGGCGAGTCTGGCGATGGCGGCGAGTAGTATTAGTGTTGTTTGTAGTAGTTTGGCGTTGAGGAGTGGGGTGCCTGGGCTGGGGTTTAGGGTTAGAGGGGTGCTTGTGGATGGGGATGTGGAAGAATAGGATAGTTTATTGGGTTGCTTTGGCCATCTGTAAATAAATCTGCAAATGGAGTACGTGGCGTGGGAAGGATAATCTCACCTCGTGGCTTTATCCATGCCATGTCGTGTCGTGATTCTATGACTACAAAGGCTTTGATGATCCCCATATCCCGACACCTTTCCACATCCATACTCCTCGAACCTAGATCCCCCTTTTTTCGGAATCCTCTACCCATCGCATACGTATGATAGACACAGCGCATCATTTTAATACTATAGGTACTCTTCCTCCAGTCCAGATGTCCCTGCTTGTATTTTGTCTTGTCTCTCACGCCGTTTACGGAACGGGGTTATGACAGATGCGCTAAAACCAAAGAACAAAAAACCAAAAACTTAGAATAAAAAAATAGACTCCGTTCTGTAGCCTCGAAAATCGAATGTTGTTTTTTACTCTAGTTAAAAAGTGTCATAAGTTGACGTTAAAAACAGATGGTGAACAAGAATTATAGACCTAGTAGACATAACAGAGAACAAACAGAAATACATAGAGGGTTATGTATTTCAACCCGTGAACGTGCAATTGGTGAACTTTTCTCTTTTAAAACCACAAACACAACCACATAAACACTATTGACCACGATCATGTGCTTCCACCACATTATCCACTACAGTAAGTGCTTGCACGATGACACGAGCCATCATTCTCCCTGCGAACATGCACCAAACTGCGAAAATGGAGTAACCCAAGTATTCAACATGAAGCGCTTCTGCTCCGACTGCTTCAAGGCCAACACACACCCCCGTGCTGCACTGCGCAAGTCCTGCAATCTTTCAATGCACGATTGGTTGGCTGCGGCACTCGTTACCTCTGGCGTATCTGAATCGGGGGTAGGGCTCTTGGATCCGGACATAAAACCCCGCTTGTTGGAGCGGCTGAGCCACGAAACCGTGCAATCTCGTTGGGTAATCCAACTTGAAAATGCACTACACGGGCACTTCCACTTCATTGCACCATTAATGACTATTGGGAGGGAAACGGAGCTCATGGCCAATCAGATGTGGCTCTACCTCGTAGTACGCGATGCGGCACTGGCGCATAGAATTCGTGACTTTGAGCGTACCGGAGATGATCCCAATCCTCCAGAGACTGTTTCAGAGCCGGCTGATATAAACGTTGTTCTACAGGTCATTCAAGAGCTGTCGAGCAGTTCTGATCCTGAAGCGACCGCTGAAGATCTGATCCGCCGTTATGAACCAAGGCCGGCTGTGCTAGAGCCTGTTGAAGAGGAAGACCACCCTGATCCAGAGGCGCCTGCTCGAGAGGCTACTGAAGAGCTGAGGCGCCGTCTTGATAGAATATTGACGCCGGTTCCCGTTCCACAAGAGGACCTGAATTGCCTAATTTGTCAACAAGCTTATGAGCAGCCATCTGAAGTAGCAGCGGAAAGGCCAGTGCAATTGCCTTGCTTACACATTTATGGCGAAAATTGTTTACGGGAGTGGTTTTGCCGCTGGAAGCCAGGGATGACACCTCCATCGTGCCCGTTATGTCGAGCAACCTTCAATTTGGTGACTCCGAGGGAGATGGCCTTCGGGATCAATAATAGCAGTGAACAGCCTCAGAAAGCCATTCCCTGGTTTCTTTGGTTCGCTCGAACTGCTAGGGCTGAAGCAGATCTCGCGCAATTAGAACAAAACTAAATGCAAAAGATGACTCTAGAAGGCTCCTGTTCGGATCGGCGAAGATTTCACGCAAGTTGCAATAATGATAGAAGGCTTTTAATAGCATTATAGAAACCCTTATGCACAACTATGTGACGTTGAATAATAATAACACAGTATCAAAAACCCAGACAACCGAGAGGGCAATGTCTTTCAGTTCCACAAAATATCGAAGTTCTATCAGCCGTGAGACATTCTTCGAACTTCCATCGCATGTCCAGCTTGAAAGGGGGGGAAAAAAAAAAGCCCTTGAGTGAGTACCTTGGTCTTTGTTCGTAGGAGCGAAAAGTGCGTGTAGCTTCTAGTTTGCACAATCGCATTCGACTGAAGCACAGCGCATGATTCTTGACTCAACACTAGTTTGACAATATTCCAACAAAAATGAAAACAAAAGCAGTAGAAATTATAACCCACCTTCACGTTCATCAAGTGTAATCTCCCAGCAAGCCCACACAGATCCGCCCAAGATGTGCCATGTAACCAATGTCGCGCATACACACTGCGTACACGCCACGAAAGAAATTCATTCCTGCTTGAAACAGGAAGCAAAATCTCTCTTCTCGTTGGGATCGGGAATTCCCTTTCAAAGGCACTGCAATACCTCCTCTAGCGAAGAACGTTGGGATTTCAATTTTTGCCCCGCGTGCAACGTGCTCTGGGCCTCTCACGACGTCTCAGAAAAAGACGCCACGGAACGAACACTGGAGTACCGCAATAAACACCAGTACGCGGGGCCATTGACGCCGTGTCCGAGCTTCATTGGGACTATGCATGTTGTGGAAGATGAGAAGCTGAGCGAGGCCGAGAAATTGCGGAAGTAGGGTGCTGGGGATTATGACCAGAGGCATCATCAGAATGGGAGGACGAGGATTGGTCCTGACGAAGCGTCGGAGTTTGGGAAAAGGCTGCCGAATTGGGTGGATGCGCCGGAAGAGCAAGGGCTTAAGGCGTGCCATGGAATTCAAACTCAACGGCCACGCTTTAAGCCAAAACAAAACCCAATGACCGAACAGCTGGAGGATATGAACGAGTTGGATAGCTCATCCATACCGGACCGAAGACTAGGGTTGACGCATTCAGACAACTTCGAGCTGGCGAATCTCTATCTGTATCTGCCGGGAGCTGTAGGGAGTGACGGATTCGAAACGCAAGAGCTGACAGGTTTGCCGGGTCCTATGCCACGAGAGGTTGCACAGCGTTCAGCATCATTCCAGGCACCACCTCTTTTGAAACAACGCGAGGTCCATGAATCATACCAGCTGCCAGCGAACGAAGCTACGATGGGTCGATCGCTGACACACCCACTGCACGAGATACCAAAGAAACTAGTGCAAAGAGCAAATAGCAAATTCGCTGAACAGATCTGAAAGATATCAGAGGCCTGGGGCTGTATGCTTCAATGGAATGTAATACAAATATACATACATGTTATTTTTCAGAGATTATCCTCTGACGTATTAACCATGATTCCAGTCGATGACCCGGGTGTCACAATAGACGAGTACGAGCACTTATTCAGAACTATATAGAGGACTTTGGCTTCCAGACGGACCACCCGATCGCTATTCCCATCTTGATCGCAGCGGCAAGCCAGAAGCTCGTGGATAGTGTTGCAGCACTCCTACTGATCCAACCGCCTGCGATTCCACCAATTAATATCCCCAACACCGCACAAACCCTCCGATTTCTCTTAATATTGTCCTTGGCTAGAACTTTTGGATCGCTTGATAAATCGCAGTAGACGCTTGTTAAGACCGTTGTAGGGACCTCGTTGAACCCAAGCAATCTCGAAGTCACAATCTGCCCCCCAGATTGAAATGCCAGAAATGCTAGCGGAATCAACTCAAGGAAATCGACATCATCTCCGCCTTCCACGACGACGCCTTTAGGCGAGGGAACAACATTTGCTTGAACAAGCGCCGCGGCGACTATGATGCACGCGCTTTGCAGGAAGAAAGAGACCGCAAGTGTTCCTCGAGACTTTGGATTGAATAGTCGAGTTTGGGCGAAGAAGAGACATCCGCAGAGGAAGAAGATTATCGAGATCATGGATTTCACCCAGCCGTAGGGATGTGTAATTGGTTGACCAGATGCTCCCAAGGCGAGGAAGATTGTGTTACCGGTTTGCTGTCAAAAGATTAGGAATGCCATATACTCGCAGTGTCTAGACAGGATTTGGCTTACCATGGAAACAAAGCAGCTCCAAGCATTGTAGGCACTGGAGTCGCATAGCCCCGACACCACACAGCAGGCAATTATGGGGATATCGGCATGTTCGAGGGTGATTTCTGTCTTGAGGTATTTCACTGTGGATTGCCAGGTAGATTGGGAAACCTTTGTTGTAGAGCCATCTAAAGAATGGGGGTCCTCTGTAGTTGGCAGAGACCCACCAGGCTCTCCAGAGACTGCGACTGGAGATGGTTTGACCATTCTTGTTATTGATAGAGACGGAGATTCATAATGAAGAGGGAATGAAAACCCTTTTCTTGTTGGAATATAAATACAGAGAGAGAGAGAGAGAACGTAAACGGCCGGTCGTCGGAGGAGGCTTGAAAATAATTCAATGTCGCGATCATTCGAATACTCTGATTGGTGCTAATATGATATCCGTATCAGCATCAGCATCAGCATCAGCATCAGCATCAGCCTTGTCCTTGTCCTTGTCCTTGTCCCCCTTGGCTATTTTGAGGCGAGACTATCACGTGCTAATAAGGGTGGTCAGCATTTTCTCGAGCTAAGCCATATCAGCTCTAGCTATGTATGGTATTTCGGTTCGGGCTGACAAGACAAGACAAGCGCAATCAGCGAGCGGATCGCTGATAAAATAAATTTCTTGAAATTTCACCCGCTTTTCTTAATCCCCCACCAGATACATACTACATCTCCTGAACGTCGTCTTCCTCCTTTCTCTCGTCTTCTGCCACTCGCGGCTGAGACTCATACACGACTGTTCTTCTTCTATTTGTCAGACGCATCGCAGCGTATTTTATCTGTCTGATCAAATAAATCTCCACTCCAAAAATCTCCACTCTACCAATCGAATTCTGCACCCCAAGCCTCGGCCACGGTTTTTCCCTCAAAAACAAAGAACGCTTGCTCCGAAACTTGTACGAAATTTTCACCAACGCTTTCAGCGCACTCCAGCTCCATATCCTCGAGACTGCCACATTATTTAATAATTGCCGCACCATCATTCCATCTCCCCGGGCGTTCTACGCTCAAGAATGCCCCATCCAGTCTCACCACCCCGCCAGCAACCCACCATGATCTCAAAAACCTCTGACGGCAATGCCCCGACTCAGGCAGAGGTCACTGCTATCCTCGACCAGATCTTCGCCGCATCTTCATCAGATGCATCAGTCGCCGCAGCCTATTCTCTGTGCGATCTCCTCTTGTCCACCGTCGGTTTCCGCGGACTGGTGCATTATGGCATCCTTGCCGAGATCAAGAAAGCCGCCGCTGATAAGAAGAACGGACTTCGAAGAGAAAGCGCACAAAACTTATTAGGTGCTCTTTTTGAGCGTCTACCTCCCCAGCAAAAGATCAGCGAAGTAATTCTCCTTCTCCAAGATGGAGGCATGGTTGCTTGCGCTCTCGATGCTCTTTCCGACAAGGGTTCAGTCGTTCGCGATGCCGCACAATACGGACTCGACGAATTATTCAAGAACTTGAGCTCTGAAGGACTCGTTGCTGGTCTTCTTCCAGTACTCAACACATACCTCGCAAAGCGTTCCGGCAAATGGCAAGGAACCGTTGGGGGTTACAAATTACTGCAAAGAATGGCAGATAAAGCAAAGATGGAAATCGGCAGCAGCAAGGAAGAAGCCAACAACAAGGATATCTTGCGTGAGTCCATGGGTATGAAGTTGGCTGGTTTGATTCCCATCGTCGAGGCTGGTATGCATGACTTGAAGAGCGAGGTTGAGAAACAAGCTGTTGCCACCATGACCTCCTTGACGACCCTTCTGTCAAACGACGACGTTGCACCCAGAATTCCTCTACTTATCAAGACCATGCAAAACCCTTCCACCGAAACACAACAGAAGGCTATTCACGCACTTTCCCAGACCACATTCGTCGCAATCGTTACGTCTCCGGTCCTAGCTATGCTCACCCCGCTCCTGGAGCGATCCCTCAATACCCCTACAACTGCTCAAGAAGTCCTCAGACAGACAGTAGTTGTAGTTGAGAACTTGACCAAGCTTGTCCACGACCCAGTGGAGGCTCGTACTTTCCTGCCGAAATTGAAGCCCGGTGTCAAGGGTGTTCAGGACCGTGCATCTCTCCCAGAAGTCCGAGAGATGGCTGCGCGTGCACTTGCCGTTATTGACAAGGCAATGGGCGACGATGATGGAAACATTGCCAACGGGGCTATCGAAAGAACCTCAGTTGACGACGTCGCCAAGGTTCTCGAGGCTGAGATCAAGAATGCTGGAGGTCTCGGTGGTGATTTGGACACGTTCAAACTTGCAAGACCATATATCTGCGCCATGGTCGTTGAAGACGTCAACCATCGTGAAATGGCGCGCATATCTGCATCCATCGTCCCCTATCTGCAACACATCATGAAAGCACCAGAAGGAGCTAAGGCTGTGGGCGCTGCGGTCCAGAAATTCTACATCGACGAGGATCATCGCAAGTTTGGACAGCCCATCAAGGAAGACGATGGAGAGGTTGAAATTGTCAACACTGATTTCTCTCTCGCTTACGGAGGAATGCTTTTGCTTTCTCACACCAACCTCCGCCTCCTGAAGGGTCACAGATATGGTCTTTGCGGCCGAAATGGTGCTGGAAAGTCCACTCTCATGCGTGCAATCTCAAACGGCAAGCTCGAAGGCTTCCCCACTCAAGATGTTCTCAAAACCTGTTTCGTGGAACACAACCAAGGAGAGGATGCCGATATCAGCATTTTGGAATTCGTTGCTAAGGATCCTGAAATTGGAAAGGCGGGTATAGAGCGTATCTCCGAGGTCTTGGCTGAGGTCGGATTTACCGCAGGTCCCCAAGGTCGCCAAGCAGAGAAGGTTGGATCCTTGTCTGGTGGATGGAAGATGAAGCTTGCTTTGGCCCGTGCCATGTTAATGAAGGCCGATGTCTTACTTCTTGACGAACCGACGAATCATTTGGACGTTGCAAACATCAAATGGCTGCAAGAATACCTCAAGTCACACACCGAAATCACCAGCTTGATCGTGTCCCACGATTCTGCTTTCCTTGATGCAGTATGCACAGACATCTACCACTACGAGCCAGGAAAGAAGTTGGCCTGCTACAAGGGTAACTTGGCTGCATTTGTCAAGCAAAAGCCAGAGGCAAAGAGTTACTATACTTTGTCGGATTCTCTTGTGCAGTTCAAGTTCCCACCTCCTGGTATTCTTACTGGTGTCAAATCACACACAAAGGCCATTCTCCGAATGACAGACTGTTCTTACACTTATCCTGGAACCACGAAGCCATCTCTCCACAACGTTTCATGTTCGCTGACGCTGTCATCCCGAACAGCCATTATTGGTGGAAATGGTGCTGGAAAGTCGACTTTGATTAAGCTTTTGACCGGCGAGACTGTTCCTACAACTGGACAAGTGGAGAAGCACCCCAATCTTCGTATCGGGTACATCAAGCAACACGCCCTCGAGCACGTTGAGATGCATCTTGAGAAGACACCTAACCAATATCTCCAATGGCGTTACGCAAACGGTGACGACCGTGAGGTTCACATGAAGCAGACCCGTATTCTTTCTCCCGAAGACAAAGCTCAGATGGAGAAGATGGTTGATATCGGAGATGGACTGGGCCCAAAGCGTATCGAATCGCTCATGGGTCGCCAAAAATACAAGAAGACCTTCCAATACGAAGTCAAGTGGGTCAACATGCTTCCCAAATACAACACCCAGATTTCAGCAGAGACCCTGAAGGAACTCGGCTTCACTAAATTAATTCAAGATTTCGACGATCATGAAGCCTCCCGCGAGGGTCTCGGATTCCGTGAGCTCTCTCCCAAAGTCATCTCTAAGCATTTCGAGGATCTTGGTCTTGACCCCGAGATTGCAAACCACAACGAGATCTCTGGTCTTTCAGGAGGTCAGAAGGTCAAGGTTGTGTTGGCGGGTGCTATGTGGAACAACCCCCATTTGCTTGTTCTCGACGAACCTACCAATTTCTTGGATCGTGATTCTCTTGGAGGTCTTGCGGTTGCTATTCGTGACTACAAGGGAGGAGTCGTCATGATTTCTCACAACGAAGAATTCGTCGGCGCTCTCTGCCCAGAGCAATGGCACGTTGCAGACGGTCGTGTCACCCACAAGGGTCACCTCGCTGTCTCTGCCGACCGCTTTGAGGAGAGCAGACCCTCCAGTGGGTTCAACAGCAGTGTTGCCAGCACCGCCGCCAACAGCGCCATGTCTAGCGCTGTGAACAGTGGTGCCGAGGACGACGGGAATAAACCTCTGTCTTTCCGTGCCAAGAAGAAGAAGAAGATGACCAAGAAGGACTTGAAGGAGCGTGAGGTCAGAAGAAGATTGAGACACATCAACTGGTAAGTTTTTTCCCCCTGAATTGCAAAACTACCAACTAACACCCAACAGGCTCAGCTCCCCCAAGGGAACACCCCACCCGCCAGACACCGATGACGAGTCATAGATAACATTTCCCCATGGAGGGGAATGGAATTGTATCGATGCACAAACTTTGCAAATAGTAGAGCAGACGGTTTTTTGATGCTTTTTGATTATGCATATAGAGTTGTTCCAGACTTTGCAACGATTGAAAATGAAAATGGGCATGGCGTTATACGATAGACTGGTTGGGGATTTTACTCTCATAGACAGAAGTGCGAGTAGATTATTTGAATAAATTAGCAGTAGTACCTGAATAAGAACCTTAATTCTTGCGAGTTTTGAGCTTTTTGATATTCGTGTTTTCTTGTTTCTACAAAACGCTGTTGATAAATAAGCATGTGGTGTAAACTCCTTTTCTCGTGTACAGCGATCTGTTTAGAATTTTAGCGCTCAGGAGGGGCACTTCTCGGACTAGGTTCCTAGGTAGCTCCTTCCATATTAAACGAGACGAGGTGTTGCTGCGCGGTTTCAATGTCTATGTACGTACGAGTCACGTACGAATAACGTTTATTGGAATACAGAAACGAAGTGTTCTTCATATCATCCGCTGTCCGCTTTTGAATTCAAGATGAATGTCTCATAGTCTGTGAGACATTATACTCCGTTGGTTGGACTTGAATATTATGCAGAGAGGAAGAGTTCTCTGTTCACTGTCCGCCTTCTACTTCCGAGATAAAAGTCTCATGGTTTGTGGGACGTTATAGATTGTATGTGTATCACTTGTCATGTATTCCGGGTATCCTAGTCCAAATGCTAATCTACATGAGCGACCCCCCCCCCCGAAAGAAACACCATACTTCACACCTAATCAATATCCATATCCACGTCACCGGTTTCTTCCAATACCATTCCGCAACCTCCCTCCGCCGTCTCCCTGCTATCGTCCGCCTCCCCTTGCATTCCGAAGAAATCAAGAACTCTGCCAACCGCGTCCTGCTCATCATCATGCAGTCCCTCTTCCACCTCCTCATCACCCACCACGCTCTCTTCTCTCTCCTCGTGCTTGTCGGAAAAGATCCGCGAGCCGATATAATCGCCCTCCTTGACCAACTTGACAAAGTCATGCGCTTGCCGTTTCTTGGTTGTGGTCCATTGGTCGTAGACGTCCCAGTCTTCGCCACATAGCTTATCAATCCATCTAACATCACCTAGAATGAGTTAGGTCAGCCCACTTGGTACTCCACGAGCTTGGATTCAAAACCAGAATGGGAAAGAGGCATCTTCTTACTTGGAAGCAAATCGCTTTTACCAGCCACGCGGCGGCTTATCAGCACCCGTTCGTACATTGCTTGTGCTTTCTGCTCCCATTCCTTCCCCGATCTTTTTCTCTGCGCCTTTGATGGCTTGTTCCGGCGTCGTATTATTGGCTCCGGTTTGATGATGGGTTGGACGACAGGCGTGGCAGCTTGCGGCTGGATAGAAGGCTGGGCCGTAGGATGAGGGCGGAAGGACAGCACATAATCGACCTGGTTTAGAGCTTGAAGGTGAATGGGGGGCTGGGATGTTGGGCCAGGTCCAAAAGACGGCAAGAATTGGGGCAAAGGGGCAGCTTGTATTGATGCGAGCGGTTGATTGACTCTGTTCGATGGCAGGTTGCGAAGCCGAGGATTGTTGCGTTGCTCAAAGGCCGCGCGGATAGCATCTCGTCTGTTGCGCTCTGTTTCGGTCGGTGTGGTACCAGTAGTATAGGAGACCGAACTAGGATCTATGTCTGAGCACAATCATCTGTTAGCTGACGAGCCCATCCATCGAGAACCTGGGTGGATTAGCTGGTAGCTATCTCTAAGGGGACCTACAAGCCTGACGGACAAGGTTCACATCGAGAGGCGTCGGGCTGTCAAGGATTTCCTTCAATTTCAGCAGGCTCTTCATGTATATCCTGTTCTCGATTTTCTTGGCCTTCGTCGCGTCGGACAGCTGCTTCTGCGCAAAGGATTAGCTGGCTGGATATAGGCGCGCAATACGACAGTAACCACGGATGGGAAGCCACATACTCGATCAGGCATGTTTACTTGTGCACAGCTGACTGCGGAGATCTTTGCTTGATATGCAGATGGTTGTTGCGGAAAGCGTCTTCAAGTGTGAGGTGCGATGTCGAAAGGGTTGCAGTCATTGAATTGCGGTAGCGGGACAAATGTGCTGACGGAAGCTTCTTTGTCTCATTCACTTTGCACAGTAAAGGCCTTATAGTATAAGATAGCATATTCTACTGCAAAAACAAAAGCAATTCATATTGCGGTTCTATGGCCTACTGGTTTAGCAATAGGTAACGTTATCCCCCCTCCCCCCTTTAATAGAATGGCTTACTTAATTCCAGATTGTCTCGATGAGAATCGTAATACCCATCAACCTTCTTTACGTAAGCTTAGTTGATCTGGTTGGGACTCATCAATGAAAGACACCTCAATCATAACGCCAGCTGGAGGCTTTCTTTCACCAGCAATATCTTTTTGGGCGTTCTTTGCTAATAGCCCTCATCAAAGGTTCTTTTGGAAGCTTCGCATGTTAAGCGAACATAAGTATATGAACTCCACCATACTAGTAGAGTGAATCTGCCAATGTTGCAGCGGCTGCTAGAAAGACAAGGATACGGCAATTGACTTCATTTTTGGAACCAAGCTTGTTTTTAACCATAGCCTAGCAGAACTCAGAGGATAAGACTAAGTTCTGCTTTTCGCTATAGTCGTCTCAATACACAACGTCGTATCCAGTTCGCTATGATATCGAATCTCAAAACGAACCAGAGCTGTATCAAGGGAGACTTCCAATCACAGCTAGACGCTCAATCCAGCGCCTAGAGGTTCTGGACATAAACTCAAAGCAAGATTCATAACAAGCTTCTAGACGGAACTTGCAGTACCACAGCTTCATATTCTAGTTTCAAACGAAACATGATTCGGGAAGGTATTATGATTCAGGATCTCGATCCTGGGCCTCACCTGACACAGAGTCGAACTTAGAATGTCATAGGATATAAGCTTATAAACATCACAACCGGATATGATGTGCCAGTGCTCGGATTATTAAACATCGAGTGAAGTAGAGACCGAGAGACTGGAGAGCGAGGACATGAAAAAGGTAGGCAGGTTACAGTTTAATCCGCAATGATCTGACCATCTGAAACTCCCCGCATAGATGTGCAGCACGATGACTTCACCATGGAATCTTTTCGATCCGATGTGGGAGATCTTTTCGCTCGTAAACGGTATCATTGTTTCAATCCCTACCCTACCCTCGGCGTGCTGACGGATGTCATACAGCCTCTAGGCAAAAACAAAGATCGGAATCATACTGAAACCTGCCCTGCCTGGTCGGTCGTACAATCTTTGAATTCTCGTATAAAAACCGAGCCTTGCTTAAAATGTGCTAACTTATGCTACCTACAGTACATCGACAACACCACCACGGCCGTCATGAATAAAATCCATCTGCAGCTGCCCGAGGCTATAAATTGAAAGCGGCGTAAATCTGTCTGTAACATCTTTAGTAGATCTAGACAAGACGTCCCACACGAAATCGTAGATCCTGCGTCTCTCGTGAGATCCTTCCAGATGGTCGAATCGAACGAAGCCTTTTTATATATCAACCTCGGACGAATTATAAAAGAAGTCATGCTGAAGGTTAGGTTCTGTGGGGGAATTCATTGATATCGCGGGGAAAGAGGGAGAAGAGATAACAACAACACTAATTATCTAATTCTAGATGGTCGAATCGGCAAAGGTACTTACTTGTATTGCCCGCATGAGCGACTTCAATTGATTGGTGGATGAGAAACAATGCAAGACGTGGAAATAGAGGTGGCGATCAGTGATAACTTATCACCGATAAGTGAGTGGAACGAACATGCAGGAGCTCGTGCTCGTGGAGCGGGGCATTTTAGGGATTTTAGTGCCCGTTAGCACCCTGTCTAGGTCGCCGCAAGGGCCCGCTGTACTGTATTATTAGACAACCTTAAAAGAACCAAAAATAGCTACACGGCTTGCTATTGTATTGTAGTTGCCTTTTTTGTACAGAGTATTATCTCTGATAACAGTTGAAATTCTATTATTTCTACAGGACAAGGCAGGACTTGACTTACTACTACCAATAGCAGTATTTCGTAATCATAAGCTACTCAATCAGCGAACCCCAGATACGGTGATACTACACTCCACTCCGTACCGTAAAATAGAATACCGAGTGGGTTTTAACACCTACCGTATTCGTTTCGTCTGTGCGGAGATCTCCATCCCAAGTCCATGCCATCCTGGTCAGGCCACGCACGTTTCAGTGGCGCCTCAAAACGATATGCGATCTAAGTGTTACTGTACCACCCCACCCAACTCGCCTTATTCTTCGCCTGCAACCATAGGGTATGTTCCGTTGCACACGAATCCGCGTGCTAGAGTTGCATCGGAGTGTTTCGTCCCCAACGGGAATGCTGTTCGTGACTGACTGAATAAGGGGATTTTTGTGCATCGTTTGAACATGAATCCGTCGAGGTTGCTGACAGGACTTCAATGCAACATGGTGTACACATGAAGCAGTGATACTATAGAAGAAGCAGCCATCATTCGTAACTCGCTTGCTGTTTGTAAGCTCCCCTTGCTGACGTTAAGCTTGCAACCCCCCTAGAATATTCCTAGAATATTCCTTTCTACTCCGTACAATCGTCGTCGTCTCAAGGCTTCACGTGGGAAGACCCTGCTTGATAAGAATTACTCCGTACAATCCCCGTGGATGACCCCAGCTCTTTCACGTTTCAGGGGTAGATGATGTCGTGCTGCAATACAGTTCTTCGCCTCTCGCCGACATCTGCTCACGGACTGTGATTCTCCACTATCCGAAAGCCTTGTGGAGTGAAGTGCATTGTGAAGCAGACTCATGCATTTATTTCATTTTTATCGTTCAAGCTACGCCGCTGTGTGGCACCCTGTACCTATCTCTGCCAAAACACAATCTTGCTTCAAATCGGTTGGCTGAGATTACCGGTGGGGATCGGAAGTCATCTCGTGGTAGGAAGCGCAAGGGAAGTGGTCCACGAAGGATCATGCACACGAATAGCGATCGACGCAGGGCCACAGCATGAGGTGTGGATAGGTGAAGATTGTTAAAGATAGTAGTTGTCTGCAAGGAAATACTTGGTCCAAGAATCTATTCCTATCGTAATTTCTTATCATCAGTAAACTATAAGCAACATGGGATCGAGAAGATTGGTATAATACCTAATATCACCTCGTCCATCCATCATGGAATCCACCCCCTCAGTGAGTCCGTTGACTCCAACGCCGGGCACCTCGAACTTTCCAGCTGTTCCTAGGCCGGCATTGAAGTCCCGACCAAGCACAAAGCGTAACAGCAGTTGGCTGACGACAAAACTGTCCCGCAACTCTTCCATGACATCTAAAAGCCAAAGCATTCCGATCTTGGTTCATATCGGTGACCTCCTAAAGCCCCCGCCCACCACACTTCAGCTTCCTCCGGACCAGGAAGTCGATGAAGGTTTCCCAAAGGCTAGTTCAGAGCGTATGCAGTCTGATTTGGGAGCCGGCAGGACTTCTTCTCCCAGTCTTTCACGCTCCGAAACACTTGCACACTCGACATCGGTAATAGGGCTCGGGGGTAGCAGGGATAGCGTCTTGGAAGATCTAGAGGGAAAGTTGGATCCGGAGGAACAGACGAAGAGCATTTATAGCTTGGTTCCAGAACCACCTGCAGACCCGTTTGAGCACTTTGATAAATGGTTTCCGAAATCACCCCAAGAGGAGATACACATGGAAGGAAGACAGAAAGCCTTTGTGGATAAGACGCTTCCACAGCCACCGTACCACGTATTCGACCATAGCAAGAAGTTTCAGATTGTCGTTCTTGTCTCCCTAGCTGGCATCTTGTCGCCAATATCAACTAGTATCTATCTCCCAGCACTTACAGCAATTGCATCGGTATGTAATGAAGCACATATATAAAAGACATTGCAAATCATCTATCTGACTGGCCCGTATATAGGAATTCAATATCAGTTCTGCAGTGGTGCTGTTGACCGTCACTGTTTTCATGGTCTTCCATGCTATTGCACCCTTCTTCTGGATGCCAATATGTAGCACGCTTGGTCGCCGTCCTACTTTCGTGCTAACATTAACTGTCTTTGTGGGATCCAATATCGGCCTCGTATATTCAAGGAGCTTTGCAGCCTTGATGGTCCTCCGAGCCGTGCAGGCTATTGGAAGCGCAGCTCTGACAGCTATTTGTAAGTGTCCCGGCATTCTATTCTTTCAAGTCAAATGATATGATTTTAACAATATAGGTGCGGCTGTGATTGGTGATATTTCAAACTCTAAGGAAAGGGCGAGGTTCATTGGACTGTTTGCTGGAAGTAAGTCATCATGAATCGTAATGCGAAATATGATGCAGCTGACCCTCGCAGCATTGATGTTCACCTTCATCGGACCATTCCTAGGCGGAATCTTGACTCACTGGATGGGTTTTCGGTCAATATTCTGGTTCCTTTTCGCATCTGGAAGCGTGGTACTCATCTTGATCATAATGATGCTCCCGGAAACCCTCCGAAGTATCGCAGGGAATGGTACAATCAGACTAAAACCCATCCAACAACCTCTTATACACATCTTCAGATCATCCTCCGATACCCCTTTCGACTCTGATCTCGCTAGCTTTTGCGTCCGCACAAAGTCCCTAAGCATGGATAGCATTCTCGAACCCTTCCACTGCCTTTTGCAAAAAGATGTACTGGTCACCGCCATTGTAGGAAGTGTTGTTTTTGCAATCTGCACCACGGTCATCACAACCACCACCACAATGTTTGAACAACACTACCATATCTCCGCTTTCACAATCGGCCTTGCCTTCCTCCCAGCAGGCGCCGGCTCCGTAATATCGTTCTTCCTCACGGGATACCTGATGGATCACGACATGCGAGTAGTCGAGAACAAATACAGAAACATGTACGACCTAGAAAAAAACACGCCCCTCGCCCACAAAACCCTACCAGACTTCCCCCTCGAACGTGCCAGGCTGCGCAACTTGTGGTGGATTGCTCTGATTTTCATCGGCACCACAGCCGGGTACGGGATCTCGTTTTCCGCCCCGACAATCGCAGCGCCTCTCATCCTACAATTCTTCATCGCCACCAGTGCCACTGCACTCCTGTTGCTCAATGGGGTTCTGGTCAGCGATCTGTACTCTGGCAATGCATCGGTGACGCTAGCTGTCAACCTCGTTCGTTTTTCGACGGGCGCGTTGGCTGTCGGGACTGTGCAGCTAGCGTTGGACCGGATAGGAAACGCGTTTACATTCTTGGCGCTGGCACTGGTCATGTTAGGAATAACGCCCATTATGATTGTACAATGGGTGTTTGGCAGGCCTTGGCAAGCAAGACGGAATTCAAGCTGGCCTCGCCGGAAACTGTCGGCGGAAATCACTTTGCCGGTTACGGCACTGATGGATAGATGTTTGGCGTTCATAAGAAGCAGGCGCTTGCCGGACTTGAGAGCCATGAGCGTGGAAACCGTGGACTCGGTGAGGAGTCGGAGCAGGAATATGAGCAGGAATAGTAGCAAGTGGGGATGAGGAGGGCTTTATCACGGCACTTGTTATCTAAGCTGTGTCTGAGATTCGCCAAACCACAGTATTGCGAGAATTAAGCAACATCTCGAACTATAATAGCACCCAATAACCGACGCGTCCGTTTAATATTCAACACATCAGAACAACGCAGACAGATCACATGGCCATGGTAATCTGTCGGCGGGAAGAAGAGCGCGCGCGTATCGAGCACCTAGGAGTATCCAGAGCCCTGGGCCCGGAGTTGGAGGTGGAGGTGGAGGTGGAGATGGAGATGGGAGGATTGTACAAAGCAGGAGATGATTACCACTGCCATTGCCTCTGCCACTATCTGTCACTGTCACGAAGACAGCATACTGTACCTAAATATCAACTGTAAACTATACGAACAAGCTAGAAGAAAGTGTATGATATGTAATGAATGGCTATTCATCGGGTTCTGCTTTTATTGATGGACCTTGTATTCACCGTTTAGCAGGTGCTAGAGAGGCAGTGGAATTACTCGTTCTCCCGAAAGAGCTTTTCATGATTATTGATATAATTCAGGCGTGATATCATGGTCGTCACAAGTATATTATTATTAACGTGTATGATTTATATTTCCAATCCATGCCGCTAGTAGTGGAATTCTTCCAAAACCTTCTTAATCTCTTTCATCGGCACAGGTTTCGACAGAAACAGGTTGATACCACTTCCGTATGCTTCATCCTGTGCCGAGCCACTCGCCAAACCGGTGAGTGCGATGATCGTTGAGGCAGGTAGGCTGTTCTCGGCCTCGTGAGCACGAATCAAGCGTGACGCCGTGAAACCATCCATCACCGGCATTGAGATATCCATGAATATCACGGCAGGCTTTTCAGGGACTAGCTTGTAATGGTTCACGGCAAGGCTTCCATCTGTGGCTTGATCAAATGTGTATCCAAGTTTGCGTATATAGGTAGCGAGGAGTTTCATGTTGATAACGTTGTCTTCGACAAGTAGAAGACGAGAGCGGGGGGCATTATGGTCCGAGGTTGTCGTTGGAGGAGGAATGGATGGCAGTGGAGATTCTTCTTTCTGTATGGGTTCAAGCGCAATCTTGCTTACTTCTGCGGGGTGAGGATTATTTGAATCCTCTCGTGTGATGGCCGTTACAGTCTCTCTTAAGTCTTCGAAGATGTGGAGAATGGAATTTGCAAGTTTCCGTGGGGTGATACTAGAGTTTAGTTAGGTATATCTACTCACAGTACAAGGATCTCTCTTACGGTTGACTCAAGTGCGACAGCGGCAATGTCGCTCGCGAATTTTGTTTGGGCACTTTTGAGGTTGTGATCATGAGGAGAGGAGGCCCACCAACACTCCCTGGAAGTGCTTTCCGATGACTATCCCTGAAGCGATGTTCGAAAGCTCCCTGAGTGGCAATATAAATGTCTGCCTGGACATCTTCTACTTCAGTATCCAGGATGATTTCCATGTCAAAGCACTGTTGTACCATTCTGACCAGAGCTGTTTGTAACAAGGCCGGCGCCCTTTTCCTACCACTCTTATCCGAGTCTTCTTGACTATTCTCTGGATCACTAATAATAAAAGCAGCTTTTTTCCTTTGGAGATAGCCTCTTGCTCGGATTACGAGCTCATTGTCTATTGCCGCAGTACTGGTGCTTTCAATATCTGTAGCCCGTTCCATTGGAAGGGTCACTTTAACCGTGGTACCCGTTCCAAGCACGCTTTGAAAGTCTATTTCTCCACCAAGGCTGTCGACAATCTGTCGCACAATGCTCAGACCCAGGCCTGTTCCTGGAGAGAGCGAGTCCTCCTGTGTAAACGGCACGAATATTCGTTCATTGATGAAATTCGTTGAGACTCCTTTGCCAGAATCCGAAACTGTAAGGGTACAAGTTGATGAGTTTGAGCGGAGCTTGTGTTTGCCTGTCTCTCGACATTTAAGGCGAACCTGAACAAAGCCTTCAGTGGTATACTTCAAAGCGTTTCCAAAGAGATTCATGAGTATCCTTCGCCAAGCCCCAGATTGAGCATGAAAACGCCACCTAGAAGACCAGTCGAGATCGAGTATCACAAGAACTGACTGCTGGAGAGTGTGAGAGCGAATTGCACTTTGGCTGCCGTCGAATGAATCTGCTGTACCCAAAAGTTGAGCTTGATAATGACCAAGATAAATTGTCTGGACCACCTCTTCCGTGAGTGTATCCAAGAACACAGTAGATGCGAGACTGATCGCTCCATATGTAGCCGCGCTTTCCACGGGTCGTGCTTTTCGTGAAAGACCGTGGCCCTTCGCCGCCTTCATTTGCTTCCTCTTCTTCTGCTTGCCTGTAATGAAGTTGTTTATCTTCGCATGGTCAAGTACGTGGTTTAATGTGTCTAGTAATGTTGCGCTACACTCCTTGATGGCATCCATGGTCTCGCTTTGGAAGCGTGTCAATGCCGTATCGCGCAACAGCTCCAAACTTCCCATGATTCCGTGCAACGGAGATCTAAGCTCATGAGAAATTGACGAGATGAAAGTACTCTTTGCTTGATCTGCGGCAACGGCTTCCAAGCGATAGATCTCGGCTATGATGTTGTTGCTAAAAGAGGCTAAGTAGCTCATATCATCCTCGGATGTCAGTACCCGGGTTGGATCTTTAGTCCATAACATGCTTGTAGCACACCATTTTTCGTGTCGAGAATCCCATATCGGAAAGACCAGGATGAAACGTGATCCAGGAAATATTCGAAGGATGGAAGACGCTTCGTCCCTTCCTGAAGCAGCCTTCTTTCCACTGCTATCTTTCTTCGCTAGCTGTATGCCTTCTTGGGCCGAATGCGGAGTATTTTCTTCGCTGGAGGAGATAAATCCATCCTCGTCGAAAGTAAATATCTTTCCATGCGGATAACGTCGAAGGATTTTACCGATAAGCTCGTGTGCTACCGTAAGCTGGTAGGACTCAGCTTCTTGGCCATCAAAGCTTGAAGTACTCGGAGTAGAAAATCCTAGGATTTCACAATATTGCGGTTCTTTTGCGTCTTTCCGCGACTTGGCGTTTGGGGGCATCTCGGTACTGCTTGAGCCTGTCTCATTGGTATCCGAGCTTCTGTGTCGCGCGCTAGATTCTTCACTACTGGATGGATCCGTATCTGCGTGCTTGCCCATTCGCCTACGGCTGCGGGCGTAGGTCTCTGCATTGAAGGACTTCGGAGAGGCATTAAAGAACATGGCTCCATCAACACCTGTAGATTCCCGAATGAGGTTACTTGCGCGAGAAAACATTGCCTTGATGTCGTTGGAAGTGTTGGTTTTCCTTCGTGTTGAACTAGATGTCGCGGGATTTTCCTCAGTTGGTCCATCCCGTAGCGCCGTTTCATGCTTCTCAGTATCATTTTCTGTTTCCTCTGCGAGGTGGTTCGTATCACGATTCCTAGTCATTTCTGAGCTCGTTTCGTTCGAATCGAGAGCAAGTCGTTGGATCTTCTTATGCAGCGTATCTTCAGGTTCCTTGCCAGGAGAAGCCCTTTGGAGTTGATCGCTTCCATCAGGACGTTTAGGGTTTTGCGGAAGAGTCGTAGGAATGATAGATGAGCCTGTCTGGTTTGATTTTGGAGATCCTTGGTCCGGTGCCGACTTCTTACCGTTTCTTGATGACTCATTGGAATCCACTTCAAGTTCTGATTGATCCACGGAGTCAGACATATAGCCTACTGGGCACTCGTGATTGCCACAGGTTCGAAGCCACCATTCATTGATGCTCGAACGGCGCTCTACAAACAGACCTAAAGCCTTCAACATTTTCTCCGATCGGTTATGATCATTTTTCAAGGCCATAAACTCTAGATGCTCCATGACGGTCGTAGCCATATCTTGCAAAAATTGAAGCTGTTCATGGCTGACTTCAGACCGTGGTATGTCGTCTATCACGCAATATGCCCCGATCACATGGCCCTTTTTGGTTGTGATAGGTACCCCTACACAAAACCGCGCCTTTGGCTCGTTGTTGACAAACGGTGCAAATTTGAGCTCTTCGACCTTGGTAAGGTCGGGAATAACAGCCGCCTGCGAATCGTCCTTACCATGTTGGCTGTCTTGACTTTGGCCATCAAGATTGAACCCGCTTGCAAATGCATAACCACAGATACCCTCGGTCCGCTTGATTACCCGTACCCCCATAATCAATTTATCCCCAGATTGGTGGACATCATCCGACTGCGAGGAAAGTGTTTGTGTAGACTCAGCAATGATATATTCGTCCTCCCGACTGATCAGAGAGATCATGGCCCGTTTGGTATTCATTCGCAAAGCGCCTAACTGACAGAAGGCGTTCAGGCTCTTGTCAACCGATGATTTGGATGTTCGAAATGGTCCGCTATCGCCTTGGCCCTCAAGACCGACATCGCTCTGTTCAGAGGGTAGACTTTCCCAGCCGAACTTAGGTAAGTACCTAGCAAGATCGTTAGCTAAGGTACCTAGGTAGTCAGACCATAAGTGCAGTTAGCAGGCTGTAGATGTCTAACCTGAAGACTTCTCGCTCGCGATGCTTTTCGGATGGTTGGGATTTTCGGTCCATGGCGGCGACGGCGACAACACCAGCATCAGTGGGTAGGCAGGTGTTGTAGCTCTCAGCCCAGCATAGATAAGAGAGGCAGAGGCAGAGGGAAGATTTTTGTGCTAGCCATGGAGAATTCCATCGTACGAGGCAGTCAGTCGGATTGTTTCTCGACAACCTTCCCTTCCCTGTCCGGAAAAGAATCCCTACTTTGTCCGTACTATACCTAGGTACGCTACGATAAGAGAAGACCCCCTCCTCCCCTTTGCGTGTGCGTGGGATCCAGCCAATCACAATCATGAAACAGCTTCGATCGGTAAAATGGGCGTGGCCATTGCGCATCATCAGCAGCCTATGATGTCATTGATATGGCGTACCTTAGTGAGACCCTGGCCACGCTAAGGTTTTGCATGGAGATCACTTGAAATGCCATCTGCGAAAACCTGGATTATGCTTAGTAATCAGAGATCTACTTGCTGTTGCTTGGACCTGACTAGGAAGGAGGATATGGAAGGCCTTGGTATTGGCTGGCAGGGAGGAAAAGAGAACTGCATGCTTTAGGGATACCCTTAACTTATCTCCGAAGCATTTTCCTCCCCCTTTTATATACCGACATACGACAAGCTACGCATACGCTCTACCCTCACACGTCATATCGCGGAAAATAGATATTGAAGTTATCAGCGATCATATATCCGTTGACCCTGCCGGTTCGTACTACGAAATTGGTCGCTCTAAAGTATACCAGGGCCGTTGAGCCCAAGGTATCGGAGGACAGACAGTATCTATCCATTTTGGGCACGCCCTTCTTTGACTGAGAATTTCATGGCAAGCAACATGAGAGGTAAACGGCCAATTTGCTTTCGTTGGAACAGAAATAGTTGCCTGTGTTCCTGGTACAGAATAGGAAGGGCTAGTCAACATTTTAAAGGATAATTGGGCCGCCCGATCGTTGCCAAGTGCCTTAGGTGATAACATACGTAAATGTCAACTTAGATGGGCGTCGCCCTGCTTCCTGTCTTTTTGATGCTTAAGTTCGCTTTATTCTCCTCATAATATCACGGTTAAACCTGTACTCTCTAGACACTTGCGTGAGGCCTGCTGCCTGATGTCATAAAAGCGTTCACTCGCGGGTGGGAGAGAAAATCGCTTAAGATAATAGAAAAGGGGGCTGATAATATGGAGACAAGCTCCGTGCACATCAAAGTTCAGCGGGAAATATATCAAGACAGTAAAAAGATAAAAAGCATAATCAAAGTAGCTTGCGCGACGATGCAAAACACAAAAAATGCCTTTGACTTAGGTCTTAGAAGCAGTGTTCTTACCCTCTAGCATAGTAAGATCCTACAACACCAATGCCAATTCACAAGCTGCTTGGTAAAAAATATATATTAGCTGACATATATCGGTCTCACCAATTAACATCCATGTATGATATGCCAGGATACTGATTCCTCCACATCGATAAAACTCGGAAGTCAAAGTAAGTGAATCATGTTCAAGACGCCTCGCATTGCCATTAGACTCCCGTAGAGTATTTCCTGTCCTTTGAATGTTCAATTGCAGCCATCATCACCCCTAAATTGCACCATCAAATGCCAAAATGCATGGGTATCATGGCCGTTCAATTTATCCCTATCCCAACCCTCTTCTATCCAAAACTAGCACGTTTTGTATCGCCCATGAAACCAACCAAATACCTCTTCTTCTTCCCACCCACACCATCTTCATCCCACAATATAGGTATAACCGTCAACAGATTAACAAACATCCTGCCATCCCGCGTGAAATTAACAAGCTTGACCTGCGCCTCCTCATTCCTTGCAAACCTCTCCTTCAGTTCCTTCCTCGCGCTGTCATTCGTCTTGCGGATCTCTTGCTGGTGCCTTGGCTCTAGTTTGAGAGCACAGTCCTGTGGAGGCTGTTGCAGGAAGCGGCAGTTGCGTTGGAGGATATCGATGCTGTTGTATCCGGTCAGGGCCTCGAAGGTTTCAGAGCAGTATACAATTGGCGTGTCGTGACTCTCGGGGTCGCAGAGAACGAGGGAGACGGAGCTGTCTATGCTGCCGATGTCGATTGTGGGGTTTGGGCGTTGGCGGACGCGGATCTGTAGAGTCTTTGTTAACTCGAGGACTAGCGTGAGGACGTGGGATGGGTTTCAATGGTTGTGAGGACCAGTAAGTGGAATGATGGGGATGTGTGACAGGCGAAGAGGTATTGATCACTTACCAAAATCCCCATCATATCAAAACCACTTGGAGCATACACCCCGGGATAGATGAGAGGATCACCCAGACCCTCACTTTGATTAACGGCATTTGCTGGTGCAAGAGCAAGCGGGATGGTGGAACTGCTTGCTTTGGATTCAACAGCATTATTCGGAGCCCCAGGAACGGCACATAAACCTTGGGCTGAAGACTGCTTCCATAACTATAAGGTATAGAAAATCAGTACTATACTGATGGTATAGAGTATACTAAGAAAAGTAAAACACGCACTTCCTGGAGCCTCTGCGCCTGTTGCAAGTATTCCTCGTTCATATCCGGGCAAGCGTACGTGCGTGTGTTACCTGAAATGCTATCCCATCGTTCTTCTGTTGATGGCCTGCTCAATCATTCATATGGCGGGGGCAATACGAACACGAGACTAGACATGACGAGAAGAGGATGAGACGATGTGCGTGTGCCAGTGCCATCTCACCATTTGCACTGTGAGGGGTTCGGTGTAGAAGACGTCAGGACATTCAATTCACGCCTTTTTTTTTCTTTGGTGGCTCGATCGTGAGGCGCCTCGAATAGTCGCGGCCATCGGCACTACTGGATAAATCGAAATGCATTTCAAAATGGCATGGTGTAGCCGCATCAAGACGTTCTTTTTGCTTTTTACATAAACACCGGGTCCGTTTACGGCCCATCTATTCATCCAGACTTGAAGGAGTGAAGGAGGTGGTCACATCGGGGTGCGTCACGTGACCGTACTTCATCATTCGATGGTTGGGCCATGCAGTCGGTACATACAAAGTACAGCAACGTGTGACTAGAAAGAAAGAGAATCAAATGTTTTGTGGACTGAGGCTGGCAGCATAATCAATATACCAAATTACCAAAGCCTAAATCCAAGATCATCACTTGAAAGTCAAGAGATCCTATCCGAAGTACCCGACGAGTGAACGTCCACGTATGATATCTTGTCAGTCGTAATTAACAGATATTGAAAAATACCAAAGCAAGTAATCGAATCTGCAAGCATGCGGAACACGCCGGTAATCTGAATCGAATCAAATAAAAAAGATATACAAATTCGGAGTTTCACATGACTCATAAAACCATCCATCAGTGATAATCAAAAAAAAATAAGTCAATCGACTGACCGACATAGCTAGTCACTCATAAAAAGCACAAACTCCTGACAAAATCTACTAGGAAATACACACCCACCAGCGACCTCCCAAACAGTCATCAGGATCCAAACAAACCCCATCCCACGTACATAGGTAGAATCAGCCTTACGGCACATCTCGAACTAAAACACAGCCTCTAGCTACCTACCTAGGGCTAGGTAAAAGCCTCCCATCCGTTCGTCCTACTGACGTACAGTACAGTGGGTATAAGCTTAATTTGATGACCTGCATGTGCCGCTCGCAGGCTCGGGTTCGGGTTCGGGTTCGGGACCACCAACACGGAGCCGCATACCTAAGCCTCCCAAATGCCGAGCCTAGGCTTGACTAAGGTATAACTAGGTAGACTGGAGGGAGAGTGCCGCTTCGGACCGCGGGAGTTGCCAGAGTGTGCATGAATTAACATAGGACGAGGAAATAAATCTCCGAACCATGGCTAGCCTAAGGTAGCCTTGAGCAAGAATGAAGACACTATTTTGGGACCCCCACTCCGCGCCCCCCATACGAGGTTCAAGACAAGATTCGTAGAAAATGTGGGCAAGACATTGCAGCACGCGAGCGCTTGGGACGTGCAATACCGGGACTGGACCCGGGATGAAATAGAACATTGATCTATTATCCTGCTACTTTACAGATGAAGCTATTGTTCTTTCTTCTTTGTAGACACCCAGTCAACACCCAGGCAAAATCCCACGCTCTTGTAAATGACGCCGCCCAAGGCATTAAGACACATGCACCTCGTATGATGAAATGTTGGAATTGGATTCTCACTTTAATACAGCGCTCGATCGCCTAGCGTGGCTATCGCTCGATTCGAAGCGGTCAAAGGAGGCCGAGTATTGAGAGACAATCGGTGTCTCTCCTCGTTCCGCCTTGTGTTCTTCGGTTTTTGTCGTGCTCTCTACTTCACTTACCCTCACATCCTTCCCCTCTGCCTGTGCGGTTGTCTCTACATCATCCTTCTGGCCTTCATTGTTCGCGATGATTGAACATTGCTTTTTATGCATTGTGTAGAGGACGTAAGTTCCCCACAACTGTGCCGCTGCAAATATTACGTGAAGTATTGGTGTGGTGACCTTGAACGCGAGACTCCACCTGTTCCAGAGACTGCCCCAAAGAAAAAAGACAAGCATGGTCTCGGTGATCGTTCCAATCAGGGTGGTTATGGCCGACATTCGGAATAGCTTGCGCAGGAACCTATGATCGGTGGGGTAGACTCGGTAGAAAATGATGGTAATATGTGGGAGGAACTCTGAGATAATGTCGAAGGCGCCTATAAAAGTTAGCACTCAGTGATCGCAAGAGAAAGTCCAAGGAAGCAAGACTTACCCCATACCAAGCAGAGTAGAAACTCGATAGTTGCATCCTTTTCCTTGCTAAGATTGAGAGATATGGCAATCGCGGATTGTCCAATCATGATCGCTCCGATGTGATGTCCCACACTGACTGGAGAAATCTTGGGTCGGTAGAACAGCTCGAAGACGTACATTGCAGCCAATGCCTGGGCCGCAATGATGAGTATATCTCCCATGGTGACGTGCTTGGAAACGGCGAAACGCGAATGCAGAGTACCAGTCATGAAGACAACGTAAATAAAAGGATACGCCGCCAAGATCAATATAGCAACCTTAGTGCCTCCTGCGATGTGGTGGTTGACAAAGCCTCTCCGTGTTGTTTCGTCCATTCGCGTATAGGTCTTGCCGTATACCTTTCTGAGAAGGAATCTTTCGAGGATGTAGAAGCGGAAAAGGAAGTAGATGACAAAGATGATGCAGAGGATGAGGGCGCTATAGGGCGCCAACTTGGATATTGACTCCAGAGGAACATGTTTGATATGGGGACCCTTCCCAGGTATAGTTTCGTTGTGAGCAGCCTCAGGGAGGACGGACGCAGCGGGTGATCCTATTGTCGAGTATTGTTGGCTGCAAGAAAGGGATATCAATCAAACTTTCAGTTGGGTGGATGGCGGTGTATAAACCCCCTGTCGGTGTGAAGGACAGTGATTTATGACAGGGGGCGTGAATCATAGAGAGAATAAGTAGATGCTGGTAAAGCTTCAGCGGGCATAAAGATAGCACATGAGTGCTTCTACTTGCCAGGGATGGAGGATGCTCCATTACTCATATCATATACTATTTCAGAACGGACGAGCGACGGCCTTAGCCTAGCTCCTGCCTCCACTGTGAAGTATGGTGAGGGGAATGGGTGTCATAACCAGAGCCACCCCGCCGCATGTTGCAAGAGCGATGGGATTTGATGTTGGAGAAATTGCGTCACTACTTGTGCTCCCTCAGGAGTTTTGGAGAACTCCACCAGTACAATACCTAGATAGGCAGAGAGAATGTTCTAGAACCTAACGTAGCTACCTAGGTATTATCTTCCACTACGGGTATGATGTTTTCGGGCATGCTCTTCGTCCTCCATCTGCAACACCTGCGGCTGATGGACGCCACAGGCACAGGCACAGGTACAGGCACAACCGTGCAGGCAGAAAATGGGGTATAATCGTAGCAATTTCATACCTACTACATAGATACATTGTCGTCTGCTGGACTGGCTTCCTTTTGGACGCCGACGTCTAACGCCGTAAGGCAGTAGGTAGGTAGTATTACTGTATGGGTTTGTTTCAAGCCTTTGCACCTGCGGCCAGACCAACCTATTATTGGCCATAATGATTCGTGATCACATACTATGGAGTATAATCTGAAGCCGGCCTGTTCTTGGTCTGGGCGTGGAGTAGGTAGAGTGGTAAGGTAGGTAAGGTAGGTAGTGTGGGATATCTCCGTAGAAAATCAATAGAGTATCTGGCGCTGGCGGAAGGTCTTGGCAAAAAGCTTGATTTAGTCAGGGGCTGGCGGGGTCTTGTCTGTTTCTCTGCCCCGGATCTGCAGACCCTCGGAAACACTAGGTAGGTACCTAATTCTGTTGTGAGGGCCGAATAGTACAGGTTCCTATAGGCAATGGTGCGTTCTGGTCGCCTAGTGCCACCGTACTCGGCAGGTAGTTTCACAAGCTGAGGATGGAATGAGTCTGCGACGGTGCAACCGCAGCATGCCTCCCACTGGGTACAGCAGGTCATCAGGCAGTCCTTGCTCAGCGTAAGGTATCAAAGATCATATTCACAGCAATAACACTACAGCCCTGGGAGGATGTTGAGGACACCAATCTCACCAATCTCACTGCTGCGCCCAGACTACCTTTAGGACTCGCATTTTACGATACCAAAGGTCCCTCCCGGTCATCTCCGTCGAGCAACTACCTGTAAGCTCGACTGAACATCCAACAAGGATCCGTGAGCCACAGCGCGATGGATTGATTGTGTTTGCTAATATGTTCTAAGCCCAGTGCTCGTAAGGTCGAGGTTGGTTGCTTCATGCACCGCACAGCCGCTAAGAAAACCCTCCATATTACTCAGTGCTAAGAGAGACGAGCACCTCCAACGGTTCGCACGTTATGCTGAGATAGGAACCCCTAGACGTCAGAGATATGTAATTTGAGGAATGATTTGTCACTTGTACGTTGTCAACACCGTGTTCATCCTCCTTAGCTCTGACAAAAGGAAGACAATCACGTGGCGCGTTGTGTTCTCATGCCCACGTGGAAGGCTAGAAGACATATTTACTACGTGGGGCATATCGGTCATGCTTTCTCAAGCTCTAATTATCCTTATATTTACATTTTTGAGCCATATCTCCTACGTACGGTCGTTGACCCTTCTGGCTATTTCGAGTGTTTGCTACAAGGAGAGCCAAGCCTGTATGGGGTTGATTCGACATGCGCGGATTTGGTGTTATGTCAAGAATACAAACATGTACTCGTTGATTCTTCCGTTCCACATGGCTTGACTACTCTTACTTCCATTTTTGGTCACATTTACTTCACCGCAGCCGGTTCCCCTATTTCTGGGATGTTTACTGCTACCGAGTCACTTCATATTTCTATTCTATTTTTCCTTGGGGGTGTCCTGTCCCGAGCAGGTCCATATTAAGCACTTGCCATTAAAGACAGCGTGGGTGTTTCTAGAGCTCGGTTTTATCCACTTTCTTCTATAGCATGCTACCAAACCCCTTTTAAAAACAAGTGGGAGCTAACTCTGCTGGAAATGAACCTGAGCTGCCAGTACCTTTGAGGGAGTGATACCCGTTATAAATTTAAGATTTTAAGCGTATAAGCAAAAGAAGGCAGGCTGCGAGGCTAGGCTATTCGAGTCGAGTTACATCCGAGAGCTTATAGTTGTGAAGCTGTCTCTTAATATGGAACATCATGTTCAGGAGGAACAACATTCCAAAACCGTGTAAAAATTGAGACTAACATTATTAGGACCGAGTTGATAGGCAACGATGCCTTAATCCCTTCGCAGATTCAAAAGTATATATGAGCCACGTGATGTCTAGATATCGAGCATAGACAGGAGCGTCAATAGTAGGGTCTAATATTTCATACCGGAGTGTTAACAAATTCCCTGCGATATTATACTTAAAAATTCTTGTGGTTTTAAAGATACCGTCACGTGTTGGCGAACAACCTTTCTTCCAGGAACATCTTTTGAAGATATCGGGCTTTTCGAGACGGCAGGAATGATCGCCGATGCTGTCGACCTCATCCCGTCTTTCGTCAGGAAATGACCTGTCAATTCTCAGCATGAAACACTTCCAATGAATACAAGCCGATAAATCTGAAGGCTGGAGATGCGTCCCGAGATCTTGGGTTCTGGGCCATCACACGCAATCAATACCGCAACGCATCAAAAGCAGATTCGATGGCAAAAGCACTTTTTCGCATCCAATTGTGTATGTGACTGGCTGTGGTGACCAACCGGCAAGCTTTGTTCCCAAGAATACTATTTTGAGATTTTGCATATTATTGATTGCCTCGAGCATTTTTAGACCCTGCGGGACGGTTTCCGAGATCCCTGTTACACCAATGATCAGAAGCCGGTCAGTTTATGCTATCTGTATTCAACCGAGCGGCATCTTCAATCTCGATTATGGGTTTCTTTACAGCAAGTTCCCGCTTCCGTGTAATTCTACTCTGGACGGCGGCGTTACTCGTTCCAATCACCCCCGAGTTCCTAAGTATCGAATGCATTTTCTTCTGTGTGCTACTCGGAGGTCCTAGGCCCTCTTCTCGAGTAACATTATTCCCACGTCGGGACTTGTGCCCTATTTCTTTTGTCCACCTTCGCGACGTCGCAATGGAGTATTGACGGTGCCGTTTAGGACAATTTCGCTGCTTTGGAACATGGAACTGAGGCGTTGTTACACAGCAGTATTTCCTCGACTCGAGGAACGGCTCTCTCAATATTAAGGTCAAGAGAATCCCACGTTTTTTGTACCATCGAACTGGACCTGATTGATCCGCCAGCGAGAGCTCACCCCTTCTACCGCAATATTTGGGCGCTGATTTGCAATCTTAGGGTAGCAAGGGACCGGTCGCGAACTATGACGATACCTTTGCATGAGACCGAGGGCGGCACGATAGTTTCAATCATTTTGTCGCTGGTATCGATGGCTATTTTATCAGTATGCCTATGTGGAGATTCATTATCCCAAACTGCTGGCCCCTCCAGGCTAATGATAGACAGCTCGAAGAGTGCAGAATGTGCGAGATTGGTCCCAACTTCCTCTTGTATGTTGGTGTAAGTCTATATATCCTAAAATTACTATCGGCCCTTGCGCGTTGGCTGATCGTTAGGAAGTGGTTCTACTTATATACATCGACTCGATCATATTTGTCTTGGGAACCGCCATATTGTCAAACGGATTTGGAGTGGATTTCTCTCAGGACATATGTTCCAAGGCTATCTTGCTATGTCTTGGGTGTTATTTGACAACCAAAGTAAGTACTAATCTGCACTCGGTAATCATAGAGCTCACAATGCGCAGGTGGTACGTGTAAATAGTCCAGGGCAAGAGTGGTTGACTGACTATAGCAGTTTCTTTACTACTTTCTGGTTGAGCGTGCGGTATGTAAAAAGTCCTCAGCCAAAGTCGTAGTACTGATATCCATCATAGTACGTCATCCGTCGATCTTCAAACCCAAGAATGAAAGACTGGCTATACTTGTTTAACACCTTTGGCATGTTGAGTAAGTGCTGTCGAAACCAAAAAACTCTGTCGATATTGATTTCTGACAGTTCCATATTGTATTGTCATTGTGTTGAACTTCTACTTGTGAGTATTCATAATTATTGTCCTTCCGTTTCTCAGACGTTTGGAGGCAGTGACCAACATGTCCTACACAGCCGGTTCGCAGTTTATGAGAACCATACATGCAGGATTGGGATGAAGAGGGTCGCCATGGGACCACTGATAGGATTTGATATACTTGTAAATGTAAGTCGTACGTCGTACACTCATACTTCAATCTCGAGGCTCATAACTCAAGGTGTATCTGACCTCGTTATTCCTGATTCCTCTTCGTGGTAAGTCACATCCTCATCTCATCTCGACCATCGCTTAAAGTATTTAGGACTCTACTCGTACAGAATGAACCGCACGTCACACGTGCGAGTTATCGCCCTCCGCATATTTATTGGAAGCTGTTGCACCCTGGTTTCTAGTGTTGTGTAAGTATATTTACCACATACCCCTCAATTTCAGGGTGCTTATCATCAGACTTCAGTAACCTTACAGTATTACTAGCCATGAAAGGCGAGCCAGGTTGGATATGTCTCATGTGCTGCAACATCGACAGTATGATTGATTACCTCCAAACAATTTCTCCACAAAATAACTCTTTCCTAGTCCTCTTTAGCGTTCTTGTACTGCACTGGATAACCTCCAAAGACAACGCCTCAACCTTTTCATCATCGCAAAACGTCGCTATCTACAACATCAGCCGCGATCGAGAAAGCCCAGTGTTTGCCCGATACTCCAACCGAAAGATGGCCCATAGCCCCGGCCTAGCCCAAGACGACCTTGGACTTAGCGAGTACAGAAAAAGAGGCGGAGTTACGACATTAGTAACTGCAATTGGGGAATCCGATAAAGACGAGCACGCGCATGTTCCGAATGTCATTACGGTCGAGAGTGAGCATGTTATAGAGGTAGAGCAGGGAATGATTAGCGATAATGAAATTGGTCCACATATTGGAGGAATGATAGAGAGCACTGAAAAGCTGTTCCAGAAGAATTAGCGTAAAAAATGAGAGGCGTTCCGATTATCTATTAGTTACATATGGGAGTTAGGTCCATCTTGGCGGCATGGAACGTGCTAGTTGGGGCCGAGCGTGCCGTTATGTATATTAATCATCGATCATTAACAATTTGATAAACATATTTATATATCCTCTGCCAGCTCCTTATCTAATCACTCCCATGGATCTCCGCCCGGTCTCTCCCGTGAACATACGGAGCAAATGAACTGTAATGTGATCAAAAGAAAGTGACGATTCTCTCCTGAGAGAACCTACCTACTCCGGAGTGATAAGTGAGGCAAGGAAATTCAGGAGCTCGCTCGCTTCGCCACTTGAAATACACCACGGCTTCCCAACCTCAGAGAAATCAAATTCATCTACATATCATCCTAAGTTTTTACAAATTCACATAAATTCTCATTGCCCATTATCCCTCTGAATCCAGATTAAAACTCACCCATATATTTTCCTTAATCACGTGAAGTGTACCCCACCCTTGGCCAAACAAATCATCCCACTCCCCTTCCCCTATCCCCCATGCGGTACAACTTTTAGCAGTTCTCCACCCCCGGGCCCGGTACTTCAAACCTAATTATCAAAAAATGGATCCAATTGCCATTATCTAAAGGCCTTACTGTAAATGGACTCACTCGTTATCAGTACTCTATGAAAACCCCGTTTGCTTATCAGATACGGATCGGGCACTTCAGCCTTCCATCTTGGCCTTCCATCTTGCGGGCGAGGACGGGCGATAGGAGTTTGTTCAAGTACCTGAGTAGGTACTTGAACACATCCATATTTACTTGTAGCTGCCTCCATCTTTATCTTCATCTTCATCTTCATCTTTCCGCTGCGCTGTGAGATATTGAACGAGGAGAAGAAATACGATGGCATTTAAGCGCGTGAGGGAATATGTCTCGCATCCATATGAGCACCCTGGTGAGGGTAAGCTTGTCCGGAAACTTGGTATGTCCTCATTTCTATTCTGTCCACGACAAGAGACAAGTGCTGACTGAGAACTTAGATTTCTTCATCCTGACCTTCTGCTGTCTGATGTATTTCACAAATTATCTGGACCGGTCCAATCTAGCAAACGCATATGTAAGCGGCATGAAAGAGGACTTGAAGTTCAAGGGCAATCAATTCAACCTTATTAATACTATATTTACTGTCGGGTATGTGTGTTTTGGAGTAAAATCTCAGCAGAGGTGACATAGGCTAATAATGATGGATGCAGATATATTCTTGGGGCCATACCGTCTAACCTCGCCCTCTACCATCTCAAACCCCGCATCTTCTTTCCGCTCATGATGCTCATCTGGGGCGCCCTCACTATGGTCACAGCAGCGGCCCAACACCCTAGGGATATAATGGCCATTCGCTTTTTCCAAGGCCTGGCCGAGTCCTCTACTTTCGTTGGGACGCACTATATCCTCGGCTCCTGGTAGTAAGTTATCTGCATATTATTTACTTCCTTCCCATCTAGGGAATTTGCAGCTTGTCTCTTTTCGTAAGACATGCCTTGGGACTCCTCATTTGTAGCTACAACCTCCGTTCCAGAAGCACGTAGTCAGAAGTAAAGCTAACTCCCCGTTCTCATCCAGCACAGCCCGGGAGCTCGGAAAACGCAGTGGTATTTTCACATCATCTGGTCTCGCAGGAACCATGTTCGGCGGCTTTCTGCAAACAGCAATCCACTCCTCGCTAGACGGTGCAAAAGGGCTCAGCGGCTGGCGCTGGCTCTTCATTATCGACGGTTTGATCACGATCCCCATCGCGCTCTATGGCCTCTTCCTCTTCCCCGACACACCGTCCACAACATCCGCATTCTACCTCACGTCCTCAGAACGCGCACTAGCCATATCTCGCGTCCCAGAAGTTCCCGAACGGAGACCCTGGAATTTGGCGTTCGTCAAGCGCGTGTTCACGAGCTGGTATTGGTATGGTTTTGTCATGTTGTGGATTATAGCTGGAGAAACGGAATCCTTTTCCTCGAATTCATTGCTGTCGATTTACATGAAATCTACGAAAAAATACACCGTTGCACAGCTTAACAACTACCCCACTGGTGTACCGGCCGTCGGAATCATATCCACGCTTCTCTGGGCTACTCTGACCGATTTCCTCGGCGGCAAGCGGTATCTGGTTGGATATTGGATCGCCGTTACGGGGATCGTGACTTCGGCGATGATTTTGAATCCTGGCGCTAGTGTCGCGAGCAAGTTCGGGGCGTTTTATTGGGCTGGTAGCGTGTATGCTTGCCAGGCGACGTTCTTTGCATGGGCGAATGATGCGATGCGATATGAGGAGGATAGTTTGAGGGCTGTGGTTATTGCGAGTATGAATACAGGGAGTAATGCCGTGAATGCCTGGTGGTCCCTGTTGTTTTATACGGCGGATATGGCACCCAAGTTTACGGTATGTTGAATACTCCGTCCAGCTTTTGAAATTAAGACTGGGAGAGTGGTGTTATGTTATACTTGCTAACTTAGATGTAGAAAGGCATGTGGGCTATGATTGGGACTTGCATTGCGTTAGCACTCTGGACGAGCGGATTGTTGTATATGACGGATAAGGCGGAGAAGAAGAGGCTCGTTGAAATTACCAGTGAGAATGTGGTGGTGGAGAAGAACTTTGAAGCTTCAGCGGGTGAGGACGTCAATGTATGAGCTGATTTGTATCGATCATGCTCGAAGAAGTACATTAGCAAGACGAGGGAAAATAGCCAATACCGACCAAACGACCTAGAAGAATCTCATAAAGCGCCCATTCTAAACTCATTCGTTCAAGACTTTATAGGCTCACTAAGAACTTTTGTAATCAGTCCACTCATAGTCTAGCCGCCTTCCCGTAGCGAGCCGTCCCTGAAGTATTTCATCTAGTACAAATTCGCCCCATTTTTGCAGAATATCCTATATCAAATAGACACTAGCTTAGTGCTAACTCAATGCTATTTAGCGTAACAAGACATACCGAGGTATACTCTACCTAGGTAACGGTAGCGATTCATAAGAACTCATTATTCATAGGTATGGTTTGAAACCGCCAACATGATAAAATTCCGGCTTGTTGTTTTATTTTAGGATGCAACGCTCTTCATATCTTCTTTGTCGTAGAGATCCAAAAATCCACTTTTGCCGAATCTAGCCCTGTTTTTTATCCTTCCTGTCTGACTAACAGCTTATTACAGCTTAAATACCTAAGAGGGGCTAGGCAAGCATAATTCTACGCTAGCGATATTCGCAGAACGACCGTATTGAATCTCACATACAACTCTGCTCTAAGGTACTCACTGATAAGATCGTTCGTTCTGCCTCCTTGAAAGACCCTGATCTGAATTGCTGAGCAAGAAAGCAAGCAGGGGCCTGAGATCGCATAACTCCACCAGTTCCTTCCCCCACTTTCCGGATTCAGAAATGTAGGTCACCTCACTTCACCTGTTCTCTCATCAACACCACACTACACACCACAGACCAGACCAAGGCCATAATAGCACGAGATTAATCACTATGCGCAGATTCAGCAGCATGTCGACGGAGAAGGCTGGACTTCCTGGCTCGCACCCAGTGACAATGCCCAATCGCCAAGTTTCTACTTCCAGCGTAATGTCGGACGATGCTGCTATTCCCTCAACCGATCCCAAAGACGTGAGTTCTCTCCGGGTTCTTTAGCATTTGTACTTGAATTCTAACATGGGCTTTTGATTCACAGACTACGGGGCTCTTAGCAGAGCGTCTGCAAGCTTGGAAACATGCAGTGGGGTACCTCGAGGACTATATTGGCGCCATTGAGAAGGCCAACAAGGCGCATGGGAAGGAATACGAGAAGGTCTTGAAGGTAAGGCGCCAATTATGGTCTTAATGGACAGTAACTTAATCGATATAGACGATCCAAAACCCGTTGAGGGAAGGGCACCACTTTGATCAGAGCTTGGGAGGAATGGCCGGACTGTTTGAAAACATGAGGCAGAACACCCAGGTCCGTTGTGATCATTCTTTCCTTTATAAGCACACGCTAATGGACCCCCAGGGTGTGATCAATACTCACTTAGAAACCGAAAAAAACCTCAAGGGCTCTGTCCTCCCTATCCTCGAACGCCTACACAAGGAGATCAAAAACAAGTCGAAGGAGCTAGCATCTGGAGCTGGCAAGAGCGCTAAAGAAGTCGAGAAGGCCCGAAACACTACCCAGAAGCATATCGAATTACTAGGACAGCAAACAGCAAACTTTGAGTCCAGCGGCGGCAAAATGACTGCGGCGGAAGATCCGTATGTTGTGCAAAGAGGTGTCTTCCACAGACTGGCCACGCAGATAATCCACGAGAACAACAACCGCCATGATCTTATAGCGGTGCAAAACAACTTTGCTCAATTTGAACAACACGTTATTGAAGTTATCCAAGCGGCACTAGAATCTTTCAATCAGTTCGTCGGTGGACAAGCCCAGAAGGAGCAACAACTCTACGCCGATATTCTTGGCACAGCCCAATGCATTCCTTTCGATTTCGAGTGGACGCAGTTTGTGCAAAGAAGTGGCAATTTGCTCGTTGACCCCAATGGTTCCGAACGTACGATTGACGGTGTCGCTTTCGCAAACCACGACCACAAGAGCACCAAGCCCCTGATCGAAGGTACTCTCGAGAGGAAGTCTCGAAATAAGCTGAGTTTGAGTGGCTACTCGACAGGATACTATGTTGTCACGCCCTCGAAATATCTTCACGAATTCAAGGACAACGAATACCTTAAGAAGGATCCCGTCCCTGAAATGTCGATCTACCTTCCAGATGCCACTATCGGTACCACCAGCGGCGAAAAGTTCAATGTCAAGGGAAAGGACGTGAGCAAGGGCATTGGAAGCAAACTTTCAGGGAGTTCTGAAATTTCATTCAAGGGACATACAGCTTCTGACGCGCAGAAGTGGTCTGAAGTCATCAGATCTTCTGCTGCAGCTGCTGGGCCTTCTGCCGCATATAGTGGAAGCACCCCAACTTCTCCGGTTAGCCCCGATGAGAAGAGAGTTAACTCATTTCCACCTCAGTATTCTGCAGGTAGCTCTCCTGATACCAAAGCAGGGCCTGCTCCAATCCAAACCACAGGAGTCATTGGCGGCAGTACTGTTACTTCACCTGTGGCGGCAACGCCTACCAGTGCTGCAGAGAAGATGTAAAATGTTTTGCCATGTCAATCAACAAGCAAACATGTGAGAATTGAGCTTTAAGGAGAGGGTTGAACGGGGATGATGATCAATATATATAGTAACGCTCATGACATGAATATACCCTAATACATGTATCAAATTTACTTCAAACACGCTGTAATCATGCAGGTAGGTGTTTCTTACATATGGCAAGTAGCCTCTGCCTAGGCATTTTTTGGGGGTGGAAATTCTCCGTATTACCGACCCGTGATTTCGAGTCCCCTTACCCGGCCCTCTATAAATGGACTCCTTGGCGTAGATTGATAGAATCCTGTACGTAGATCTGACTAGCTCTTTTACCCTAGTATATTTCCTTCAAGCCACAGAATAAAACAATCTTAAACTGAATTCGGACCTCTTAGAAGCCTGTATTTATTAGATCTAAGCTCTCTAAGTGGTGCGGAGTATACCCTTTAAAGGTCCCATTCAGGTGTGCCTGTCAAACTTCTACAAAGTCGGGTTCCCTTTATGATTTCATCATCCCAAAGAGGAATCGGTGTTGTTAAGAATAGTCCTCGCTACGAGCCTAGGATTCTCATTCGTCCTTCTCTATAAGGCTGTGTTTCAGACGCAAGGCGAAGCATGATGATTCAAGCCTAGAGGATCTTTAGTTTAAGGATTCACGTAATTTCGCGTAGGCGCGTTGGAGGCACAGCAATCATTCTGATCCTGATGTATATGACTTGGGCATTCTGCCCTTTCGATTTCATTTCGTATAATTATTCACAGCAACCATTGACATTCCTCACATCGTAATCGGAAATTCACACTCCACACCTATAAATTGATTCCTACCCCTTTTTATACACCGAAAAAGAAAACATGTCTACTCAATATCCAAACTCCGCTCAACACGAAGCAGTCTCCCCTCAAATTACTGGTGCCTCTCCCCAAATAGGAACTGTCTCTCCTCAGATCACAGGCATAACAAATACGCCTCCACCAGCACACGACGCTCACTCTCCCGTACAACCTGATACCACGACCGCAAGGCCCCATCAAGAAACAATCGAGAGCATGAACAGTGGTATGGAAGTCATGGTTCACCCCCCAAGCTACAGCAACGGCGCTGCTCCCAGCCCCGGCGTCAACGAGAAGTCGGGGTATCTAGGCCACGACCAACCAGTTGCGCAGCCCCAGCCAACATATGCCCAAAATTCTAATCCTCAAGGTTTCGCGCAGAACAACTATGCACAGCCCCCACCACCCGAAGGACACTATGCTCAGGAACAGCAGCAGCAAAAAGGCGCCAATGCTCCAGCAGCTCCCAGGAACAACTATCAGATTGCGACGCCTTTGGGGTCTCTGCAACAAGGTCCTTCGCCGGTAGATTGCCCCGTGTGCGGTGTGCGGGAGATGACGAGGACGGAGTTTGTGTCGGGGGGTACTACACAGTGAGTTATATATAGTTAATCTATCACTTCTACTACTATTCATTACACGTAAGCCATGGTGAATTTTATAGGCTAACCAGAAAAAAATCTACAGTCTTTCCGCGGCGCTTTGCTGTTGTTGTTTTTGTCTAGGCTGTGTGCCGTATCTTGCGTCTTGGTTCAAGGATTGTGAACATAAATGTGGCAAGTGCGGGGCGATTCTCGCGATTTGGCATAGAAGTGGGCGGACTGAGGTTCTGGCTCATGGACACCCGTAGAGGAGTCGAGTCGGTTGTATGTGGCTGGTGAAGGAAGAAGGGTGATGAATACAATGATTGCGAGATTCAGCATATTGGTGCTTGGGGCTGGTGTTGCTCAGGAAGTATCTTATATCATATGGAGTCGTGGCTATGGCGTGGACTGGTGAGACTTCAGGGCTTTCATTTGTCGACTGTTGATACCTGGAATAATATGTCTTTACAGCAAGTTAGCTGGCAATTATCGGAATGAGAAAAGCTATTTCACAGTGTTTTCAGGGCCCGTGGGATTACTAGTCGCGTTTCCAAACCCTTTCAGGACAGACGGGTCTGGGATCTAGGTTGTCGGAGTATGTGTGCCAAGAGGTGCGTAAGGCTTGCATACTTTGCAGTAGTTGGTGTGTGGTGTCTTTATACTTGTCTCAGTACCGTGTTTGTGCATATATTATTGGCTGATATCACAGGGCTCTCCTTATGGGGAGGGGCTCAAACCTCCAGATCCTGCAAGCACTGGAACATTCTCACAGCCTCATACCCCAGCGAAGCAGTTCTCACTTGGAAGCACGCAGTTAAATAGTCGCTGTCGATATGTCCGAATGCCAACTTTAGGTGTATGTTGTTCTACTTGGGAACTTGGGAACTGAAGCCTCACAACCTAAAATTCGCCTAGGGTAAGGCAATCAAGGTCAATCACTGAACCTCCCTGGCATGCTACCTAGGTAGACAAGACATGTCGGTATGACCAGAAAAGACCTATCTGAGGCACGGGCAATTCCTTTCTTTCCTTTGCGACTTACGACTATCAACCAGTTCGGAATGTTATGATAGTCACGTGATCTTAACTGACAGCGCCCATCTCTGCATACAATACTCGATTTCCAGGTTGCACTCGATCTCCCACTTTTTAATTATCACCCAGGATTGCAGTCTAGAGGCATTCACATGAAGTGCATAGCATACAAGTACAGGTCGGGTCGAGTCAGGTAAACTGTAAAGCGCAATAGTCCGGGATCGATGCACTTTAACCACAGTCAAATCACCCGCCAAGGGGGCGGGAGCGGGGGTGGAGGTCGCGGATGTGGGGCCAAGACCAGCAATACTATAAACATGCAGCTTGAGAAGAAGTTGATCGGGTGTGGAGAGCAGGCTTCCACATTCCAACAGTAAGCCTCAGTAGTCTGTTGCAATGTAGTCGGAATGCGATAGCTCTACCTAAATAGGGATCCACTACCTACTACCTAACCTACCCTACCTACCTAGGTATGGATTTCACCAGCTTGCGCGGCAGCTGCGATCACCCGCGACACTACTCGCGACGTTACCGTTTACTTTTTCGGGGACAGGCGGGTTTTTATCTTAGTAACCCGCCGCTTGCTCATGGCTCTTTCAGCCTCGATGTGATGGACAATGCTCGCCCTTTCCCTCGCCGCATGGTAATCGTGGACCATCCTTGTCAATACCTCGTCGATCCGCGTCTAACCCTGTCTCTATTCTTATTATGCTTTAGGATTGAACCTTAACAGGACAATTAACGATTTCGCCTCTCTCAATGGTACCTCTTGTTTCTATTCTGTCTGCCTGTAAAACTTCCGAACCACACACCTTGGAGATGAGTCTTTGTAGAATTTTCGGCAGCTGGAAATGCCTTCGCAAAAGTTATCCATAGAAGAACATGGGACCTCCTCCACCAGTCTCGTAACAGACCAAGACGCCAAGTCGGAATCTGCAGCTGTTGCCCCGCTCAGAATCGAGAGAGTCTTTCCAATCTGGTTACAGGTCTCGAGCAGACAAATAGACATAGCGCGTAAGTCGAGACCATGTCAACTGCATTCCAAGATCAAACCCATAACTGAGATATAGCACCTTCATCTTCACCATCGCGAGGGACGAACGACCAGACCCCATTCAAGCCACCTACCAATAGCCCGAAACCAGCTCCACGAGAAGATGATACACCTACAGGGTCTCCCATTGTATCTACCGTGCCGCCAGCGCTGACCGCCGAGACAGTCGGTGACTATTATGTCACCAGTAGATTTGGGTACTTCTCCGATGGTCGAGAGAGCGAGCCTGTGGTGAAAAGAACAGCAACGGATCGCTGCGAGGATGAACGAATTCATGTACCAGGAGCGATCCAGCGATTTGGAGCTCTCGTTGCCATTAGAGAATCCCCCAACGGGATTTTCCTTGTCCGACTTGTCAGCGAAAATGTCGGGAGCATTACCGGTCTCAGGCCGCAAGCATTATTTGAGTTAAGATGCTTTACTGATATCCTGGTTGGATCCGACAAGAAAGAGTTTGTGAAAAGGGCTAGACTCTCTCGCTCTTGGACCCCCGAAAACGATTTCAGAACAAATCCAGATGTTTTCACAATCTCGTTGACAAGTCTGCTTGGTGCTCCCAGACCTCTCTTCTGCGCTGTACATTTTAATGTTGCATCTGATCTCATTATTGTCGAATTCGAGGCAAGAATTGATGTTTTTCAATCCGCCGAATCTGTTTTCCCTGATAAGCCTGTCTCAGCCACCAATGACAAAGTTCCCGAGGAAATGCAACATCCAAGAACCACCAAAAGAAAGCTTCTCTCCCTTGATCGTGAAAACGGCCGGCAACTTGGTTCAATGGAATTATTTCACATCCTCTGTGAAATTCAGGTAGGCTTATTCTCATGAAAAAAACGCTTCCTTTCTGAGAGACGGGAGCTCTGCAAGAGATAGCTTCTAGCCTCCTTGGCTCTCTCGAAGCCTTGATCTTTCACTATGCTAATTCGTTGGGGCAGGCCCAGATGGCAAAGGCCGACAGCTTAGCATCACTTCTCGATATTGCTGTTGATCTAGTGCATGAATTAACCGGTTCGTCACATTCTGCCCGTAATCTCGGGGGGTTTTTTTTGGAAGGGGGGCGGGGCTGGAATCATTAATCCTATCAATACTAACTTGCAAATAGGCTTTCACAGAGTTATGATCTATCGATTTGATGAGAACAATGAGTAAGATATTCCGCGCAACTTTCAACAGTCCTACAGATGTGTTCATTACTCATAACCCCTTTTCATATTGTCAGTCTCTTTCTCCCCGGGATCTAGAAGTTTCCGCACATCGGAGACAATAAAGAGCTGATGGATACTATAATGTTTCACGGGTTCCAAAAGACATACATGTTAAGGGGTCGGTGTATGAGTAATTACCACTGTTTTTCTGAACTTTCGAAGAATTTCCTATGTTTTCCATGGGAGATCTAAAATTAACTTGGTTAGTGGGATAGTGGTAGCCGAGTACTTCCATCCGAGAGCGACAACAGATTCGTACCTCAATCTCCATTTTCCGGCATCCGATATTCCTCCACAAGCGCGCGAGCTTTATGTTATTAATAAGATTCGAATTCTTTACAATCGAGAGGAAGATACGGCTAGACTGTTATGTCGCACGCTTGAAGATGCGAAGAGCCCTCTTGATATGAAGCACTCGTATTTGAGAGCCATGTCACCAACCCACATAAAGTACCTCCGAAATATGGGAGTGATGGCAACAATGTCGATTTCTCTAATGGTCGACAACAAACTTTGGGGTTTGGTAAGTTGTCACAACTATGGATCCGGGCTACGTGTATCTCTACCCGTGAGGGAGTTGTGCAGATCGATAGGGGAAGTTTGCTCAACACATATTGAAAGATTGCTCCATGCAGCTCGTCTCAGACTCCGAAAGCCGCTGTCAGGAGCACCTAACAAGACGTCGCCTAATGCATTCATTGCAGCCTCTTTTCCGGATCTCTTAAACATGTTCGATGCGGATCTTGGATTCTTAGTAATTGGAGGAGAGGCAAGGACTATTGGCAAGATTCATGCGTACAGCGAGGCTATTGCACTCCTTCAATACATCCGTCAACGATCCTTCACGGAGGTGTTTGCGACACAGAATGTCAACAAGGATTGCCCAGATATCATATATGAACCTAGGCTTGCAGTCCTCGTAGGTATGCTGGTCATCCCATTAGCCGCCAATGGCTCCGATTTCATCGTATTTTTTCGGGAGACCAAAGAGAAGGAGATAATATGGGCAGGAAATCCCCATGAAAAAGAAAATCCAGGCAATACAGCATATCTGGAACCTAGGAGCAGTTTTGCAAGATGGACTCAGAAAGTTACTGGCACGAGTCGAGAGTGGAGTGAAGATCAAAGTTAGTCCATCCGCTTCGTCAACAAGCAGCTTTTAAGTCGCTAATAGTGCTATAGTCGATTCTGCTACTACCCTAAGTACGATGTATGGAAGGTTTATTGAGGTGTGGCGGCAAAAAGACTCCATTGTTCAAAGGAATCGTATGACGCGTCTCCTGATCAAAAATGCTGGGCATGAAGGTATTACAAGCTCTCATAACGTTATTCTAAGCTAACCACTCTTAGTACGAACTCCCTTGAATAGCATCATAAATTACTTGGAAGTAGCTCTTGAAGGGCCTTTGGACGATCTAGCACGACATCAGATACAGTGCTCATTGCAAGCTTCAAGATCGCTGGTTTTTGCGGCAAATAACCTTTTGAGTCTCACTGAAGCTGAAGAGATAGATTTCAAAGACCACGAAGAAGACGTCGACTTGAGAAGGATCATTTCTGATTTAAGTGAAGCGTTCAAAGAAGGGGGTGCACACAGAAAGTTGGAAATCAATGATGATGAAGCCATTCCAGAATATGTTCGTTGCGACCCATCAGGCTTGAGACAGGTGCTATCAAATCTAGTAACCAACTCGATCGAACATAGCTCTGGCAAGTTGATTCAAATCGGACTTCGGCACCTCAACACAGCAGAGTCTCATGAATTGATTGAGATATTTTTCCAAGATGAAGGCAAAGGATTGTCCGAGAAGGAACTTGACAGCATCTTCCAAGACCTCGAGCAAATTTTAGATGAAGATGAAAGCCAGCCGCTTGACGCCGGAATAGGGTTGGAAACACAACGACCAACATCTATTGGCTTGGGTTTAGCTCTCACAGCAAGGTTCGTTCGCCTCAATTTGGGTCAAATCAGCATGTCATCAGAACCTGGAAGAGGGACGAGAGTTTCAATCAAAATCCCCTTTCGCAAAGCGCTATCCCAGAACACTCCGATAGGTCTTTCACTCCCAACTTCTCTGGGTGGTATTCCTAGCAGACCTTTTCCAACGACTGAGAGAGGATCACGACGATCTGCCCACCCAGGCAAGATTGACATCACCACAGCCCCAATATTCACAGCTTCTACGGACAACAACTCAGCATCCGAAATTCCTACCACAACACCGCCTACATCTTCCGATAACCCGAGCAGTCACTCATCCACTCGCTATCCATTCCCAGAAGTACTCGTCCACCACCCAAGATTCCGCGTCTTGGTAGCTGAAGACAACCCGCTGAATAGTCGTCTCTTGGAAACCCGGTTGAAAAAACGAGGCCACACTGTGAAAGTGACGGTTGATGGACAACAATGCGCAGACATATACGAGCGGGATCCCGCGGCCTATGATCTTATCCTCATGGATTTACAGGTATGTACACCTTCCATAATGGGGTTTACAAAAGAACAAGAAGTACGCCCAATGTCCCAAGCTAAGCATCACAGATGCCCCTCGTAAACGGCGCCGCCTCAACGCGTCTGATCCGCGCCTTCGAGAAATCTACCCGCCCAAACCTATCCCCAGCTGCCCACTCCTACGGCCGCATCCCCATAATCGCCGTCTCGGCCTCGCTCTCCGAGTCGTCGCTCAAGGACTACCTAATGACTGGCTTCGATGGCTGGATACTGAAGCCGATTGATTTTTCTAGGCTCGAGATTATGATGGCGGCTACGCGGGATGAGGCGATGAGAAGGGGGTTGAGGTATGGGAATGAAAGTTGGGATATGGGGGGTTGGTTAGGAGGGGGTGGAAGTGAGAGTGAGGGCGGGGTTGAGACGCCGCGGCAGAAATGATGAGTTGAAGGTGGCGATCACCCGATCATGACCTGAGATGAAAGGAGATGGAGCACCAGTGGGTGACAGAATTACTTACGCACGGACTTCAAACACCGAAATCGCGAAATCGCGATTTCAGCAATTCCTATAACTCTAATTAAAACCTCAATATTGCTACCACCACTCGTCGCTCTAGCTATACAACCCTTCCCCCTAAACCTCTTGCTGGTAGAGAAGCTATAACTATGCGCAAATCCTGATTCTACAATGCAATTAAATATAGTCCTAAGGGGAAATCGCAGAGAGCAATTGCTTGTGAACTAGGTATTAGTAAAGGCATAGGATAATATTAGAGGAAATAAAGGGATTCTATAGCTGCTCTAGCACAGAGGAGCACTTGAGGAAGATCTACTAGGCTTAGAAGGCCCTTTAAAGTTACTTAATCAGTCTGCAAAGCGCTTATAAACCTCGAGAAGAATCCCGTCCGAAAAGCATAATATAAAGCGCAAATCAAGCACTATAATTTGCCTATCGGAAGGCGCTAATTATAGTGGAAATTGGAGGAGTATACTAAGGGAGGTTAGAAGTATAAATGCGCTTGTATTAAGAAGGTCCCCTTAGCCAAAAAAGAAAAAAACATCTAGGAGAGAGAGAGCGGAGTATAGAAATGCGTACAAGGGGAAGCCAATTGGAGCAAGGGACATGGGAGGGGTTTCTGAACAAGGACGGTCACAACACTCTTAAGAGAAAACGTCACTTGCCACTTTTCGATCTTGGATTCATATCATATCATATCATGGGACAAGCTTTGCTTTGCGTAACATGCTCTAATTCCCATCCAATGACGTTAGATAGAAAAGCCTAGAGGCCTTCATTGGCATGCGCAAGCCACACGACCACGTGTTTCTATTTCTATTTCTATATCTAGCTATGCTGTCAGCTCAGCCCAGCTCAGCCCAGCTCAGATCAACTCTGGAAAGGGATTCCGGAGGGTGGTTTGTTGCACTTCTCGGGTGCACATCGACGATCTGTTGCAGCAGGTTATTTATTACTGGGTCCCGGGCCAGGGGTACCTGATTGGATGGAGGGTAGAGAGAGTTCGTGCAACTCAGTACTGTACTGTACGCAAAGTCCGTAAGGCGAGGCGAGGTGAGGTGGGGTGAGCACGGCACGGTACGGCACGAGTAGTTGTTGGAAATATACATTAATTACCGATCGGTGCATTCCAATCCCAAAAGTATATACATACAAGTAGGTAGGTGTCTCTGCAGTCAGTTACCTCGGGACCATAGCTACTTTGACGCCATTACCCGACGACAGCGTCAGTGCCAGTCCCTCGACCCACTGCGTTGGATCTCTATTCTCCATTCCAGCGAACTGCTGCACCATCCTCACAATTGTATACGCGGCCTCGGTGAGCGCAAACTGCTGGCCGACGCAGATGCGAGGACCGCCGTTGAAAGGCAGATATGCCCAGCCTGGTCGGAGGCCCTCTTCAGGCGCCCATCTCTCTGGACGGAATTCTTCGGCATCGGCCCCGTACACGTCTTTGCGCCGGTGCATGACGTATGTTGAGTATGCGACCAGCGTGCCTTTGGGGACGAAGACGGGGGATAAGCCGTTGGGGCCCCCGCCGAGAGGCAGGACCGTGTCGTTTAGTGCGAAGCGGCCGTTGGCGGGGACGACGGGATAGAGGCGGAGAGCTGGAGCTGTTAGTTGCTATCTCGAATGCATGGCGCGGGAGGGGAGAGGGGGTAATTACATTCGTTGAGGAGATATTTTAGGTATTTTAGGTCTCTTAAGGTATCATAATCTGGTTTCTGGCCTTGAAGCTCGTCGATTTCGGCCTTGAGTTTGTTCCAGATGTCGGGCCGTCGGGCTAGGACATGGAATGTATGGCTGAGTAGACTGGCAGTCGTGTCCCGGCCCGCCAGGAGGACATTCAAGAGCTCGTCACGAAGCTGCTTTGGGTCCCGTGTTGCTTTCAACATTTCAGTCAGGAAGACGTATCGCTCTGGCTCTCCGGTACCATCGATTGATTTTTCGGCATCAACAGGATCCGCTTTTTCCAGAGCCTTGTTGATGATATTATCCACAAACTCGTGGACAACCTCGCAGGCGACGTCAAAATCCTTGTCTTTGAACAACCACACGAGCTTGGCGAGACGAGATCGCCTAGCCAATCGGTTCTGAGCCAGGTCAAACATCGTGCCAAACTGTTCTTGGGCTGATCCTTCGGTGCTGCTTAGTGAGGATACGGATTCGCCGAACAGAAACTGGGTCGCCGAGTCTAGCGTCAGTTGGAAGAAGAGCGTTTGGAGATCCACGGTAGAGCCATCTGTAGGGATCTTGGTAATGAGTTTTTGGATATGCGTCTCGAATGTGTTGAGATCGGCCACTTGAGACTTAGTAAAGTTTGGCCTGACGAGAGACTGTAGATAATTGCAGTTAGTGGTTATCTATGCAAGTAGTAGTTCGGCGCGACCTACTCTTGAATGTTCCCATTGCGCCCCATCTATTCAGACGTTAGCTTGAACATCTCAGCTCACGTGGAGGATGCCGTACCTGTAGTGAAGATGCCTGCTCCTAACAAGGGGCCCCAAGCGATCTGTCTTGCTCCTAGGCCATACTCCTTGAAGTTGACGGACAGAACGGTCTTGATATTCTCCGTCTCGATGGTATTGATGAATCGTCTTCCGGCTACAACAGCAGACCATGTAGAGCCATAGGTATCATAGCGCCATTTTGTCGTCTCAAGACTCTTCCTGCTTCTCGATACCTCGGCCTGGATTTTGTAGATGTCGTAGCCGATGATTCTTTCCAATTGGGGGATTCTGGTTTCGGGTTTGCAGCCATGTTTCCTCTTGAAGCGCGCCTCGTTGATGTAACTGATAACCTGGCTGGCCAGGAAGAGGATGGCCAGGAGGATGGCCAAGGTGTAGACTTTGTCTCCCATTGCTGTTAAAGTTGTAATTATTGGAGGATAATCGCAGGGGAACACGATTGTCAGGGGAAGCCGAGGTGGAACTGGCTGATTATTAAACCCGGGGCTGGAAGTGAGAAGCGTCAAAGCTGTGCAATGTTTTGGCGCAAAGACGGTTCATTATTAATTGTTGATGCGGGGGAACGGGTTGCTCTTAAATGGAGAAAGAGACGACGCAAGGTGCACTAACGGTTTTACCCCATACTCAGTACCTTTGAAACGAACGGGAGCGGAATATTCATACCGTTGCAGATTGCAGCCGAGCAGGCGCTCTCGAGGCGCTGCTTCGTAACCCAGCCTATTATTTGATTGCACTCGGTAGTTCAAAGTAGAATCAGGATCCAAAAGGCCAAATATGATTGGCTCTTTCTCCTCAGACGATCAACATGGACTCAACTCCTTCCACTGCTTAATAATACGAAGTACGAAGGTAAGGTAGGATGATCTACACGGCGACATGATCGCGGCGACCGGCAGCAAAACGCCGACGTCTTCTCTTTTCTTCCCCTCAAGTCGGACAGTTCGAAAGCACCGTCGGGGAAGAGTATCGATTGCATTCAAGTATAGAAGTACCTACGCCTCGGTTCATGTGGAATGATCATGAGATGGAGAAGACTAAGTTATCACGTGGGCTATGAATAAGAATAAAGCTGATATTAGAGTAACTGATGACTAGACTAGGTAGGCTGAGGCTGAGTTTATTTTTAAATACAGTAGTAGATCTAACACGATCTGACACGGGTGAGCCCCTATCTTACTCTCATCACGTGTAGTTCGGCCTATACCGGGTCGCGCTTTGAAGGCGAATGTGGCGCATTCCGTTTCGGCCCGCATCGTTATCGTTATCGTTATCGTTATCGTTATCAGCATCAGCCTCGAAAGAGTTGCGTTGCATGCAGCGTTATCCGTACCTAGCCTAGTACTGCACAGTAGGTACCTGTCCATCCAATGATCGATACTCGTAAGGTAGTGACGCAAGACGAGAGTGGAAAAGCCTTCAACAGGTTGAACCGAACTACTGCACTTTGTTGAGGTTGAGAAGAAATGACTCGTCTCACACTTGCACGCGTAGCCGTAGCCAGTACTCCCTACAAGTTCCTGTATGTACCTGTGATGATGTTATGATGCGTGCATGATCTGATCTGATGCCTCAGGCTGCTGCTGTATGTACACTTACCACTGCCGAGTACCTGCCTCTGCCCTACCCTACTCGTACCTACCCACGAGGCTACGCTGCTTCTACAAGTACTTGTCCCCATGTGAATATTCCCCTCCTGACCTAGTTACGTATACAGTAGTCGTAGCCTTGTGGTCACCAAAACCTCACCTTTCATAGTACGTACAGTACTTGGTATTGCTTTCATCAATCCTCAAGGCGCTGCTTGCGGCTGCGGAAAAAGTCCATTGTCTCACTCGAAAGCGTCCGAGGTTCCCCCATAGTACGTACAGTACCGAGGTATAGGTAGTTACAGTGCAGATACTGGCGCTCCTACTTCGCATTATGATTATATTATGATTATGATAATAATGATGATGATTTTGCAAAATCTTTCTCTTGAGCATCCACATCTAAATCCACATCCTCCCTCCCATATTGGAACCCCCCACTTCTAGCGTGTCGTGGTCGTGTTCCAGCCCGCCGCCTACCGGACCGCAGAGAGTATCGCCGTGACTTAAGTGGACCCTTTGACCCTTTTTTGGCTCTAAACTGCCCATGAGGCAACTTCCGACCAGTGCAGATCCAGCTTTCTGCTTCTGCATCTGATTTTACTTCTGCTTTGGCTTTGGCTTTGGCTTGTGAAGACGGCCAAGTCAGTCTCAGACGCAGTCTCAGTCCTGTTGCGCCATCCATTCATTGCGGATATTAATGATCCAACCCTCATTACTTGCATACATTGACTACCAGTATCCCTTTTTATACCCTACATTAACACTACTTGACTCGCAATCTTTACCCGTGTCTACTACCATATCAACCCTACCTACCCACCCAACCATTATAACCAGAGCCTCCCCTCGTAAGAGCAGAGAAATTCAAACATCACCTCTATCCCTTACTACCTCACACCGGCACCTGCACCATTTAGATGTTATAAGCCTCCAATATGCCCAGTTTCTTCTCTGGTGTGACAGGCAAGAGCAGCGCAACTCTTTTCGAGATTCGGTATGCCCTTTTTAGCTCCACAGTCTTGAGCGCGTACTTGCTAACACCTCGCAGCCTTGACAATGAAGTTATAATCCTTCGGGGAGAAGAGCATGAGGCCTCAAGTCAAATTCTCAAGGGCACCGTGGTTTTGTGCCTCCCAGCCGCCTTGAGGATTGAAGATGTACATCTGCGAATGACTGGAAATCTAAAGGTCGGGTGAGTCTGCGCTATTTCCTCCTTTTCCCCCTTTGCAGACTGACAATGTGCTTCAGATGGACCGATATGCGCATGACGGCGAGCGGAGTTTCGACCGACCGAGTCAGCAAAAGTACGGAAATATTCAGCCACAGATGGCCAGCATTTGATCTTGGCAATGGGCCCGGATCCTCTTCGAAACACACATCAACACTACTAGCCGGAAATTATGAATGGCCATTCGAACTTGTAATACCGGGGTCTATGGCAGAGAGTGTTGAAGGTCTGCACGAAAGTCATATTGTATACAAGCTGAAGGCCACGGTGGCTAGGGGGAAGCTCGCATACGATTTGCACGCCTGGAAACCAGTTCGTGTGGTGCGGACTTTGGATCCATCTGCTTTGGAATTGGCACACGCCATGACGGTCGAAAATGTCTGGCCAAACAAAATTGAGTACCAGCTCATAATTCCTCAAAAGGCAATCATCTTTGGGACAGCGATCGACGTTGAAATGAGATTCACGTCATTACTCAAAGGGTTAAAAATTGGCCAGATCAAGTGCCTTCTTATTGAAGAACAAGAATTCAGACTTCCCGGCCTCACAACACAGTCAGAGAGGAGGCATAAGCACACCAGAGATATTGATAACTGGACGTTCGAAATGAATGATGAAGAACATTATCATGACCTGTTAGAAGACGGACAAGATGGTTATGTGTTAAAAGAGCAGATGCCACTGCCCAAGAAACTCAGCCGCTACATTCAGGACGTCGAGGTTCACGGCATTAAAATACGCCACAAGGTCAAATTTACGGTTGCTTTGCACAACCCAGACGGGCACATTTCAGAAGTAAGTACAGCGATTTCTATCCCAGCAGCCGAAATTAACGAGTCTAGCTTCGTGCAACACTTCCTGTCACGGTATTTATTTCACCGAATATGCCCCTAACTTCCGATGGGGCTCTTGTCGACCAAACTCCGATGAGCACACAATCAATAGATATTGTACAACACGCTCCACCACTATATGGAGAACACCTTTTGGACCAACTCTATGCCGATATGGATCAGACCGGCCTAATGACACCAGCACTTCAATCCGGAATGAACACGCCCTTTTATAACCAGTCACGGTATGGCTCATCGGAGAATCTTTCTTCAAGCCTTGATGGAGCTGCTCATCCAGATGGTGCAGTTCCACCTGCAGCTTTGTCATCTAGACTTCAGAATTTGAATTCTATGTCGCGTAACAGCAGTTTCGTAGGAAGGTATCCAGGCAATAATTCGGGAGGCAACACCCCACACCATCACTCTCGTGATAGCGAAGCAAGCCACACGCCAACCAATGGGATCTCTGGGCATCAAAGTAATCCATTAAGTCGTCGAACCAGTCAGGAAGAGGATCATCCAGCGGTGGTGTCGAATATGGCGAGTGGCCAGCATACCCCTGAGCATATCGACTTTTCCGATCTCGGAGATCTGTCCAAGGTGCCCTCGTACGCGACGGCTGTCAAAACGCCAGTGCGAGGTATGAGTTACAGCGACGCATTACCAAATTACAACGCTGCTACTTCAGCTCCTCCAAGTCCGCAACGCACTCTTACGAACCCTTATTTCGTTGGAGCTGAATTGATGATGACCAGCGGGGCCTCAACTCCCCATCGAGAAAGGGGAAACCCGATGGCGAGTCTTGGCTTCACACCTATCCATCCGGTGACGCCTTTACATCTCCCCGCAGCTGCACATACGGGAGATACAGATGAGGAGCGGAGACTACACATACTTCAACATAGAGACCGACATTGAGCGATTTAGACAAGACATGACGACACGAGATAATGCATTGTGGAAAGGCGTTGGGTTGGATAATATAATAATAGACCTGATAGGCATTTCTGAGGAGTCGAGGATTCCCCCATGATTTAGTGGCGCAGGGGTTTTGTTTTTGTTTCTTTTTTTCACCTACAGTATCAATCGCTCCTCTTAAAATACCAATTTGCATTTGGCCGATCAAACTATCTTTATCCGCCCATGTCAGTAAACAGCAAGTTTGACTGGCACAGCCATAGCCGAATACCGTATCAAGATGTTCTTCACCGAACAGTAGAAATCAAATATATTTCCTAATGTTTTATGAACGTTGGCATGGATTAGTCTATGCTCCGGGTGACTGTCCTGTGGTATTGGGAAGTTGCTCCTCAATTTGCTCCAGTGAGTAGCTGGCTACCATGGGGGTCAAGAAAGCTATCCGGTTTCAGACTTTCTTTTTCCATGAGTCCTTTAGGCAAACCTGGGACTTTAATGTATAGCTAAGCTCTCTTGATTCCTTGCAATGGCTCATTTGAAGCAGGACGTTAAATTATCTTACGCTACAGGTAATAGTATGAGATACTCGAGAAGCTTTGTGGAACACGAAGTATACATTTTTTACAGGGTTTTATACATACAACTATCTATGCCTGCTGTCCGGAAACCAGTAAAATAACACTCCCCAACTGCCTCCTCACATCCTCCTTCTCCACATCATGCGTATCCTCCACCTCCCCCCACATGCCCGTCTGCCACACCACCTCCAAGGTCGCCGCCCTCGCCGCCTCCTCAACTCCAAACTTCTCCCCCGTACCCTCATCCCTCAAATGCGCTAGTTCCGTACTCCATTCCACCAGCAACCTCGCCGCACCCAACAGTCCCTTTCCAGCCAGAACCGCTCTCTCCAGCCCCGCTAACTCGAAAGCCGGAAGCCCGCTCACCCACCCCTGGATAACATCCTTTGTCATCTGCGGCTGGCTGCGCGGCATGATCGAGCCCTCATCAAGTACCGGTATGATTACTACGCCCGGCCAAACCCTCTCGGTCAAAAAGGAGATGATGGACTCGGCCGTACGCTTCTGTATCGAGCGCAGGCTCTCCGTGCGCCCAACGTGTGTCTCGTAGCCGGGGGGGTCTGGACTTGCTTCGGGCGCCCAGCAGAGCAGGGAATCGGTGTCGAGGTACCGCATTACCGTCTTGACGATGTTGGCGCGGATATCGCCGCTGCTGGGACCGGCTGCGTCTTCGTCTGCTATGTCGAGCGCGCGGGACACGAGGGATGTGAGCGGGATCAGGTGGTGGCGGAGCGCTTGCTGCGCCGAGACGAGGAGGTCCCATTCCAGGGCTATGGCGGAGGCGAGGTGGGGTTTTTGGTGCGGGATGGTGAGGATTGCTTTTGAGGGCCGGCGGAGCGGGCGCGTGTCGAGGTAGATTTGTAGACCCTCTATCATTCCAGTTATCGGATATTAGTATTCTGAAATATGGTATGCATGGGCCAAGATGAAGACGAGAAGAGTACGGGGGAAAGTAATTAGTTACCTTTTTCATGCTTCACATGTACATCCTTCCAAAACCTCTTCGTCTTCGCAGACCCGCCCCCTTTTCCGCTCTCCAGAGCCCGCATATCCTGGCCCTTTTTCAAGAGCTCGGCCTGCTTCCGCTTCCGGGCCACTCGTGAATCGACGTGTTCTGCGCTGGGCGTTGGGGGTTTTGGGGGTGGACCGGAAACTGTCATTGGGGGCTACGGTTGCTGGGCTGGGGGGCGAGGTATGGAGGCATCTTTGGGAGAAGAGGGGTATTTTTGGGGTGTAGGAATGGGATCTTAAGGCTGGGACGCCTCGGGCCAGGGGGAATTGGGTGATGCGCTTCATGGTTGGAGGTGAGGTTGAGGTTGATGTTGACTTTGTATGCTACAGATACTTTTCGGAGGCTTGGGCCGAGGCTGGCCCGTGCACAAATGCTTCACCAAGCTACGCTAGTCTCAAGGTTCTTATTCTCTACAAGTAGGTAGTACTTTCTCTTCTTTCCTTAGAAAATCAACATCCTTGGCAATGTCCCTGGAAGATCAACCTGGTTATCTGTTGAACATGAATGGTCATTAAATACTACCTACGCATAAAAGCGTTGACTCACGCATGAGCTTCGCGCTCAATAATGCCTTCGATTTTCAAATCAGCCGATACGTATTCCAAGAGGCAAGAATCTTTGTTATATATGACAGAAGAACTTGCTTCGTTCATCATCTCATTTTCTACTATCTCGCTGTATGTTCTCACATGTTAACGAATACTACGCTAGTCTCTTATTCCATTATGCTTGCCATACCTGTGTCTTGTAGTCGTTCTATCTACTGCATTAGCTGCAACCCACCATGTACAATACAAATCGGTGTCATGGATGTTCATTTACATTTGATATCTTTAGCTCGATTTCGTCGTACACAAGCCTTATCCCTGTCACAACCAAATTGGGGTTGGTTCCACTGTCGTTGAGAAAAGGAGTCAAGTGAAAAGGCATCGCCTCAGACTCTCAGGACAGCTCACTCTATTTCGAATGCTTCCCCTAACGTAGCCCGCAACAGTCTCTATCGGAAGACGTGGTACAGATCTTTCAGATTCCCACAGCGTATTCATTCTATTCCCATTGGCCGAGGTGCCCAATACGTGGGGCCCAAGCTTTTCGCTCTCAAAGCTCACCTGCGCCTCATCGCGACGATGTTAACTTCTTCAATATACCGATGAATTGAGCCTTCAATTGGACTCAACTTGGGTGTAAAACTTGTACTTTTGAAATTAATGCGATTGTTACTTCCAAGCGTTTCCGCTCAAGTCGTAAGGTAGGGGCATTTTCAAGATACTTAAAGCCTCTTGAAGCCCTGCAAATGTCTCCCAACTCACACTCGTTCTTCTCTGATCACTGTCGTTTTTGAGTAGTTTCATCTAATCCATCTATAATGCTCCCATCTTTTTATCCTTTATGGGTTACTATTCTTCTTTCCTGTACAGTATTTGGTCAATACTTTCCTCCATCCCGGAGGAAATCACGGTTATCGACTCCAGATTTGGTGAGAATATTACTATATCTTACAAAGAGGTCAGTAAACATCCTGATGTGCCTTCAGCACGATAATCACTAAAGCGAGCCAAGACGTCTATTTGCGAGACGGCTCCAGGAGTTCGTTCTTTCAGCGGATACGTGCATCTTCCACCAGACCTCACAGTGTCCCGCGGCTACCCGATCAATACATTTTCCTGGTTCTTCGAATCCCGTGTCAATTCCTCAAATGCACTGCTCGCAATCTGGCTTAATGGCGGACCAGGGGCATCTTCGGTAGCTGGAGCCCTGGGAGAGAATGGCCCATGTATGGTAGGGGAAGATTCGAATTCCACTACACTGAATCCGTGGTCTTGAACAGCAAGGCAAACATGCTTTACATTGACCAGCCAGTGCAGGTTGGCTTCTCGTATGATACCCTTGCAAATGGCACTTTCAATGCTCTAGCTACCGATCTGTTGCCCATCATTGCCAATTTCTCAGAAGGCGTCCCGGAGCAAAATGATACTTTCTTTATCGGGACTTTCCCATCTCTCAACTCCAAGAATACTGCAAATTCTACTGGTAATGCTGCGCCCGTTGTTTGGGCTTTCTTACAGGCTTGGCTTCAAGAGTAAGTCCTGCGTTACAATTGAGTGATAATTACTAACTAAACACCAGCTTTCCCATGTACAAGTCGCCCAATAATGAACTCAGCATCTGGGCGGACTCATATGGGGGTCATTGGGATCCCAGAGTCGCGGATTTTATCGAGAAGCAGAATGATAAGATAGCCGCAGGTGCTCTCGAATGCGCAAAGGTGATCAATCTCGATACAGTTGGTATCATCAATGGCGTGATAGACTTCAAAATCACTGCTGCTTCGTACCTGGTGTAGAGTCTGGGATTCTATGACTATTCTGGTATATCTCTAGAAAATCAAACGGTAAATATACAACCACTTACTACCTATATACCAGGACCTCTGCATAATTGTCCGTTTTATGTCTTATCACAAGGGGGTTTCATAGCTTCCCTGCCGGGAAGGATCTAGGCACAAAACCTTTGCATCATAATATGGCATACAATAACACCTATGGCTCCCTAGTCATCACAAACGCCGAATATGAATCCGCAATGATGAACCTCACCACTTGTACAGGGCTTCTTGATAAGTGCCAGAGCCTCGGTGCTATCTATGACCCGGACAACTGCGTCATGGCCGAGGGCGATATCACTAGGGGTGGATTTCTCGACATGCTAGGAAATCTTCTGGATCGGGGAGTACAAGTGACATTAATATATGGAGATCGAGACTAGATTGGAAATTGTACACCACTGCACCCGTTGTTAACCTAGCATAGCTCTAGATTCTCAAGCAGGGATCGCTGGAGAAAAAGGAAGTCTTGCTATTAACTCCAACCTTTTCGAGGGCTTCAAAACAGCTGGGTACGCAAACATCAGCACCAATGCAACATACGAAGGAGGTGTAGTTCGCCAGCATGGAAATCTCTCATTCTCTCGAGTTTTCAATGCCGCTCATGGAGGTCAGCTAGCCCCGTCTACCGCCCTCCAAGCCCCCGCATGTCTGTCTAACTTATATTCGGTTCCTACCAACCCGAAACAGCATATCGCATCTTCGACCGTGCAATGTCTCACGCTGATATTGCTACGGGACAAGCCTCGAATACGGCCAACTACTCGACATCGGGGCCATCTTCCAGTTTCCAGTATAAGAATCAGATGTCTGAAGATCTCAAGAAGGTCTGCTATACTCTTATGGTACTAAGTACTTGCACTACCGCGGACATCCAAGAGCTGGCTGCGGGGATGGCGGTCGTAAGAGACTTTGTATTAGTAGGCTACGTAAAGGCAATGCTACAGTTTGGTATTAATAGGGATATACGGAAGTATAATTAAGGAAGTGCTGGAGGGGAAGACTTTTCGCGACTTAGAATTCATTCCTTTGCATCTCGGGGGGAGGGACTGCTTAGCGTGGACCTCTTCCTGTCTTTAAGTCCTCACGTAAATCAATGCTGCATCTAAGTAGTTTCTTACAGTTCCGACCGGCTTCTATCATAGAATCCCACTTATAATTCATCCTCTCCCTATCATTTTCAAAAGATTTTAGGGTGCGGCCACTTGCAGGATTTAATTTTGATAATTCACTACAAAGTCTGGCTTAGGAGACTTGTGGGAATGCCCTCAAACGCTCGCAGGATTGCGTCAGGACAGCTTCAAGCAACACATGACCTTCATTCCAACTCCTCAGCAAGGCCATGTATCTCACATCTAGCAAAAAACAGTGCCCAAGACTTGAGTGAGAATCCCAAGTTTCTTTTCCCACAGCCTTAATGACTTCTAGCATGGATTCTTCTCATAGGAATCTTTCCCGATAGAAAGAAAATCGTTGGAAGAAAACAACCTTGGCGGCGGATGGGGGGTTTATACTAGGAGCTAAGCTGCATTAGGTTTCGATTCTCTCCCTCTTTCCTTCCACTTTCGGCCAGGATGCAATTTTGCGTCAGGCGAAATGCTACTACGCCTTCAATTGCTGTCCGGTCGCGCATACTATAACATTTAAGAAGCATTGCTGCTACCCCGCTTGATTGCTCGCTCGCGATGCACATGCGATTCATGTATAATATTAATGTATTCCTGGAAATGTATGTATGTATGTATGTATGTATGTATGTACAATCAGTCAATTATACAGTATAGATGTCTAACTACAAAGCCAAGTTCTCTCGCTAGGTTTCTCTCATATCTTCATATACCGATGAAATACAGCTGCTGGAAATAGCCGAGCTACAAGATGCGTAAGGTTAAAACCATGAAGCATTATCACGTCCATTTGTCTTGCAAGTTGAAGGTAATATCACACTTAGAAGTAAAGCCTGGCCTTCCTATTGATTATAACTTTGCTATTAAGTATCCTGAAGAAAGGATAATACGGTCTAGGCTGCTGAATCGCCTGTGCTTTGAAAATCGCCTCGCTCTATATTAATCCTTGGCTCCTACCCCATCCCAAGATATACTAGGATTCCAAGACAGCAATCTTTATATATAGCTTTATAATTGATAATTCAAGATCTTGGTTTTAGTCCTTGGGATCTGCCAAGTCACGACGGTCATAGATGGCGCAGCATCATCGCTGACAGCATCAAGGCAGGGACACTCCGCGTCCCTTTATCTTACTAGGAGATATTACAGATATCTGAGAACAATCCTTTAAAGTAACGTGGGTCATAACAGCATCTGATCGAAGGAATTCGACGCATCTAAGTAGGTTTACTGTTTTCATGCCCCCACCCCCCCAAAATTAAATCCCGATCTTCACTTGATGGAGAGGTGGGTTGGAATGTGTGAAATATAACGTAGCCCAAATGCCAGTAGAGGTTTTAATGGCAAAACATTATAGCTACTATTATCTCACGTGGAGCTGGGCTTGAGATGTAGATGTATTATAAAATAACGTTGAGTTTTTCAATGAGCCTCAATTCAACAATATGAATACCAGCGGTGAATTATGTACTCTCCCTCATGTCGAGTACGACTAGTGAAGGGGAGGGGCTGCTTTCCCTCTGAAAGAGCAAGCATAGCCAGATGTCCGCGACTAGCGGACCGGAGTGATTGAAGAAAGCTAGGTAGAGCATGAATTGCTGTTGGTACTAGGTACGACATCTACACACTCTGCATGAACAATAAAATACGACGAGTAGTACGTCAAAGATACAGACGACTGTTGGTGCATGAATTCGCAGATCTACAATAACAGAAGCACATTCCTCGAAGCCTCCACAGCTAGAAAACTTTTGCCCGGAAGAACAATAGCCTTAGCATAGCTTAGATAGGATGGAGATGCACCTGATCAAAGTCATCAGAGGTAGCGCATTGGATAGTAGGATGCATCAGAACAGATGTTCAGGCAGAGCTATATCAGAGATCCGGAAGTATTCTCGTTCTGTTGGAAGACGCTACTCTGCTTTCGAATGCGAGCTCGCAAGAAGAAAGGGATGGTAGGAATGAGATGACGGCATGAGGAGAAAGATGTCATAGGATTTATTCTTGCTAAATGCCTTATCTTTCCTATTGTGCGTTAAGAGGAGATACTAAAGACACAGGAACTTGAGGATCCACGTTAGGGGTTCTTTCTAAACCTCGCAAAGTTTGGCACTATTGGATTTCATAACTAAAACTGGGATGCTGCTTGCGCCTCAAAGCTTCCCGTCCGTTGAGGATTAAACTCTGAGAAGGTGGATGGGAGTCAACTCAACGGAAATGACATAACACAAGAGTTCCCGCTGGGCTGCAAGTTTTGATCCGAGAAATTGGACGCCCTGAATAATGGCTGCGCGAATCAATTCATGCCCATAGGTGAGCAGCAAGTGTCCGTCCTCGAAGTATGCTTGTCTTTGCATGCTAAAGAGAGTTCATGGACCCCGCTATTCGTGATTGACATGAAATACGAAAACAAGGTCGGTAGTTGACATGAGATACGAAAACAAGGCAAAGGTAGCAGTAAAGATGTAGAGTGGGTGGAGTGGATCTTCCTATCTCCAGCTTCCGAACATGAGAGATAGAAAACACATTTCTGCGTTGGCTTCACCGTCTCCAATACTCTTGTTGTCACCACCAGCCACATATGAAATACTCGGAAGCGGCGAGAATCGTTTCTGAGGACACGGGAGGAATAGACAGATCTCGGCTGCAACGGCCATCCCTACCTTGAATTTGCATATATCCCCAATGCCTCAAACCAGGCTCTTGGACTTGTGAGTGGAAACACTTGTATGCAAGTCTGCAAGCCTGGCAGCCCAGACTCTGACATCCAAAGTCCAAACCAATAGACCCGCAGAAGTACAGAAGCGTTTGGCAGCTGCATAGTGCACACTCATTCGCTGCAGATATAGAGTCGCAGCGATCTGCGACCGTTGGCCGTGGCGACATACACGAGATGTTTGGAAATAGAAAAGCGGGACGACTGGATGTGAAGCTCCGAATTGACGGTGATGGTGGGGTCCTCCCGCATCGCTACGAGCACGTCCCGCTTGACATGTGACGATGGCTTGTGTTGATTGGAACTTGAAACAACTGGGGAAGAAAACCTGGAAACCAATGAATCATATGTAATTAATCTCCTGGCTTCCTGTCTCAGAGCAACGGTATTACTATCATATATAGAGTAGAAGTATTAAATGCATTCAATCTGATGATCCAACTTTCAAGGCATCTGAACAGGAAATAGATTAAAATTGGCCCTATGACTGCACATCTCGTACAATTGTTGGAAATGTATATTTGGAACTGGACCCGCGGTCGAAACGAGAAAGCATATTTCGCTCCTAAGGTACGAAGTAGGCTTTTTACTTTAGTTTACACTAGATCTTGAATTATGATATATGTACATGTACGATAGACTTTGCAAAGGGTGTTCCGTACGGAGTATAGTAGTAGTACTGTAGCATCGGGTTTACTCGGTAGGTTGATCTTCAATGCCCTGCTCGGCAACCGCTGGTTGTGCGGCTAGGTACCTACCAGGTAGTTAATTTATTTAATTTATCTAATTTATTTACCCCAAGTTAGGTAGGTAAGATTACTACTGGTAAGTCGGCGACAGTGTCATCTTTGATCCTTGTCCCAACGGTCACAACAGGGGTAGCTAGCGGCAAGCCACTTTTCAAGGTTCAGAAGGAAGCTAGTAAAGTTACGAGCATGCATGGCTCGCATCATTGGCCTTGAGCCTGCCTTAGAAAGGAAAGAGGGCTGTTTGGGCTTTGAGGCTTTTTAGTGGATCAAAGCCAAAGCCAAAGCCAAAGCCAACGTCAAACTCAATGCACTTTCACGAGGAAACATGGCATTTTGCAAAATACGGAGCATGGCCTTTTGCTCGAGTATGACCCTGCTGATCTTATAATCCGTCCACATGCGGAGAGATTAATGTAGGACAAGCTGCGTGCAGGAGGAGCAGGAGGAGCAGGAGCAGGAGTGACAAGTTCTACCAATGCTTTTTCGGTGTCAATAACTGTCCTTCCGCACATACCTCAAATACTCCGTACAGCGTACCTCATGTACTGACCTCCGAGCAGTAGCAGTCGGTCTGCATATCCCAAAGCTCCAGGCTGACGCGGGAGGTCCCTTCCTTCTTGGTCCCTTGGCGCTCAAGACATGCACCCTTGACCTCCAAGCTGTGAGCGAATGTACGGAGTAGCTGATAACTTGATTGCCACATAGACAGCTGCCAGACTGACAGGAAACCCCCTATCGGCGCATAAGGTAGAAGAATACAGAGAGGTACAGAAAGTTGATTGGGGAACTGTCGGGTCAGGGGCGCATCGCCGCAGCCCATTATTGAACCCAATCGCCACACAATGTACCTACCTTATCTTACACTTTATCAGTTTCAACGTTTTGAAGCTGTATCTGATATCCTTCAGGCTAACATCGTCGTCAAGCATTCGAACCGGATCGTACCCAGTACTCGAGTAGTATGCGCTGAAATCGGCGGTCCATGTGTGTCTCGGGGGGCTGAAGACTCTGGCCCATCTACTAGCGTCTCGCCTGTTTACTTCTCGCCCCGCCCCGCCCCCCAGCTATCTGTACCCTGGGTGCAGCACTGCAAGCATACAGTAGTGAGTACACCCAGGTACTCACTGATATACCCTGCGATACCGCATGTCACAACTTCCAAGGATTCACTCAAACACACACTTTCAACCATTATACCTCGACTCTCGTTTTCAAGGCTGCCAATTCCATCCAAGTTGATTCTTCCTTAGTTGCCGTTGCCCATTGTTTACTTTCATATATACACTCCTGTTTAATCCCTAATATAATTCCGTTCGCCTTTCTCCCCAACCTGAGGAACACAGTACAACATGGAATATAGAGGTGCCTCCGGTGTGTCCACCGCAACAACACCAATGCGTCCTGGGACCCCAGAGAGCAAAAGCAGAGACCCTTTCGGTGAAGAAATACTTCCAGCACCCCCCGCCAACCCTTTCTCCACCCCATTCACCTCCAGACCGGTATCATCCTCCGCTTCCTCGTCGGCCTTGCGAGAAGGACCAGACCCCCCTAGATATTTCCATTCAAGACGAGTAAGGAAAGGAGAGGTTGAGAAGCCGTGGATAGCAAATAAAAATCCAAAGGAGAAATGGGTTACAATTATTCCGTTGATAGGGCTGGCGATAGGTTTTGCACTGGCTGGTTTCTTGGTATATGATGGGCTCCATTCAGTAGTACACCACAAGTACGAACTAGTCTTAGACGAGAATTTCTCTGAAGGACTCAACAGTGCCATCTGGACAAAGGAAGCTGAAGTTGGCGGGTTTGGGTAAGCTCCTTCTTTTGTATGATCACCAGTAGGACTACACTAACAGTCTTACATAGTAATGGCGAGTTTGAGCAGACAACTCTGACAGACGAGAATGTTTTCGTTCAAGATGGCAAGCTCATCATCAAGCCTACCCTTCAAGATGCCTCCCTCATCGAATCCAACACGGTCATCAACCTCACATCCGATGGCACTTGTACGTCAAACTCTCTGAAGAGCTGTGTCTCAATAACAAATATAACGGCCGGTACCATTATCCAGCCTGTGAAGTCTGGACGTATCAACACAAAGGCCGGTGCATCAATCAAATATGGCCGTGTAGAGGTTACCGCCAAGATGCCGGTTGGTGACTGGTTATGGCCTGCTATTTGGATGCTGCCTATGAATGACACTTACGGTCCATGGCCATTGTCTGGAGAAATCGATATCATGGAGTCTCGAGGAAACAACCACAGCTATGGGCAGGGCGGAAACAACATTGTATCCTCGGCCCTACATTGGGGACCCGACCCAGCGAATGATGCTTGGTGGCGCACCAACGTAAAAAGGGCCGCTCTACACACCACATATGCTGCCAAAGAACACACCTTCGGTCTCGAATGGTCTCAGAAGTACCTCTTCACATACATCAACACCAACCTCCTACAAGTCCTATACACGAATTTCGACGAGCCTCTATGGAAGCGCGGCGCATTCCCCCCTGCCGACAGCAATGGAACGCGCTTGGTCGATGCTTGGAGTCAGACTGGCCATGACCAGACGCCGTTTGACCAGGAGTTTTACCTGATCCTAAATGTTGCCGTAGGAGGCACCAACGGTTGGTTCAAGGATGGTGAGAGCGGCAAGCCATGGGTTGACAACAGCCTTACAGCCAAGAATGATTTCTGGAATGCCCAGAAACAATGGTATCCAACATGGTCGGCGCCAGGTGCTGGCCAGATGGAGATCAGCAGTGTGAAGATGTGGAAGCAGGTTGATGGCAATGAGGATGCTACTTGAGACGAGAGCTCATACATAATACGGTATTGTTTATAATTGGTCATGTTTACAAAGGCGCAGGGGGATGGATGAAAGCTAAGGAAGGGGGGTTTAGACGGATCTGTTTTACGGCGCGTTAATGTATCTTCTGTTTGTAGATATCGGATGCGCCGATCTGCATTCCGGAGATACAATCTCACACTCTCTCGTCCATCCATCAATCGATGGAGATAACCAGCTACACACTACAAAATAATATAAATAGTACATCCGAAAATATCTGCAGTCTTTACCTACTTACCTACTTTCCAAAACTTAACTCTAGTCTACGGATTAATTACAGCCCTGTAACCGGCCACTATTGCATGCATATCTAACCACGACTCTCCCGAGAAAATCTCTCTTGGTCGAAGGATCCACGACAACGACGCAACGCCCGTTCAGACGATATCTGCAGCTTCCCGTTAGCTAGCTAGCTAGTCATACCAACACATGTATGTATGTATGGGTTCTTATCTGGACAAGCTGAATATGCGGTGGCACTACACTACACCGCACGCACGTACGTACAGTACGCACCCGACTTAAGCTTGGAGACAGATGAAGATGGTATGCTATGCTATGCATGGACCCGACTGGCATGGCTGGCTGTCTTGAGCTGGGCGATGAAATGAAATGAAAGTAGGTAGGTAGGTATTTATCTATCTATTAGGCGGACGTACCATACATAGATACCTATCAAATGCTCTTTATAATCTGCTCTTCTCTAATAAAGTGGGCGGATACGTACGGATATTTTCTGTTACTGTCATGTCCTGTCATGTATTGTCATGTTATTAATTAATTACTGGAGCAGCAAGCACTACTAGGTACGATTTCGTTTATTTATTTACTCATTCATTCACGCTTTCTACAGGGACTGAAATCACAGATAGTGTAGTAAGTGTAGTTAGTGTGATGGTATAGCCACCTAAATTCAGCCATACCATACCTTCAGAACTAACTTCCGCTCGCTCGCTCGCTCAGTCTGCGATTTAATAGCTAGGCATGAACTATTGAACCATTTTTTTCAATGAGCCGCAAGGCTACAGTACCTAGGTAGGCTGGTTGGCGGGCGGGCGGAGTCTTTCTGATGGGTTTCTTAGGTAGGTATTGTAGTCACAGCTGACGGTGACGCTATTATTAGGAGGTGGAAATAGATGTGGAAGGACGTGTATACGCTGGCCTTCTTGTCTGTTTATTTCTGATATCATTTCAAATTGGGAAGAGGCGGAGGCTGATTGATTGATGGATGCAATGTTTCCGATCGATTTATACTATACCTAGGTACTGCATGCCTGTTACCATGGTAGGTAGGATGAAGCTGGATACGAGCGAACGAGCGTTATCACCGAGTCCTTCGATCGGGATGAGAGGTGGTGGCAGTACTGGGTGGTGGGTGGGTGCTGAGGGACCTGAAACGGCACGTTGGGGTTCCGGGAGGCGTTTGTCGCTGTGACATTGAAGTTCTGTGTACATGTTGGGCGCGTGTTGTGGTATGGGGGCGTTTTGTACTTTGTGCTTTGTACATTCGGGGGATTTCTTTAATTGCAGCCTTTCTATCTGCTTGTTGTAGGTCGGGACGCCACATTATGCAAGGTGGTTTTTCAGCACTTCACTTCTCTTCCAAATGATTTTGATGTACGTTGCCAAGGTTGTTTATAGTAGCATATGTGCCAGAAGCAGAATATCTTGGATTTTCTAGAGGTTTTGCCCATGGGGTGTGATGTTAGGATACATGGCATGCATGGGCTCGGGCCGTTGAAGGCTGAAGATACAACGTGGTCTCGGGTGTAACAGCGTTATATATGGCAATACGGAAGCAAGTAGAAGATCAACGAATCAGATCTCCTATCCTGCCAACTAGGATAGGAGAGTGGAGAGCTCGCCACATCCATCCACTCTAGTAATATATCCTCATCTATCCTTAAATTAAGATTATTACCCCTATTTTCAGGCGGGTTTCCTCTAATTACCCTATTTAGCGTCTTTTGGTTTCTATCTTTCCACTCCACTTTTACTCTCCTATCCAGCTGTTTTTCTCTCTCTTGGAAGCCTTCCAACCCCACTTTTATAGCTCTCCACCAGTGTACTTTCATCTCTCCACTCCAATCCTTCCAGAAAAATAAGGCATGCACTCCACTCCAGTGGTCAATTTTGTGGCTGGATAGGAGGGTTGAAACGCTGCAGAAGATAGGTATTGTGCAACGTGAGAAAGAAGTGAGACATGCAGATGGTTCGCAGAAGAAGTCCAAGAATGTCAGTAGGGCTGACAGGTAATGCAGAAAGACCCCGGCTCACGTCTTTGTACAACTAGGTATAGATGCGGTGAGCAATATATTGTGTTTACTGTTTTTGCATAGAAATGTGGAGTCCGTACTCCGTACTTTCTACAGAATGCCCGAGACGTGGGGTTCTTTGCCGTAATCTGGACTTCTTTTCTGACAGGATGCAGGTGAGGTTTTGAAAAGCGATTGCTTACAATCCTCACACTTGGCACTACTGTTTCGATATGAAGGTGGAAAGCGTTGTTTCACACATGCAGGTTGGTGGCTGGGGCTGGGGCTCGGTTCAACTTTTGCAATGGATAAGCCGGCCATTGAAACATGCCTGTGTTCCGACATCTCGGGAATCTAAATATCTTCTCGGTGGTAGCATTGCGGGCCGATGCCCAACGCTCTACCTATAAAGGCCCCACAATCCGAGCATTCGGGAAGTCCATAAGGTACCTAGTAGATAGAAATAGGAGGAAATCTACTACTATAAGTGATAGAAATCTTGCTTCCGTGCAAGCCGTCTGAAGGCGTACGGTACATGTACAGCTGCGTTTCCAGCCTGCGCTTTTGCTATTTGCATCATATGCAAATGCAAAGTTCGTATTTGACAGCACAGCATGCATGAGCTGCAGTTGGAGCCTTAGCTCCAACTCTCGTGCCGCTCGCGTGCGCCTTAAGGTTGTTGGACAAAAATAATAATTCATGTCACATTGCATATGATAATGCACAAGTCGCTGTGATACCTCTGATCTCACAACGCCGAGTCTCGTGACGAGCGAGTTAATGCACGGAAGGCTTTATCTTTTGCTTCTCGTACGGTAAGGTCTGGTCCTAATGACGTCATATTTAAATCAAAAAGGATGGAAAATACTGCCTTACGGAATTGTCTTTAAATTGCGTACAAAACATTAAAAACGGAGCGATTTGTGTTTTAGGAACCATTTCGGCGTTATAAGACGAGATGAGAGTACGGCAGGATGCCGACTCCCGCGAAAGCTATAGGGGGTTCCCACATTGAGCGTTTCCTGTAAAAAGTATGATTGGAAAGCATTTCGACACGAGTGTACTTGAAAACTAGGAATCCTAAATAAAGATCTAACAAGAAGCCCTTGATAAGCACTTTGTATACTTTCAACATTAGGTCGATGTATGGAATTTGCAAGTCTCTCGGTACAATGGTGGTAGAGCTTGAAGCCAGAGTATCAGTATCACCTGATCTTATATTATGAGCATCGGACTGTGTATTGTGTAGCATGTATTAATTGTCCAAAGAGGGATACCTATTATATTCTTCAGGCAATAATAGAGATCACCTTGTTTTCATTTCCGCATTATTGTATTGCACAAAGCTAGTATAATGATGACCATGAGTTTCCAAGCAAACTCAATTCGTGATAAAAGGATTTCAGAGTTCCGACGGTCTCTGCCAACCTTCCAAGTTCCCAGACTAGTAAGGGAAAATATACGGGAAAATTATAGTAAAAATACCCATGTACCTACCCTGATTGGTGGACGGTCAGATTTACCTTGCAAAACTTGATAAGCTGCGAAGCTGCGGTCTAAACAAGGCAGTTCGCAAACGCCTGCTAGACTCAATACTTCGGCAATACCGCCACTCGTTTCAGTACTTCGATCTACGAGTATTCTCCAAGCGACCGGGTGGATATCAGCACTTTATCGCGTGCGTACGGAGGGATCCCGTCTAAGACACGGAAGCTAAGGAGAGGTGCCAAGCCACAACTGCCTCATTGGGCAACCTTTAATCCGGCCCCCTGCTAGTGCAGATCTCACATGGCGACATGATCCAGCGCCACCTGAGGGGAGAAATAGTTTAAACAGCGTAGCGCGCATCTAACCTCCGCCTCCGCCTCCGCATCCTATTTTGTGAAAGCTTAAGGTAAGGAAGGTATCGCAACGTAGCGCAGGGACAGGGCCTATTTGAATACGAGGTATCAGAGATGGCCCAGGGGTATTTTTGGAGTATACCATGGCTGCGGCTATTCAAGACTCGTGCAGTTGGTTTGTGTGTTGCATGTCAGTCAGCTTGATGGGTTCGATACGACTCATACGAGAATATACCTAGGTACTTTCCTTGCCTTAGGTATCTCTGTCAATCCGTTAGCACTACAGGGAGCCGTACAGCCAGCAATCCAGGCTGCGAGACTAGGAACTTACCTGGGTAGATGAATGTCGGAAAATGGTGAACGAAGACGTTGCACGTGTTGGGCCATTAGAGTCTCCTCTTCTGGCATTATCCTTCAACCACCGCCCTCCAACAGGGAAGGAGTGAATGGTATTGTATCCGCCACCATGTCCATATCCAGCTCGAGCCTCTTCTCCCCACTGTCTTTTTTCAACCCACAGCTGTTTCTTGTTTCTCCCTCGTGTTCGCTAAATCGCATCTTGCTCTTGCAGTAGGTAGCCACACGCACATTTGTCATTTGCTCGAGGAAAAGGCCCGTCCACATTGACACTGGCTAGTCGCTGGCTGGGAACTTGTGTACAGTACCCTCTCTGCTCACTCCTTGTCCTTGTCCATCTTGCATGCCCCCCCTTCGGTCCCCACGAGGCCCAGCCCTCCTCTCCGTCGTGTGCTTTGCTAGAGGTACACGAACAAAAGGCCTTTCCAGGCACGGCACGCCTTGCCTGCGCTACCCTCAACCTACACGCAGAAAGAGGCGCCATTCATTGACACCGACAAGTGCAAGCCAATACTTGCTTTAGAAGCTTTACCGCCATCCCCCATTTCTCATCCGCAAAATATAGGTCGGGCTTCAAGCTCAGCTCGAGTCGTTTCTCTTCCATATACACCCTTGACCTACCTCGCACACCTCACGCTCGTTGTCAAGAATCGTCCAATCCAAGCTGTCCGCATCCATCTCTCGTTATTGTTGAGAAGAGTCGGCCTCTCCTGACACAACTTCATGTAGGAGCACCCGACTAACCTCACCATGTTGTATTACTAACTTACTGTCAGTCCTGACCTTTAAGGTGTTCTTCTACACATGAATTACTTGTAATATCTTTCCTCGCCTGCAACCACTCGCTCAAGACACTTCTCCCCGCCCTGGGTTTCAGAAATATCAGCCATTCCTCGAGACGCTGTCTCGTTGACTGATTCATCTTTTATTTGTAAAGCAAGAATACCATCGCTATGGGCTTAGGAAGTTATTTCAAAACGAAGAGGCCTGCGCCGCCCGCAGAGATCTCGGAAAAGCCTCCTGCCTCGACCTCACCACAGCCGGGTTATGGCATGGAACTTCAACCGCCACAGTCGAGATTTGGCTCGTCGAGGAATTCAATGTCCAACAGATCGACCCAGAGTTCCCAGTTTCTTGACGATATCAAGCATGAGGTTATGGTGAACTACATGTACCAACAACAATGTGCACACCTCTGGGTTAGCGATGGTAGTGGAGAAATAGAGGGTGTTCTCCTGAGGAAGTCAAAAAACACATACATGGCTTGTCCGCCACAATTAGGCACCTCATCCTTTGCTGTCGCTTGTGCAGCACTAAACGTCCAGGTAATAATTCTGATCCCGGATTCAGAGTTCACACTAACAAGTACAGTGCGCGATGACAGTGAACTCAAGAGTCATCAAAACGTTTCTTCAGTGGTCACCTGATGCTGTCGACGTCCCCCTTCTAAATGGCCTCCGGATTCAAATTCTGCCAACAATTGAAGATCTTCCACGAGCCAGGAAACATCAATTCGCCGCCTTTGTAGCCTCGGAAGCTTTATTGGTAGTTTGGGATGACGAGGCATTACATCTCGTCCAACGTGCCAAGGCTATCGAATCAGAATTGATGGAGCTGGTCTGGAAGACTGGCGAAACTGAAGAAGAAGAGAAGAAGGATCCTAACATTGCGGTTTATGAGATCGATGAGGAGAGCGGAGAAGTCCTCCCCGAGAAGCGTGCATTGCACTTGCAAAACACTGTGTTGGTGGCCCTCACTCTCATATTAATCATGGCATCACTGGGTGCCGGTTTTCGACAACTCGCCATTGAGGTATCGACCGATGGAACAATGATACGCCTGGCGCTGCTTGCTTTGACGCCGGTGCAGATCTTCTTCACCCTGTTCTTCGGTCAGGTTATTATTGGTTGTTTGGCTCAATTGTTTGGTCCTGTGCGACAACTCACCGTCAACTCCAAATTCTACTCTGCGCGAGCTCCTCCCCGCATCCAGCGCGCAAGTCTCCCGCACATCACAATCCAATGTCCTGTGTACAAAGAGGGTCTAAGCTCCGTCATTGCACCAACTGTCAAGTCCATCAAACAGGCAATCTCTACCTATGAATTGCAGGGCGGATCTGCGAACATGTTCGTGAACGATGATGGTCTCCAGCTTTTAGATGAGGAGGATCGCCGCGCTAGAATTGAATTCTATGCTGATCACAGCATTGGATGGGTGGCAAGACCCAAGCACGGTGACAACTTCGTCAGAAGAGGCAAATGTAAGTCAAGGTCGCGAATACCGCTAAAATATATCACTAATATGATGTAACAGTCAAGAAAGTAAGTTGCGACCGATACTTTATATTTCAATGCGTCGGCATGTTGTAGGGGAAATATGTTCCAAGCCTAGCGGCGACACGTTCGTCATCAGTGGCTTGGCTCTTGCCTATGAATCTACGAGACGACCCTCCACTAGACGTTAATTGTGTAAGCTGAATACTGACAATCTTTTCCCAAATAGGCTTCAAATATGAATTTTGCGCTTCACATTTCATGCATGGTGGAAGAGAGGTTAGCTTTAATTCAACGACCAGGCGACTGGACTCAGGCAGACGAGGCCCAAGCCTACGAACGATGTTTGAAGGAAGCGCTCGAAGGGAATGGTCGTGCCTGGGCTGATGGTAACATTCGTGTTGGAGACTACATCTTGTTGAGTATGTTAAAACTATTAGGCCTACGATTTTACAGTTCAGGCGCTAATAAAATGCAGTTGATTCTGACACCCGTGTCCCTGCCGATTGTCTCTTAGATGCCTGTTCTGAAATGGAGCAGTCGCCCGAAGTTGGTATCATGCAATTTTCATCTGGTGTTATGCAAGTCGTCAACACTTACTTTGAAAACGGCATCACCTTCTTCACAAACCTGATCTATTCTGCGATCCGATACACTGTTGCTAACGGAGATGTTGCGCCCTTCGTCGGCCATAATGCTATACTCCGGTGGTCCGCTATTCAACAGATCTCCTATGAGGATGAAGATGGATACGAAAAGTTCTGGTCCGAGTCCCACGTGTCCGAAGATTTCGATATGTCTCTCCGTCTTCAAGTCAATGGCTACACAATCCGTCTAGCGGCCTGGGCTGGAGATGGATTTAAAGAGGGAGTGTCGCTTACAGTGTACGATGAATTGGCTCGCTGGGAGAAATATGCCTACGGTTGTAATGAGCTTCTGTTCTACCCAATCCGCAAATGGATTTACAAGGGTCCATTTACCCCTCTGTTCCGCAGGTTTTTGTTCTCCAACATCCGATTTACATCCAAAATCACCATCATCTCCTATATTGGAACTTATTACGCTATTGGCGCTGCCTGGATCATGACAACTGCCAATTACTTCGCCGTCGGTTGGTTCAACGGTTATTTGGACAAATATTACGTGGACTCATGGAAAGTGTGGTTCTCTATTATCATCGTGTTCAATGGTCTCGGAAACATTGCTCTTGCCGTCCTGAGATATAGAACTGGCGAGAGGAGTCTTGGCTATGCGCTCTTCGAAAACTTCAAATGGACCATCATGCTGGCAATATTCTTGGGTGGTCTTTCTCTGCATGTATCGCAAGCTTTGCTTGCGCACATGTTTGAGATTAATATGACCTGGGGTTCTACTTCAAAGGAAGCCGAATTCAGTAATTTCTTCATTGAAGTTCCCAAAGTTTTGAAGAAGTTCAAGTTCTCCATGATCTTTTCTATCGTCGGAATTGTTGGCATGATCGTCCTCGCCACTGCGCCGTTTGTACCTTACGACTGGCAAATCAAGGACTTCATCGCCATTCTCCCCATGGCGACTGTCACGGTCAGCCATTTGCTTTTGCCGCTCGCACTGAACCCAGCCTTGATGACCTTCTCTTGGTAAACACATCGCACCAATAAATTGGAGATTTTTGCATTTCAATGCGGACTCGGGATCTGTATATGGAGATCTGCTAATTAGGATATACGACTTGAGTTAATTGTTAATGGTGGGTGACAGGGAAAATTCATTAGTGCTGCCGATTTGGGTGGGATTTGGATTTGATGCGAGGAAGATACATTCAACAAGGCAAGATATTGTGAGTAATCCAAGCAAGCATGCTGGTTTTTGCTCTCTGGGCATACTTCATACCATTATACACACTCATTTCTTTCGACGGAGTTTGGGATATAGACGGTACTGATCAAAGGAATTTCACGAACTTCCAGGCTTGGACATTTGTAGATGGGGATGTCTGGTCCGTATTTTCCCACCTCTTTCTGATCTATGATCCGAGATCCGAGAGGCTTACGATTTTCCTTAATTATATAATCACTATACAGTATAAAATTAATACCGTACACAATAATCTTGAGTCTCCCTACAAGCCCTATAACTTAGATGTGACATGGCAGCGGCGTGGCACGTGGGTCCTCGAAACATGTAAGACTTACATTGATCGCAAAGGAGGAACCGAAACGGTCGAGGGCTGAGACATCTCACCTCAATACTCCGTACGACACGACACGACATAAATCTCGCAAGACAGGTCACACCGAGGCGGTATCCTATCCTTGCGGCTGATAGAAACGTGTTTCCGTGGCACTTGATTCTCAAGTGGATTGATGCATGAACCAGTCAATATCTTTCTGCTGGTTCATGCATCAAAGGAAAGACTTTTTCACATTTTTTTCAACAATCCTCTTTCTCTATCTATCCATCCATCCATCCATCCCCACATTATATTCAGCAATGTGGGATGTAGATGTGGTCTCGCGTGCGTGAGAGGGGCGGAGATGAAACCGGAGTGTTTTGTTTTCATGAATACATGTATACTATAGTCTAGATCTACTGATATAATAAAGCCGACTGCTTTAATTTGTGTACTGTACTGTACTTTGTAATTGAAAATCATAATTACCGGGAGGATTACTATATACTGTATACATGAGTTCACGTACGTGAAACGACGAAAAGAAAGCCCGAACTTTTTATGCACAAACCTTATCTCCACCTCTTAGCATTTGTTACAGCTGAACGAACGAACAAACGAACGCAATGTAATGTAATGTAAGGTAATGCACGAGAAAGAAAGAAGTTTACTTTGCGTTGCGTTGCGTTGGTTATGATAGAAAATGATTGCTGGTAAGAGGGAGGGCATGGAGACATGCAGACTTGCCGATATATAGATATGATATGCAATGCAATGCGATACGATGCGGACATGGCTTACATGCAGGTGTATACTGTTTACGATTACGGAGTCCAGTACAGCGCGCAGATATTTGGTCCGTTCTGGTGGGAACCACTGGAAAGCTACTATAAGGGAAGTAATTAACGGCATGTAGATATGCATACCTACAGTAGTTGCACGATGTGTTGCAAATGGTGAAGATTGATTTGATATATTGATTCTTGCACGAGGCGGTAAATACCAGCAGTGAGGTTAGATTGTTGGCTGGCTTATTTTCTGTACCGTACAGTAGCTCAACCTCGTATCCTTTTGCGGAAGCGGAAGATCTCCACAAGGAGGGAGGGATTCCCGTTTCGCTCACGGGCCAGTTTCGCGAGCCGTGGCGTGGCAGTTAGTAGTGTGGGCAGGGTTGTGTGGTGTGCATGAAACCCTGCTAGCAGCTACAATTAGCTTGCTCTAACTACTCGAGTAGCCCTGCCCGTTCTCTGCCCCCTTCCTCACCAACCCTATGCATGTCCTAGGAATACCCTCCGTAAACCACCTACACCCATGAATACGACCCCTGCCTCTCTCAGCGGTTTATGCCAGGTCAACGTCTACATGGTAGCTCCGAAGCTAGGAGTGAAAAGTATCCCTCATGGCGCTTGTGAAGCTGCATCTATTCCTCCTCTCCATCATAATCCTAAGTACTCTCGCTCGCTGTCCATGCTCGTTTTGCTTGTTTCTGGATTCGGTAATTGCATCCATTCCTGTCGCTATTTATTTTCTCTCGCTACTGCTCAATCTTCCTTTTCAACCTTCTTTCCAATACCTATACCTATTTCCTCCTGCCGAGAGATCCCTCTGAAATGAGAAGCCAGAGTTGGAGGCATGTTGCCGTGGCGGCTTTTGCACTCGCCGTGGCTGGGACGAATGCGCAAACGGGCTCATTGACGGACCTAGGCACTTTGCTCTCGGGGCAAAAGAACCTGACAACTTTTTACGGCTTGATTCAGGTACGTATAGTGTTGTTACTGGCGAAACTGTTGTGAGTTGGAGTTGGACAGAAATGGGACCGCAGCTCTCATCTGTACAGATACCGTAATTTCAATGATTCTGGATAAGCTTCCGATATGGTCTCACGAGCTGGTAGATCGTTTGGGACCCAATATTTGTTGTGTTCTGGTCTACTTTGGCCGACAACTGCGTGCGGAATTGGAATATTGCAAGAGTAGAAACTGACTTGTCACCTAACAGAAATATCCTCAAATTTTATTGCAATTACCATCAACTCAAGGAGTTACGGTAGGTATCCTAATCCTTTTTACAGTATCTGGAACTGATTGAACTTGGCTAGATTCTCGCACCGAACAATGATGCCTTTAATAAAATTCCCTACACTGAGCTCAATAAAGCGTTCAGCGACAACGACCAAGATGTTATCACGAATGTCCTGGAGTATCATCTTTTGGAAGGGTCACGGACAGCTGCTGAACTAAATCCTGGCGATTCCGTATTCATCCCAACCTTGTTGACGAATGAGGCATACAGCAATGTCAGTGGGGGACAGAGGGTGCAGAATGTTAAGCAATCTGGTGATGTGGTGGTGTTTGTTAGCGGGCTGGGAAACAGATGTACATTGACACAAGCAGTGAGTGTTTTCCAAAACCCCTTGTCTGGCCAAGAATCCGATAGCTGACAAGTGCTAGGACCTTAAATTCACAGGTGGAGTAGTTCAGGTTATCGACTCTCTGTTGATCCCTCCATCAAACCTTACCGGAACCCTCATTCCCTTCAATCTTACATCCTTCGAGGGCGCCCTCTACCAGTCGAAGAAGCTAGAAAACTTCTCGACCGCCGCAAACAGCACAATATTTATACCCAACAACAACGCTTTCCAAAATCTGGGTCCCGCCATCGCAAACATGACCGTCGAGGCGCTCGGCAGCGTCCTTGACTATCATCTTCTCCCTGGCCAAGTAGCCTACTCAACCGACCTGACCAATGGCACAAAGTTCTCGACCCAACAAGGAGGAAACGTCACCATCCTCCACAGCGGCAACAACGTGTACGTCAACTCGGCGGCCATCATCCAAGCAGACCTCCTCTGCGCCAACGGCGTCATCCACGTAATCGACAACGTGCTGAACCCGCAAGGCCCAGGTGCGCAACCAAACCCAGCGATTGCACAACAAGGCGCCGTGTTCGCATCCGCATCTTCATATAGCACGCTGCCCTTCACAACCGCCATCCCTTGCACGTCCAGCTGTCCCGTGACCTCGAGCTCTGTCACCAGTGGTAGTGGGTCCGTGACAGGAGGCGCAGGTACGAAAACGACGAGCGGTGCGGGCTCCAAGAGCTCGAGCGTTAAAACGAGCAGTAGTAAGGCGATGGCGGCGGCTATGGCGAGAGAGACGGGCTTCCATGCTGCGGGCTTGATGGTTGCTCTAGGAGGAGCGGTTATGATGATCTAGGAGTTTGACGATACGTACTAATTTATATAGCTTCTGTACGGCGTATATGCTGGCGTTAATTGGTTTAGAGAGTCAAGTCACTCTTGTTTTTGGCTGACAGCAAACAAGCGACGGGGCATAGGCACTATTTATATGTCCGGATGTCTTGGGAGGCATACGATTTGCATGCCAGCTACCATACCCTTCTATGGCGTAATATTGAGCTCTAGAGGAAAGGTGCCGTGCCGTGCCCTCTGCCATACCTACCTACCTTTCTGTGATGTTTCGGGCGTCTAGTCACTAGTATAGTACAAGTTAGAATAGTGTATTCTTTCCATAATATTAAACCGTAATTCCAAATAATCTTCAATCCCCTCCAGAAATTTCTCCCTGAAACAAGTGTTTAAAAGGTTACTAGTAATCCTTACCTCAAATGGACTACGCGGATGGTACTCACTACTTCAGTGCTTTTCGCTCGCTCACAGACCTTTTTATTATTCTTCATCTACTCTACTCACTCGCAAAACTCGACCATTCATTCACATAAAAAGGTTGCCTTGCTTCCTTGTTTGTTTGCTTACAGTGGAAGACACCCGCGTATTTCTAACTATCGGCCGGTCATATAACGAGATGCTTGCTTTGCTGCCTTGCTTGATTCACTCATGATCACAAAGAGAATTTCGAATCGAAGCGTCCGGACGGACAAGGCAGGGCAGGGGTAGACTGTGGATGGAGCGTAGGTATCTATCTATCTATCTTTTCAACGCCAGCCTCCACATCCTCGAGTATTGCGGCAAGGCAAGGCAAGGAAGATGAAGGAGTCGCACTTTCGAGTCATGAGACGGGTAGGCTTGTATAAACATCACTTCTGGTACAGTACAGTATAGTAGGTAATCTACCTATACATGCATGCATGTGTCTTTGCTGGCGACAGTACAGTACAGTACAGTACAGTACGTGCAATGCGTTGCAATTAATACGCGCTCCAATGATTAATCGCGCGTTGTAATGAAATGAAGAAAGAGTAGTATAGCTGGCTGGTTGGAAAGATGCATGGATAGATAGATAGATGATTTCGACTTGTCTTGAGGATTCGCGTTGGCTATAATATGGGGCATGGGACAAAGGGTATATGTATATATATATACACAAGTATACGTAGATGGATAAATATATATTCAATCTCTCGAATGACCGAAGAACAGCAAGCACGTACATAGGATAGGTCTTTTCGATAGCACCGCACTCACTCGTCCGCTTGGAGATTTCCGTAACATTTCTCTATATAGAAATTGAATTAAATCTACTATATCAATACTTGGTTTGAGGTTAGAATTTATGGAGAAGGGGAGGTTAATTATGGATCAAAAAACTTCTTGCATGTATGATTTGTTTGGTCTTTGGTAGATGGAAAGAATGAATGAATGAATGAATGAAAGATATCCTAGCTAGATCGGAGTCAACGTTGGTGATGGGGTCCGGACCTAGATTGGTGATAACCGTATAGTGGAAGCCTGGATGGAGGCTTGGCTGGAGTGTATAGAAGTATGTCTAGGATGCAAGCTAAGGGTATGGAGACAATGGTTGGGTGGATATAGGCTTTAGGGGCTGGTGCGCAGATTGGGACGGATGGAGAAGATGGGTTAAGATCTAAAGAGCAGCAGGAATGAACTACTCACTTACTTCTAAGGAATCGCTTCTCCACCTTCCTATCCAGCTGACAGCGACGTGAGGGAAATCAAATCTTATTGGTACTTGTACATGATCTAGAGTCTCTCGACTGCTTAAAAGACAGTCTATCGGTCGGAATCGCAGTCTTCGCTAAAATGAGTAAAGTCTATGCTGAATGGAAAGGAAATGATTAATAGGAAAAGAAAATAAAGAGAAAGAAATCCAACATTGCCGACCTTTCCTTCTGCTCCTCCATTCCCTAATCTATGCAAGTTTTGTATATATTCCTACTGCCAAAAATAAAGACCGTCATCATTCATTTAACATTGAGCGCCATGGATGAGAAGGATTTTGCCCCCAACGGGGCGTTGATTTTGGCATGCAATGAAGGTTTTCGTGAAAGGATCAAAATCCGGTAGTTGTAGGAGGATTCTCCCAATGCCGCAGCATCTGTTCGAGCGCCTCGTGCCACTCCCAAGCCAAGCAGTCGGCTAGCTGCTGGGCCTCCTCGGCTTCTGGAATGCGGCCACCCCACATTTCCGGTTTTGCCGATTCTAAGGTGGCGTAGGAATCGATCATTTGACTGTGTCTAAATGTCAGTTTCAAATCTACACATATTGGATTCTCTGGCTAGTTGACTTACTCGTCCTTGAGTTTGATGAGTACTAGCCATGCATAGTTCCAGCTGCGGTTGCTCTCAGGATCATTGCTAACCCTCCACTTTGCATCATCCAGGGCATCTCTGCTGAATGGGTAGTTTCTGGTCAAGTTGCGAAGCTCGTTCAGCATTTGGTGTGAGGTCACGTAGTAGGTCCAGGCGGAAGTCATTGGGCCTTGGAATGCTTGCTGGTCTTCTTCTTCGGTACACTCAGCAGCAACGCGCTCAATGCGGCGGAGTTCGGTCAGCGTATTGATGCGGTGCGTGTTTAGAGATTCGATGAGCTGGGAAGTACTCTGCTTTGTAGATGTTAGTTAGTGGGTGGAAAAGAAAGGGGTTTCAACTAGTGGCAATTTATGAAGTGGCTTGAGGTTGACATGATATCTCATTTTCACCGAGTACTATAAAAACAGAGACCCGAAGCATTTTGAGAAGGGGTATTGAGTGTAAGGGATAGGGCAAGTTACAAAGATTAGACCGTGACTCACTTGCGTTCCTCGACGAGATCCTCTGCTGCTGGAGCTATGGTGCGAGCGTTTCCCATGACCCTGACCATGACGTCCGGATGACATAGCTTCGGCTGATATAGATGCTCTTTTGGGTATGGGAATATTCTCGGAGCTGACTCTACTCTTCGAACCGAGTTGGATGGTATTCGTGGGAAAGACGAGACGGTTGGCTAGTTGAATTTAAGGGCGAAGTGATTACCGAGACAATAATCGAGCCGCAAAGACTAAAAGTAATACGCTTTTGGGTTGAATGGAGGAGATTGCTTGATGTTCGACTTGTGCAAGATTATGCTGGTATAGAAGCGGGAGGGGAATTCATAATATATAGCAAAGCAATGCAGAGAACTCTCAAACAAAGCAGATTGCCTGGTCTAATCTTAAGGAACATATTTGTTATTGACAGAGGAAGTGCGGCGAGGTGTACAAGCCAATGGACATGGTATACGGGCGAGTATCATGAATCATGTCCAAAGATATGGGTCACAACGAAAGCGAAAGAGGCAAAGCTGGCAAGTTACTGGCGAAGGTGACAAGATGGGACGATGGAAACGAAGGAAGAGCGACGAAGAATATTTGTGACAGCCAGGGCAACTTGCTTCAGGCCTGATTAAGGCAACTATAGCTCTTCAGCCCAACGCCTGAGGAGGAACTAACACATCCACATCCCACGCTTGGATCCGACACCAAAGCAGAGTTTAGTTTGTGCGTGTCGACGAGGATGAAAGCTTGCTTGGGTGATGGCCACTATGGTCAGGATGAGGAACCAGGCAAGTGCTATACGGCTGAGTTGGAAGAAAGGATGGAAAGGACCAAAAGGGAATTCCAAGTGGGGTTATTCGCTTGAAATGTGGGTTCCTTGACTTTGAGTGGAGACGAGGGCCGGTTGAAGCTATATGGGGAACTAACTTTGGGTTATTTTCGGTTCCTGCTGACGGCCATTTTTAGAGGTTTCAAGGGAAATTCTACTATGAAACCATATAAAGGCCCATATATGTAAACCCATCGTGCTATCCTCAGTTTCATAAAAGGCAGAGCGGAGAAAACCCCCCTTGGCGGGAGATGGTATGATACGACTTCGGATAGTAGTATCAGGTCAACTATGCAAGACTCATAGATCATGCAGAACCTGTACCTGAGGCTGGTTGGTATGACCGAAACAGCGCAAAGCAGGGAAAAGCAATGAAAATACTCGGAATGAATGATATGATCAGTGCGAGCGAAAATACAATAAGGCGTGGGGTAAGGTAAGGAAGGTAGGATAGTGCGCGGCTGAGAAGCGCTGCCCCGCATGACTTCCAGCGCTTACAATTTGCCACACGAGGCTCAACGCGTGTGGCCATAGCGTTAAGCCCTGGCTATGGTATCTAGGATGGATACGGTGCGTGCAACATGAAAGCATTGAAAGCATTCTCAACAGCCAGAGTACCACATCTACCCGAATACCTACCTACTGTATCTAGGGAGCAGCGATAATTCCATAGCAGCCTCAGGCATGAGTGGCAGATCAACACCCTGCCGATTTACAAGTCGGCGAAGCAGAATTGAAAAGATCGAGAGGATGGAGGACTTCGGCGTGGCTTGGTGCTTGAGCGGCGAGGATGGCGCTGAAAGACGCGTTTCTCGGTATAACCCCAGCTATAGATGGCCAAACTGCTCTGATACGGTATCGATACGAGTGAGTACACTTGAATTGCCAGTTTAAAGTGCGAATCGTGCTTGAATACCCAGGTAGAATTGCAATGGAGAAACCCCAGAATACGGGAGTTGCCTACCTTACCTACCTACCTAGGTATTCAATATACGCACGTACGCCTCTTCCTCTTTCCACCTTCTGACGCATGCCGCAACCTGTGACGCATGCCGCAACCTGCGACGCCTTTGGGATTATTGGGGGCGATTTTCATCCACCTGCCGAAAGCCTCGTACAGAGAAAGCGATGGAGCGAGGAGGATGTGGACGTGGACGTTAATAGGGAGATGGATGGCGATGGCGATGGCGATGCAGCTTCTGAGGATTTTGAGGTCTGAGGCCGAGCTGAGATGGGATGAAGATGACGCATGGGATTTGGTCCCGAATATGGTCACGGGATTGAATGATTGCAGACACAACAGACCAGGCCAGGGGAATGGAGTCTCGCGAATCGAGCATTCCCAGCTAAACAGGACAAGTTGCCCTGCCCTCCTCGCGATCTGTCGGGACCTTCGCGTTCCTGAATCTAGCCCGAAAGTGGAGAAGATCGGCATGGTTCCTGCTCTGTTCCTGCCCTACACCTACCCCACCGTCTACCCCTAACGCTAGCGACAAACTTTAAGTTGGTTGTGTGTTGTGCCTACCTTACCTAGGTATGATCATGACGATTGTAAGTTTTCTAAGTATTCTGGATATTGGATATCTACATAGATCTTCATCCTCATCTTTATCTTCATCTTCATTATTCGGTTTGCTATACTCCTACGTATAGTAAGGTAAGTGGTACCCGAGAGTATATGTGAGTCCTATCCTCACTCCTATTACTCAATCTCGACTGAAAAGGGAAAGGAGGTATGCATTTCGAGAATGTCATGCCATGGGGAAACTAGGGATTGTGAGTATGTGTGACCCCTTGAAATCGATAATTGTTAGTGCCTCGTCTAGCTTTGTACCTCCAAGCATTCTAGCCTTCCCCAGAATGAAGATCGCACGCCAGTCTCGGCCAGCATGTCTTCCGAAAAGCTGTTTGTAATTTTGATGAACCATTCCGACGCTGCTGCAATTTCCTTTGGGCCTTTTCCATTCCATTTCGAGCAACTCTTGGAGTCTGGTTCAGTGGTGCCAACGATCACCAAGCTGCTCTTAACTACATCCAGTCTGATCAGATAAGATGCTCCCTTCGGAGGCAGACCTCTCCGTCCCCTCATATGCCTAGAGTCTGGGTAATTTCCTTGAGTTGTTATACCTCAGCATTCCCGTCCCCTCTTCTTCTATTCTTTTGTTTTCTCTTCTTGTCTACGTAGCAACATCATTTTGGTCCCTACAGCAGTCTTTACAGCCAGTCACTCTTCAAGTCACTCGTTTGATACCTAATATCTTAATCACCATGAAGTACTCCATCTCCCTCGCTGCTCTCGCAGCCGCTGGCATGGTCTCAGCAGGACCAATTGCAGTCCGTCAATCGTCGACAGACATCGATGTTACGATTCTGAACTACGCACTAACCCTGGAGCATTTGGAGGACAAGTTCTACCGTGAAGGTCTTGCCAAGTCAGTTTAATCTCTCCCTCGGAGTATCTCTGTAAAGTCACGCTGACCCTCGAATCCCTAGCTACTCCCAAGCAGACTTTGCCAGTGCTGGCTTTGACGCTACCTTTTACGCCAACCTTCAGGAAGTCTCCTACGATGAGTCAACCCACGTCAGCTTCTTGACAAAGGCTCTCGGCTCTGCTGCCACGGCCGAATGCACCTACTCCTTCCCCTCCACGGACCCAAAGTCCTTTGTCGCTCTCGCCGCTGTCCTCGAGGGCGTCGGAATCTCAGCCTACCTCGGAGCAGCAGCCCTGATCACCAACGCCGACTATCTCACCGACGCCGGTTCCATCCTGACCGTCGAGTCTCGCCACAACTCCTACCTCCGGGCTGCGCAGAAACAATCCCCCTTCCCCCAGCCCTTCGACGTCCCCTTGGACTTTGACGAGGTCTACTCGCTCGCCTCGGCATTCATCGTGTCCTGTCCAGCAACCAACCCCACGCTACCCGTTAAGGCCTTTGCACCCCTCACGGTCACCACAACTGGGTCCGTCAAGAGCGGCGATGTCATCACGGTCGCTACCCCAGGCTACACTCTCGTTGCCGCTAACGGCAAGGATCCGGTTTACGCTGCCTTCATCACCGTCACTGGTCCTCTCATCAGTGTCGCTACACCCACTACTGGTGGTTTCGAGGTCACGGTGCCCACGGGAATCAACGGCCAGAGCTATCTCGTTCTGACCTCATGCAGCGACACCGTCACAGATGATACCATCAAGGCCGGGCCAGTGATTGTCGAGATCACAAACCCCTATCCATCCACCTTGTAAATGGGATAAGGAGTCCGAGTCGAGAGACGAGGATGAACGGGTTGGCAAGTCCAGCTGTACTGTGCTGTTGAATTAGGATAATTAGCGGTTAGGTCATATCTTTCATTCTCTTGTATATATTTGACATAATAGTAGTCTTCAGCCATGTGGAATGTCTGTAGAATAACGAAGTCCCAATTTACACTTTATTCTGACTTCTTAAGAATGCTCTCTCCTCTTCTAATCCCCTGTCGCTACTTGAATGAATCGATCGCGCAGAGAGCCTGGCCCGACAAAGCTAATAAGCGATTAATACTCAGGGGTGGAAAAGGGGTCCGCAAAGACGCACCAGCTGCCAACTACATAGGTACTCGTATATGCAGAGGTATCTCAAGACAGTTCTATAGTGTGTGCATTGTAAAAGACCCTATTATACAGCAAGGATGATTGGTAAATGATTGGTGGTGCTGTGCTCGGATTGTCCCTCGCTCCGCTTCCCTTTGCGAGACTTTTACAGTAATGGGCTATTTCGAGCCAGTGAATACTACATTGGAAAGAGCGAGAAATCCAACGCCGACTAAAGTCAAAATGTATGTATAATTGAACTACTAATGTATAATCTACCGCTATGGGCGACGAGATATTTCTCTATGCTTTTCTAGACCTCATCTCTTTAAACAACTCCGAAGTCCATACACCCAGTACCATTACGCCGCTTTCTAGATCATAATTACAAAAGAATACCCAATCATCGGCCAATACCAGCTTCTTGATCATAAGCATCTTCGTCTTCATCCTCGCCATCTTCATCTTCATCGTCTTGGCTTCCGCTGTCCTCGTCCCACTCACCGCTCTCCAAGTCACCACCTCTGATTCCGAAGCTTGCCAGCCACCCCAGGAAAGCAATCCCACCAAATACACCCCATGCCAACGCCTCCCCTTTCGGGCGAACATTCGTGGCAAGGGAAAATAGCCCTCCAGAAAGAAACGGACCCGCTGCCCGTCCGGCAGCCGAAAGAGTCTGCGCGAGACCATTCAAGGTCCCAAGCACAGAGTGATTGGGCGCGGAGTTTGTGATCTACAAAATATCATTAGTCGCAGTGCCAAAACTACACCAAGCAAGAACCTTACAAGCAATAATGCACTGGTCAATCCTCCAACAGCAGCAACAGTTTTCACCAGCAGAACGAACCCCAACTCAATGAACAACCATACCTCTCCCTTTCCCCACCCAAAGGGAGCGCGCGAATCGCGATATCCAACCCATGGCATCATCATCATTGAAAGAAAGAAGAGGAGCAGTCCTGCTCTATAGGTAGCTTTGTTTCCCATTTTCTCCTTTAGCTTGCCGAAGATCGCCACCTGGAAGACGATCGTGACAATTCCAGCGAAGGAAAGAGATAACCCAATTTCCTCTGGGGTAAGCTCTCGGCCTGTCGGCGCGTCGGAAGCAGCAAATATGGGAAACAAAGAATTAAAAGATATATTGGATAGTTGGAAGACGAGGTAGGTGCTCAGTAGAAGTATGGTATTACGATTGAGGATCTCCTTTTTTGCCAGATGGCCGTCGTTGCGAGGAAACAGGTCGGGCATTGAAAGCAAGGATTGGGTATCGCTCCCAGTATCTCCATCCGAATCGTCATGCCCATCAGTACCATCTACTCTATGCCGTGAATCGCGGTGGAAATGGCGGCGAATGTACGTGGGCTGTGCGCCTGCTGCGAACTGCCAAAGCCAGACGAACAGATGTGACATTCGTTGCTTCAGCGGAGGCAAATCTTTTGCCTCTTCTAGACTTTCTTCTAAGAAAAAAGCTGTAACAACCAAGTCTATCAGCAAAATTGCTGCCGAGAAGAGATTTGGTAACAAGTAAGGAAATGGATTTTTCTTCCCACTGTTGAAGGGATGTGTCTGCGTCACCAACAATCCACCTATTGCAGGCCCAGTGATCCCTCCAATGCCATAAATAACCGGAAGATAGACGAAAGCTTTGCTTTGGTTACTTCGGTCCGTGATCTCCCCTAAACATGTGCTCACTACACCTTGGTTTCCATTGCCCAGACCCATAAGAGCCTGTACCAATACCGCCTGCCATAACGTCCTGCAGAATCCAAATGCGACAAAGCATGCGGCTGTAAATACCGTCCCGAGCATAACCACGGGCTTTCTGCCAATTCGATCGGACAGCCAGCCCCAGAAGAAATTGGTGGCAAATTGAGCCAATGCAAACGAAGACGCTATGGTGCCCACATATAACCCAATCTTCGACGCATCGACTTCAGGAAAGGTTGAGGTCATTTCGGGGAGGTAAGGCGATATCGAATTGAGCGCCGTTTGCTCTGCGAGAGCTATTACGGCCAGTACCGCAAGCTGCTTCTTCGGCAGAGGAGAACTCTGGTTATCGTGTTCTGGGTCTCCGCCGAGCGAAGGGTTCGAAAAGCCATCATGACGTGAGGAGGTTGATGAGGATGCCGGAGGGCGTCCGCGCGACTTGGGAGGAGGGGTCGGAAAGGTTTGGTAATGGAGTGTAGAGGATTTTCGGCGGTTCATCCCCCCTGGTAGCCGGCCTTTTCTCGACGCCATTGGAGTGTTCGAAATGGACAGGCGATTGAATTTCGGTAGACGACGCCAGCTAAGCAATATTTCAGAAAGTACGCCCACGTTCCAGCAGGGTTGAAGAATTGTCTACGCTTGTGTGCCTTGGTGAGCTTCAGTAGATACGCCGGGTGAGGAAGGCTTGAAGCGTCTAGAAAGGCCGGCCTAAGAATAATAACAAAGCGAAAGATGATTAAAGAGATTCAAAGTCTCTCCTCGGCTGGGACTTTCAAGCCATTGCGGTCGAGGTGTTTGGATGGAAAAGTGGGAGCGTGGTGGTGGGAAAAAGCAAGTTGAAGCCGCGGAGCTGAGGCGATGATGTAGGTGGGAGGCAGGCGGCCGCATCTGATAAAAAGAGGGCGCTAGTTTTATCAGATGGTGGTGGTGGTGAGCTAGAACTTTTATACGAGTACGAGTATTCATGTTTATCTTCAGATGAGATGTGTGTGGATTATTGCAAAGTACATGTTGCATAGCTGGTTGTAGAACTATGGTAGGATGACTACAAAATAAGGTAAGACTTACAGTAATACCAGTATTAAAGTTCCACCAGTTCCACATGCAGCTGAGTGATGAGCAGATCTGTCGACTCCCCTCTCCCCTCCTCGCCCCATCGCCGCCCGCCTCAGTTCAGTCCCAAAACAATTTCTTCATCCTCCGCTCTCTTTCGTCCTCTACATATTCGTCGAAGCGCATAATTTGAGGATCCGGTAGCTTTCCTTGGTACACTTCTGGAGGAAGAAACGCGCATTTTTCGGCGTCTCGCGCGAGATATCGACAGACGTGCAAATGGAGGAGAATCGCGACGCGTTGATTACCTCGTTCTGTCAATCGCCATTGCTTCGTTTCGCTCTTTGCTGGAACGTCTCGTCAGCTACGAAATGATTTGATCCTCGAAACCACTGTTACCATCGAGAAAGAAGTCTTGCTCCTCTGCCTTCCCTTCGAAATCCACTTCTGTGTTCAGCCAGCCTGAAGTATCGAGCCAAAATATTGACCTATCTCCTTCTCTTCGAAGACGCTCAACAACAGCGTGTGTGGCTTGCTCGAGCTGGCCGCGAAACGGTCTCATGACGAAGATCGGGAGCTCAGCTGCGGCACTCGTTGGCGAATAAACGTATCGAGACGAGTCAACAGTCGTGGTAGAATACGTTGGGTATGCCAACGTTCGAATAGCCTTCACCAAGGCAATGTAAGTGTCTTCGAAGGCGACACTTAACTCCCAGGTCGTCCTGTTGTATCTATCGCTATGAATCTGGAAGGAGTCCCAATCGGAACTTCCAATATTCAGCACCTGTCAAGTCAGCTCTTGATGATCTATGCTGTAGAATTCTTACCATGGCATCTGGGATATACGCTTGGAAGAGCCAAGGGTGTGCGTATTGCTCTGTGCCAAGTGGACCGCTGTTCCAGTCAGTCAGTAATAAATCGCAATGCGGGATGCTCAGGACCTTTGAAAGAAAACGTCTGCAAGCCCAGCAGGACTACCTCTACCCCCTATACAATCTTGAATCAGGCACATTCCATCCATTCCTATCATTACATGGTCTGATCCGAACATCTCCCCGAGCAAATATTCCCATCCCATAACGCCACCAAGTATTCCGCGAGCTGTTTCGATATTTCTGCGTCTGTCCCGTCCTGCCATAGATCCCGGCAGATCTGTAACAATTTCAAGCATCTTCTCTGGTGGCTGTGTGACAACCTCCCCAGTGGCCTGTCCATGCTGGAGCGAAGAGACCAAAGCTTCCAGTGCAGGCCCAGATGTATCGGCAAACGGTAGCAGCTGACCACCTTGATCTATATAGATGCCTTTGACTTGCAATGTTTCTACTGCGTTTTCTCTTACCATTGGTGCGATGATTCGGATACTATGACGAGAATGTACATCCAATTTTCCATTTTGTATTGTTGTAATTGAGGTGGCATTTGGTAGCACAATATACTCATTGTCATCCACTCTGACGAGCAACGAGATCGGCTCGGCGCTTGATAATTTCGTCGACGGCAAGAATGCCAAAGTGGGTGCGTCGCTCGAAGGTTCTATCGCCGCTGTACCGCCTGACGGATCCGAATTGTGGAGGGACAGAAGTACTGTTCTAGTGCCATTGAATGCAAAGTCAAAATAAACACCTTATTTGTTTCAGCAGATATCACATTCAGCAACATAGCACTTCAAATACCTGGAAATGAGCCTTCCTTTCGAGCTCCATCCGAGGTCGTTGTCCAGCGGCCGACAAACTATTAGCAATTAGTATAAAACACGATAGTCGGTTGTGGTCATACTCGAATGCCAGGATGATTAACATCGACAAACTGCAGTCCCTCAATATCGGGCGCGAGATTCTGGTCCACTCTCGTCTGGGCTTCTGGGTTTCCGCCCCAAAACCACAAGCTACCAATAACCAAGAATACTGCAGGCCAGATTGCTCTGTGGTAGCGACGGAATCGTGTCTTGCGAGTAACGCTGTGTGCATGATCAAAATTCACAATTCGAATGGGTGATCCTCGCTCCTCAAGACTGACATCTGACCACGGAGTTGAAAGATCAATTAGCTGCAGCCGGAGTGGGGTGCTCGCCGGCGTTGAGAATGGAGAGTCGTAGGCCATTGTCGCGGCAGGCTTCCTTAACTTGAAAAGATCTTTCGGGATGTGGAATATTTAAAGGTTAGAGGTTGCTGCTTGTATTTCCTTTGGTGGTGCCTTCACACTGAGTTGCTCCTTCCTAAAGCTACTAAGTATAGGACTGTGTGCTTCTTCGAATCTCGCAAAATCACCTCAGCGATTTATAGGTAGGTCCTTCCTTTTACCCATCGCAAGCTAATACATTGCTGGCTGCCAGACAACATTTGACAGCAAAGCACCTTCAACTTTCAAGCGATCATGGCTAAGACTCTGGTGAGAAGAATTCTGCTCCCATTCGCGCTTTTGATCTTATTCTACACGGCATTCCGCAATACACCAGTCGTCCTTCAGCCATCAGCACAGTACCCTAAACATCTCGGCAAACACCAGGAACCACTTCACGTTCCCATCAGCCGCCCCTTTGTCAACACATCTCGTACGTGGGATCACTGGGCTGCAGTTGATGGGTTTCCTAGTAATGTTGAGAGCAAACCTATGGAACTTGAGATCTCCAACCAGGATTCGGAAACCGCGGGGGTTCCAGCGCCAGTAATTCTTCCAGTTTCACACAATTCCCAGCGCTCCATCCCTCAAGCTCTTCTAGGACAACTAGAATGCCCTCGAGCTCCGAATCGCTTCACTAGTCACATCAGACTACCGAATCTTCTCTATAACATTTCCATGAGTCCGAGATCCGCCGTGTTGAGAGAGGAGCGCACGTTCTGGAACCCAACAATTTTTGCTCTACCGTACTGGGCAAAGAATCAATACATCATCGTCAGCATGGTTACTCCAGATGGTGGAGCTCTTCGACGGAATGTCCTCTGCGAGGCGAACATCTGCCATCCCAAGTCTGCAGCTTCAACATTGACTCATGAGAGATCCTGTTCAGAAGATGATCTGGGTCTGCTTGGACCAAGTGGGGGGTTGCGCTGTATGACTGCTCCGATTGAGGTGACCGTGCCTCCAACACCTGCAGCAAAGTGCGAGGGTCGAGAGCAAGTTTTTGCCGATATACCCGGTTTCCATGATCCGAGGGTCTTCTACACGGGAAGGGGCGAGCCGATCCTGATGATTTCATCACAGTGAGTATACCAAATACTCATAGCATATGAGGCAGTCTGGGGAGAGTTTTAACATTGCACTAGATCACAGTATGCATGCATTGGTCTCTGGGTCATCGACCTTCGAGCAGTGTACCCAGAACTAGAGGGAACGCTTGCATCATCCCCAAAGCGACTTGGTCCTGGGCCCGTGATGTCTTACCCAACGCTAACTGAACTTACTCGAAATCCGCCTTCCTCGCGTCGGTCATATGAGAAGAACTGGGTGATGTTTTCACCATCATCTTCATCTTCATACTTACAATACGACTTAACCTCTTCTAGTCGGTAAACAGCCTCACAAGTCAAAGAACTCCCAATAATACATTGCTGATTTCTTATGCTTTATAGAACCATTGCGCAGCTGATTGGTGGCGGGCTCACGACACCAAATATGACCGATCCTCTGGAAGAGCCTTGCCTCCGAGATCTAACTATGGAAGAAATTGCAGGTAGCCACTACAATGAAAACTCGACATGGCATCAAGCCACTCCATCGCTGAAGCTCGTCTTATGTTCTCGATCAAATTCGACTTGCAATCCGGAAACTGCAGACACAGTTTTCTTTGCTATAATTCACCGGAAAAACGTCAATGCTTTGGGGCTTCCAGTCCGTTACGAAAGGTTCGTAGTAGTCTGGTCAGCAGCGCCTCCTTTCAACATGCTTGCGATCAGTCGGCATCCAATCTTAATGGCGAATGAGACAACTTTTAGTTGGACGGCTGAAGAGAGCTGGGATGATGTACCAGAAGCACTACTTGAAAATCGGGAGCTCTGGGGCCGCATTACATATACTACAACCATCGCTTATGCCTGGGGTCGAGAGGAGAAAGATTTTAGGGAGAAAGGTACTGGTCATCTTGATGATGAAGTGATTTTAAGTATTGGTGTGGATGATGAGGGTCAGGTATACACAAAAGTCAAAGTTTCGGAATTGTTACAGTGTCTGAGGGTATGCCCTGGGAGAGAACAGGTCAACCTCGATGAGTCAGAGGACTGAAGTAGATTCCACGTTTCATTCTTATTGTAGACCCTAATTCATGCACGCGAGTTCGCGGAAATGCATTCATTCATCAGAGTGGTAGTATTTAATATTTCATTTCACACGACTGACTAAGACATGTACTCGGAAACCCTTCAACAATCATCTTCAAGCAGGCAAGTGCCCGCCCACTCTCAATCGCTTCCTTTGCATGTCTTGTCTTTTTCAGACTCACATCCACTGCTCGAGCAATTCCGGCAATTATGGCCTATCTTCTTGTTCAACCAATATTCGGTCTCCTCTTGTTGCTGCACCTTCTCACAGCCCTCGCAATCAAAGTGTCCACAGTGATCGCAGCTATCGGGTTCATCCGGTGTACCCAGGATCATCGTAAGTCGCTTACATTGGCAGCAATTGAAATATTCGACTGTCACGACTGGCATATTTGTTCCGGTTGGATTTCGTAGGTTCTTGGGTGTGTAAAGCGTGGATCTGAGGATATTCTGTTGGTAGTAAGGACGTTTATTTGTTTTCTTTCCTTCAATATCTCATGTCGCTTTGCAGAGTTTATATGTCTGAAAAGAGCGTCCTTAGTAGCGTGACTATTCTTAAGTCACAAAAGAAGGTATTGTTATGGTGTTGTTATTTACCTGTGATTATTATGCTGAGTTCCATACATTCACTCTTTTATATCCTCTTGAGTCAATACATACGTACGTTTACATTCACGATACTTGCCTGAACAGCTGGTGAACAGCAATTTATAAAAGGACTTGTTACTATCTCCAGATATCATTAAATCAACAGACAACATAACCTTCAAATCAGCTTCACTCATTATCCGTCTTCAACAATGACTCAGTCAACAACCCCCGATTCGCCCGGTTACAAATTAGAGAACAGAATGGTCGTCACGTGGGCCAAATGGATGGACCTGCTCTTCATGCGGCAAGAAAGGACCTGCAAATGTGGAGAAGGATGGGATTGATTGTGGGGAGTGTGGACATCGGCAGTGTCAGGCTTGTGTGATGTGGGATAAACCGACGAATCCGACTCCCAATCCCAGCCTTGAAAGTCCAAGCACCTCCCCTAAGACGATGATTGCGGCTAGAGGACAATGGAATTATTTGAGTTGGTGGATGTGTTGGTAAAGAGGTTCCGGGATGGTAGGGACGCAAGTGAATCAACGCGTTTATATTTCTGAATGGACGTGTTGACCAGCCATTGGAAAGTGTTATTATTATTGCAATTGTGATTTTGATACACAGAACAGTACTTCTGGGCTATTATTGCCCGAGCAAGTCCCCAACTAACATCTCTGCACCACAAGTCTCACTTCTCCAACCACCTTCATATCTACTACCCACAACACATACAGCAACACCCATTCAAGACTGTCCTCCAGATGACGGGATCGGACGACCAACGCAAGTCCTCAGCGACCAGTACACTTACAAACGGAACCTCACCACCACCCAAACAATGCACCAAATGCAACAGGCGACCTCCATCAAACTTCCCACTCCCATTATGCATGTTCTGCGGCCATTGATTCAGCATAAACTGCTTCAAATGCGCAAAGCAACATCGCTTCAAGTTAGTCTGTGGAAGATGTGCCCATCAGAATTGTCTAGCATGTCCCTTCAATGCCGATGAGACTCCGATATGCTGTCAGTGCAATCGCTCTTGGGAAGATATGGTTGGCGAGGATAATGATAATTGTTGTGAGGGCTGTGGGCACGAGACTTGCGAGGAGTGCTCTTGGGTGCTTGAGAATGGGCATGGTGCGGTTCAGAGGGAGAAGATAAGTAGGTGTCAAGCTGCAGTGAGGGGGCATGGGCGGTACCTACCTTATGCTGGGCGTCTGGAATTAAAGCATAATTTCCTTGACTTGCTTGGAGTTTTTCTATTTTCTTTTCTTCTGCATTTGTTCCATCAATACTCACAGCACAGCGACTGTTGAGATCATCTTTTGGTATCTTGTTATGAATTGGCGTGCACAGGCGAATTTTGGTGCACATACGTGACTTTATTCGGCAGAGTATTTCTCGGACGTAGAGCCTACCTTTGACCGGTTTCAGCCCTACCTACCTCTCGCTACGGAGTAAAGCTCAGGGCGTACAACACCAAAAATAGGGAAACTTTACCCGTATGCGGCGATAATGTAATAAATCCAAAACAAAAAAAAGGTGTACGTATCAGGATCACTTCCCACTAGCTAGTAGCTGTTGAGACTCAATTCTGTGTCTTGCAATTGTGATGTCGAAGATACTACCGGGCTACCGGTATACCGCTCTTTTTAGCCAGCATGACCAGCCCAAAAATAAAACTCTAAGGAGATGACTCGGCACGTATCACCAACCAACGGGAAATGCCGTACTAACTGAGTTCTATCTCAAATATTCAAGACAGTCATGGCAGAGCATCTGACTGTTATAAGAGCCTTTCCTTGTGTCTTGAATGGCTGCCAGTGAAAGGGGGGCAGATACATTGTGTTAGGCGAGCCTGCCCCCCTTTTCCTGCGGGTGGCAGCAGCTGACTTGTTCAAAGGAAGGCAGACAAGGCGATTTGCTGCCGAAAGGATGAGCGCATGGCCATGAGGTTTAAAGGAGCGGTTCAAAGGGATGCAAGCCAAATTCCCTTGAGCAAAGTTAAAGTGTTTTGGATAGTGATATTTCTCTCCTTGAACGGGCGCACACAGAGTGAGTACAAGTAATCTAACGCAATAGGTCCGGTGGGCCCAGAACTTCTTTGCATCCAATGAGCAGGAGATATGTGGGAAGTGAGCAAGCCCAGCCTTCCATGCTGCAAGTGCGGGGTAGTATGCCAAAACCTACCTAGGTACCTAGTACAGTCTGCATTATGTGCAATGGGCACAAAGGCGTGAGAGCTGAATCACGTATGGAGCAAAGGGAAAGAAGAGAAAGGATTCTGCATCACATTTCCAAACTTATACATGCACCAGATGCCCTAAATCTTTTGCACCTTCCTACAGTTCGGAGGATGCGAATCCGTGATCTAATCAGAAGCCAATCTCAGAGCATGTGGCGGGATCATTTGTACGCCTCTTTTCAGGGGAAATGGCAGGGATAACAGTCCCGCATCGGCATTCGGGTCTGCCGTCAGGGGTAGCATCATCCTAGTAACATCAATCTTACGCGCTTTTGTATGCAAATGCAAGACTTCCAGGTTCATGTGGCACCTTCTGCATCTAGGGCTTGAGATATCGTACGTCTCGATGTAACCATGGAATCGTCGGATTTAGTTTATCACAATCTAGATTCGAGGGAATATCTATATCTCTGGTCTGCCCCTCATGAAAGCCTCAAAACGCCCAGTGGCGCGCCTCCCCCCTTGTCTACCAGGCAAAACTGTTCATTATGAGAACCAGCAGCCACACCCGTGTTTTTGCGGCTTCATTGCTCATTCAAAGTATCTTAGCACAAAATGCAACCAATTCGACGGCGTATGACCCTTTACAATACGTTGACCAGCTGATTGGAAGTAGCAATGGAGGTTTGTTCATTCTATGCTGTCTTTTTCAATTGCTTACATGTCACAGGAAACGTCTTTCCAGGTGCAACTCTTCCTTATGGTAACTATCCCTAGAGGTGTTAGATGTCTAGTAGTTCTCACAGTATCCAGGAATGGCGAAAGCCGTCGCAGACACAAATTCCGGGTCTAACCAAGGTGGTTTCACTACCGATGGGAGTAGTATCACGGGATTCTCGAGCATGCACGATTCCGGAACTGGTGGCTCTCCTTCTTTGGGAAACTTTGCACTTTTTCCTTACAATAGTTGTGCTGGAGACGACCCGGATGGATGTGTATATCCAAAGAAAGGAAGAGCTGTGCCATATGTAAACAGCTCTCTCAAAGCTTCGCCTGGATATTTCGGGCTTCAACTAAACAGTGGGGTATCAGTAGACATGACAGCAGCTCAACATACTTCTTTATTCCGATTCAAATTCCCTGCCAACTCGACTAGTTCGTCGTCTAGTCCCTTGATTCTCCTAGATCTGACAGATCTTTCGGATTCGAGGCAGGACAATGGGACCATTGACGTGGACGCTGCAACCGGACGAATGACTGGTAATGCAAAATTCCTCCCAAGTTTCGGAACCGGAAACTATGTCCTGTATTTCTGTGCCGATTTTCAAGGCGCTCCAATCCGAGACAATGGAATCTTCGCCAACAGCCGTGCTAGCGCTGATGTGAAGAGCTTGACAATCTCAAGATCTATCAATGGGTACCCTCTTCCTGGGGGCGGATTCGTTCGATTTGAGTCACCAGGCGATGATGACATTCTCGCAAGAGTTGGAGTTAGTTTCATAAGCAGTGAACAGGCGTGTTCAAGTGCTGAAGAGGAAATTCCTTCATTCGATTTTACTACTACTCAGACCGCGGCAGAAACCGCGTGGAGGGAGAAGCTGAGTCCCGTTTTAGTTTCTACGAATGGTGTGCAACTATCAGCGCTCAAGAATTTCTATTCTGGGATCTACAGAACTATGGTCAATCCACAAGACTACACTGGAGAGAACCCTTTGTGGCAAAGCTCGGAGCCATACTTTGACTCCTTCTACTGGTGAGCACCTCCTTATAGTGGAAATCTGAATTGTAATTGACTTGGATAGCATCTGGGATCTGTTCCGATCACAAATGCCGTTCTTGACTGTGATAGATCCAGTAACTGTAGCTCGACAGATTCGGTCTCTCATTGACACCTATAAACACTTAGGATGGCTTCCTGATTGTAGAATGACTCTCAACAAGGGCTTCACTCAAGGTGGTTCAAATGCTGATAATGTTCTGGCGGATGCATATCTCAAAGGCATTACGGATGGCATCGACTGGGATATTGGCTATGATGCTGTAGTCAAAGACGCCGAAGTAGAGCCTTACGACTGGTGTTGTGAAGGACGAGGTGGCCTTGATTCTTGGAAGTCACTTGGCTATATTCCAGTCCAAGACTTTGATTACAAAGGGTTTGGAACGATGACAAGAAGTCTTTCCCGAACTCTCGAATACAGTTACAACGACTTCGTCATAACCCAAATTGGCGCGGGACTTGGTGGCAGAGAAAGCGATGTCGAGAAGTACACCACTCGAGCTGGGAATTGGAAAAACCTATTCAAAGCCGACCAGACATCCTCTCTTCCCACCGGAGTAGATACAGGTTTCGTTGGATTTTTCCAGCCGAAATACCTAAATGAGACTTGGGGTTCCCAGGATCCGTTGGAGTGCAGCAATATCGATACCAACCCAAACAGTGTATGCTCACTCCAGAACACTGGTGCAGAGACATTCGAGAGCAGTATCTGGGAATACTCATTGTAAGCATGCCGTATTTTCCGATCCGAGTCGTACTAACTCCAGGATCAGCTTTGTTCCTCATGACCAAGCAACTCTCATAACCACGTTTGGAGGACCGGCCGCGTTTGTTGAACGCCTCGACTACCTCCACAACCAAAATATCACTTATATTGGCAACGAGCCTGCCTTCTTAACGGTGTTCCAGTACCACTATGCTGGTCGCCCCGCACTTTCCGCACTGAGATCTCATTACTACATTCCCGCATTCTTTGAGCCCACCCACGAGGGACTTCCCGGTAACGATGACAGTGGGGCCATGGGCTCCTTCGTCGCATTTTCCATGATAGGGCTCTTTCCCAACCCAGGACAGGATGTCTATCTAATCATCCCCCCATACTTCGAAAGCGTATCCGTCACCTCACCAATCACAAACAAGACCGCCACAATCTGCAACGTCAACTTCGATTCAACATACAAGAACGTGTATATCCAATCTGCGACTTTGGACGGAGAGCCCTACACCAAGAATTGGATTGACCATTCGTTCTTCACGGAAGGAAAGGAGCTTGTGCTTACTCTAGGAGCCACGGAAAGTACCTGGGGTACACAAGTTGCGGATTTGCCGCCTAGTCTTGGGACTTATGAGGGATTCGGGAATTCCACTAATGGGACGATGACTTCAAAGAGGGCTGTGAGGTTTGGGGCTGAGCCAATTAACTTGCTTACTGAGAAGACCGGAGCGAAGTATTGGGCTCAGAACGAAGGATGAAGATGGTGTTTTCATTGAAAATACAATTAATAACCAATTGCATGTCAGTCAACCATCAAAGAATCCAATAGAGTCCACGTACATTCTTAAGATTCTAGAAACGGTCGATCTGGGCCCAGGTGAGCTACCCCAGAGTTTTCCATTTTACCACATCCAAGGTAATGTTTCGCCTGTTTGTCTAGGGGAACGGAAGTCCTACAGCATGTTTATGGTCCTCAGAGGTCACCTTCCCCACACCCAGCATGCAAATCCAAGAACCTCCCTATAAGCTCCTGCTTCTCCTCAACAATCCTCCTATTCATCTCTACATTATCGCCTCTCCTAACTTTGTCCATCGCGTTCTTTCTTTCTTCACTAGCATGCCAGATGAAATGGGGAGGATTGGATGACCTATCTCCCTTCAGTTAGCCCTTTTCGCTTTCGGGTTTCCGAAAAGGGGCAAACAAGGATATATACCCGAATAGTACGGAGAAAAATCCCCGTGCTGGGGAGACGTCGTCTTGCTTGTAGATGCCGACATTGTGATGAATACCGGCTTGGTTGAGGGGGCAGGTGGGGACTTTGCAAAGGGTTGGGAGGGGGAGGTATGCTACTTCTGGTTTTGTGGGGATTGACATGATTAGATAAGGGGGCTTTACAAAGTCAAAGTGAATCGTGCAAATGGGGATGGTGTCGTTAGATAGAAGTGTAATAATACTTCTTGGTACTCCTTTGGGATAGCGGAAAAAAAGCTGGAACTTGGGGCTCAAGGTAAAAGGGCTTAACTCTGTGATGGGTACTGAAGAAACCCGGAGCACTTTCAATGTATAGTGGATAAAGAAATGACATTATTTGGTATGGAGCGTGACAGGAGCTCTTTGTTTAAGGACGCAACCGGGACCAGAGAATAGTTTTTCCAAAGCAGCAGGATCATCGGCAGTGCAAAGAGTTCTGCACTTCAGACGGATATTATTATAAAAGTCAAAGACAAATGATAATATCCATCTTCTCAAACTGGGTTAGGAAACGTGACGAGTGAGATATCCTGGTACGCTAGAAATAATATTCTGTGGGGAAATTGCCTGAGCGAAAATAGCAATAGAAAAAGCCCACTTTCAAATAAAAACACATCAGGCTTTTGAAACTTTGCATCTAACATGCCTGGTATTCTGAACCGTTGCCCTCTTTATTCTTCTAAATACACTGAACAGCATTAAAGTAATAGCGCTTCTCTCACTTGAAGTCCAACCTTTGTAGTACGAAAGATCCAAGTTTAGCGACCAATAGCCTGAGCTTCAGCACTTTCCCCCTGAAAACCCAGCGATCAAAGCCCTGGAATTTTAACAAAAAAAATGCTGCCAGCATTTTCTTCTCCTTTAAATCCCATTCTTCTTCAAGAATCTCAACATCAAATTCGCAATCTCCTTCGTATTACTCTCCACCGCAAAATGCCCCGCATCTAAAAGATGAATCTCAGCATTCGGCAAATCCTTTTTAAAAGCCTCTGCACCCGCCGGAATGAAAATAGGATCGTTCTTCCCCCAAAACGCAATTAGTGGGACTTGGCTCTTCCGGAAGTATTCCTGGAACTGAGGATACATCTCGACATTTTTTCTGTAGTCGTAGAACAGGCCTAGTTGGATATCCGTTTGACCAGGTCGATCGAGCAGTGCTTGGTCGAGCGTATACGTTTCTGGTGCTATGGTGGAGTTGGGATTGACGGTGCCTGTGAGATATTGCCCTTTTGTCGCGTCAAGCGTGAGAGTTGAGGCTGTAATGGCTTCTCTGAGGGAAATATTAAGACCATCGCCCTTCCAGAATTCCTTAAGAGGATCCCAGAATGCTCCTAGTCCCTCATCATAAGCGTTCCCATTTTGGCTGAAGATTGCTTGCACGGCTTCAGGTCTGCGTAGTGCTAGTCTGAGGCCGGTTGGGGCACCGTAGTCAAAGATGTAGGGGGAGAATTTCTTAATGGAGAGGGCGTCGAGGAAGGCTTCTATGGAGGTGGCGATGGAATCGAATGTGTAGGGATAAGCGCGGGAGTTGGGAACTTCTGTGAATCCGAAGCCTGGGAGATCGGGGGCAATGACGTGGTAAGCGGCGGCGAGGAGGGGGATGAGGTTGCGGAATTGGTGTGAAGAGCTGGGAAAACCATGCAATAAGAGTATGACAGGTGCGTCTGTTGGGCCGGCCTCTCTGTAGAAAATATTGAGCCCGTCTGCCGCTACTGAACTGATGTTATACGATGCCATAATGTTTGAAAGCGCGTTTCTGCTAAACTTTTGGATGGTAGTGTGTAACTTGAAGTTGTGAAGTTATTATGTCATGTGTTGTACTGAACTCTGAATATTCATGCTTGCACTGGAAATCTGGGTAAGTATATATAGTCTTCTGGATACATGTCAGCCTTGCACAAAGATTCTCGTTGGAAGTTCAATAGTAAGCACATTGCATTGATGAATTCCTAAGCTTGTGAGCTACATGACGTTATGGGAGAGATCTCGAAGCCACCGAAACCATGGTGGCGTTTGTCAGCAACCCGAATGACACAATTCCAGTCTATACAAGCAACCTTTAATTGTCAGATTTTGATTGGCTGGAGGAACATTCGAGGTTACATTCTAGATGTACGGCTCCGTAAATCGATTCCTCATATCTTTCGTCAGACGGTTGGAGCCGTGCAAAGCTAGCTGTACAGTGTCCTACCTAAATGGTAGTGAAGGGCGTGATGTTGACTCGATGTGTCCCTAGCTCCGCGGAGAAACAAATTGTTTCAACCGATTATAAAGAAGTGCCTATAATCTCACTGTAACATTATAAAGTCGCCTGAGAAGGGCTATGGCTTTGTTGCTACGTACAGCTTTCGAGAAGCATTGACGTATCGAAACCAGGCCCCAGGGTATACCGGTAACTCCACATTACGTCTTCAAGGCTTACCGCCCCGTATTGTGATTCCGAATCTTTACATTGCAAGGCAACCCACCCTCCATGGGCAAGGTCAAGCTATTCTTACTAAACTTCTCATTGTTGTCCAGAGCTTTGAAATCGAAGTGCAGTACAAATGCCGCAATGACCTGCACAGCAACGCTCTCGGCCATTTTCTTCCCAAGACAAATTCTCGGTCCACCATTGAATACCGGAAATTCAAAAGCAGTCTTTGTAATCAAGTTGCCGTCATCAAACCATCTCTCGGGTCGAAATTCGTCGGCATTTTTGCCCCAGGTTTGTCGCGAGCGATTCATGGCCCATGTGCACCAAAGAAGGACGGTATCCTTTGGTAAGAAGGTTCCGTCAGGAAGTGTAGTGGCTTTCATACACTGCCTGAACTCGAATGGAATCGGGGGATATAATCGCAAAGCCTCGTAGAAAGCAGCCATAGTGTACGGGAGCTTGGATGCTTGGAACAATGCAGTGTCGATTCGATGAAGGTCCAAGAATGCGTCTTCAACGCTCAAGGCAGCTTTAGCCACATTGTCGACTTCAGTTCGGATTGCTTTTGTCACATCTGGATGTTTCATGAGGCAGTAAAATAACCAGGTCAATGCTTGAGCGGTTGTATCTCTTCCTATAAACCGTTTAGCTTTGTACACGGTTATCTGTAACTTTTACCTACCAGCCGTGAGATAATTTAGCGCTGCATCGGCAACCACTGAATGATCATCGATAGTATCCAAAAGGGAATGGATCAAGCTTCCCGAAATTCCTTCAACAGTGTTCGCAAAGCCAGACTTGGTATTTACGTTGCTGACTGGCTGCTTGCTTTGCTTGGCCCAGACGGCCTTTGCAACTATTTCGGAACCAAAGGCTTTGACTTGTGCGATTGACTTCCGGAGTTTGCGTCCAAAGAAGAGTTCGGTGACTTTCCATAAAGGGTTCTGAAATCTTTCGGTGGTTGCACCCGAGGCGTAATCAAAGGCTTCTGTGAAAGCATCAGAATGATGCATTTCCATCTAAAATCCCATATCAGCCTTTAATCTAAGTGAGCATCGATGGAGAAGATACATTGTACGCCATGCGGCCGAAAAGCTGGGTGGTAAGCTCATGAAAGATGGCGGACAGATCTACAACATCGTTGGGCTGTGGGGTCTCGAGGATACTGATGGTTTCCTTGAGATATGTAGGTAAGGCAGCCTCCGTAAGGATCTTTAGGTTGGCATTGCTAAGAAAGTTCACACCTGCTTTACGCTGAACCCTCCAAAGTTCACCGTCTGCATTGATGATTCCATTCCCTATGATTATTAGCCACTGTAACTACTATAAAAGCTGTCCCAGAATGACTTGCCAAAGAGATCCCATGACCTGGACTTGACGAAATCTCCTTTGGAGAAGATTCCTTCGTTTTTGAGTGCATACTCCAAATTCTTTGGGTCATTGATAACCACGCCTGGTGGAAGCGTAGGAACCGATATTTGGAACGTCTCAAACCCAAATTGACGCTCACACTTCACGAACCAAGCGAAGAGTTTCTTGCGTGGTTGCAGGAAGATGAGGCCATTCCCAATGAATGGCAGTCGGCCTAGAGATTGTCTAGAGATGAAATATTAACATTGTGCGTCGTGAATTCATGTGCTGTAATGATTTTGAATAAAGACATATATAGGAGGTCCAAATATGGTATATATGATAATTATTCACTCTCAATATGACGCGTTTTGAAACCTAAGGAGACTTGACGAAGGGACGGGACGTACCGGAGGGGTTTTCCGTTTCTCTTGAGCGTCGGACTGCGGAACAAGAAGTAGGCAAATAACAATGCAATAGCAGCGGCCAACAGGGCCGTTACCGAATGCATTTTACTTTGCAGAATTTGGTGTTGAAGTTTAGGAAAGGTCATGTCATTATGTCATAGATACCCATGACAATATACTTCGGTTGCTAGCGCGCTCACAGCCTTGTTTCAAGGAGCTCAGCCGTGCATGAGGTTCACTACAGTACAGTACTCATCAAACACTCTTCTCCTTCCCTTCTCTCACCCATCCCCATACCATAACCACACGAGTCCAAGCAAAGCTCACCATGGTTCTCATCTGCCCCCGCATACACTTTTACGAGATCAACGATCAAGCTTGGTATGGGGATATCTTCCCGTGAATTGACGCCTGCTAATCTTCTCAACCTAGGTTTCCTCAATATCTCCGCGAAAAGGTCCAATCTTGCCTCACTCTCTGCTGGACATTCCGAGCACCTGTGCTGCAAAAAGTATCGCCGGCACAGCTCATAACAACCACGCTCTATGCAACCCTCACCGACAATGTTACAAACTACAAATATGTTGATTTCTGCGCAGGCGCAGGAGGCCCAACTCCATTCATCGAGAGAGATTTGAATGCTCAATTATCCTCACGAATGCCCAAATCACCTCCTCCCACGGCTACCCAGTCGAACGGCCTTACCCCTCGTTCACCTCGAGCTCCGCCGACAAACAATGGCGGCGTGAACTTCGTGTTGACGGATATTCACCCACATATACCGGATTGGACAGAAGCCTCAAAGCGAAGTGAGAATCTCAGCTTTGTCTCCGAGTCTGTAGACGCGTCCAATGCACCCGCGAGCTTGAATTCACAGGATGGGAAGAAAATCTTTAGATTGTATAATTTGGCATTTCATCATTTCGACAATAAGCTGGGCTCGGAGATATTACGAAACACCCTCGAGACGGCGGATGGATTTGGGTATGTCCACAACAACCCTTGTTTACCACACAACTAACAAGTGAGTAGTATCTTCGAACTCCAAGAACGTACGATATCGTCTATGATCACCATCACTGCAATGGGTCTTCTTATGTTTCTCATCACTCCGTTTTATTTCTGGAGATCTCCTGGTCATCTATTCTTCACATACATCATTCCCATCATACCCTTTGTTCTTGTCTTTGATGGTTATATCTCTTCTCTGCGCACAAGAAGCGCCGAGGAAGTCCAGGCGATGATGAAGGAGTGCGGGGCATCATGTGATGGATGGACCGTTAAGAACGGCGCAGAACAGCACACATGGCCTACAGGATATATGACTTGGATCATTGGTGTTAAAGCGTAGAGCAAAAGCCATGTACTATACAACAAGTCTTGTGTGGTAAGAGCTTAAGTTGAGATACCAATTTAGCATTTTCCCAAAGAGTCGTTTTCCCAAGCTTGGTGATAGGAACGGGTTAAATTAATCAATGTTGTCTAACGTGGCAAACAATCATCTCACGAGAGTCATAAAGTTTGTCAAGGTTATGTATCTTGGTATCTCTTCATCACAAAGCCAAAATACTCGAATCCGCCCCCACCGTCAGGATCTTCCAGGATCTCCACTTCGACATCCCACTTATCATCCCTAGCCAACATCGGTCTCATAAAATGTGGTTGTCTATACGTAATATACAACCACCGTCCACCCGGTATCAATACCCTCGCAACCTACAACAAAGCACCACCTAAATCAGCACATCCATCTTCCAATCTCCCTTTCTCCCACTCCAGCTTCCATCTACAATATACATACCACAAGCAGCTGGCACCGTTCCAATTAAACCAAGAAAATCATAAAATACATACCTCATCAACATACCTCCCGACATCCCCCCTCACCTCCGCCAGCGGATTCCACAAACTGCCATACAGAAACGCATCCAGCGTCCCCTTGTCAACCGCCACATCCACACCCCCATCCCCCATCTCCAACGCCCGCACATCCATAACCCGCCACTCGGTATCGATTCCCAGCGCCGAGTATTTCAGCGCCATGGCTTGGATTACCACTTGTGAAGAATCTACGCTGAGCTGGTGCGTGTAGCCGAGAGTGTAGAGGTCTGCTGTTAATGTCTTAAGTAGAGACGGCTGAAAGACACTATAGGAGTTATATGCCGATCAGCTTACATTAAGTTACATAGAGCGCGACTTCATCTTCACATCAAATTTCAACCAATATATAGAATCAGCAGTACGGCTCAATTAATCTTTATTTGGCGTTAAAATTGTAGTTGATAGTTATTAGACAGCTCGTTAATAAATCCAAGGACCGGAAGAGTCTGTATTCGCATATCTCATATCTCACTTCTCTGCCCTCTTCTCACTTAATACTGGTGAACCACTCTCCACTGGAGCCTCCATGTTCTCCCCCTTCATCAGACCCATCTGGTTAGTATCCCATCCCTTGCTCTCCAGGTACGCTCTGAACTTGATATCCTCCGTGGTGATAGTGTCCTGACCAATATGAGGGAGTAGCAGAACTAAAAATGCGCTGAAGATGCACAAGGAACTTGAGACGTAAAAGGGATATTGGGCTGTTGCGACTGAATCCGATCCACCAGCTTTCTCGATGTACGGGAAGATGTAGGTGCCGACGAAAGCTCCGATTTTCCCAGTTGCAGCAGCGATGGCGTAGTACTGCCCACGAACACCGGTAGCACAGGATTTGGAGGCAATAAGGCCAAGATTGTCACCTGGACCAAACTCGCCTAGGGAGAGGAAAATACCATATACAACTGCGAACCCACCGACATTCCCGGGCTTGGCAAGGTGACGATATAATCCAGCCATGAGAAAGCCAACAATTCCTTGGAGGAAGACGCCAATTGAGAGAGCGTACTTCGGACCGACAAAGTCGGAAAAGATGGATCCCAGCATAGCACCTGGAATATAGAAGAGGTTGATGACCGTGTTCCATCCAAAAACGGTGGTGAGAGGTGCAGTTTTCGAATCATAGATGTTGGCGAGAACGGTGGATGAATAAATGCCGAAGGAATAGGTGGAAAACTATAAAAAGTGTAAGTCACAATTCAGTCTTTTGCAGTGTTTTACTGCCTTCTCCACAAAATGACCGGCAATTATAAAGCCTTGATTTTACTTGACGCGAGAAGCCGCTTTTTCTGTCCACCGCGAGGCTTCTTCTTTGTATGGAGACGGCCGTAAAACACTGTAGGTAATATTGATCTTGTAAACTTACATCGTACATGAACCAGATCAAGCTAACAAGGAACAGTCTGAACCAGTAATACCTGATAACAAGGCCATATGGGATTCTAACATTTCGCATACTCTCCCTATATCTTCGTTAGCTTTCCTCACCCAAGGGTATGCGCCTTCACTGGGTAACATACCTTTTGAATTCCTCGGGCTCCTTGAGTTTGATCCGAAGGTATAGAAGCAACAACGGAGGAACGACGCCCAATCCCAGCGAAAGTCTCCAAGCCAAGCGCAAATGCTTATCGGTGCAAATGACGACCATCAAGTATGGGACGAAGGCGCCCACCACGAAACCCCAATCAATCATAACATTGGTGAATAGGATGAACCAGCGATTTCTTGTGCCGCTCTTCAGCTCGCCAGTTGCCTCAGAACAAGCAACAGATCCAGCAGGATATTCCCCACCGATTCCAACACCGACCAGGAAACGGTATGCGGTCAGGGCCGCGAACATGCCATTGAGCGTTCCACCTCCGTACGAGGCAGCCCCGAGGGCTGCGAAGATGATCAAGATAATGGTGGAGATGAGGAGAGAATTCGACCGAGACCATTTGTCACTGGTGTATCCGAAAATAAGTTGGCCGAGAACGGTACCTGCGAAAGCAATGGCACTGACGTTCTTCTGCGAGCCGTTGTCGGTGTACTTTTTGCCGTATATAGTTTTTAGCATGGTGGAGACAGAACCAATGACCTAACGGAGCGTCAGCAACAGATTCGTGGGGTCCGTTCGGCGCATAGAGAGAGAGCGGCTCACATTATTGATGTAGCCGTCGGAGAAAAGACCAGAGCCACAAGCCATGACTGGCCATATGCGCTCCCAACGGCTTTTTGGGATTGTGGCCAAAGGGTCAACATTTGCGAGATTGTCAAAATCAGAGCCCGTGCTGACGTTGGGCTCAGCGACATCGTTCTTCTTGCCGAACAGCTTCATGATCGCGGCGGTTGTAGAGGGAGGGATCAGAAGATTCGAAGAAAGATTAGAAGTGAGGGCTAGGGCAAGTGAGGAAGGAGGGGCACGGAAAGTGCAGCTGCGAGAGCTACAATCAAGTAGGGGATTAAAGAATAATGAAGGGAGTTAACAATATAATCTGAACACGAGAGTAGTAGGTATTTAAGAACAGACGATGGGATGGGGAGTAATAATGGGGGTGAATATTAATGGGGGTGAATATTAACAAGCTTTCTACCTTACCCATGTAATGCTGCTATCTTGGTAGTGGATCTACTAAAAACGCTGACAGGGAAGTGATGCAAGCATCCGGCAGCCCATTGACTTTTCATCCCAGATGTGGGGTGTGAACCTTGTCTTCAGAGCCTTGTAGACCCCGAATAGAATCTATCTATCGAACGCTCATTGCACATGCTACTATACGAGGTAGTCAAGGACTTGCTACCGGTCAAGCTCACAACTAACATTTCAAGTTCAATCTTGTTGCGACAAAACCCTGCGTCTCCTTCTGTCTGTCAAGCAAAAAGATTAATCCTTCGATCCTTCGGTGTCTTTACTCCAAGCTCTCCCCTCCGCATAGCACGTGCCACACTACGACCTTAGCACAGGTAACATTACACCCCCCATACCATATCAAAGCTACCATGCCCTACCCTACCCTACTGTACCATAGTAAAAACCTCTCCTTCTGCTCCCACTTCCCCCCCCTTCCTTTACTTAGTCAAGCCTCCAAAAACACTGCCAACCACCCTCTTTATTGGTGACGTAAGTACCTCGGCCAAACACCCCTCGCGCTGACTTCCACTAACATACACGCTTCCCGTTTCCCGTTGCGAAAAGGCTTGTCTTCCGCTGCCTGTCCTGTCGAGCCTGTCTACGCCAATCCGCGCCCCTAGTTTACGCACACTTCCGCCTGCCGTCGATAAGATAAGCCGCCGCGCTCTAAACCCTGTCGAATACTCGGTCATCCCGATAACCTTTTGCTGTTTGTGCCGGCGGGCAAGACTCGATCGAGGTCTATTATCTACGGAGCACGGAGCTAATTGACAGGTCAGGTGTAGACTTGTCGCCGAAAAAGTACTGTACTGTACGTCTCCACCTGATAATTTTATCTATTGCTTCGAATGCATGCGTGGATAAGGCAGAGAACAGAGCACTTTGTGCGCCTGTGCAGCCGTCGCTAATCGAAGCACGTTTTGATCTTGTTCGCCATGTAGATCGAACATGTGCTTGCGTAACGTAAATTATGTGGCCATGGAAGACTGGATGTTCTACCAGGTAGAGCCTTTATTTTAATGAGTTTAAACTAAAGCACTTGTAACGCATGCTATTGACGATTGTAATATGAGGTCACTGGGCTAGAGTTTAGCTTTGTCTGTTCTTGTAATACCTACTGTAGGTACATGTGTTACATACCTTAGGTACCTATGTTAAGCAATTTAATGCTTTCAAGGACAGCTCAAGTTCCAAGGATACATAATTTAGTCGCCTAAAGCCGTCACTATTTACTGTATAATATCAGTATAAAGTGTCACTTACACTCGAAGAAGCAGAGAAACTGGCAAGGTTTCCTACATCTCATCAAACTTTCATGAATTCTATTCCATATATTTACTCTATCTAGCACCGTATATTTCGGAGACTGGATGGGCCCGTTCAGTAATGTACCTTAAACTAAAGGTTACAGGTCGAGCCTTATTAAATGCTCTTGTGTGAGGTGAGGTTATTCCCAAAGAGCAATATGCTACGGGCTTTCTATCGCTCTAGCTGGAGCTTCATCACAACGGAACTCAAAATACCAAAGTCGCACTTTACTCTAGCTTTCAGACAGCTTCCACAGACAGGATGTGCTCCATACCCAAGGTAATATAACCGCTGTTTACTTCCGCCTTGGCGATTAACAGCTTTTTGCGAGATGTAGATGTGTTTTGTTACTGTAGGGTCGAGCTAAAAGCACGGACCGCGGTCTACCCTCACCTCACCTCATGGCATACATGTCTTGGCAGTAAATCCCCACCTTCTTAGTTTAATACTGAGGTTTTACCTCGTACTTTTATATTTCTGTCAATATTAGACTTGTATGGCATGTCAATTGTTATCAAAATTGAAACCGCATTGGCAATTCCAAATACAAAACACTATAGCGAGCCATTTCAATCGGAGCTTCTTGACAACAAACTCCCTTGTCTTACTAGACTAAGCCTAACGCGTTGCAGCCTCAACACGACGCGTTCACTTTAGCTGACCGTCAATCAATAATCAAAATCTCACAATTGTATCCTACCTTGTCCGAATGTCTTCCCGCCGCCACCTGGTATCACGCTCCCGCGTGAACAATCAAGAATCATCTCCAGCTCCGCGCGGAAGTGGAAGTGGAAGTGCCCGCCAACGCGATGCGCCTGCTCGTCAACCAGTCGCTCTTCCCCCATATGAGCCTCCCAGTTTTCCTCTAACGCAGGCCGCACAACGCGATCTCGACAGTCTGCGGACAAACCATGACTATTCCAAGTACAAGAAGCATCTCGGGGGTGCGATCAAAGCCATAACAACCTGCGCTACGGAAATCAACGATCAGCTTACAATCCGCCAGGATTTGGTCCGCAGAGGCGAGGAAAAGAGACGTCAGGCAGGCCAGGGCGACGAAGATAAGACCGAAATGCAGAACGAGATGGAGAGCCAGGCTAGATTCATGGAGAGGAAAGTCGTCGACTTGACTGCTAAGGCAGAGAAATCACTGCGCGAGCTGATTGATTATGGTGACGAACTTGCAATGCAAGACGCCATGATGACCGAGGTCAGTGGCAATATAGCTGCGGTACCTGTCGTTCAGCCTCGCGCGTCTAGACATCGGAGAGCAAGGGGTGATGGAGAGGACGAAGAAGAGAACGGGGAAGAAGACGCAAGCCAAGACGGCGATGGCTCTCCCGCTGATGACCAAGAGGTTCTCAGTGCTGTCGAGCTTCTGCGGAAAGCCAAGCAGGACTATCTTACCCAGTACTCGTCGAAAACCATGTTGGAAAGGTACCTTACCGCTTGCCTATCCGGGATACCGTATTGAAGACTAACAAGAACCGCTCTAGATATGATGTGAACGATTTCAGGCTGTTCAAACAGGTTATTCATGATGCTCAACATCCTGGTGATGACGCGCCCCCAGTTCCTCACACAAGGACATGGTTCCCAGAGGACAATGCCACCCAAGGGTCTAGCTCTCGCAGACGTCGAAATAACACTACGGATAATACAAGCAATGCCGACGATTCTGATGGTGATATAGTCATCCAAAGAGCGACAACGAACTTGAGGTGCCCATTCACCTTGGGGATCTTCGAGGAACCATTTACTAGCAAAAAATGCAAACATACCTTCGAGAAGAAAGCCATCCTACGCTATATCGAAACCGATGGTAGCCAGTTTGCGACTCCTGGTCAGCCTGGGCGTGGGACAAAGCAGGTCAAATGCATTACAACAGGTTGTGATGTTGTAAGTCAAAGTCCGTTCAGTATTGATGAGTGCAGAGATTAACATGTTTTTAGATGCTTGGGCCCAATGACTTCTACGATGATGCAGTCATTCGTCGGAAGGTTAAGCGTGCAATGAAACGAGAGGAATTAGGAGATGAAGATGACGAAGACGATGCTCCTATAAAGAAGCGCGCAATGTCCATCAACGACGACAGTCCCTCACCCACTAATGGCGATGATGATGGAAAAAGACAGAAAATTGCAAGGATAAAGAGAGAGAGACAGAAGAGTCAGGGCCCAAGTATGGCACCTAACCGTCCAACAGAGCTGTCAAACGATGATGTTGAAGCTATGGATGAGGAGTGATTGCAAGCTATGGCGGGGAATTAGGCCACCCACAACGGAGACAAACCATTGTATTATTCATACTCTACTACGACTTCACATTGACAGAGCCTAACAACTATACCCATAAACTAGTCGCTCACAGAGTAAAATATGTCTCTTGCTATCCTATAATCCAATCAGCTGAGCTGAGCTTCCAGGTATGCCGAGAAATTCTCACTAAAAAAGGGTTGCGGCTTAGGATATCAAAATTTGAAACACAGATATTCAAGCATGATGACAGCTAACTCTCCACTCCCATGTTTCCCCTATTTCCTCTCCGCAACACCAATCCACTCCCCCCCAAGCTAACATGCGCCCCTCAACCGATATCTCCCTCCCAATTTCCTCCAGCGTAGCAACCTTGCTCATCTTTCCCAGATCCAAACCTTCTCCTAAAGCAATCAATTGGAAAAAATACCTATGCTCACCATGCTACAAGATGACATCTCAAAGTCAGCAATCATTACTCAATCACAACAGAAATCCAAACACTGATCATGACTCCCCCGAACCGGCGCAGGAATCTATCTGGACAGACGATAAACATACACCTCTCAACGGCCTAGGCCCCGCATAAACCGTACCCCTCCTATTCAACCCATACCTAAACCCGCCACTCAACTCATTCCCCCTACCCGTCTCCACCACATCCTCCTGCGCAACGGCAGTTTTCCCCGGCGGTATACCGTAGAAAACACCGTGAGTAATCGGGCTCGGCAGCGGCGCGTCGGGGTCTTGAATCACGAGCAGGTATTCTTTTACGCGTTCCGGGTCCAGGGAAGAGGGCAGCGTCCAGGTTAGTGTTGGGAAGGTATCGGCGCCATCCTGCGTGTATTGCACGGCCATGATGGAGCCGCTGGGGCCGCATGTTGGGGAGGTCATGGGGATTGTTGGCGGTGGGCTGGGGGAGGGGGAGGCGGTGGTAAAGGCGGGGACGAGGCCATGGGGGCGGGTGAAGAGTTTGGGGTCGTGGGCGTGGAGGTTGGTGGTTAGGTAGGAGATAGTACGTTCTAGGTATTCCATTTTGGCTTTCTGTCTGTATAGGTAGAGGGAAGAGGAAAGGTAGAGATATAGATAGTGATAGAGATAGAAGTAATATTTCAGGGTTTGTTTGACATATATGCACTGAAGATGGAAGATTCTTGCTTCCGGTAAATGTGAATAAAACCAGTCATTTCTTTCTCTGCTTTAAGGCTTATTTATATACACAATTGGGTATTGGACAAAAGCATATATCGGTCATCGTCGGCGAGCTTTCCTTGAGGCTCGGCGTGCTTATTGGCGGGGTTTTCGTAAGCTGCCGATTAAGCCCGAGCGAGGAAGGCATATCACGTGTACACGTAGCAATACGCGTCCTGGGTCATTGAACTTGAGTTGGCATAATTGCTCCGAAATATGCACTATGCCATTATGGTATTCTCTGCATATAATTCAGACAATGTACGAGTGCTACTATGTGGATGAAGAAGCCAAGTCTTGCGGTCCCGTGATCTGATAGAATCAACTATTGTAGCTTAGCGAGGACGGAAAGGGGGGTGGGGTCTGTGGAAACATCTCAATTCGTCTAAAGAAACGATCAGTAGTAAAATCAAAACATTTGATGAAGTTAGAGCTCTCAAAAACTGGTTTCGGAGTGGTTAGATTTCCCTTTCCGGGGAAGTTCTGACAGATCAGAAGTGGGATGTCCCGGCTGCATGACATGATAACTCCAGGGCTAAAGATTACTACCTACACAACTATTACATATACTGCTCACTGTTCCTTCTCCTCTATTCTTCTATTCTTCTAAACCCATCCTTCAACATGGCTACGACTTCAATCCAGGCTCCCAATCTCTTCAACGTCAATGGCCTCGTTGCCGTTATCACAGGAGGCGGATCAGGTACTCTTCCATTTCTTCAAGTGAATCTATTATGCCTGAATTAACGGACAATACGCAGGTATCGGCCTCATGATGGCAAGAGCTTTAGCTCTCAACGGGGCCCACAGAATCTACATTGTAGGCCGCCGAAAAGACGTGCTTGAGAAAGCGTCCCAATCTGTCTCAACAAACAACATATTCCCCATCGTAGGCGACGTTACCTCCAAAGAAGCCCTCGCTTCTGTTGTCTCTACCATCCAATCCGAAGTCGGGTACATCAATCTTTTAATCGCCAACTCAGGCATCCTAGGCGTAAGCAACTTTGAATTCATCTTCCAGGAGATATTCTTATCGGTGTTTTGAAAACTTCCCACCAAAATATCATTCTAATCAATTAAACTTTTCTGACTTTGCAGTGTCTCAGCCTCAATCGGCGATGCCACAAGCAGAAATCAAAACAGTAGCAGATTTCCAAAAAGCATATGGAGAGACGCCCTTTGACGAACATTTGGATACGTTCAAGCTGAATACGACGGCGGCATGGTATACGATTCTCGCATTCTTGGGACTGTTGGACGAGGGGAATAAGAAGGGGAATGTTGAGCAAAAGAGTCAGGTTATTGGTACGGGCAGTCTTGCTGGGTTTAACAGATCTACGCCTGGCGGATACGCGTATGGGGTATGCTTAATTCCTCAGTGAAATCCCATTCTCTTCTATGAGGATTGAGGAGCTGGGGGTTTTTTCGGTGACCTAGATGCAAGCTCCCGAGATAACTCCTAAGTCTCGCAGCTCTCCAAATACCAGCTTTTTAGCTTGCTAATTCGTTGGGGTAGGAAAGCAAAGCGGCTACCACGCATATGATGAAGCAGCTGGCTACGGGCTTGGCTCCTCTGGGTATTCGATCGAACGTTCTCGCTCCTGGCCGTAAGTCTGTATTTCGAGTTCTCAGTATTGGGTCAGATCAGCTGCGATGTATAACATGGCTACACGAACATTGAAGATCAACATCATAATCTCTGCTACTGGGCACATTATTTCGCTCTCGACTTTCCTGGATTTGCTTGCTGACTCTTCCCAAGTGTTCCCCTCAGACTTGGCCGCACCCATAATCGGCAACGGGATCTTTCCACGTGACAAGATTCCTCTAGAGCGAGTAGGAACGGAAGAAGATATGGCAGGGGCGATCCTTTTCCTCACAAGTAAAGCAGGAGCTTACTGCACGGGTAACGTGCTGTTACTCGATGGTGGAAGGTTGAGCATGCTTCCGGCGACTTATTGATTTTCTTTTCTGCACTTGGAGCATATGGCCGTCAGTTATGCGCAATATAGAGGTTAGAACGCATAGATAGATGGGTAGAAGGATCTGCTTCTCAGATCTTGGAACTCAGCGGAGCAGAGAACACTTTCGAATCCGTAAGAGGCCCGAATATGGCTATATGTTTTCTGCATCTACTTTGTTGCTCGTAAGAAGAGATTCCCAAAAGTAGAAATACTCCTTGGAAATCTGCTTACAGACACCCACCCCATCTGCGCTTATGGAACAAAAGATTGGTGTCCTAGCGGGTGATGGCGAGGCGTAGAGTGTGGATGTACTCATCCAGTGACATCCATAATGTAGACCTATGCATGGACATTCGCTTCTAAGGTAGCTGATAGCCTGATACAACGTTGGGCTGAAATGTCTCTTTTAGGGAGGTAGGGCTTTCCGTCGTATATCTTGCATTCTGTGACATCGGCATTATATGGATGTATTACCTGCGTGTGCGGGTATGCAACCTGGAATGTACTAGCCGTCGCTAACTCGTTGCATGGTCTGGCGACGGGTAGCCTGAGCATGAGGCTGATGGTGGCTGAAAACTACCTTTCTTGCAGTATATACTTGTTCCTTTAGATAACCTCCAATCTTTATGTCTATGTCTTAGACATCGACGCTCTCGGGCTTATGGAATCTGTCATCTCGATGTATCTAGGCTCCTTTGTCGAGATCGTAACCAAAATTGAATCTGAGCCCTTATAGAACGATCAAGTCTTGCACCTACCTCATGCTACCCAATTTCCGGTACCAAAGACAAACTGGTTGGAACTCGAGGCCAGGATCTCGAGCCTCAGCGTCACCTCGCCATTGGTTACTTCCGGGGGATTTCCGCTTGCAAGATATGAAAGATAGGATGAAGTATTTCGCCACGTTTCTCTTTCAGCCTTCGGGACATGTGGCCGGGGCACACCCAAAAGAAATCAGGGGTCAAACCCTAAAAGGTTGTCGTCATAGAGACTGAGGGAGGTTACACATTAGAAAATTCGATTACAATCTCTCTAAAGTTGTGTCCTTCAACGTTTAGAATAGAGAATCGTAGCAAAATGTGTATCGATACCGACTGTTTTTTGAGATTCTGCCTTGTGGGAGATGGAAGAAAAGTAGATTCCGTAACTATTGACTTGCTCGATAGTGTCTGTACCAAGGACATGTTGAAAGGTTGATGACATTTCAATATCAGCCCGACACGGAACCGTAATTCGACAGCCGTGATTGCTACTTCTATTTCGGCATGAGGGAGCAATGCAACTATAAAACCAAGATACTATAGCTCGCAAAGAACCTTTGAAAGGGGAAAAGATCTTCCAAGTCCTTTACGACGACTCCTAGATCAGGTAGCGACTAGCTATAACTTGAACAAAATAAATGAAAGCATACTATAAGTTCCTATAGCTCCTTCCTATGAAGTACAGCGGAGACAATACTGGGTGGCAGTGCTGTGATCAGATGAGTTGCACCCCCCACCTGTTCATAGTCGAAAGCTAGGAAGTTCCCATCAGTAAACATGTACATCTCGGGATTTGCCATATTTGGCCTTTCTCAAGCCGATCCTATCGAAATCATTCCTTTGATCGGATCGTGCCGAAGTTGGAGCAGAGCATCCAATATAAATCCTAGTAATTGCCACAAACATATTCTGTTGCAATGGTGATCTGAGACCGAATAGTTCGCCGAAGAACCGCCCGCGGATGTTGGATAGATGAATATGAATGCATGACATCCCACTTAGACCCCACCTTGTTTCTCCGATCCGGGGGAATAGTCAGTTATACTTCTGAATTTCCAGGCTACGGAAACTCGGGATGCCAACCGCACAAGTGGAAGAAGAAATTTCAATATTGTAAATTGGGACAGAGGTGGAGAGAAAATACAGGTTTGGTTCCAAATAGAAATTAGAATTCAAAATTGCATGAAATGTACCATGGTAACATTTTAAAAATACCGCATAAGCAAATGACTTGGTCGCAGTTACAGAGAGAAAATGGAGTATGGGAATTTAGTTTTTCCTAGGGAGGATGTTGCCGACCAATCATCTGCTCCAACCAGTCCCCCTTTCAATAGAGGATTTAGCCGAATGTTGTTTTAGAAGAGGAATTTTACCCATCGTCCGGCAGATGGAGTAAGGTTTCCCCGCACCCGAGGAACCTTGCAGGGTCTGTCTGTACTTGGCGCATGTCCTGGTGACCACCTGGTCTCTGCATGGTACCTGATATATTCTATCATTTAAGTTTTAACTTACGCTTCAGAGCATAGATGTCGTATCATGCCCCCTTTTGACCAGATTCGAATATATTAGATCGGAACAATTTCTCTCGGCTGATTAAGAAGATCTAGATTCTTTAAGTAAGGGATATAGAAGCTTGAGACAATTCGATCGGGGGTACATGATCGTATAAGGTACACGAGGTACTTGCCACTTTCCAGTCGCTCGTCTTGCTTTACAGCCTATTGGCAGTATGATAAGGAGCTGGGGCAAAATCCAAGATAGGCGAAAAAGTTGTTGGACCACATGTCAGTTAACTTGAAACGTTCTAAGTTATGGTTGGTTGAGAATGATGGTCGCTTAACATCTCGTTCTTATGTTTCCCCGTTCCACGGGTCCATTGCCTCCGCATCCGATCCTGACGATACTTTCTTTAGCTTGAGTCTGGAGAGAATATCTGATATGGAGAAATTGGAGGAGAAGCACCTCAACGAAGCCACAACCTGTGGGGCTTGATCTATTCCGGCTGCTTTCACTCCGCCGGTTGCCTCCCCGCATTCCCATACCCCATCTTCCAATGGCGCTTGACATGTGGAGGTGTAAAGAAGTTCGAGGAGGCGAATTTTCTAACAGAACACATATAAGAGCAGAGTAATTCCTCTAAATGGTATCATCATCACCCAGAACAGCATCAATAGTCCTTCACTATGATTTCCGCCGCCCTCACCTTCTCTGCCCTCCTGGTTTCGGTCCGCGCTCAGCTGGCAGGTACTTTGACCACTGAGACTCACCCACCTCTTGAGGTCAGCCAATGTACCGCCAGTGGATGTACAACCTCTTCAGCGGCCATTGTCATCGATGCGAACTGGAGATGGCTTCACAACAAGGTTGGGTATACCAACTGCTACACTGGTAACACTTGGAACGCGACTGTCTGCCCAGATGCCGTGACTTGTGCGGCCAACTGTGCTTTGGATGGAGCCGACTATTCTGGAACCTATGGTATTACCACAAGCGGCAACTCGTTGAAACTCAGCTTCGTCACAAAGGGCACGAACACCAACGTCGGTTCTCGAACATACCTCATGGCCGCAGGAAGTACAACCGCCTACCAAATTTTGTCGCTCATGAACCAGGAATTCACCTTCGACGTTGATGTGTCCAATCTCCCTTGCGGTCTCAACGGCGCCCTCTACTTCAGTGAAATGGATGCCGACGGAGGAATGGCCAAGTATGCGACAAATTTGGCGGGTGCCAAGTACGGAACTGGATACTGTGATGCCCAATGTCCCCAGGACGTCAAGTTCATCAACGGAGAGGTAAATTTTGACCCCACATGCTCATTATGAAGCGGTTGAGCTAACGATGACGCACAGGCAAACTCTGTCGGCTGGACTCCCTCGTCGAATGATGCGAACGCTGGTCTCGGAACATATGGAACGTGCTGTAACGAGATGGATATCTGGGAGGCAAACAAAATCTCAGCAGCCTACACTCCGTAGGGTCCCCCATGTCAAGTCACCCAACTCTGGCTAACATGTTTTGGCAGTCATCCTTGCTCCGTCACTGAACAAACCCGATGCAGTGGAACCGACTGTGGAATCGGCGCGAGATATTCCTCCCTATGCGATGCTGATGGATGTGATTTCAACTCGTACCGTATGGGCAACACCACCTTCTACGGCGCGGGCTTGACTGTTGATACATCAAAGCCATTCACAGTCGTTACCCAATTCATCTCCACCGACGGAACTGCAACCGGTGACTTGCAGGAGATCAAGAGATTCTATGTCCAAGATGGCACAACCATTCCGAACTCCGCCTCTACAGTTTCTGGCGTTACAGGCAACTCCATTACCGACACCTTCTGTGCCGCCCAAAAGACAGCTTTCGGGGACACCAACGAGTTCGCCGCTAAGGGTGGTCTCAAGCAAATTGGTGACGCTATCAAGAAGGGAATGGTTCTCGTCATGTCCATCTGGGATGACCATAGCGCCGACATGCTCTGGCTCGATGCCCCTTACCCACCGACCAAGGACGCCAGCAGCCCAGGTGTCACCCGAGGCACCTGTGGAGCCGACTCAGGTGTTCCAGCTACTGTCGAGGCCGATTCAGCCAGTGCCTCCGTCACTTACTCTAACATCAAATGGGGACCTCTTAACTCAACTTTCACGGCAACAGCTGCCGCTGTCGGAGGTATCAAAAACCGCGAGAACGCTAGATTGTAGTACTCAAACCTTTCTAGTCTCAGTGCCTGCAAAGAACTACTTTGCTACCAGAAGATAATGGCCTCGATGGATCTTAGATTCTAGGACTTTGTAGATAGATATGCGCGCAACTTCGGCTGTATATAGATTGACATGGTTGGAACTTTCTTTTCTGTATCTAGTTCTAGTGGAGGATTTATATGTGAGAAATAAAAATTCATTCGTTTTCCAAGAAAAATAAGAATGCGAATGCCACTCGACATGCTGAGAATTGTGGATAATGACGCGATGATAATTTGAAATGGATATACACAGTAAGTACAAGCAACTGCAACGCGACCTGCCTCTCTACTGCTACAAATGTTAAGGCCACTGAGCGAGTGTGAAGATGTAGAAGGAAGGAAGGAGTCACGACGTTGTTGCGCGAACTATAGCGCCGAAACAGACACGTGATATTACTCCGAGTATGCCCCGCAATAAAATATCGCAAGGCTGAACTTTCCCCTCTTAAATTCTTTAACTCTTCCACCAATTCCAATTGATTGCTCAATATGCCGAAACGGAAACGCGCATACCAATCGAACCCCCAAGCCGAAACACTCGAGCATCTCACCCACAGCAAAAAGACCATACAACGGGCCCTAAAACTAGCCAAAGGGTTCGAGCGGCAGAAACTGGGCAAAAGATTGAAGCTTGCACAGGCCAAGGGAGAAGATGCGGCGCGTATAAATAGGGAGATTACAGCTTGGAAAGGGATAGAGCTGAGTGAGGTGGCGGAGAATTATCTGTATGCGCGGATTGCGAAGGTTAAGCGGTTTGTGGATAGCGGGCTGTTGCCGGAAGAGGTGGTGAGGGGGAGGAAGGAGAAGGAGGGGATGGGCGAGGAGGAACGTGTAGCATTGAATAATGTTACGAGTGGGATGTGTAATACGAAGTGTGTGAAGGAGGCTTTGGAGGAGGCGCTGAAGGGTTTATACCTAGCTATGGGGATTCCAATAGAGCTTGGCAAGGCAAAGGGGGGGAAGGAGAAAGAAAAAGAAAAAGAGATAATGCCGAAAGGTATACTGAAGGATTCTAGGAGGCTTGAACCAGCAAATTTGGCAGAAGACAGTGATGGATGCGAAGGATTAGAACGGGACAGCATGGAATCCGATGAAGAGGAAGGCCATGATATAGAAAAGGACGACGAGGATGTGATCTCAGAAGACCTCTCACGCTACGACGCTCTCCTCGGCTCCTCCGATTCTAGTTCTTCAGACGAAGACAACAATAACCGCCCACAACTCACGAAAAGGCACCCAGCCCAATCCAAACAACTATCGCTCTCACTCTCTCCATCGCCCACCACATCTCCTCCACCGCCCTCCAAACGCCTCAAATCGAAGACCAAAGCCCCCACCACCACCACCACTGCCCCAAAAGGCACAACTTTCCTCCCTACCCTCCTCGGTGGCTACTACTCCGGCTCCGAATCCGCCTCAGACCTCGAGAACTTCACGCCCGCGCCCGCGCGAAAAAACCGCCGCGGCCAAATGGAGCGGCGGAAAATCGCCGAGAAGAAATTCGGAGAGCGCGCCAAGCACATCCAGAGCGGCCAACCCAAGGCGTCGGAAATGTGGAAGGATAAGCGGGAAGCCAAGTCTAAGTCCAGCAGAGGAAGAGGAGGTAGAGCACCTCCGACATTCTCAAGAGCAACGGGGGATAATGCTATAGAAGTAAGCGGGAACGTAAAGAAGAGGGGTGTGGGCCGCAAAGATGATGCGGGCGTGCTGCATCCTAGTTGGGCGGCTGCGAAGGCTGCGAAGGAGGCGAAGATGAGTGCAACGTTTATGGGGAAGAAGGTTACGTTTGATTGATAGATACCTAGCGAGATACCCATACTGCCTAGGCTAGGTACGCAAGAGTCGGGTTTACAGAACATATATATAGGTATATATGCTCGATTCTAGTCGTTATCTATACCAAGCTTAAAAATTATCGTCCATACTTCTCATTTTACCCCTTGCTCTAGAGGCAAGTATTTCTTAGGGATGGTAGATCTTATGAAGTCCCGTCTATTGAGGGGATCTGAAAGAGAGAGAAAAACATATACTCTTATGAAGTTCTAGTGTTTAAATTTCACTGTGGAACAAAGTTGTCGGAAAGTGCTGAGATAGGTTAGAACGCAGACCAAAGAAACAGCTCAAAGGATCCCATTGCCATAATTTCTTGACATTGCATTGCTTCATACAGTCATCTTGTCTCGTCTATCGTACGATTTCGGCTTTGTATCTCGTATCTTTCCCTGCCCCTAGCTCCGTATTGTGTATTATGCCAGCTTCCAGCGCCTTCAAGTCGAACAAAAACTCCAAGTTACACACAGAAAGTCTGTCTAAATGCCATGCATACTGCTGCTCAGTCCAGATCAATGCCATTCAACGCCTCCTCCAAACTCCCCTTTTCAAATTTCTCTTGTCCAAGTTCCTCGTTTTGTTCGGGGACTTGCGGACATACCGTCTCGAGTTTTGCGCTCAATTCCTCTGTTTGCTTCTTGACGCCTTCAACTTCCTTCTCAAGGTCATCTCCTTCTACCTCGCTACCTTCACTGGGTTCAGGGTCTGTAAGCGGCGGCGTGACTTCCCCAGCAAATTCCCTCCTCACGTGCCTTAGATTCCTCTTCAACACACACATCTCACTCGCTATCCCGGGTCCGAAGGCACAGCCAATCACAAAATCCTTCACTTTTCCTCCTGGCGCCATATCATCCATATCCTTCTGCCGCAGCCGATCCAAGACCGAGATGATCGTCGCGGAGGATGAGTTGCCGTGCTTGATATACGTGTCGTAGCTGGCGCGCATGTGCTCGGGTGTTATGGACATTACACGCTCGACACCTGTGAGGATGGTGGCTCCGCCTGGGTGCAAAGCCCAGTCGAAGTCAGAGGCGGCGGCGTAGTCTGGGGGAAGCGAGGGGATGGAGGCGAGGAGGGAGGAGAAGGCGGGGGCGACGACGGAGCCGGTTAGAGCTGGGACACGGGGGGACAGAACGACTTTCCAACCTGTTGCAAGTCAGATAAAGCTGCCAAGGTCTGTCAAAGAGAGAAAATACCTAAAGGATCAACATCGAACCCCAAATCCTGTTCCGTGTCTGGAATAATCCTATGATCCCACCCCAGCAACTCGTATACCGGCTCCTCCTCGCTCTCCCCACCAATCCCATTACTGAGCACCAGCGCACTCGCACAATCACTGAATAGCGTAATACCTATCCTCGTTTCCTGCAGCTCCGCCGCACTATCCAGCTCACTCCTTACCAGCAGACTAGAAATCTCCAAGGCCACAACAAGCACCCTCGCTCTGCGCCCCATAAACGAACTTCCCAGCGACAAATTCGCAGCCGTCCTTAAACTCGCAAGTCCACCACTACAGCCAATTCCATGTAATAGCACTTTCTCTACCGGCTGTGTAATACCCAGTGCCTTGCAAACATAATGATCAAAACCCGGGTTCGCGCTGTTTGTACAAGTAGTTGAAACGACGTGTGTTATATCTGCAGGAGAGAGGTTCGCTTCATGGAGAGCTTTTTGAGCGGCGGTCACAGCGAGCGCAACGCCGTCTTTGAGGAAGATGGCGCATAGTTCGTTTATGGTAGGGGCGCGCGACATGTTGGCCATGGGGTGGTCGACGGTACCGATTGCAGAGCGGGTGTCGATGCCTGTGTATTTGTTTATCATGCGGATTTTGGTCAAGCTGGAGAATTGGGTTAGCTGGTGGTGTTTTTTGAACGCGGCGAGGGGAGAACAAACGCTGGGGAGTCGGGATAGTGGCGCTGGCAAAGGGTGTCTAATGCCTTTGCATCGAGGAGGTGGACAGGGTATTCTATTCCTATTCCTGTGATTGAGAGGTTCAGGTTTCCAAAGCGTTTGCCAGTGGCTTCGGGAGCATCTTCTGGTATTGCCATGGTCGAGGTAGTTGAGAAGTTATTCTTGTCAATGGTGAAGACTCAATTGAGGTAAAGGTCAAAGTTGATGTCTGTTTGAAGATGAAGTGTGTGCTGGAAGAATTGTACTTGGAACTTGGAACTTGGAACTCGACAGCTCAAGCTCTGGCCAGGCCGAGGTAAATAGTTCCTTGAAGTTGCTGTGGTGTTCTGTAAGGTCGTCCTGTAGGTATTGTGGAGGGGAGGGGGCGATCGATGTCATGGATATTTCAATGGCTGCAGGTGCAGTACGGAGTATCACATCACAAGCCAATTACTATGGGAGGAATTATAATCCAAGGCGAATTGAAATACGGTATTACCTACTTACGGAGAGAATAAGAAGATGGTATTACTCACTCACTGTTCAACAGTTTCCCTTGTTACCCTGTGATTTCCCAACAGTTCTACCTACCCACCTGGGTACCTAGGTAGAGTCTGCAGATGTCTCTCCGCACTGCCAATTCGACACACGTCAAGAAATCGAGGGGAAGGCTCTGCGCTTGGACCATCCTAATCCTGGTCTATCTCCCGATAAGAAGGATCAGATGTGACGGATCAGGTTTCGCCCAGCCTAGCAAGCACCTATTGCGGTTTAGCTCCATGTGCAACTCAGGAACCCGCCCCGCCCCGCGAATGCTTGCATCTTGATTAGTCATGAACAATAATGCCCACTGTCGCCCACTGTCGCCCATCTGATTTGAGCGAGACCGAGAATGGCAATGCATTTTCACATGCGCATGTGAGTGAGAGATAAAGGTACCTGCATATACTCCATACAGTATGTACCTCACTCTATAAGACACATTCTCTCTTTCTATGCTGGTAGGTCTCTACCATTCTAAGATAAGCTATCGAGTACCGTCTTATTACAGTATTTACTTTCATACTCGCAAATGGCTGACAATTGTCAGCTTCCCCCGCACCCGCCCAAACCACTCACTCCTATCTGTAGGCCACAATATCCGAAGCTATCAAACCCAGTAACATGGCAGTAATCATCCTGCCCACCCTCCCATTCTGGCTCCATCTCCTCATCGAGCTGCCAGCATCCCTCAACTTCTTCCTCAACCCCTCAGAACAGCTCTCCTCTGCCGCACCACAAGCCCACGCTCTCGTCAGACAGTATGCCGTTCTGCTCTTCGCATCTAGCTTAGTGGCATTGATATTTGCTACTCGCCAAGTCGATAGGACGAGCAGGAATGTGGCGGGGGCGTTGGCTGTGTATCACCTTGCGCCTTTGGTGAGAGCCGTGAGTCGAGTTTTTGGCGGTGAAATCGGGTATGGGAAGGGCCTTGGGGGACCTTGGATACATCTTGCTGTTCATGGGCTTTGTTTCGTGGGATTGAGTAGGATGTATCTCTCGAGACCGTGGAGGAAGAACCTTTGATCTACGGGGATGGATTCAAGGGCAAAATGCTTTCGAAATGGAACTTGTTGGTAAACTGTCATAGGGTTTTGCCAAGAAGCTCTTCATGGGGAAACGGCGATGGAGACGACTTTCTTCGATTCTGATGGTTGATGCCATGTGAAGCCATGCTGAGGTTGAAAAGAGCGGGCATCATACCTAAGTCTCCAATGCCACCGTCTCGTGGCTTGGGGATTTCAAGGGACAAAGACGAAGGATCAACCCTCATGGCAAAGAGTCCTTCTGCCTCCAACCGTCCAATTGACGACGTCTAACTTCACTTTCTCTCTGTGCCACCATGTTAGAAAGCTCAGTCTCGTCAAGTCCATCCAATCCTCCGACAAATTCCAGCCAAAGTTTCTCCCGCGCACTCTCCAAATTGTCAATGGCGTTCTTTGAATTCTCAACCTCCTCTATCCGCTTCTGTATTTTCCTTTCGAATTTCTCCTGGGTAGGATTAGATGGATCATAGTTCATATCTTTCCTTTCTTCAACGAGGTTGCGTTGGGAATTCTCCAGCTCTTCTATCAAGCTCTGTCGTTTCTCCTCGAATTCTCTTTCGGCCCGAGCATTTTCTAATATTGCATCGTCTTGCTCCTGCTTCTTTCGAAGGTCATTCAGGAGCTCATTGACTTGCTCATCCCGCTTCTCTAATTCATCCCGGAGCTCCTCCACTTGTAGCTGGCTTTCGAGACGTAGCTCTTTTTCTTCATGTAAAAGGGCCTCGTTATTCGCGAACGCGGCTTCTAAGACCGACAAGGATCCCGTCAGATCTTTAATATTCGTAGTGATGTCTTCGAGTACTCGTAGGGAAATTAGATATCCAATTTTCGTTAGAGGACCATCATTCTGGGCGTTCGCCAGTCTGATAGTAATCCATTCTGGTAATTCGAAGCCGATAGAAACGATCTGAACATCCGGATCCCAGAGTCCCAAGAGGTGCTGTTGAGTTGGTGGCTCACCTTCCTTCGCCGGATCTCGAGTGAGTTGATCTACGCACGCTTTATCTACTGTCGGGTTATCGGAACTATTCCCAAGAGCAGTAAAAGTGTCTACCATCTGGACGTCGCATCCTAAGGGACTTTCCGGTATTTTGGGGGTGGGTTCTTTGACCTTTTCCTGTTGCATTTGAATCTGGAGCCTACATATCTTCTTTTGATCTGCTTCTCGCCGTACTAATTGTTCGTCAAGTTGAGAGAGCACATCTTTGAGTCGCGCCTGCAAAGAGTTGTTCTCTGATTTGATTGCGATCTGCTTTCCTAATAACTTTTGTACCATCTGCATGAGTTCTTCGATGGTCCGTTGGTGAGTCTTACTTGGGCGTCCTCCGTCTATGGAACTCTTTGGACTTGGTCCAACTCTTTGATTGCCGGGCCATGAATTTGGTATCTCAAAATCCAGCGACATTCCGTCAGAGCGATCTTGATATTCGTTGACCTTGTCCGATGTTATTGGAGGAGGTTCCATGGACGGGTTGAATTCCGGCGTCCACCTTCCTTCCTCCGTATACTTCCACGCCCCACCCTCCTCTCTTACTATCTCTTGCTCCTCTTCGTCATAATACGGCTCCGACAATATATTGTAGACTTGGGCTTTATCGTCTTCTTCGGACATTTTCGCATTTCATATCACACACGTACGCACAAGAGAATGCTTTCTTAGCCGCAACAGCAGACAGTCATTCAATTATTCAAAGCCATTATGACTAAGTAGGTCCGCGAATGTTCAATTCCAGATCATTCGCTGCTTGCCGGCCTTTGTTCCTTGCTTGCATCCGGTTGAGAGTCAGACAGACGCACAAAGAGATGACTAAACTGACTCTTGAAGCATCATTTTTAATCGAAACGGTTTGTTTGTGCTTGTAAATGACGAGCAAGACAAAGGATATGAACAAACAAACGTGGTTATTCGATCACTCGTTAAATCAAACTATGTAATCACTGACACGCTCGCATATTCGGAATCCCTCGAGCTGATATTCTATCACTAGATATCTTCAATATCTATTACTTGATGGTGGCCAACGGTAGTATTTACCATATGAGGAAACGAACATTGAAATCAAAATAAATAAATAAGCCTCATCCTGTGAAAGATACATCGGAAATAATACAAACAAGCCCACGCGGTACAAACTCCATAAACATCAAACTGCAACACTACGAGTCAGTGATTGTCTACTGAGCCGAATAAATGACCTACTGTACCTAGCCAGCGCTACATATAACGCTCTGCACAGTACCGTGCACCTGCAGCGTCGAGCCGACGTAACGGGCCGCTTGATGAAAATAAAGTATAAACCGGTCGGGTGGATAATTCACTATCTTCAAAGGAGTCGTAATGCCGAGTCGCGAGCGCTTTCGTTGCACGTCGCGAATTTTAGGTTCGGCGAGGGGAAGGCGGAAGTGGCTTCCTAAGGATAGATCGCTTTACCAGCTGCTGGTGGGCGAAACTAGAACTAGCTGGGATGGGGTGGGATGGGGTCGGTTCTAAGCAGAATTCCACTACCCCAATTATTCTTATTCTTTTAGGTAAAATTCAAATTACGTTAAATACTTGTGCGGAGCTGTGTTTGGGGCTAGGAGGACTACGTAAATATTCAAGTGCTGCGAACTGAGCTGATGGATGCATGAATACATGCAGCGAAGTTATCTACCGGTATAGGGTTTCGAGGATTGAGATTATATCGTAAGGTAAGGTAGGAAGTAAATATACAAGAACCAGAAAGAAATGGATGGCTTGCTATGCATGCACCACCAACGCCATCGCTTCTTCCTTTCCTCAGAATCCAAAACTATCTAATAAATCACTCCCCTGCGGCTCCTCGAATACCGTCGGTGGCGGTTTATGCTTATATCCACTGACGCTGCCCTTAATCTCCTGCTCGGGGAGGTCCGCGACAACGAGTGAAGAGCGACGGCGCAGCATCTGCCGGGGGTCGGGCTGCTCTAGATTTTGGAGGGGTGGGGTTGGGAGCAAGAATTCCCAGTTGCGGACTTTTAGATCCAGTCAGTCTTTAATTCTAAGGGAAGGCGGAAGGCGAGGGATGGGGAAAAGAGGGGAATAGCTTACCTAAATCCAACGCAAGTAGATCACAGCCCATCCTATCATACAATCTCGCATTATGCAACACAAATGCCCACTCCACTTTCGGCGTGACCTTTGAGGCTCCGCGGAGAGTCTGCAGTGTTTTTTGCCGCAGTTGCGAGTACAGGACTACGAGGGCCGGGTCATCGGTTAGGAAGAGCTTTGCTTGCAGATCGGGTGGTGATTGCGGTGTTTCGAGAAGGGTGTAGACTGGTGACTGTATAGTATTAGTATGCTTGAGTAAGAGGGTTGGGAAAGACATGCAATCAACGCTCGCACCGACATATCTCTTCGGTGCAGCATCCAGAATGCCCATGATGCTAACCAGCGGTTGCCTTCTTGTGCTGCTAACGGCAATACTTTGTCTTGAAGGAGTTCTTTTAAAATAGGCCCTCCTTCGCCTTCGTAGACTCGGGTGACTGCGATTGCGAGTTGAAGATCTTTGAGTTGGTTCAGGATCACATTGACGGCATCTTTAAGGTGATCTGCTAGCAGGAAGAAGGCCGCAGCGTATTCTGAACTTGAAGTTAGGATTGTTCTCGGACCAAAGTGTGACTTCACATACCGTTTCTATGCTTTCCAAGCAACGCATACGCGTTCTTCAAAGCAGCCGTCTTCCACTTCTTATCTTGGAAGTTGTTTGCGAGAAGTCTCATGGTTGCACCTTGCTCGCGATTCCAACCAGCCATTCGCCATAAGCCCTGAAGCACAGCTTTCTTCTTCAATGCAAGGTAGAACAAAGTGCAATCGACAGGATTCTTCATATCGCTTTTTGTGTATTCATTTCGAGCAATGTTCTCGAACTGTGCTTTCTGTAGATGATATAATTAACAACAAGCAAAAGAAAACTTTAGAAGTGAGCTTACCAGCGCGTTTGAATCCGTCATCCACATGAACATCCCACTCTCACGAGCATGCTCCCATAACATCTTCCCATGGAATTGATGTGAGACCATATCAACCAGTATATCTTGGCTGTGACTGTGATATGCCCAATTAATCTCCCTCCACGACAAGTGCACTTCATTAGCTCGACCACGATGCAATGCGTGTTGGCGGAAGAAAAGCATAAACCTTGCAGCATTGTCGTCCATGGATCGCCGTTGCTTCTCAACAATGGCCACGCATTCGACGGCATCAGCTAGATGGATCTGCTCTTGCCTTGTGAGCTGCGGCAAGGCGATTTTGGTGAGCTTTTCGTTAATAGAAAGCGCAACTTCTTCAGTCACAGTCTCTACGTCTTCCTCTTCTTCAGAGAAATTACTAAAAGCCGATTTAGATATTTTGCTTACACCTCGAGATGACGCCGTCTGTCTAAGTCAGTAAAAGGACCTCAAAAGTAAATGGGGAAATACATCAGTAGATAAGTAGAATTCCTCTAAATCTATCCCCAGGTGGCTGTCTATCGACTCGCCCTCGACAAAATATTTCAAAGTCTTGTACAACGCAATCAATACCTTTTGTACCACTGCCGTCTTCCCAGCAAGTGTGCACTGTCCCAAGAACTGTGGATGATAAACAGGAAGAGGCCCATTTAATCTGGAAACAACTTCAAATAAATCCCAAGGGGCCTTGTGGGGAGGAAGCCCAAGAGTAGTTACCACCGGAGCAGAAGGATCAACTGCTTTATCGTAGACGAAAATCTGATTCCCGGCGCCAATAATGAGGTTACCGCCACTCAGCCAGGTCGAATCTCCAATAGGGTGAGGCGTCAGTTCACGAATATTGAACTCTCGTATTGCGGCCCAAGCTGGGCCTTTGTTCAAATAATCAAAACGCATCTGAGCAAGTAGGAGAACCCTAAATTGAAACCCCACCGCGAGAATGGATTGATCGTCTGGGGTTGACGTCCAATCCAGATCCCGGATAGTATCTTGGGATTCATAGTCTTGAGAATATTCGAGTTGAGCTCCTCGGACGTCCCAAATAGTCAACTCAGATCTGGTAGAGTTCACCAGAGCAGCTTTCCGTATGGAGCTACCACTGGCAAGTGCTGGTTCGGATATTCCTGTCGCAACCGAGCAGGTTTCCAGCCAATCGAATTTGTTATTGACTGGGTCTAATTTCGCTGTCCAGGAGCGTAGCAGTCCAGAATGTGTATATGAGATAGCAATGTCCCTTGCAAAGGTGTCTAGGAACCCTGAAATGACGGGAGGGGAGCCCGCAGGATCAACTGGAAGGACGTATGATAGATCATCCGACTCGCCAAGGTCAAATCGACAAAATTCTGAGATAGAAGCTTCATGGTAGCCATTCGTTCCAGCAATACTCCCCCGCATTTGGGGCAATCGGACTTCCCAAACAATGCCTTTCATTTTGGACGTAATGGTAGCAATATGAGCAATAAGGCCTTCTTGCTTCAACTCTGGGAGTACGAGAATGCAAAGAGTCTTCCCTTCAACAGAAAAATCGCAACTAGCAAGTAGATTCGCCTCAAACGACCTCGTATCCCAGAGTGCAACTCTGTCGCGGTGCAGGTAGATAACGAAATTACCCTTTCTCAAAACGCATATTCTATGAATATACTCCTTTTCCGAGATGATGCTTTGGCGCAAAACAGAAGTTCCTCCTTTGAGATCCTTGTGTTTCCATACAATGCCTTCATTACCATCGGTCCGAGTAACAACTGCCCGTCCACTGACGCTTCTGACGATTTTCCTCATGGCAGAAGCATGGCCCGTCCACATGGCTTTAGACACGAACCGGTTTGATCTCGGAGAAGGATCAAATAAATCGGCCACGTTGCTCTCGAAGACCTCAATTTTCCCATCAAAATGATGGACCAGAACATTAAGACCCCCACTAGCTGAATTGCAGTAGTTGCAAAACTGAATATAGCTCGAGTCGCCTGCTAGATCCATCGGCAGGCCAAGATTCAAACCATCGACATGGGCTACATTGAAGATGTTTGTCGTCTGCCGTGCCTTGCATCCTACATTCTCCAGCCCCCATGCAGACATATTCCCCTGCCCATCTAGGACAACACATATTTCCGGGCTTCGATTGGCAACCTCGACCAAATGTGACAGGGCGTGGTCCTCTTTATCTGCCCCTCTTGCTTGGACAGCATGTTCAGTAGCAAGCATAAAGTCCCGTCCATCAATCATAAAAGCAAAGCGTATATCCGAGTTATCTGCTGGTGCCAGACCTCGAGGCGCTATGGACTCCTTCAAGTCAATTTGGGCCCAGAGCTGCAGCAATTGCAGACCATGAGGATCCGTAGCCGCCCATATCCTTAAAACATTGTCCGCGCAGATTGTATATAGCACATTGTCGATCGTCTGGTCTACGTGGTAGGGCCTCCGCCAGTGTATGGCCGTAACAGTAGCGGGATGCGGGAGGTAGCTGAAGTCGAATCTTGTATCGTCCGAGCCAAAGGATAACCTCCTCCATATCTTCACAAGCCTGTCATACTTCCCATTCGAAGCTATGTATGCAGAGTCGTAGGAAAAGTTGGCGAACTTCACAGGGTTGGCTAGCTCTTTCTTCCATACGCATTCAGGTTCGTCCGTCGTTGAGTATAGAGAAAGCCATGACCCTCCCACCAGCAGCTCCTCCGCTAGTCCCCAAGACAGTGTTATTACTAAATCATCCGCGGGTTTCTCTGTAGAAAAGCTATGTTGCAGTGACCACTAATAACCCGTCAGTATACGGCCCTGTATCTCGCAACATTTCAATATCACCTCACCTTCAGAGCATCCTCTCCTTGACCATATGGTTTGTAAATCCGAACATTCGACCCAGCACACGTTGCTATCTTTCCAGACGCCTCGTCAATCGCAATGGCCTCGAGCTGGGCATCGTCATCGTCGTATATCGTTTGCAGGATCGAGTCCGGTCCTGTGAGTACCACAAAGGCATTTCCTGTAATGTATGCCTATTTCACCCACAATTAGTAAATATGCCTAGAGCACAGTATATATAACAGGAGTTTCGCTCACTATGAGCCGTCTACTGTCCCAGCAGCCCGTGCAGACAGCTTGGAGCTTGGCCCGTGGCTTTCCAGGAAGCACTGCTCGCATACTATTTATCGGCGCGCATCGCAGCTCATAACCACAGGGAGGTTTTCCAGAAATACCACGGTCTAGGACAGGTTGCCCCTGGGTGTGCTTGTGTTGGTGGGTAGTTGTCGTATTTAAATCTGCGTTTTGAAAGTTGTTCGCGTTACCTCGCGGTGCCTCGTCAGAAGCTCGAGCGTCCTGCAATGACGCTTGGATGCCACCCCACAGAGCTGATGCCGCATCACGAAGTACATTTCACTAACTCCGAGACAACAAATAGAACATCTGACTACTTTCTTTGCTTTAGAACTCAAAATCAATTAAATCTTGCTCGGGACTATGGTAGCCGTTTTAAACTTCAGTCTATCCTGAACTTCTTGGAGGCATCTCAAGAAGCATGATAATGGTCTTCATCCCGAAATTTTACAACCCCTCCTATTCACTAAACCAGAACGCCCTACACCACCCATGCACACGGGGTATCCAATGCAATCCCTATCCTCCGAACGCCATGCTTGCCGGTACTTGGTCCATATCAGATGCAGATCAATTTCCCCACACTGAATTCCATGGGGTAATATCAGCCAACCAACTCCATACAACTCTTTATTCGTGACGTTTCTCTTCAATATCGTCAAACCCTCTACCCATGCCCAATGTAGATTTCGCAGTCCCTTTCCTGAAGGAATGCAATTGCCCTCCAGAGTATTGTGCTCTCAGCTGTCGTTCAAACGGGGTAGAGAGAGGTGCTTTCGGGGTCGTTGAGAACCTTGCAGCTACCGCTATCACTCTTTCACTCCTCTTAGAAGGTGTACTCAAATATCCCGGAATGGGAGTTGATGGTACAGCCTCGCTTCCGAATCCTTCGTTTTCAGCACCATCTCCGTATTCAGACCATGCCTCTGCTCTCGCTGTAGCCCCGTGCCCGTCCGGAGGTTCTTCCGGCTCTGGGATCTTTGGCGGCCGCCTCAGAGCTGCTTTTTGGCGCCAGTAGGTAAGCATCTTTCGAAAAGTCCTCTTGGAGTTCTTCTCCCGAATGTCGTAGGAATAATTTGTCTGCGCATTGATTCGAAGGACTACCAGGTTCCATTTCTTGAATTTTCGACTCTTTTCATTATCCTGATATGTCAGAACTGCTTCGGTTTCCAGGGCTTGGTAGGCACGTGAACGCTCTCTCCAGACGGAGAAGTGCTTTCTCGTACGCTTCTCACGCCACAATGACTCAAGCTCTGCAAGCTCCGCTGCTTGAGCACGCCATCGATCGAAGATGTCCATTCCTAAAACCACAACTTTATTCTGACGAACTGTTTCTGCTTGACCTTGTAGATCAAGGATATCATGTGCTCGCCGGCGCCAATTCTCCAGTACACCAGTCGCCAAGTTTATCTTCAGCGTTCGTCGCACCTGAGTGTATGCCACCTTCCGCTTCTCACGCTTGGACGCGTCCGTAAACGTTTTCCATCGTTTGAGAGATTTCGTAGTCAGGAAATAGAACTGTGCATCGCTAGACCTTTCTTCAAGCTTTTGAAGCTGATGGCGGCGTTGTGACCACTGCGATACTAACTTCTGTAGAAGACGTGGTTGGTAAATCGTAAGAGCAGTGCTTTCTTTTTCCCTTTGAATCCGCGTCTTTTCTACCCAATGACCCATGAGAGACCTTTGCGACTTCCGAGTTAGGAATGACTGAGCAATATTCTCCATATGCAACCTATCTTCTTTTAAAGCTCTTGTTTTTTCACTCCAGGTTCGCATGATATCACGAAGCCATGCTTCTCTATCTATCCTCTCTGCCAATACAAGACTGTAAGCCTCTTGCATGCTTCTTAAAGCTTGAGCCTTAATCCGCGAATTCACCATGGCATGAAGTCGCTGAGAACGTAACTTGTAGCGCCAGGTATTCACAGCTTCTCGTAATATCTTCACGCGGTCCACTTCAGCTGCGTGCTTTTCCTGTTGAGTGCGATGTGACCAAAGGTCGAAAGTCTTTCGAAGTATACGATGCTTTACATCGGATTGTACAACGTTTCTCGCAGGAATAACTCGTGCTTCCCAATGCAATTTTTGGAAAGCTTTGCGGCAGATATTGGTCTGGTAAAGTTCAGTCGCTTGCTCCTTTTGTCTAGCTCGCTCTTTCATCCTTTCCTTCCACATGCGCCCGGCGTTCCAAGCAAGTCGATATTGCCTAGCTTCATCAGCAGTTCGATGCTTTTCCCAGCTATTGTGGTAAGCAGCAACCACATTGAACAAGGATCGGCGCTTGACTCCCTCTGCCCACCAAGCTGTCGCTTTCGCGTCCAATCTTCTGTCGATCCATCGCCAGTAGGTCTTCTCCACCAAATTATCTTCGTATCTCTGCAAGGCGTAATTATTACTAGAAGATACACTAGCATATCGTTGTCTCCAGACAGCAAAGAATTTGCCTAGGACTCGTCTGCGAACCTTGAAGTCATTCGTGACGGTGATTTCGGCCCAAGCATTGAAGACTCGGGTCCTGAGAATATGTTGTCGAGCCCACGCTGTCCGATTGACTTGATGATGAGTAGCGTCTGACCAACGTTGCAAGCAGTTGGCCATGAGGTGGTTGTCTCTATCCTTGGTTGCACGCCATTCAAGATACAGATAAAACTTTTTCTTGTCTCTAGCCTGGCGATGTTCGAGCCATAACTTCTGCCAGCTAGCTAAGGAGATAGAAAGTAGGACATTCGTGTCATGCTTCACGGCTCTCTTCTCCAGTTCTCGGTGATGTTCTCGTAGCTGGAAAGCCTTCTCTCGCCAAACCGGCAGCAGACGTCTAGCTACGGAATTCAGGTGATCTCGAGAAAATAATGCCGCATTGATCAGCATTAAGTCATAAGGTTCTTGTGATTGGTTTGGATGTCCTTGGAGAGACTCTGAGGAGGCGGTATCATAATCAAGAGCCGACGTAACTGCTGTGTCCTCGCTGGCTTCATAATGATCCGATGGGGGGTTTGAAGGGTTAAAACCATGTCCATACCGTCTACTGACAAGAGATGGTGGTTGGCGGTGGATCCGTAAGCTGGAATGTGTTGATACGGATGCTCCCCGTCTCCTCCTAGGTCTCTCCTGATGTGAATTTAGCCAGGCTCCAACGCTGTCCTGTGGATTCTCCTTGAACTCGTGGTTAGGGGGTGGGTTAGGGGCGGGTGATTGTATAGGCTGGATCTCCTGTAAAAATTGTGGTCGACCAGGCTGGTGCGCAACTTGGGCAGCCGATGAGAAGGAGTTTCGCCTTTGTGGAGCCGCTGGAGTAGCCTCAGTTCCTTGGTCCCAGAATGAGCTCTCGGAATTGCGCCTAGGGGTAGGTTTGGATCCAGCATTTTCGTCCTCGGGAGGCGTTGTTTCCACAGTCGCATTCTCGATATCGGCTTGGGAGTCCTCAATTTGGTTATATTCTTCCTCGTCTTCGTTCGCAAACTCGATCTCAATTCCCATTCGTGCCAGGACTTGTTCAAATCTCTCATAGAGCGTCCCCTCAGCCCGCAGGCCTCCGATCTTGAACAAAACTCGCGCATATCGGCTATCATGGTCGGCATTGAGTCCGAGTCTAGGCAGAATATCATAGTAGGCATTAAACAACGCGTTGGTGGGTAGTCGTTCGCGCTCAGGGAGTCTCGGCAGCAATTCTTGCGCAAGGGCGACAATATCATGTAGGATCGCGACATCTGTTCCACAGTCTGTAAGGGTCCAGTCATAGCCAACTACATGGCTTCACTCACCTTCATTGCTGTAATATGGCTCTTGGTTCCTTGTGCTGATTTGTCCCTCATTGGATTGTGGAGGGGTTCCTGAAGGCGGCATCTAGAGGAAGGCATTCGGCGAGACCATTCAAAGATGTTCATACGAGACTTGTCGCATAATGGATTTGGATCAACAGCAATCATGAGCAAAGTATCTGCAATGTTGTATGTTGAGCGAATACATTATTCTTCATCACAATTTGGCGTTCACACGTAGAGCGCGTCGCGACTTGACCTTTGGCTGACCTTGGCGCTAAAATATTACGCTAGCCGGTTGAAGCATCCCGTGGAATTCTTTGGGTGTCAACAATTCTTTCGATCTCTTCATCAACAACCAAGCAAAGCGAGACTTTAGCAGCAGACCTTCGCAATGCCGACTCGGATAAGTCCAATCGAGAAGTTTGCCAAAGCTGCTGCCAAATGCTCAGTTGAGGTATGTGACTTGACATTCGCTCTAATATCATATCGCTGACGTCTTCATTAGTCTTCAGCATATGGGAAGTGCATAGTAGTAGACTACAATTCAGTCCATAAAGACAAATGTCTCACGGAGTTTTTACGATTAAAGAATTGCTATTTAGTAAGAGACCCTTTATATCTCTCATAATCTTCACTCACAATTTTGCAGGCTGCTGCTAAGAAGCCATAACGGATCTGTATCCACGAAATCGCTTTTGATAGCAAATCTACATCGCTCATGAGGTTTCTATCATTGTCTCAAAGACGTACATGAGAATACTGCAAAATAGCAAACTCTTTTTGTCATTCATCATAGTTTCAATAGCCTGAGCAAAACCACCGCATTCTGGATCTCCTGTTCCTCCTGCAAGATAACTCCTTCCTCCGCGTTCTCCGGGATCTCACCCCCATCTTCCGTGACTATATGATGATCAATCGGTCTCCGCAACGCCTTCTCGATGGTTTGTGCTTGCTCGGTGAAAGCCTTCTCCAGTCCAATGTTATCGCGATCTGAGACGACCTTATACTCCATCTTGACATCGTCAGTAGGTTGCAGTCCGGCCTTCTTTCGTAATCGCTGGACTCGGTTGATGATCTCTCGCGCCAAGCCCTCGTCGGCCAGATCAGCATAGAGCTCGGCGTCGAGGATAGTGAGCACATCTTCGTCTGTGTTTGTCTCCAGGTTTTTCGACGCCGCATCATCTTTCAGACCACGCTTTACAACCAAATCTCCATCTCCAAGCGTGATACCAGCTACAACAATGGTTTTTTCCAGAACGAACTTGTGGACCTCATCGCTAGTCAGATCAGGCAGCGCCTTCTTGACCTTTTGCACTTCTTTCTTAAGCTTCTTTCCAAGCACTGGCCAATCTGCTGAAACACTGTACTGCACGTTGTATTTTGCCTCATCTGACGAAAGCACAAGATCTCTGATATTGAGTTCTTCGGTAATGTATCCTTCCAGTGATCGAATGTCCTCTAGGTATACTGGGTCGGCGTGGATGATGATTAGCGTCTTCAGCGGTGTCTTCAATCCTACTGTGCGGCGCTCTCTCGAGACTCTCGCAAGTTCAATGACACGCTGCATGCGATCAACCCGGCGTTCAATCTCTACATTAAATAACTCTTCTCTCACATCCGGGAAGGCTAGAAAATGAACACTCCGGTTATCATTTCCTTGCAGGTTCTTCGGGATATGTGGCAATAAGCGCTGGTAGATGTTGTCGGTGATGAAAGGTGTGAAAGGCGCGAGGCCCTTGACAAGAGTAAAGAGAACCTCGAAAAGGGTGTTAAGAGCATGCTTGGTATCGTCAAGGCCAAGTTCTCCCTTTAGACGCTTTCGATTGAATCGAATGTACCAGTTCGTTGTGTTGTCAATGAGGCCAAGAAGTCTAGGAACAACAGTATAAAGGCGATAGGCTGCGGGAAATTTAGTATTTGTAGTATCAATGGTTCAAGAGTATTTCGTCTTACCTGCCATCTCCTCGTTGACGAACTTGAGCAAACTTTGACAGCTTGCAAGAATCCATCTGTCCATGACATTGGTATTCGTAGCTTCCGCGGCAGGATCAAAGCAGTAGTCAACATTCTCAATCTTCTTCAGCAGAGCAACCTGCCCTTCAAAGAATTTGTAGCTGTTCCACAGGGGCAACAAAACCTTCGCAACGACTTCTTTCACTCCGGGTTCCTTGAATCTCAAAGGCTCGGCACGTACGACCGGTGAATTGATCAGATATAGACGAAGCGCATCAGAACCATATTTGCTCATGACAATAACGGGGTCCGGATAGTTTTTCAGTCGCTTCGACATCTTCTTTCCATCTTCGGCGAGGACAATTCCGTTCACCACGCAGTTCTTAAATGGGGCTACTCCAAACAAATGGGTACCCAAAACAAGAAGTGTATAGAACCATCCTCTAGTCTGGTCTAAACCTTCCGCGATAAAATCTCCCGGGAACGATTGCTCAAATTTGTCCTTGTTCTCGAACGGGTAATGTTGGCTTGCATAAGGCATGCTTCCAGATTCGAACCAGCAGTCAAAGACCTCCTCAATACGCTTCAATTGGCCCTTTCCCATTTTACTTGGGATTGTGATGTGGTCAATCTTGTCGCGGTGAAGGTCGGTTATCTCGCCAGTATAACCACTGAGTTTCTTCAGCTCCTCAACACTTCCGATGCAGACCTTCTCTTCGAAATCATCACTAACCCATATTGGGATAGGAGTACCCCAATAACGATTGCGAGAAACGTTCCAGTCACGAGCATTGGTAATCCAGCTAGCGAATCGCTTTTCTTTGACAAATGACGGCACCCAGTGAGACCCTTCAATGTTTTTCAGCATTTGAGGGACAATCTCGGGGATTTTGATGAACCATGATGGCACAGCTCGATATATCAAAGGCGTATCAGATCGTGGGCACATAGGATAGCTATGTCTAATTTGAGAGTCAACAATAAGTCTTCCGGTGCCTTTAAGGTATTTGATGATCGGCTTATCAGCTGCTTTGACGTGCTGGCCAGCAAAATCGCGCACTATATCCGTGAAATGACCTGTTTCCGTGACAGGGTTAGGAGGTCCACGATGCTCGTTGATAATACCATTCTCCATTGCAGCATTGTAATCTTCTTCACCAAAAGCCGGAGCTTGATGTACGATACCAGTACCACTGTCATCGGTAACATATGTTGCATTGATGACCTTGAATGCGTAGTCCTTGAACTCCTCGTAGAAATAGTCGAATAATGGCTGATACTTCCATCCCCGCATTTCGCTACCCTTGATTTTTTGCACAATCTTGAACTTCGCTTTCTTGGGATCTTTATACAAAGTTCCAAGCAGCTTCTCTAGCAGGATATAGTTCTTCCCCGAAGCCTCATCGTGAATTTTGACATACTCGAAATTCGGATGCACTGCTAGCCCAATATGTGAAGGTAATGTCCAAGGTGTTGTTGTCCAGGCGAGAAGGTAGGTATTTGGATCATCCAGTAAGGGGAATGATACAACCACAGCGGGATCAGTAACATCCTGATAGTTTTGGTTCGCCTCGAAGTTGCTGAGCGCGGTGGTGAGAACCGTGGAGTACGGCATGACTCGATAGCCTTGGTATACAGCGCCCTTGTCAAAAATCTGCTTGAAAACCCACCACTCTGATTCCATGAACTTTGGGTCCATTGTCTTGTAGTCATTGTCGAAATCGATCCACCGTCCGAGTCTGTCGATGGTTGAGCGCCATTCCGTTGAGTATCTCATGACAATAGCTCTGCATTCTGCATTATATTTCTCCAGCCCAAGCTTCATAACCGCATCTTTGCCCGAGATTCCGAGCTTTTTGTCAATCTCGTGCTCGATGGGAAGCCCGTGGGTATCCCACCCAAAGCGTCTCTCAACATGGTAACCTTTCATTGACCAGTATCGGGGAATGATGTCTTTAATGGTAGAGGCGAGGAGATGGCCATAGTGGGGGAGTCCTGTTGCGAAGGGGGGACCGTCGTAGAAGGTGTATCGAGGTCGTCCTGAGAGTTTGTTAGCTGCAAGGTCGAACGTAAATAGATCGCGCGATGGTACCTTCAGAGAGCTCAATCTGTTGATTGTTAGCAGTTTTCTTCGGCAGAAAAGGCCTAGAAAAGGCCTCAGCCTCCATGAGCCACTGACCTGAGTCTCGAAAGCCTTGATTTCTTTCCACCGCTTGAGGATAATCTCCTCTTCCTCGGGGAAGTTGATGCTCATTCTGGCGGTGGGAGGGAGGGTCTCAACTTCTCTGGAAAAGACTGGGGCTCGAAAGAGCGTGGAATTATCTATTGAGGGCTCCTTATGTCTGCCAAGTATATGCAGGTATATGGAGAGAGTTCGAGTTTTGATGATGGCGAGTTGTAGTCAAGGACCCCGCGGTGAGTCAAATTTTGTGCCCCCAAATCGCACGACAAAATGAGGGGTGGCATCGCGCCGGAATTTCTCCGATAGCCCTGTCAACATCAACAGCCCCTCGCTCTCGCTTTCTTTTTCTCTTCAGGGGATAGATATCTAGACTAAATCGTCTACATTCATGCGTATGAGTTTATAGAAGCGTGGGCTCTGTACCTCTAAGATCAGTAGCAAAAAGGTTCCGCGTCAACCTCAAATTTACAAGAGGGCCGAATCTACTCTTGAACGTTTCCTACTTACATAGCCTACGTAGGTAGGTATTCTTGGTTCAATTTTCAAGCTCATTTCTTCTGATTAGTATCTTCTGTCTCCTTATTAAAACCCTTATTTTCACTTGTAACTTCATAAGATAAACTATTTACGATTGTTTTAGTTTACAGTTGCTTTTCAACCTTCCCCAGTCCACACTTCTTGCAAAGACATCCCTTTATGATATCAATGGAGTGAGTATCTTCTGTCAAAGCCGCTCACCCTTTACACCAGTTCGGCTTTTGACGTGAGCAATTCCATTCCATCCAAGACAAGTAAACTCCCCCAAGACACATAGAAAATAGCTTTTGCCTGTGTTGCTTCCCAGATTTAACATCTTGACCTCAGCATTTGGAGGGAAATTGGCTCGTAATGGAGACACGCCGCATTATCAGAAAAGCAAAAGGATTCACCGTCCCAAAGTCACATCCGACTCTTTTTATCTTTTGTACTAGCGTAAGAACTCCAGGCGGAATTATTAGAAATTCAATCGGTTTGATTTGCTAGATTTGCATTATGCAGGTATCCTGACGATAGAAATCCACCATACCCCAATTCACATTTATATCAAATTGGTATTTACCATTATTTTATGTCGATACTACGAGCTCATCCGCTCTGATTTGCGCGAGAAGGAAACACAGAAGGGCATTGATCTTATCCTTGACATCCAAGTCATCAATATCTCAACCTGCAAGCCGCTCCCAAATGTCATGGTCGACGTGTGGGCTGCGAATGCTACCGGTGGTATGTGTGTCCCCTTATTATTCCTCAAGAAGTGACTCTGAACCTCTGTAGTATACTCTGGTATCGTGAACCTTGGTAATGGAAACGGCGATCCGAGAAACAAGGAGACGACATTTGGCCGTGGACTCCAGATGACTAGCAATGAGATTGTAGCAAAGTTCACTACTTTCTTCCCGGGTCATTTTACGAGTAGAACGCAGCATATTCATGTTGCGACACATCTTAATGGGGTGTTAGAACCCTAAGATCCGCATTTATAGCACGTACTGACATGGTATGCCATAGGATTTGGTCCAACAATAACACTTTCCAGGGCTCAACTGTCGCGCATGTAAGTCAAATGCTCTTGAGCTTGCAACCACCCGTGGAATATTTGGAAGAAAAGGAATCACTGACTCTCCACAGATTGGCCAAATATTCTTCGACCAATCCCTGGCAAACAGTATCGAACGCGACCCTATCTACCAAGCCAATAAGCAGCCTCTGACAAAAAAAGCGCAAGATGGTATCTTCATGCAAGAGGCTGCTGTGGGAGACTTAGTCGTCGAATATTCGCATCGAAGCCAGTCTTTCGACGGAGGAATCTCTGCCTGGCTTGCATTTGGTATTGATACAAAGAGCGAGCACATTACTGCTGCCGACACTCATCATTAAGCACGACCTGAAATGGTATCGAGGTGGTACATGGAAAAGCGATCTTTGAGTTGAAAGGTCTGGTGGAATGGTTGCCTTCAATTCAGACAACCCATGGACTGGGGTTTAGGTTTGTGGAAACTCAAGGAAATGGGTCAGATACGCTGAGTTTGTACTTGCGATATAATGCCTAAAATATCAAGTACTACTTTTTTGATAATCAAACTACTCTTGTCCTCGTGATACATTTACTTCTTCAAAGACGCGCAAGCCAAACAGAACACATGACAACCAGGTTCGATACAAGCAACGAATTTGCCCACATTCGTACCATTTCTAGGCAAGCACCCGAGATCACATTGGTTTCTTCTGCCTGGATTCAGAAGTATATGTCACTTGGCTCTTTTTTCGGTGCCTATCCTACCAATAATACGTGGCATCTCTTGAGCGAGGGCGGCTGTCGACAGTCTGACGTGATGGACACGAGAATTACCTCGTCCTCAAGGCCTTCCATAAGCCCCCTCCCCCACCCGGTGATGGTTCCTCTCCTCGCACAAATCGCTTCCCATAGTGTATGATACACTTGTATTTCGTCCATTGTTTCCACTCGAAAAGCCAACAAATGGAAGGTACTTCGTAAGAGGCCGGCCGGGAAATTCAGGGCCTCATACATACGAGATAATGTTGTGCCGGTAGACACCATAAAAATGAGAAAAATTATGTTCGCGATCGTGACTTGCGGCTGACTGAGAACCCGGGTGCCCGGAACGATCTGAGTACCTTACAGTACCGGCGGGCTTGGAAATTAGACATGCGCTTCTTTTGGAATTCTTACTAGCCCAGGTCTAGAACCTTTATGCTTCAAGACTATGCCAAAATGCTTTCAAATGTTTTAACAGTTCAAGGCCGAAGATAAGTCCAAAACTTCGGCGACTTCGTTCACTAGCGCCGAGGTCCCGAAAGCCGGAGAAAGCTCTAGATGCAGGAAAAGTTCAGGCCATGAACTTCGGGTACGTTCAGGGTCAAAGCCACTGACGCAGGCGCAGTGAACGTGGCCTGGCTTGTGCAACGGTGCGACCGCGAAACACCTCGAGCTCAGCCCAACTTGGTTACAAATCCTCTAGAATAGAAGGAAGGAAGTCTGGACTCTGGACTCTGGACTCTAGATGCAGGATCCTGTACTACTGTATCACGACGCAAAGGCCGATCTATCTGGTGAGTTGATCGAAGACAGCCTTATAGTATCGTCTCTACCTGAACTTCCCGGCACCCGCACCATTCCCCCGGATCTGCCGCCGCCGTCAAGGTTTCAAGCTTTCATCCCACCTGATCCCACCAGCTCGTTTTACAGAAAGTGGTCAAGATTTTCGGCGCATGCGTCGCAGGATGAGGTGTCTGAGGCGAATGACAGGGGATGCGATACTAGTATTCGGCATGGAGCGAGGATCCGACCCTATAGCGAGTGCCAGCCACTGAACAGTGCGTCGCGAGGGGGGGGTGAAGGACTCGTCATACAGTCCACTCGCCCAAGTTGTGCCACAACAACTATCAGTTATTTATAAGTCTGGCATTTCGGATGTACCTTTCTTTCCTCTAAATACTTCTTTATCTACCTGCTGCCCTTCCCCTACTTTGTAACAGCAAACGACTAGAAGTGTACTAAACCTCAAGCACTTACTGTGCAATATATTAGCTCAGCTTTCATCAACTACTCGAGTACACTTTCACAATACTACACAATGTCTTCTCCAACTTCCTCGCCTTCACCAACCCGAAACCCTAAGCGCTCCTCCAAATTCGTAGAAGGCTCTGCCCTCGCCGGTCCCGATCTCCTCCAACGAACACCCACCTCCCTCGAGCACCTCCAGACCATCCTCGCCATGGAAGACGCCATGGAAAAACACAAACGCCAACACCGCAACTCTCAATCCTCTGTTGAATCCCTCGCCTCTTCACCCAGCGGAAGTCCAACCAGCGAGTTTTCAATGCCTAAAGAGAAGGAAGGCATAAGGAGCATCAACTTTGGGAGAAGCAGTATGGATGAGCGCCCGAAGCTTGGGGAAGTTGATGCGGAGGGTGTAGTGAGGAAATTCAAAGGGCGTCTGAGGGCGTTGACTGGAGGCAGTAGCCATGTCAGACCTCATCCGGGAACTTGAATGCAAAGCGAGCAGGATATGAGACTAGATCGATATCAATGACCATCTGTGCAAGCTGTCTTGGAACGATTGGGGTTTTCAAGAGGAATGTCGAAGCATACGGGCAAGAAACACCAGAATGGACCACACGGAGTGAGGCGTATGGATGAAGATATGACAAAGAGTGTATGGATGCCAAGACTCAAGTCGAGGAGGATTGCGCTGTGTATCTGCACTTACTAGGGGGAAGCGAGGGAAGGAACGTACCGGCGTAGGGATGTAAAGATGTATCATAGAAGAATATATGATAAACAATTATAAAACATACCACGGCTTCACTTGAAAGTTTCCACTTCAGTCACCGTGCATACCTAAGGCATAAAAGCAAAACCATAGTACACATCCGCGCTATACCTATAGGTATTGACTTGAAAAAATAACATTTCGAATTACATTCGTTCAAAGCACGCGATGAAAGAACCAAGATCATTGAATTGAATTCCACCTTATACCGTACGTTAATGTGAATCATATATAGCGAGAGGTTTGAGATATTCACCGAGGAGCATAGTCAAGCAACGACAGCACACAGCACAGCGCATGAGGCATTTTTGTATTGTATTCGAGTTGTTGGTGAGGAGAAGGAAGGAGCGATGCTCTGGTCGCTTTTATACCTGGCTCGCTCGCGTACCTTCCATTCTTTCCACACCTGCATTCACCAAGCATCGCATCCTCCGTAGTTCGCTTACACCTCTTTCTTTCCAAGTCTCGTGACGATAGTACCCAGCCCAGCACCTAAGCTCAATCAAGCAGCCCTTCCCGACGCCTGACAATATTCCCCTACCCCTATTATAATCGTCAACTTTTAGCGAGGCGCCCGGAAAGACGAGACGTCTTTCACCCAGCCAGGGTTCGGAGTTTTTGTCACTACTACAGTATACGTCCCCAACTTGAACAATTCTCCCAGTCTGAATGTGAATACAACCAGAGGAGGCCCCTCAAGGTTCATCTACGTTCCTTTGCTCGAATGACCTGGATGTTAGATATGCTGGCGACGCAGACAAGATAAAGGCTTCAATGGAAGTTAGGATTTCAAAAATGAAGAATCATTGTATTCGCCAACCCTGTCATGTCCTTCTAGGAAACTCATTGCTAGCAGCCCATTCGATCCAATATCCCGTCTTATCCATATCTCACTCAGTCGTAATTAGCCTCCAGACTTCCCATCTCCTCCCCCTTGAAAGTCAAAGCAAATCTCATCGTAGCTGGTTTCATGGTAACAGCGAGTTCGTAAAACACATCGTGATACTCCTTCCCATCCGCGCCCGTCTTCTTCTTGAACTTACTAGGGTCCACAGTCTTCAAGTATGCTTCGAGGACGCAGTTGGTGCTCGTGCTTCCCTTGGCTGGGTATAACGGAGGATCCTTGCTTTCGGACTGGATAAGCTCGTCTGAGAAGATAAGATCATCGGGGGTATAGTTGACGGCGAGGGAATGGAAGAAAGGAAAGTGGATTGTCTGCTCGCGTTGCAGATCTTCGCCTTTGTGGATGTACCAAGTCATCTGTTGGATATTATTAACCACGCGATATTGAGTAGGAGGATACTTGATCAAGTGCTTACGCGTTCAACTCTGTCTATGCCTTCAGGTGCTGAAAACACCCTTAAATGGTCTTCGTCATTCTTTGGGTCGAATTCGCACATGGCAGAGACACCGTAGTGCCGTAAAGATTGAGTGGAAACCACACTTGCTTCTTGTGGAAGCTGACTTAGAACTGCACCCCTTCGAGGTATGATTAACGAAGTTGCTGAAACAACAGTGGCTACTTACTTAACAATGGCAGACCAAGCATCGTGAGGTTGAATAATTTGGATGTTTTTGTGCAATCCTTGGAGACGAGCTTTCAAGTATTCGCTTGAGCCGAATCCCCCGACTAGGAATATTGCCTGATCTTGTTAACACTGTGATCGTAGATTATTTCCCCCAGGGAAAATAGAGTAAAGTACCTTGACTTCAGTTGCTTTCGGGTGGCCTTCTGACATGCGTTTGACAGTCACTAGGTTGACCTGTTCTTCTACTAACCTCTCGATGTCGTTTATCAAAGGGTCAAAAATCTTCTTTGCATCATCTCTAGAGAAGCTAATCAGCTTTACGTATATCTCCTGCGCTCGAAATTTGACATACCCTTTGATATTCCAAAAGTTTGCTTCTAGGTTGTTTACGGGATCATTCTTTAATTTTGCCATAGGGAAATTGACAAAATAATCCTCCTCAGCAGATCCTCTAAATGCTGTCTTGATTGATCGGTCAAATTGTGGTGTTGCCTGAGCAAAACCCGTTGTTTTCTGCAGATGATAATATTGATCTTCCCCTACGAGTTCTTTAACGGATTGCTCGAACCGTTTGTTGAGTCCTAACGATCCTACCATACCCCCTTGAAATAGTCAGCATATGAAGCTGCGATAGAGTATCGGAGATTACCTTTTCCTGGTACTAATTTTTTTAACTCAAGTTTGGGGCTGAGAGCTGTGATTTCGTATGATATTAAATCGACGGTACCGCCACCAGCATCACAAATGACAAACGCGTCTCCTACCTTTGGCTAAATATTAGGATCCGATTGTCAGAAATTTCAGATGATGATTAACTCACAGCTAGCATCTTGTCCTTCAATCCGTGCAGCGTGTACATTGCCGCGGCTTCGGGCTCCTTGATGAGAGAAATGGGATGAATGCCTGCTCGCTTTGCCGCCTAGGTAAAATTGATGACTGTCAGAGAATGTTGAAATTGGAGCCCAGGGACGTGGCATACCTGTAGCGTCTTGTTCTTTGCTTTATCAGACCATACGGCTGGGACTGAGAGTACAAATTGCTTCTGACACATCTCGAGGTAATCCGATGGTACCTTGGACTCAATGCGGGAAATGGCATGTTTATACATTGCACCGATAAAATCAGCAGCAACGTCCACCGCAGGTTTGCCTAAACTTTTGAGGTCGCTTTTCGCCGACGATTCTGGGAGGTACAGTGGTCCTGGCTGATCTGGATCTAGCAATAGCTTGATACCTGGAACTACTTCCCTTGGGTGCTTCATTCCTCCCCAGGTAAACTTGGTTTTGTCTGCTTCATCATAGCATATGACAGTCGGTACTTTCGGTTGTTTGTTTCCTTCGAGGCCTGTGATTCATAATTAGCTTTAAGTTTTGACAAGATCCCGCTCTGACTCACCTGGCCAGTCCATGATGGATACTAGATCTGGCTTTCTCTCATTTGAAAATGCATAAGCAATACCACTAAAGGTTGTTCCAAAATCCAATCCGATGACTAGTTTGTCCTCGGACTCGTAAACCTTGGGCCTATTGACGACCACTTGAGGCTCCTTCTTTCCTGTAGAATCCATTGTGAAGTTCACGATGCTCTTCTAGTGGACTGATGTAAACAGTGAATGGTGTTTGACCTGTAGAATTCTGGGGGAAATGAAAGTAGGTATCTGGATCGATCTTCTCAAATGCTCGGATGTTCCAGGAACTAGAGAACCTTCCTTATAGACGCTGTCCGACCTTGGCATTCTAGACCCCTTAAAAGTACATATAAACTCAGACTCAGTCTGCATAAACTAATAATACCACCTACTCAAGCATGCGGTAGTTGAGCGTAGCTTACAAGGAGCCGTCTTGTGTAACCACAAAGTTCACTAAAGAGTACGTAGCAAAACAAATAGCCATCAAACAGTTACGCCTGCTCCATATTTGGGTTCGGTGTGAAGGCACACCGAGAAACAATTGGGCTAGGGCCTCAAGCCACGTGTCGTAGAATAAGTGCTGCGACTGCAAAATCATCAACAAAGGCAAGTAACGGGTGTTATCGCAACTTATCCCAGCACATGAATGCCTTTGGTTGGGTGTTGATTTCAACAGACTATGCAACAAAATGAATGGGGCCAAAACAATTACGTCCCATTTTCGAATACGAGGCCTTCCACCGGCCCTAGATCCTTGGACTTCGGGACAGTGATCCCTCTGCCAGCATAGACCCAGCTTAAGGCTTCATCTGCCGCAGAAATAAATCAAGCAAGTCAAGTGAGAATGAAGGAAAGCCCAATGCTTAGCCAAGCCTCCCATCCCACATTTATCTCGCCCCTTGTTCTAAATCTACTTTCATTTTCGATTAACTGAAATTCATAAACTCGAAGCTTCGAAGCCGACCTGATATTTTTTGGCAACGGAAATAGATCTACAACATGGCCCAGGACGACATCAAAATGACTGACGTGGCAGCAAATTCCGAAGACGGGCACAGATATTACGACCTCAAGCGAACAGTTCAAGAAGGCTTCAACGGTCTCGATCGATCGATCAAAGATGGAATCCTCCAAGTAAAGGGCGATATTCACAACGAACTCGAAACACAATTTTCAGTATCCAGCAATGCACAAGGGACTACTACGGTAAGTCAAGAGTATCAACCATCCGGCTGCTCTTTCTATTTGATACTGAAAGTCATAGATGGCAACGTATATCAAATCGCTTATAGTCGGAGATGGAAGCGAGGTGTACAGAGCAAAAGAAGCATACAACAAGCTCCAAGCAGAAAACGAGCAGCTCAAAAAGGAGATTGAAGACACGTGGATGCGGTGCGAGACTTTGGCGTCGAGAAATCGCACTCTCGAAGGTGCTGCGAAAAATACGCGTGAACTGGAATCGCAACTTTCGAGTTCCACGCAAGAAACCAAACGACTTCAGGAACAGAACGCGAAATTCCGCGAGATTATACTCAGCAATAGTAGCAGCGATGCGCAAACCGTTGATGAATTTACTATCATCCACAAATTTACTAGTTTGAGGGAACAAATTCAACGACTCGTGCTCAAGTTCTATCGGTTTGATCAGCGTCTAAAGAAGCCAAGTCTTGGTTATAAACCTTGGACCACCGAGCAAGATCGATTCTTCCGTTTCTGGAGAGACGGATTATCAGAGGACCAGTTAAAAAGGAGAATGCGGGCAAAGATGTTTAATATGCTGGCTACCGAGATTTTATGCCGTCCACTTTTCGGTGAGTAATTTCATCAAACCGACAGAGCATTCCCTTCGGTCATATTTGGTCTGGTGGGCCCTAGGGTAAAGACGACTTATAAGCTGACTATACAGGCCTTGATGACGATGGCAAAGGGGGAAATGCTGAGCGCGGGCTAGAATCGTTTGAGGTTTCCCTGAAGTCATTAGGGACCGGTACGATACTCCAATCGATACTCCAATCCTAATGGCATATTAGTCCCTAACAGAGTTGTGTACTGTAGGTAATGAAGAGGCTATAGCTGAATGGAGAACCCAGACATTGAAATGTGCGAAACTCCTCGATTCCGAAAATCGGGCACCAAAGCGAGCGACCGGTACAATATACCGCTTCATGGCCCCAGCACTGCTGTCGGTTGCTCGAACAACCGAAGAAGGCGAAAATAATCAAGATCAGTGCCGTGAGCATATACTAAGCCTGTGCAATTCTGCATACGATTTTGTTCTGCTGTTGCGAAGTTCTAGGGACACATATCAATGCGAATGTCCCAAGTTGAATGAAGCAATCGATCCGAGCGAGGCGGAGCCACAGGATGATGAAGATTTGAAAAACGGGGCAAAGGAGCATACTGTTATTGTTGCACTATCGGATGCTCTTGTCAAGTATCCAGAGCACAGCCCTAGACAGAAAATTGTCTTGGAGAAGGCGCATGTTATCATTCAAGGTTGAGAGGATTGTTTGCCGGCCTGCGCCTAGCGCACACGAGGCCTGGGCATGGATAAATTCACATTATGCCAAACGAATCTTTAAACTCCTGGAGGACTACTCCTTCTTCATGCATATTAGCACTGTCGAATATGATGTAGTAAGCATAAGTGAAGGTACATTTTGGTACAGGCCACGTGGAATCATTACACGTGACCTTAGGATAGGAGTACAACGCGATCTGGACAACTTAGCTCATTAGGCAGGAAGTCACCTATTACCTCTCTACCTTTAGATTTTTACTTTCACAATATAGAAATATTTTAGAGGATATATTTTTGTCAGTGTTCAACAATAACAATCTATGTTTTGCTTATTCGCCCAATCACAAAATAGCATATTCGGGGTTAACGCAGGCGAGTGGGGCCCACACACTCCGGAGTAAATGGAATAATGGTGGGGACACTAGAATCCGTATGTTTTAGAATAAGCAGAATTTTCCCAACAAACTCACAAGCGGCTTTAGCTCACTTGGGAGAGCGCCAGACTGAAGTCAACTTCTGTCATTAATCTGGAGGCACTGTGTTCGATCCACAGGTATGTTGCATCAATAAAGATTCTGTTAATTCAAATATTAATATCATCTTTAGAAGCCGCAAACTTCTGCGAGTTGAGGATCACTTCAACTAGAACAATCTTTTTTTCTTCTTTTTGCTGGTTTTTTGGCAGTTCTTTGTGTGTGGCCCAAAATTCTTTCGAGCCTCCCCCACCTGCTATTTTTGCTCCAAGTGAGCACTTTCATTCATATTACAACTCACCAAACAGCCGTAAGTTCCTACCTAGAAAAGTTATATTTTAACTAAAAAAAATATGAATCCAGCGCGAAGTAAGACTGTATGTACCTCGACCAAATATCAATTTTCCACCATTTCTTTTGCGGCCCCACGATTCCCAATTCCCATTTGAGGGTTTCATCGACAGATGCCTGAAGCTATAAGCGATAGTATTCAGAGGGGCTTGTTTTCAAATACTTAAATCAATACAACGCTTCGTGCGTGAAGACGGAGCAAAACATCCAATTAAGTGAATCCAACAGTCGAGAACTTCACCCAGAGAAAAGCAAGTAAAGGCCACAGGTTGGTAGGCCTTATGATAGCTCACTATTTAATAATCGACCTCATTCTAAGCAAGAACTCCAACTCAGAATTCAAAGGAGCACTTCACCTTCCTCGCCCACGTGCACAGGTCTCCCTATTCACGATAGAGGACCGAATTATATGACAAACTGTGTCCAAAGGCAGGGCAAGAATGCCGCAGTGAATTATCTCAAGACTAAATTTCTTCCAACACCGTTAATACACGTTCGATTGCATGTTTGCTGTCAAGGAAAACGGTCATTTAGGTAAACCCTCCATCCGTGTCGTCCAAAACTTTCGCTTCCGCCAAATCAAGTTGGGGGGAATTTCGAGTGGAAATGACACTTTGTCATGCTCCGCTCCTTTGAGATTATGCGCACTTTAGTCCTCAGAGGCATCTCTTTTCCGTGGATAGTTGACTCTTGCGAGTCCTGGAATTCTAATCTCTTCAATATCAAACTGCTATTACTTTTGAATTCCCATTGCATGACCTAGAGAGGATGTATTTCGGGGGATATAGAACCACTCACCTCTCACCAGGAAGCAGCTACGAGCAACCAGGGCCCACAAATCACTTTATCAAAACTACTCCGAAGCATCAGAAAAGGTTCAATAATAGTTGGAATCACAGATGCTAATAAGATAGAGTCTAGAAGTTTTCTGTGCCCGTTTAGTATGTTACATTGCTAGGAAATAACGACGATCCTCATCTCGTAGCATTGCAATTCGCTCAGCAGGATGCACATTCCGTCTTCTTCCAGGTTGCTATCAAGTCCAGATACGTTCGAAACACGATCGTTGTCACATACAACAGCGGTAAACTCAAGACAACGAGAGAAAGGAAAAATTGTGTACATGTATAATTTCAAAAACCCCCCCTTCCTATAATAGGGAAGCAAGAAGTTGTAGATTCACATGAATATCTACACTTAACGCTATTCTACACGAAAGACATTCATCGTATCAAACTGCTGTCGATTCCATATCCGTTCAAAAACTCAACTGCTGTCATCTCTAAGCAGCCTCCCCTCTGGCAGTGTATTCTATGAATTCCTCCAGTCAATCAAATAATTTTTTCCACTCCAATAAACATAACATCAAGCACTATCTATTCACCCTACCGCTACAAAAAGTTCACGACAATGACGCAAGGCCAGGAGGGGAGGATAGTTCAAGTTTCAATGTTCCATGCATAAACAAAACCGCTGGTGGCTTATATACACTCCAGTCCCACAGTTCAGAAATCCAGGCACAATCTCATACATAAACAACATAATTCGCTTGGGCAAGCAGCATAGTGATGCCATAGGCATGAAGTCCCACTCTCCTTCCATTTAGTTGGAATTTAACTTGAATAATGAATCGAGGTATATAACTCAGCCTTATGGATGTATGTCTTTTCATCCTATAACGAGACCAAGAATTCCAACACCTCTGACGACAAGAAAAACCGTTTCCTCGCCAGACAGCGTTAACCAATGATCCTTAAGCTCATTCATTGACATACCTAAAGACAGGCATGGACGACCTAGAATCATATTCGCAGCAATCCGCCTACACCCCACCCGAAACCATAAGAGGAAATTGCTGTCAAGGACAAAACACAGTCAAATTGAAACAGTTTGTCATTACTAGCTATAGCTTACTTTTGAAAGTGAAGACTTGTGAAGGCTTCTTTCAAACGGCAAGGCGGGGTCGTCATGCCTCCTTGAGGAACAACAGAGGAGTGTTGAAAGTGCTTTATCAGAGTATCTTTGTATTCTGATTGCGTGTTCTGGAGATTAGAGACGAGGCATGAAGATGTTTATATATAAATCAATAGCGAGGTGAAGAAGAGACGGGAAGTGAGGGGTAGGCATTGATGAACAACACGTTTCGAAGAAAACTATATGGTGTAATCGTGCAAGACGATTTGGATTTTAAACTTTCGGTAGATCTTGGCTAAATTCGAATGGTTTCCATTAATTTTGCACCCATATCCCTCCATACCTTAAGCACATTTCCTGTAAACTCCCAATGAAACTAAAAGCAAGTGATGATCAAATCATATCTCATATCCCTTCCATTCCATATCCCCATTCATCCCAACCCCAAACCCCTTATTCCAACGTAAAAGCAGCCGTATCCGCCCTCCTAATCTTTGCCATCTGCATCAACCTCATCGCCGGATTTTCACACAGCGGGTTCAAGCACACACCTCCCAAATCACTAGGACAGCAAGTTTCCAGCGCACACACACTACCAGACGCGCAATCAGAATCCAGCGCACAAGCTGGCAACCCTGCACATGCAACATTCACACCGCAGATACTGGTCGAGTTGGTGCCGATGAAGCAGTAGCAGCTTTCGTTGTTGTTGCAGGGTTCTATGACTTGGGAACAGGTGTGTCCTTGGCAGGGGCTGTTGGTTGGTGAAGGTGTAGCAGTGGCGGTGACGGTCACGGTCGAGGTGATTGTCTTTTGTTTGGTTAGCTATATGGAGGAGAGAGGGAGCGGCCACTTACGGGAGCTGGAGCCGTGATGATTGCTGAGGTGACGCCAAGACAAAAGCAAGCGCTTGAGTAGTCAGCTGCACCGGGACATGGACTGGCGTATGCGGGAATTGTTTTCAAGGCTTCACGCTTGTGTTGCAAGAAGCTTGATGGAGGCCTAGTTGTAGTCGTGGTGACGGTTACGGTGGCAGCAGGTGGGGTAGTGATTGTTTCGAGGAAGCTGGAGCAGTCGCTGCTTGCCGTGAAGAGTTGACCAGGATTTCGACGAGTACCGGCAACGGCTCGAAAGCAATTATCATTGTGGCAGCTGAGGGTGAGGGAATCTGCGAGAACGATTCTGATCAAGGCGAAGATGAGAAGGATAGAACTAATACTGGAAGCCATATTGGAATATAAATTGTGATATTGGTAATATGATATTGTCAAAGTTATAGTTGAAGATGTAAGAGAGATGTAAGAGTGCGATGTGATCTTAGATATGTTTGTGTTTGTGTTTATTCTTGGGATGCAAAGTGGAGGTTATTTGATGCTGAGATTCACCTAAATTGTTTAGTTGGCAAGAGCGATTCAGAGGGCCTCGTAAAATTTGAGCCATACATGAAAATGCTAGGACCCTTCAAAAGTAAGAATTGTGACTACCACATACGTTGTCCACCTCGAGTGCAACAAGGTTTCGGCTATTACAGCATTCAGTTCTCGCCCGTTGAGGTTCATTGAGAACACCGGCTGGTTGATTTTGTGTAGAGCTTCGAGTGAGAACTCTACTAGTAAAAAGTGTGCCACATGCATTGAGATGCAGATAATTAACGTGTCGCAAAGCCATAAAAAATGTGGTATAAGGTTTGGTGTTGAGCAAAATGTCTCTCATTTAGCGCAAAATCAAGGAATGAAAAGATATTCCTAGATACTACCTGTATGGCCTGCCCCATATATCATGTGGTACAAAAGTTAGTTGCAGACTAGCTCAGACATCTGAGGATGTGTTTGTCTCTCTGGGGGCGTGCATTAGAAGGCGGGGAAGACCGGTGTTTGATCGATTTGTGTCCATAGAAGTCTTTTGATATAACAGATGAAGCCGATTGGTCCTGAATCTATACAGCTTTTCCGATGTAGTGTCAAACCACAATGTAATGCTTACTGTGTTACCTTGCGAAGAGCTAATACATGTAGCCTGTCACAAGCCAGAGATTTCAGTACATATTAAAGGTAACCTCCTGGTCCGTATCCTCGACCTCCATCGCTGAGCACGTCGTTTTGAGAAATATAAGGAGATACCCTGCACGCAAGCAGGACATGACATTTAAGTGGCAACTCGACATCTGAGGAAGAAGCTCCTGGTTTCTGAGACATGTCAAAACCCAGCCTTCCACTTTCGCACCATTTGGTATATCACTGCAGGAGGCCGAGCGTACTTAGGCTCTACTGCTCGCTGCCGAGAAAAAGCTGGGACTGCAGCAAGGTACTTTCCTGGCAACCGCTCGAAGATCCCGTGATGGGGTGGGGTAAAGGCGGTGTGCAGGGCGATGTTACATACTTTGAATGGGTCGTGTAATGTTGACCAAACGGGTGAAAGAACTAGAGGCTTTGCTGCCCAAACTTGAGATGATCGGAAGTTGAGAAAGGCCTCTCATGACTAGTGCAAGAGAACTCAAAAGATGTGCGATCCATACGATAGAACTCGCAGGATAAATCACCCGCCTTTTGAAACAAACGACCAGCCTCCTAAATCCTAAATTCAAAGCCAGAATCTTGAGACAAAGCGTTTAAGTGAATCCTCCTTGAGGATTTTCAGCTTGTCGGATGGAAGAACCACGAGCATGAGATGGGAAAAGGATGCAATCAAGCCGTATCTTATCATCATTTGCCCTTGGCTTAGCCAAGTTTCCCTGGGACAAACGGGTGTCCAGCACTCAAACCACCATCGACGGCCCAAGCTTGACCATTGACATAGCTACTCTCCTCGCTGGCCAAAAACAAAGCTACTCTTGCGACTTCATCCGCATGTGCTCCTCTCCCTAGTGGGTTGAGTTGGCCAATCTTTCTTTCCGTTCCCCTCGCCCTCGCTGCATCGTACATCGGGGCGGTCATCCCAGTCTCAATAACACCAGGGCAGATGGCATTGACTCGGATACCCGTTCCAGCCAGTTGATATGAAAGCGTCTGGGCCAGCGAGATGACACTCGCCTTCGATGCCGAATAATCGCTTGAACCTGCATTGGATCTTATGCCTGCAACGGAAGCGGTACCCATTATGCTTCCGGAAGGATATTTCTTTTCTTCAGAGGTAATCAGCATCGCTGGAGCGCCATATTTAGCCGCAAGATGCACGCTGGACAATATTAGCCTTGCTCTTCACCTGGGGTTTCTGGCGGGTGGTTCACCTCACAACATTCGTCCTTAGTGTAGATAGAAACTCGTTGGCTGTGATTTCCGAGAACAGCTTGTTGTTCCCAACTATACCCGCATTGGCAAAAAAGACGTCGAGTCTGCCGTATGTTTTGATAGCATCATCCACGACAGCTTTCACAGAAGCGTCATCTGCAGCATCGAACTTCCGAGTGTGGACATCGACGCCGGGATACAATGACGCAAGCTCACGCTTATGGGTTTCAAGATGTTGGTCGTTGAAGTCGCATATGTACACAGCTCTTGCACCATTTTGTGCGAACTGGTGTGCTGAAGCTCGACCAATACCCAGGGGGGAGTTTGTGCCTATTGAATGGGTCAGGCATTGGAATGCTAGAATGATAGGCTGGCAGATATACCTGTTACAATAACGACTTTTCCTTGCAGACGCGGACCGTTGGAATCGCCGGCAACCTTCTTGAGGATGGGGATGTTCTCGAATGTGCCCTGGTCAGGAATTGGAGCTACAAGCTGCTGGCTGAGGGCTGCTAGCCTTCTCTTGGGGACGGAAGTCATTGTATTGATCTGTAAAATTGATAGAACGGAAAGAGAGGACAGTACTTGCAAGACACTCGTAGTAGAGATTAAAGAGGACGTCCGTCTACTCAGCTCAAGAAGCGCAGGCAGGCACGAGTTTACTCCAGCTTGTACTTTACTTGTACTTGTATGCGGGGAGGAATACCCGAAGCTCTGGGGTTGGCGGGAGAGGAGAGGTTCAAGCCGCGGCACACTTGACAGCCAATAGTATCGCTGGACAGTGCCCCTCTCCAGGCCTTGACAGGACTCAGTTATAAATACTCAGGTAACGTGAGCTGCATGCGGTATTTGCGTGATTGAATCCTCTCATAGTCAGATGGATCACGCCAACACCTCTGGTGAGAATACGTTCCCGTGGAGTAATTGAAGTAAATAACAAACGTTGAGGAACCAGTGTGAGTTTTGTTTACAGCTTCCTTTGTTTTTTCGTACAATAATAACTGGATCTGCTACTATATCCCTGTCCTGTCCTACTGTACGCGAATAAGAAATGACGATGCCTACTAAACAGCCTTCCATATGTGACTACGCCACATTCAACACCAACATCCTCTCCTTCCCCTTCTCCCTATGCAAGCCTGCCTTTACAGAAGCTTCATTTGTTTCATGCCATTCCGCTGCAGTTTCTACAACCCTCAGGAGGTTGTCCCAACAGTGCGACTTAGACCCTTGGGGCGATTCCGATGACTGTTGCTTTGATAACCATATGGCCATGGACGAGAGCTTCACCAGCTCCGCATCACTACAACGATCAGCCTCCCACCACTCAAATGCTTCTGCGAGAAGCTCCCGCTCGCAGACAGTACGGACCAGACCTCGAAAATATACCTCCTACATGTCCAGTTCGGCGTCGTCTATTTCTGACAAGTCCCTAACGTCGTTCCCCTCGTTTTCGCCAGAGTCTCCCAGAGATAACCACTCCTCTTTTCTACTACCAACAGTCGATGGCACAGCCAACAAGTCTTCAAAATCTACTCCGTCCATTGTCGAGAGTCTAACCACATCATCGCCCGCGAACGAGCGCCTTGCTTTGTTTGATGACGCCCCACTCAGTACCAAACATGTTCCAGGTTCTATCCACCTTGCAAACAACGAACACATTGAAAGATTAATTGCGCGCAATGGAGCTGTTACCTTGGTCAGGCAAATTGCCGAGGATCTTGCCCAGCGAGATGCACAAATGGCTACAATCAGGCGCAAGGCCGAGAACAGGGAGCGGGCACTCAAAAAGATAATATTGGAGTGTGGTTTATCGAATTTGGACATGGAGACACGATTGCGAGCGATTGAAGCGGAAAGAAAGCCTGCAGACGACAGACAAGACTTAAACGCGCAGGAAGGCGGTCTTGAGGATATGATGAGCGATGCGATGACGGAGACTGTGGTGCTGGGAGAGCGTGCATTTATGGACAACGATGCTACACTTCGGGCGAAAGATTCGTTGAAGGCCTTAGAAGATCGATCCTCAAATATTCCTAAAGGCTGGAAAGATTATTTATGGGGAGGGACGAGCAAAAAAAGTAGCAGGGCCAGCAGTGTGAACGAAGACATTGTCCAGGATTTGGAATCTACGACTAGGAAAAACAGTGCCGCTAATGGGCGGCGTACTGTTTTGCAGAGTGATCTTTTTCAACCTTTGAATGGTACACAAAGTACAAGCCGAGCCTCAAGTATCAATGTGGACAGTTTAAGTCGGGGAAGAAAGCCTTCATCTGGCCTTGCTACGTTGGCCCTAAAACTTGTTGCAGGGAGCACGACAGGCGTCAAGGATTCTGAGGGGTCCAATGGTCGTGGCCGAGCGAATAGTATGGGAACAACACCAGCTCCGAGAGCCGAATCTACTGTTAGTACGAGAACGACTATGTCTGCCAGACCAGCGCCAGTCAAACCACCCGCCAAGGCAGTGCCAACCCCACGACGAAGCATAGCAGCTAGCAGTCAAAGCGGACCCGCGCGAGGGCAACAGGAAAGGTGGGATACCATGGGAGCGAGTCCTCAGGGAAATGATGCATCAGGTCGCTCCGATAATTATGGTCCCGTCGAGATGGACCAGATTCTTCCTCTGGAAGCACAGCCGCCAACAGTGACCCAGATATATAACAACCCTTATAACCAAGAGTTCCTTACAGATAGATTTGGTTTCATATATGATCAACGGCGAAAGAAGAGACAAAGAGAAGCAGCCGAAAAGATACGCAAAAGCAAACGAGGGAGTAGGGTGGAAATGCTAAGCGGTGCAAGGAATGGGCTTGATGACGATGACGAGTTTGAAGAGGAGAGGCCCGACACTCCTACGTCCGTTGAAGAAGATGGAAAACCCGTCAAACGGTGGCAGGATTATCTGAAGATTGCTACTTTTCCTACGGAGCTATTATCACATACGCCTTCAGGTGCTGTACCTGCGTTCGAAGTCATGGAAGGGTGCGAGGTGCCAAGATCTCCAGGAATTATAACTGAAGAGCGAGGCTTTGTGCCATCAGCAAGCACTGCTCCAACACAGCCTGCTGTGCCTGTGACTTCGGACAACGCCACCATATCGAAGCCAGACCCCTCTTCACCTCCAAAAGCCGAGCTTACCAAAGAAGACACTGAACCGGTCAAGCTTCTCTTGCAGCAATTGGGTGAGGTTCATGATTCTCTACAGCGAGAGAAGACGGTCAGGTGGAACGATTTCCTACGCAAGGTCAGAGCTGAGCGTAAACGCGATGGTGAAGCAGCCGCGGCAGCGTATGCTGCAACAGCAGATAAGAGTTCGAGGACTGTAGCTGCCACGCCTGAAGTATCTCTGGCGGATGGAGAGTTGATTGGTGTTGCTGGTCTGGGCAACAAAGGCAAAGTTGGACGTGCTAAGTGGAATGAGTTCAAAGCTCTCGTTCTCGGTGGCATTCCTGTAGCTCAGCGTGCCAAGATCTGGGCTGAGTGTTCTGGGGCTACGGCACTACGGATTCCTGGCTACTATGACGAATTAGTTGCTCATAGTGAAAAGGAGGATGATCCCGCAATCATTGCTCAGATCCAGATGGACATCAATCGCACTCTGACAGACAACATTTTTTTTAGGAAGGGGCCAGGTGTTGCCAAGTTGAACGAGGTCCTGCTAGCTTATTCTCGACGAAACGAAGAGGTTGGGTACTGTCAGGGCATGAACCTTATCACAGCTTGCTTGCTTCTCGTCATGCCTACAGCCGAGGACGCATTCTGGGTTCTCACCAGCATAATCGAGAACATCCTCCCGCGCGGCTACTATGACCACAGCCTTCTCGCCTCCCGAGCTGACCAGCAAGTCCTCCGCCAATATGTCGCAGAGATCCTCCCCAAGCTTTCATTCCACCTCGACGACCTGGGAATCGAGCTAGAAGCCCTGACCTTTCAATGGTTCCTCAGCGTCTTCACAGACTGCTTGTCCGCCGAAGCCCTATTCCGCGTTTGGGACGTCGTCTTCTGTACCAACGATGGCAGCACCTTCCTCTTTCAAGTTGCGCTTGCACTTCTCAAACTCAACGAGCAACAATTACTACAATGCTCGACCCCAGCTGGCATATACACTTACATCAATCACCAGATGACGAATCACGCTATTAGTATCGATGGCTTGATCCACGCTTCTGAAGGTCTGAGAAAGGTGGTTAAGAGAGATGAAGTTGAGATTCGACGCGCGAAAGCTATAGACGCAGAGAAGGACTTAATCAGACAGCGAGAAGCGCGAAACAACCTCCGTAAAGCGGAGAGACTTGCTACAGCAAGTGACGAATCTCAAAAGAAATCTGCGAATATGGAGAGTACACCTTCGCAGTTGGAATTAGCGGGCGATGATTACGGCGAATTGACAGTGAGGACGCCCATTCCAGTGGATGATGAAACCTCGTTGGAATTAGGTTGAGTTGAGTTTTGTTTGGATTTCGGATTGGATCGGGTGGGAAAGGGTTTTGCGTTGAATGATGATGCATTTTTGCGGGTTTGGGATATGTTATGATACCCCCGAAGCGTTTTTTTGTTTGCTGTTCATAGTAGGATGCTCGTTAGGTCAAATGAAATGGGGAGTTATGATGTGTTGTTGAAAGCCAGTGCACTTCTATCTTTTATTAAATTTAATTAATCTATACTCCCATGACTACTCCCCTAAACGCACTCTAATCTATCCTTGAAGCTTCCGTCAACCTCTAGTGAACGCAGACTAAGTAGGGCTATATATACTATTTCAGCTGATGCACCCTCTTCGAAGTCGAAAAAGCAAGCATGAATAAACTTACGTTCCATAGTATCAAGCAGAGGAGGTGCATAGCTTTCCACCAGCTCGTACGCATACCTACAAACACTAACATACCCCAGGAGTGCTAACAAGAGGACACACAACGTTGTATTCGCAGTAGCGTTACTCTTTTGATTATTAACATACCAAGATCGCAGCTTCAAATACAACAGAACGCGTTAGCTAGCTCGAGCAAAACAAAACAGCACAGAGAAGTGAGTGGCTGGCGGTTAGCTGTCCGTACCGAGTATACGATATCTTCAAACCGGACATCGAAGAATGAGACGGTGCAGCGCGTGAGCACGCCGAAGCCGATGCAGGAGCATGCGATGGCCATGATGGTGTTGATTTGGACGTCGTTGCGGCGAAAATAGGAGGCGAGGAAGCCTATGTACGCCGGGAGGAGGATTAAGATGAGGTAGAGGAGGTCATCGCGAATGCTGGATCAAGGGTTAATTGATGTTTTATTGTGTTCATTGTTTCAAGTAATCGAATTGGGATTTACCTACCTGTGTTTGCATGTTGTACTTGTACGGCATAATTTGGTATGTAAGTTATAGACTCCATACTGTGTTGTTTGGCTTGTATAGAGAGTTAGAGGGAAGTAGCTTATAGAAGCTATAAGGGAGGACGAGTCGTAGAGATGGCTTGATTCAGGCTTGGGTTCACTTATCATAAACTTGGCTTGGGCAAAGATATTATATAGCGGGACGGGCCAACCCCTTAGCTTGCTTCCTTTACAACTCTCTATATTAATAGTATCTTATTTAATGAGTACTACCTACTTAGGTAACCTCTTTGTGGAAGGATGGGTACGGACCTAGTGCGAGCCAGTCTATATTTGGAACTTCTCCATACTCGCTTAAGTCTAAACTAGGTCTCTTTCGACTCTACAACTTTATACTCCGCGCTACTTGGAGAGCTTAGATATACCTTACCGGACTTTGCCGTGAACTTTTGATGGTAGAATGAAAGTCATATACCCAGTTTGCTTATAAACTTGAGTGACCTGAATCTAGGTAGATTACGGTTTCTAACTATTAATGAAAATCACCTACGGTTAACTAACCGTACAGTAGTTCGGCTAAACAACCGTCAAATGACTATTTCTGGATTGCTTGATCAGCGCTGCAGCCACCACCAAATTTAATGTGTAGGATCCCTTAGACACTGCCCTTACTGCAAGGCTGAGGCGCTTCACCCAGAATTAAAATCACTCAAACCAATCGATTCTAATATCTTTAGAATGATTACATTGCGAAGAGGTCATCACCTCTTTGCTTCTCCCACTTCCACTTCAAAACAGACATTAAGAACATCAACCAATTATGACCACGTTTTACTAGCTAGTACGAAGTGATCTAATCGGTATCCTGTGATACCAACAGTTAGAAACCATATTCTACCCAAATAAAGGTCGCCTAAGTTCATAGCAATTTTACGGTTATGTGATAGTTATTTTATCTTAAAAAAATAAGGTAAAGTCCGGTAAGGTAGCTGTTATAGGGCTGCTAGAGGTCTAAACTAACTTGAACATTGCTTTGGCTACTATCTTTCTTGCTGTAATGCAAGTCTATGCTAGGGTAAAGAGCCAGTTATAAGTGTAGGGTCTATCCTTTGCACGCTAGAAGGACCCAGTTTTGGATTTGAAAAAAAGCGAGTATTACCTGCCTATTGTAGGGATATTTGCCGAAGTAGTATATAAAATGCGAGTATACATAACAAAAACCTACCTACTAGGTATTACATAAGCAATTATAGCGCTATTCTCGGCATCAATTCTAATTATGCGGCTGCTTAGCTCGAGTGGGTTGTATAATCATTACTTAAAGGAGGCATAAGATCGAAATCTGACATCAGAAGCTATTTGCGTCGTGCCCGATGTGACCCCTGATTCTACAGGTGAGGTCTGTTCAAGCATCTACCTTAGAGATTCCCGAGTGATGCTTAAGGAGAGTAAGTCAACTTGCTCCTGGTGCATCTCGCGATTCTTTGCTACTACTAGCCCGCAAGTTTCAAAGGGAGGGTGTCGTTCTCGAGAGTTATCGCAATTCACCCAGAATGAGGCAAATTGAAGATGGATTTGTTGTGATTTATACTCGGTAGCAATCCCTAGCATTGGTATAACTCCTTCTGGATAGATATATAAATGGTGTAAACACCTCCGCCCAAGCACGAAAGGTACAAAAACATCAAAGTCTATTCACCCGCATACAATCATCCACCAAGACGAGATTTCGGGATCGAAGAGGAAGTTGGATTCTATGATACAAAATGCACATATGCTAACATCTGGCTTACGAGAAAGCAGAGGTAGTCATCTTACTCGACTGCTAGACCGAGCACCATCTATAGTAGATGAGTACAGCTTCCCAACCCACTTCCAACACCAGAAATATGCCTCCAACTATGAGGAACATATCAATGATCCTGTTCAGTCCAAATACGAAGCTAAGATCCGTAATATCATTCATCTAGTAACGATGAATAGGGTTCCAATAGGTGAATTTTCGTAAGCTGATCCGACGACCTTCGAGACCTTCGAGACCTGGAAGACGTTTAGGAGCTGTTTCTCTTTGGGGTGAGAGCCAAGCTGAAGTAGCGAGACACCAATGGAGGAGACAAGTCGTAGAGATAGAGAATACCGCATATATAGAGAATGACAACGGTTGCGGGAATCACAGTTGAGCGCAAATTGTGTGAACAGAATTGGAGGACGAGCGGGACTTGATGGTTGAGGATCCGGAAAGCGATGAAGTGAACAAGAGAGCAGAAGTGAAGAAGCTGAAGACCTAGGAGAACGTCAGTGAGTGCAAATTACAATTCGCAAAGCTGTTTCAAGCTTACCAAGGTCTTGGTTTGGAGACAAGTTATTGTTAGAGTCATATGGACGAGGTCTACCGCCTCGTAGTAGCCTTCATTCAGGGCCCATGATTCGATTCAAACTTAGGGTCGGCATGAGACGGCGAAATAGCTGAATCTCATACCGAGACTTCAAAAAATCTCAGCTTCGGAGCCGCCAAAGAACTCGGTGTCGAAGAGAGCTGATATCCGTGTAGCAATGGGCTATGCTCACTTTCTTGGATTGCAACTGAACTTACAGCGCTTGGAATGGGTATTAAAATTTATTGACGGATCTCTCCCTCCTTCATCTCATTATCCGAAGAATCCGATCCACTGGTACTCGTATCATCGTCATCTAACTCCTCCTCACTCGAACTTGACTGCTGCTCATCTGGAATGGTCGGCTCTTGTCCGGTCGCTTTTAGAAAATCCTTCTCCAGCATGCAATTCTCAGGCAGAGTGTCTTGTTCCTGTACATATATTGTAGGGAATTCCATCAATTCCCGCTTTCGTAATTGATCAAGTAAGGGTTCCGAGGAATCTAGCGGAATCAAGACTTTTGGGAACGTTGAAGGTGTATTCGGTCGATGAAGATAGAAGTGTAGACTGAAAACCCAAGCTGGCACTTGATCCTCCTCGACTTCTACCGCGCAGAGGCGTTGTGGGACGTTCCAGGCACTCGTACTCGAACATTGTAATATTGGTATCGTGGTCATTTCGTGCTTCCCCTCGTGTTCCAATTTCATCCTTTTCGTATATCTTTCCTTGATCTGCCCAAGCTTGCGTTTTTTCTCGATATTTTTCTCTGCGCTCGTTAAGTTCATTCTCCTAACCATCTCATGAGCTTCATAATAAGCCTCCCCAACCCTCTTGAAGCCCAGTGCCTTTTCCAAAAGTCTACCGGAATTGCCGTCCCTGAACCACTCCACTTGCCAATTGATGTCCCTTTGTTTCTTGCTCCATGTTGTTGTATTTTCTACATTCCTCTTCATACCGCAAGGCGCCTGGTATACTTTTATTTTGTACGCGTGAAGAATTCTATTAATGCAAGCCTCCCCCTCATGTGTCCAATTTCTAGGTCTTCGTCGGTCTTCACCTCGTCGCGCGGCTTTCAATTCCGACGCCTTCACCAAGCGCCGATTCTCTACGATCTCTTTCTCGGATCTCTCTTTTTGATGTTCGATTGAATGGAGGAAATTGTAATCGTGATCGATTCCCGAAGGCGTGGCTAATTGTGATCTGGGGACGAAGACTGTTGGGTCGCGCACGCCGTTGCATGACGACCACAGTTTGTGGCGGCGAGAGCAGGGGAGTGAGCAGGTATTGACTGAGCATCGAGGACATGTGTATTTGGGAGTGTTTATATGACAAATGCTGCAAAGCGTCGAGAGGAGAGGGTCCGCCATGGTGTGTTGGTATTGATGTTTTTGGTTGTAAATTCGGAAGGAAAAGTTCGAGGCTGAAGGTTGAAGGTTGAAAATATTTCAGCCTCGCCTGCGAAATGGACTCGCTAAAAAAGAAGATCTTCCCGAACCCCCTTTTTTGTCCAGATCTCTACACTGCTAAATTTATAAATTTCATTGGTTGCCACCTCTCAATCATGACCACGGCTTTAAGAGTAAGAGTGTACATATTTCCAAACAAGTACAACATGGTAAATCAGTTCAAGATTAGCCTTTCATCAACGACCTCCCGCCGCCAGGAATCCCAGTATCGAGAGATGCGCATGGACATGGACATGGAGTTGATGTGAGATGCGTCTGCTCCACACAGAGCTGATTGTGGAGGTCAAAACCATATGGAATAATAACTCCGGAAATGGCAGCGAGAATGACGACTTTTACTGGCATATGCTTCTCATCGTGCCCCTCTTGGCCACCAACCAACTCTTCGCGCGGTCACGCACTTCCTTGCAATGGGAGCAAGGAGCATTGTACAACCTCAGAGGAGAAGATTTCCTCAAATCTATAAGCCGCGGGCAGCGAAGCCATGTGCTTATCACCTCCACCACCAAGTCAATGGGAGAGACAGCATATGGAAGACCTACTTCCAGCAACCTGGCACAAGTGCAGATGGTTGATTGCAATCGAGTACTTGCTACTAGATGGCCTCGGATGACCACGAGCAAGTAAAGTATGGTCTAACGGCTATGGTCAACTATTACTCTTAATCATCTGTTGAATCAGAGGTGTGTCTTCAGAGAAATTTTATCTGGAGACCACGAAAACAATATGGTTCTTTGAAGCCATTGAAGGATTCTGGTTGCCATGAACAGCCTTCCACAAAAGACCGCTTTTCGCTACCTAAGCGGTGGATCTGCTGGGACGTCTCTTCTCTGCAATTCTGCGATATCGACTTCGAGTTATCGTGGACTTTCTTTCTGGACCCTTTCTATTCTCTATGCCTCTTTTCGGCACTCTCTTGGCCAATGTGAAGTTATCAGAGCTGTCATCTCTTATGGCTCCTCCATTTTTTTCTAAGATTAAAGTATCGTCGGACTGTATTGAGGGTGGGATGTTTGCAACTATAGTGATGATTGAGAGGCTTTCATGTAGTATGTCCAAGATAGAGCGGCAAGTCTAAGCGCGTATGGTTGAAATGCGCGGTGACAGGAAATCAGTTTCATTACCAGTGGTTGAACCTGCTAATTTATTATGTTCCGTACTCAGTAATGCATCTGTGATACATCCTTCCTTCTTTCCAGACTTTGGCCACCGAAAGTGATTACATTCTACTGGGCGACAGAGAAGTCATCTTTTTGGTCGAAACCCTCCCTCCAACCAGAGGTTTGAGAAGTGGGTGTACAAGGTGCATACATCAATGATGCAGTAGCTTCATGCTGTGAGAAGATCGGACGGCAGTGGATTACGATCAGCCTCGAACAGAACCCAGACCAGGCATTGGCTGCAAAAGTACATCACATATTCAATGCCATGCATACTGTGATATTGCCTGCGAAAAGTATCAAACAAAATATATCCCTTCGTGCTACTATCGAACCTCTACCCCTGAGGATTTTCTTTCCCACAAGCGCACAGGAAGCTACGAAGTACCGTCACTTCGTGCGACGATGTTGTACTCGATTACGATTCTCGATGATGCGGCAGCAGAATCGCATATTCTTGTGAGACTTCGACCCTAAAACTGTGTATTTCTTGTTTCTAACCCCTGAATTACGTGGCTTAACCTCCTGGACGATACAAGGGTCCAAGTATTCTTGCCACGCGACAAACGCGATCGACTGGAAAAGATGTCTCTCGGCCATCTTTTTATATCCTCGCCTCCGGATTTGGTGGCTCGATGAAAGACATTTCAAAGACACCATGTGCGCGGGAGTACGAATACTAGTACGAATACTGGTGGTACCTGGTCGAAACTGGAGAGCCGGCAAGATAAAAGTACCTAGTGGAACCATTCAGGCCATGAATAGAGTTCAGTAAACGTGAAAGTCGTGGTACTTGTACGAAGTACTTCATAATTTACGAGCACTATCACAGCGCATTTGTTTCATGAATCATCACGGTGATAAACTTACTCGATAGTGGAGTGGTCAAACTTGAGTATCCTTCGTAAGCCTTGATGGTCATCACCCTTATGCCAGGCCCATATTAATTTAAGATGCGAGGATCTTCGGTTCTCGCTCTCCGGGACCAGCCCACTGTTCCTTCGGGTTATCAGCTGGTGGGGTCGCGAGCCGCGACTTTATTAATTTATGTGAGGCGTCGAAAGTCAGATTGGATAGAGATTGTGGAAGAACAAACGCAAGAAGCAACATCAAACGAAACAAACGAAACAAACATGTGGTAGAGCTGTGATTGGGCACGTTTTCAACTAGCTAGCCAGCACAAGGCTAAGCTAAGGTACGAGGATACAAATGTGATAATCGGTCACAAACCTCAACTTAATTAATCCCTCAGCAAGCTGAGCAGCCAAATCTAGTCGAGAATAATGGAGCCAGGTAACGCCATGACCTATTGGTCGGGGCAAATCCATATGCAGCCTAAGAGTTGAGGTGAGGCATGGCATGGGAATCACGCATGGTCCCTTCCGGACCCCCTGCGACCCAAAGCTCAGGAGGGGAGGCTCGTGCAGTCTCGCGACCATGGATTCATGGAAGCCCCTGAATTGCGAGCACAAAGATGGGTGAAAATGGTCCAAGTCGCGGAGACGTGCTGACATCTGGGGGAGGGGGGTGGAGGGAATCTGTACGTACCTAGGTAGGCTCAAGATTGCTTGGAATATTAACGCTGAAAGCTCCATCGTCAGAACTCAATTGAGCGCGCAGAAGATTGCATTGCAGTACAATCTCGAGAATGCGACGCAAGCCTACTGTACTCCGTACTTCTAAAACTCCATTGCAGTGCAGTGCAGTGCATCGCAGTGCCGTCTGGACTTTGGAGGTGGACTGCAACGGACGACGGCAGCAGTTTAATCATACCGGCAGCCAATTAAGCTGGGGGGCCCCTGAGTCCTTACTGGTCAATCGCTACTCTCGCTGTTCTCGGACGCCAACACCCACGCTTGCCCAGGCACATAACCGGGGCCTCATAACAATATCCAATTGAATCTCATATCACGCCCAGTAGTAGCCCGTATCAGCGGAGCTACCCATGGCATTTCCCATCTCTCCCTCGTCAATCCATGCCTCCTTTAGTGGAATTTTACCCGTCTTGAAGTTCCGTTAAGCCAAAACCCTCGAGCCTCTCTTCTCCCTCCTCCCCTCTTCTTTTCTAGTCATTCTTTGCTCCCGTTTTGCATCTGCATCTGCACGACCCTCTGCAAGAGTAGCAGTAGACAGGCAGCTTCTTTTTACCTGTTTTGCGAAATCCTTCCTACGCATACGTTGCCATTTGCAGCTTGCTGGATGACGAGCCGCGATTCACATACCGGTAGCGTTAACTAACCCAACAGCCAGCGACATCTGCTATTACATTCTTTACCGTTCTGTAACCTCTTCCTTATCAACCTTTCTTCAGGAAAAAGCTCGAAGCGTCAGTGGCAGTTTGGTTATACACCTGCATTGAAAATCTACATTTTCTATCGACATCAAGACTCGTCGCCGAAAAGGAGAAATCGACACCAGCAGTCAATACCGCAGTCATGGGTCCTTCATTAAACAACCACTCTTCATTCGTCCGACCCCGTACCGGAGACCGTGATGGTCGCCCGGGTACACGGGATCAGACTGATCAAAACCTGATAATTCCAAGCAGAACATCTTCTCTGCATTCCCGAATTACCCAGCCAATTCCATCCACGTTGAATGTCAAGCCTCAACAGCGGACACCAAAAACACTCACACACGCTTATATGGTATGCGGTGTTGGGCGTGAACCATCGCAATGGGTTAAGGCACCGGCTCCCGCACAAGGAAAGATTGGACACATGAAGGGGGCCGTTGGACAATTCTGGTTGCCAGAAATACTGGGTAGCAGTCCAAGATTAGAACAGGATAACGAGATTGCCAGGGCTTTGCATTCAGCAATGAGGGTGAGTCTACGATGAGAAGACTATAATTAAGATGAGTTCTGATTCAGAATAGGCCTGCTTTCCTCACGATGTAGAGATCTGCACTGGACGCAGTCAACCGCACTGCGTGCACCACTCTTTCGTTCTCCAACAAGATTCTTCACACACCCTTTACGGCATCGCTCTTCGAGTTTGGTCGAGAGCTGATGAGAAGCGCGCCGAGACTATTCGCGACCTCAGAAAACGAACAGAAACAGACTTCTACGATTCCGCTGACGAGACCTATTGGATTCCGTACTGCTTGTCTTTCCTTTCCAGATATCCTCTTTATGATCTTTTGGGTGATTATCTGCGAGGGATGTGGATTCACTGGAATAAGGCCACCAACCTTTTCCACGCCGAAGAGGTCTCCCGTATTTTGAGCTTTCCAGCGCCAAGGCTCAATGATCTGGTACGAATTGATATGAAGGACTATGCTCTTTGCTACCAATTCCCTTCAAGCCCAACAGGATTCCAGAACTTCGCCATGTGGCCATTGTTCTCCTGCTTGTCCATCCCCAATATCGTTGGTGTAATTGAGGCGGCTCTCTCGCCAACTCGTCGCATCATTTTCGTCAGTCACTACCCTGCCATGCTCACAGTAGCAGCCGAGACAATCCGCTACTGTGTTCGTGTTTACGAATGGAGTGGCCTGTATGTTCCCGTTGTGCATGCGAGACATGCAAAGGAACTCGTACAAGAGCCGGGCCCATACATACTTGGTATCACTGCTGAATGCCGAAGTCTTTTCACCGCTCCCACGGATGCCTTGGTTGTGGATTTGGACCGTAACTTCGTTCTTACTTCTAGCCCGCCCACCGCACTCACTCCAGGCCAGCGCACCAAGATGGTTAGTAGAATGACACAGGCACTTAACGGAGATGTGACACCATCCGGTGTTCCACAACACTTGCGATCGGCGTATGGTGGCGGAAAACTGGTCCCTGCAGGTCAAATAATCGTGATGAGAGGTGAAGTTGAGTCAATTCAGGACCCTGAATGGTGGAACCAGGATTCTCTCATGGCTGTCATGGATCATGTTTGTGAAAAAATGGTAAGTTTGAGATCCAAACTCGTATACACCAGGGGGGGTATATTATTGCAAGTTACTGATAAGGTTTCATGACAGGGGAGAAACACCGGCATGAAAGCTGTTTTTGGCGGGGCTGTGAAGAAGCCACTCATGACCAAGGTTTCTATGAGACATTTGAATGAAATTGTTCGAGAGCGAAATCAATACTCCAGGGATGCTCTGGAAGCCTGGCAAGATTTCATTAACCTCAAGGGCCGCATGGACACAGAACTCGGCAAGGTCTCCAAGAGGAATAATTTCCTTGTCGAGGAACTCGAGAGCTGGAAACAACAAGTATGTCATGTCATGATTGGTCATGAGATTTGTGTACTAATATACTTTCTAGTTCCTCAAATTCCAAGCTTTCGCTGAACAGCTGACCAAGGAGACTCAAGATCTTAAGGTCAAGATCGAGAACCACAAGCGTGAAAACAGACGCCTTAATGTCCTCATTGATCAACAAAAGGATGATTCGGCGCGCCTCACCACACGTCTCTCTGGCACAGAGAAGCAGCGTGACGATGCCCTCGAAGCATTGGTTCTCCAGCAAGAGATTGCCGAGGAACTTGAGCGCGAGCGCAAACGCAACAAGAAGGAGCTTTCTGCGCTGCAGCACACCAACGGTACTATTCTTCGCCAACGCGATGAAGCACAGCGTGTTGTTCTCCATCTCCGCAGCTTGATTGGTGGTCAAGCTCACCACATGGAGCACCTGGTTCAGACTCTCGGAAAGAGCCCAGACTTGGCCGAGTACATTGAGGGCGGCTACGATGACGATGACCTGGAGGATATTGCCGAGAAGCCCGAGGCTGAGGAAAATGGAATCGTCGGTGGTTATGATTCACGTGCTTCGTCGCGCGTATCAAACAGATACAGCAAGACCAGCGAGGACATGGCCCCAGAATTGGAGACCAGACTCAGAAATGGTCTTCGAAACAGCAAGCGATACAGTCAGATGAGTATCGTTGATGTCGCTGATCGTCACCTGAGGGATAAGACCGATGCCATCGCCCACATCATCCGGAACATCAGCGATCAATGCGCTGCTGCTGTCGAGGGTCTACAGCTTGCCCACGATGCCGATGCCGAGGCCGAAGAGATCGCCTTGAACCAAAAACGTAGCTATCGTGCAAGTAACTTATCAACAGCAGCCAGCGAGGACGGACACTCAGCTCAGGGCTCAGACATGGGCGACGACAGTCTCCTGGCTCCAAGCGGGCGTGCGTCCAGCATCCCCCCCACTCCAGATCTCATCCACAACCGTTCAAGCACGGCGATGTCCATCGCCAGCTCAACCACCACTCCTGAACGGAGTAGTCAGCAATACAACATCGGCACCGACATCCCAACGAAGATCGTTGAGGATAGTGATGAGGAAATCGAGGGACGGAGCGAGTGTGAATCGGAGATCACTACCAAGGGTGGCCTGATTCACAGACCAGCTGGTGCTCGCATCTCTGCTCTGGGCGGACACTAGATGTGTCTGTTCCTCCAGCCTTTTAGCATTTGTAATTGTTTTTGGGGGCGTTTATACCGGAGGTTGTTTGTGTGCTCACTCTCTTTATCTCTATGTAAGTATGGAAGAATTGTTACTGTGTAGTAGTGGAGACCGTCAGGTGGAAAATGGGGGATGGTTCACCGGGGCAACTGATTCTGTGGTTCAGCTGTGTGCTAGCAAGCATAGTTGTTTTTTTGATCTTTTTAATACCCGGAGTATGAAGGGAGAGTTCTGTATATACTTCCGAAATACATCCCGTTTTAGTTTACATATATATCTACCGAACCATTAATATGTTTGCGAAAGTGACATACATTGCTGTACCTCCTGTCTCATAGTACTTACCCCGCTCTCGTCTGGCATCATAGAACGTACCTACCTACTTAATAAATTCCAACACGCAACCGAGGAATTCTCGTCTCAGACTATACATATAGATAGACGCTCTTGTATAAAATTCCCGATGCAAACCTGTTTTTCACTCTCCCACCCACGACACATGAGGTCATCATTCACAACCACAACCACAACCCCAAAGGACTAAAACCTCCGGGCATGCGGCCCGGAGAAGATCCTCCTACCAAAAATGCGACGAGCAACAAAAAGCTGTATCCTAGTATACGGGTCATGGATCACGGATTCAGAGCCCGCCGCCTGTTTGATTTGGCGGAGTTGTGATCCGGCTGTATATTATGTGGTGGGTTTAGGGGTTTAGGGGTTTTAGGGATCGTGTATATAATGCAGTGGTGGTGTGGTGGTTTGTGTTTGGAAGGGGAGAAGTGGAGTGGGGAAAGAAAGGGGTCTTGGTGCATTAGGGGGTTGAGGCTCCTACTTCTGGACGGGAGAGGATCCGGCCAGTGGAGTAGAAATCGAACCTGAGGGTAGTTGATGTGCAACAGGAACACGATATACATACTTAGCGTGAGGAGGAGGGATAATGCCCGGTTTGTAGATCTGGAGATCGAGATGGAGGTTGTTGCTGGACCCTGATCGGTTGAGATTAGCAGGGAAGGAACAGAAGGAGGAGGGGGTCGATTACATGAAAGTACTTGTTGCTTCATCGCTTTGTAACTAGGTAATCTTCAGCGTTCGCCCTCTTTTCTTTTATTAAGAAAGACACCGAAATACAGAGTATAGGTGCTCACCCTAGCTACCAATGACATAGGGCACACGATGATCTAATCTACTCCACATCGCTCTCGGTGGATTGGTCAGGCAAATGTAGTCTGATCTCATCTCCATCTCTCTCATCTGATGATCCTTCCAAAAGAAGACTTTTCGTTGCAAGTCGCAGTTCTGATCATGCCATTGTCTACTATCCACTTCCCGGTCCCTTGTTTTGGATTCTGTCCCAAAGAGGGTTTTCATTGCAAGTCGTGGGAGTCGCCGTAAGTCGTGGAATTCCGAACCAACAACCAGGAGCTTAACAGGAGGCTACCTGTACCCCAGAGAACGTTCTTACTCCTGGGTACGACAAAGGTCAACTTGAATATATCGGGGAAAGGAGCAGGAGGACGTTGGAGAATCCGGAGAGCTAGACTGTTCTCAATTTCTTGAAAATTTGGTCTCACTGTGATCTGGACTAACAATCTCATGAACAGCAGCTAACATTTGAAATTACAGGTAAAGGAAATTCCCATATGAAGCATTAATTGCCCCTTTGACAAAGTTTTTCTCAAAATAAAATACAGCATAGTAAAGTTTAGTGTAGGAATACTAATTTTCCACCACCTTTCAAGACGAGCTTTAATTCCTAGCCTTTTCGCCCACCCCTACAGAGTCCTTGGCCTCCGACCAGTGACTTCCACCGACCAAGGAATTAGAAATATATATAAGAAGCAAGATTTGAAATGGCATCTGGACAAGAGCAGTGCGGAGACAGAAGAAATATCCAAGTAAGTCTGCTATCTTCATCGACGCTTTTCTACGTCGACATCAAACACATCTCCATAAAACACGTTCTAATTGCCAATCAGATAAACACTGCCAACGAGATCCTTACTGAACTTCATAGGCGCATGATCTACGACGCCACTTGGTGCAGTCACGGAGGGGAGAAAGAACCGCCGTTTACAGCATATCGAGAACCACCAGACTGAGATTCGTAAGATTTCTTAAACGTCCCAGGCAAAAGAAACAACGCAACTCATAGAGGTAACTGCTGTTGCAGCCGTTATTACCTTGGCAAGGATAGTGTTTTGGATTCCCGAACCTCTTCCATTCAGTATGGAGTGCTGCGGAAGTACGAATTAAGGAACGTTCCAGGGATAAAGAACGACGACGACGAACAGGCAGAAGGGTACGCCCGCCCGATAGAAGCAGCACGGGTGGAAGCTCACGTATCTCTACCCCTATCTGCTTGTTGGTCTAGGATTGACAGATACCATGCTTCAGCCGCGCTAAAGTGAGGCTATGGCTATAGATGTCGTGGAGGAAGGCTTTTCCCCATCTAGATGAATCGGGGAGAATACGACACTACTAGGATTCCTTAAACCATGGCTAGACAGGACTGGTGATCAGGAAGGCGTATGCCACAATATTGATCTGACGCTACAACTGAGATATCCGAACCTATGAAAACAGTTCAAGAGCTGCACCAAGTGCGCCTAGAGTCCAGAGTCAGACCTGGAAGGATGAGATGAATGGGAGTACAGAATTTAAGAAGTGAAATTTTGGGGTAATTATATTATACGGCAATTATAACAGTGTCGACGCCACTAGGGGAAAGGACTATAAGTGCGCAAAAAACATAGGCTATTACAGGTATTGTATGCATGGCAATGAATGGATATTGACTTGAGACTCCTTCAGAATTGTAGACTGCAAAGTACGAGAAAAAACACTCTATTGACAGACCCTCAGGACGTACGGTCACGTACCTAGCGAATAACATTGTGCATGAGCTTTGCGACTGATACCTTTGCATTCTAGACTATTCTTACACTATTCCATGATATCCTCTCATCCAAATCGTCAGGTGTGCCATCATAGTTTCCTCTCTAGTTCGACTCATAAACTTATCATCAAGCACTCCCGTCCCCAATCATGAAATACAGCGTCGGTTCATTCATTCGTAAATGGTGCGCCACTTCCCAATTCATCTTTACACAAGAACATTGGAAGCTCAAACCTTGCTCTCCGTCTTCGCACCCTCCACGGCTTTATCATCCTTCGAGAAGTTCAAACTGACACTGTTCACACAATGCCTCTCATCCGTTGGGGTATTATGTCCCTCCCCCTTGAACACATGTCCAAGATGGCCACCACAATTCGAGCACACAATCTCAGTCCTCTCCATCCCAAACGTGCGATCAGTATGACGGGTCACAGCACCTGGAATACTGTCGAAATAGGCGGGCCATCCACAACCGGACTTGAACTTGTGCTTCGCTGTGTAGAGAGGCTTTTCGCAGCCGGCGCAGGTGTACACGCCTTCTTCAGGCATGTGCTTGTCATATTTGCCGGTGAAAGGAGCTTCTGTTCCCTTTTCTCTTAGAATACGGAACTGCTCTATAGAAATGATATGTTAGCAGGGACTGTGTAAGCATGGGTGGCGGGGTATGGTACCTTTGTTCAGCACAGCTTGCCACTCATCATTGCTCTTCTCAAGCGGATAAGACATCTTGTCGGAACTGCTGGAGCTGAAGAAACTGGATAGGAAGGGTATGGTTGGCATTGACTTGAGAACGGTAGCCCTGGAGAATGGATGTAGAGCTTTGTAAGATGTTTGTGCTGAAACGCGGGCGCTGTAGTTGCTTAATGTGTAGAAAGTCCTGACGATGGTAGGGAATCTTGGGATGCGCATATGGAAGACTTTATAGAAGACTTTATAGGAGAGAGCACAGGGAGCAGTAGGTAGAGAGAAGTACCTAGGAAGAAGTTTGGAATCTTACAAAAGTCGTTCAGCTTCCTGAAGAAGTATTTGAAATAATGATTCCAGTACTCTTTTGTCCGCGCCCCGCCTCCGCCTCGACCGACGTCACTATTCGCCGACCAAATTCCCCACCACACACCCACTTCCCTGATAGCGCCACCTCATCCCAAACACACATTGATGTGGAAACAGATGCCAACGCCTACGCCCACCGCCCTTCATACAACAGGACGGCAGGCGGGCAGTCACTTCTCGCAGATCTCGATACCGCGTTTGTGAACCTCCCCGTACTCGTAGCTTCATATTGATTACATATTCCAAAGCCCACCATGAATTCACGAAGAGCGCCAGATCCCGCCGCCCAACGTGCTGCCCAGAACACGCAAACTATTAAGAGTCTATTGAAGCTCGAGGGCAACAAGACGTGTGCTGATTGCAAAAGAAATAAGCGTAAGGTTGGATCTAACCTGTATATCCGTTTCTAGCTGACCGTCCCAAATAGACCCAAGATGGGCAAGCTGGAACCTAGGCATATTTGTCTGTATAAGATGTTCTGGTATACACCGAGGCATGGGGACACACATCAGCAGAGTCAAGTCTGTGGATCTCGACTCGTGGACCGATGAGCAACTGCAGAGCGTGTTAAAATGGGGCAATTCGAGGGCAAACAAGTATTGGGAGGCAAAGCTAGCACCTGGACATGTGCCCTCCGACTCGAAGATCGAGAACTTTATCAGGACGAAGTACGAGTCCAAGAGATGGGTTATGGATGGGGAAATTCCAGATCCAGCAACACTGGATGCCGATGGAGACGACGATGTGCCCTTGAGCCTGGTAAAAGAGAAACATGCTATCGACCGCTCAACATCGCAAAAGGGTCAATCAAGTCAGCCAGGCGGCTCCTCACAGATTAGGCGGGCGCCTCAGCAAGATCTTTTTGGAGATGGTATTGGGCCTCCTCCAAGAGCAACTTCTGCTACGGCAATACCTTCTAGACCTCCACCAAAGGCTGATCCTGCGCCGCCAAAGCAGACGAAGCCCGCGGACTCGCTGCTCGGATTAGACTTTTTTGGTACCGAAGCGCCTCCTCCCAATCGACCAATGAGTGCAGCATCGACACCGGGCGCTCAGTCACGGCCAGATCTCAAGCAATCTATCCTATCTCTTTACGCCTCCGCTCCTCGACCACAAACCCAGCAACAACCGTCTCATGCAGCTTCAGGGTCATTTGGTGGTATGCAGTCGGCTCCCCCGATACAGCAACATAATACATATGGTGGAATGAACGATGCTTTCAGTGGTCTGAGCTTCAACAGCTCTACTTCCCCAGTATCCCAACAGTCACAGTTTCAGTCCCAGTCCAAACCCAATGCATTCTCGGGCTTAGGCAACATTTCGAGCCACCAGAAGACACCTTCTCAGGTTTCACCGCCACCCTTAAGTGGAGGCGGCTTCTTCGATACCAAACCAGCCCAAATACCCGCAGCTCAACCCCCACAGCATTCTCGAGGATTCGGTTCTTCCAGTGGCTTTGGTGCTTTTGATTCGGCTCCAAACATGTCTCCAGCAATTTCATCTAATCCTCCACCTGCGAGCTCGGCTATGGATGATCTCTTCGACTTTTCTACTCCAGCAGCTCCATCGGCCGCTCCTCCAAAGCAAACTATTGCCTCACCAATTGCAACACATTCATCCGTCTTCAACCTCTCACAACCAGCACCAAAACCTCAACCTGTAGCGCCAGCAGCAGCAATGAGCGGTTGGGGTAATAGCGATGATTGGGGATCGAGCAATGCCTGGGATGCAAAGGCCAGTCCAGTTATGAGTAAACCGGCCCCTCCGCAAGCTAGCTCAGGTGACTTTGGCTGGGGATCTAGTGGAACTGCATTGGCAAATCAGAGCATTGTACCAGGGGGTGGAGGAGGCTTTAGCACAGCAAGTGCTGCACCACCAAAGGTTACTGTAGACGATGAATTTGGTGGATGGAGTAGTGCTGCACCAGTTACTGCTGCAGCTGGAACACAGCCAAAGCCTGCCACTGGGTTCTCTGGGGCTGGCGGCGAGGATTTGTTTTCGAACGTTTGGGAATGAGGGATGGGCTGGAATTGATGAATTTAAATGAACAAGCGTTTGGCAAGCAGCCATATTGCAAAACAAAAAAACAGATATAGAAATCAAAGAATATCAGCAGCACGAATACCAGGTTGTTACCATCACACATGAATACACGTGCCCCTTCTTCAATCTCAACGGCCCACGGGCTTGTATACATATGGCATTACCTGGGGTGGGGGGGTTCATAAGTTCTTAGCTCACTCATCTGGGAAAGGCAATAGCAGCAGGTATGTAGTCAAGGCCAGAGATCATAATCGTGACCACACCTTTGAAAATCAATTCGGCATCCCATCCATAACGCCTATGCTATGCTTGTAGTATGTCTTTTGTACAATGAAGTACACGATCGTTCCATTATACATCCGTCGTCTTTCGGCCTCCCTGAGCCCATCCTCCTGGCTCAAACAAAAAGCCCCCATATAAACCAGAGCAGTACCACGGTACCTACAATCATCCCGGCGAGTTTGAATATGGCCACTTTGTTCCCGCTTGCTGCCATTCGGCCAAGTCGTCCCGCGGACCCTTTTAGAGAGGTGCTCATAGAGGAGAAGGTATCGGACTGTGAACAGAATTAGCACTTATCCACACAAGTCGACCTTTCATTGCCATCTTCTCGGTTCCTAATCCACCTTGGAGACCCAAAAAGGGGTAAGACGAGTTTGACACCACCACCGATAAGGTAGAACTTGGCAGAGGACCAAACGCATACCGTATTATCAATAACATCCTGCGACCTCGCATTATCATATATATCAACCGTCACCCCCCTCAGCGCTGTCACTTTGGCCGAGAGTTCTGATAGCCGGGAGTTATTTTGGCGCTCGCGCTCGTAGGCGTCTGACATCTTGCGTATACTCTCCGGTGACTAGTGACTTCTTTGCGTATGTATGTGCTCTTGGCAGCAGTTGCGCCCTTTGGAATAGAACTTTTCTTGGTGAGGAAAGGAGAGAGTGTGGTGGATTCTGCGGATGTTTCGAGGTGTCTTTGTCCGCGCAGAGGCGCCCGAGCGTTTGCTGGCTTTCTCCTTGTTTTGAATTGCGGGGTTGTAGTATTAACCTTAAAACGTAGAGATGAGGAGGCAAAATATCACTGTCGTCATAAGTAGTTACTCTTAAAATCGCATCAGGAGAATACTGGTGAAGTCCGCGTGGTTTATAGAGGCTGAGCCACACTAGCCTTCGATTGTGGCTGATGAGCCATCGACATCATGAAATGCAGTACTCCGTAGTAAGCCATCTCCTAACACAGGCACCGATTTGCTCGTCCACAAGCCCTCCAAGACTTTTAGAACAGCTACATACATATCTTGCGCGGAGAGGACCACGTTTGCATATAACAATATAATACGTTTGGATATCTTCAGACCTCTCGGAAGACTTGAGATCTTGGAAACAGCTTTCTCAAGCTACTCGCATACCCCACTACACAACTCTCGGCGCAAAGTCACCACAGACTTCCAACACTCTTCTCCAACTTATCTGAGGATCAGAATTGAACATGGGGATCCATAACCCTCTTCCGTCGTCTATGGCGTGTAAGTGCTCTTGCTCGAGGAGCTCCTAACAATCTGAATAGCTGACTGATCCCCCACAAACAGCGGAGTGCAAGAAATGTGGAAAGATTCTAGCATCCTTTGTTGATCCACGACAAGCATTCGGACCAGATAAGATCATTCCTCCTCAAATCCTCGCAAACGCAAAAGTATATGGACTCCTTATTTCTTCGTCTCCCTCCACAATATCCTGCCCACGGAGATAACAGGCAACTAACCGGAAGTACAGGGACTCGCAATCCTGACCGTAATCAAGGCAGGCTTCCTCGGCTCAGCACGATACGGTAACGGTATTGTTGTCGCACGCCTTGCAGACGGTAGCTGGAGCGCTCCCTCAGCCATCGGTACTGGTGGCGCGGGTTTCGGTGGACAAATCGGTTTCGAGCTCACGGACTTCGTCTTTATCCTCAACGACGCCGCGGCCGTCCGGACATTCTCGCAACAAGGATCCCTTACACTAGGTGGAAATGTGTCCATTGCTGCTGGGCCTGTAGGACGCAATGCTGAGGCGGCTGGAGCAGCGAGTTTAAAGGGCGTAGCTGGTATTTTCAGTTATTCGAAGACTAAAGGCCTGTTTGCCGGAGTCAGTTTGGAGGGCAGTGCGATTATCGAGAGGAGGGATGCGAATGAGAAGCTTTATGGGCAGCGCTATACTGCGAATCAGCTCTTGGAGGGTGCGGTGCGACCTCCACCTGCAGCTCAGCCACTTATGGCTATTCTAAATTCAAGGGTCTTTGCGGGTATTCCAGGAAACGATGCAGGGGTTTACAACGATGTTCCAGTTTATGATGAGAGACACGATGATGTGGTCTGGGAGGGACGGCGGGGGAGTGCGATGGGAGAAGGTGTAAGGAGAGATCGTACGGGAAGCGCGGGAAATGATGACTATACCTTCAGCGACAAGCCAAAACGCGCAAATACCTGGGCAGACGATATTTATGACCGTCCAGCAGGCGGTCCCTCGAGGTCCAGCACTTTCAATACGAACCGTGCACGATCAGGAAGCGGGTTCGATGATGACTATACCTACTCCGACTCTCCTCGCAGTCCAGCAGGCAGCGGCAAAATAGGACCAGGAAGACCAGCGGCACCAAAACCATTGTTCCAAAGCAAAACTGGTGCTCTGAGGACTAACGAGGCCGTTGCGCTTTTCACGTTCGATGCAGACCAGCCAGGTGACCTGGGATTTAAGAAAGGGGATATTGTTACCGTCACCAAGAAGACCGAAAGCAGCAATGACTGGTGGTAGGTTTTGTCCATGGCTTTTGAAACTCTATCTAACTCTAAACAGGACTGGCTCAATTGGTGGTCGATCAGGCATCTTCCCTAGCAATTACGTCCAGATGAAGTAGACAGTTTCTATCTACCTCTATCCACTTTGCCAGACAAACTTCATATCAGAGCACACTTACGTACATTTTCCTTTCTCATCAATCATTATAAACGAGTACAGCAGTGTCACGTTAACATTTCTATTTCCGGGAGAGCAGATGGAGATAAAACACAGGCTTGGTGTAGCATATAGGGAGAGGAGTTTGGGGTTGGGAATTACTGGATCAAGCCTTCCTTCTTATTATTTCGGTTCGTTAGTTAGCGGGTTGGGATTAGTAGCTTTATGAATAAAAGCAGAGATATTATCCAGCTGGAGAATGTTTTTTGTTTTTTGTTTTTTGGTTCTAAATTGGAGAAGTACCGAGTTGGGAACTCGACGTCCATCACTCTTACGGAACATGTTTACCCTCTTTTACCCCGACGAATCTACATGTCCTTCACAATGCCACGGTTGTCCCTTTTCACATATCTCAATCAAGTTCTACCACTTAGTAAGAAAGATGCGTATCTCAATAGTGATGATGTGGCCGTCCCCACCGGATAGCACATGGTATAAGCTGCCTTTAATATCAGACTCTTATTCATTCTTTCTGATATAATCTTATAAGGCTCCCAGTTTTACTCTACCATTTCTGATACTCATTGCGGATCTGCCCATTATCTGGGCTACCATTATATTCTAATCCTTGACAGACATAACTTGCACACAAATAAAATCAAGTGCGCAATTTGATAATGTTGACTTGGATTTGGATGATGTTTCATGAGAAATTGGGCCAGAGTTCTTGGGAAAGGGGTACAGTACATGCCGGGTATCGAGTTGCATGACGAGCAGTTGCTATTTACCAAGTCGTTGCATATATGCGTGGCCGTTCTTTCACTGAGTATATTATCAATGATGCTTTATCGAAACGAGCTATTTGTATAGGTGAGGATGTTAAAAGGAGGAGCTGGAGGAAACTGTTGAAATGTAAAATAAGATATCAAGTTCAAGATAACCGAATAGATTCCACGTAACAAACGTCTGGATACTAGTGCAAAAAAGGCGTTTCATGACAAATTACTTACTTGAACTAGACATCTATCTCATAGGAAGATCCTCAAACTATGACAAACGGAAAGAGAGCCCAAAACATCACTCATCTCAACACTAGTTGTCCTTCATACATCCATCACGAAAACAAGCCCGCCAAACCCAAACGCTTCTCTTCAATATTTCTCCTCCGTAACGCGTTCCTTCTCCGGCGCCTAGTCCGCAATAAGGCCAACTCAGCCTGCGGTGCATATCTAGGAGGGGGCATAGTTGTTGGCTCCGCTGGTGGTGGCTGTCTATTGGGGCCATTATACCTCCGCATCCACTCCCGTCCCATCATACCCCAACCCCTCTCGATTCTATGCTCCAGTGAAGGCGGGATGTCCCTAAGCACATTGACAATCAGAGGGTTGGGATCAAAAGGCAGTAATCACGTTGGAGGTATCTCAAGGGGCGTCCAGTCGATATGGTCAGCTTGTTCCAGCATACATGCGGTATGCATGTATTCGCGCACCCAGTAGCTGCCTCGGCTGCTGCTGTTGACTTCTCTGAGACTGGTCGGTTGCTCGGGAACGTCGTATAGCAATCTTGCTGTTCTATTGCCTCTGTTTTGGTATTGATAGAGCCCGGCATCTTCATAGCCAAAAGCGTTGTGCTGCCATTCGGGAGCAATCGCAGGGTCTTCGGGGTCAAGGCCTAGGTTTTGAAAGTTCAATGCCGGGGCGTGCTTGCATGTGGGACGGGTAAAGAGATACTTTCCCGGGGCGTCCCAGTACTTGAAGATGCACTTCAGGTGGAAGACGTGTTCGATTTTGCAAGTAAGTTGGACCGCAGTACTGTCCATGGTATCCCCTCCGGCATATTGTTGGTGACAAATACCGCAGGCTAGGAACTGCGAAACTCGAGCCCACTTATCTGTGTAGTCAATAGGTGTAATTCCAAATAGCTTCTCACCGAGGTTTTTTGTACCCTGTCGGCCCTTGATGTAGTGGATTGTCCCCTTCAGGATTATTGCTTTTCATCGCTTTATGCCATTCTTTGATGGCCACCTTCATCCACCTATTCCCAGTTGTTGTCGAATCATAAAGTTGGTACATTTTGTCCCTATCGCAACAATCAGCATTGAGACATGAAATTCAAATGCACAGCAGATGCAATACTCACCATGGTCGAAACCCAGGTTGCCAGTCCCTGAATAGCCTATAATTGCGACGTTGACGGTTAACAAGCGCGATATCGCCAAGTACTGCATAAACGTAATCCCAAGAGGTTTCGAACTCGTTGAAGTAATATGAGCCCTCTGTGCGCACATTGACCGCACCGATATAGGTTGCCTCGTTGTTCATTAAAACTTTCTTATTGATAAGTTTGTCATCTATGTGCTCTGTGGTGAGCGCCTTTTCAAAGCTTTCCTCCTTCGCGAGTAGATCCACTACTAGGCGAGTAAGAGACTTCTCCCGTTCAAGACTTCCTCATATGTCTAACTCGTATTAGTGAAAGTTCGGAGTAGAGGGAGTTACGTGATGCGGTATCGAAGAGGTGATATCGGAGAAAGTCGTGGCCTACAGTGATCATTTTGTCTAAGATTCTGGTGTCATTCAAATTTTGGGCGAGAACTTGGTCTTCCCTAGGTGGTGGTCTTGACGACGAAGTAGAGGTTGCGCCAAATTTCTCTGCTAGGGAGGGTCTTGGTGTAAAAGCGACCTTTGCCATCTTATCTAAGATTACTATCAAACTGTTTCTGACGCCGATCACCCATTTGAACATGTCGCTAGCTGGATCATCTTCATCGAGCATATAATAGTCTCAATTGTGTGACCCGTGGGCTGAATATTGGTCTGCCTTGATCCTGTTAACCTCGTCTTCCAAAAATACGCACCCAAGAATATAAAAGTTAGCTAGGTCTGTGAGATTTTTATGATCTTGTAGTATGCGATTGCCTGTCCGTTGCTTATACTGCCAAAGGCCTTTTTTATGAAGCATGCGGATCCAGAGTCGCTGTAACTTGCGTTCATAGATAAGATCTTTCGAAAATTTTGGGTTAATGTGAGGGCTCCAAAGATCGAGTCCATCTGGACGAGGATATGCCAGCAATGGGTCTTGTCTCTTGTCCAGGAAACGGTCCACTAGTTTCAGGGCATTGCCAGCATTGTAAATGGAAAGAATCTCTTGGAACTTCTCTCCTGCTAGTCGTTCTGGTGCTATTTGCTGCGCGGCTGCAAGCAGCTTGTTCACCCGATCCGTGGCCATCATAATGGTGCCTGGATGCCGATGCATCGGCGGCTTGTGATGGATTCGTCGATCTTCTTTCCTCCCCTGTAAAGCATGGTAAATTAGCTTTCAAGTTTCGTAAATAGGAAGCTGCGGGGCGCATGACAATGGTAGACATTTAGTCTCGAAATTGGCCGGGACGGGAATTAGATGAAGTTTGTGTTCTTACACGGCGGAGATCAGCGTAGTGCTCAAGCTGTCCTTGAAGATAGTCCATAGACTGTGCAGGAAGTGTTCTGTTAACTTCTGATGCGTAGGACATTATATCTTCAAAAGCCTGCTCAAACGTATGCTCGCGCCCGGTAGCCATTGTGGTGAATGTTATCCCTAGACAACCGTTTTTGCAGATACAGTAGTACTTGATAGTTATAAAATTGAAGATTATGCGTGTTCGTTTTGATAATCGATGTCTCTATCACTGGACGACGAAAAGAAAGACAAGCAAATTTGGGAGTACGACAAAGACATCGAATCTCCCATTAATAAAATACGCCGCATTCATTCACCAGATCCCACTGGAGATTTGGATAATTATGGACTGCCTTTAGCCTCTTTGTTGTTACAACCATTGCATTCGGACTTGGCCTTTCTTGAAGGTCCAGCCTACGCCTCAACGACAGTATTCAGCTCTCTTCAAGGTCTGTTAAGCAGGAGAAGTTGGTAATAAACATCTCGAAATCCGCAGAAGACCGATGCGCCTCCTTTATACAACTTCGAGGGGTGCGACGCGAAGTAAAATCTCATACGTGATTCGAACTTAGACGCGCAACCTTGCGCTTCATAGTGCACCGCTAGCAACTTTGCTCTGGTACGAAATGTTTCAAGGCTAGAACAGACTTCCAACATTTAAGCCGTGTAAGAAATTGACACTGGTACGATCGTTCGTGTTCGTTCCAGTGAGCTGTTGATGAACACCGGAACTCTGGGAGGTTGGATGTATTTAATGTTTAATCAATATATCTCACCCAAAAAGGTTTAACACTACGAAGCGTAGAATTATTTGAGTGGAAGGAGAAGGATTCTAGAACAAAAGAAGGTTAGAACGAAAGGTATCAACGCCACATCCAATTGTTAATTGCAAAAGCAGTGATGTTCAGATAGAACGAACGTGCTCTGCGTGTGCTGGCTTCAACACATGGTACAGTAGCTGCATATGTTTTGCGTATACTACTCAACAGTCTGCACGATCGATGCTGCCGCACTCCTGCAAGTCCTTGGATGTTTCTCACCGCTATCCCCTCCGTGGTTCGGAGTGTGGTGTGGTTTGGTGTGGTTTGGTGTGGTTTGGTGTGGTTTGGCGTGGTGTGCTCGAAAGTGAGGAGGAAGGAGGGAGGAAGGAAGGAAAGCTATCCATCTCAACACCGACAAGAATTGAAAAAGGAGGCCCATATATTCGTCTTATCCCCACACATATTCGTCTGCTGCCTGTCCCGCATAGCACAGCATAGCGGTGCGGTATAAACATAGAAATCGACAAGGACAAGCTTGACACTACGGAGTAGGTAACCGAAGAGGCGCTCATATACTTCGTACCTAGGCCTAGGTATACCTTACTGTACCGGCCCGGGCCTTGTCAGCGCCGGTACAGTAGGGCGTGGCGTATTGCTGTCTCATCTCCATTTACGACAGACAAGCTGAACGTCTATTCTCCATTTCCATTTCCATTTCCATTTCCATTTGCATCTCCATTTGCATCTCCATCCGTCTCCATCCTGGCTGCAAAGCTTTCCCTTTACCATTAGCAATAGACTCAGGTACCTACAGTACAGTACCATACCTCGCCCCACGCCTGGCCTGGACGTATCCCGTGGAGGCTCACACCGCCTCACCTCTTGGACGTCGTCTCATCTGCGGCATCTGCAGCCTTTGCAGCCTCTGCAGCCACCAATGCAACACCCCCCACGGGCTTTTATGCTCTTGCCCTATTGATACAATTCGAATCGACCATTACTCTATAATCGCTCTGTACTCCGCTGCGTAATCCTGGTGCCGGCCCCTAAATAGCGCTCTCATTACTGTACAGTAGTGGCCCATATGATCCGCACGGGTGCCACACAGGCCCACACAGGCCCACACAGGCCCACACTTGCAGAAGCTACCCTGAGCTCGGGGGGCTACTAGTCCCTGCGTCCCTTCCTTATCTTAGACTGGTCTGCAAGAAATTGTTGACTGATTCTTTTCACTCTTCCTCCTACCTACAGTACGTATACTGCAATCAATCTTCAACTTCGAGCCCTCTTGTCCTGCCCTGCCCCAAACCCCCCTTCGCCAGATCTTCTTGAGCAGTGTTCATTTATTAGACTTTTCTTGTACGGTATTCATTAGAATTTAGACTTTGTGCTTGTCTTGTTTCCTTTGGAGATTATTAAGAGAGAGACAGACAGGAAGACCAAGAGCTGGGATTCCTTCTGCTTCATAGACCGCACTTGCAGCAATTCCCACCTTAAAAATATCATCCGCAAAACGTGCCCGGCAGTATTTGCAGGTTCGTCATCCATGTTTCTTGGAAACTTTAGAGGATACTTTCTAACGCGTAACAGCCAGATTCACCCATACCATACCATACCATACCAGTCCGACGCTCTATCCGTAAAGGAATAGCTGTAATAGTCGGCAGTCCTCTTCTCTTCCTAATCGAGCCTCAAAAGAAAAGCGGTCGCTACACATACCTTTCGAACAGTGCACTTGCCATATCCATCTGGCAAGCCCTTCCCTTTTTTGCATTTCGTTGGCACACGTCAACTCGCAAACCCATACACTCTACAATTCCCTAAATTCGAGCCAACAGCCCCTTCACACAATTCTCGCAAGCAGTCTCTACAAAAATAGCCCTTTCCGCAAATATGTTTGCCCGCAGTGCACTCCGCGTTGCTCGCGTCGCTGCCACCCCTTCAGTTCCCAAGGTCTCTCGTGCCGCTTTCTCTGCTGCTACGAAGCTGAGAAATGCCGAGTTTGTCGGCGAGAAGAAGGTTCCAGTTGTCACCTACACTCATGGTGAGGCTCAACGATCGACTTTCATCGTCGACCAGGATCAGGCCAAGTCCGACCCAGACGCTGTCATTCCTTTGAGCCAGGAGGTCTATAATGCCATGACTCCCAGCCTTCAGAAAATGACCATTATGGGCAAAACGGTTATTGTCACTGGGTACGTTTTAGATCCAATCTAATTCAATTCAACTGCCCGATTCTTATGAACATTTACTAATTTTGCATTCGCAGTGCCGCTCGTGGTCTCGGTAACATGATGGCTCGGGCTTGCATTGAGGCAGGTGCTAAGAACATGATCATCTTCGATGCCAATCCAGAGCTCGGTGTTGCCTCTGCGGCTGAACTTCACAAGGCTACTGGCTCCACGATTCCGGTTGAATTCTTCCCAATTGATGTCCGTGATGCCGTTGCTATTGAGCAGGCTGTCGCTGCCATCACTGAGAAGTATGGAGCTCCTGATATCTTGATCAACAGTGCTGGTATTGCCGAGTAAGTCACTGTCTTTTTTGTTGTATTTGATCTTTACCCCCAATATATCAGGCTACTGCTCCTCGGAGATGGTGAATCTGTACGTGCCAATTTCTGACCATCAACTGACGCTATACAGCTCCAACATTCCGGCTGAGAAGTACGACCACGAGATGTGGCGCCGTCTTATTGACATCAACCTGAACGGTTCATTCTTCATGTCCCAATCCGTTGGCAAGGCTATGATGGCTGCCAACAAGCCCGGATCCATCGTCTTGGTCGCCTCCATGTCCGGCTCCATTGTCAACTACCCACAAGAGCAGTCATGCTACAATGCATCAAAAGCTGGTGTTATCCAGTTTGGAAAGTCTCTTGCGGCAGAATGGGCTAAATACAACATCAGAGTCAACTGTATCTCTCCAGGTATGTCAACACAAACTTCGGATAATGTATAGCTACTAACAACGTCTTAGGATACATGGACACTGCGCTCAACAACGTCCCAAAGCTCGACGGACAGAAGAAGATCTGGAAGTCCCTGACTCCACAAGGCCGTCTCGGTGCGGTTACAGACCTCAACGGACTCGCCGTCTTCCTCTCCTCGGACGCTTCCGCCTACATGACGGGCGCTAACGTTGCGATTGACGGAGGCTATACCCTTTACTAATCGTTATTGAGGAGCCTGTCGCCGGGTCAAAGGCAGACAGAAGATTTGGTTTCTCGCATACTTGGGATTGTATCTCTAAGTGGAGTTCTTGTTCTCTGGCTGGTTTTGGGCTGGTTATATACTCTTTGGGGTCTGGTTGTTCATAGAGTACAAAAAGTACGCAGAGTGGCGTTAAATAGAATGGCTGGTGATCTACGAATCGTGCCCAATGGATTGTTGTTTGTGCTTTGCATTGCCCAACTTTGACTTGGACGTTATGTTGCTGTTCTCTGGTCTGTGACCTAATCTTCCAATCTTGTACATAGAAGCGCAAGAATCACAGGTATCTGAAAACATTATACCACCTATATGCGACCATCGTGATTAAGACAAGGGTGCTCTAAAACCAAGTCCCTGTTCTTCCAATACTCTTCATCTTTCCGTCTCCCAAATCAGCCTCATCTCGGTACATCCTATCTCGAACCTTAACCGTCTAGCCAGCATTTCTTAACCCGTCTTCATTCATAATGGTTCGACTTTCTATCCACGCTGACAATGACCAGAGCAACATCGCTTTCCTTCGACTGTGGGGATTTCGATAAACAGACAGTTTATAACACAGTCATGATTTAAACAAGTATAAGAAATCTCGGAGACGTCAGTCACGTCGAAAGCTTGGCCTTGGAAGGCTGACATGGCAGGACATGACAGGACAGTCGACCGAGAGATGACGAAGAAAGGCGAAGCGAAGCGAGTCCAAGATCTTACCTATATAGCATACCTAGTGTAAAAGTGTTTGCAGGTAGGTTGTTTATGCTTGCTCTATTCATCCAGCTACCATACCGTAGGGCTCCCTCCCTCGCATGGGAATCATCATACAAATCCATCCGATCCCATCCATCCATCCATCCATTCCTCGTCATCATTTCTGTGTATGTATGCACAAGGTATCCATCCCATCCATCAGTCCATCCAGAAAGGGTTCATTGTTCCAAGAAACCAAGAGGACAAAAGATGATGTCCAAAACACAAGGCATTTTACTGCTGAATGCCTGTCGCTCATCATGATATATCCATCCAGTCATTTCATTTAATTCCATGATCCATCACACATATCAGTCAAGAAAGCCTACTTCTCGAAAAAAAAAAAAAAGGAAAGAAAAAAAGCCAAAGAAAGGAAGAAGAAAAATTTCCACCATCTAGCATTCATCTCGCGATTCGTACGAGTAAATCCTGACCCATGAATCATATTTTCATTTCTGCGGAAGGGATATTTTGGACATGAACGTTAAAAACCCACGCTAAATCCAGCCAGCGTATTGTGCGTGCATTTTTGCAAACGGGTTTGAGAGAGCTTGCTTGTATAATTGATATGCCAATCAATGCCTCAAACGCCTGCCCGAACGCCGATGCTTGCTTATTTATTTGCTGAAATGAGACGGCATGTGATCATCGGAGTGCTTTTTTGTGAATCTTGCCACCTAAAAGGTGTTATGTATGAGAGAGATGGAAAGACGTTCGCTCTGTAAAATTTCATACAAGGCGTTGAAGGGGGGTATCTTATGAAGCGGCTTTCTGAGCCTTCTCTTGTGCGCGTGCGGTTCTCGCCGAGCGGACGAGGGGTGCTAGTTGGATCAAGTCTGTGCATTGTTGCATGAAATTGTGCTTTGAAAGATTAGTGAAATGTAGGTCAACTCTAATGCGAAGAAACTCACTCGTAAAAGATCATGGGCGCTTGCTCTCTTCTCTGGATCAACCTTTAATGCGAACTGCAGGAAGTCTCTGAAAACCGGAGTGAGCGTATGCTCGTCCTTGATTGTTGGTGTACCATTCGTAGCAATCAGATAGAGAGCTCGGAGTGGCGACTCTGTGAGGTATGGTGGTTCGCCTTCTATCATCTCGATGGCCATGATGCCCAGCGACCAGATATCAACCTTCCGTCCATACTCTTTCCGGGTCACGACTTCTGGTGCCATCCAGTATGGTGTGCCAACCATGGTAGTCCGCTTGTTTTGAGCTTCATTGATTTGTGCACAGAAGCCAAAATCAGCTGCGACCAATGTCAGCACGTCTCTGTAAAATATAAAGATACCAACTTACTCAGCTTAATATTTCCATCCAAAGAAAGGAGGATATTATCCGACTTGATATCACGATGGATTACACCCTTGGAGTGCAGATGTTGCAAGCCTTTCAAAGTCTCTCGGCAAACAGAAGCAATTTGGCCTTCAGACATGATGTTGAAAGTTACAACATCAGTCAAGCTTCCTCCCTCCATGTATTCCATAATAACCCACAGTTCTCCAGTTACCAAATAACTGTCAATGAAGTTGACAATATTCGGGTGAGAACTGTCTTTCATAACGAGAATCTCATTAATGATTAGGTCCTTCTTCGGCTGCTGCTCCAGGTTCATCTGTTTGATAGCGACCAAACGGTTTGTCCCTCTCTCGTAGCCAGTGAACACACCTCCCGAGGCACCTTGGCCAATCTTTGTCAGATCATTGTAGATTTCTCTAGGATCTCCTTCGGTACAGATTTGATTCAGGCGAGCCACAATATCGAATCCAGTGCTCTGGCGAGGCCGTTGCCTTGGACGAGGGCCAGGAACAGCTCTTGCTTGTTGACTAGGATGTGGAATGCCATTGAGATCAGGACGTGGAAGTTGACCTTGTATACTTGGCGGAGTAGCTTGGGGTACGCGTTTGCTTGGAGCACGTCCTAGCTGTGGCTGCTGCGCTTGCTGGTGTCCTCCTTGCTGCCGCGGTTGCTCTACCACCTGGTGTTGATATGCAGCTTGTGGAGAATTAACTTGATTTGGGGATGCATATGGAGATGTACCGTTTGCTCGTGAATTAGAACGTGACCTGTGTTCTTCCGGAAGCATAGGCGATGCATCTGACTGGGGTGGAATATAAGCTAATGCTGGCAGATCTTCACTTTGGCGAGGCATCGATATTCCAGAATCTTTGCCCATCATAGGTGGTGGAGGTGCAACTCTCGTAGGGCCATGGAGTGAGACTGGTGGCCTCGGAGCTGGGCGATTTGGGACAAGACCGTTGGCATCTTTAGGTTGTAGGGCTAGTCCAGCGCCTTGGCTTTGACCCTGGTTTTGAAGTGTGCCGCGAGGTACAGGAGGAGGGGATCTTGGATTTTCAAAACTTGTCTCATGGTTCGCGGGAAACCGGGGGCTCGGAGGCGGACTTGTCATGGATCCATAGTTGGGGGTGTTGAGCATATTTGGTGACAGAGGGGTAGGTGTAGAAGGTCCTACTCGCATCTCTGGTACATTTGCATGGTCGAACTTGTCCCATACTTCATCTGGGCCTTTCTCGGTGTTCTCCTTGTAAAATCCTACGATATCGACAATAGTCTGCGGGTGTTGCTCCTGCTCCTTCTTGGTGATCCCACTATCGTTCAGCATTCGCTGCCATTCTTTCGGTAGTCCCTAGCCCAGTCAACAAAGTATCCCAAAAGGCAAGAACAAGTAAGAATACAACTCACAGTAAATTGACCGGTGTCCTGATCATAACCAACATGCGTCACATGCACGGGGTTCTCTGGCGCAGATATCTTTACTCCTGTCCGCGATCCAAGACCCATTTGGTTCATGAGACTTGAGAAGCCCGACTTCTTTCTGATCATGCCATTCTTGGGCTCCCTGGTCTCATCGGAATATCTCTTTGGGCTGATAAGGACGTTCTCCCCGACGCGGGGGCTGGTCTTCTCACTCATCGCAGAGAAACTCGCCGATTGTCGAAGAGCAGGACTCATTAGGGGGCCAGTGCTGTGGGAGAGGGGCGGAGGTGGAGGCCGTCGTGGTGCCTGATAGCTGGTTTGCTGGGAAGAAGAATCGATGCTGGTGATATGGTTCAAGATGCCAAAACCATCGAACGGCGCGCCAATCAACTCCTGTGATGTCTTTTGGCTGAGGGGACGCGACGCGGAACTGCGATTGCCAGTGTGGCGCGCAGAGTCGGACGGCCCCGCCAGAACTGGGGACGGATGGTTTGATATCTGATGCTCGAGAGAAGAGTTGGATGAGGCGTATGTGGTGGGATTGGGCGATGTTGTAGATCGATTGTGCCCATGCGATGGTTTGTAGGGTGCTGTGGGCGCGGACGGTGCTCTCGCGAGATTGTTGGAGGACCAGTTGGCGTAGTTTTCGGATGATGCAGAACCAGAACCAGATCCCGATCCAGTTCCTGGGGGCTTCTTGGTCAACCGGCGAGGTTTTATTTCGTCCATGATGACGGGCTTCCTTCGTTTGTTCAGGTAATGTGGTGGAAAGCACTTGCTGCGGTTTGAGAGGTGTGGAGCCAATCAGGTGGCGGTGGATGCAGGTAGGGCCGTTCGTGTAATAGGAGATGGCAGGAGCAGAGCAGGAGTAGGCGGCAGAAAGAGGGGTGGAGAGAGGGTGGGGAGTGAATTTGTTACTCTCTCTCTCTCTTTCTCTCTCTCTCCCCCTCCCTTTCTCCCTCTCTTTCACTCTAGCCGGTCCGGCGCTTCAGTATCGATTTGGATATCGCTACGGTATCAACATCAATCAAACTCAACTACAGTAGTATGTCGCTGGATCAATTAATTATATCTATACGAGAACTTCCTTCCTTCGTAGCCCAAGCAAGCAAGCAAAAGAGACACCAGCCATACGCGTAGACATTTTCCAGCTCAGCAAGAATTAATGGAGCTGGTGGAGCAAAGATCCAGCAAGCAGGCATTTACCTGTTGTTTATCTTTCATTGGATTGGGCCTGGGCTAAAGTTTTTCATACCAACCGACCTTTGTTTCTTTGCTTTTTTTCTTCTCGTGCCAGTGAATCTAAGAGAAATAATTACACTTTTACAATACGAGACAGCAAGAGGCCGGTGCGCAATTGAAACACCTTCGAGTCGGGCTCGAGTATCAAGATAATTAACTGTACACTTCGAGCCAAGCCCGCGCGCTACACCCTTCCACAACCACAGCATTTGTATTCCGTACGGTACTCTCCTTCACCAGACGCCCGCCTTCTGCATTCTCTGCAGGGCATCCTGCAGCAAGACCTTTAATCTTCTTTCCATCACCACTTTTGACTTCACTGTCTGGAAATGGCGCTCCAGCTTCCTAGTCCCGAGTTCTTGTTCCAAGATGATGTTTCTAGGAATCCGATCCTTGCTACCTAACTCGTAAGAATGGAGATGCCCTGGCCCGGAGACGTTCGACGACGTTCTACCCGTCTACCTCCAAAACACCAAGTCATCTCTGTCAAAACGAGCATCCTGTTCACCTTGCATCAATGCTGCCGAGCGACCTTTATGGAGTGTTCCACCTTCTGCTGTAAGATATGATATGTATGGCAATATCAATGTTCAAGGATCCCTAGAATAAATCGAGGTAATTTCTTCATCAGTACAGCTCAGCTTCCAGACAAATCATACGATATTAGTACGGTAGTATGCCTCTCAATTCTCGGAATAACCTCCTGGGATATTACAGCCGGCGCTGCGCCTTGGTCCTATCGTAATCCTGCATACCATCCTCGCAAGGCTTGTGAAGTTGTCAAACATGCAGCGTTCCCTTACGGGCCGGCGTCCAACGGCTTCAAGAGGCTCTCAGAGATCGGCTCACATAATATGCACTACGGTACCTACCTTAGGTAGTGTTAGCTGCACGCACATTGACGGAGATTTGGGTACAAGAAGGCCCATTCGGAATATGATATTGTGACTAGTGACTTGGAAGTTAGGTATCATGGATGGGAATTGCTATTGTGCAAAAGCAAGCCTAGTTTTCAACATCTACTTCCCATGGCTATTTCTAGGCTTGCTCTATCGGGTTCCTTTTGACCGCAAGAGTCTCTATTGGGTTTGGGAATAATAAAATGGCTGTTAATAGGTCATCACATGAAGATGTCGAGAGATTTTAGGACAAATCCTCAGTTCCAGAAGATTGGGGTAATATGCCATCTTTATTGCAACATGCGTATAATATGTTATACTGTTCCCACCCTTTTCTGGAAGGCGGTTGAGTACTCGAAGCATTCAGTAGATTTATTGGGACAGTACGGGCATGGCCAGGACTTAGTTTCAACCCACCAACATGTAATGAGTCTTTTGATATGAACTAAATTAAAGTAAACTAAACTCCAACTGTACATCTATATAAGCCGGTAGGTGCAAGTTTTAATAGGGGCGTAGATCACGTGAAGTTACCCTCGGAGCTCGGAAGGGCAAGTAAGAAGTTTATGTTCAGAACATCTAATAGCCCAAGGAACCAAACTATTTAAAGTCTTTATACTGTATATAGAAGTACTATGATAAATTATATCAATTTAGCCTTTATGACAAAAACATCTCCGACTTTCATGTCATAAGTAACTCATGCTAGGTACAAGTTAAGTCAAGTGTCCACCAGGTCCCACCAGTTAAATTGGCGAGTTGGAAAGCTCCAGCTACTTCCAGCTACCATTCGATTGCCAAAAGTTGCCGCTCCGCTGTACCACGAAATCAAGCCAACCCAACGTACACCTCCTTGTCTTCCTCCCTCTCCATCTCCAAACGGCTTTCTTGTTCTTGGATAATTTTATATTATTCGTAGCCCAACCCATCGTTCCTCATATTCTCTCTGCATTGCCCTTTATGAACTTCTCAAGGAATTGAGACCCTTCCCCCCCTTTTGCACTCGTGGCCTTTAAAACAGCCCTCTGGTTCCAGCACAATTGACTCTGACCCTTCCGAATACTGTGGTATTGAATACAGGTATATGAATCCGGGACCTTCCTTTAATTCATATTTGTGACTGACTGCTCAATTCACAGTGACTGCTTGTGCTCCTACTTCCAGACCTTGAGCATATAACTCCCCTTTTACTCCATCTCAACTCAACGTGACATCATGTCTTCCGCAGATGTCGCAACCCTCAATGGGTCTTCCAATTCCAATTCCGGCAGCACGAAATTGTCTGCAGCACAAAGGCTTATGCAAAAGCACGACGAACCGCATAATCCCACAGTCGAAGAAGTTCCTGACGAAGAGGATCTGACTCCCCACCCCCATCCAACATCCTCCAGCATTCTCGAGTCTACCAATGAGCTCGCAGCTGCGCCCGGCTGGGCAGCTCCTATATCTGAAAAAGCTGCTGGAAAGCGGAAGGATGCCCCTTCAGGCAAGGCGACCGCACCAGTACTGGACACGCAGTCAGACGAGTCATTCCCAGGTCTGGGAGGATCGAAAGTGCCAGTCCGGACTGCTCCCTCGGCATGGGTCTCCAAAACAGGTCCTCTAGTCACTAATGGCGCGACAAATGGCACCCCAACGAACGGTACATCTACGCCAGTTCCTGCCAGAAGCACTCCACCTGCACCTCCGGTAGCAAGCCAGCGAGCACCGAAAGCTGCAGCGCCTTCATCGAAGAATCTATCGGAAGAGGATGCGAAGAAGGAAGCCGAGGAAGCCCGGAAAAACGAACCCTATGTGAAATCATATACCTTTGACCCTAAGGAGCTGTCTCGGTCCACAACGAAGAAACCATTACCAGAACTTCTGCGAGACATCAATAAGAAGTATAGATTGAACTTCACACAGACCACAGGAGCAGGTGGGGCCATAAAGATCACCGTAGCCAGCACTAAGAGATATGAAGCTATCATTCAACAAGCGCTGAAGGAGTTGGGTTCTTATGTTTCTAAGGTATGGAGGACACCATGCTATTGATCTCACTCCTAACATGCAAGTAGACTTCAGAAAAGGTGTCAATCCCTCGATCGGCAAGAGCTCAGCTCATCGGCAGAGGCGGCGCCAATATCAAGGCTTTGCAGGAGCAGTCTGGTGCTCGAATCCAAATGCCTAAGTTGGAGGACACACCGGAAGCAGCCGACGATGACGATGATATGGTAAATGTTGTGGTCGAGGGAAATCCTTTCGCTATTCGATTAGCAAAGGAGGGCATCACAGGGACTGTGTCTGCACACAATTCCAATGTAAATGCGAAACTTCGAACAATCCCAGCCGAGTTCTTCCCTTTCATTTCTGGCGCACACAACTCAAACGCGAATGCCTTAGAAGGGAGACATGGCATTCAAGTCCGAGTTCCTTCTCATCATACTTGGACCACCCAGCCACCGCCCGAACTCCCGGCCAAAGGGCAGGCACCCGCATTTGTCCCGGCTGCCGGCGATCAGCATATTACCCTTGGTGGTGATCGAGCGGGTGTACAAGCTGCGCGAGCGGAAATTGAAGCACTGGCCCAACAGCTTCGTCAACAGTTGACACTGGACCAAGTGGCTATCAATAGAGGCCGACACCAATTCATCGTTGGCGGGCGAGGAATACCGGTTCAAGATTTCTTTGCCGAAACAGGGTGCGCCATCATCCTCCCAGGGGATGACGATGATGAAATGATCACTATTGTTGGTCCCGCTGACAAGATTCAACTGGCGACGGAGAAAGCAATGGATCTGGCGATGGGAATGCAAAATCAAAGTCTCGATATATCACGACAGCTCCGCAGTATCCCAGGTGCTCGTGACCATGCCCGCAACATTACGCAATATCTACGTGATCGTAATGAGATTGAGAAAATCGAAAGACTTCACCAAGCCCACATTTTCACTCCTTTCGACGTGGATGGCGGAGCCGCACCGTGGGAACTTTATTCGCGGGATGGCAAAAATACTATACGAGCACAATCGGAGATAAAAAATATAGTCATGGCTCATCCTCCATCTCGAATGGCGTCGGTCCCCATCGATCCATTCTTCCATCAATATCTGCGAAATGACATCACGCCGACAGTCAAGCAAGATTATGGTGTTCATGTTGTTATTCCCAATGCCTCCCACCCTAATGCGCCAGTACTTCTGGTATTTGAAGGAGAAGGCGGAGCGGAACCAGAGTATCAAATTCCACGCGGCCAACCAAGTAGCCCCGACGTCCAAGCTTTCCAGAGAGGTCTTCAAGACGCCCAAAAACACATTTTGGATATTATCAGCAAACAGGCCAAGATCATCAGTACAACGATTGATGTGCCTAGAATGTGAGCTTTCATAGTTGGCAAAAATTATTCACGAGCAAAACTCTAACCTCAATAGATTCCACGACAAGCTAAAGAAATTCATCAAGAAGGAACAGCAAGATCGAGAAGCTGATCAAATTCCAGTCAGAGTTAGTGCTGCTGGCACCCTTGTCACTCTTCGTGGTCCTGCCCCAGCTGTAGAGAGCTTAGCGGCCAAGGTGAATGATTTTGTTCGGCAGGCAATTGAGGACGAGAAAGAGCGTGGTTTTACACTGTCTTTCGCGTTCCCTAAAGAGAAAGCTGGCAAGCTGGTAGGCAAAGGATATGGTCATCTTGCGGAACTGCGAGAAAAATTTGATGTTGACATCAATGTTCAAAATGGAGAGGTGGAGATAAAAGGCCCGAAAGCCAAAGCTGAGGCTGCGAAATCCCATATTCAGACTCTTGGAAGACAATATGAGGACGAAGCGGAAGCTACCCTAAACATCGAACCTCAATACCACAGCGAACTTATCGGTGCCAAAGGATCTATAATTAATAGGCTCCAAGACAGATACAAGGTTCAAATCCACTTCCCACGCCAGAAGTCGAGCAAAGATGACGAATCAAATGCCGATGCTGCAAGCGATGCTGGTCAACAAAGATCCCAAAATAAGAAGCAGCAGCCGCCCAACCATGTTATTGTCAAAGGATCGAAGAGCGGCGTCGCCAAGGCCACAGAAGAGATACTCTCATTGCTTCAATACAACAAGGACAACTCACATGAAGCAACTGTGACTGTCAAAGCAGGTCAAATTTCGTCGCTCATTGGCCAGCGTGGAAATGGTATGGATGAGATTCGTCAGTTAACTGGCGCAAGGGTTGATGTCCCCAATGCAAAGGAGCTGTCAGATGAGAATGAAGTGGTCATCAAGATTAAGGGCACACAGTCTCAAATGGCACAGGCCAAGAAACTGATCGAAGAAAAGCGGGATATCTACAACAAAACCATCAAAAAGACCCTGGCAGTGGACAAGAAGCACCACGGGGCGCTTATTGGGCCTGGAGGTATGTTATACCTATCATCAATCTCGCATCTGCTAACATGAACTAGGCTCAAAGATCCGTGATATCGTTGTCAAATCCGGTGGATCTGACAACCCTAGGGAGATTGTCCGAACTGTCCAATTTCCTAAAGCGGAAGCTGATGGAAATGTCATCAAGATTGAAGGTATGGAGGACATCGTTGAGAAAATCATTGCTACGATCAACCAGATAGTCTCTACCTTGGAAAGCCAAGAAACAGCAGAGGTCAATGTGCCCACAGACAAGCACCGAATGTTGATTGGCCGCGGAGGAAGTGACAAGAAGGCATTAGAATCGAAATTCAATGTCACACTCGACATTCCGAGACAGGGCAACGGCCAAACTGCTGTCAAGATCAGTGGTCAGCCGGAAGATGTCGCGAAAGCCAAGCTGCACATTGAGGGTCTAGTCAAAGAGCAAGAGGGCCAGACAGTCGTGGTCCCTCGCAAGGTCCATCATTCTGTCTCCGACAATGGCCAATTCTTCAGACGACTCCGAAATGACGGCGTCACAGTTGATCACGCGGGATCCAAGGTTCCCCCAAAGCCAGTCGCACCAATAAACGTCCGAGCCAACGGAGGTGCCATGCCTTTGATTACCGACAATGCTACGGAAACTGCCGACGTACACTCCTGGAAGACAGTTGACTTATCTGCATCGGACCTCACTGGGGACATTCCTTGGATCTTGCGCGGTCCTCCCGATAACGTTGCAAAGGCCCAAGCCGCAGTTGAAGCCGCCATTAAGCAGGCTCTTGAAAATTCTACCATCGGCTACCTTACCCTTCCCGACCCCTCCACGTACAGATACGTAATCGGTCCCAAGGGAAAGAACGTTGATAGCATCCGGAAGGATACAGGCTGCAAGATCACTGTTCCAAGAGATCAGACCAAGGATGAGGCTATTGAAGTCGTGGGAAGTGCGGATGGCGTTGAGGCTGCTAAAGTCTTGATCTTGAAGGCAGTCAAAGATGGAAATACATCTAACGGCAATCGTTCGTAAAATTGGATTGTATGTACAATTTGAAATTAGAGGCATTGGGAGGAGCGAATATTTAAGGATCTTACCTGATGGACGTTGAAGTCGGGTGGTTGCATATTTGCAGGCCGGTCTATACGCTTTTTGAGAGGGTTGTATTAAGAATTAAAAATAAAAGGCTGGGACGAAGAGAGTTGTCTGCCGATTTTGTGCATTGGCATTTTTTCTCTAGTTAGGTAGTCTTCATTTGGCGTGGCATCTCAAGTCAGAAAAATTGGAAACTTACAAATCAATCTTCAATAATATCTTCATCCAAGCTTGGAACATCAAACTTACAAACACACGGTCACTTCGAAGAAGTGCTAGAAGCTGGCAGGCAGCCGTAAATTGAAATACTACTTGTATATGAGAGAACGAGTCATCAAAGTGATGTTTGTATACAGGTTTTCTAGGCAGCCGCATTCTAGTTAAGACTAACATTTCAACATCGATACCTCCAACTCTTTCCACAAACCAACACAACTTCACACACTTGACAAAACAAACACATATTCATCAGCAACTCTCGAACCATCCATCCGCAAACAACAAACATGGCGTCTACCACTACGCCTCCCATAATCGGCGACCGCTCCTACGGCATCATCCCCCTCCGTCTAACATCCACCACTACCTCTCCCCCCAGCACCACCAACACGCAAATCCTACTCATCCACCAAAAAACCATCATTCCCTCCAACCCGTATTTCTGGACCTTCCCGAAAGGCCACAAGGAAGAGGGCGATGCGTCGCTGCAGCATACGGCGATCCGGGAAGTGTTTGAGGAGACGGGGTTGAGGGTTGGGGTGGATGATCTAATGGTTTTTAAGAATAGGTAAGTCTAGATCTTGTTCTGTGTTGATGTTGCTGTTTTGTTTGCTATGCTTCTGATTGACTGTTGATGGTAGGGACGGGGAAGAAGTGGAGTTCAGAGAGGTGTATACGAATCCTATTCGGAAGGTGGGGAAGGAGGTCCGGTACTGGGTCGGCGTTGTCAAGGGCGAGCAGGAGGTTGTGTTGCAGGAGATAGAGGTTGATAGTGCGAAGTGGGTGGGGTGGGATGAGGCTGAGAAGACGATCACCTTTGAGGAGGGGAGAGCGATGTTGAGGAGGGCGAGAGCTTGTCTAGAGGCTGGGAGCTGAGCGCACTAGGTAATGGATGATAGAGTTATTGCTTTCTCGGCAGCCTGGTAGGTGAGAATCTTCCATGCTGTCAGTATAGGAACCGGCGTTGGGAAAGTTTGACAGGTTTGGCTTGGAAACGAGTGACGACTTGCGTAAAATAAGACTTTTGACATATTACCATTCTCTTGCCTTTATTCCAATTTCTTGATACAGTACATATGCAACAAGCTAGCCAGCCCTAATGTGTCCAGTTAACACCTTCAACCCCACGAGCCATTAGCCGCGCTAAATATGAAATGGATGAGAAAAGCCGAGCCAGCTTAAGAGCAAGAAAATGTGACATGAGACACGAGTTGTATCGTGCATAGAGTAAAGCGCCAAGTGTGGGCTGGGTTGGGTTTGGGAAATTGGTCAGATAAGGTGATCCAATCCAAAATTTGGCAAGTTCGAACGATCTCTGTAATGATCGTGTCGGTAGGGTCACGCCTCGTCGTTCTTCTTGAAAACCCTAAATTTTTGTTAGCAAGGCATAGATTGAGCAGGTGGAAAGTGGCACTGACAAATGGCTTTCATAGAATTTGAGCATCTGTTCTTGTCAGCAAACTAGAACTTCGAATTAGGGGCTCAATTCTTACTCGTTGCGGGCAGCGCTTGTAAACTTGGGAAAGTGGGTGTTGGGTCTTGTGTCCTCCCTTCCAAGTCAAGTAGACAACTACTGCACCCTCGCCACCTTCGCAGGCATCAATTCCAACAATTTGCTCTTCCCAATTACCCGTCGGTGGCTTGAAATCCGAAGAACTCGCTGGAGGGGTAGTAGATCGGGGATGGACTCCGTTCTTGCTCTTTCGTCCGCGTTTTGGTGCTGAGCCATTTGTTTCTGCGTCTGTGCTAGCCCTTGCGCGCTTCTTTCCTCCCTTTCCTGTGTTCTGTTCCTTCTTCTCGTAATAATCGGCCATAATCTTCTCCTTGCCGCCAATGGATTCGAGGTATGATTTTAAGATCTCAGAAGCAGTCTCCCTATAAACTTCGCGTTAGCCAAACAAGATGATCTGGAGGAGAAGTGTGCATACAGATTCTCTTCCGGCTCCCACGTCCGATCCGACTTCTTTTCGTAACCCTCCCATTTTACCTCAAAGAGAAGTTCGCCAGATGCCTCATCAATAAGATGGTCCACGATCTTCTCAACGACGAATCTGTGGATCAATTGATCAGCAGAAGCGGTATATTTAGACCAAAGGTAACGAACTCGTCATCTCCAACCTCGTCATCGTCTTCGTCTTCTTCAGCTTCCGCATTGTTACTCTCGATATCTTCTTCGGGAGGGGGTGCTGGTGCTGTTTCATTGCCCTTCGGCTTCGTGACCTTTTCTTCTTTTATGGACACAGGAGATGCCGCGCTGATATCGGAAGCCTCATCGTCAGAGATCTCTGTAGGATATGAGCTTAAGCCACCAAATATTCGCGCCATGCGATTGCGACTTACGGGGAGGCATTGTGAGGAGCATGCAATATTGCGATTGAGATGCGCCAATGGAATTGAGGTAGGAAATGTTGAAGTTGACGGAGAATTGACTGGATGGTTGCTTTTATAAAGGGGCCAAGTACAGTTGTCCTTGCCGTCTGCTCGAGTAGGAAAATATGAGGTTGTTGCGATGGAACAAGAACAATGTTCGACGCGACTTGAGAAAGATCCTCGCGAAACGGGTGGCGGGCAGACACAAAAGAACTGGGCCTTTGCGATTCACGTGACTGGAAGGGACCACACTAGGTACTGGTGGTACACTTTACCAACGACCAACGACGGGACGGGCCTAAGGTACTATTACCATTACTAAGTACCTACTCTCAGATGGAATTTGGAGATGCGATGCTTGATTGTTATTGGATTTACAACCACATTCGAATGTCTACAAATGATATGTACCGATGTTGCGATGGAGAGAACCCCCCTCCCACGGAATTTTCAGTCCATTATCTCATCTGTTGGCTCCATTGACGAGAGCTATTTTCAAAGCCGGCAGACCCAGATACGCAAAGGCGGATTCGTCTGAAGACTGCACAAGAGCTTCCGAGACCAATGACCTTCTTTCCAAATTGCAATGGAAAATGTCCTTTAACAACATTATCATTAGATCATTTTACAATAATTGCCAGCTTCCTCGGGACGCAAGATATACAATCTGCAAGGCTTGCTGGCCGAGTGCTACATAACTACCTAAGCCCTTACCTATTCAAAGCCGTCCGATTTGCACCCCATAGAGAAGGTCTCAATGTCTTCGATAAAATCTCAAAGGATAGGGTCCTATCACACAATGTCCGCGAGTTGCGTTTTGATACGAGTCCATACAGATTACCAAGAAAACGGGATGAGCCGAACAGATATTCGGAATCAGCGTAAGTCAATTCTCTTGACAAGGAAACACTTCCACCTCTTCTGTCTCAACTGCTGGAAGTCCATGAAGTTGGACTATCTTGGATGGTAGGTAACTACTAGTGATTGTAGCTACAATGAATGCTCAGCCCCTCATCCAAGCTTTTGATATATATTGGGTGTGAGGTAGTTTTAGAAGCCTTGTCTTTCTGGTGCATTCGATCTCTCTGGTTGAGGCCGCATCATTCAGAGACTTTGTCAATTAAAGCATCGGTAATTCTGCTCCTAAAAAGAGATCATAAAATGGAATCTCACTTGTACCTCTTCTTACAATCAAAACTCAGTGGTAGCCGCAAGTTCATCTTTATGTTTGTTGTTTCGGGTCATTCTGGTATCATACCTATCGATCTTTGATGCTACATGCTTTTACTTATTTTTGCGGCAGCAACCAGGCCCTTGAGGATTATCACAGGAGGATTACCACTAGACTACCTCCCCAACGCTCTTTGTATTGGCTTGCTCTTGCGAAATATGTCCAATCTGTGGAAGAACAGGCTACCATTATTGCGGATCTAGAGAGCCATTTGTCTAGACTGCTAGATATGTTTCCCAAGATATCCACTGTCAATCTCTCTCATTCTTTCCTGTTGGTCCATCAGGACCTTCATGAAGAGTTCAAGCTTACGACTTCTTTTTGCCATGAATGGGTTCGATCTTTTCAATTGCAGGCCCTATTCCGCGCAATTTTCCGGTCTTACTCGCACATAACCTCAGTCGGGCATGATAGAGGGAGCTGGTGCCTCGATGTGAGACCTGAAAATGCAAGTGGTGTTTCATATGTATGGCTTTGGATGGAAAAGAGACCCGTCGTTCTCTCATCCGCGTTCGAGCTGAGCTCGAAAGATCTTTTGATCACGAAATTTATCTTTAGCAACCTGACCAGCCTGGATGTGACTCTATACTCCTTCGTCAACAGAACATGGCCTCCTTCTTCGCCTCCACTAGAGTCTTATTGGGCCGATTTGCCAAAGGCACTACAAGCACTTACCACCCTCACCACCCTGTCATTAGATCCCACGAATCTTGATTACTGGTGCGCCGAGGAAGTCGACCCGCAAGACGATATAGCTGAACTGTTCGAAAATCCACCTTTCGTTCTACCGTGTCTACGTACATAGCGACTCGCCCACTTTCGAATCTCCACCACAGGCCTATCTTCATTACTACAAAGACATCCCACTATTCAAAATCTTAGACTAAGACATGTAATTTCGACGGACTGGGGCAATCCAAACGAGCTTGGATGAATTGAATTAGTCGAGGATATGAGATCTATGCGTCTTCGGCGCCTAGACCTTCATGGCATCAGTGCATTTGGTAGATACTTAGGTTCTTATGGCGATATGAGTTATGAACAACGTTCACCTAGGTTCATGGACTACATCTTGTATGGTTATGACAACAACCCTTTCTGCGGGACAATGAGGCATGGAGAGAGTGGGACGAGGAACGTTGGGGATAGTGGACGCAATCGCCATATTGGCATCTAAGTTCTGACATTATTAGCTGAACCATGGCGTTGGGGGCCCCTTGTACATCAATGATATTCGCAGCCAAGTCTGGAAGCTCTTCTTCCCTCTGGTGATTTCGTCCCATTGCTACACATTGGAAGCCACAATATCAACGTTCACACTTCGCCTCCAATTAGTGTTCCTACTTGTCAATAGATTAACTACTTCTGAAGTTACGACATTTACGATGTTGGGTGTCCACGTCGACGAGCCGATAATTTTTGCCCTTCGTGCATGAATTTTCGTGATGTATTATTACTATAAAATAGTATCACAATCCCGAGCTTCGGATGGATACGGCATTCCCACAAATAGCATCATTAGCCGCAACACGGAATAAAAGTGGTTGTTTATCGTTACACATGAATAGATCACAACTCCATACTCTTCGTGTCTAAGGAAAGCTAGCTGCAATGGTTCTTCTTCACTAAAATGGATGAAGTCTACCAAGGATGTTCGATCTTGCGTTCCACGAAAACCCAAAGGGTTGCCCAAGTGGAAGAGTCCAGAGACTTCATTTCATAGAACATGTGACGCTAAAGAGCATGATGGAGTGTACGGCCTGCGAGCCTTGGGCCCTGAAGGAAGCAACGTTCGAAAACTGGACGTATGGAAGAGCAGTTTGTATAGGGGATTTGATCCTCAAAATGATGACGAACCTCGGCCAAGGAGGTAACTAAGCTATGAAAGACGTAGCTATGCTTACGAACTGCCTTTTGCCCTGCTCGCCTATAATCAATAGACCTTCAAGGTGAAAAGAGGATCCAGATGGCGTTCAAGCTAGATACATAGAGCAAAAATGGTGCACACACAGAAGGAAATGTCCACTGCAATCGTCTCCATCCTTACCCCAGTCAACTTTGAAGGGGTATCTACGGTCATTTGGGCCATTCTCATGAATGGGGGAATGTAGCAAGTTCTCCTATAATAGTACTGCGATTAAAGCTGGATAAAGTACAAAGAATCCTCAATCTTGCGGGTGGACATGTGGGCTAAAGCCTAAACGATAGGTACCGGTAGGCTCTCTGGCTCTCTCGCTCTCTCTGAATTTAAAGAAGCCACGTATTTTATAGTATTACGAGACTTATGGGGCTTTCCACGATTCTCTTACGTGTTTGTGGTTTTGAAATCGGGCGTGGAAGAGTGAAGAAAGCCGTTGATATTGAAGGGGCTAGTTTTGCCTAATACAGACAAGTGGGCTTCGCTAGTCTCAAAAGAGCTGCAGCCTTGGCGCCTCGTTGAATTTCGAAGCGAAGAGCTTTTTGAACGCGCCTGGAAGAGTTGCACGCGTTGATGATATCAAACGTCTGTCATAGCAACCTTTTCTCGACATAACCTGTCTATCTGTCTTGCAATACCGCAGGGACGTTTGCACGGTCTACGAAAGACCGTACTAATCCTGCAAGATGGCCATGAGTACGTTGGACCCTGACAAAATTTATATCTACAGGAACTCGAGCTAACCAGATGCCTTCTAGATATCGATATGTCCCAGGGTTTGTTTCTTGTGTAAGAATACATATACTCCGAGTACTAACAAGCTCTGATATAGCTTCGGTGGTGAAAGATGAGCAAGGACGACCTTTCATCGTTGTTCGAGAGTAAGGACTATTAACTGTAACAAAACGACACCTGCTGACTATTCTCCAGCCAAGGCAAGAAGAAGAGACAACATGGCAACGATGCTGTCAAGTCGCATATCCTCGCTGCGAGAACGGTTGCCAACATCGTCAAATCCTCATTAGGCCCACGAGGGCTCGACAAAATCCTGATCTCCCCTGACGGAGACATCACGGTTACAAATGATGGAGCTACTATCTTAAGTCAAATGGAGATCCAGAATCATGTAGCGAAGCTTCTAGTCGAACTCTCGAAATCACAGGACGACGAAATAGGAGACGGTACAACAGGTGTGGTAGTTTTGGCTGGAGCGTTATTAGAGCAGGCGGCAGAGCTCATCGATAAGGGAATCCACCCTATCCGGATAGCAGATGGTTACGATCAAGCTTGTGACATTGCTGTCTCTGAACTGGACAAGATCGCAGATACCATCGAGTTCACGAAGACGCACAAAGAGAACTTGGTCAAGGTGGCAAGAACCAGTCTGGGCAGCAAGATCGTTTCCAAGGCTCATGATCAGTTCGCCAACATTGCGGTGGATGCCATTCTCTCTGTTGCTGATCTCGACCGCAAGGATGTTGATTTTGATTTGATCAAGGTTGATGGAAAGGTTGGAGGCTCACTCGAGGATTCGTTGCTGGTGCAGGGTGTTATTGTTGACAAAGACTTTTCCCACCCCCAAATGCCAGATGAAGTTCGAGACGCTAAGATCGCCATCCTGACTTGTGCCTTTGAGCCACCGAAGCCAAAGACAAAGCACAAGCTCGATATTACAAGTGTGGAGGAGTTCAAGAAGCTCCAGACCTACGAGAGGGAGAAGTTTGAGGAGATGATCAAGCAGATCAAGGACACCGGTGCGAATCTTGTTATTTGCCAATGGGGTTTCGACGATGAGGCAAACCATCTTCTGCTCCAAAATAAGCTTCCAGCAGTCAGGTGGGTAGGAGGACCCGAAATCGAATTGATTGCTATTGCTACGAATGGACGAATCGTACCAAGATTCGAAGACCTTTCAACAGCAAAGCTTGGTAAGGCAGGAATTGTTAGAGAGATGAGTTTTGGAACCACAAGGGAGAAAATGTTGGTAATCGAGGAGTGTGCAAACACCAGGGCTGTCACAGTCTTTGTCAGAGGAAGCAATAAGATGGTAAGCTCTAATCTCAGCAAAGGTATAGTTTCTAAGCTAACTTTTGGTTACAGATTATAGATGAAGCCAAACGCTCTCTTCACGATGCTCTTTGCGTCGTCCGAAATCTTGTCCGAGACAACCGCGTTGTGTATGGTGGTGGTGCCGCAGAAATTGCCTGTTCCCTCGCAGTCGAAGACGCTGCAGTCAAGTCACCTGGCCTTGAGCAATATGCTATGCGTGCTTTCGCCGATGCCCTCGATGCAATCCCAATGGCCTTGGCAGAGAACTCGGGACTCTCACCAATCGAAAGTCTCGCCAGCATCAAGAGTCGTCAAGTTACCGAGAAAAATACGAGATTAGGAGTTGACTGCATGCAGACTGGAAGCAACGACATGAGGGATAACTTTGTCATTGATCCCTTGATTGGAAAGAGACAACAGCTGATGCTGGCGACTCAACTCTGTCGGATGGTATTGAAGGTCAATAATGTGATTATATCGGGGGGTGAAGAAAATGAATTCTAAAAAGCGAATGTACCATAGGTTTTGTTGCCTTAGACCAGGGATATTACCAAATAGAATCTTCCCCTGAGCCCATCTTCTGTGGATGATGAGACTAGTGTGCTTGGTAAGATTTGGAATTGCTAATTCTAGCTTCGCCTCTTAAGTGTCTTCTGTGTGTTGTAGGTAAGAACTACCTGGTGAACTACCTTAGGTAATGAGAAAATGTCACTGAGCGCTTACCTCTCGCTACTTCCTATTTCAGCGTGCCGTCTGCTTGGGGATTGAATCACAACATATGACGAGGGAGCATCCAAACTTGCGAACTCGCTATCCACCTATTCAGTACCTACCTATCTTAGTATTGTCTCAATAACTAGCTAGTTTGTACCTAGTCCATCACTTTCTAAATCTTTTTAAACCAACTCCTAACACTTCTCCATGCCTTCCCTCCCTCCTTCCTCAAGAACAAACTTTGGTTCAACCGACTCCACAACGCTAACGGCTTCTCACTTCTTCAATACACTCATATTGGATGTCAATTTGCACGTGGATGATCATTCTGCAGAAACTGCATACAGCCACATTCACTGAGACTTTTCACCGTCTCACAAAGTTTTACTTCCAGTCACCATGTCATTGATTCCTCAGTCAGGCAGTCACGCGAAGTAAGTTCACACGCCATGTCGTTTTTACAGCTCCAAGGCTTACACTTGTAGGCGGCCTCCAACGAAAAGCATGGTTTTAGTGGACGGCTGTCGCCAGTACAACACCGGTCGTGTGTGCGTCCGGTCGAAGAAAGGCGGTGTCTGCCAATATCTCCATGACTCTCGTCTTCGAGTTGAAGCTATCAAGAAGAAGAAAGCAGATGTTCAAATAGCAAAGGAAACAAGTAGAGTTGCCGCGAAAGCTAGTAAAGAGACCTTAAAAGATGAAATCGAAGTCTCAACTAATGACGTTCGATCAGTCGATACCCCACAGGCTCTAGAAACGCCTATTGCCACACACTTGAATGCACAACTCCAAGTACTTACTCAAAAGATGGCGATTCCTCGATTGCCAGATGAATTCTGCAGGCGTTTTGTTCGTGGATATTGCAAGCTCGAGTATTGCCCTCTTGTCCACAACCATCAGGCACGTAGGGAGTTCAAGAAACTTGAAAAGGACAAGACGGCCAAGAAGAAGAACCCGAAAAAGAAAAACCGACCACTCAAAGAAAGGAATCCCAATGTCACTATTACCAAGGTCATTCCTCCACTCACATCACAAGTCAACGAAAATTCCAACAAAGCTATCATTCCAGTTGTCTGTGAAGGCCCAACTACCACATTTGATATCCAATCTTGGGATTCCATAACACTGAAGCAATGGGCAACCCGAAATCTCTCTCCCGACGTCCTACAAAAATACCTTAGATCCTATGGATCATACATCGAAAAGGGTCAGATACCACTATCTGCTCTCTGCATCGCCGAACCAAAGAAGACCAAGAAGAACACCTTGGAGCCTCTCGTACAGTTTCGCTTGTTCTCAAAATTGCCCTACGAAATACAAGATGAGATCTGGATGGCTTATATTGTTAAAGAAGAAGAACAGTGCACAATAGGTCTTCAACAAAACACCGGTCGCCCTAGATTCAAGTGTATCTCACCTCTTCCAAAGGCCCTCTGTGTGAACCGTTATCTGCGAGAACAAGCTTTGCGGCGGTATAGCTTCTGTTTCGGCACCACGGGATCTAAGCCGTCAAGTTACTTTCATTTTCCGAATGGCCGGCTCTTTATATGCAACAGGGGGCCATGCGAATTGCTCGCTTCGAGTAGAGCACTCAGAGATTATGATCGAGAGCGTGTTAGGGTCCTCAGTGTCCCTTTACGCGATTGGTAATTCATCCCCCCTCCTTACATATCTACCTAAAGCTAATATATGGTTCCCAGGATCAAAGGCAACAAGATCGACTTCGTCAAAGCAGTTGTAGGGTTTACTGGATTGAAGTCTCTAGATGTGCTCGTTGGTAATAGCAGGGAGGACGAAATCTACTCTAAGGGCAAGGCATCTATTCTGAGAAAGATCGAGAAGCTTTTCGCTGAGGGTTGGCGGATTTATAATGGACCGGCGGGGATACCAAAGCCTAATGTTCATATCAAAGTCGTTACGGCTTGGGTGGCGAAACATTATAAGATCGATGGGCTTGTGTGGTGAGAGATGATGATTAGTGGCTCGTTGATCCTAGGGGTGTGGATCATTCGAGATGATTTCGGCGTCTGGGTGTGCCGGGCTGGTGGTTTGGGTTTCGACTTTGGGCCGCCTAGGTATGTATGGTGTTTTCGGGATATGGGCTTTACAACACGGTGTTAGTAACGTTCATCCCTGCGTAGCGGAAAACCCTATGTACCGGAACGACTTCATGGTTTGGGGGTCTTAAATCTCTACCACATAAATATATAAAGTTACAATTAGTTTGCCATTATTCTTTAACTATTTCTCTATAAGGTTTCGGTTTGTAGTAAGAATATACTATAGTTGTAGTCATATTATTAATTGTCCTGTTAATAGCATTAGAAGCCCTTTTAGCTGTTCCCCCCTGCTTTATTATAACTATTAGCCTACCTCCAAATTTCGGGACCGTAGTATAAAGCTCCTATTAAGAAGGAATACAGTCCTAAAGTTTAAAGACATAAAGCGGAAGGAAACCTTCATGCCGGATTTATCCGGATAAAGTAAGAGGAGGTATAGAATACGCCAAGCATCTTAATAAGCGAAGGAGTAGCTTACATAATATAATACTTAGCGTTACGCTAACTTAACCGTATCATATTGCATATTATACGAAAATCACGTGAAGTGTGGCGTTCTTCTAGAAGGTTCTATGAGTAGCTACGTACGTGTCTGCTTCTGCACTCAATCGCTCCAATCCCCATCCCCTCATCTCTATGTAAGGCTTGTTGGGTCAATTCCACGGTTGGGCTGAAATGCAAGGCTGCCTAACCTTTGGGCAGCATAATGTGCCGAAGTGGTGTGGCAGACCTCTGCGGTGCGACTTTTCAAAGATATATTAACTCTGGCTTCCACCTTTGAGGTGGGACTGCAATAATGCTTCACTTCGAATCGTGAGCTTTATTTTCTAACGAGGTTAATCGCTGGTTCCTTTTGTCGATTAGGTCTTTGATATCCTCTTTTCCACAGCTTGTTAATACTGCGGCTATGGACGATATGGAAGTAAAGTTGCAGCAGTTGGAAGAGTTGAAAAGAGGCGTCTTCGGGGATCGAAGCATGGATGATATGAGGTGGATAGAGACAACGGCTGTGGAGACATGGCGGAGTTCTATACAGCAGTTGCTTGATAGCTGGGCTGAGGTTGAAGAAGTTTTGTTCTGGAAGGTGTTGAAGCAGTGGCGGTTCCTTGTGTTGAATCGACGGTCTCTTCCCAACCAGGTCGGAGGAACACCAGATCGACCGGGAGTATCATTGGTTCTTCTTGAGTGTGAGCACATGCCAAGGGTGTACTCTTGGATGAGAGAGTTGAGTGAAGGGGAGAGGTACATGGAGGAAAGTCAAATCGATTGGGATGTCATATCAAAAGGAGAGGGTGACTTTTTCACCTGGAAGGATATCGACTTGGCAGTTAACAAGAGAGCAATGCGGGAGCTCATGGATGGGGTAATCAAAAGTGACTGGACATTTGCTTTTACACGACCGCATAGGCGGAGACAGGAAGTTGACCCGTGGTGCAAAGGATGTGTTTGGACATGTTCAGAAGCCACGGATCCAAGGAAGGTGAGCGAAAGGCGCGATGTTATGAGTAATTGGGCATTATTTTTGGATGTTAGGAAGGTAGTTGTTAAGGCGTTTGAGGTCAATAATTAACTTAATAGATTTCTTGATTGAAACAGTAATATCTTTTGAACTTTACAGTAACAGGGCTAAAGACTTCCTCTCACATATGCTAGATGCGCACATGAGTCGTGCAAGTTTGTCCTTTCGATAATAGCACGTCAGTGAAGATGTTTATGCTTATAGCAACATTTTGGAGTTGTCTAGTGCGTCGAGCCTAAGTTCCATTGCATTTGTGCTAGAGAGGGACGTTATAAGTGTTCTCAAATTGGTGCAGCCGCTCTGGATGTTCGCGAGGATGCCGTCGCTACCCTCCTCGAGGGTGATATTACCCGATTCTAGGCCGCGGAGGCTCGGAAAGTCGACGCAGACATAGCGGATATAGTCTGCGTTATTGTCGCCGATTGTTCCGAGGAACGAGGCTACGTCCTTAGGGGTGGCCATGGCAAAATCGAAGCGATTCTAGGCGTATAATAGCGAGCTAGCTTCGCGGTGGACGGTCTTGTTCGCGCGGAGGAGCCCAGATGTGAGAAGGGTTGAAAGGTTCTTAGTGCAATAAGCATAGCTCGTATACCCTGTTACGAAGTTCGCTGGGGAGCTTGAGGAAGTTGGCTGACATGTCTTCGGCGGTCGTGAAGGTGTTGATGCTTCGTTTGTTCGCTGTGAGATTCGGTTAGCGCGTCTTGATAAACCTGTGGGCTGCAGGCATTATATTCGCATGATCGGATAACATCTCTAGACACCCCAGGTAAGGGATTCCTAGGAGCTTGTGTGTCACTGGGTCATTAGACGACGGTGTAGTTACACGATATAGCTCCCACACTCTCGCCCAGTCACTCGAATAATAAGACCGTCGACTCACCGCTTCCGATTGGCATGCCTCTTCTTCTGGACAATTCAATCAACACTAGTGTGGAAACTGTTGACACTATGCGCGAGACAGTAGAGTTGTTCACGATTTTCGTGCCTGGACCAACTACGCTAGGCATTAAAGTCATTGCTAAGCTGGATGTGGCGCACCTGACCACAGTACCTCCAGCTACTATTGGCCTTGGTGCCTAAGGCCTCATAGTTGAAACTACATCGTAAATATTGCGGGGCTGTTTTGCACTAACCAAAATTGTCTCGCTTTGATCTGAGGTACAGATCCGCGTGACGATCATGCATGAATTTGCGCGCCATAGCAGCTACCAAGGCTAATGACGATTTCCTGTGTAGGTGTAAGGTCTTAGAGCTCGGATAAGACCCCTTTTATAAAGTATTAGGATAGTATAAGCTTGGTAGTAGAGCTGTGGTAGAGGAACCCTGTTACGCCATAAGAGGACACTCTTCGCAAATCAAGCGTAAGAGCGATGATGCGAACGTGATTTTCTAGTGGGAGAGGCTTGAGGTGTCTAGGAGTAGCTACGGAATATAACTTATAAGAAAATATAGGAGATATTAAGGTGTATATAGATTTTAAGATACTTGAAATCAAAGTACCTATCATTTTTTCCGGCACGTAGAGTTTTCCGCTACGCAGGGATGGACGTTACAGGTGCTCTGGATTGCTCGAGACAAGAGGCAAATCCTGCACACGTTCCTTTTTGTTTCCTTTTGCCCAGCAGAAATTACCCCCGGTTGTTCGATAGATAATGGCACGGACACGGGATTAGAAAAAAATTGGGGGTTCTATCAATTATACAGCAATCTTACACTAATACATCCATGCAGTGATACTTGGATCACAAGCTTCATTATATTACTCCAAAACATCCTCAATCCACTCCTTCACCATCTCCCCTTCCTCTTCCCCTTCCTCACCACCTACACTCCTAACCCAAACCCTCTCCTCAGCCGCACTCTCAGCATCCAGATCCTCATCCCAAACCCTGCGATCTTTATACTCGTGCAATAACACACTCCTCCTCATCAACGCCGCCATCTCCTCTGCTTGCACTATAGGCGTTACCTCTTCATTGTCCCCTTTACTCTTCTTCCGCTTCCCCTTTCCCTTTACATTTGCGTGACTTTTTGTTTTCGGTTTAGGGATATCAGGTGAAGAGGGGAATGGGGAGGGAGAAGAAGCGATGAATAAGGCCCTGGGAATTTTTAATCCGCTGTCGCGGGTAGGGAATTTTAGGTGGGATTTCCGCTGGGTCTCGAGTTCGTGCTCTGTGGTGCGTTTTCCGGATCCGAGTGCAGGCTCGTGTTCAGGAGACGATGATGATGGTGATGCTGGGTCTTGAGATAATGAGGGAGGAGGAGACGGATATTGTGATTCTGGTTCTGGACTCGGTTCTGGTTCTGTGCCGGGCCAGTATTTCGGGACGTTGAGACCTGCGGTACGGAAGAATAGGATGGGTGAGACGAAGGCGTCGAATGTACTAGAGGGGTTTGCGAACAGCTTTTCTTTCAAGATGTGTAGGGTGGTTTCGTGCCAGTGGGTTTCTGCTTCTGCTTCTTGTCTTCCTTTTTCTGGGGTTGGAGAAGGGGTCGAGGGAGGTAGAGAGGTTCCGATTCCGGACCAATCGAAGATGGCGTTTTTGGCGATTAGGCCTGCTATTCGGAGGGGGGTTTGCTTGGTGCTGAAGGACTCGGTGAGGGCGAGGGTGGTGGCTAGTGTGCCGCCTAGGTAGGAGCCGTAGAGTAGGAGGGGGCGCTGGATGAGTTTGCTGGGGGGAGAGGTGTAGTATGCTGATTTGGGGGAGAATTTAGAGGTTGGTGAGGAAGGGGTGTTTTTGAGGGGAGGAGAGAATGATGGGAGGTAGGAGGTAGTGAGGAAGGTATAGGCATGTAGAGTGTCGTGTATAGGGGTGGGGAATGGGTGGTTGGCGTAGGAAGGGTGCGAGGAGAGTGGTAGTGGCGATGGGGAGGGCGATGTTGGAGAGGAAGAGTGTGGTGGTGGCGGGACATGGTTCCAGCGATAGTTTATTCTTGCTAATGCGTTTGAATTGAGATGTGAGGGAATGGAAGGGTGGTTGTGTCGTAGGCTAGAGCCTGTAGGTGGGAGATATATCAACAAAGGAGCTGTTGGATTTCTCAGCAGTTGAGAGTTATATAGGCTGGTGAACTGTTAGCATGAGTTTTGTTCTTGTATATTCTGAGGTGATAGGAAGACAGTCGGAAAGCCTATAGATATAAAAGCGGTTGCGGGGACTAAAAAGAATCTATCTCAAAGCTCCTGTCTCAGCATAAGATAACACATGAAGTATCCCCAGCTTTGGAGCGACGACCGCTGGGAGTGGGATATCGCGGGATCATATCAATTGCAGTAGAGGATAGATAGCACGATCCATAAACAGTCGATAAGTCAGTGTTTTGAGTAGGCCACGAATTCAGGTTTCTACTACTAAGTCCATATCCTCCGCTCAAGAGGTAATAAGATTGCAACGCTTGCTCCAACTTTGCAAAAGCCCTTGAATATCTCCTCTTCGTAGATAAAGGGTGTACATGATGCAGTACTACCAAGAAAATGGGAGCACAAGATGCGCAAATCCTCCATCTCGAGCAAGCAATAACCAAGTTTGACTCAGGCTCACGGCTACTAAGATGGCCCAGATAGAAAGTAGATAGCCCATTGCTCCCTTCTAAAATCCCCTCCATCTAGCAAAAGGCTTCCACTAGGACTGTGACTCTAATCGATGCAGCAAAAGGGAACTCTCACGTGATTTGTCTGATTGATTTTGTCTGATTGATAGAGGACAGCTTTGAGAAGGAACAATTAAACTTACTCGATGGTGATAGATCCAGCTGAGCCACAAGTGATGTTTAAGATTTGTTCTGGCTCCTGGTTACGTGTCGATGACAATCGCCTCCTGATCTGGTGGATTGAAAAGGTAGTTGTCGGCTTGCAGTAAGATGCCACTCCCAAGCGGCGCCACAGGCGGGGTGTCCAAAGCCATGGAGCAAGCATGCCTCATTTGGCATGGAGTGCCGATAGGGAGGAAGATCGCAAACAGTTGCAACGAGACGAAGCGAAGTACGCGGCAAAGATGGTTAGGTCTCTCACACCGTCACACGGTGAAACGAAGGAACTACGACTGCGACCCACGTCAGCTTGCTACTGTCATTTACTTGTACTGTAGATGCCAAGCAAACGATCATCTGCGATACCGTACGGAGCAGTTTAGTGAAGATATTTCGATTCGGGTAAAAGGGACTCGCGTCGTCAGAGACCCCGACTCCCCGCCCCGCCCATTGCTGCAAGCGAAGGCCAAGACTTTTGCCCGCATGGAAAGTTCACCAGGTCCACTGCAGTAAAAGCCTCTTATTCTGGTCGGCCAATAGCATTATGGAGGAATGAAACTGTGGGGCATTGAGTCCACCTCCATCTAATGATTGAGGCTATGCTGCGTGCGATAGTTCAACGGCAAAGACCCAATGTCTCGTCTCTCCCGCCCTGCACGGTCTGCCCTGAGCTGAGATTGGCTGTACAGACAGTAGGGTGACCCAGCATGGAAACACGTTTTGGTCCTCTGGAACGCGATGGATCTTGATGCTGCGGTAGCACATGTCAACCCCAAACTTACGGGCCTTACCTTGCTAGTAACAACTAGGTAGTCGCCAGCTGCTCGAGTAGTCCCCTTTTCCTCAGATGGGACCGAGACCGAGAACGAGAGTAGTGTAGCTATCTATTCTTCATTTTCTTTACAGTACAACAAGATCATCCATCACAGCAGGAGTCAGAGTGAAGGAAGGAAAGTATGCGCACGACTACTGATCAGGATATCACTGCGGCGATACATCGTGAATACCTCTCAGGCTCAGCGCAGACATAGCAGGGCTGACTGCGGGATGCATGCCAGAAATAGATAGCACTGACTGCTTCATACTTACTACTACTTGCCTAGGTACCTCTCTCTCTCTACCTTAGGTCAGATTCATTTGTGGAATACCAAAACATTTACCTTAAAACCATCCAGATTGCCTTATATCTAGATAAGCCGCTCTTGTCTTTTGCCCACTCTTGAGTCTTGATACAATGCATCGTCTATATCATTAGAACCCTATTATCCCCCCCCCCTTCTCCACCCCTGGCAAAAAAGACTTTCGAGAAAGGACCTAGCCTAGGTACCTGTGCGACTTGCGCTTCGACCATTGTGGCCAAATTTACCAGCCTTTCCTGCCGTCTTGCACCACTAATTTATCGCCCCACCAGCCCCAAATTGTCGACCCCTAACCGTGGCTCTTGACTCTTGAGACCTTCCATCCCGCTTCTACTTCTACGCTCCTCCTCCTTCCAACCAACCCATTCACTCACTCCCCCACGCACGCACGCACAAACAATTACCTTCTCTTTCCTTTTCTTCTTCATGATACCTACCTTCTCTTCTTAATATATAAAGTTGCTGCCTGTAGTGGCTTCTCGTCGTAAGCCCTCCCCTCATTTGGGCTGTGCCTTTCACGTACTGGTACCTGACTGACAGGGTGAATTTAGAATCCTTCAACCAACAAACCAAGCCCCATTACGATTTCCCGAGCCTCTTATATTGTTGATTTATGGCGCCTGCACCGTCCTAATACATCACGACTGCGTTTTCAACTTCACCAACTCAATAGTTTGCTTGTTCAACGGGGGATTACGACGGAGCCGACGCGTGGCCCAAATTACCAGACACGATGGCTAAGAAGAGCTGTGCAAGGAATGCTTGGGGGGTTTTCCAAAGTGTGCTGGTAGCAGCAACTCTCTATACTTTTCTCTGTCTAGCTGTGCTGGTTTTTCAGAGAGGCTCGTTCCCAAAATCGCCAGCCGACCTCTACAGAAGCCCTCCTCGCCCAGGGTCCTCATCTTCAGATTTCAATGGATCTGGATCTGTACAACTGCCTTCAACCAAATTAAAAGTCGAGAAAATCAAGCCCAATGCCAATTGGTTCAATAGACCTGAAAGTTTGGTCGTGCCGAGGGATGACTACCTGGGAAAGCGGCCAGACGTCGACACCGTTGCGAACCTCACAAAACTGGTGGAAGAATGCAGAGGATCATACGAGAATATTGAGAAGATGCCATACGTACAAGATTGTTTGAAGTATATGGAGGAGGGCGAGAAGGAATACTTTTACACCCCCGCCCGAGGCGAACGAGCGAGTGAACAACCACCAAAGCTTGCAGAGTATCTCAACTCTGATGGCGCAGATAATACCCTCGAAGAATACCCTTCCTATAAACACGCCTCGAAAGACTCCCCTGGCAAATGCGACGGACCTATTGTGCCTTATCATGTCTACTGGACAGGGCCTGCAACCTGGCGAGTTGAGTTATTTGTGAAAAGCCATTTCCACACACAGAACATCCCATGTACCCGATTATTTATATGGTTGGATGGGGATCGAGATCCAAAAGCAGTAGACAAGATGCTGAACCATGACCCATTATTCGAGAAGTTTTTACCATTTGTCCAGCGGGGAGATATCGTTTTGATGACATGGAAATTTCCTTCCAGGATCCCACTTCCAAAGGGCGACAACACAGATGGGGTTGGCTATTACAAGACGCCTGGAAAACCAAACTCAAAGGGCGAAACACTGGTTGCAGATGGGTTACTCCGCGATGCCAATGACCAAGAATGGCTTGTTTTGACGGAGAAGCAAATGACGTTCCTCCCCGTTGCAGTCTCAGACGCTGTACGTTTCGTCGTTCTACACATTTATGGAGGAGCCTACTTCGATATGGACGTTGTTATGCTCAGAGACATGCGCCCACTATTAATCGGAGATGACCACTCGTTCGCTGAGCGATGGGGTGGACATCCTTCTCCTGGAGATTACAACACTGCCATTATGTCTCTATCTGCCAATTCTTCGCTCTCCTCCTATCTCCTCCGTGGAGGAGTTCGAATGGGTCTCAATTTCCACCCGAGAGTGATTGGAGTTATGACGGTCAAAGATCATCGAAATCAAGAGTTCCACATGTTAGAGACGGCAGCATTTGACCCAATTTGGACAGAATTCAACTGGGGTAGACTAGGAAAATGCACTGTGCCATGTCTACACGATTATGGGCAAGTCTTCAAGGGGAAGAAAGCATTCCCGTTGGACGATGAGTGGGAAAGTTATGACGGACCACAGCTGAAGTTGGCATCGGACAAGGCAAGAACCAGGGGGCATTTCTGGGAAATAAAGAGGGATGAGAATGCAGTTGAGGAAAGAGCGGAAGCAAAGTCTGAAGAGTCAGAGTCGGTATTCGACAAAGACGCTCTGATGAAGGCGGAGTACAAAATTGAGGAAGACAACTATCCGCCAACGAACCGTACGATGGAGCACTTCCTCCGGGGTGCGTGGACATATCACGTTCATAACCAGGTTAGTTATGCTGATTTCTTCCTTGGAACTTATTACTAATGTTCGAATAGTGGCTCAAGAACCCTGAACCATCTTCATGGTTGAACGTGATCCAGCGCGCCCACGATGGCTTTTTCTCTCACGGCCGTAAAAACCCATACGGTGAGAAATGGGACGGTCCAGATATACCCCACTACGAAATCAGCTGGGAATACCCTTAGACGCCTTCCAGATTCCACCTTTCCTCCCTTCTCTCCATATACCCCCCAAATATCATGCCCGAAACACCATCGATTCGGCCGATGTGTCAGGCAGAAAAGCCCCTGGATCCTCGACGAAGGCTGCAATGCCACGCCATCTTTGCGGGACATAGCTTCACGACCAAAAATAAACAGTTTGCTTCGATTCTCTCATGTACCAAAAACGGTACAAACATTATTTGGCATTGCATAGCATAGCATGGGACAGGATTCGTCGCTTAAATACACGCCACCGGAGTACATATGGCGATTTGCTTTATTTGTTTTCTGCTATTGGGCAATTGTTCAAGTGGGAAGAGATGTGACATTCCTGGCGTTTTCAAATTCGGAGTCGCCGGTTACATTCGCTGTATCGTCCTTTTTTTTTTTTTAGATCACTCAGGAGTTTTGGATTGGGAAACTTTTATTTTTGTGGCTTGGCGAGATAAAGCCATGAAAGAAGATACATGAACATAAGAAGGAGAGTTGTGGGGAAGAGAGATGATTTGATGAGATGAGGATAAACACAGTACAGTTGTGCAAAGAGCTCTATACCCTTGAATAAAAATTAAGCGTTCGACTACTTACTGTATGATTGATTCCTCGACTTGCTCGCACTTGCATTCATTGTGCATTACGGAGTAAATCGCTCATGCCGCTACAAATCAGCAGCTTGCCCTAAAGAAACCCCAGTCCTTTAAACCCTTGCCTACATAAATGGGTAAGTATGCAAAATGAAGTCATCCAAGGCCCACCCAACATGTCTGCCTTGTTTTTCATCGCTCTTCCCCTTAAATGGACACATACTCCGTACACATGTTATCCCTCGCGCGCCACTTAAAGAGCTCGGATTTGAGGAAAGACGGAACGGAACGGAGGTTTAGCCGTAAGAGTGTCACTTTAGCTTAGTCTGATAATTATTACTGTATTATTATTATTGCCGTTAGTATAAAGACGGAAGGAAATCTTTGATTTCATTTTGTTTCATTTCACGCTAAATAGTCTCCATGGGGTATTTTCGGACGTCGATGTACTTCTTTAAATATCTTATTAGTCATATGTAGCGATTGGCTGGTTCGCTAAATCGCCAACATGCAGCATGCATGCATGCACAGGCAATGATTTTCTTTACAGCCTCCTTTGTTTGCTCTTCTCAGCCTTGTTTCAGATGTAGCAGTACCATGGTAAGCGCTGAGGTTTCCTCTTCTTCTCTTGGGAAGTTGGGAGCGTCGGGTTCTTTAGTGGGATACGTGTACGTGTACAAGAGTGTACGAGGCGAGGTGTGATGCGTGCTGTTGTTTTGAGAAGGGTTTGAGGGGTTGCTAAGTAGGTGGGGTAGGTACCTATACAGTATGCAAGGTGTTAATTATAGTTCTATTATCTTATCTATTGTCTTTTCTTAAAAGTTGCTACTGTACTGTACGTTCTACTTCTATCTATGTCTACGTCTATGTATCTTCTCTCTATATGCAGATCTACAAAGTAAAATGCAATTTCAGCATCTTCTTCCTGGAAAGAGGACTTGGTCACAATTTCGGCACCTGGAACCCATTCTCACTCCACTCCTTCTCAGCACTCGCCCTCAACTCCCTCTGCTCATCTTTCGTCAAGGGAATCTCATCCCCGAGTCTACGTTCCCTACTCTCATGCGTCTCCATCAAGCCGGCATTCGTCTCATCCCCATCTACAAACTCATAATCTCTATACTCGGTATTGGCCCACCCCGTTCCAGTGAACTTCTCATGCCCAACCCAATCTTCCGTGAAATAGTGCAGATACCCTCCATGCGTCACCACAACGATATGCTGGTCTTCATTGGTCTTCGCCGCTGCTTCAGTCCCCAGCGTTCGGAGGTAGAGACGCGCTTCTCGGGCCCGCGCCTCGATCGCAATGGCGGATGGTGACCATTTCCCCTTCTTACTATTCCAGCCCTCGTGCACAAGACTCAACTCCACCTTCCCGTCCTTCCCGAACTCCTCTACAAGTTTCTTGGGTTCAGACCCAGTATCACAGGGTAGATCGGACGTTTCCTGTAGCTCGGGTAGAGCGAGCACTTTCTTGCCGGACGCTACTTCGTTGGGGAAGGAGAGCAGGCAGGTGTAGATGGTTCGGCGGAGGGGCGAGGCGACGAGATGGGTGATGAGGGCATGGTGGGGGAAGGTTTGAGCGAGCGTCGCACATTGGGACTCGCCGAGGGGGGTAAGGGATGGGTCATGGAGGGTGTGATTTGCAGTGTTGAGGTTGTGGTAGCCCTGTGCGTGGCGGACTAGGTGAAGATATGTTTTTGCCATGGTCTGGTGGTCGAGGGTTGGATGGGGAGGGGAGGTACAGTACTGAAGATCAGTTTGTGGATCGATATTGTAGGGTTTTTTTTGTTGGTGATGGCGGGGGGTTCAATAGTGGGGTACTGACGTATTATTTTCCGACAAGGATGCTTGCTTTTTTTATGTGGCAGAAGAGAGAATAATAATGAGGTTTGTTTCTACTTTAGGTCTGAAAAATCAAAAAAAGGAGAGAAGAAAATAAGGGAGCTTAATAATCAAATGACTCGAAGCAATTAAGACGCTATAACGGGAGGCCAATTGATCACGATTTTAGGAGAGGAAAGGAATGGAAGGTGCACCGAGAACGGAAGGTTTGCCATTGAGGAATATCACGTGGAAGGGGCCTCTTCCTTCCTTCCTCCATCGCGTTCTTTCTTCTTCTCGAAACGTTCATTATCTTGCGACAACATTTGTTCAAGGTATCACTAAGTGGCTGATAGCCCGTTATGCTTATGGCTGTTGATCCAATTAGCATTTCAGGCAGTCCTCTGCGCCCCAAGCCTATTCTTGGCTTATATTACATGCCTACAGCCTGGCCCCTTCATACGAATATCTGCTGTGAAACCACATATTATGATCCTGTCTTTATCAGTTCAAAAACCAAGGCGACAAGTGTTTTTGTTTCTTGATCTTCTTTTCTTTCCTGCGTAGTCGCTGTTTTGCCTCTTGATCTCTTCTTTTTTTTCCTGGGCAATAGCTATTCCCTGCATCACCAATTTCATTTTATCTCCACTATGACAAGATATTCTTCTTCCTCTTGGAATTGTACTTCCTACCCATCCCTAGAACCTAATACTGACATATCTGGACTTGGGGTTAGTGTCTCGAGTTGAGTGGGCGGATTTCACTTATGTTTTCAGGTACTATCCGCGTTTCTCGGCACCGCCTACTTAACACTTATATGCTGTATTGCAAAAGTTGTTATCGACCACAAAAGACCCCGCCATGACTCGAACTCCTTGCTATGCCGTTGGTCCTTCGCGCTGAGAAATGTCATTGTAGCCCTGAGTGATCAGCAAGTTGTCACTGGAATATCGATTATCATAAGCGGTCTATCTCAGCTCCAGTCTGGAATTCAACTCTATCACTGGCAATCGATTTTCAGTATGGCTTGGTAGGCTTATACTTATACGAGCTATTTCAATCCACAAGCCGAGAAGCTAGGAGCTGTTTTAGGACCCTACATGCCGGCTCCTGAGACAGCTCATAGGCTCTCTTGGCTCTCTCCAAGCACTTGACTTTTACTATACTAATTCATTGTCGCAGGTTCTCTACTTCGACGCACCTCATTACTCTCACTGTTCTAAGGGACGAATTACGCTCGAACAAAACAGTTCGTCTTTTCCGCCTCGTCGGTATGACAATTCTTGTGCTCATGCTCGTTTGTATCCTTGTACCTATTGGGTATACGGTGCCATCACTATCGATCCCGTCGAGTTTTCCAGTCTGGTGTCTTTATCAACCTAACATCGAATGGGACTTTGTCTTTGAACCGCCAGGTGAAGATAGTCAGATGGTTGGAAAGAGTTACAACTACTTCTATGTAGCGGCTGTGCTAGCCGCCCTTCTTTACTGTTTTGTAACGCGGGTCTTACTGCTCTTCTATCAGCGCATTGGTTTACGTTCGTTTATTCGTCGAATGCCGTGCGGTCGCCTATGGAAGCTGATTGAGTCCTTCATTTTGAGGCTGGAAGATATAGAAGACTGCGCGGGTTTTACGAAGGCGATAAAATGTGTCGTGTATAAGCTGGTTCGCTCTCTTTATGTGTTGATCATTTCGGGCAATGACATGTATGGCTCACGAGCTTGGGAGGTACATCATCTCCCAGTCCGACATGAAAAATTCTAACTGCTAAAGATCACCTGGTTGGCTGGGACTCTTATGTGGGGAATGGAGAGGATGTTTTTGGTTCGAGGGGGCGAACAGATCCTAGAAATCTTTGCAACATCAGGATCTGATGTTGAACATGTCATTGAGATGCAAAATGTTTGGGGATTTGGACAAGTACTGTCCTTAGCACTTTTAGTTTTGCCACTTGCTAGTTTATTCGGTGAGCTGACTGGGTCTCCTATCTTTCATCATCACTATCTTAGTCTGCCTCTGAATCAAGAGTATTTATTGACAAGTGTTTCTAGATGCATTCTACTCAGACCACTCCTCAGATACAGCGCCGGTGTCTAGGGCTCCGCCATCAGAGCAGCTCCTACCATCCACTAAAGGATTCTTTCAAGTCGCAGCCGAGCGTCCTCATAGCTCTCTCAACGCCACAAGCATCGGGTATGACTTGTATGCTAATCCCTGTTATGGGAAGCTGCTTTGGCTTTGGTATATATCTTCCCTCGAGATATTAGTGGACGTGGTTGTGGCATACCAGGGATTCACTTTTATGACTCTGGATCTGAAAAAGTTCAACTCGTTGGAAGCGATGCTGGTGGCATATGCCTGTCATGCTACAACAATCATCGTACTGCTGTGGTTATGGATATTGATATTCACGGATCCAGATCTTCAACGCTTTTGGAAACGAGGAATAATGGGGCGGATGATGAGGAAGAAACCGATCTCTATCATTACATGGACGCTACTTATCATTGTTATAGTTGCTATCCCTTATATGGTTATGGCATCAGTAGTGGAATCAAGATTCCATGTGATATATGGCACACCAGGTTTATGGCCAACTATCAGCTAAAGAATTATTATAGCTAGGTGGATCACTAGGTTGTTGAATGAAGAGACCTGGCGGAGTCGGTATTCGCCAAATGTACCTGAAACAAAAGGAAGGCATCGTTGAGAAGAGCTGTAATCTCTGGAGTTGGCCGAGGAATCCGAAGGGAGCTTCCATATATGATAATTAGAATAGGTTGTTTTAGCGACGTTGGATCGAAGAAATAATTGAGGGAACCACTTTGGAGACTATTTCGAAATAACCATACGTTTTGAGGATTTATGTGGATTGCATGCTGGACGTTGTAAAACAAGAGAATAGACATAGCGTAAACCTCTAAAATACCGTATAGAAGGGTATAAGGTTGAGCAAGAAAAGGGGGAGCGTCCACGTGATATTGATTAGTAATTTTCGTCTTGCTCCTTGTTATCTTCCGGTGTTCCCATCCATCCCACTTCTCTTCCCCCGACGGTTCTCAACAGTGTACGCCGTCGGTCGGGCAGTTCCTCCAGCGAGCTTATCCTCCCTCTATCGCTCATGGGGAGACGGAGATCCGTAGTTATCAATATCCACTCTGCAAGTCGCGTCTCCCTTTTCGTCACTCATTCCCATTTTCTCACTTAAGAGTTTAATCTATTTCTTCATTTTTTTTTCTGCCTTCTGACCCCTACCATACTCTCAATTATTCAAGCTGTACCAGTGATTCAACATGGAAATTGGCGTGTTCATCCCAATCGGCAATAATGGCTGGCTCATTAGTACCAATTCCCCCCAATACATGCCCAGTTTCGAGTTGAACAAGCAAATTGTTCAAAAGGCAGAGAAATATAATCTTGATTTCGCTCTTAGCATGATCAAGCTCCGAGGGTTCGGAGGGAAGACCGAGTTTTGGGATCACAACCTTGAATCCTTCACTCTGATGGCAGGTCTCGCCGCAGTCACTTCAAAGATCAAGCTCTTCGCATCTACAGCTATTCTCACTCTGCCACCAGCTCTCGTTGCGCGTATGGCGACAACGATCGACTCGATTGCGCCTGGTCGATTCGGAATCAACATCGTGACGGGCTGGCAGGAAGCTGAATACAGTCAGATGGGTATTTGGCCAGGAAACGCGTATTTCGGCTACAGATACGATTATGCTACGGAGTATGTCCAGGTCATGAAGGAACTGTGGGTAAAGGGAGTCTCGAACTTTCAGGGAAAGCACTTTACTATGAAAGACTGTAAGATGTCGCCGCAGCCATCAAAAGAGATCAAGATTGTGGCGGCGGGCCAGAGCGGACGGGGCATGGAGTTTGCTTCTCAATATGCGGACTTCAACTTTGTCATGGGAGTTGGGATTAATAGTCCGACTGCTGTTGCGCCTGCGAATGAACGTCTAGTCGAAGCTGCCAAGAAGGCAGAAAGAGATGTAGGAGCCTACGTTTTGTTCATGGTTATTGCGGATGAGACCGACGAGCTTGCTCAGGCGAAGTGGGATAGCTATCGTGAGGGGGCTGATGTGGATGCTCTTGCGTGGATGGCTGACCAAGGGAGTAAAGATACAAAGGCGGATGGGAGCGCTACGGCGAAGGCCATCAACCTTCCTGAAGGTGCAGTCAACTTCAATCAGGGGACTCTGATAGGATCATATGCAAAGGTAGCTGGTTTGTTAGATGAGGCAGCGGGGACTCCAGGAACAAAGGGTATCATGTTAACGTTTGATGACTTCCTTATTGGACTTGACAACTTCGGAGAGAAGATTCAGCCGTTGATGAAAAGTAGATCGAAAGTTGGAACCGCGGCTGCTTAAGTAGATACTTCAAAGCATAATGTGAAGACTAATATTCCAATATGTCTTATTATCTGGTAAACATCAGCTGTGAGACTTAAGCTAGCATAGAAAGTCGAAATTTGCAAACAAGCCGCCACCACCAATTTCAAGGCATAAAATATAGATATCTTGATTCCACCCTACAATTGAACCCTCGAACTTTTAATCTCTTCACGAAGTGGTATTCTTTGAAAACTTACACGTGACCGTGGGTTGATTTTACACAAGGCTGACAAAAAGTATCTCTTTAACCTCGCTCCGGATTCTTCCACTGACCTCAACCTAGACACAATCGTGGTAGCAACAGGTCTGCCAGGAAAACAGAGTACCCATGGCTACAAGATCAGCTCTGCGACCGTTATTGCGGCCCAGAAAGTTACAATGCCTCTCCGCGCAAACTCCTCGATACTTCTCCCATTCCATGCGAAGAGCAGAGTCTCCGTCACAACAACCTGCGACTAATAATGAGAGGACGACACATTTTGGATTCGAGACGGTAGCCGAGGCCGAGAAAGAGGCTAGAGGTACATGTGAAGCTTCAATGTTTTGAGACAGGGCTGATAGAAATGATGATAGTTGCGGGAGTCTTCGACAACGTAGCAGCCTCGTACGATACCATGAACGACTTCATGTCCCTAGGAATCCACCGTCTCTGGAAGTAAGCTATCAATCCATTCACAATACCACTCCACTCCAGTCCACTCCCCAGTCTTCTGCTTTGCTTCTCCCCACGACTAACAGAACAAACCCTACAGAGACCACTTCGTCCGCTCCATCAACCCCGGCCTCTCCACCACAACCACCCCCTCAGCGGGCTGGACAATGCTGGACATCGCCGGCGGCACCGGCGACATCGCCTTCCGCCTCCTCGACCACGCCACGCAGATCAATAACTCCCCTGCCTCTACCATAACCATCTCAGACATAAACCCATCTATGCTCGCCGAGGGCCGGAAACGCTCGCTCGCCACCTCCTATGCCAACTCGCCGCGAATCTCCTGGCTCGTAGCTAATGCGGAAAAGCTAGATACTATTCCCAGCAACAGTATCGATCTATACACTGTAGCATTCGGCATTAGGAATTTTACGAATAAAGACGTTGCGTTGAGAGAAGCTTATAGAGTGTTGAAACCGGGTGGAGTTTTCGCGTGTTTGGAGTTTAGTGGTGTGAAGAATCCGTTGCTCGATGCTATTTATAAAAGGTGGAGTTTTGGGGCTATACCGTTGCTTGGGCAGTTAGTTGCGGGGGATAGGGAGAGTTATCAGTATTTGGTGGAGAGTATTGAGCAGTTTCCCAAGCAGGAGCAGTTTAGGGACATGATCAAAGAAGCGGGGTTTGTGGTTCCTGGGAAGGGATGGGAGGACTTGACGTTTGGAGTAGCCGCTATCCATAAGGGTGTGAAGCCTGTTGAAAAGCTTTAGGTTGCTGCCGTATGTTGATGCTAAGATGTATTATATGTATATAGTTGCTGAGAGGGCAAATCACATTGCGCTCATAATCATGTAAGACAAAAAGTACAAATGATTTTGTAGTATTTTCTAAGCCGTTCACACTTTACACAACCTACCGAATCCACCAACCAGCGCTCTTGATTTCTGGCAACTAGAATACACGCAACGCTCCCCGAAGCAAGTGATGCAAATAATAGGGATCAAAAGTACAGAGAAAAGCTATCATCGCCCCCACATAAATTGTGAAGCATAAGCTATTTAAACTCCACCTCCGTCCCAAATCATAATAACCTATTGATAGTCGGCCGATGAAAATCAACGGCCATTAATATCTTCTACTCACAAATAGTGAGAATTAAAGACGATGTATTGGAAAGCGGACTTTTGGAGGAAAGCAAGGGAATATCGAGTCGAAACGTGAAAGTTGTTTAGGCATCACCAGCGGCTGGGGTCGCGCTCGCTGGTGCTGGAGAAGACTCGGTTTTGAATCCTCGGCCACGTCCTCGACCACGTCCCTCACCACCTCGTCCACCCCTTGGTGCTCCACGACCTCCACGGCCGCCGCGTCCACCTTCGCTATCACTTGCACCACCGCCACTGCTTCGGTATCCGCCCTGTGGAGTGTTTGAACTACCACCTCTGCTGCTGGCCCATGTGCCGGCTCCGCCACGGTTTCCGGCAAATGTCTTGTTCTCTCTTTGCTGGAAGATCTTGACCAGTGGCCGACTTCTGTCTTCACTTGATCGTGACTTGACATCATCTGGGAGATTGGCAAGAATGCTGTCTCTCTCTTCTGTAGTCTTGAAGACAACCACCTTGTTCGATTGGCCCCACTTATCAATGCGGACAATCTTGGCCTTATCTTCCTCTTTGAACAATTCTTGGACGGCCTCATCCGAAGTAACGTTCATGACAAAAAGACCAATAATTGGCTCCGTCTGATTCTTCGGTCCAGGCGATGAAGCATCAGCTGTACCATTAGCCGTTCCGTTTGTGGCAGCTGGTGTGCCGGTCTTCTCATTTTCTTTGTTGGAAGTGGGGAGGTTGACAACATTAGATTGAGGTTGGGGCGTAGCTGGCTTAGGAGCTGGCGAGTCGCTAGGGGGGCCTCTGGGTTGTGTTTGGTTCTGTTGGCCACGCTGTCCTTGGTTGAATGGAGCAGGCGCCGCAATAGGCGCCGCAGGATTTCGTTGTGCCGGACCTGTTGGAGCAGATGCTACGAGAGCATTGCTTGAGCCAGGGGTTCCAGTTCCAGTCGACGGGGCTTGAGAAAGCTGTTGAGGGGGTTGATTTGCATGGCCTTGCTTGGCTCCTCGGTGGGCAAAGTTGAAACCTTGAGCTCTCATCTCGGTACCAATTCTACCGTCCTGAACCTCTAGAACTAACCATCCAAAAGCCGCATCAGCCAAATTGAAATTCCACATGTTCTTGAAGGCACTTTCGTCAACCTGTCCAGCGGCACCAGCATTCGCTCCCCCAACAGGACCGCCAAACGGATTTCCACCAAGAGCAGTGCTGGGCATCTTGTCGACTACTCCAATTGCATTATTTAGCAAGTTTTGCTGCGCCTCATTTTGCGAAATGGCAGGCTGAACCTCCCCCTTGACAGTCTCCCATACATCATTGAAAGATGCCTTTGAAGCAGCTAGCTTTCCACGGTAATGATCCAAAGTGGGATTGACGCTGAATTCATTATACGAACTACCATATCGGAAATGTAGGCCTGCGGAGATCGAGAAATCGGCCTTAAGGGTGACAGACAGTTGGTTCAGGAGACCCTCACGGGCTGGAGATGCGTGGGTGATGAATATACGTGTTTCCGTAGGATCGTAGACTCGGTTCGCAACATCAACGAGTTCGCCCATCTGTAAGAGTGTTGTCCACATAGTGCCTTGACCTCCCGCGATCGTAGTTCTTCCCTCACCATTATCGAACAGCTTATGCATTACCACCGCGCCACCAAGACCAAGCAACCTCAACTTTACGCCACCGATCTCCAACAGCATGGACTGGTTCTCGTCGATGATATGGAGCTTATTGACCTTGTATTCTTTGGACCGGAACTTCTCCAATACTCGCACATCTTCACATGCACCCCAAACTGTGTAGACTGGAACATCGAGCTTCAGGCTTCCGTCCAGGAATTGTGGTAGCTCGGATAGAGGAAGTTCACTGGGCTGGAAGCGTTGCTTGACTGGACCGCCTGGTGCGCTGATAGCCTTCTTCACATTTTCTGAGATGAGCGGTGAATATTGGGCGACGTGCTTAAGGGTTCTAGAATGGTCAGTTTTGTAGGTGGCGGAGCAAAGGCACGAAGTTTTCCTCACTTGTCCGCAATACGATCCAGTGACGTGCTATCGTAGAAACCAAAGTCTCCAGTATGAATGATGTGATCCGCGCGTGCTTGTTTCGCCAGTTCATTTAGAGATCTCAGATTTCCTGTCCAAAGGTCAGCCTCGTTATTTACTTTGACCGCGCTGCTTCGGTTCCATCTCACCTCGCACATCTGCTACGCAAAGAACTCTAACTCCCCCGGTCTGTATAACTCTGCCATTGTTAGGGAGTAAAGGCGCAGCTCCAGGTATACCAGAGTGGCCTCCGGCAGCACCGTTTGGAAGGTAGGCTGGGTTGTTGTAGTTGTGGGGGCGCTGCTGTAAGAAAGGCATGTCAGCTTCAAACTTTTTTCCCCGAGCGTGAAACCTCGAGTAGTTGAGTGTATGGGGTTGAGAGAGATGCTTTTGGGCATGCGATGTGTTGCTGAAGGAGAAGAGAAGCTGTTGATGGACGGGTTGAGGGACAACATACAGCAGCCATGGTTATGGAGGAAGGTGGGGAAGTCGCAGGAGGATTGGGAACAAATAAAGAGTCTTTATGCGCTCAAATCAAGAAGAAGAAGATTCTTGTTCAAAAAAGGGCTCTGCGGATGGGATGGATGGATGGGAGGAGGAAGGTTTGTTTCTTTTTTTGTGCAGGAAGGTGAGCAAGCAAGCGGTCGTGATTTCTACACGCAGAGCTTTGAAACGCGTATTGATTGGCTGTCATTAATAAAAGCGGGTCATTTCTAGACCTTTAAGGACTGACTTCCCCTTTCTTCCCCAACAGCATTTCAAAATATATCTTCCACAAACAGTCAAACATGCTTTCCATAGCCTCCTCGAATGCATATTACTATAATCTCGTGTGGCAGAATAATCATCACAGCCCCTCCTTTCCATCCAAATTTCAACTTTCAAACCGAGGTGATTATTGAGGGATGCTCGGAAGAGTTAACGGCGATTTGTATGCTGTATGTATGTATCAGTTGGGGCGAGAGACGTGAGAGCTACAGTTTGTTACATACATAGGTCATATTTTAGAGGATTCCTTACTGTCCTGTCGAGTGTCCAGGATAGCAGTCCTTTCCCTGAGCCATTGTTAGTCTTGAGATATTCGTGAGAGGGAAGCACACAAGTCAATTCCAACTTAAAGACCAAGGTGTTATTTACACATACATGCGAGAACTTGAGCTGAGGACTTCTCGCCCCATGATGAGCTTTTGAATTTTCATGAAAGTTCGATTGGCATAAGGCTGAAAGCAACACATGAGAGGCTTGCGCTCTGAGATGTCCTGAGCTCTTTGGTTCATTCGAAATGTAGGGATAGTGTCTCTTGCAACTTTTCTTTACATGTTGGATTTTTAGGAATTCTGCGGCGATTCGTGAAGTAACCTCGAGGGGTATATAGAATCACTCGTTACATACCATACTCACGTTGGCGAATTTGAGGACCGGCGTACCAGCATGCCACAGCCTATCATGATCCTCCAACGTTAGTTGTACTCTTCTTCCTGCAATTGAGGAGGAGCAGACTGGTGAACATTCAATAGTCCTGTCGAAGCCTAACTCGGCAGCCCACGTCCGGAAGCTCGAGGGTGCAGCTCCAAGTGTGTTGTTTACCTCGACGAAAGAAGCATCCAAAGCTGCAAATCGGCAGTTCAAAAGCAATTCGGTTCTGATAATGCGGAAGAAAGATTGAGGCCTGTGATCAGGTTGGCAGCTCTCCTTTCGGCGGGGGTTTAAGACCTCTTTCTCGGTGGGCTTCCACTCGGTGGCATTTGCACCGCAAACAAACTCAAACGATCGCCGAGGACATGTTTCTAAGATTGTGTTCGCAAAAACATGGATGTTTTCAGTGATCAGCCACTGTCCCAGAGATCCACCACTATCGTCGCGGGTATATGCAATTATACCCGTGGAGGAAAACAATAGCAGAAACATGACTTGGAAACCTCGGGTAATCCTTGCTACAACCTTGGGAGGATTCCAAGAGCTCTGGCGTGGGTCAATCAAAACATGCCGCTAGGAGACAAGGTGATAGCTAGTGGAGCACAACTCGAGTAATCATCTGTTGCCATCACAAACAACGTCTTTAATTACCACACCGCACGAAGTTGGCTCACATCTTGAATCATGAACCTAACTTGTATCAAGGACATCTTGGCGAAAGACGAAACAATCTTGTATGAGTTGGAATTGGCGACCTAATCAGCGGAATCAATCGACTTTTGTGGGAGCAAGGTATGGCTTTCCCCGCCTTAGGGGGTTTTTATGGTTGAAACCGGGCTAGCTTCTATGAGATTTATTAGGGGAACACATGCCCTGCTTGGCTGTCCGAAAGATTGTTGCCGCTTTGAGTTCATTTTCACACCTAGCACGATCTGGGCGCTCGAGATGAATGAAACGTATGATATTGCTCTTTGTGAGAAGTTGGTAGTGGAATTCGAGGTTATTGGGCCAGTTGATGAGAGACCCAACTCCAGATGAGATTCGTTGTATGTTTCCGCAATATGGCTATTGACACGCCATACGCGATGAGAATAATCTTGAGGGCATAATTCTCAACAAGTGGCAGGATAAGGTCATCCCGCCAATTCCGATTTGATGACAACTTGGGAATATAAGAAGAGTTGATGGAGGCATAGCTTGCTGAAGTGATTTGCAAGTACTTTGATCAAGGGTTTGAAACTGCAGAAACACTATATACAACAAGACATCAAACTGATCGACATGCAGCGCCCAAGAAAATATTCAGAGGGAGGTCCAGTCAAGCTCTACCAAACCACGTATAGCCTAACTATATAGGTATACTCAAGGCCTATGCTGGTCAATTGATACTCCTCATATTTCGGCAACTTGCTTGAGCATAAACTCCGAGACCGTAAGAATAAATGCTCTCTAGTTTGGAACCTTCCTAATTGCCTTTTTTGATGCTGACTTTGTCCTTGAATGAAGCTGTGAGGTCGGTTCGTATATCGAGATCTCCACTTTTCAACCCCTGCATGTACGGTACTGCCGCTAACAGATTCACGGGGCCGATGCCGATATCAATAGCAAGAGCGAGCTCCATTCCCCTCCCATCTTCAACGTTGCGTGGACATCGTGGATGTTCCTTTGGGGATTCCGTGTAACGAGAGTAGAAGCATACGTAACGGCAGTAAGATTAGCTTACTTAAATTACTGGTAAGGTGGTGTATTTCCTATTCAAGCTGTTGTAGCTATTCTGCCCGTCCATCGATATATTATTGATTTTTTGTCTGGTTAACTGCCTCTTCTCTTCTTAGCATAGTTTTTCCTTGATTTCTCGAGCTTGTTCTCTCAAATGCTCTGACCGCTTTTATATTTCCAAGAAACAGCAACAACAGCAATGGTCAAACACGATGAAGACCTCAACCACCCCATCGACCTCTCTGCTCTTTCCTCCCTCGACCCAGCCTTCATTTCCCTTTACAATAAGCATGTAGCTCCTATCCCCAACAAACCCATCGTCCTCGACTCCTTACGCGCAAAATATTCCACCCTCTACTCATACGGTACAGCGCCAGCTCCCGAAGCCGCAAAGACATATGATTCGAAACTGCCAGGCCATGGAGGGGCAGAGATCGAAGTCAGGACATACGAACCTGCTACCCCTGGGCCCTGGCCAGTACACATTGATTACCACGGCGGAGGTAATAGTACCCCAGGACCTTGGAGCAAAGTGCTGATCTGGGAACAGGCTGGAGTCTAGGCGACCTCGACACAGAAGCCCACATCTGCAAACACATCGGAGCCCTCGCATCCGTAGCAGTAATAGACATATCCTACCGTCTCGTCCCCGAGCACCCCTTCCCAACCGGAATCCTTGACTCCTTCGCCGCGCTGCAATACATAGCCTCCCCTGCGGGCGCTCAACAGTTCAACATCAACCCTAACCGGATCTCAGTCGGCGGCCCCTCGGCAGGCGGCAACATCGCGCTGGTAATGGCACATCTTTCTCGAGATGCTAACATTCCACTAAAGCTTGTAGCGGCGGGGACTCCGACGGTAGATGATGTGAGCAAATACACTTGTGCATCCCAGAGTCCGTATCCCTCGATGACGAGCATGGAATTCGCGCCTATGCTCGACTGGGCGCGGTTGAAGTGGTTTGATATACTGAAGTGGTGTAAGGATGCGACAGAGAGGAAGCAGCAGAAGAGTGATGTAGGGTGATTTGCGGATTTGATGAAAGCGCCGGATTTTGAGGGACTGCCGAAGACGGTGATTTATACGGCAGGTTGTGATCCGCTTAGGGATGAGGGAGAGGCGTATGCGAGGACGTTGGCAGAGGCGGGTTGTGAGGTTACAGTGAAGAGGTTCTTGGGGGTTCCGCATCCGTTTATACATTTGGATGGTGGTATGTTGTGCTTCCTTTCCTGTGAAACTTTGTTAACTGACTGTGTAGCTCTCCCCCAAGGAAAGCAGTATATTGAAATGTTAGCCGCCGAAATTAAACACTGTTTATGTAAAGATGTTGAAAAGTGCTAGTTGATGGAACTTTTCTATTTGAATATTAATATTATGTAGTATTAGGCACTCAGCTTGAGCCCCAAGTGTGTAAATACATTGGAGTGTCGGAGAAGAGATGGGTATCATAAATTAAAAAGTCATAGGTCCGCAGTCAATGCTGCTATGTATCAACACAAAAGTGCCATGGATGTGACACTGTCAATCTTTCAAGCCGTCGATCCTCAAGTTTCCGTAATGCTCTTCTCTCAACACAATCTGTAGTGAGCATCAATTTGCGTTCGTAGTCCTCTTGTAAATCATAAACACAGCGAGCATGGCGCATCCCGTAGCCCCAAGAGCAACATACAAACTCGTGCGATCTGGAGCTTCCTCCTCGCTCTTGGGGAACGCCGAGCTAGGATTCGTAGCTGCTTCCGCCAGAGTAATGAAGAGCTCACTAATGCTATTCCATGTAACACTGACATGCAACGGGGCGTTCATATTCAAGCCCATAGTGTACTCATCTGGCTGCACTTCCGACCTTTGCGTTGTTTTGTCTTGATCCGCTTTCAACGCCGTGTAGATACTTGGGAGCTCGTCGAGCTGAGGGTACTTTGTTCGCAATGAAACGATATGTGAGAATGAGTCTGGATCCGAAGAGTCGTAGGTGTAGCATATTAAATCGCAAGCATCTAGCTTTGCTTGATTCTCTAGGATTGCGGGCTCGAGATTACCGAGCTCCTCTAAGATGAGATAGCATTGCTTTCCACCCTGCAGTTCAACACTATTAACTGCTGTACGCGGTCTCAGCGTTGGCCTGTAGAGAGTATCGAAAGGTCGGTTGAGAAAGGCGTCTAGGAGAGATGATTTGCCAGAATGGGGAGCACCAAGGACATAGCAGAGAACAACATTTCTCTCTACGCGGCCTGGACGACGCCTCCGTTTCCGGGACTTAGTGATTTTGAGGGCTGAGGCAGTCGAGTCTCGGGGGTTTGGAGGTTCGAAGCCTAAGTACGCCAGATATGCTAAAGTGGTAGTCGGAGAAACGAAAGTGGTCATTGACCACTGTGCTAGCCATCCTTGGAGAGTGATATGGCCGGCCTCGTTACGGACGGTAGAGGACGGGAATGAAGTCTCCAACCAGAAAGGTGGCTGTCCTGGAGTAGGGGCAAAGAGCGAATCCAGCTCGGAATCGTTCAGGCCACCGTCGTTGTCCTGATCAAAAAGTAGGAAAAGGTCGACGAAAAATCGATAACCAGCAGGACTCAGCTCGGCTGACGAGTATTCCGGGATGTCAAACTTGGGATGAAGAAAGCTGTCTTTCAAGCTTAAACTATCTGTATACTGGTATTTCCGCAGAATGATCCATATAGTCTCATGTCTCCCTTTTTCTGCAAAGATCTTGTTAAGATGAATAAAGCCGCTTTGGTCGATCCCTTTCTGGATATCGGAATTTGGTGAAGCCCGACTTATAGAGTATTTGATATTTTCAAGATCAATGTCCGGTAATGATTTCTCGAAACATTTTGCCTGGAAATCGTGCATCTCTTGATCGTTCAAGTATCCGTCTTGATCCTTATCTGATAGATAGAATATTCTCTTCAGAGCAGCCACTGCAGCAGGTTTGAGGTTGCCCTCTTTCGAGTCGAAAAGAGGTGCAATTGGATGTGTGACAGCCTTCTGGCAAAGGAAGAAAACCTCATTAACATTATGGTGTTCCCGGGCGCTCGTCCGTATGCAAGAATCTATCTCCTTGAATTCCGCCATCACTGGCAACATCTCATCCTCCACCACCTGAGCTGTGTTCCCGTTTGTCGGCAGATCCGACTTGTTCGCACATAGGACAACCGGTACATTGACTCCGAGAGAGCGGAAGTAGGGCATCCAGAACAAGGCAACTCGCTCATAGCTATAATGATCTGAGTAGACTAGCAATATGACATTCGATTTCCGAATCTCTTTTCGCAGTGTATTTCGTTCTTGTGGTAACGCTGAGGTATCGACGATGGTCGTGGTGACATTTTCGGGAGTCCCAATACTAGGAGGGATTGTGATCTGAGGGAGAACGGATTGGATTTTGTTGGTTACGAAGACATCCTTCACCAGAGAAGTGATCAGACTGGATTTCCCAGTAGCCTCGTCTCCGCAGACACAAATGCGGACTGGTGATGTAAGCCAATGCTCCATTTGGTAGCTAGAAGGGGGATGACAATACCTGTAGCCATGCTGGTTTCGTTTTTGTTTCAGCCTCGCAAGACGCGGCTGTCCATTCAGTAGTTCCGGGGAGGAAAAGGAGACAGGGGAAAGAGCTGTACTGTGTTGTAGGATGTTTCTTTCCGTTGCCGGTCGCGCCCCTAGCTGAAGTAAGATTGAAGCAACTTTGCTTCGCGCAAAGAGCCGGTTCTAGGGCTGGTTGCGTCGTTCTAGGGTTGTGGTACTGTATGGTTAGAAATGTTCCATGGTTGTTCTGGCGTGGTGTGAGCCTGGCCCGACTTGTCAGGGTGAGGTCAGGGTGTGCATTTGGGCTACTGTACTGTACAGTACTTTCTCCGCATTTCACTATCTCCGATTATTTTATGGATCCTTCTGATCCTTCTGGTTTCTCTGCATGTGTTTGATATATCTTCATGCTCCTTCCTATAGCATGCATGCCTTGTCCTGCAGTACGTTATTCTCTTCCCCAAAATTGAATTGACTACTTACCGACCTTCCTAAGGACCCTTATATATACCAGGTATCAATCCATGTATGTGTACTACTGGCCAAGCGCTTCTCCAGGGTCAGTTAATCCCCATCCCGCACCCCACTCTTGTCGAAACACTGCACTGCACTCTACAGAGAGCTTGTCCTTCCCAGTACCCCGCATTCGTACCTTGCATTTCAGCTACAGGCCTTTATACCACACCCCCAGAACACTTACTTGCTTTGAATCTTAAGCCTCCTACTACCTCCTACTACCTCCTACTACCTCCTCTCCTCCCCCACCCCTTCCTATCCCCTATTTGCATACGTCTTGAAGTTTGGTCTGCACTTGGCAGACTCTACGGGGCGCCATGTTGTATGCCGCCTATATCCCCCCCCTCAGCACACCTGCAACGTGTTGGCGCAGATCACTAACAGGAATGACAGTGTTTTACCACCGCCCCCCAGATACCCATCCCAAGCTGCCTACAATTTGGCCGTCCAAAATGGACAGGCAGCACCTATGATCGAGACGAATAACATCCTATCACACCCGACAGGACCAGAATACCAACTGGTCGTTGGTGAAGGTACCGCGCGGCGCATTTGGCACAAGAGCGCAGAAACTGAAAGCAATCGCAGGAACATATACCTTGAAGGATGACTTACACCTTGCGACTCCTCCGCCCCATCCCTCCGAAGCCCCCATTGTCAATCCGAATCCTCTTGCAACAACTCCACAACCGGCCACGGCTGGGGTTAAACTGTCTCTTTTATCACTGAGCTCCAGAAGCTCGCCGCCCTTCTTGTATAGAGTGGGAACAAACCAGAGCACAAGGTCGAACCTCAATTCTAGCATACAGGAACATCCCGGCGAAGGAAGAGCATCCGGTGACCAATTCCCTTCCAGTAGTGATGGCGGAGATACCTCAGCGACTGGCAGTGCTAGAGCAACACTCTCCATTGGCTCTGCACCAGCTTTTGGGGAGGGAAATACGTTCCTTTCTGCCACTGGTAAGGATACTGGAAAACGACGGAAACCAAAGAACAATATTGCAAAGAGCAATTCTTCCTTTATCTCAAGATGCATTGTCCACGAAAACCTGGCCAAGAGGTTGCAGGATCGTCCCGCAGAAGGATATTTTGCCTTTGCAAACATCAACCGAGCATTTCAATGGATAGACTTAGCTTCTCCCCAGAAAGTATAGAAACTCTTCTAATCTCGATGAGACAGTGGTTGACTATTGAACAGGCCGAACACTTGACTAAAATTCTTTTCACTAAAGGGCATTGTCTTTGCCACGATATTAACCAGGTGACGAAAAGCCAGAGTCATATTGATCTCATAATGGGATTCTCGACTGGTGAAATTATCTGGTATGAGCCTATATCTCAGAAGTATACACGACTGAACAAGAATGTTAGTTGATCTGATCAGCTTCCAATATTAGTGCTCACTTCGGTTCTTAGGGGTTAATAAATTCGACTCCAGTGTCTGAAATTCGATGGATTCCTGGTTCGGAAAACCTATTCCTTGCGGCTCATATGGATGGTTCCCTGGTTGTATACGACAAAGAGAAAGAAGACTTTCCTTTTTCGCCGGACGAGCATAATTCTCCAACTAATGACAATTCTGAAACTGCTAATGGCGAGGGTGATTCCTCTACTAGACTTCATATTGACAAATCTGTGCATTCTAAGAATCAGAAAACCAATCCGGTCTCATTCTGGAAGTTATCAAACCAACGGGTAAATGCATTCGCATTTTCTCCGGACAATAGGCATATTGCTGTGGTATCTGAAGATGGTGTTTTGCGGATAATTGACTATCTTAAAGAGGAGTGGGTAGTCCCAATAACTGGTAATATCGGTTGCTAATATTCTCAGGCTTTTAGATCTGTTTTCGAGCTACTACGGTGGACTTCTCTGCGTATGCTGGTCGCCAGATGGGAAATACGTGCTCACTGGCGGCCAAGATGATTTGGTCTCGATATGGTCTGTCGCAGAGGCAATGATAGTTGCCCGATGTCAAGGTCACCAATCTTGGGTCACCGCTGTATGCTTCGATCCATGGAGATGCGATGATAGGAACTATCGATTTGGCAGTGTAGGCGAAGATTGCCGGCTTCTTTTGTGGGACTTCAGCGTCGGTATGCTGCACAGGCCAAAAACAGTAAGTGTGGTTAATGATTGAGTATAGGGAAAGGAAAGCTGCTGATTTGTGAATAGTCATCTGTAAGGCAAAGAGGAAGTATATCGTCACGCCTCGCCAATCCGTTGCAGCGAGCAGAGACATCAAACACAACTGCAAGTAAACTTAGGTCGAATTCTGTTGTTTCTGTTGACGGAGAATATGAGCATACAATACAACATGATGTGGAGCCAAGGGCAACTACTGCAACGCTGCCACCTGTTATGGTAACCTCCACCTCCATCAATATACACATAGAAACTGTGCTAAGAAGCTCTAGTCCAAAGTTATAGATCCAGACCCACTATGTTGGTTAGAATTTACCGAAGAATCCATAATTACTAGCTGCAAGAGTGGTAAGTGCATATACATCCCACCTGGTCCTTTGCCCTAATTAATTTGGCAGGGCATATTCGCACATGGGACAGACCTCGGGATTCGAGCGATAGTGATGTAATTTCCTCCTCGGCATAATTATCTATCAATGAAATGTTGGATATTGTACCATCAATCTATTGAGCGGGGAGATGACATCAAAATGCATTTTCTCTTCAGGATACACGTTGATGACCTTTGCTTACAAGAATTTACCAAACTTCAGACGAAGCAGGAAGAATCATATCATTTCGGGTTTTGGGCAAGCCGAAGGTCAGAAGCAAATCAATTGAAAAAGCCCGGTGCATAGGGCGTCATAATTTCTCTATTCCCAAATCTATGAGACTCCCTTACATCCCAACTTATTGACAGGGGCAACTCCCCTTCGTTCTCCCCAAAATCTTTTGTACACTCTTCCCCCCAAATAAAAAACATGCACATGCTCTCTATCCAGTGGGGCGTGTTTCTTACCTCTATAACCATGGTCCAGGCCAGAAGAATGCACGTAGTTACAATGGCAGTGACCAGTACCATCTGTTCAACATCAATGGTATACTCGACCCTCGAACGCATAACGATGATCGACACAGACTCCAGAACCTAACTTTCACCCGCACAGTCGACTCGAGACCCATAACATCATATCTCAACATTGCCTGCGCGAAGCAAACGTGCCCGGTATCACATATTACGCATACGGTGTGTCCTAGTGAGAAGCAAATCTTGACCGCCACGGAAACTGCCACACAGACGCCCTTTACGCCAATGAGTGTAGCAGCAGATACGTCTGTTATATATAGGTCGGACTGTTACTTTAGAGGGGGGTGGGAAAGCGATTGTCTATACAATCACATCCAGGACCAGAGACAAGACAGCTACGCCGTAGGATAAGGATGGCTCTACTCTGTTGTGGGGATATGTGTAGGCGCATATAGGCTGGAGTAATGGAGACAGCGTCTATGCACGGAAGTCATCGACATTGTTGAAGCACTTGGACTTCTGTACGAGCTGTGTATGCTGGACTGGAGGTTCTAGACGTGTTTATGGTTCGTGGGCATAGGATTTGGTCTGTAAGAGTCATCTGTTTGGAGATTTCCGAATATCTACTGGATAGACTGTTATCATGTTCAAGTACTTATTATTTTGGCCTCTGGGGCAACGTTTCCTCGGAGGACTGGTATGGCTAGCGACATATGTAATAGGAAACTACGTGCAAGCACAAAATATTGCTTTCTCTCCGGATAAAAATTTGGTGAAGATTGATTGAATGAAATTTAGACTGCAATCGATAAAGATCTGAAATTTAATGATCGCAATCTCTTGCATACTGTATAAGCATCGTGGGGCCCCATCATTCAAAAAGACGGTCGACCTCTTCCTCCGTATCCGCTTGAAACATCTTGATGACGACCCGGGAGAACGCGATGCACGAAACGAGACCCATCTTCAACATAGCCCAGATTCTATCCATACATCCATGAACCCAGGGTCCTACCCAGCTCCCTAGCCAGGTACTCGAATCCATGAGACAGATGTAGAGCGCCAATATGCCTATAGCCAACTCTACAAGAGCAAGCCAAGAGAAGCCGTCCTCGCCCATAGTCCTCCAGAACACAACCTCCATGAAATCCTTCCACGTAGCACCAGGATTATCCTCAGAGTAAGTAAACGCCCCCCAGCACGAACACAACGTTAGGCCTGACACTAAGGGCGCGAACAAGTGTAGTAGAAGCAGCAGTCCTTGCCGGAAGCAGTTGTCGTTTAGTACGCCTTCGTGTGCCAGGATAACGGAAGCAGCAACGTTGACGATGAGTGCAACTGTGGCTCCGAATTTCAGTCCGTATATGCACGCGAGGGAAAGGTGGAAGCCTTCGATGGCCATGTAGACCGTCCAGGTTGGCAATCTATTCACGCGGCCATGTGCTAGTCTTCCCAGGTGGTGGTCGAGCGCGACGACATAAGCGGCGATTAGTAGTAACACTATATATATGCCCCCAATCTGCCCAATCGCAGTGAACATACGATGGATACGATTCATCACCTCGTGCTCGCCATTATTTGCCGACAGGATAATGTTCTCGATAGCGTCCAGATTTGCATTGCCTCCGGAAGATGAAGATGTATGTGTCCGGCTTGACCAAGCTGCCCCCAGAGATCGTTTTGGTGCTGTTAGAAATTCTTCGAAGGCCTGGGCGCAGGCCGCCGTCATGGCTGTCGTGCAGTCGAGAGCCATGGCAAGAATAATTCGGCGACTGATTTCTGAGATGACCCAAAACGAATTCTGGTGTTCAAAAATTTCAAGCTCCCGTGTTTGAATTGGCCAAAAGGCCTTATGGTTGAGATTTTGATTGTAATCCTGGAGTTGTAGACGAAAGAAATAAAGCAGAATTAGATGATGGGAACATAATTTAAGCAAAATGAACTCAGTCGATATGATAATATTATTATTTCGATTGTGGCAAGTCATAAGTCACGATCCCTAAACTGCTTAGCTTAGGGTCCTTCCGTCGCTACCAATGTTGGGATGCGCTATAGTGAATTCATTGATCTTGATGTCATTTTCAGAAAAGCTTCAGTATTAGGTTCTTACACCAAAGAATGCTTAAAGATATACAGAGATTTTCTAAGCATTACTTGAGCACTGAGAATAGTCTGGCGAAGAGAACGGTGGAAGTATCGATGAATCTTAAACCCCCAAAATCACGCGCAAGGGGAAAAGGCCTTCGGCCTTAGCAATTCTGCGTTCTTTCATGGCTTGGAAGACAAATTGACATGGAAATTGAGAATACAGCGGAGGCAGTATATAAAACCAATGGGCATTCATATTAGTGTAGAATAGAAGTCCGCCCGCATATACTTTTAGGATGCGGCAAAGTGTCTTTAGATGTATCTTGGGCAAGTGACAAGAACTAAACTTTCACACGTGGCTAATAGACAAGGACACTCGATTTTGCCTAGTAAATGAGACATGAAGCCTGATTGGGCCCGGTGGCGCCAAGACTAAGTAAGGTACTGCTACTGCAGATACATGTGTGACTACCACAAGGGTAAGTTGCATGTTCCCTTTGTACAGGAAAAGGAGGTCATTTTAAAGTTATGACAGACAGGAAGTTTTAGCGAACTGATTGCTTACACTATGCAAGTTTTGGGAGGGTAGGGTCATTTTCGTCCCTGCATAGCTTGGGAACCGGTAGAAGCCCTGCCCTGTCACCCAAGTATAAGCCAGAACCTATTTCAACTATATCTGAGTTCTGGACCGATAACAGACAATGAAACCAAAGGGTTGTTGCTGCGAGATTGACGAAACCGATTACGGCAGTGGCTCAAAAGTCCGAAATGCAACAGAAAATTGAAATTTGGTTGTGAAAGAAGTTCGAGCTACCCAGGCACCCGCGCGGCTAAGGTACTGACCTGGGTAGGTACGCTAGATCTTCGTCGATGGGTACATTCGCTGACACGCTAGTTCAGCTTCAGAGTGTGATGTACAACAGAATATCATTATGTGATGTTTCGTCCTAGTCCACAACCGGGACTGCCATAACTCCACTTCCAAAAAATTGGCTGATGGTACCAAATCTGTCATCACTCCGCGCTAATGCGTCCAGAAACATGTCATGTTTATCAGTGCTCTCTTCCTGGGCTCTTCTAACGGCGCGAATAGTATCGGTTTGATTTCGACACTTAGGACACTCGCCCTCTACATTTCCATCTTCATCGAGCTGCACGTTGATGCAGTGCTGATGAAAGCTGTGCTTGCAGAGAAAATGCACAGTAGGCAGATTCAATGGCAGGGAGCAGAAAGAACAGCGTGTGTTGTTGTACGTTTGGGGTTTTGTTGCGAGGTCGGTAATTTCTTGCCGCTTATCATGAGTCTCATTGCGATATGAATCGATCAGCTGTCGATTGGAAGCGATCTCCTTCCGCTCACGTTCGATGGTCTGCTGGAGGTAGGTTTTAATCATTCCCATCGTCGCTACAGCATTCGTGCTCAAAGTTTGGATAACTTGCAATGGTGCCATGAGGCGATCATTGTTAATTTTCTTCAGCACAACATCAAGCTCATCACCAGCTTCCTCAAGGATACGTGGGTCCGACGTGAAGTAAGACAGAGCAGCTGGATAGAGCTGTGGTTCTTCTGGGCCGTATCTTCGAAGTGCTTTGATGGCGCCACGAGTGTCTTTGGCTGAAGTATAAGAACGGAAGATATCAAATCGAAGCCCGGCTTGCTCGCGAACAAGAGTAGTGCCATCCCGGAAATTGGATAGATGGGACAGCAGAAGAACGTTGGAAGTATCGATTGGAATATCCTTCCCTTCAATCAGCTTTTTGGCTTTGGCCTCCCACTCTTCTCTGTTGTCGCCTTTCTTTTCGTTGGACTTGTGAAGATACATTTCAAATAAAGTCGTGTAGAGATCGATTTTATCGCGCTCCTTGAGGTCCTCCTCTTTGATACAAGCTTCCAAGAAGACTATAAATTCATCCGGATGATCAACAAAGGAGGAGAACACAGTCCTTGGCTGTGGCGATGTATATTGAAGAGCCGATAAAGGATCTGCGGTTCCGACGACTTGGTTGTCACTGACCGTAGTAGCAATATTCCCCTGGGCAGCTGGGGATTCGACGGCGGAGGCGTTCATGTAAGGTAATGGAAGGAGGTCTTTCAAATTTTGTACCGCATTTACCGCTCCAGCCGCATAACCTGGCTGCTGAACGGCTTTTTCCACTTCAATGGCATCCGTTTTGGGTTGGTACCGACCGGTGAAGTAGTCAATAAAAATTTGAGTCGTTTCTTTCGAACAATGCTCCAAGAGAACTCTCGCGTATTTCATCAAGTTAGGATACATCTTTTCGTGGTCAGAGATAGATGATAGGTTCGGGGTAAAGGGCAACTTACGGCTTCAGGTTCTAGATGCCAAATGTATTGAAGCGCTTCTGCATAGCTCTTCGAATCTTCGATTAATATGTCGACTACTAACTCATGTTCACCATGCTTAGTAGCGAGGTATGCCGCTTGTTCATAGTAGCCACCTTGTCTGCACATTGAAATTGCGGTGTCTAAGTCGAATTTTAGATCGCCGGGTGATTTGATAAACTTTTCCAGCTTATCAATATCCTTCAACTTGGCGTAGCAATTCAAGAGTAACGTGGTATGATCCGCAGTGGCTTTATGATGTTCATGGAGTTCCTCCAAATACTCAATTAGATTATGTATCCTTTGAGTATCAAGAAACTGATTACGTTAGTGTATGCTATTATATGCATGGCGGTCTTACCTTGCGAATAACCTGAGAAGGCTCAGTATTGTCGATAGCCTTCAGATATTGTTGCATTGCAGCATCATAGTCGCCCTTTTGGTATGAGTAGTCTCCATATTTTCGAAAAATGACATTCTGTTGAACTGAGTCCATCCCAGCCTTCTGCGCTAGGCCGATTGCGTGTACGAAGAGGTTTCTCTGGTACAATATTTCAAGTTTTTGTTGTAACGGCTTCTCATGATAGCGATATATCTAATCACACAATAAACAACCATCCATTTGAATTTAGTAGAGCATCTTACCTTGCCATCTTGCGTAAGAGTGAAGAGATCACCCCAAATCATGAACATCACCTTGACCTGAGAGACTAATGATTCAGAATGTGCCACAAACTTTAGATCAGTATCTAGCAAGGTAAATGTTGAAGTATTGAAGATTTCATCGGCTTGGGTACCACCAAATCTGCGGAGAGTGCTCGATTTGGTAGTGGTGGTCGCTGGCGGGGAGACGAGAGCAACATAGTCTTCGTATATTGTGACCAAGCTCTTTGGGCCATCGTATGCATAGCACGGGCCTCGCCCATCGACTCCATAGTAATAGATAGCATCATCTCGTACCACAACGATATCACCGTTTCTCTTGTCAACGGTCATGCACCCAACGGCACACCCCGACTCTTCCACATTTCGGGCCGGCTGTCCAGCGCCCCGTCCTGATATCACAAGCTTCAGGATACGGGCCGTCGTCGCGATGTACAAAGTTGTCAACTTGGACTCCTCCCGAAGCTCGACCCCAGTGACAGGATCTTCTGACTCATGGACAGTCCTCTGTTTGGCGCCTCTATCGTGTACTAGATCTCCCCTTACGACTGTGACTGAACCATTGCCAAAGCCAACTGCGACTTGCGATAGATCGTCAAGGGCTGTAAAGGCAGATACCTATTTGAGTTGTTAGTGGCAGGACCACATTAGCGGGTATAAAACCCAAGCAATAACCCGACGACATACCGGAAACGGTTTTCGGCCATTTTGTATATTCAGGGTAGACTGGCATGTTGGAAGCCCGGTCTTCTTTACCGGCTTGTCCAAGGCCCATACTTTCAATACAGGTTCGCTTGGAAGGTCTTCCTATTAGATATCAGAGGCGAAGTTGGAACATCCCAAGAGAGTTACATACCGATATTGTCACCAATAACGAAGTACCCTCCACCTGCTTCATATGCGTGATTGAGCCAGTATCGTATGCTTGAAACGTCCGCACGATTTTAAAGGCCGGGGAGAGGATCCGGACAACGCCATCGTAGCTGCCCAGAAAGAGACTGTCGGATCCGGAGCATACACAGCTGATCTCGTTGCTTTCGAAGAAGGATCTGCTCTCATCGTCGGGGGGATTGACCTGGCCGACCTCGAAGAAATCAAACGTTTTCCACTATACATGTATATACCTGGGTTAGCTGGCTGCAGCTCTGGTAGGGGAAGAGGGATATGGAAGGTCTGGACGCGTGCGAGGTGCAGCTCACCGAAGTTAATGCCATGGTCTTCCGAGGCGAATTTCATGGCCTGCAGCAGATTTGGATGGAGTGCAATATGAATATGCCCGATAGCCGCACGAGTTTCGATTTCTCTAGCCTTCTCTTTCCATAAACGATAGGTACGTAGGTACTACTGGGATGCGATGCTGTTGATACTCGAGTAGCAGTGCAGTTGGCAGCGGGACAGGGATCGCGAATGCACGCGGAGGCGGAAAGGGTTAGCGCCTTGGCTTCCGCCAACGACGCTCACTTCCAATACTGGAACACTTCACCATACCTGCGGATAGGTATGCTCGATAGATAGTATGCATAAGGTATGCTACACTACCACCACTACGACCCGACCCAGGCCAAATTTACACCCCCACCACACCTCACTACCTTAGACCTTTCGCAATACGGAGGTACTCCACTGTAACTACCCCCCGCCTAGCACGTAAGCCGTGGCATAGCACGAATCACTGAGCCAAAGTACGAAAAGGAGGGGCAAGAGAGGGAGAGGGGTAGATACCTACTCCATAGGTTACCAAAACACCCATGCTTCCGTGCTTCCCCCTCCCCCCTCCTACCTTGAGCTTTGAGGGATTGGACGGGTTATCTATGGTCGGTAGCCAGCCCAGCCCAGCGGCCAAGGCTGCTATCTCCAAACAGATCTGAGCTCATATCCTCCCATCATGGCGTCCTGTACCTAGATAAGGTAACATCGAATCGCATCTACAGCTCTCCTTCCTACCATATCCGATGCCCTTTGCTTCTTACCCTGGATTCCTTCTAGTGCCTACTGGTGACGGCACGTATGGATCCGCCGTCCCGCCATGTAGGATTGGGAAGCATGAAAACACATGCTGCTGTACAAGGGAACTGGCAAACATTGAACAATTTCAGACGACTGCCTCGCCCATCCCGAAAGCTGGGCCATGGTGCAGCAGGGGCTTGGGTGTGGTGTGGTGAGGTGTGTGGTATTGGGGAAAAGGTACACCACTCAACAACCTCCCACGCGGCTCTTCTCAAAGCCATGGAACCCTTACATATGGTCCCAAATGATGCGCCAATATGCCGTGTTATACTGCGAGGCACAACTCCTTGGGTCTATTCCAGGTTATGCTATCAAGAGAATGAAACCAGTCTTCGTCTTTTACCTGTCTATCTACTCGTATATCCAAAATACTAGTCCTAAGGCCACAAGTAACATCCGAAACTTGTCCGGCCCACCCCGCATTCCAGACGTCTTCCCGATGAGTGTCTAGGTAAGCTTATGTTCTCAACTCCCATCTCATTGGATGTCGAACGTAGTGACATGGGTCTTTTCTGGCGGGGTACCGGGTACCTCCCGCTGCAGAAATGTCGACCCGAGAAAGTCCTCACAGAGACAGCTTCTTCTTACGGCTTGCCTCAAGTAGATTGCTGCAGGTAATATCAGACTACCTCCTATTTCGGCGCCAAACGTCATATACTGTAGTCCGGCTATAGACTGCAACTCATGTGCAGTGGCCTTGATGGGTGTGATGATCGGGAATATCACTCTCAAGACTGGCAGTTATTACTTACTTCAGTAATCATATGTCCAGCTGCTCGGTAGTATGCTCTTTTGCTCCCAGATAATGCCAATTTCAGGATGGTCACCTGCATCATTTCCATTCCAAATCCAAGCGGGTTTATCAGCAACGCTGAGAAGCGAGGATATCTCCTTATCCGGCATTTAAGGGCTTTGAAAGATTCCGGGTCCATTCATTTATTCGGTCCTGATAATAGGAGATAAAAGGCTACGTGGCAAAGTGTTGTGGCCTCATTCTATCTGCACAATGCAGCAATGTAGCGTTGCCCCTCTCCATGTGAATGCATAGAGGGGAACTCTTTCCAAGAGACATGCAATAACACTAGGTCTGGTTGGAATTTCCAGACTCTCGGGTTCAACCGCAAGAGAGCCAGCCGATCAATTCAGTATTAGGTTGAAATTACCGTTCCTGTCTTACCCCCATATTTGGAGCTCTCCACCATGGTGAATACAGAGTCGTGCCCTTACGGGTAGATCTCCCAACCTTGTATGATTGGTCCTCCACTTTATCACAACATGAAATCATAGAGTACCCTGGGATTGGACCGGAAACATGCTATCTCATTATTCAATTCACAGCCTGAGATCAACCCCATTAACGTTCCTTACCGGGTTCACACCGGGTTGCTTGAATTTACTTCTGTATTCACCTCTGCATTCACATAACATAGGACTTCCCAAGATTAATCAGCTAGCGTCGTCCTTGGAGCTGGGAGCTACGACCCTCGACGGTCTATATAAACAAGTCCTTTATCCCCCTTCCTTCTCAGTTATCAACATCAAGATCGATCTTTGTCTTCAACAACCAGAAGCAAGCACTAATCGTCATACAAAGACACTCACATACTTAATACCTTTACCACCCTAGCACAAGCAATCAACTCATCATGGCTCCTTCAGCAGTTGATGTCTACCCCACCACCCGTCTCAATGAATTAAAGATCAAGGCCCAGGAGTTTGTCTCTCAGCAGACTGCTCCTGCCAAGCTTACCAAGACTCCCATCCAGCTCACTGGAGCTCTTGATAAGTTTGAGTCCTTTGATGTCACTCCAGTCATTGGCAAAGAATTTCCAAAGGCCAACCTTGCTCAGTGGCTTGAGGCTCCTAATGCGGATGAGCTCATTCGTGATCTTGCTGTCACTGGTAATTACCTTCATTCTCTCAAGTTCGACCACAGACAGCACCAGTTTTCAACTCTCCTACTTGATTTGTATCGCTTTTGTGATCTCTTTTTCACATGTTGATCTAACAAACTTTCAGTCTCGCAACGTGGCGTTGTCTTCTTCCGCGCTCAAGATGAGCTCACCAATAACCTCCAGAAGAAGCTATGCCAGAAGCTTGGTGAGCTGACCGGCAAACCTGCTGATTCAACCATGCACATTCATCCCATCTCCAACAAGTCCTTCCAGTGCAACAAGGATGATGAAATCTCCGTCATTAGTAACGATCTCGCTACTAAGATCTTCTGTGACCGCAAGACCGAGCAACACAAGAAGAAACAGTCTCTCAAGAAGGGATGGCACTCTGACATCACCTTTGAGCCTGCTCCATCTGATTATGCTATCTTGAAGCTCACTGATATTCCCACTCTTGGTGGTGACACCCTTTGGGCCTCTGGTAAGACGAACCCCGGAGCTAACAATCCTCTGTAACTATCATTGCTAAAACTCTCCACCAGGATATGAGGTCTACGACCGATTCTCCCCTGCCTACCAGAAGTTCCTTGATAGCCTTACCGCCACATATGCCCAACCTCTATTCACCCAAGCTGCTAAGGACCAGAAATTCAAGCTCTACACCGAGCCTCGTGGCTCCCCACTGAATGTTGGTGACGAGCTCTCGACCGAGCACCCAGTTGTCCGCACCAATCCCGTTACAGGCTGGAAGACTGTCTTCGCTGTCGGCCACCACGTTCAGCATATCAACGGATTGACTGAGAACGAGTCCTCCCACCTTCTCAACGAGTTCCTCCGTATGATCACTGAGAACCATGATCTCCAAGTCCGCTTCAAGTGGGACAACCAGAATGATCTTGGTAAATTGAATTCCTTTTCTTTTGAAATTGAACAAACATTAATCTTCAAAACAGCTATCTGGGACAACCGCTCCACCTACCACGCTGCTACCTATGACTACGACAACAATGGTCTCCGTACCGGCCAACGCTGCGTCGGCATCGGCGAGCGCCCATACTTTGACCCAGCTTCCAAGTCGAAGCGTGAGGCCGAGGGCGAGGAGTACTTGGAGCCTGGTGAGGGTTTCACCGTCTTCTAAACAACACCATTAAATCGCCCTTCCATCTTTTGCGTTTTGTCGGAATTTGGGCGGCTAATTTGGTGGTTTGTTTTCTTTTTTGGGGGTGGGGGTTCTTTCGGTTGCAGGCTACGGATCATGACTGATGATAATGCGATGATAATGATTATTCCGCTTGATTCATAAGTGGGTGCATGATTTGTCAATTATCTAGCGTTTGAGCTAGGTACCAATACATACATTGGATTTCTGAATATGCTTACGATTTGTGCTCTGTGAATTCAAATGGTGTACCTAATCTGACTCGAATTCCTACTTTGCACTTTTATAAGTTCGATTTGCATCATTTAAGTGTATTCATAAATAAAAAGAGGCTGTATTAAACACTATTTGTCTATTCAAAGGTTTGAGATAGGGCCCCTTGACATTCTGTCCCGGAAATATGACCGACCGGGTCAGCTTAGCTTCAAAAGGGGTATCCACTGAAAGGAAGCTCTTGCATGATAAGTTCTAATCTGCAACGTAATAAACCCTTCCAAATCTACCCTCCTCATGCCACTGCTGCAGTGCCGGTGGGAAACTGGGGAATGCCGAGACCGAGGCCGAACAAAGCAAGTATGGCATGCCCGAAAAGAGTCAATTGCAACCCGCAGGCCGCAGCAGCTTCTCGCATGCCCCCCTTTTTCGCTTACAGTTACATGCTTTATTGATTAGAAAGGAAAGAGTGATCCTCGTTAAAGCTGCAGGATGATATAATGTGCGTAGAGTAGTTGCAGGTATCTGGACTAGGAATCCTGGGTTGAGAGGAGAGGGGGGAAGTAGATGATATGTTTTGTTTGTCTTTTTGTTGTCCTGCACTCGCAACGAAGAAGCCCTCGCTTAGAGAACACCAACGATTACGTCTCGAAATGCACGCGACTTGCAGAATATAGAAAGAATATTTGATATAAAGTATTATCTGAGTATACTGGATGATTCATTCTGAATCAACCGTTGAAAATACAGTGTGTAGCGCTGGCCCAACGGTTCAAAATCACCACAAGCACCCATTATCTGGAATAACACACCTTTCATATCATTCCCAAGCATACTTGACGCCCCGCAAATTAATAGTATCTTTAGCTAGTAGCATAACATCCAGGAAGCTGCTTCCTTAAGCCTCTCGATATATACTCAAGAATTACCGCATACTGTCGGCAAGAAATCCGAGAACAGCTGCCGGATTAGCGCGGTGTATAACTACGTCCCCAAACAGACTTAGCCGTTGGTCCTGCTGTCATAAGAGCAAACTTTTTCAAGCTTCCCAAACTTTGGAGAATCTATCGAGTTCTCGCCTATTTTGCGATTTGCAACAAATCTAAACAAGGCTCTTTCTGCTTCGCTAAAATTATAACTATATAATATAAAAGACTCGGTACGTAGGTAGTCTGTGGTCTCGGCTCTTGAGCGATTTGCAACAGGACTCCTTCCCCAACCTTAACAACCTTTAGCGCCTCAAATCTATACCCATACTAGCAAAAGTTCCAAAGTTAGGACCCGGATAAGATGGTTGACCTAGACATAGTATCACAGCATGATCCGTCCCCTTCTTGCGACTTGCGACTTGCAACAAAATTATCATGAAAGCCTTGAAACGTTCGAGTCTTATAAAACTGGCGTAGCAATGGAAGAGCCTTGATAGTACGTGGGTGTTCTGGATATCTCTGTTGGATTGCAATAAATTAGGCCTCGCTTCTGGCAGCCTAGTTCCTTGAAAATATGCCACAAATGAAGTAACAGGCCAAGGGGTGAAAAATATACCAAGTGCTTGCTCAGGGATATATTGTCTTGGAATACGGGCTTTTGGGACAGAGACATTTTTCGAAAAAGCAGCGAGTGAGTACGACATGCGACAGAACTCATACAGAATATCTCTCAAGACTAGTGTCAAATCAATTCGCTTCCCAAACTTAATAATACTTGGTTCTTACAGCTGGTCTGGGCCATTCCATCGAAATGAAACAAGCCAAGAAGCAACCTTTTTTTGTTGGCTTTCAACGGTTCTAAACTTTGAGCTCCGGTCTCGACCTTTCCTGCGATGTGCAACAATAAATAATAAAAATCGATTTTTCTATTTGCGGCCATAAAACCGTAAAACTATGGAGAGCCAATCACATGTACTTGTAGACCTCCCTGTGCAAACAAAAGGATGACAAGGCACTACACCTCATCGTAGTATACAGCGCTGATTCTATGGCAATTGTAAATATATCCGTTTTAATTTGGAAAAATTGGAAACTTGTTAAGTAAGGGGTGATTCACGTGACTAAAAGGGGCAGCGCGACCAACCCACGAAGCGGTTTTGGCTTTGGAAGGAGCGACGCATTATAATAAATGATGGGGCTTTTATTAGTTGGCACTACTGACACATACTTGAAGCCCTACCAAAAGCCAACGGAGATTTGAGTAACCCACGTGGCTATTGGTTTGGAAGGTTTGCATCATTTCAATGTACCAACGAGGATAGAGAACATTAGAGATACCACAGTTCAAAGCATACAGGAGGAAGGAAGGGGTGCAAAATGGGTTCTAAGTTGTTTTGGAAAGCAAACATCCAGCCAAGCGCCATCGCTAACATGCAAAAAGTCCTCCAGTCGCAAAGACAGATATTTTGATAATGTGGCCAAGCAATACAGTCCATCTCATATCATCAATACATGCTATTTAGCTGAATCACATCCCAAGTCCGATTCTCCTCCACGATTTCTCAGTGTCTTGGCAAAGTTGTAGGAAATCGGCATTCTCCAGATTCTCACAGATAAAACTGTTAAGTAAGGACAGCCGCTGTTCTTCGTCAGCTTCTGCGTACCCGGGGGCTTCCCAGAGTTCCTTTGGAGCAGGTCGCGCTTTTTGCTTGGCAACGAAGTTATCAACGGCCTCTAGATAGCTTTCGGGTGGCGATGGTATATCGGCAACAAGAGCAGGCAAGTTGGTTGGTACATTAGTAGATACGTCGACCGGGATGGCTTTTTTGGCAATTGTGTGATCGCGACCAGAGAGTGTCTGGGTCTGGGTGCTGTGACTAACCATTTTTGGGCGTTTTGTAGCTGAAGGTAGGCGAATGGGAGCCGCTGCACGTTTCTTGGTGTTGGTAATTTTGGATGGAAGGCCATTCATAGCGGATGATGGTCGAGATGTGGCAGCAGCACTCTTCGCAGCTAGCGGCGAAGGCTCATCCTCTGGCTCGGCGGGCTGTTCGAAGACGATGGGCTGCTTCACCAAATTCTCATGTTGCCGTTCTTCATGTGAACCAATTTCATCTAGCCCAGATGTGACATTTGAGGACTTCCGCTCTGCAACACGCCTCTTCGCAGGATTCTGCGTTGGGGCGGGACTTTTCTCGGTAGATATTTCTCGTGCATTAATCGTTGAAAGCGTTCTGGCGACTAGTGTTGGTTTTGGCAAGGGAGGCAGAATAGAAATAGACGCAGCTCGTGCTTTTGATTGGGGTTTTGGAAGCGACAGCGAATCGTACTTGAATGGAAACATTTTGTTTGTATTATGATCGTTTGGGGTAGACGCTGGCCGGGCAGGATTGTTCCGAGGAATACGGCTCTGATTGAAAGTATCAGCTGTATTTGCAGCACTCTCTGAAAGCCCCCTAGTATTCCATTGCAGCCCTTTTTCCGAAGAAAGCCGAGACTCCATTGCGGGTATGGGCCCTATGCTTGATAGAAATCCATCTCCCTGGGATGACAGCGAGGATGGAAACCTTTCGTAGAGACTTTGGCGAGAGTTTGAAAGCGAGATTTGTTGACTTTGTGACTAAAGAAAGATGAGCTCATAGAATGCAAGGTATTTTGGATATATTACGTACCTCTTTCTCAACCTGAAAGTCATACACAGCAGGAGCAGTGTGTTTGACCACCGGGAAAGCAGACGAGATAGAAACCGCCCGAGGAACCGAAGGAGCGCAATAAGACAAAGAGCCATGTGGTTTTTGGGTGTTTGAACATGACGAGTCTGGCCGAATGGGAATCTTGAATTCGGACTTTTTAGCTGATGATACTAACGTTCCCGAGATGGTAGGAGTTAAGGGCAGATTCGCGGATGCTGGTCTGGACATGAAGAAGGCAGCATCGGCACTTGAGGTTGATGGCGCTGGCGACGGAATTTGGAAAACTGGTGGTCGGACAGGAGGCACGCTATCTGTAACGGAAAGTCCAACTTCTTGCATGATGCTCAAGGCCTTCTCGAAGTCGGAGTTGTTGTGGAACTTCACTTGAAGTCGTCGGACCTTAAAGAAGGATGTTCAGATAAAGGCTCACAGCTAAGACACGCTATGGCAAGCTTGTACTCTGGATGCACATACCATATTGGGAGCTCGTGGGTAGCTCATAGCCATGAAAGGACTCTTTACTACCAGCTGAACTTGAGGCCCCGCGGAAGTAGACGGGTTAAAATCCTGGCAGAATTGGACTAGCTGACCGAGATCTTGCATTTCCTGACCCGTCTGTCAGCTCTTGCATTCGTAAAATGGCAAATGAGCGCAGTACCAACAACTCTGCGCCAGCATGGATCTTCATCACAAGGCGTTCATTGAAGTTGGCATGCTCGTCGACGACCCTCGTTCTTCGAATTATCAAGTCAAGGTCATTCCTGTTGCCAACATGAGTCCAGACGAAGTTGCGAGTTCCGTAGGGAGATGTGTTATGAGAGAACTTCGCAATAGAAATGGAAGCGTAAATGGGGTCTAGTACTTGCGAGAATAGTTGAGACATAATGGGATGGGATAGGTGAGGGGAGAAGTAAAGTAAATAAACACTATGAAGAAAGGGGAAGGGAAGTGAAGAAAAGTGTAGCGCAGATGACTGGATTGTTAGTGTGTGATTCAATGCTTGGTATAGTACTGGTATAGCAACAGTATCAGCATCAATGGCCTTGGTTCATGGATAGGACCATTTGACGTTGATGATGGAGTGAGTGAGTGATGTAGCGGATATACGGAGGGTATTTCAATGAAAGGGTCGAGCGAGTTCGAGTCAAAGCTCAAGCTCAAGCTCCTCAACAGCAGGATAAATGTTGTGCCGTGCCGATCCGCTATTATGCTTAGTCATCCACAATCTGCAAAGCTGTCGCGACCGACAGTATTGAATGCGCGTCGCATCCAGTACTGAACAAGATTACCAGCAACTGAGCGGCGGCGCATGACAACAACTGCAGCACAACCATAAATATGGCTCCTCCAAGACAAGAGCCGTCGCCCCCAACGCTTCCCCAGTCCTCCGAATATGCTGCGTTTATGGACAAACTTGCCGCATTCCACGAGAAGAGAGGAACAGAGTTGCAGCGCGAGCCCAGAGTCGGCAGCAAGTTTATCAACCTTTTGGATCTGTTCAATGTCGTTGTAGGGCGCGGAGGATATGACAAGATCAGCGACGAGAAGTTGGCCTGGAGGAAGTTGGGCCAGGATTGGAATTTACCTGCCAACAACCTTCCTGCTCTGGCCTTCGGTCTCAAGACGGTTTACTACAAGAACCTTGCCGCATTCGAGATAGCTGAGATACATAAGAAGGATCCACCTCCAAGAGAGATTCTCGAAGATCTGACAGCTAAAGGCGGAGCCCTGCTCTCCCGAACTGTTGACAACTATAAGCCAGCGCGACGGGAAACAGGCAATCTGGGTCATCATGATTCAGAGGCTTCGGGAGACGATGGTACGCCTTCAAGAGAGAGGAACGGAAGTGAGGAGACACCTGGCTCCGGTGGGAGAGTAACGAGAGGCTTGCGACAAGCACCCCCACAGCGAGTCCTATTTCAACCAGAAGTCCACTCATCGTCGCGACAAACCAGACATGTAGCGACGACCTCTCATACATCTACCCCACAGCATCACAATCAGCACCAATTGCCTCGTGTGGGTGCTTCTTCATCCTATACGCCTTCATTAAGTGAGCACCAGTCTCAAGCCGTGGAGAGATACGAACCTCGCCCACAAATGCCCCTCACTCTCCGGCCAGTAATTACTCCTGGCAATAACGCCGTAGAGTTCTCTAGGCGGCAAAAAGCCTATAGAGACACGGCTCTAATGGCAGCATATGCGAGAACTCCCGCACCTTTAAACAGAGGTGTAATGCTCCCCGGATGTAAGCCACTTGCTTTTCTTGTTGATAATTGATTGCTAATTTTGACGTGTAGCTGGTTTCGATGGCCCCAATATCTACGTCCGCTGTTTGTGTGCTCTGAAATCTGGAATTCCATCAGAGCAGGAATACGCATTGCACCATCTTGTCAAGATATCCATGGAACGAGGAGACAAATACAAGTTTGAGTCTTTCCCGGGCCTAGCGGAGGCGCTTATCGAGAAGGTCTTGGAGGTCAGCTCTTTGCTGTATAAAGTCAAATGGCGAATCGCATACACAGAAGACGAACTATCAGCTACCCCTGACACCCTCAATGGTATTGACGGCACCCCAGACATCTTGCAGAGGATTTCAAAACTTCCTAAGCTAGCCGTCGATGATAATATTCAGCCAGCCGAGTTTAGCGATGTGCTTCTACAGGTTAATGAAGCCGGCCTGACACTAAGAAACATGGTCATGCTAGAGGAAAATGCTTTGTATGTTTCTGAGATGTCTCCATTACGAGACTTCTTGACTATTGCGCTTAACCTCCCAAAACTCGATTGCCTCACAGAGTTGAAGCATTACGCACTTGATATAGCAGAGCAGCTCACAAAGTACCTTCACTTCGAGGAAACCGATCCGCTCTACATTTCGCTCCTGGCACAGCTCCAGTCCGAGGATCGAGGTGCAATTCTTACATGTTTGCGAGCCATCAGTAGGATATCCATGACTCTCGAGGAAAACAATACCCTGAAGGGAATACCCAGTGCATGCATCCAGAATATTTTAGATTGGACGTTGCTCAACGATGACGAGCTTCTCCATGCTTGCTTGGATATTCTATATCAGTACACGGCCGTCGTTGCTAATGTTGATTTCCTCACCACGAATTCACTTATCGAACCTCTTGTCAACCAGCTCACCCGCCTCTTGGCTCATGGTGCGAAGTATGCAGAGAGAGAATGGCTTCGAGGATTTGAACAAAAGATACCCCCCCTCCAAAACCTGTGACCCTTCCTAAAGAGCTTCTTAGCCAGCTTCTTAAGTTAGAGGAACCTGAACGTAGTTCACAGTGGCTCCGCTGTCTTTTTGAAGAGGACCGGGATGAGGCTATCACTCAGATTGCCCTTTGGCAAGAGTATCAAGCTTGCTTTGCACCTACAGTTGTGGAAACTGGACGACAACTTTTGCCAGCTGCTGAATTTATCAAAAACGTCAGCACGACATTTGCTGAAAAGGCAGCCGCACAAGTTCAACCAGGACCAATCCAGAAATTCATTATTAAGGGTATCAGAATGCGGAGCGTTCCCGTTGATCTTAAAGGAGAACCGTACAGCAAGTGCTATTGGAAAAGTGGTGCTTCTCCAGGTGATCAAGGACCCTGTAACAAATTCTTCATGAGTCCAGAAGAGATGTATCGACACATTCTTCGAGATCATGTAGGTGCTCCTGAGTTGGAAGACGGAAAGTTTGATAACTCACAGGTAGGTCAATATACCTGTGAGTGGGAACATTGTCGTCGTTTCAAGGGGAAACCTGCCACCAAATTGCTGCAACTTGCAACGCACATCAAAGTCCACCTGCCGCCACGACGAGTTCCTGCCGCAAACAAGGACTCTGAATACCTTGGCCCGCCTCCAGCGAAGAAATTGAAGCCTTCATACATCATCTCGCCACCAAAGCAAGCGTTCATGCTTCATTTTACAGCTGTGGATGAGCGTCACGAGGCTGCGGGAGTCCCTCTCAGCGCTGTCTTGGTTCTGCGCAACTTAGCTCGTAATTTATCGAAGACTCAGGCGGAGGAGAAAGCTATGAAGCTTCCAGGTGCTGTGTCTTGGGTTGATCGTTTGTTCAAACCTGTTTCGCCGCGGCTGTATGAAACCATGGCGCACAACAAGGCTTTAGTAAGTGCACACATCTTCATTGGTGAATTTGGGCTAATTGTAAATCAGACTCCATACATCACGGACTTGATCAACGCAATGAACGACGCTTGAACGAAGGGATGTGTAATTCGCGTAACTGAGCAATGGAATCTGTGAAATGGCGCGTAGGCGTACGGAATAAAACGGCATTTCCGAGGCGTGAATTAGCGGGCGTATTTCAAGGCTATGTATGTGTGGTGTGTACAATAGATACATGACATCCGGTAGGGAACTGGCGGGCTTAGCGGACGAATTATAGTGGTTGTGGCTTTTGAGGCCCTCAGCCTCAGCCTCCGCTTGTCAACTTCAACGATCGCGGACGTCTTATAAATTGCGTGATACTATTCATTTACAGCGTCACATTCAGATACTTTTACGTTTGTACATGATTTTGTCCAGAAAGAGCTTTGCCGCCTGAAGATTAAGGCAGCCAAGCATTGCTTGCACCGAAATTCACGAGTGCCATACATTCATTCGGTGATTCTTACAGGCCAGAGTCAAGAAGGCCACCTGCACTGCTCTACGAAGTTTAGATTGAGTTTACTCTGCAGTTCCACCCCTGAAATCCATGCGTATTTTGCGTAGGTAACTAGCGCAGCCGCGGCGTCAAAGTTTACTCCGGGACGGGTCATCTTTTCGGTGTTCGTACCTGCCTAGGTATACTGTACCTTAGGCTCCCGAAGGTAAGGCTCTCAGTCTTTGATGCCTATTATTTTCATCATTGTTTTCTTCGACCCTCGTAAACACCTTCCTCTCTCGGGAGGTTATCTCAAGACGTGCCGCGCATGCAACGCCCAGGCTGCCATTTTGTCTAGTTCATAGTTCACGCCCTTCCTCAATCACTCTAATATATCCCAGTTTCTTTAGAGACAACAATAAGTATTAGTGTTATTATTTTAGAATCAACATCTATCTTTGCCTCGATTTTCAGCATATACGATGGCTCTTACACTATCCCGCGCGGTGCCGCAAGACATCCCTGGCATAGTAGACGTGTGGTTTGATGCCTTTTACCGCACTGATATGGGTCTCTTTCCCGACACGCCGGCAGTGCGTGCCTGGATGTCAGACGCATTCGCTCGCAGCATGAGCGAGGAGAAGCAACACACTACTTTCATGGTCATGACTGAAGAGCAGCCTGACGAGAAGCGGAAAATCGCGTCGTGGTCGAAGTGGGTAGTTGAGGAAGAGGGTGGGCCGTCAGACTGGCGGTCGAGGTGGGGAAACGAGATGGCCGAGGGCATGATTGAGGAGAAAGTCGATGCGTTTTTTAAAGCTATGGAACAGCAGCATTGTGCTACTATGGGAGATCGGAAACATTTTTGTAAGGACTTACTAGCCTGTCCGTAATTGGGAAGGAATGTGCTCACATGTTGATAGTTCTCGAGGTGCTGGCAACTCATTCTGAGTATAGGAAGAGAGGACTAGCATCAAAGCTCTTAGAGTGGGGGTGTGCGACTGCGGACGGTAAAGGGCTAGAAAGCTATCTCGACGCTTCGGAAGATGGGAAACCGCTGTATGAGAAGTTCGGTTATGTGAATCAAGTTGAGAAGAAGAACCCCGAGTCTCCTTCTGCCCCTATGCTGAGGCCTGCGAATAAGGTAGAGTGAGTGGTCTCTGGAAGACGGAACCTTGATAGGAAGAAGACAGACAGCTAAACCGGCTGCGTTCCGGAGATATACACATACTGCTTCCCCAATCTAGCGTGTTGAGCAATTCTCGTAGTATTTGCAATATCAAGGGGCTTTTGGTCCTTCTTTACTCGTAGGATTTAAACAAGTCCTACCGGCCTAGTTTTCAGTTGCACCTACCTTTGACCAAACGAACCCCTGGCAATCCACATTTCGAATGCCGACGGCTTCTCCCCTGTGTCTTTATCGATCGCGTCCGGGTTTTGGTAGATCAGACGTCTTCTATGAGATGTTCTGTCGGTTTACTTCATTTGCACGATGATCCGCCAGCAGGGAAAAGCTGCAGTAAAGCCTCGCCCCTACTACTGTAACGTTGGGCGCCCCGCCAACATCGGCAACTAATGCTTCCACCTACTTTGAAATTTTATATAGTTTATATATACTAACGCGACGAGTTCGCTCGTTAATTAAACATCTTGGGCTGATTAGTGTATGGAGTGATGGTATGGTAATAGGAAAAGGTATCTTCGAGTCGCGGGCATATTGGAGAGTGCGGTTTATTTCCCCAGGCTGTTTGCTCTTTTAGTGATTAATGCATGTTCGACATACTTCGTACAAGGTGGGCTTCTTTGAAGCATTGAAGATCGCATATTATTTCCCTATCATGGCCTAGTTGTTTCTAAATAGTCTGAAATTAAAAATGTCAAGATACCACATCAACACCGTGTCTTTGGCATAAAGATCTAACTTGCAGAATGACTGATGCGGAATCTAGCTGTTACTCTATCTCTTCAATCCGAGGTCTCATTCCACCTGCAGTCTCGTTGCCCCGTCCTGGATTGACCGATAACCCGGCCAGTTCTCTGAGCTCACTCGGCGCGTCCCTTTCGGGAAGCAATGCGTTCATCTGCCAAGCCTGCAGTCCTTCAATTACATCTCTGGCATGCTGCTTCACCAACCCATCGTTGTCTGTCTCTTCCACGTACCCCAATATTCTCTGCACGTCCTCAAGACTCCGTCCCACAAAGCCAAAACCCAATTTCTTCCCTTCGGCTCGTGCTGTATCTAATGCCTTGATAAAGTGCATGACTAGGAGAATAGCCGCGCGGCGTAGAATTCCTTTCTCGGGCTCTGGTTCAAGAGTAAGGATGTGAATGCTTAAGTCTACCGCTGTAGACAACAAGCGTGATCCTATACCCGCAATATTTGCCTCTATTGCCGAGCCGAGAATGGATATTGCAGAAGCCCGGACTCGGGCGTCTTCTGATCCTCGCTTGCTCTCCCAGCCTGAAGTAATTTGTGACAGTATTTCATCGTCCTCGTGTGATTCTGTCTCGAGGACTTCGTCAAGCTGCGGAACCGGGCCGTCCCATACTTCTTCTGCTTCTTGAATTTTCTTCCGCTTCAGCTTGTTTCGTTTGTGTTGTTCTTGTTCGGTTTTCGGTCTGTAGCCTCGGCGACTGGCAACAAATATTAAGCCCTCACATACTGATCTAGCCGCTTCGCTCGAGAAAGCTGCGGGGTTTTCTTGGATGACTTGGAGTAATGCTTCTCCGAGCCGTAGGCGTTGATCCAACTCGGAGTCTTCGCTCGGATCGACGTAGCGGTCAATAAGATCTTTCATGACTGCTTTGGGGTGTCTGTGCGATAGCTGAATAAATGATTGTATGACCCTTAGGTAGATATACTCCTCGCTATCTTGAAGGAGGGATGAGAAGAGGACGAGAAGTGCTTGAATGTCGAGGATGGAGCTGCTGGCTCTGATTAAGTTGGAGATGAGTTCAAGACCTTGAGCCCGGACCGGAGGCGGTGAGTCGGTTGTCGTGAGGTATGAGATTGCGAGATTGTATGTTTTGCGATCTTCCAATTGTTGATCTGTCGGCTTACTTATTGTAGGATTCTCAGGTTCATTGATGGAAGTACGAAACTTCAACAACAAAAGCAAGTTTTGTGCCGTTATTGATGTTTCTTGATTGCCCATTCGACTGATAGTGTGTAAGGATATTTGAATTGCGTCTAAAGTTTTGGTTTCGGATGTGCCCTTAAAGCTTGGGGACGTCAAAACTATGTTTAACAAGCTCAACGCAACTGGAACTGTATCCTCTGTATTTAAATCTCCATTGCTGGAAACAGCAGCCGCAAGCACTTGATGAACTAGCTCAAGCACTTGATGTGAGTCGCTGACGAGTTTGTCTGGAAAGGCAGTCATCATCTTTTGCATAACTTTGGCTTCAATAAGTCTGGTTCCGATGTTTTGATCCTGGTTTATTGGCTCGATCCGTGTGGATATCTTTGGTGCCTGCTTCGATTTGCTGTTTTGAGAGAACCACTTGCTGCAGAGAGACATGAATAAGCTCGAGATTTCTACGTCAAATTCGGGAGTGGCTGCAAGCATTTCCAGCAAGGAAATAAACCGATCACCTGCCCCGTCGATCTCCCCCAAGACCGGTAAACTGTCCTGAACAGAACTAGTTGACTCTTGGATTTGTATGCCGCCGTCCTTCGCAACAGCATATTCCCAACATTGTTTATTTGGGTCCGACCTGCCCCTGAATGTCAGGTTCTGCAAAATCGTAGACAAAATGGAGGAAGTAAGTTTTCCAGTCTCGCTCGAATCTTTGGACGAAGGCGACAGTTGGACCAATGTGCTCAACAGCCGTCTTGCTGGCTTGCAAAAATTTGTTTTCGTCGTCTCATCGCTTTGGTGCCAAGAGGCTATCGCCCAAAGAGGGAGAAGAATTGGTCCCAGAAGTCGTTTGGCTAAGGAAGGATGAGGATGTGAAGTTAAGAGCGTCGACAAATTTTTAATGCCTTTGGCCACCTCTTCAGATGATACGAGCATGTTAGGAGCGCCCAAAGTGATTATTGGTTCTTCTAGGGATGCTTCTCGAGATGATCTTGGTGCAGTGTTTGGATCAATAGATCGTAGTATCGGTTCCACAAATGCTTTCCAGCCAGCCATTCCTGTATACGCACCGATTAGCGGATGCCTTAGAAATGAATCAAATCGCATACCGGGGGCACCATATTGCTTCCGCCCAAGGATTCCAAATCCAATAATAAAAGCAGCAGCTTTATCCATTTCCGGTTCCCCTTCTCCCTGAAGAAGAGAGATAAGTTGGGGACCAATACCCGAAAACCAGTGGTCGGGAGCCATGCCTCCTGGAGGGGACGAGAGAAGCCGTGACGCAGCATTCAAAGCTTCATGAGAGATCCCCGAACGCTCACCACTACTAGAAGGAGCATTGAGTCGAGAACTCGGGTGTATAGAAAGGACAAACTCGATTGTATTTTGAACACCACGGGGTCGGAGGGGTAGCAGCGCAAGAGCTGATATGAGCGGTGCACGTAGCCATGGCTGAGTTCGACTTGGCTGTACGAGTACAGTCAACACCGGAAGAAGCGCTAAACTCTTTGTACTTTAGATGGTTAGCAATACTCTGATGGGAGAGTCTTTGAACTTACCTGTCTAGGAGAGTCTTGAATGGTGCTTGATTTTGCCGTCTTGTCTCCTCCGGCAGATCAGGATCGTAGGCTGCCTTTCCAGATTGCAAAATCCTGTCCATCAAAGGCGGCCGGTTCTTACCCCCCGAAGCCTCCATTTTGAGTCTAAATTATCTTGTTGAATGCGCAGTTGAAAGATCGCAACGTGGTCTCAGGCTTGCTAGGTGTCGATCGCGTCTAAGTAATCCCAAGTTGACGATATTTTAACGCATATATACTAAATCATGATATAAATTCACTAAGGGAGAGCTGCTACCCAACTGTATAGTAGTCAATCTTGGATTCATCTGATATGAGTCTCAAACAGCAGACTGAACAAGCGTCCTTGCCATGCTACTAAGATGGGTAGTTTCGGTCTTTACTCGGCCCAAGCAGATACAAATAGAGGACCAGGTCTCTCCTTTCCAAGATGATATATAAGTGACAATATATGAAGTGACTGGTTTACATAAGCTCGATATTTTCTGATGAGCCGTATCACCTGATTTGTGATGGTCACATGCTCTGGTGATTCCTTAGTCAGCTACGCTAAGGTGGCACATCTACACGGCGCGTGTGGCATCTTCTCTTCTCTTTCAACCTCTTCCAGCCATGCTTCTCGAATGTCGATTGCAATGTTCCAAACTTCATTCCTAAGTCTTGCCTCTTACATCACTACCTATAATTGTCCTTCAACCGGCATCAGCTTCGAATCTCTCAATTGCAGACCCAAACGCGAGACGCGCCCCTTCGGATGACACCAGATGTCCTGTCAACACGCGACGGCAACGCTTCTCTCGCTCTTTTTCTAAGGAGCACTCGCAAACCAAGCATTTCACCTTCCCAACAGTTCTCTGATTTACATTCTCCGCAAGGAAGTATCGTGGTCAGAACTTAACCCTAAGTAATTGTTGGTTCTAGCTTTGCGGTCACAGTTATTCGTCCAAACGACTAGGTCTCCGACTGCCGAGTGCTGATTGCAACGTCGAGAGGCTGAGCGTCTTCTACAGAGCATGGAGGTTGAAAAGTTGGAGGGATAGTCCAGATGTCGAGAGACAGTAAAACAGATTTCCCCCACGGTCAGTTGGGTAAAATCTTCAGTGAAGGTGCCGTCAGGGTCTTCGGCTGGGCATTATACTCTGATCATTACAGATCGTCTTGGCCGATGCTATAATGGATGATATGGGGAGGGGATATAATGCGGGAAGGGTACAGGCTCTCCTTCGAGGAGCAGTCTTTGGGATCTTCATCAAGCTGTCTCGAATCGACCAAAGCGCTCTCTGTTACCTCTCGATGACAATATGATTGGGTCCCTTTTGGGATTCAGGAACTGAGCACGATATCTCCTTTCTGGAAAGTCTACAAACAGACCGTCCTTGGTGTATGCTTCCACTTCCTCCTGGTTGTGATTTGGCTTTGATTGCACTCGTCTGAATCATTTGCATTGCATTTGTAGCGAGCCTTCATTTTGGCCTTCAAACAGAAGCTATACACCAAGGATAGTCCTTCAATGCACCTCGGTGTTATGAGGATATGACATATTGACATGCTCCGGAGTTTCTCGCACTCATTTGGAATCTCTCTTCTTGTGTCACCTGGGATGAGATTCGCTCGGTACCTTTCAGTGAAGACGTCCCGTGCCCTTCTTAATCCTACCAGTCTCGCACTGAGGACGTTGTATCTACCCTCGCCAACCACCAGAAACGCGCTCTCAAATAGAGCGCAGTCAGCTCACAAGACCTTGCCACGGCAGCAGCCAAAGGCATAGTCACTTCGGTGTGATCTCGATCAGCCGCATCAACTTTCTCCCCTAAGCCATGTCTCAGGGTCGATGGAAGACGCCGACACATCGTCATTTCATCCTCGTGATGTCTATACAACTTTCCCTCTTTCAGAGACGACAACGCGGTTTTTGTTGATGTTTTTTGTCCGCTTTCATTCAGCCCTGCCTTCTCATCCCATGAGATGCGCAGCGGAAACATAAAACTAATCTCAGAAGACAGTGCTGCCCAAACAGAGAGAAGCTTGCCGTTTGCGTTGGGGTTTCTGATCATCCCTAGTTTGGCCCGTCTCGCGTCCGGTCATCTGCTTGATTTCGAAAGCGCTGTTGATGATTCTCGACTTTTTGGTGTGATACGGTTGCAGATTGGGTTGTGCAAGTTATGGGGTGCGAAAGACTGAAAGCATGGTGAGATTCATTCCGAATTCCTACACTGCAGACTAGAATCGAGTGTCGACTGGACATGACGACGGAATAGGCACGGCGTCCAGATCGGGACCCATCTAGAGTTGGTGTCAAAGCTTAGTGCTTGTCTGAGCTGGGTGGCGCTGTACCTTTTGCCTGATTCTTTGAAAGTTGATACTTGTTTCCCTGGTAAGAGGTGTTTCTGGAGTGGATGGTCTCGGAGGGGATCGAAATGTGGGCAGGCTCGTTGGGGGTAGCCCTGGGTTGTCTCTTCGGAGGCAACCCCTCCAATTTTTGGGGGATAAGTCTACCTCTCAGCTCAAACGCCTCGATATGAATGGGTGCTGACATTTGTCGTAGATTGCTACGACGCGGAGCTGGTGGAAGGCAGAGTAAAAGGGAGCTCGATAGGGGAAGTCCGCCCTGGTGGATCCAGAAAATTTCCGTGCAGCTGTATACAAAAACAGACATCACTTTAAAGCTTCAATTTGTTCAATATATTTCGTTTGAGTTTTCCTCATGGGCCAGCAACCTTCAACCGACGCCCCAAATGCCCAGAGGTCCATTTACTCCTAGATTGCTTTCTCTACCATTTTGCAGCCTCCTCACCCGCCTCACCAGCATGCCCACGCCCAACGGACCAATAATGGTACATAATACTATGGCCCACGTGACCACCAGATATATCTCCGAGCTGCCACTGCTTTGCTGGGGAGAGGAAGCAAAGAGCCCGGTTGTTTCAGCTAGAGACGCGATCAGGAAGCCTATTTCACCACGCGCCGTCATCGCTGTGCCTAGCATTGCTGCTGGATAAAGGGAGAGTGGCTTTTTGATTTTGGGTGATGATGGTATCGGTGTCGATGAGGTTGCAGGATCAGCTGGTGTAGAAATTCCTGCTTTTAGCGGTGTTGTTGCGTCTTTACTCTTGTCCTTATTTCCTCGTGTTCTCATCTCATGTGATTCAACGTTCGCTGTAGTGCTGCTACCGTTCTTCACTTCCTTCTTGGGTTTTCCATACATCCACCAAAAGCACAACGCCGGAGCTGTTACGGTAGAGCGAATATACTTCGGAATGTGCACTTCCGACCAAGAGATATCCAGGCGAATAAGCCACATTCCTGTGACGAGTTTTGCGAAGAGCATGAGGATTGTGTAAACGATGCCGCGCCAGACGATTTCGCTATTGAACATGTCCGTGATTGGGATGGAGAAGCCGATTGATGCCTAATGTTTCGTCAAAACTAGAGGATATAGGGGTCAATTTGGGGTTGACTTACGAAGAAGAATGGTTTTAGAATGCGTTGTACAACTGTTGCGTAATATTTCTCGTATACTGCAATGCCACTCGATTCATGCTGCCCATCGCGAACTGCCCCTCGACCCGTCTCTTTGGATTCTGGACCAGAGCCTCGTCTTTCTGTCCTTGCGGGTGACCTCGTAAGCTCAATACCAGAAACAGAGTTACTCTGCTCCAACGCTGAGCTAGCAGGTTCAGGTAGAACAAGGCCCGTAGTTGGCCCTGAATGCTCAATCTCACTATCCCGCCAACTGACCGCAGCCCCAGCCAAATAAGCAGTAAAAAGATTCGAAGTCCCTGCATAACTAGCACCCGTAACAAGCCCAAGCAGCACCATTGTATGAATAATAAACGGCGTATACGTCGCACTACAAACCTTTCCCACCACGCCATCTCGCCTCGCCCCATTAACCAGCACAGTCAAAGGCACCACGACGAATCGACAAACAAGCGGGACAGTAACAGCAAACCCCACAGAAACAGCCACCGGCCTCACAACAGTGACACCCCTAAACCCCTCCTTTGCGGCCCCTCCACCCCCAAGATTAGAAATCACCTGCACCATAACCAACCCCACCACATCATCCATCATCGCCGCACTACTCAACACAACGCCTAACCTCGTCGCCGCCAACCCACTAGAACCGAGGATCGTGAACGTGGTGCCTAGACTAGTAGAGCACAGCGCTGCTCCAGCAGCAAAAGCCTGGAGCGGCGTGGCGTTCAACAGCGAGGAGTGCAGGATGAAGGAGAGAGCTATGGGGAGACTGATTCCCGTGATTGCGACCAGGACCGAGAGGGTGAGATTTAGTTTCAGGGCGTGGAAGTTTGTGTTTAGTCCTCCTATAGGTACATTGTCAGTAATCCATAACCCAACCGTTAAAATAATCAATCCCAATATTATATATTGGAGTATACCGTAGTTCAGGTCGGTCACTCGCCTTCATAAACCAACAAAACCAACCCTAGATACCCCAGCTGCACGATCACAGACTCGGTACTTCGGTCCAGCCATTTTGAACCGGGTGTGCCCCATGCGACGCCGATGAAGACTTGTGCGAGGAGACCGCAGAAGATTAGCTTGTCGAAGATGGTGTTGGTTATGTTGAGAGCGAGGAGGAGGGCGCTTTGGATTAGGATGGTTGTGATTTGTGGCTCGTGGTACGGGAGGAACGAGGTGGGTTCTGATGCCATTATTTCTTCTGTGGCTTTACTGGGGAAAGAGGGCGGGGGTTGTCATATTAAAGCCTCACATTGTGGTTGTTTGGTTTTATAGTGGGGTCGAAGGCACTATTTCAACGTCCGATGAGCTAGGTAACTCGTGATAGGGTGTTTTTTTTTGGGGGCGACTCAGAAGTTGATTCTGGAGGATTTTATTTACTGTTTCCGATGGGCTTTAGAGCTTCAATCCTATCATACCGGGTGTGATCTGATCGGCAGATGCAGTTTCCCTAAGAGTCCATCCAGTCCGTTACTTTTCACTATCATACCGAATAGCTACTGGCATTGCTTGGTAGTTCATAACTGCATTCGTATCGCTCATTTCGTTATACAAACATTACTGTATGCCTGATCCCCAACGCCATATACCACCTCCGCTATCATAATACACCAGACACAACCCCAAGTGCCATGACTAAAGCAGCTACTACGGCCCCATTGAATCCACTCTGTATCTTCACAGCAGCGCTTTTCTTGCTCAGCCCAAACGGTAATCCTTGCGTGCTAAAGGTGATATTCTGTTTTATAGTGCTGTTGACACACTGCCCATTGACAATATCCAGACCTGTCAGATCATCCGGTATATTGAAAAACATGTATGTGCTGTTGTCCAAGCCCTTGAATCCGCTTGTGTCATAAGGAAACTTGTCACCGGAATCGGTCGAAGATGTATTTCTCAACAAAATACACTTCACCTGTCCAGGGAATTCGGTAGCCATGGCCGGGTAATCTTTCATCACATCTGAGTTGGACGTATCTGCAACCAGGATAAATTCCCGCTCTGGGTAGGTCTGAAAGATCTTCTCGAGCAAGAACTTGCGGATTGAGAGAGTAGCAGATACATCGCTGAAGTTCAGTGGGCGCGTGTCGAAAGAGCCGCCTGGGTAGGTTTTGTAAATAAAATCCATGTAATTCCTCGTTACCTGCTCTGGCGTAGTCGTTAGGTAGTGGAAATGGAAGTCAGGGATACTCTGAGACCAGTTGGCGTAGATAGATGGCATGTTCATCCATGGTGTGAATGCCTTCGCAAAGGAGTTTAGGAGCCCGTCTGCCGGTTGGTAGATTCGTGTTACACGCAGGATATCGTCAATATCGGAGATGATCGTGAGACCAGCCGTGGGAACAAGGAATGAGGTTGCGTTGCCAATGTCGGTCCCGTTGGTGTAAACGTTTATCCGCTGGATCTGGGTGGTGTCGTTTCCGGGGAGCAGATATCCACCTGACCCAGAAACATTTGCAAGGGGAATAAATGTATCGAAATCTCCCTCTACTGTAGTTTCTCCCACATCTATGGTTTGTGCACCGCCACCAGGTGTAATGACATTAGCACTGCCACTGGAGGAGCCGTCTGCGCCTTGACTCGTAGCAGGCTCAATGTGCATTGTGACATTGACGTTGGCTTGCTGAACGACGAAGATTTCGGCAGTTAGATTTCGTGCCTGTGTCGCCTCTGCGGGCGGCAGAGCTTCAACTGATGTACCTATTAGGAATATATTGGCAAGGTCGTTCAACTTGGATTCGGAAATATTGGGCTGCTTGTAGACATTTCCGCGAAACCGTAAATTCCAGCCCTGATCGGTCCAGTTTGCGTAACCTCTACTATGGCATCAGCAAGAATACCTCGCATTTCGAGGGACTGACTTACGGGATGTTGAGTACCTGTGTAGGTGTCGCTGCAAGATCACTGTCGCTGATTCCAAGACTGCTTTCCACTGCAGTTCCGGTAGGGAAGTCTTGGAAGAAATTGGGCACACCACTGGCAATATAGGATGGGTATGTGCCCAGCGCACTTGACAAATAGCTCCCAAGACCAGTAATTGAGTCGATAATATCGCGCTGTTCAATTCGATCTGCAAGGACAGCTCGGGCTGTAATCATGGGATTGGGGGCTTTGGCAGCAACTGCAGCTGGGGTTGGGAGTGGCGCCGGCGCTGGAGCTGCCAAAACGACTGGTAGCAGCGCAAGAATGACATGGGGAAGAGAGGCAATCATGGTGAAGTTGAAGCAGAAGACGGGATTGGATGTCTTGAGCTTCAGTCAATAATACTATGAGAGTTCCTAGAACGCGATCAAAGTGTGAATTGACACGCCAACGATACAAAAAGAGCAAAGGGAAGGGGGTATCGAAAAAGATAAACAATGAAGCACGAAGCAAAAGGGAAGAAGATGGCTTTACCACTTGTGGTGTGTTGTTTAGCTCTTGCCAAGCCAAGCCGAGCTGAGTTGAGCTGAGCTGAGGCAAAGCCGGACAAGGAAGGCAATATGCATTTCATGTTCTGGATCCATTTCCAAGGCACAAGCACGGTATTTCCACCACTTCTCTAAATAGCGTCATCGCGCAGCAGCGGCGGCCCCACCAACCCCTTGATCTAACCTATTAAGTTACAAACTCCTCTCCGGGATGATTGCCACTTTTACATGAAACATCGCCCTTTCTTCCATAACTTGTACTCGTATCATTGCTGGGTTTCTTTGATAATCATGCAGGTACAGTACGCTATGTTTCTGTGTCTCGTGATTATTGCATGGTTTTGAAATGTTGTAAAGTCATAATGGAAAAGCTTTCTGGATTAAAGCTGTCTTAGGTATCATTCTATCCTCATTGGGCCTGAGTATTCACCAAATTTGATTTGCCTCTCGGTTTTCATGATGATTCTTCGTTCCTCTCCTTATGTCTACGATATGTTTTTTTTCTCAATCCTTATTGAAATTATTCATTTATAGTTGCACAATAGGTGCACCTGCGTTTTACACCACCTCCGAGAGGCACAAATCCGGCCCCAATTTGACACAAACGACTCGGATGATACACCGAGCAAACATTCATTTTTTGATCTCCCTAAGACGAGGATAACAATGTCTAATGGTGGAGAACTAGCAAGCGAAGACGTGGACTCAAAAATACATCTTCCTGGATCACAACTTGTGGCTCACAGGCTTATTGAACACTCATGACACTATCCTACACGTACTTCGCGCATTATTCCTCTAACATCTGCATGACACCTTATGTTCTCACTTCTTTCCAACTATCTAGCTTATCAAAATCAAATCGAACCATGTACGAAAAGCGCAAGAAAAAGTTTACTTGCGGCCACGTCGATGTTGGAATAAAGTACTGCCTCCGCTTCAAAAAGAACCCTCGAACACGTCCTATCTATTTTCGCCGGTCTGACAACATGCCACATGTCTGTGATGAGTGTTGCACTTCGAAGTGGTGTGGATGTGGGTGTGCTGTCATGTAGTGGTACTTCGAATGCATGGGTTTAAAACTTAGGATGGGAATGGAATTGGCAACACTATTGGGCATGGCCTCACAAGTAACCACTGAGCTGAGCAAAGTCACAACCATCTCCCTCTTGGCTCAAGTAGTGGACTGATACTTCTGCTGTTTAGTGTGGAATTTTCATGCGCGGGAGCTGGGAACTAAAGATCTGAAGTGAAGGTCACTAATTACAGCTCTGTACTGTGAGGCATCCATGGGGAAGTGAAGTCAGCAAAAGACAGAAAAATGTTATCCGGGGTTAAGGTGGAAGACTAGCGCTAAGGCCCCCTGTCTTTACCACGTTCATTCGTGTTTGCAGAGTATACACAATACAACGTTAGTAACCCTTAAACGATTTTGAAAACACTCAAGCATTGCCGAGTATATAAGTCCTACTTAGCTGTATCGTATCATTCAACTCGGTACTATGAATAGTGTAACATTAGTTTTCAGGTTCCAAGTAGCTCTATCCAACACGTGATTGTCCGATTCGGTCAAGAGACGACATCTCACGTTTGGAAGTTACAACAACGTAGCCCCGACTAAGCATATAATAACACGACTTATATTGTGCCATAAAACACGCCTATAGACTTCAGAATACCAGTGAGGCACTTCTAATGGCGCCCACGCCAGCCTACAGAGACGGTCTCAGCGTAGATAACGCTGACCTACCAACGATTATCTGCCTCCATGGAGGCGGGACGAATTCAACAATCTTCAATATACAGTCAGTTCGCATCCAGCGTGCCCTCCGCGACTCCTTCCACTTTATCTTCCCAGACGGGCCCTTTCCATATGGCCCGGGGCCAGACGTGTTGCCCTTCTTTGAGGGGTGTGAACCCTTTCTGGGGTGGACCAATAGAGGAGACGCTGGACCGATGCCCGATGAGTCGATACAGGTTATCAAGAAGGCTATTGCCGAACGCCAGAATATCTCAGACGTAGTAGGCATAATGGGGTTCTCGCAGGGAGCGCGGACGGCTGCGGGCTTGCTCTATGAGCAGCAGTTGAGAGATAAGGGAGGAGAAGGTGAAGGGCTTGGAGTCGACTTCAAATTCGGAGTGCTGTGTATGGGGACAAGTCCTCCGCTTACAGATAAGCTGTCGGAGAATGAATTGATTGCTGTTCCTAGTATTCACGTTGTTGGCACGTCGGATCCTTGGGCGTTTTCAAGTAGAGAGTTGTACGAGGGATTTTTTGATAAGAAGACGAGTAAGAAGATTGAATTGGATTTGGGACATCGGCTTCCAAGTGTAGAAGAGGATACTTACAAAATTGTGCACGAGATCCGGAGGTTGTATCGAGAGACTTCCTGATCGCTAGAAGCGGAAGCCATTAGGCTACAAGTTAATCCCCAGAATCATATGTTAGACGCTCTTGAACTTGTTCTTATGCTCTCAAGCAACAGGCTGATCATCGTCCGAGCTTCGAGGCACAATCTACCAGAGCAAACGGTGGTTCAGGCTCATCACCATCGTGGCTATCATTTGCGAATTGAGAAGTTAGATGGATCATTTTCATGTTAGAGTTGAGATAGAATATAAGGCAATACCATGCTATTTTTAACATAACCTGCCACCAACATCTCGCACCTCTGTGAACTTCACGCCCTAAGGATGAGCTAAAGACAACCCGTCTATTCTACCGAGTAAAGCTAATAATAAGCTCTTCAGACCGTCAAGGATCTTCCCTTTGTCGAGTCAGTCAGACCGGCACAGGACGGGGTATTTCCAAAGATGTAGCCCCTCACTAGTAACGCCACAAAGATGCCGAAACGCAATACAAAGATTACACCGAGTCACAGAGCCCCCTCTCGAGTTTCAAATGTCAGATTCTACCTATTTAAGTCAACCTTAAATTTCAAGATCCACAACAAGTAGCCCTAGTCCTATGCTTTTCACCTTACTTTGTTCGATAATACTGACCGCTAATGTGAACGTGGGGAGGACTGCATCAACTCAAACTTCTGATAAGTCTTGATCTGGTCCAATCCGTTAAGTTGCCGTGAGTTGACACGCGACGCAAAGTTACACCTGGCACGTATAACGTACCTATCTGGCAGAGAAATACTTCGTATTAAGAGCACTTGGGACCAGCGTAGGGGATATGGATTGTTGAGGTATATACCACGACCACCCCCTCGAACCAAGCTCATCCATTGCTCAATGCTTATTGAAGAAGATTGCAACATAGAAGGTTCCGTATATTTAAACGTATATGTTATAATGCGTCAGTTACTCACTTGAGGTAGTACACCCCTCATCATATAAGCCAACTTTGACCTAGGATGGTTTTACGGAGTATCAAGGACCACTCCTGAGTCCTGTCTATTTAGATACGCTTTATAATGTGAAAAATGAAAGTAGACAATGTCTATTGCTTGTCGATGAGAATTGAGGCATTTTCACTTCGAAGTGTTTTAATAGTTATCATTATCTCTAGAGAGACTATGAGGTACGAAGTAATATGGCCGCCGACCTAGAGATGTGACAACTTAGCCGAGAGAGAAGTCTGAGCTGTTGTAAATTTAAATCAATATAGAGCCTTAGGGTAAATTCTGCTTTTGACTTGGCTCGAGAACAGTACTTGCACCTACGACTCGGTACGCTTGAAGTAAGTTGTAGAATAGTAAAATAAATGGGCAATAATGAACGAACGTCTGTTGCACTTTAAATAAAAAGGAACAGTTTTATGCCGGTTGCCGAAATGAGTCGAGTTCAAGACCCTGCAGCGGGTGGGGGTTTAGTCCTGCTCGCTCATTGGTTCAAACTTACAGGCAATAAAAGAAAAGACGCCTACGCCTATGTACCCCTGAACTTCCCATAGCACAAGCATAGCAATACAGTACAGCACAGAGCACATCGCGAGCACTTCCTTGCTCTGCAGACGCTTCATAGCACTGATCAACTATAACTTATCCTATACCCACATCGCATCACTTGAAACGCCTCCACAGGTCAAACCGAACGGAGAATTGGTGGTGTTGAGAAGCATCACTTGCATTTGAACCTCGCCCATCGCGTATCCCTTCCAGTCGTAATTCGACCGTGTACACCCAAAGCGGAACATCAAAATTAGTAAGTCTCTGTCTCTTTTCCTATCCAAGATCCGAAGATATCAGTCCTTTTGAGAGAATCTGCTTGGAACTGCATGCTGGGATTGGTAGACTGCCATTGATCGGCCGTGACGTGTCGCAGCTGGTTGGTCCAATGCGCATTGAGCTTCACAGCTCTGTTCCTGATATCGGCAGTTCGCAGATGTTCTCAATTCATCAAGACACATAGCTAATATGCCAATTATTCACTACAGTCAGATTCCCGCGATTTTCAATCCTTGAACCTGTACGAACACCCAGCGCAATATGGCTGAAGTGGAAGCCCCAGAAATCACCCCGCAGGACCAGAATTCTATGGAAATTCCGTCTGTCGACGATACTACTGGAATAGCATCAGAAATTGAGACGGAGAAAGAGAAAGAGAAGGAGATGGAGAAAGATAAGGAGATGGAGAAAGAGAAGGATGCTTCCCCCAAAGAGGCTGCAAATGGCGCTGCGAAGAAGGAAAATGTGCCCCCGAAACGTGCTGCAGTCGGGGCCGTCAAGCGCTCTTCTGTCGCCCCAAGCGCAACCAAATCTACAGTAGCAGCAGCGTCATCGTCATCATCTGCTACTCGATCGACTGGTGGATTAAGCAAGCCTCCTGTGCGAGCAGTACCATCCACTGTACGAAAGCCAACCAGCGCAACCGCCCCAACATCTGCGAGCTCCAGCCACCGTTCACAAGCATCCATTGGAGGTTCTGGAGATGAGAAGAAAAAGCCACTGTCAAGCGCTCCTAGGAGAACATCTCTTGCTCCGGCCCACAACTCTCCATCAAAGACTGAATCTCTCACGGAAAAGCGGGGAGCGCCTACATCGTCCACAACCACGCGCAAGCCTGCTGGATCTATCAGTTCAGCTAGCCCTAAGACTGTTACGAGACCATCTACTTCCAGCAGCACAACAGCGAGAGCTACTGGGGCTACCAGCACTGCCGCCAGCAGATCTACTCCCGCTTCCAAACCAGCTATCTCGAGCACCGTTTCGGATGCAAAGAAGCGACTCTCGACAATTTCTGGATCTCCCAGTGTATCGAGGCCTTCTGCTCGCCCAAGTTCTCATGCGACCCCCACATCCTCGAAAGAAGTCGACGAGCTCAAATCGAAGCTGGAAATTAGCGAGGCTAAGGTTGAGGAACTTCAAAAAGAGATCGTGTCTTCTCAGGAGAAATTAGCCGGTTTTGGGAAGCAAATCGAAGAGGAAGCCGCTCGAGTGATTGAAGCCGAAGAGGACATCCGCAACCAACACAAGAAGATGATCGAAAAGGCGCATGCTAAGCACGAGGCTGATGTTCAAAAATTGCAAGCTCAATTAGCGGAAGCTGAGGTGGACAGGGTATCTGCTCAGGAGTCTTCATTGAAGACAATCGAGGAAGCTCAACATGCTGCTACTGCAAAGGGTGAAACGGAGATAACAGAGGCCTTGGAAAAAATGAAGGTCGAACACACTTCAACACTGGAGGCACTCAATGCTGAATTGGCGAGCGCAAAGGAAGCTAGCTTTGTTGCTTCGTCTGCCGCTGCTGAAAAGGAGGCGGAGATTTTAGCTCTGAAGACTCAACTTGAGCACGGTACGGCGGAGCTTGATGCTCTCAAGGCTGAGCACGAGACTGCGCTTGGCGAGTTGAAGAAGTCTCTTACAGCAGAGCATGAATCTGCCCTGGAAGCATTGAAGACGGCTCACTCGGCTGATCTTGCGAAAGGTAGCACTGAGGCAAGCTCTGCTTATGAGAAACAAATCGCGGACCTGTCTGAGAAGCATGAATCTACTCTAGAAGCATTGAAGGCCTCGCATTCAGCTGATCTGGCGAAAGGTAGTACTGAGACAAGTTCTACCTATGAGCAACAAATTGCAGATCTGTCCAAAAAGCACGAATCTACCACCAGTGAGCTTCAGAAGCAAATTGAGGAAGCAATCGCTGCTCGGAGTGCGTTAGAAGCTTCTCACAAGGAAAAGATTGACAATCATGCAGCAGATTCCAAAGCTGCCGTATCAAGGCTTGAAGAGGAATTATCTCTTCTGAAGACAAAATCCGACAAGGATGCGCAATTACTTCATGAGTCTACGCAAAACCACGATGATTTACGGGTGCAATCAGAAGCCGCCCAGAAGCAACTGCTCTCGGCTCAAGAAGAACTCAAGGCCGCATCACAGAAGTATGAATCACTGCAGACCAAGAGTGCAGAGGATGAGGGGGCTTTGGCGGCAGTGAAAGAGGAATTGAGTGGCGCTAAGGATCAGGTGGTTTCTTTGCAGAAGATGATGGAGACATTCGATGCAGAAGGAAAGACCAACGAGGAGTTGCAATCTAAGATCAAGTCTGAGCTTGCTACCACTGTCCAAAGCCTCGAAGATAAGACCAAAGAGATCTCTCTGTTGCAGGAGAAGCACCAAAAGGAGCAAGAAAAGCACCGAATTGAACTTGAGAATGTTACCAAAGACTATGAGAAGGAAATCGAGGCGTTGCAAGGCAATTCTGGCATCAAGGAGGGGTACGAGGCCCTCCAGAAGGAGTACGAGGCCCTCAAGGTCAAGCACGAGGAAATCACCAAGGCTCACAGCGACGCCGCAACAGCTCATGAAGCACAACTCGAGAACATCAAACAAAATCATGCTGCAGCTGTTGCCACACACGACAACTCTGTGAGCGAGCATCGACATGAGATTGAGTCCTTGAAGGCATCATATGCAAAGAATGTTGATGAGGCTAGTGACAGAGCCATCACTGCCATCGACGCTGCTCATGGAGCCGAATTAGAATCCGTTCACGCGAGCCATGCACAAGCGATTACCGCTTTGAAGCAGGAGTATGCTGCCAGCCACGCAACCGCCTCTTCAGACGCTGAGAAGCTTAAGGTAATTACCATGTCTTGTACTTCATTGTTGAACATTACTGACCCGGACTAGGATGCTGAAAGCGCATTGCAGGCAGAAATTTCCCAGACAAAGGAGTCTCTAAGCAAGGCTACCGCTGAATTGGACGCCCTGAAGCAGGAGTTAGCCCTGGAAAAGATGACCAGAACATCTGCCGAGGCAGACTTGGATGCTGTGAAGAGCAAGAAGCCCAATACCTCAGAAGCCGATGCGCTGCGCAAGGAGCTACAAGTTTTAAAGGACCAACATCAAGCCGCTCTTATGACTTCTCAGCAGGAATCAGCGAAGGCAACTGAAGAGCACTTGGCAACCAGGGCGACTCTTGAGAAGATCCAAGCCGACTTGCAAAATGAGAAGGCCGCGGCTGACAAACAGGCTAAGACCTCCGGAACCGACTATCAAGATCTACATGATTCTCTTGAATCTATAGTGCAGGAATCGAGCAAGAAAACTGCCGACTTAGAGGCAAGGTTGAAAGAGGCTGAAGCCATCATCAAGGTTAAGGATGCGGAAATTGCTGAAGAGAAGGTATGTAACCAGTTCGCAACACGGCAATATGTCTTAACTAATACGGGCTGCCAGGCGAAGAACATCGTCCTCCAAGCACCAAAGACCCCAACCAGCGCCAAGTCCCCACAAGGTCTCGCCGCCAGCAAATTCGCTGCAGAACCTGACTCTCCTGAGACGCCAAGTGCAAAGGCAGAGCCAGAAACAGAAACAGCGGAAGGTGAGATTGACCATTCATCTGCCGCACTTGCTTCGGTCCGACAACCTTCTCCTAATAGTCAACTCTTGTCTCTCTTAACCTCTTCCCCTTGTCCCTAAAAAGCAGACATTCCCTCTGCCGAAAGAGCGAAATGAAAGAAGAATATCATCGCTGACGAAAATCCTCTCATACAGCTAGCGAAAGCTAAAGTCACCGCACAGCAACTGGCACAAATGGAGGATGATTTGAGAACCGAAAATCTGAGGTGAGCTCCTTCCAACTAACCCAATTTGCAGAAACCATATCACTAACTTACATTACTTCAGAGCTCTCCAATCCATCACAGATCTCTCCCCCTCAGTGTCCGTCTAACTTGCGAGCTCTTCCACTCCACGAATCCCACGCCCTTCGCTTCAGAGCAATGCCACTTTCCCCCATCCGTCTCGGACGCACAACAACACATAAATTTTTTTAATGGCCCGCGGCCTCTTTTGCTTCCCTTTCCTTCAGTTATTCTAAATCGGCATACGATACCCCGGCCTAGCCTTGTCTGCTTCTTCGAATCGAGAGTAAAGCCATCGACTACATACACGCGGTCGTTTTTGTCTTTTTGGACGACGGATCTGAGATCTCGTTTTTTTGGAGGATAGTTTTACAGTGGTGCGTGCGTGCGCTTGCTCATGTTTGTAATTATGCGATGCTATGCGATAGGCAGATATTGAATTTTGTATGCGCGAAATGCCAATGAAAGTCTTCCCTCTGATTAAAGCCAATATGCTTTATTGAGTGAAGTTTGAGTGTGTCGGAATACGGAGCAAGTGAGATGGAAAGAGTTCGGTTTGTACCTGAAAGTGCAGTGACGTTTTTCGGTGTAAGGGAGAGCGAGACTTTGAAGCTCCAAAGAGCGACTTTCTTCCCAGCTCCTCAGATATCACAGTAAGGAGGAAATGCGGGACAGTTGTGTACGATTGCATCATTAATATGTATTGAGTCTTGATGCAAATGATACTGATCTTCATCCAGCTATTGCATACCCGACCCCAACCTCATTTTAGCTCCCAGCAAATAATTATAGTAAGCCTCTCATGATATTTAATGAACCCTTCATCTCATAAAACGCCCCTCGCTCTCCAATCCCCATCCGTCATTCCTCCGAGCTATATGAAAGCTAAATGCCATAATGTCGTGGGTTTAATCAGGCTCCTAGCCTTTTGAAACACTATATGTGATAATCCTGTCCTCTTATCCCGCTGATAATTCTGTCGAGCTAAATAGCACTGTTTGTTGTTGCATGCGGTGTGGCAAGATAAAGTGTAATTCGAGTTATCTCCGTATACTGAATGCTTGGTAATTGGTAATTGTTATGTTCACGAGAATCCTAGGGCATCTCAAAGTGCACCGCTTTGAATGCGGGATCTTCGGTGGCTAGATCTGATGAGTTCTCGACCGACGGCTCAAGTTTCGATTGTCTTGCGTGCTTCCGTGCTTGGCTGGCGAAAATAGATGGCATGAATGATTCTGGGCACCACTCCCTCGACCACTCCAAGTGACGAATACGCACTATGAGATCACCAACTGGTACTCCTGTTATAACGTTAGCTTCAAATTTCCAGGACTGTCAATTCGTGCCTGGTCTTACCTCCAATAAATAGCAGACCATTTCGAACCATAGATGCCGGTAGACCGTAACTCCCGAGCAGCAACATGCTTGGAGGAGTCGCAATACGAATAACCAAGTCACCCAATGAGCCGCCATGTTTGAGATAACCGGAAACAAAGTCCCCGGCAGCGGCAACTGGCCCGAGATTATCGTAAATTCGAGAAACTGTCAGACTTGCTTGCTCGATTTTCTCTACATGGACCACGAATAATTCAGTTGCATTGGTGAGGATGACTGAAATCTGCTGCATTTTCTACACAGATATTAGTCTGATCTACCTTGATCTCAGGCGGGTATCTTACCTTGTACATAGTATCAGTATGCTCGGATGTCACCTCAATTCGTGTCATAAGATCTTGCTGTTCGCGGTCAGAAACTGACAAATCCAAGGGGGCGAAAACTCCTACCATTAAGCCAGCCATGTCGCTGGCAGATTCTTGATTCTTCTCTGCCATTTCATGCAGAACTTCAAAGCGAGCCTGAATATTGTTCGTCGACAGTGATAAGGCCTGCTCATGCATTGCAGCCATTTGAGCATTTCCTTCGTCGGCTGTCTTGAAGAGAGCTTGTAGAAATTGCTGTATATCGGCGCTGCCCTGCTTCACGGATTTAATCGATGATGCAACATCCTGTCTCAAGTCAGAGGTCATTCATATATAACCAGGTCCGAAAATAAAGGACTTGCCTTGATATCACTCGATACTGTTTTGAATGAGGCTTGAGCCTTCTTGCCCATATCCTCCATCTGACTCTTGAACCTATCGACAATTGAATTTGTTTCACGAGCATGGGCTTCCAATTCAGCCCGCATGTTCTTCAAGTCCGCCTTTAACCCGCTTGAAAATTCGGTCATCATCTGCACAAGCTTCTTATGCGATTGAAACAGCTGGTCTTGATGCTACTGTTAGCATGTTACAACGGAAGTTTCAGAACTCACATACCATTGTCCATATCGATGCTGGAAGCACGACAGAAAAGCAAAGCAGTGTCACGTCGACTTAACCAGGTCATATAAGGCTTCTCTTGCTCGGAAAGCGATGTCAAGCATGCTCCCACAACATCAGCTGGCACAACCAATGTATCCTGATTTTCACGATCAGCTTGGAACAATGCGGCGCTGGAGAGTGCCCAACATGACTGTGGGACGGCCATCTTGACATCTTCCATATCACATATTGTCAACGCAGCTGCAAAACTCTCAACATGGTTCTTCTGCAAGCGTGACTTCGTGGGCAGGAGGTTTTCCTCATTGACATTTTGGAGTCCTCGGCAAGTGTTCATCAGCAGCTGAGCCGCGAGTCTATGACAGAGAGGTTCGTCTTGAAGACGCTTGAGTTCTAGCATTGCCTTGTCGTAGAATTCAGGTTTGCTTTGCAGTGAATTGGAACTTTCGGGAGATTTTGTGGACTCTGCAACATCTAGAGAAGGTCAGTTTGAAGCAGAGAAATTGAGCCATAGTTGTTACCAATGCTGAAAGCTGTGGTCCGCGAATTCCCGAAGAGGTTGAACGCGCAGCCCACAGTTGCCAATGTCACCAGCGTGATGACTTGTGATGTCTTCATGATGTTCGATTACGGGTGGCCCGTCAAGTTTGGCTGTGAGAGATTGATTAGGTACGAAACATGAATTGAAAGGGAAGATGGGAATCCGTACCTTGAGTGAATGATTTGGATGATACGGGCGATGAGGTGTGAGAGCACGTTGAACGTTGAGTCGTCTTTACTATGGAATCATCGATAGTAGTTGAGTGATAAGGTAGAGGAAGAGGTTGAGGTCGAGCTCGATGTACTTGGTGATGTTGAAAAGAGATGAGGGGGGGGGAAGGAAAGAAGATGAACCCTGAGAGACTATGAGTGTGGAGAAAGTTTGGTCGAAGATTGACATAAAGTCTTGCTGGTGGGAAAGACAGTGAATGTGAGAGAGAGCGGCTTGGACGGTGTTTGTATAATCGTCGAAAGAGAGTGTGAGAACGAGTGGGAGTGTCGAAGATATACACGAATTGCAGAAGTGAATCTAATTTCAACGCGTGCTTGAACATATTACGCTAACTTTCCTCTGCGACCGCTCCTGCCATCCATTGGCTCTTTTGGCCTCAAGAAGTAACTGCGAAACTATTCCGAATGAATGCTAAGGTAACGAATACCAAACCTCAAATAATGTGATTTCCAAGTACATGTAGTGCACCATCTTAGTGAAGATGCATAGAATAACGCCCTGAAGTGAAACAAATTTCGGATAATCGCAAAAGTAATACTGATACAATGATCCACAGATAGAATCTAGCCATTATTCACTTAATCAGTCTCTCTCTTGCAGAAGTTGCAACTCTTCCACGCTCTCGATCGTCGCTAATCATTCATGAATGAAGAGGGAACTCCGTACCAGCAGCTGTTACGTGGCCTCACCTGTCAAACAGCAGCTTGCTTTCATTGACGTAATTTTGAGGAAGCCTACTCGGGTACAGTATTGGACAATTATCCCAATCATATGTATTATTCACTTCGAAAGCCCCCCCCCCCCTTTCCAATGCTAAGGCCTACAGGTACCAATAGTTGATGAAGAGACAACTGATCTGTAAAGGACAAAACCAGAGCCCGGCGAAACAGGCGGAGGGCTTATCTCATGCAGTGCGTTACGGGCATGTATAATGTTCAGGCAGCGTGGGCCATGAGAAGTATTTGCAAACAAATTAAGATGAATTCAAGTTCTCCACCGCACCGCTCGTCCCAACCTAGCCGATGTTGTCTGCAGTCACGTGCGCCTTATCAAATCATGAACCTCAAAAAATATCGAAGCTCTATTGAGCTTCCCGAACCGCAAAGCATACACGCCATGCTTTCCTCAGCACGGAGCAAAGGGCTCGAGAGGGCAATCGCCTCAGCTCCTTCTGCCTCTTTACCAGCATTCCTCCTCCCGGCCTTCCCAATCGCTTCCTCACGCTCTTTCTCTTCCTCTCCTTCTCGCGCGTCGCAAATCGGGAGAGCACCTCTGTCGATACCTCCAGGTGTAGACTTCAATGTCCTACCTCCACCTGCACGGAAGAATGGGTACTTTTCGCCAGTAGCCGCGAAGTCGACGGTGCAGATTACGGGGCCTTTGGGTATGTTGTGCATGGAATGGGAATGAGAATGGAAACTAATTGGTTGCAGGCAAGATGTCGATGACTATCGCGCCGTTCATAAAGCTGGAGCATGATGCTGCTACGCGGAAGGCATTTGTTACAGTTGAAGATAAGGAGATTAAGAAGCAGAGGGAGATGTGGGGTATGTCCCATCTACAATCCTTCTATTAAGTTTAATACTGATTCAAAGCAGGTACAACTCGCGCATATCTACAAAACCACATCCTTGGCGTATCAGAAGGCCACACGGCAATTCTTAGACTAGTAGGGGTTGGGTACAGGGCCACGGTTGAAAACACTGCCACCACGGTGCCTTCAGAATTCGAAGGCCAGCAATTCGTTTCGTTGAAGGTTGGGTATTCGCATCCGATTGAGCTACCTGTACCGAAAGGAGTCAAGGCTTCTGTTCCGCAGCCGACGAGAATATTGCTAGAGGGTGTGGAGAAAGAAGTGATTCTGCAGTTTGCGGCCAAAATACGAATGTGGAGAAAGCCGGAGCCATATAAGGGGAAGGGGATCTTTGTAAATGGGGAGACGATCAAGTTGAAGGCTAAGAAGATCAAATAGTCGATGTTTTATATTTGTATTATATGGGGTTACGTTGTAGGCATAGATTCCGATGTCATGACGAACGCAATAAGATGTTGGAAGTGTATTTCTTGGCTTATGTAAATCTCTATTTCTTGTAGAGAACCTCCATGACAACTGCAAGAACTTGATCATGGACTGCTGCTGGTGCAGCTACAACTCCCTTGTTCTCAGCAAGTGTTCTGCCTTTACTGAAATCAAGTCTTCTCCCTAGAGAGTCCGTGACTTGTCCGCCTGCCTCTCTGACGATAAGATCTCCTGCTGCGTGATCCCAAATCTTCTCCTGGTAAGTAGCGCTAACGGGCAGCCGAAGATAGATATCTCCAGCTCCTCTTGCAATAGAAGCATACTTTGCTTGGGAGTCCATTCTGACACTAGGCTTGCTGATGTTCAATTTCGTTGCAATGGCACTCTGGTCCCCGTGAGATGAGTGACCTGCTTCAACACTTTCGCAGAAGGTTGCCAGCGTAATGTCTTTGACTGGCTTCATGTGAATGGGCTGACTCTTTGCCAGCCCAGCAGTCCCTAAAGGTCGGCTCGTTGCACCTTGGTCTAAGACCGCTGAGAACAAGATACCCTTTCCTTCCGAATCGGTCTGGTCCACACCAGCATCTGCAGTCAGAGGGGCAGAATCATCAACTGGCAGGTTAGGACATCCCAGCACACCCACTTTGACATCTCCATCAACCATAAGTGCCAGACAGACGGCATATTGTCCACCTCTGAGAAAACCCTTAGTGCCGTCGATTGGGTCTAAAGCCCAGATCCTCCCCTTGCTGCCGCCAGCACTGCTACCAGCATCGATGGCATTCAGCATAGCGTCGACAGTCTCGATTGGACCTCCAAGTACTTTTTCTGCATTCGTGTCCGTGAGATTTGTGCCTTCAACCAATGCCCAGATCTCATCACGTAGCTTGTGATCTTGTCTCAAAGTGCTAGCCTCCTCCTCGCCAACAACTTCATCATCCGGAAAGTTCTTCTTAATAGCTTGAATTATGAGAGCCTGAGCACCAAAATCTCCAATTGTGACGGGAGACTTGTCATCTTTAGAGATGGTGCCTTTGGCTTTCTCGTGGAAAACCTTCTTGGTCAGGATAGCAGCTCTTTGTACCGCTAACTCGGCTACCTCCAATTCCTTACTGTAGGTAGACATTTGGGGAGCTGAAGAGAGGGCTTTTGATGAAGGGAGATGTTGGGAAACAAGAGAAATGCGAGACCAGAATTTCGTTATGGCAGCCAGAATGAGGATAATCAAGGAGATGAATAGAATCCTGCGTGGTATTCGTAGTATTGAAGAGCTACGGCGGCTGAAGCGGGGTCCTGATGGCTTATGGGAGCTCTTGTAGTCGGGCAATATCTTGAGGGTTTTGTTGAAGTTTGGTGACATGAAACGTAAGCCGAAGGCCTGACTTCAGTGTAGAGTAAGTTGTCAAGAAAGTATTTGCATTTGGAGTTGGAGTTGGAGTTGAGGCCTTTCCAAAGGAAAAGCAAGTCCTTAGCATGGATTTGCCGTGGGGCAACGCAACATAACAAGGATCGCACGGACCACATGGACATACAAGCTGGGGGATTGTACTGTATCATTTGGGCGACCGACGTTAAACTTTTAAACAATAATCACATCTCACAGCACTCACTGCCAGTAAGTCTCTTTTAGAACACGAATAACTGAGATCGAAGGTCAACCCCGTGGTAGATATGAATGCGACGAAACGGAAATTCAACGCTCTTTTGAGTGGAATTGGGAACAAATCAACCACCTCTTTATCCTCCAAAGAAGTAAACAATGCCTCACGAACCGACTTGACGCCTGCCAGCGACCCAGATTCACAGGCTAAAAAGCGCCGGACTAGTAACTCCGATTCAATATCATCCCAAAATACATCGCACGTTACCTCAAGGCTTTTGACCAAAAGTTCGACGAAAGCTATGCCACACACGAAGTCGACATCCCTGGCAACGGCCGTGGTGACTACAGAGTCCCCCAAATACACACCCTGGGATCGCGAACAATTTCTCAAGCGTCTTAAATCATTCTCGAACTTGACAGACTGGACACCGAAGCCGGCGAGAGTCAATGAGGTGGAATGGGCGAAACGGGGTTGGGTCTGCCAAAAGTTTGAGAGGGTACGGTGCTGCTTGTGCAATGTGGAAATACTTGTGAAACTTAATAAAAAGGAAGTGGATGGTAAAGAGGAACCGGTGTATGTTGCGCAGAATATTGGTATGTTTACAAATCCGAAAATAATGGTGTCTTTGCTGACGTTTGGCAGAAGATGCTCTTGTGGATAAGTATGTGGAGCTTATTGTTACTTCACACGAGGAGAATTGCCTTTGGAGGAAAAGAGGCTGTGATGGTAAGTTTATTTTTGAGCAAGGCTAGATCGATCTTTAACATCGTATCCAGATTCGATATTCAAATTACCTCTCAGTAATGCCGAAATGACCATCCAAGCACTCCGTGAGCGATATAACGAGCTTTACAATAGAAGCGAGAACCTCCCGTACCCTTTCAACATGCGAACTCCTCCAGACTTTGATTTGGATCTTATTCTGAGCTATCTACCAAACAATTTCTTCGTCTCGCCAGATACATCTGAAGATGTTCCACCCGCAAAAGTCAATAAAGTCGCATTTACCATGGCACTGTTTGGATGGCAAGGTTATAAGCACGAGAGGCTAGGAGTTCAGTCTGGATCCGTGTCATGCCAAGCATGCTTCAGAGTGCTTGGTCTGTGGATATTCAAGAGCAAAGAAATCAACGAAGCTGGTGAAGAAGTGGCTAACCCGGTAGTAAACTGCCTGGATATTGTCAAAGAGCATAGGGACTATTGCCCGTGGCGCAACGCAGCTTCTCAGAATGGACAGAAAGCTACGGAAAGTTCTGAAAGCACTACCCTAGCTGGATGGGAGATAGTGCTACGAGTATTGAAAAACGACCACTATCTCCGCCACGGTAACGAAATGCAAGCCGCGAGAGCTTCCATGCCTGTAGCTTCCAAGCCTGTAGCTTCTGATGATGCTGTCAGTGAGATCCATAGTACTCTGGAGGAGGATGAAGATGCTAAGAGTAGAGATGAGAAGGACAAGCAGCGGTGGGCAAGATTGAGACGGGTTAAGAGTTTGTTTGATACGAAAGGAGGAAAGAAAGGGAAGAGGCCCGAGTCTCTGGGGAAGCCAGCGACGTGATAGTCTCTATAACAGGATATCGATTGGCCTAGGAAGAGGGAAGAGATTCACCTTTATTATTGGCGTCGGGGTAGCAAGGATTGAGATACCCTATAAAAATAATGATAATGATATGCTTGGTCGGACTATGGTTTATAACTTACTTGACATCCTAGCTGGAACCCCAGGCCTGAACCAACCTGAATAGCTCGCTGCACACTCATGAGAAGTCTCAATAGGAGCGCTTCTCATACTGATCACCCAAGACGTCTTCGGACAAAACTATAAGGCCTCTTCGTCCGCGAACTCGTGATGGCGTGATATTACGCGTAAAGTGGTTTCCTATTTCGGATTGTGTTGCCTATGACGACAGACGTGACTTGCTTGTACGGAAGTAGCGATCCAAGTTGATCTTCTTTCAAACATCACGATAAACAAGGACAAGTCAACTCGCCGACTTCATGAGGTACTTCTTACTTCTTGCATCCAGCATCCCCATCATTTCGGCTGATATCGATTAATAGAGGTGCTTTTACTCCTCATAACACCCTAGGATCAAGGGAAAATCCGACTTTCATACAACCAAGCCCAGATCAACAACAGGAACTGCCCGACTTCCCCCGAACAATACCTCGCACGACAGAACAGTTGGAGTGGGATCGGCACATTGATTCGGAAGCATCCATAAAGCCTTTCTACGTTTTAGGGCGTTTGAGCGACATTGGAGACTCGAGTTCTCTGTTCTCCAATACCCCTCCCCCTCCATCATTCGACTTTACCGAAGGCATCAGGGCAGCACACTCCAAGTCTCCAATACCTTTTGTGTTTGGTGTATCTGAGGAGGAGTACACAGTCTCAGCCCCTCGACGGATCAAGATGGTCAACGAACGATCGCCTGTGAAGGCGCCTCTGAATCCCGTGGAGCCCAACGACCAAGCACCTAGGATGGCAGAAAGTGCATATCCATCCAAGCCTCCATCGAGTGTCCCCCAGTTTGGACAGCCCACTCTCCCGAACTCACCCTTCAATCGACCACAACCTCAGACTCAATTTCAATCTCAGCCTAAACCGTCGGCCCTCTTCATTCAGCCAAAATCTCGACCAGAGCATCATAGAGATGCACCTGGTATGATATCCTGATCATCTTCCACTGTCATAGGCTGACTAATACACCTCTATAGCACATCCACATCTTCACGCTATGAAGGATGCCACTCGAAAGGTCGTGGATCCATTTTTGCCAAGGGCTCCCGCAGTTTATAACACAGCTCCGGTTCCTGCACCGATGCCTATAGTACCATCCTTCACTACGACGAAACAAATGGCAGCCCCCAGCTTCGGGTCATCAGGGAACGTATATGGTGGCTTCCAGTCGGTCAACCCTTCCAGCAACTACGTTGACCTTACCACAAACCAATATCGTACATCTACTATGCCTGATCCATTTACATTTGTTGATCCTGCTAAAGCACAAGAGGATCTTAAAGCACTATTGGAAGGTGTGATGGAAGATGAAGATGATGTGCCCAGAACTAGATCACGAAGAAAGAGAAAGGATGCTGAGGTTGACAGCCTTACAGCTAAGTTAAAGGGTCTCGACGTCGATGAAGAGAAGCTCGAAGTCGCCTCGGACGATGAAGAGGACGACGGAACTGTTGAGGGCATCAAATTCAAGTTGCTTCCCCACCAAGTTGAGGGGCTTGAGTGGATGACAGACAGAGAGCTTGGTACCGGCAAGAAGGGTAGAGTTCCTAAGGGAGGAATTCTTGCAGATGACATGGGACTTGGAAAGACTTTGCAGTCCATCGCTCTCATCCTCAACAACCCAAAACCAACGGATGAAGATGTTCTTGCGAAACGGAAACTGCCTTCCGGTGTTGAAAAGTGTACTTTGGTCGTGGCTCCTTTGGCACTCATTCGTCAATGGGAGGCCGAAATCAAAGACAAAGTCGCGAGCTCGCATTCGCTCCGTGTAATTGTTCACCATGGACCTCAACGCACCAAGCGTTTTCAAGACCTAAAGAAATATGACGTTGTGATTACAACATATCAGATTATGGTCTCTGAATTCGGCAATTCCTCTGATAGCGACAATGGTATTAAGGTCGGATGTTTCGGTCTTCACTGGTATAGAGTTATTCTTGACGAGGCTCATACAATCAAGAACAGAAATGCCAAAGCCACTCAAGCCTGTTATGCTCTGCGGAGCGAGTATCGATGGTGTTTGACTGGAACACCTATGCAAAATAACTTGGACGAGTTACAGAGTTTGATCAAGTTCTTACGTATCAAGCCATATGATGATTTGCGAGAGTTCAAGGACCAGATAGACCGGCCTCTAAAGAATGGGCGTGGCGACGTAGCTCTCAAGCGTCTCCGGGCAGTCTTGAAGATCTTCATGAAGCGACGTACCAAGGATATTCTCACAAAAGAAGGTGCGTTGAATCCGGGTGGAAAACCATCTGCTCCGGGAGAAGAGAGCACAACCGGATTCAAGGTCACCACACGAAAAATTGAGAAGATCGCCGCGATATTCTCACCTGAAGAGCGTCGCTTTTATGAACGTCTTGAGCAGCGGACGGACGCCAGCATTGAGCAGATGATGAGCGGCGAGAAAGTCAATTATGCCAGTGCTTTAGTCTTGCTCTTGCGTCTCAGACAAGCCTGTAATCATCCAAAGCTAGTTGCTGGCAAGCTTGCGAAGGATAGCGAGGCTCTTGCAGGTGACACATCGAGTCAAAAGGCAAAAGCATCAAATGCAGACGTTGATGAAATAGCCGATATGTTTGGAGCTTTGGGCGTTGGCTCCAAGAAATGCGAAATTTGTCAGCTTGAACTCGGAAAGCAAGCTGTTGCAGACGGGGCTATTCGATGCTTGGATTGTGAAGCAGATCTCGAGGATATCAGTAAGAAGCCCAAATCTCGGAAAGATAAGAAGAAGAAGAAGAAGAATGTTGTCAAATCAGAGGCCAATCCCGTTGTCCGGAAGCCCCGAAACCGGGCTATCATCACTGACAGTGATGATGAGGAGGGATCCTGGGTTGTCCCAGAGGCAGAACAAGGGTCGCTAAAGCTTGGAAAAGCTGGTGGTCTTGCTGATGAGAATGCCGAAGGCGGCGGCGAGTGGCTTGATTCGGACGATGATACGTTCCCGGATCTTCAGCACATTGGCGCTCTACAAAAGCCAACCAAAGTTGACACATCTGACTCTGGCTCTGATGATGACGAGGATGAAGATGAGACCGATTCTGATGAGGAGGTCGAGGACGAATTTCAGTCGGATTCGGACGAGGAAGCTCAGCTTGCCACGATAGTAACCTCGACTAAGATCACCCACTTGATCCAGATCCTCGGCAAGGAAATTGCGGAGCATAAGTTCATTGTCTTCTCACAATTCACATCGATGCTGGATCTCATCGAGCCTTTCCTGCGCCAGAAGGGATTCAAGTTCACCCGATATGACGGGAGTATGAGAAATGACCTTCGCGAGGCATCTCTCAGTAAATTGAGAAACGACAAAAGCTGTCGAATTTTACTTTGCAGTCTCAAGTGTGGATCTTTGGGTCTGAATCTCACTGCCGCTACTCGAGTTGTAATTTTGGAGCCATTTTGGAACCCAGTAAGTTCAACTGCATGTGCTTCACTTTGTGAATATTGCTAATGAGAGATAGTTCGTGGAAGAGCAGGCTATTGACCGAGTCCATCGTCTGACGCAGAAAATTGATGTAATCGTCTACAAGATTACTATCGCTGACTCAGTTGAAGAGCGGATTCTAGACCTTCAAGAGAAGAAGCGCGAGCTTGCAAAGCAGACGCTGGAAGGTGGCAAGGGTGCTGCAGGAAAGTTTGGAATGCAAGAGATCTTGCAACTCTTCCGTCGTGATGCTGAACACGCTCCCCCGGGTCCCGCCGCTGCACAATACGATCTTGGGTCTAAGCCAAGAATATTGAAGGACGGCCTCAATACGAACAGTGGTAGCTCGAGTCGAGAGGCATCTCAGTCTGGCGCTCGCAAGGTCACTCCTCTTACAACTCGGCCTACTAGCTCTTCTACGAGGGAGAATGATGTTTATAGTAGAAGATGGTAAATCCGTTCTTGAAAGCAGATTTGGGCTACTTAGCATAGAATATGGTTAGATTTGTATGGATGTTGGAGTATGGCGTTGGATGGTCAGACTACACAATGACAACGGAGGAAGATACCCGCTTGGAGAAAGGGGTTTAAGGGGTTCTTGTTATTTATATTTCCAATAGATGCACAATGAGTTCGACCTAACTTGCACATACTTGGGGCCTTTTTGTGAAACTTGTACAACGAACTTCCGCGGGATAGATATCATTCCGAAAGGGTTCCGCTCCTTAGCGGGGCGGGGGGTTGAAAAGTAATGACGTAGACGTCTATGGTAATGAGCTCCATAATCAAAACAATCTCAAGCTGCTTCTTTATTTTCTCCTCCTCAGCCGATTTAGCATTGATTCCTAAGAACGTAAATCTCACGTTCCTCACCAGTGCGTTTGGTCTTCAATTGAAATTTCACCATACATGAGCTTTGCAGAGGACTAACTCTCACTTTCCAGCTACACCTACTTCTCCTCCCAAACTCAACCCACAAAATCACAATGCCGCCCTCCAACATCCTCTCCCAGCTCCGCCTAGCCGGCATCCGCGTCCCTCAAACCTCCATGCGCCACTTCTCGCAGCATCGCTCATCTCAATACCCGCGAAAAGACAGCCAGAACAAGGATAGCATCGATACTGAAGCAACAGAGTACACAAAGTCTGGGACGGACGATCAGACTGCCGCTAATGAGGACGCGGCGTTTAATCCTGATATTACTAGTCCCGAGGCAGAAAAAAAGGCTGCGGGGAAGGGGAATGAGGTTAGTTTAGTTCGGTCTTTATTTTGTCTCTCTCTATTGTGGGTCAGGTGGTGAGGGAAGAGAGGAGAGAGAATGGCTAATGTGATGTTTGTTGTGATAGGGTAAGACCAATGGTAATCCGTTGGAGGTTAGTCCGGCGAATAGGGATATTAGTCATCAGACGGATGGGCAGCATGCTGGTGCGGAGAATAGTAGAGGAGGAAGTGGTAAGCAGAGTGGATTTGGGGGCCCGCAGAAGAAGGGTGGTAGTTGATAAGATGCCGTAACGTAGTTATTGAGGATGTGGGTATTGATTGTATGAACAAAGAGCAAACCCTAGTATTATGATAGACTGTACATATGTCACAAAAGCAGCGTATTCGTCTGAACTTTAAAGCAGAGCCTGTAGCAAAAACTCCATCTGGGTATCACAACTCAAGCCTTCCATTCCGTCCGTCCCAACCTCACAACATCCGATTGTTCCAGCACCCAGACCTTCGGCACACTCTCACCACCCTCCAGTGCCTTGAGTCCAGCACTAACAGCAGCTTTGGCAATGACATCTTTGTCTTGGGCCCAAAAGTCCACAGCCCATTTCCCAAGCAAACTCATGCATCCAGCAATCTTCCTTATCGCGAACTCAGCCGGCCGGCTCTCCTGTCTATCCCCTGTAATCAAGCCCGGGCGCACAAGAACCGTATGTTCGAAGCCTAGCTCCTTGACAGCTTCCTCTAGTTCCGCCTTCATCTTTATATACGGGAAGGCTGATTTAATGTTCGCGCCTGTTCCCGAGATGAGCACGTAGACTTTGACGCCGGCAGATTTGGCTGCTGTGGCGAGGGCCAGGTTGAGGTCGTAGTCGATCTTGCGCTGGTTCTCAAAGGAGCCTGCTGCCGCTTTGGTGGTGCCGAGCGCGGAGAAGAGGATGGGTGGGGGGAGGGGAGATGGATGTGAGTTTGGAGGACCATTGGGCGTTGTCTGCGTCGGTTAGGGCCTGTAGTTTCGGGTCTGTGGTTGTGGGGGCGCGGCGGGAGAGGGAGTAGACGTTGGTGATTGAGGGGAGGGCCAGGAGGGTTGACAGGATATGGGAGCCCTGGGAGGCTATTAGTGGTATGCTTTGTAAAACCTAGGTCGAGGAAGAGGAGACTTACTACAAGTCCTGTAGAGCCGACTATTGCTGTGGAAGGCATGATGGAGACGCTGTTGTTAGATGTTGAGCTGGCTGGGATAGTTGTGAAGAATGGTGGTGTGATGATGTATGAAAAGGTAAAAAGGTGTAGCGATGGAGCTTTAAATACTGTAAAGAGAAAGAGATTTGCGACGGTTTTCTCGTCTAGTTAGTCAAACCTTAGAAATGATGCAGACTTCTTGCCCTTATTTCTTGAAATCGGAGATAGTAATAAAAAATTCTGCCATTCGTCTTCTTTGCTGCCTTGGATGCAATGGTCAGCAACGTACATGATTCTTCGATTCCGCCGACACGGTTCTTCTGTGCCGAGGCAAGCATAATTGGAGTATGCGGACGTAAACATCGTCATTGATAACTTCCCGCTCAAACATGATTTTCTCGGGTTGGGAGAAGAACTCTGGATGAACAACTGTATCAACGGAGACTATAGATCAATGTCTAGCAAGAGCAGAAAACAAATGCTTCTTCTTCGTCCAGTCACGTGAATACATATATATTGGTGCCTTACAGCACTGTACTGTACAGTATTCAGCCACTTATTTTCGTCGTATTATCTTATCTGATTTTGATGTTCGGATAAACTTACTACCGGCCCGACCTTTGTGGCTTGCGCTCGCATGGCATGGGCTGTGATTGAAAGGCGTGCTCGCCCGTGCTCTGTTTACGAAGTATTTTTTTGCCCTTCTCTGACCCCCTTGCCCTCCACTTTCGGAAGTAGCGCGATCCAGACATTTTCTGCCTCTTCCCCACATGATAATCGTTCAGGCTAAGCTTGTCTTCATAATATTTTGCCGCTTTACCTTTCTTTCTCTCTTGCAATATACTGGCTTTATTTGATTCCCTTCAATATTTTTATCCTCCAGTTCCTTTGATTACATCTCGCTCACCAGAGCTCGTATTTACTCAGGATGGGTGTACCAATGGAGCTAGATGCTTCGCCCTCTAGAGGGACAAAGCGCAAAGCCGATGGTATCTTGGAGGCATCAAAACGTGGCCAGGTGAGAATATCTACTCGTGTACCAAAAGCTACTTCTAACATGTGCTATCAGGAACCTGCAGGCGGCCAAGTACTGGAAAGCACCTGGAACACCGAGGAGGAACCCTCCACTTTCCGAAAATTCAAGCCGAAGTCCTCGAGCCTTCCCTTTGGCCAGCCGATTGCCTTTTCCTCCATCAGCGGGCCAACATATGTCACAGCCCAAACTCTAGTTCAACAGGTAGCCTATGCTCTATCCGACAAGATCTTCTCATACTCTCCGGAGTCATTCGACCTGGATGTTGCTGTAAAGAGCTGGGCTGCGTCCAAGATTGAAAATGCCAATGGATACACTACGGAGGTCGCATCAATGCAAACACGTTCTGGAGCCGGTTCGATTGCATTGGGATACATGTTCTCAAAGGATTTCGACCTTGCCAAGAGACACATTCCTCAATCGCTTCTTGCCTCTTCCTCTAGCCTCCACAACCTGCGATCTGCCTTGGACCAACTTTCACTACTTTACTCTGTTGCAAACCCTTTTGTTGCCCATGTCGCCGCCGTCGACTATGCTTCAGAGGGCCTTGTGACTGACTACGCTAGTGCTTTGACCGTAGCAGAGGAGTTGGGACTTGGGCTTCTTGCTAGTTCTTCTGCTTATGAAGCTCAGCACATGTCTTTGTTCTCTACGATTCTTGCTACTGTGCTCCCGACAATTCATGTGTACGATGGCATACATGTGGGGCGTGATACTCTACCTGTCATCGACATTCTAAGCCAAGGGGGGCTAAGCACTACCTATACAAATGTTCTCAAGAGTCTGGCAAAGGTTGGCAAGCGGGCGGATGCTGAGAGCAAAGTTGCCCATCTCCTGGAAGCGTTTAACAGCGAACTCGGAACTGCATACGGGCTTTTCGAATATCACGGCCACGCCAATGCTGAGACTGTTCTCGTCGTGTTTGGAAGTGTTGAAGGTTCGCTCGCAAAGCAAGTTGCTGAAAAGCTGTCTCTTGATGGTAGCAAAGTTGGTGTCGTAAATGTCCGCGTTTACAGGCCATTTTCTGAGGAGGCTTTCTTGAAAGCACTTCCATTTTCTGTTACAAATATCGCTGTACTTGGTCAAGTCTCGGACCAGACTGCGGTGTCAGAGCCAACCACTCACTCAAACCTGTATGAGGACGTGTTGGCTGCAGCAGTATTTTCTGATAACTTCGCTGCACCGCCTTCTATTGTGGACTACAAGTATGCTCGCGCAGAGTCGTTCACGCCTTCTTCGATTGCGTCTATCTTCAAGGAACTGACCAGCAAATCTACCGAAGACGTTGAGCGTATCGAGCTACTCGACGCCAGTGTGGTTGAGCAGTACACGTTCTGGGATCTAGAAGATTCGAAAGCTGCCACCGCTCCATCAGCTCTCAGCAAGTTATTGTCTGGTGACTCGAGCAAGCACATCTTCACAAACGCTTCCCACGATAATTTTGTGCAAGGCGGGACCACCAGAACCGATATACGAAGCTCCAAGAAGTCAATTGAGGCTTACTACCCAATCGAGGAAGCCGATGTTGCATTCGTTGGCGAGGAGAAATTACTCAAGGAAATTGGTATTCTTAAGGGTATCAAATCCGGTGGCAAGCTCATTGTGAAACTACCAGGCATCAAAGATGAAGATGTGGAGAAAAAGCTGTCTACCGCCACCCGGAACGACATCAAGTTCCGAAACATTCAGTTGTTCGTGCTTGATCCTGCGTTATCTGCTGCCCATGAGAAAGACGCGGCTACTGAAATCCTTCTGAGCGAAGTGGCATTCCTGCAGGTCGCCCGACCAGATCTTCTCGAGGTTGGCCTTGAGAAACTTGCCACAATTAATGGCAGTTTAGATTTATTAACGGAAGTCGCGGCTGATTTGGAGAAGGCTCTTCGACCAATTGAGATCCCAGAGTCATGGGCCGAGGTTGAGGTTGATGCTGTGGTAGTTGACCTTCCGAGAACTATCAAGTCGAGCAGCTTCACTGGATTCGACAAGGAGGATACTGAAGCACCGTCCTTCTTACGCAACTGGGAATCTGTTGCAAAGGGACTTGCATTCAAAGAAGCTTATGGTACCAAGAGTGCTCTGAGACCGGATCTTCCCACGAAGACTTATGAGATTACTGTCCAGGAGAACCGTCGCTTGACTCCTTCGAGTTATGATCGTAACATCTTCCACATTGAATTTGATCTTGGACAATCTGGCCTTACTTATGATATTGGAGAAGCTCTTGGTATTCACGCAGAGAACAATGTCGAAGAGGTCGAGGAATTTATGGAATGGTATGGTCTAAATCCCGAGGATGTCGTTGAAGTACCCTCCCGCGAGGATCCAGCTGTGCTCGATACTCGAACTGTTTTCCAATCCCTTGTCCAGAACATTGACATCTTCGGCAAGCCCCCAAAGAGATTTTACGAAGCTCTGGCAGAATTTGCCAGCGACGAAAATGAAAAGAAGGAGCTTCTCACTCTTGGTGGACCAGAAGGAGCCAACGACTTCAAGCGCCGCGCCGAAGTTGATACCATCACGTTCGCCGACGTCCTCCTCGATTTCAAATCTGCCCATCCCGACTTTCACGATATTGCGCGCCTCGTCAGCCCCATGAAGCGCCGCGAGTATTCCATCGCCTCCAGCCAAAAAGTAGGCCCGACTTCTGTCGCTCTCATGATCGTCGTCGTCTCCTGGGTCGACCCCAAAGGCCGCGACCGCTTCGGTCAAGCTACCCGCTACCTTAGCCAGCTGCCCCTCGGTGCGAAGGTCACAGCAAGCGTGAAGCCCTCCGTCATGAAACTCCCAGTAAAAGACACAGCACCTCTCATCATGGCTGGTCTCGGTACAGGCCTCGCTCCATTCCGCGCTTTTGTCCAGTACCGCGCTATGCAAAAGGCTCAGGGCAAGGAGATCGGCTCTATCCTCTTGTATATGGGCTCTCGTCATCAGCGCGAGGAGTATCTGTACGGAGAGGAATGGGAGGCTTACCAAGACGCTGGTGTCATCACTCTCCTTGGCCGCGCTTTCTCCCGTGACCAGCCGGAGAAAATCTACATCCAAGACCGCATGCGCCAGTCGATCAGCGATATCATTAAAGCTTATATTAAGGAAGAAGGTGCGTTTTATCTGTGTGGTCCTACGTGGCCGGTGCCGGATGTTACCGAAGTGCTGGAGGAGGCTATTGGGCGGGATGCGAAGGCGGCAGGGAAGAAGGTTGATCCCAGGAAGGAGATTGAGAGGTTGAAAGAGGAGTTGAGGTATGTGCTTGAGGTTTACTAGGTGTGATCTTAGATGCGGACGTGTTCGATAGATGCGGTGTGCTTTTATGAGTAGATAGTCTAGAATATAGAACGGCACTTAGATCGTGTCTTTCTTGTGGACGTGCTCTAGATTCACATGTCTATATACCTGTAGGTTTGCCCCATCATCCCAGCTTCTCTCCCGTTATCACGCGCTACCACCTCGTCTGCCAGTCATAGGGCGTCTCATGAACCCCACAGCTCTTTTCCATTCCTTTCGACTCTTTCACAAAATTAAAGATCGGAAAATGGTTGAAGTAGCACATTTTCTTTGCTTTTTGTCCTGAATAGATAATCAAAAGGCTCATGGGCTTTCTCCTAGTTTACTTAAATGTTTCTGCTTCTTATGCAAGGTAAAAGAAAGGTACCCACCTGGAGCATTCCCCCGCTTCTTCTTTCGCCGAGGAAATCTATCTGTAATACATCACATCTACATAGCCGGATCCTCGGTGTTCATTGTTAGTGCTTGCAAAGTAGTCGCGCTCTACGTTGAGATACCCCCTTTCGCGCCCCCTATTCTATGTCCATCTCCCCCCCAAGGATAGTCTAGCCCCTGGGTTGGCTGTGGGAACTGCGACGGGCACTCTTCACATTTGTGTTATACTGGGTATCTTTGGAGTCGGGTTGGGAATGTGTTTTAGGCTTCCAGAAGTGGCTTCAAATTACTAGCTAGGGGTGTTGAGACTGAATATCTAGAGGAAAGGAAGTATGCCGATAAATTCCTACCTGCTTGGCGACTGTTGGTAATCCTACGTCGGGTCTATCAAGCTTACTGAAAAACATGGGTATTGTCACCTGGAGGCTCAATATAAGACTACAATATTGCTCCACTCTAAACCCCTTCACATCGCTGGTATCAGGAACATCCATCCGCTGGTTGGGTGAATTAGCATTGAACTCCTTAAGATCCAAATCCTTTTTTTTTGTGAAGCATGCCCAAGAGGGGCTTTTCCACTGTACAATCGGCATTGTCTACCGTTGACCCCAAAGCCACAATCCCCCCCCCCCCCCACCCCCCAGTTAGTATGCCGGCTTAGGAGTAAGCTCAAATCTCAATATTAGGCCTTGTATACCTCATTTCTAGCATTCCGGATTCGGCGGCGAGTTTCGTCCAGTTCTGGATCCATCAAGTATCGTTCTAGCTCCGAGGTCGGGTTTTTTGGCGGTATTAATCGGTTGAAGTCTGTTCCTTATCAGTCTGTTCTCCTGAATGCTCCTGCTCCTCCCCATTACTCGTGCTGCTCGGCTCCGTCGCACCAATGGCCCCTCCATCCAAAAATTGCCCTTCGCTATCAATTCGAATAGTGGGAAGTCCTGCTGCACCTCCCTCTAAGTCGTCGCGGGATTTCTCTTTAACAACCGGCTCTCTCGTATTTTTGAGTAATTCGGAGCTCAACGGCCTCACCTGTCCAGTTTTCCACTGGTCAAATGTTCGCCTCCGCTCCACCCCGGTGCTTTTGAACCCCTCTACCGCTGGAGTCTGGACATGCTGAGGATTCCCTGCTGTTACATTTGATTCCACAATTTCCGTTTTCTCGATTTCCGAATTTCTTTTCCACGCCGCAAGTGCTTCCATATTCCTCCTCTTAGCTTCCTCGCTTTGGACTTCGTGCGGCGGCGGTGCGCTACTAAAGAGACTCGATTCTCCAATGAAACCATTCCTTTGCCCATCACCTGTTTTCGAATATCTCGTGTACTTGTGTGGCTCATCCTGATCTAGTTTATAACCACCTAAAAACTCCTTGGTCCCCATGTCCGCTGCCTTTTGTCGTTTACGGGTGTTATGACGTCTCTGCTCCCACCACAGTAATAACACCACGAGTCCCGCGAGGACTGCAAGTCCGACACCTAGTCCTATCCATACCCCGGTCATCTTCAGATGGTGTGTACTTTTCGGCCTGACTGTTTGGCTTGCTGTAGGGATTGGCATAGATGTAGAGGTGGAATACGTCGAGGATGTGTTCGAATCGATGGCTGAGCGAAGTTCGTAGAGCGTGAGAAAGCCATAACCTCCACATGACGTTCTGGCATCGGCACCGCAGGGTGAGGAACAAGAGTTGTCTGTTACGGGCAATGAGTCGTTGGATAGAGTTAGGCCGCAGGAGCATTCTCTTGAATGAGACAAAATGGTTAGTATATGATAGGAGAAGGTACTTGAAGAATTGATCAAAAGGAGAATTGGAAAAGCACCTACCGAGCATTTTCCACAGCAGCGTACGTGTAGCGTCCACCGAGCGGTGTTGCAGCGGCGCAAGCTTCCAAGCACAACGGCACCGTCAGTGCATTAGGTAATGCAAATATCGGGCTTATGTATGAACCGGTCATGCCAAGTGCGCGTTCTGTTACAAAGGATGGAAGTTCATTATAGCATCCTAGGAGTTGATAGACGGGATCTTCATCGACGAATGTCAGGGTGGGCGTTGGAGATGGACTGCCCTCTGGGGTGGTCGCTGAAGGAGTTGTAGCTGAAAGTGTGGTCGCTGGAAGTATGATCGATGAGGTTGTGGTCTCTGATGCTGTGCTTAAAATCCCTACGATACTTATGATATCTTGTGTTGCCACATATGAGAATACATGGGTTAGTAGTACCAAAAGACTTCCTTTGGGACTTGTGCAAAGGTTGGCCATGACAATGACCTATGACTTGGATGAATGTGTAGAACGGAGGAAAGAAGGTATAGAATGCCATGAATACTTGCATTTGTCGTTTCTTACTAAAGATAGCATTTTCAAGGACGACGCAAGCAGGCAGTAATAGGTTGAACAAAGGAAACGAGAGTATTTGCTAATACTAAACAATGGAGGGGCACTAGTCCCTACGACATAGCGACGACATAAAAGAATGCAAAGTACTGTTCTGAAGACAAAGGAATCTGAAGCGTCGACCCCCTCGGGCCAATCATATAGCAGAGGAGCGTTCGTGGTCACATGAGGAAAAGGAGAACATAACATGGATGAAGTAGTGAGTAAACGTAGTGAGTAAACCGTTTCCGAAATCAAAATATAGAAGGCAAGCTTTCTCTTTCCATAAACTAACTGAACGACAGACTTCCTCGACAGTGATAGCTAAGCCGGGCAAGAGAAGAAGAAGAACTTGAAAAGTTGTTCAAAAAAAGGAAAGAAGGAAACCAAAGGTATTTGAAGAAAGTACCATGGCACTAAGCCCTAAGCCCCGAAGCCACAGATAAGGAGTCTTGAAAGGTTTGATCGCATCATAAGAATAATAGGATGCCCTGCCCTTGCGCGGAGCAGCCCGATCTTCTATCTATCTGCGCGTATCTCACTATCTGTCGGTGGCTTCCCCGCCAGTATCTCCATCTGATATCTTTGGCTATACGCTGGAACTATCTCAAGATCTACTGTAACACCCCTTGAGATCCGGGGAAGGAGCTGTACCTGAAGACTATCTAGATCTTAGATACGGGGGGCTTCGACTTGCCTATTGTGGCAGTACATCCCAGGGGTCATGGAGCGAAATACACCTCAGAGGCTCCATCGCTTTATCGTGAAGGGCCATCGAGGGCAGGGCTTGCTGGCATTACATGGTGAAACCGAATAAGAACGCATATTGCAATCAGTTCCCGATAATAATAGATGTCGCCATCGGCATCGCAATCTTTGCGAGTCAGCGAGCGGGCCATTGTTATTGCGATGCGGTATCGATCTCAGGGTCACGGAGACCATGCGTGACAGTGCTTTGGGATGATACCATCTTGAGCTTGGGCGAGTGAGTGCTCACCGTCAAAACGATTACAGGAGCACTGATAAGCTCCAGCTCAGGCCGCAGCTGGCCTGGTATAAAGATGCCGCTTCCCTCGTACATGCTACCTAGATACTTATACCTACGAGTCGCCAAGCCGCTTTGAAATTCTCGATGCTTTTGGCTTTTGAATGAGAATGTCTTCGAATCCGCATCTAGTTCAATCCAATGGAGAATACCTAGGGCACGATCACATGACACATGGTTCTTCAACACCACCTTCCTTTATTCTTCAGCGCGAGTCGGCCGTGTTGGACCTCTCCCTTCCATACCTCATGCCTGTATTCAAGTACCGGTACTCCTTTTCTGGCAGGTCTAACGCCTCGGACCATACATCCTACCTTATCTTCGTCACGGACACTTTACAGTACGAGCCTTTCATGTGCCGCCTGAGCAGCCCGCGGAGCTCGACTCCGACAAATGGATTTAAATGGACTTACATCCCCAGAAGACATCCCGTTTTCTTTCAAAAAGGCTTCTCGGTTAGCGTCGTCCAAATTGCTTTGCTGCTCTTACTCCAACCCCCACGCTTTGCCCCAGCTGTGTCAAGGATTCTTGTCACACCCAGAAAGGGAAGCTTGTCCAGTAAGTATCTGCAGGGCATTTCCTGCATGCAACACCATGGAACACAACTCCGTACTCTCTCCCAGGCCAGGGTTCCTTGAAGGCACATTCCGCCCCCCCGGAGTTCTTCTAAATCGACATCTTCGAAACATCCAAATCAGCCACTAATCCCGGATGACTAGGTGTTCAAGAAGCAGATGGGCAGAGTCCTCCGTAATAATAAGCACTTGGGAAGCTTTGCCGGCATCAAGATTCTTTACGCGTGTTGCCGCGCTATCCTACCGGAGTTGCTCCGAGACCACCCTTTAAGGCTCTAATACGGTATCCAGTCCAGTGTCATGAATTGATCAGGAGATACGGAGGATTGCGTCTCGACTTTATTACCGTCACAGTCTTTATTTTAACGACAATACAAACGCCTAGTTTGGAGCAGATGGGTGCAACGAAAAGTCCAAGATTCGCACTTGCGATGTTATTTCCTAGGAGCGGAGCGGAGATTGTGATTTTGCTGATTGTAGCAGAGTCAAGAACTTAACTCGAACAGGGTTGCGGGGCCCGGCATGCATAAGGTAACTTGTAAAAAATGTTCTCTACAAGTTTGAGTCTGGGGACACTGGACACTGGACACATCCTGGGATCCATTTTGCTATACAAAGACGCAGCATCACACGCATATACACGTTATCAATATAAGAACTCAGCGCTTACGAAACGATGCGGTATTCCGCGGCGACAAGCTTTGACAAAGTTTTGGCCCAGGCCAGGCTACTCGTAGGCATAGAGTAGTATGAAATACGAAGTAGTTATGTAGGTCGCGGGGCTGCTTAGTAGATGTGGAATTAAATGTGGAGGAAATGAAGCTATTAACATTTTATACTTTGTATAACTGTCAAAGGCCGGTCTTGTTTCGTTCATAAGTGGAGAATTCCCGTTCGAAACTCGGAATTCTTCGGGAGCAGTCCTTTCCTCAAGTCGGACATTGTTCTTTACACGGCTAGACTAACAACAGTCCCCCCCAACTTCCCAAAGCTTATAAGGAAAAATGCACTACAGTCACAAGCCTCTCGATAATTGTTTGATTATTGATTATTGTGGCAAACCGCGTCGTCTCGAGGCATTTAGAGAAACTTCCAAAATGGGTAGAGGGTGGATGATATTGTCGGAGCGCCTCGGGCCGATTTTTGTATTTACTGCACTGAGTGAGGAGAAATTAAGCTACTAAAACATTAGTAAACATACTTCGTAATTTGTTTTCATCCTTGGTTACACGGGCGTGGGAGGATCCTACGTGAAGGAGACTGAGCCCCTTCAGGCTGTTGTTCTGAAATGATAGTAGTGCGGGGGTCCAACCCACGATTCCCACGTCTTATTGTCGAAGTAGGGGTCTCCAGTTCCAGGGGTAGCACCCCACTGTGCGTGCATATTCGTATTGACGTCGAGGTCTCTGAAGTACAATCCAGATCTTTGAAGAAGAAGCGCTGGTTGCGAAAAATCTGATACTATGCTGCGGATCTCTCAATCAAAAATCTGGAGCCGTCCAAGGTACAGCTGAGTATCGACATTTTATGGCCAAAGGGAAACCCTTCAACCTCAGGGACTGACCGGGACGTTATCGGTGATAACGCTATGGAGGGGAAATACCGTAGATGAGGTTCTCACCAACCTCCAAGTTTCTTGGCCATATCCATACAGCAGGTTCAAAGCATGGCTGCACGGGTGAGAGACTAAAAGGGTCCACGCTGAGGTCTTTCCGACTGGCTCTAGGAGAACGCCTGGCTACACCAGCGTTAGACTACTGCAACATAGACGTCTCCCATGTGCTTCTCGTACTTTGAGGACCTCGTAGCCGCGTACAAAATGCTACAGAAGTCTTCTAGACCCGAGAGAAATGCAAGAGGCACATGGCCGTCCCACCCGCGTGCCATACAATCCCTTCGAGCAATGAAATCAATTGTTTTTTCCTTCAGATGACTGGTAAAACACTGCAACTCTAGCAGCCTGCCATTATCAGAGGCTGACGCATGAGTTAAAGAGAGTGCTATCAATCTGAACCGTGCTGCCAATGAGCACGGACAGACAGAATTTACCCCTCCGCGCGCCCAGGATTTTCCAGATGTCGAAGAATTAGCATTGTCCAATTATACTCTTCCCCGCCCCCTCTTAATAAATGTTAAATCACGTAAAGTCCCCATAATACATAGAATCCTATGGAATTGAGTGGCTAGAGCCCTTGCAGTGGCCCGTGAAGGGGACTCGTAAGGTCCTTGTAAGGTCCTACTAAGCCCTAGACGTAGTGATATCATTTGCTAAATTCCTCTGTTTACACGGTGGGGTGAAGGATCATTAACATTTATTAAGAGTAGCCCCGCCTACTATATACAGTAATTTTCCGGAGGGGAAAAGGCATTGTACCCCCACCAAGTTTTACTTATACTCAAGTACCATTATTATACATACAGTACGGAGTACAGTACATCACTTTTGAATAGCGACAAGACCTTTCAGTACTCGAGTTACTACAAGGCCCAAGAATCTTCAGACATCCTAAAGTCCAGATTACACTTGTCACGAGCTGAGAGCCTGGTCTACGGTTTTCCTCTTTTTCGAAGGGGACGGAGGTTCTGATGGGCGCAAGATAAAGAGCAGACAGAGGAAAACAAACAACCAAGCAAGCGATAGAGATTGAAAATTCGAGACTCGCCACTTGCCACCTTCTCGCGACGCTCTCTAATTTAGCCTTCAGCGCCCCCTACCCTTGCACACGCAGGAAGAGGAACAGGAAGAGGAAGAGGAAGAGGAAGTGGAAGTGGAGGAGGAGGAGGAAGTGGAAGTGGAAGAGGAAGAAGCGAAGCCAACCTCCTGCAAGGAATTGGCAACCCACCTCTACTAGTCCTTTTCAAACCCCCCACTTGAATCTTGATCCCGCGACGCATGTGCAGGGGCATATTCAGCCCACGTTCGAAAAGCAGCGAGCGATGCCCCTCAGCGATCCTCCAGTCAAAAGCCTGGAAAGCCGTCCGCACCTCGCCCCGATTCCGCATTCATACCAACAACGGTAACCATAAACTTTAACAAGAATAATACTGCAAGTCTGCAATATCCCAATTTCCTAGCTCCGAAAGAAAGCTGGGCTTTTCTGATTATTGCCCTGCCCATGTCTCGACAGCTTGTGGGGTTGAGTCCATTGCGCCCATGCTATTGGCCTGTCTCTGGGCTTTCCCACGCCCCCATGAACTGTAGACTTCCTTGAAGAAGGGAGGTGGTGGTGAGAAAAGAATGGAGGTGCGGACGGCACGGTAGATGTGGGAACATTGATGTTTCGAGTCAGGTAAGAGACCATAGTCAGGACCACATCGCACCGGCTTTTGAACCAGCTATGGCGTTGCAGCGGTAGCGGCAGCGCACCTACTTAAACTTTAGATGTGAAGTTATTTCCATACGCCGCATACGGTACCGGTAATGGCTCTTCCTTCGAAGTAAAAGCATACTCGGTTTGCATGGTACGAACTTGACTCGACTCGACATCCACAGCCGTTTCACGTACACTACATACAGCCGTCGCATGCATCGAGCCGTGCGTGGTTTACAGACGTGAATTACGGAGTACAGTACAGCAGCAGGAAGTATTCGTAAATCACTATAGAGGAGCAGTAGCTTCGTCGATCCGGTGCCAAACCTCCCGCTGGGACGGCGGTACGGTCAGTCGAGTCTATTATGTCCATGTGGGAAGTACCTTAGTCATTATTCAAGCTCTTGCCTACCTAGGTACTTGCTGCTGGGGCATCTGCAGCGGTTCGTCACTTGCATATAGAGAGTTACAATATACTATGTATTACTATTACTATTACATGATTCGAGATGCGGCGGTGTCCCTCGCTCAAATATTGACATCAACTTGGGCTCTTGGATAGCTAAACATTGCTGCAGACTGAAGAGAAGAGAAGAGAAGAGAAGAGGAGACAAGACAAGACTGCAGGCGGCACCTGAAGGCTAGGACGGCAGGCAGGCATTCTCTACTCACAGTACTGTAAATTTACCTATGAAGTTCTGGTACGACGTTCTCCCCTCTAAGTAGTGGTTGACTGAGAGTCTTAGCCTGCCCCTGCCCTGGCTCGGCCGCGCTCTCAGCGTCTTTCCAGCCACAATAGGACAGACAAGAGGGGCGTGGGCGTGGGTGTGCCGTGCCAGAAGAACTACCTAGGGCATCCGCTGGTACGGAGTGCCTACCTACTATCTAGTATTTACTAGGGCACCGCTGGTAGAAACAAAGCAGCACCCCTAACCAGCACCCACCTAGGTCTGTTCTACGGAGGTACTCCACCTTACTACCGAGACGAACGACCGGCCCAAGAAAGAGGTCGCGGCCTCTGGCTCTCTAATTGGCTCTCGCCCTGCAAGACGACGCCACGAGCCACTCAACTCTGTCTCCGTAGTACGGTACCTACCCCGACTCGACTCGGCGGCGAACAATAATCATATGCGCATGTCTACTTCGTCTTTGCCTAGCAGCTGGCAATAGACTGAGCTGACACTTCTACCTCTACCTCTTCCTCCACCTCGCTATTGAATTAATCGCCTGTTCTCTCTCTCGGCATCCTTCATCCTTCGACGTCCATCTCTGCAATTGTAGCTGGTCTCGCGCCTGCGACACCCCTCGGGTATCATAGCCTCAATTCGCTACGTACAGTGGGATTAAAACCACCACCACTTCAGCGGGTCGGACATACGGCTTTCAGGGTCCGTCAAAGAAAGAGCAAAAGGCAATATTAACATATACACTGGGTTTTGTGGAGGCAACCTGGCATCGGCATAGTAATTGCGTAAGGAGGGCAGGCCAGTCCCCAAACATGTCTGGCGCGACACCACAATATGAGGAGCGTGGGGGAATTCTGCGCAGCGTCCATACTTCCCCCGACACTATGAATGCAAGCGGAGAAGCTCAGTCAAATCCTACAACCTCATCGACGACATTAATAACAGAGCACGATTATCGTTTCCCTCGAAGACCCGTTGATCAGCAACCGAACGACGCTTCTGCCCGAGACTTCACACACCATTTCAGTTCCTCTACCACCACCAACACATCGAGTCCTGGCGTTAACGCTCTGGACAAGCTGGATATCTCGGCGGGGAGCAGTGCGCGCAAGGAATTGCTGCGCGAGAGTTTCTTTCCCACTTGGAAGGATGATAGTGCCGGCGACGAGCTTGATAGTCCGGATGAGATGCAGAGGAAGGATCCATTGGCTACCCAAATATGGAGGCTGTATAGCAAGACTAAGAAGCAACTGCCTAACCAGGAGCGCATGGAGAATCTGACTTGGCGCATGATGGCTATGAGTCTACGAAAGCGCAAGCAGCGGGAGGAGGCCGCTCGGTATGTTCTGTGCTTGGCTCCCTACTTGCTAAGTTTATACAATCTCTAACTTGTCTACGGCAGACTTGCGACTCAGAATTCTGCTAGTGCTCCTAGTGGAATCGCACAGCTGAGGAATAGTTCTGATCAAAGGACACCAAAGCCCTTCGACAATTCAGATGCGATGAATCTTGATGACTTTATATTCTCTGACAACATCTCGACGCCTGCTGGGCTTGGCATGTCACCCTCACCAGAGTTCAGTAAGAATGATTCAGAAGCATCATCTAATGCCGTAGCTTCTGCGATCCCCATCAAAATGAGGAAGGAATCGGCCCAATTCGCTGTACCCCAGTCCGTTCCTGTCCCGCATCACAATCCTCGAAGCACCGAAGAATTCAATTATGTACAAAGACATGTTCGAAAGACAAGTATTGATGAGAGACGCGTGAGTTACTACTTTCCTATGTCCAAGTTTTGATGTTGTGTTGCGCCATTTGCGCGTGATATTACCTAGACTCTTCTGACGCTACATAGGCTCGGAAACGACCGGCCGACTTCTCCCCTCATGTACCAGCTGTGAACAGCATTATAATACCCAATGATCCAGATCACGACGCAGATATAAACGATTACTCGCTGGATCAGCCGCACCCCCCTGAAATGCTTCGACATAATCAATCTGGCGTACCCTTTCAACTCGATACCTTCAATATGGATCACGATCCTATAATCACCTCCGCAGGCCCTTATCAACAGAACTTTAATTTTTCGCCCTCACACTCCCCACTCGTACAGCATGGGCCATTCTCCTCCATGTACAATAACTCCCAGATGCCCTCTTCGTCCCTGAACTCGAATGATTATTATTCTCCCCCGGGAAGTGCTTATCAATCCGCAGTTTCGACTCCACAGCCCATCCCGGAAAACGAGCAGATGTACTTCGGCCACGGCATGGATATGCGACACCAACGACCGCACACCTTCAGCCATGGTCCCTCGAGTCTTTCCAATTCGATGGCGCCACAATACATGTACAATGGCAATGGTGGGTCTATGTTCACTGCAGTCACCAGTGCAGGTCCATCCAATTCTTATACCTCTCCTGGATCATTTGGCATGGCACAACATATTGATCCAGCTCAAGTTTTCCAAGCTGATCATCCTGCACGATCGCCGGGTGTCCAAATGGGCCATGAAAATATGTTTAGTTTTGGAGCAGATTCCGATAACGAGGATGAAGAAGGCGCGGCATTCGCTGATCGAACGCTCATGATGCAGCACGATTTCGCCCAATCACCCATGGATGATCCCAATATGGATATGGGACCTGGAGGTGGTCTTCAATGGGATGCGACTTTGCCTGGGCAATTCACTACGCAAGCCGCTCGTTATCCTGGCGGCCCTCCAAGAAAGCAAGTGACAATCGGGGGAGCTGCTGATATGAACTCTTCGCCTCTTGATTGGGACGGCTCAGGGGGCTCTCTGGGACGAACTCACGCATCCGCACAATCTGTTTCTGATAATCGCTCTCGAAATGGTAATGACCGGCGGCAAAAGATCCCCCGCACCGCCTCAACCCCCAATGCAGCTTTACTAGGACGCAACGCCAACATGTTCGACCAAATGGGCCAGTCGAATCCAAATTCTCCACCGGATGCAAACAATATGTCTGGCTTCTCATCCGTGGATCCTAGTCGGCCATCAACACCCGGTGGTTCGAAGCACGGCTCTACCACGAACCTCGCTGGTGCAGCCGGTGCTCAAGGCGAGAATGGAGTTCCAACAACATGTACCAACTGCTTTACCCAGACTACACCCCTTTGGAGGCGCAATCCCGAAGGACATCCGCTCTGTAATGCTTGCGGTTTGTTCCTTAAGCTCCACGGCGTCGTTCGACCACTTTCTCTCAAAACAGATGTTATCAAGAAGCGTAATCGTGGCTCTGGCGCCTCTATTCCTGTCAGTGGATCTGGTGGCGCCTCAACGAGGGCGTCCAAAAAACTAGGTAGCATTTCAGCGGGAAGTGGTCCAGATGCGAGAAAGAACTCTATTGTCACCACCACCGGGACTAGTACGGCCCCCGCAGCTCAGGTCACGACTCCAACTAGTATTAGGGATCGGAGCGTCAACGAAAGCCAGAGTCCTCAATCTGTCACTGGCTCTATTGGCAATGGTGGCAGTACAGCTGGTAGTACTCCGACTTCTTATCACGGTTCTGCTGGGTCTTCGGCAGGCACAACAGGCATTAGCGGTGGTAAAGGTGTGATCCCAATTGCAGCAGCGCCACCAAAAACCACTCCTGGCCCGGGAGCGGCGTCGACCAACACGACTCGATCAAACGCGGCTGCTGCCCCAAAGAGACAGAGACGACACAGCAAGAGCGTGAGCGCCATGGAAAATATGGATATTGATTCTCCTGAAAGCTCAACCGGATCCAATGAAGCCGCGAAGTCAATGGGTATGGGCATGGTGGGAAATTCAGGGAGCATGTCTAACATGGGTCTTGCCAGTGGATTTGGGATGACAGCGAGGCCCATGGGGCCAGGGGGGATGACAATGTCTGGAATGGGAGGCATGAGTGGACCTCCGGGCATGGTAATGAGTGGACAGGGCGGCGCTGGTACGGGACCACAGGAGTGGGAGTGGCTTACGATGAGTCTTTAAATGACTTCACAGTGCCTGGATCTTCTAGGATCCTTTGTGCATGGCGTTGGCGGTTCTTCTTATGTCTTGGAGGCAGTCTTTTTGTTGCGAGCGTTGATTACAAGGTTCCGCTTCGGCCTGGATTGAACATACCACTTTATCGGTTTTCGGCAGCGATTTCCATCCCGATTTTCTGCTTATACATACACAGGGATAATATTCTGCTTGGGGTTTGGGGTCGGGGCCGGGGTCTGGTTGAATTTCTTGATACCATTTTCTGTTGTTATTTGGCGAACTGGTTTTGCGTCAAGCCTGGGTTCACCTAGGTATACATTCAGTTGTCGTTTTTCAAAGGAATGGTTGCTACATATATTCTGCTAATAGACTGGCGGGCTGGGCTTTGTTTGGTTCCAATTGGTATTTTATGATGGAGCACGGTTCCTGGAAGAGTATACGATGGAATGAGAGGCATTGCATTTATGATACCTAAGACCTGATATCCTGAGATTTGGATTGAGTAAAGAGATAGTTCTAGAGGACTGGCAGACTAATTGAAAGTTTGAATGATCGAAATGCGTTAAATTTTCCATATATTTTTGTTGTGACTGATATCAACTGCTTCTATCCAATGGAATTGATTATTGTGAAGTACCAACAGATGAGAAGTAGTATCAACTTCACGTTGTGCACCACAAGAAGGCATTCCAGTACTTGATCTTATTATTACCGGGTCCATTATCATCATCATTTTCAAAATATAGATTCAGGTAATACAAGGATGAGCAGTACAAAATATTTAAATACATATTTAGCAATCTCTAACTTACAACTACAATCCGCCACATCTTAGATCGAAGAGTGGAGAAGGCGGGGGGGGGGGACTTAAGGCAGTGCCATTTACGAGTTTGCCCTCGTTGGGGAAGCAATGCAATGCATTTATTTACCTCGAGCACTTGAAATTGAAATTCTATAGGTAGCGAGCATAACGAAGGGAACAAGGAAACTTTCAAGCATATAGGAAATGGCGGGCGGGTCTTAGGACCTGGGATTATTCGTCCTGTGCATGCTTCAGTTTAACTTAGTCTTACTAATCAGTCCGTCCTATTTAATATGACCGTATGTATGTATCTCCTTAAGCCGCGTGGTGTTGGGGGGTGCGGGGAAGAGCCTGAAAAGCTCACCATTTAACGCCCTTGCTAATAACCTTGAATCGAGCATCTGGTATTTGAGGGGCAAAGTAGGCATCAGTCGTGCATGGAAAATACTCAATATGATAGGACAGACACTAGACATTGTGATTCCCATGGATGGGCCGTGGGAAGATTGCTGAACTTGAGCTGTTTAGTGGTGGATTTAAGCTTACTTTATTTGAAGTAGGAAATTGGAATCTAAAGAAAGGAAGGAAGGGAGACAAAGGACTGGATGACGGGCCTTTGTGAATAAAATATATCATGGACTTTTCTCACGATTAAGACACGGAGGGTGGAAAAGAAAGCTTGGCATGTATGTCCTCGGCTCCATTGCTCGTCATGTCTTGGCTGTTCTGTTCGTGGTTTACTTACTTAGTCCTGCCAGTTGTTTGTATTCAGATAAGCATGGCTTTCGTGTATGCCCGCCGCCCCTTTTTCCATCATTCCAGGGAGGAGCTCAGCTCAGCTTAGCCCAAAGACTCGGAGATGATGGCCAACCAGCCACCATTATAAAAGTCATACCTCATCACCGCTATCAAATAAATCCTCACGTATCACTTCCACTTCCACTCCCACTTCCACTCCCATTTCCTTTCTGCTGCTGCCCTTGCCCCTGTCCCTGTCCCGCAGACCCAGCAATCGTCTCTTCTCCGAGCACTTTACTCGCAGCCATGAACCTATCAATAAAGCAATTAACAACAGCAACAGCATTCATCATCCTCTCTCTCTCTCTTATCTAGAAATGTAGATGAATAGATAGATAGGGAAGCCTTACAGTCCGCCATGAAAAGCACCCAGTCCCCGCACGGATTCTGCCTGTACGCTTGTCATTCGAAGCAAGTTCTCGAGGTCTGCTAGGTTGGCTGAAAGCTGCGCGAGTTGGGCGTGTAAGTGAGACTGTGGGATTGAGTGTATTAGCAGGGGAAGGGAGTGTTCAGAGAGAAAAGAGTAAATGGGAAAGAGGGGGGGAAGGGGGGGGATTACTAGTTGGCGGGGTTTGATGCTGCTTGGTGCTGTGGAGAGGCGGGGTGCATTGGAGGGTGGCAGTCGGGTTGTCATATTTCCTCTTGATTGTATTGTGGATGTATTTCGGATTGGGGTTTTGCGGAGTGCAGTGTTTGGGGTGGACTGGATGAATGTTGTGCGAGTGGAGTGGAGAGTTGTTGTGAGTCAAGCTGGAGGCGCGTTGGGTGTCGCGACTGCAATTGTCAATACTGCAACAGGAGCAGAACTGCGGTGCACGGGCCACCTGTTAACGTTCGCTTGGTCTCCCCCTTTTTCATCGCTTCCAATTCCCCACAAACAGCTGATTTACAAAGTATTTGTCTATTCAGTTGAGTATTATAGACTATTTAGTAGGGGGCAACCGCTTTGAAGGTTAATATAAAGCTCAAATGCCGCTTTCTGGCCGAGGGGTTCTGTTCTGCTGAAGTGAACTTCGCCCAAAATCGAAGCCCTAGGGGGGTATGTTCGTCATTCAGGAGACCAACAGTTCTTGAAGGAATTGACAGGCATTCGAGGGCCATGTCCACAAACTGTAGCCTAGTGGGGAACATATCTAGACGCAGCTAAAGACCGTTGGAAACCCATTGTCGGCAACTCATCTCGGCCAGCAGTAATCCCCAATCTCCATACGCAGTGGAAAGAAACGCGGTGGTGCAGCAAGGTTGTATCGAGCATCGAAGATGGTGAGAAGTAGAAGACTGGCGAAATTAGGAATCCGAGGGGGGGGGGGGATTTATAGTCGAAGCTAGTCCAGATTCGGTGCCGACACTCTCCCCTTCGGATGGACACTCATCACTCGCTTTGGCACCTACCCCACAAACTGTTCCATGCACCGCATCCATCGCAGGGTAACAACTGCCTCTCCCACGCAGCGCCGCAGGTGAGTCGCGCCGCTTACTGTGTTGGACACTGGTATATGCTCGCGCATTCTCAAAAGGTCAACACCGAGCAGTCGAGCGAATGGGTCTTAGCCAGCAACCATTCTTCTCAAGACGCCGAATACGAGCGAATTAGGAAGTGACTGCACATAATTTTAGCAGTCGGGTTCACGCGCTAATGGTGCCTTCCCCATACTTCTGTCTCCAAAACCTAGATATTTACTTGGACTCATGAACTTGGACTTGATGGCTTACACACAGCTTGCCAAATTCGGCAGGCTTTCAGCATTGATCAAGTATGTATGTACCATTAGTTCATTGCTTTTCTATCCTATATATCCAAACCCCCGTATCCAATATATACCTAAAATGCCGACTTTACGTTACTCTAGCACACAGTTCTATGGATACCTTTGGTCATAGGGTGCTTGCCACCCTTTCCCTGTGCCTTGCCATGCTGTTGACCTGCTCTCGAATGCTGCTTCTCCATACTGGTGTCCTTACTGTGGTTGAGAATACTTAGGTCGGCCTCGTCATTGTCCTGTCATTGTTAGTTGGCATTGCTCCTAACTAATATGAGGGGAGGGGACTTTACCATCAAATTCTGAGTTGTTTGACAGATGTCGGTGATCAATCTGTCCATGAGATCGAAACTCATGCTCTCTCGTACAACAACCCTAAGGATCTCGGTTTGGTCTTCGTTTGGTGGTAATGGGTCTGGAGGAGAGAGGAAGATGAGTTTTGATCATTAGAAAATCGCACAGGTTTACTCACAGTTGGGAATGATGTATTGCTTCGCCCTCAAAAGATTCGAGATAGTCACCTGCTTCAGATGCGGGAACTCTTTCTTAAACTCATCACTGAATCGGAAAGCCACCACGGGGAGACCCGCATTGTAGTCAGCAGAAGTCTCATCCTCCTTTCCGAAAACGGCCTGTTGCATGCCGCCAAATTTGAAGGTTCCCTTCTTTCGATGGATGTCTGAGACGCAAGTGTACCATCCCGTGGCTTCCAGCGACTTTGAAAGAAGACGAGCGTTCACCATACAGTTCTCCATGATCTGTCGGTAGCCCTTAAAACCGAGGTGGATCAAATTGTAGTATTGGGCAATGACTTGTGCTCCTGGTCGAGAGAAGTTTAGCGTATAAGACTCCTCCGTTCCCCCAAGATAATGAAGCTCGAAGATCAAGTGCTTTGGAAGATAGGCCTCGTCACGCCAGATGATCCACCCTACACCTGCGTAAACTAGACCAAACTTGTGGCCGGATGTATTAATGGACTTGACACGAGGAAGCTCAAAGTTCCACTTGGGGCCACCTGCTTTGGCTTCTGTAAAGGGTGCAACAAAGGCTCCAGAAGCTCCATCGACATGGATCGGGATATCAATTCCCGTCTTAGCTTCATAATCGTCTAGAATTTTTGAGATCTCTTCAACAGGTTCATAGTGACCAGTGAATGTGCTTCCCAGGATGACAAACACACCGATTGTATTTTCATCGATGTTATCCTTCACAAGCTCCGGATCAAGTCTGTAGCTGGACTTCTCAGAAACAGGCAAGATGCGAGCCTCGACCTCAAAGTATCTGGCAAATTTTTCCAGAGCAACTTGAGCATTCGCGCCCATGATAATGTTTGGCTTCAAGGTATCCTTACCATCCTTCGTCCTCTTCTCTTGCCAACGTCTCTTCATTGCCAAGCCTCCAAGATGAATGGCTTCCGAAGAACCAGTTGTTGCAGAGCCGATTGCGTTTTCGCCCTTTTGGACGCCCCAGAGATGGGCTAGGATGGACACACAGCGAGTATGCATTTGCATCATTGCAGGGTACTCATCAGCATCGGACAAATTCTTGGAGATATTCTCAAACATGAGCTTCTGTGCATGCTCTTCCATATAGGTACCAACGAACTAAAATTGTTAGCAAAGTTAAGTAGAGAAGGGTTGGGAAAGCAAACCGAGGCCAGGTTCAGGTTAGGAACACCGTCAAGATCCAGTTCATCCTTTAGGATCTGGTGAACGGTGTCTGCAGGAGCGCCTTCATCAGGAATCCTGAATTTGGAAATTTCCTGTTGTGAAGCGTACCGAGTGGAATATGGAGTGATGTGCGAGGTTCCACCCTGTGTATGGACGTGTCTGCGGCCAGCATCCTTCATATGCAAATCATGAAGACGGGAGATTATCTCATCAGGGTCAACCTGCGATCAATTGTGAGTTGGAATGGAAAGCTGAGTGAGTAAAGTACTAGGTACCGAGATGGAGGGGGAAAACTTACGTGGCGTGCAAGAGACATGATGGGAAAGGTATTCTAGGGCGGGGTTTGAAGTCAAGGAGTTCTTATTATGATTCAGATTGAGGTTTTGACTTGATGATTGTTCAACGAGGCCAGGGGAGAAGTTGGGATAGAAGCTCATTTTGTTCTGTGCTTGAAAGGTAAGGTATGACGACAGTGAAGAACCAGACCCGCCCCGCAAGCCGCCGCGTCCAGTAAGACGAGGGGTTTATCATCTTCCAAGTTTCTCTGTAGGAATAAAGCATGACGATTGGCTGTAGCAAATTCTCTGATTCCAACGACCGCGACCGTTGAATAAAATAACATAAAAGGCGGGGTCTAGGAAGTGCCGCTAGAAAAAGCTTGGTATTTATAAATCTAGCCTATTTAGGTAAAGAGGCTATCGCCAAGCAATTGCATCTACCGCCAAATGGACCTCATCAACAGAAGTACAACAGGAGAACGGAAGCGGAGGTAAGGTACGGTAGGAAAGTCTCAAGAGAGTCCGGACGAGAAGAAAGGAGATGATGACCTAAGTATTCAGATTGGCTGTTGGCTTAAGAATCCAAAGAAGAAGTAAAGTGAAGCTCTCTCTACCCCTGAGTCTTCGTCATGTGTAGCCGTAGCCATAGCCGTAGTAGAAAGGGGAGATCAAGTAGGTAGGTAGGTAGTCAGCATCTTTTATTATATCTATTCGTCTGCTCTCATCTCAACTCAACATGCATATCTTTATATCCGCATTCGCATTCCGATGATGACAGTCGGCACTTTGATTTTCCGATCGAGGGGTAGTTGTGCATGATCCATCCCTGTCCTACCTGTCCTACCTGTGCAACGCCACGGCGCCACCGTCATACAAATGCAAGAACTGTCGATGATGATGTGATGTGCTCTGGAAACCGATGCCACGCAAGCTGCTCCCGTGTCCGCTTGCTGCCTATTCGTACTCCAGATATCCTCCAATACTATTGACTTAAATACTACAGGAATCTAGCTAGCCAATGGTAATCTTCTGTTTCAATTGCGGGAATAGAGTTACAGAATAATTGAAACCCGGGGCCTTCCGTCTTGCAAATCGGAAGGTTTTATTCGCCTAGCTCATGCTTGACTTGACGTTTATAAATCAATCACTTCCCCCTCTTATTCGAACATTTGCTCTTTCCTATACTTCATCAAATACCTCCACTTGACATCATGAAGTTTCTCAACACTATATTGCCGCTTGCGGCTGCCTCCTCTGCGTTTGTCATTCCAGACGAACAGCTCACCAACCAGATCCTCATCCAGTCCGAGAAGGATTCCCACACCTTCCTCGATCGACTTCAGGGCAACGCTGCAGCAGCCTGGGATGGATTGGAAGAAACTTTCAAAGATGCTGTAGCCTTTTCTGAGAATGCCATCGACAACGCCATCAATGCTGGCATAAGTGCCAAGTCGACTTTCGAATGCCATATGTCCATGACCAAGTTCGATATTCAAGGATGGCTCGATTCATCGATGCCACTGTCTACTATGGAGGACGTGGATACTTTCGCAGGAACCAACGACAAGTCTCATAAGCCTCATAAGCCCCACAAGCCTCACCATGGCCACGATCCACATCACCACAAGCCAAACCAGACCGTCTACGAGCTCATTGCTAGCAGCAAGTACACCACGAAGCTGGCGAAGCTCATCAATGAGTACCCAGACCTAGTAGAGACCCTCAACGGAACTGCTGCAAACTATACTGTCTTTGCTCCAACCGATAAAGCTTTTGAGAAGATCCCACATCATCACAAGCCATCCAAGGAGGTCATCAAGAAGGTCCTCGCGTATCATGTTTCGCCCGACTTCTACCCTGCAGGTCGAGTCCTTGTGACGCACACAATCCCAACTGCCTTGGGTGAAGATAGTCTTGGTGGGGAGCCACAAAGACTCCGCGTTGGCCTCGGTCTCAGCAAGGGACTAAACATTAACTTTTATAGCCGAATCATAGCTATTAACATAGTACGTTTTTGCGACACCCCCCTTTCCGAATTATAACTAACCTCAGCACAGTTCGGTACAAATGGTGTCATCCACGGCGTCGACTCTCTTCTCTTGCCACCCCCACCAGCGCTCAAGATTCTTGAGCTCCTTCCCGGCGAATTCAGCACCCTCCAACTGGGTCTCATCAAGACTGGTCTCTTCGAAAAGATCGCTGATGCTGACCACGAGGGTGGAACATTTTTCGCACCTTCAAACTGGGCATTCCAGAAACTCGGCCCCAAGATCAACGCCTTCCTATTCAGCAAGTACGGCGAGAAGTACCTCAAGGGACTCCTCGAGTATCATGTCGTTGCGAACGAAACTCTTTACTCAGACGCCTTCTACAAACAGAAGGATGTCGAGTCGAATGTCGACCATAAAGTTGATGTGGAAGGCATCCCTAAGGGACATTTCCATGTTGATCTTCCTACTCTTTTGGAGGACAAAAGCCTGAGCATTGATGTTGCAAGATACGGAGGTTTCATCACCATCAAGATCAACGGCTTCAGCTCAGTTTCAGTCCAAGATGGCATTGCGAAAGATGGTGTCATTCATGTTGTTAGCTCTGTGCTGGTCCCACCTAAGACTCCTGGTGGAGCGCAGTATGCTGGTGAAGAGATGAGTGTAGAAGAGTTCAAGGAGAGACTTGATGGTTATATTAACAAGGACTTGTAGCCACGGAGCAAGAAGCGTTGAGAATAAAGATGATATGATGATATGAAATACTGAGCATGAAAATGGAATAGGCTTGGAATAGGGATTGGAATGGGAATGGTATGTCAATGGAAATAAGGAAATGGAGTTTTTATCTGAACAACTTAACTAAACATTATATTTTACCTGTGAAGTCGAGCTTCAGGTGACTTTCCTTACGCTGCAGAGTAAACGTTGGGGAACAAAACCACAGGTCCATAATAAAAAACCCCTAAAACTATTGTATGCAATTGGAACCTTCAATCGTGTCACGATCTCGTTTGAATCAAATCGCTCTCTGCTATTCGTAGAGTCCTTGTAGAAGCAACAGAGGAAGGTCACGATGGTTGTGATACCCCAGAAAAGAAGTGGAGAATATGTACAACTCGCACAATATTATGAAATGTTTATGCCGAGGCTAGGTAGAGCTTCAATTGATCCCAAGCTCATTATTTTGAAAAAGCATTTGCCAATTGACCATTGCCTGCCGCGAGACCTTTCTTACATTGATTATCAAAGGTTCTATTAGACCGTGTCACACTATTTGACCTGACAATTCCTGTCAAAGCTAAGCCCGAGTCCCTGAGCTCTGCAAGAACTCCTCAGTGTCTCAATAGCTTCCAAGGAATCAATCGACATCTCCAGACGAGCGCAATGATTACCCGGTTACCAGTACGGCTTTCGCCAGTATCTGCGACGTCTAGATTGGCTTCCCGCTCTTCACGGCGAAGTTTGAAAGTCTCTGGGTTGCTGGGCACTGCGTCACAAGTCCTTCGATGTCAATATCAACGAAACTACTCAACGTCCCCTGCTCCTCCTCCTCCTCCTCCCCCGCCAGCAGATACGGAGCCTTCAAAGCCGGTTGATCTCCGTTCACAATTTGCGCCTCAACAACAGGCTTCCCAGCCCAAGCAGAAACGCTCTCTCCGACCCTTTATATACGCAACACTATTCCTCTTATTAGGTCTGACGGCAGGCCAGTACACCCGACTCATAGTCGCGCCTCCACCACTTCCAGAAGCCGGGTCACCAGAAGACAAAGTCATGGTTGAGTTCCTCCGCAGACAAGGGGAGAAACTCCCAGTCGTGCAGTCCCTCTCCACAGACCCGGCGTGGGAATCCTACGATGCCTATAGTAGCATACCGGAAGAGAGTCGGTCAGCGAGACTCACTAGTGGGCCCCTGGCTGGGGCTCGCGCTCTAGGTGCCTTTCAACGCGTCTTCTACAACAAGGAGTCCGGAGAGGTAGTGACAGTTATCTGGTTTGGCGGCGCCATTTCTGGCTGGCCTGGGGTCGTGCATGGAGGGGTTACGAGTACAGTGCTGGATGAGGCATTAGGGCGTTGTGCGGTCAAGACATTCCCTGCCAAAACGGGTGTGACGGCGAATCTGGAGATTAACTTCCTGAAGCCTGTTGTCACGAATGCTTTTTATGTGGTCAGAGCGGTACCGCAGGCGGAGGGACAGACGGATACTAAGAGGTGGGTTAATGGGAGACTGGAGATGCTCGATGGTAGGGTCTGCGCAGAGGCAAAGTCACTCTATGTTGTCCCGAGGAAGTTTAAGACGAGACCGATAGCCGATAAATTCTGAGTTCACGTCATGACTCGTTGGAAATCATTGTTTTTGAAAGATCAACATCAGTGGTCAAAGCTGGGTTGCATTTCACATATTTCGTACGCTGCCTAGAGGGAAGTCTAAGTCCTAAATAGGCAGCATTCAGGACATACTGCAGAGTCTATGTAAGCATGACTCTTTCTATCTTATCAATCTTATCAATCTGACTGATTGGGGCGTTACGTTCATATGTTGTTTGCTTGTATTTCACTTGGCAGCCTACATATCGTACAGCCTCGTCGGAATCCGGATATGCGCGCGATCGACTCTTCAACTCCGTATCAAAAAGTAAAGTCCGTAGTCACTCACCCGACATTATCAGAACAGGTGTATAAGAAGGGTATGAATGTACGCAAAAACTGGCAGTTCATTTCTGCACTGGCTTCAATCAGCACAAAGTGACCTAGTCTATCACCTATTTTTAGACCTTTCAAAAGACATCAACACAAATCACCAAGACTATGACCGAAACTTCCGGTGAAAAGTCTTTTGGCAGCAAGGTCTTAGCAAAATCAAAACCGTTGATGAATACATCATTTCCGCCCTCCTCCCCCAAGACGACGCTTTGAGTTCCACTCTCAAAGCCAACGCTACCTCTGGCCTGCCCGCCATTGACGTTTCCCCTCTTGGGAAATTCCTCTACCTCCTAGCAAAACTCAACAACGCTAAGCGCATTCTGGAATTCGGTACACTGGGAGGCTATTCCGCCATCTGGTTCGCTAAAGCTATTCCCAGCGATGGAAAAGTGATAACGCGTGAGCTGGAGCCCGGGATTGCAGAGATTGCTCAATCGAATATCGACAATGCGGGGCTAGAAGTGAAGGATAAGATCGAGATTCGACTCGGTCCTGCTCTGGAGACATTGGGGCAGTTGGATAAAGAGGGGGTTGAAGACTTTGATATGGTATTTATTGATGCGGATAAAGAGAACAATTCTACTTATTTTAGGTGGGCTTTGGAGCATAGCCATGCGGGAACTTTGGTGACTTGTCGTCTCACCGTGATATATAATCCGTACTGATATTCAACACAGATTGTCGTGGATAATGTTGTTAGGAGCGGGTTTATTGCTGATAAAGACAATAATGCCCCCACCACACTGGGAGCAAGAAAGGTCTTTGATGCATTGAAGGGAGAGAAGAGGGTCGAATGCACGGCGTTTCAGACGATTGGGTTGAAGGGTTGGGATGGAATGGCTTTGGCGAGGGTTATTTGAGAAGACGCTTTTCAGTGTCCGGCTGGGTCTGGCATGTTTGAAATCGACCGACGGTGGTGACTTGACTGTGGGTTGGTATATATGCTCTGGAAGAGATTGGGTTGTTTGACGTTTTGATCTTGGGCATGTAATCGGTCATTAAACTTCTCTCACGCCAGTCGGAATAAAATCTCATAACTATGTCTAATTTGGTGCAAGTAGGTACATATCATATCAAAACAAGTTTGCTTGAATGTCTGAATGTCTGGCAAGGTGAGAAATGTCAACTATTGCCGAATGCCCGAGAAACTTTGAATTAACCTTTGAAACTGAAGTGCGAAACCCACGCGTTGATTCCCATTGCTAGTTATGAGAAACCCGGTATATATTTCCCTTGAGACGATTACCTAGGCCTTTTATAGATGTCTCCTTTTCGAGTCGTCAACGTAAAACTGTTGCGAAATTCTTTTATAAGACCGAAAAATGTATACGATATAGGAAAATGATATAGTAGTAATCTAACTAGTAGTATAGCTTTATATTTTCGTTTTGCGCGGGGAACCCTTTCCTTATACAAGAATTATTTGCTAGCTATATTAAAGTGGATAGTATCCACTTTTGGCTGACTAAATGTCAAGTAGTTTAACGCACGTAGTTATTAATTTGTAAGCATATTTTATCTTGATTGGCTAAAATTGATATAGAAATGATGGACAATAAGGGAATTTTCTCGTTTGAGTTACAGTAACTTGCTATGAACTCACTTTCGAAATTATATATACCAGGCTATTCCCCTTCGAGTTTTCAGCAGAGTACAATATCTCCAATCAAGGATTACCGTATTCTATCTCTTTACCTAGTCTCGCGGTGTAACGGTGTAACAGTGTCATATCTTCTTCTTCTTCGTCTTCTTCTTCGGAAAACAACACCTTAATCAATTGCAAAATGGCTAAGAACTTTGTTGTCTTCGGTGCAACCGGCGCACAGGTACAGTACCTACCAACCCATCACCCAGAGAATAACCAACTCCAAGAAAAAAAAACTTAAATAACTAACACTCCACGCCATCTTCCTTCTAGGGCGGTTCTGTGACCCTAGAACTCCTAAAAGCAAACAACAGCAACAGCAATAGCAACAAGTACAACATCCTCGCCATAACCCGAAACCCACGCACCACCCAAGCCCAAAAACTATCCTCAGCCGGCGCAACACTAGTCCAAGCAAACATGGAAGACCTGAACTCCTTGAAAGAGATAGTCAAAGGCGCGCATTACATATTCGTCGTAACGGATTTCCTAGGCGCCGAGGGCAACAGCGACAGGGAATTAAAGCAAGGACTCAACGTCCTAGAAGCAGCCAGCTCTCCTGCGTGTCTCGACACGCTCGAGGCCGTTATCTGGAGTAGCTTGCCGGACGCGAGGAAACAGCCGTGTGCGTATGAAAATATCGTGCATTTTAATAGCAAGAGGGCTATTTCGGATCGGCTGTGGAATTCGCCGCTCAGGAGCCGCGTTACTGAGGTGTGGTTGGCGGCGTATCATGAGAATTTTGTTAATTCTTGGGGGATTTATGAACCCCTGAAGGTGCGTTTGAAATATACCATAATTGTTTTCTTCTCCTTTCTATGAGTTGTAATTCTATAGAATATCCTGCACAACAAAGTGTGTAGAGCTAGGATATGGAGAAGTCGTAACTGGCTGATTCTTGTCTCGCTCAGCAACCTGATGGCTCGTATATTCTGAGTTATCCGATAAATGCCGACTCAAAGATACCGTTCATGTCTGTGACAGACCTAGGTAAACTTATTACTGTCATCATCGAAGATCCTACCAAATACCACACAAAGGTGGTGTCCTTTGTCAGCGAGTGGCGTACTCCGTTAGAGCTGCTCGAATCGTTTAGAAAAGGTACATACATACATGACCTATCCTCTGAACTCTGCTAATTCTCAGGGGCTAGCCACTGGAGTAGAGGCGAGATTCCAGTCTATGACTACCGAGCAGTTCAAACAGCACCTAGAGGCTTCTCTCCACTTCCCTAACAATGTGGCTCTGAGCATGGCGGAGAACCTATCATGCTATAGGACCAATCCAAATATGATTACGGACCATACAGACTATGCTGCCAAGGATGTAAGTTGGGATCTCACTCGAACTTGTGTCTACTTCCTATCAAGAGCTGACATGTAGACAGCTTCTCCAAGGCTTGAAGACTTGGGATGACTTCGTAAGGGATCAGGATTGGAAGTCCTACTTAGCGTCTAAGTAGTAGAATATGCTTCCAACTTAGCCTCGGGCTGTTAGTGGAAGCTTCCGATTTGTTTGGCTTCCAAATTAATCAAGTGTCTCGGAAATCGGTACTCGAACTTACACTTGATCTGGAAAGTAGTATTTGGCAAAAAAGCGAGATCACTACACGCTACATTAGCATTTTCTTTTCAGAGGTTAAATGTGAATGCTATTCGTTTTGGTAATAGATAAAATACAAGTATAAATCTGTTTGAACAATAATAATCAATAACTAGACAGGTTGCCGAGGGTCGTGTCTAGATCAGTCTCCTCGGACCACATCCCGAGACCGGCGATCCTGAACATTGCGAAACGCACCGGCTTACAGCATGTATATATAGAGCATATTGGACGGCCTCTGGCAAGCTTCCTCTTCGCTAGTTTCGATGTGCCAAGGTGACGAGAAGCGAGCGTATCGCTGGATGCCAAGTTCTTTGATGTTACTGGAAACTGCGGTAGGCGTGCATAGGCGAAAGAATCGGCGCTCAAGTTTGCCGGGAAATCTCAAAAAATTCGCTCTTATTCTTGGGAAGCTGGATGTAGCTAGGGTATTTATAACTCATGTATGTGTGAGAAAAGCTCGAAAGCTGAAAGAGTGAAGGTGCGAATTGGAAATTGTGAGGCGGAGAAAACTTCTGCGTTCGCTGGGCAAGCAATCTGCTTTTGGAGGGGGCGACAAACGAAACTTTCGAATGGGGAAAATCGAAGCTTGAGTATGAGGCTGCAGGCTGCATGATCAGGTTCTTATTAAGGAGGCTTCTGGCTTAAAAGGTAATTGTGGGGCGGGACCAGGGAATGGGGTTGTGGTTTGGGATAAGGAGTTCGATCTAGTGGCGTGGATACTCTTAGGAATCGAGTGGTTTTTTTCAGGGCACCATTGGCTTAACAAGCGCTAGCATAGTGTATCAGCAAAAGCGTCCCGTAGCAAAATGACAAAGAAAGCTATAATTGCCTAACTGATACTGTATTTTGGAGAGACACTTCAGGAGGAATGATACCAACCAAATTCCATCGACAAAAGTTATTCTGAAGCACCCTCATCCAGAAGGGAAAAATCAGGTATGACATATGCCCTGACAGTTGTTCCCATGATACATTTAGTTTCCTGTCTTGTATCATCTGCCAGTCTTCGACTAGAGCAATCTCAGTCGGCTTAAATTATTGCCGGGGCCAACAAGATGTTTAAAACAAGGGAAGCTTGGTGCAGTTTTGACTATTTTAGAGATTGACAGTCAAGCGCTTTTCGAAGGACTTATATTCAACCTAGGGCGTAGAAGGCATTATCATATTTGAGTTTGTGAGACAAAGAGGTCAGAATAGGGGCCCGCCGAAGATGCAGAAGTGGCCATTTGCAAAGGAGGGGATTCTGGGTACAGGCCAGGGGTAATCTGCCGTGCGGAGAGGATGCTTACTCGAGTGTGGTTTAGCAGAAGTAAAAAGGAGCAATGAATTCTCGATTTGACTTTTTGATTTGTGGATCACAAACTTCTCCTGTCCGCTCGCTTGGTTAAGCTTGGACCTGGTACATTGTGATGCCGTCTCCTTTCCAGAGATTGGAGTTGTGGATTCCAAAGAGTCAAGAGTACATCTTGTTTGACTGTACCGAGTGTACCGCATCGTAACCCTGGATAGATTTACCAATGGTCTGGGCTATGTTTCTGATCTGTCCATTGATGGGTTTCGATATCGGAGTCAAGTCTTCACTGGTTGTTGCAACATGCCTTGCAATAAAAGCTTGCCAGACTATCATTGTAGTCAACTCCCGGAATATTGGGAACTACTCCTAGTTCGAGAGTCTTTCTTGTACTTCAGGAGAATAAACCTCTTCTTAAGCCGAGACGGGACAAGTTCTACTCGGCTTATTGGGTAGAAAGCAGTCTTTGCAGAGAATAGACAGTATAACGCTAACTTTGAATCCACCCGATAATCAGCAGATCAAAAAGACGTAAATGCAAAAGATTTAAAATAACGAATACGGGAGCTTAGAAGCGGCACCTCCGAGTGAGGTGTCTCGTGAGTTGAATACATGCCTTGGCACCGCTTTAATAGACCCTGGTATTCATGTGTCCGAAGAGCGCAACCCAACGTGCTTATCATTCTAGATCTAGAAAGACTGAAGCTCCCGTCAAGGCTCTCAGCTGAACATGGATGTACCTCGACGCCCTGCCAGGAAGAGGCGAAATGGGGGTGAGACGAAGGATTTGTGGTCAGCCATAGAAGATTCGTATCGAGATCGAAGAATGTGTAATACATGCCAGTGATCGCGGAGTCATCAAGAAGCAGCAAAAGGAAAGAAATGAGATGGTTGAAAGAATAGATATCCCCGTCTGCTGTCCTAGAACTCTAACTGGGTTCAATCTGAGAATCGGCTGATGTCCCCCTTTATGATAGTAGCCGAGTTATATACGAGGATGGGATATATATCTCAGCATGCTAAGCAATGGACTCAGCTGGGAGGTGGATGTGCAGATACCAACTCAGGACAATGCAGTCTCATCCAGAAATCTCAAGATAGTGGAAGAATCGGATGAAAATAGAATTGGCATCTTGAGGTCCAATTGCAAGTCCGGTAGCGCGAGAATGGGGAGAAGATGGGATAGGAAAGGGCAGGACAGGGCGCCTCTAGAATTGGGGGGTTGTCTGCATTGTTCTGCTGGACAGTATTGTGTTGTAGGGGCTCTGTTCAGCCTCGCGATGATCGCAACGTTATATGATGTACAGAGATCGAGGCCGGTTATACCTACCGAGGCCACCCTGCCCTACCTAGACATTAGATCTGGACCTGGGCCCCAATGCATGCTAGCGTGCAGCATGGTACATGATAGTACATGATAGATGATACATTACTTCGTATATGATACATGATACATGACACCTGGTACCTGGCCCTAGGTAGGGTAGGTTCCTCTGCGGAAGCTGCTGCCGTGTGTGCATTCGCTCTACTCTGACGTACGGTACGCCGAGTGCAGTGCCCAGCTGAAAATGTTTGGGATGGTTCTACGACATACCCCACGGCGGGAAGAAATACTCAAAATATAGCCCGAGTGAGGCGCACATGATGTGCAGTAAGAACCTAAGGGAGGGGAGGGAGGTAGTGAGCCCACAATATTAGGTTTGGGTATTACAGTATTCCTTGTCTGATGTTGCAGTAGCGTGCGTGCCCGATCCCCTTTTGCTGGCTCAAGTAGCACGCATCGATCGAATTACCACTAGCACGCATCGAATTACTACTAGCACAGAACAGATTTCACATCGCAATAATAGGCAGACAACGACAGCATTGAAGCTGCAAACAAAACGAGAACCTTAGGTAGGACACGCAAGTTGAAAAGAACTTGTTGTTGACATAGTTATTAGTCGTATATTTCTATGCACTCCTACCTAGCTTGGTATACTGACAAAAAAGCCTAAAAAGGGGCACACTCATCCTACCTATGGAAGGTCGACTTTGGAGACCAGGCTAAGGTACCTGCATAGCATACCTAGCCTAGCGTAGTATAGAGCGTCGTATAGAGCGTCGTATAGAGCGTAAGATGGATAAGTAAGTGGATGAAGAGTGAATAACGGCCACGGACGGACATGGAACCGCAATACATTTTCCCACTTGAGCTTGAACCCTGCGATATACTCACTGTATTGCATTCTCCTAGACACAAACAGAAGCGAATACTGCGCTGGAACCCTTCGTCTAAACTCAATGTGACGAGAAAGAGGAGCTTGCAATTGCTTGTGTTTTGAGATGAAAGAGACTTCAACAACCCACTTTATTACGGCCTCTCCCGTTACCAAACCCTTTTGATATATGGTGCTGGTGCCGCCTCTTGTGCCAGTCATATCGTCACCACATCCCGCATCTTCGACCTTCCTTCTTTTCGTGTTCCCTCCTCATTGAGTCTCTCAGTTGCGTGAAAATACTCCTTTTCTCTGGGTTATGGGAGTCTTCGTTGTCTTCTAGGGCACCCTCGACTACATGTACCTCGCCCTCCTTCATGTTCAGCCCTTCCTCGCCTACCAGACGCGCAGTCATCTTCTTATCTTGGATTCCATCCTCCCAGAGGTGCTACTCCAACACCGCCAACATGTCAAAGTCCAACGTCATTATTTACTTGCATCGCAGAGATCTTCGCATTTCTGACAATCCCGTCCTCCATTCTCTCAGTAACGCCAAGGGCCATGGCTTCACTCATCTACTTCCGCTGTACGTCTTTTCCCCCGAGCAGCTGGAGGTCAGTGGCTTCATCCCCGAAGACGCAAAGGACAAAAGCCCCCACCCGGAAGCGAGGAGTAGAATCGCCAACTTCTGGCGCTGTGGACCTCATCGCGCCAGGTACCTGGGCGAGAGTGTATGGGACTTGAAGAACTCTTTTGAGAAAATAGGAAGCCAGCTATGCGTCAGGGTTGGTATGCTGGATGAAGTGCTCAAGTTTATGATTGATGGCATTAGCAAGAATGGAATGGGGATTGGCGCAGTCTGGATGACAAGCGAAGAGGGAACAGAGGAACAGAGAGCAGAGAGATCCATCAAAAAACTCTGCAAGGACTCAGGGATTGAGTTCAAAGTTTGGGTTGACGAGAAGTATCTGGTAGACGAGTAAGTCATCTACCCTTTATGTCAAGACCTTCTGGTACGCTGGCGCCGACATTAACGTATTGAAGTCGCGATCTTCCGTTCGACAGCCCAGAAGACCTCCCGAATGTCTTTACAGAGTACCGTAAGAAAGTCGAACCTCTCAGAGAGGCACCGCGCGCCGTACTCGCCACTCCAGCTAAGGGATCTCTACCTCCTTGCCCGGACAATAGCATCATTCCTGACCAACACTCGCCTTTCGTAATTCCAAATACCCCTGAAGCACTTGAAAAGGCGCTCATGAGGCCGCTCGGAGGCGGACCCCTGGTTAAGAATCCACCTACATACCCTTCAGATGCAGAGTCAGCACACCCTTTCAAAGGCGGAGAATCTGCCGCCCAGGAACGACTCGAAAGTCAAATCGCCTCCGGCGCCATGACAACTTATAAAGATACCCGCAACGGCCTTCTAGGCACCGAATACTCCACCAAACTCTCAGCCCCCCTTGTACTAGGCTCCATCACTGCGCGACAAATACATGAGGCTCTCCTATCCTTCGAGGATGGCACTGATGACGGCAAGTGGAAGGGAGTTCCGGGTTACGGCAAAGGAGAGAATGATGGCACCAAGAGCGTTCGCTTTGAGCTGCTTTGGCGCGATTACATGCGTCTCTGCAGCCGCAAATTCGGCCTCAAGATGTTCCGCTTAGGCGGCTTTAGAGAAGAGGACCCCGTGCGCTGGAACACATTAGATAATCCACGCCAGGGACAGGGGGGACAGAGTCTCGATGAGATGATTGAGAGGTTCCTGAATGGAAGACGGGCATGGGTTTAATCGATGCCTCGCAGAGAGAGCTATTCCATACTGGCTATACATCTAATCGCGCGCGTCAAAACGTTGCATCGTTCCTCGCTAAACACATGTATATCGATTGGCGGATTGGAGCCGAGTGGTATGAATCCATGCTGCTTGATTACGACTTGTCGAGCAATTGGGGGAATTGGCAGTATCTGGCTGGTGTAGGGAATGACCCGCGAGGTGAAGCTAGGATATTCAACCCAGTGAAGCAGGCGTTTGAATATGACCCCAAAGCAGAGTATGTTAAGACCTGGATTCCGGAGTTGAGAGGCTTGACGGATCCTGGCGAGGTGTTTCAAGCGTGGACAATCAAGGATCAGTCAAAGAAGAGTGACCTAGGTCTTGAGGGGCTCACTTGGGTTGAGCAGCCATTGAAGAGAATCGAGTTTCATCCTAGCAGGAAACCAAGGCACCACACTGGCAAAGGCAGAGGTGGTGGAGGTGGAGCCAGCGGGTCTGGAGGTGGTCAAGGGGGGAGTTCTCGAGGTGGGGGCCATGGTGGGGGTCAAAGTCGCGGTGGAGGACATGGTGGTGGAAGGTATGGTGGCAGCTCGAGAGGCCATCTTTATGGAGGAGGACGTGGAGGCACTAATATGGGAGAACAACAAGCCCCGCCATGAGACAGGGTCACGAGAATGGCTTCATCAACAGACCTATGATCTGCAATGAGAGCATGGTATAAAGGCAATGCGACATGCTTGGAGTTCGCCGGCTGGCAGGTAGGAAAGGGCATATGGAAACGGGAAAAGGGAATCTTGGAGGACTTTTGATTTGGTGTATGAACACACATGAGATGATAACCATTATACGTTGCTGAAACACTTCTACTGTCTCACTTGCTCCTCTGAACACAAGATTGCTACACCTCATTTCGCAATCATTGTGAGATGCATTTACAACCTACTTAGTTGTGAATTCCCAGAAGACGCACTTCATAGTCCCTCATGTCTCGATACCAACTCACAACATTAAATTTAGGTACAGCGCTGAAAACAGGATTCACACCACTTGATCTTAAGGCAAGCCAGAGCTGCTACCCCTAAGTTGGGTGCTTCAACTAACGTAAGAGGTGAACCTTCGGGGATCTGAATACCATTGTGTATCACATAGACTTTCTGCTTTCAAATTTTGAAAACGCCTCTGAAGTACAATTCAAATCTCGATTGAATGGTACGTGATGCGTCTTTCGAGACCAGCGCAACTAGGTGCATATTCTTTCGACTTGCTTTCTTTTCTATGACTCAAAGAAGTTCATAACAGGGATTCTCCATGTTGATGTCTGCACAAGTTCGCAATCACTAATTGCCAGCATAATCCATAGGTAAATTGTCACTCATAGGTATATACTGAACATGCTACTTTTCATAACCCGATCTTTCTACCGAGTTCGTCCGCGATGGCCATAAACGCCTTAGCTCTGTCGCTTTCCGGCTCAGCAACAACGGTAGGCTTTCCCCTATCTGCATCGTCGCAAATGCTTGCATGCAGGGGTATATCGCCTAGGAAAGGGATATCATGCTCCTTGCACGCATGGGTTACACCAGAATGCGATCCGAAGATATGCGTGCTATTATGGCAATGTGGACATGTGAAGAGCGACATATTCTGTATCATACCGAGTAATGGGATCTTGACTGTCTTAAACATGTTTATCCCCTTTACGGCATCCTTCAGAGCGATGTCTTGCGGCGTTGATATGATGACAGCACCTGCCCTAAGTCAATCCTGGCAATCTCTAGGAGAGAGCGAAACATACCATCAAGCACAATCTGCTGTGTAATTGTCAACTGAGTATCTCCTGTCCCGGGCGGCAAATCTAGCACAAGAATATCTAACCCCCCCCAATCGACTTCGTGTAAAAGCTGCTGGAGAGCCTTCATAACCATAAGACCACGCCATACCACCGGAGCAGCATCTCCAACCAGATAGCCCATCGACATAGACTTGACTCCATAATTCGAGAGTGGTAGAAGTTGGTTGTCTGTCGGCGGTCAGACTTGCTCTTTTCGAACCATTATGGCAGGTATCACTGACTGGGAGATAATCGAGGCTCGCCTGAGAGGTTCAATAGAGTTGGTATAGAGGGACCGAAGATATCTGTGTCGAGGACGCCACTTCGGAGCCCCTTTCGAGCGAATGCCAAGGCAAGGTTCACTATGAAGAGTTTAGTACAATCATTATTCTGGCAGAGGCACTACAAACCAGCAATAGTTGACTTCCCAACCCCGCCTTTCGCAGATGATACAGCAATCACTTTCTTTACGTCTTTGATCTGCCTTCGCTCGGGTAAGCCGCGTTGCATTCGAGGAATGCTTCCGGATCGTGGCAATCCCTGAAACAATTATTAGTATTTACAATGATGAATGATAGATTTAAAAATTGTATTCTTACCAAAGGATTCTCGTGCTGCAAGCAACGTAACGTTGAGAATAGTCTAGGCTTCATGCTGGCTGAGCTTCAAGCTTCATAACTCTCCAAGAGCAGAGCTTCTACAAAGCTCGGCCTTAAGACAGGGGTCTGCGGATCGGCAAAACAAAGCTCCGACCCCCGCTAGCCCGCCAAGATTTCGTGGGGAGCTCCAAAAAAAATATCGAGAATTTTGTGCAGAGAAGCACAAAAACAATTAGACAATCTGTTTGAGAATGGGGAAATCTAAGTCTCGCGCTCAGCAATTTGCTGGCTTGACCGAACCTGTGCCTAAAGGTATACTCACCTACATCCATCGCTTGCTCTCTCTCCTTCAAACTATAATCTTTACTAACGAGGCGCAGATTTTGACCCAGAGGAAGATATTCCGGAAAATAACAGCAACGGTAGTGGATCTGAAGACAGCGGTGATGATTTGGCGGGCACAGAGCATTATGCTCAGTTTGGGTGTGTTCTGCAATTCTTCTAATACAACCTCCAAACTAAACTTTCAATTTAGTAAGAGCAAGCTTCGCAAGACAGAGGAAGTCGCCCTTGGGCCTCAATACGCTGGTTCACGAATAAGCCGAGACCAGCTACTTGACGATGAATCAGACTCGAAAGCCGAGCCTTCTGATTCGGAGGAGGAATATTCCAAGTTCGCAGATCCAGACGATTCCGAGATCGAAGTTGATGATGAGGACGGAGACATCGACAGTGACGCAGCATTTGGCGAAAGTGATTCGGAAAAATTCAAGGAGTTTACGTTTCGGGGAAGTGGCAAGCCCGTGGAGTTGAATGGGCATAAGAAACGGGCGACTGCCGCGGATTTCATGTCAACTAGCGAGGATGAAGGTGTCGCTCTAGATGAGGTTCACTCTGGCGAAGACGAGACGGACGAGGATGTTTTGGATACTGCCCGGCAGCACTCCGATGATTCAGAGAACGAGGTGTTTTCTACGGCACGCCAGTCTCCCGAGAAAGGGGGTTTTGAGAGTAAGGATTTGGAAGACGAAGAGAGCTTTGAGGGCGGTGATGAGGATGACGATATGGACTCAATGCCTATTGAAGATGCACGGAGTAGCAATGGCTCCGAAAGCGAAGATGAAGACGACGATGATGAGAAGGAGAGAAAGGCCGACCTTAAGAAATTCGGGGACAAGGGACAGAATACTCTCGTGGCTACGATTTCCCAAGCAGCAAAAGCCGACGCCGATAAGGGAAATGCAGTGAAGCAACAGAGAAAGGCTTTTGATTCTCTCCTGAGTGTGAGAATGGTTCTGCAAAAGGCCCTGGTTGCTACAAATTCTATGACTGTCAATGAGGACAAGGATACCGAAGACGCCCCGAATCAACCGTACGGAGCAGCAGAGGAAGCTGCCATCAAGTTATGGAATACTCTGGATGGTCTCAGACACGATTTGTCAAAATCAAAGGCCGGTGGTCAAGCAGGCCAGAAACGCAAGCGTGGCGTCGATATCTCAACGCCTTCGCCCACCATTTGGGAACGAATGCAGAATTCGGAAATATCCGAGATTGATACCAGACAAACGACTCTAGAAAAATGGTCAGCCAAGGTTCGTGGCCCGACCTCAGTAGCCATTGAAGGGAAGGTCAAGCGGAAGCAAGCCTCAGTACAATCCATCACATCCGTTATCCAAGAGCAGCTTTCAAACTCGGACCATTTGATCAGGAAAACAAAGATCCCTCGATCCTGCGCACCTGTTCAGAGGGACCTTAAAATATCCGAAGATCCCAATATCTACGACGATGGGCATTTCTATCAACTTCTGCTCAAAGAACTAGTAGACCAGAGAAGAGTAGAGTCCTTGACCGCGCCCGCTGCTGGTGCTGGGAATGGGGGTGCATTGCAATGGACTGCTGTGAAAGAGGCGAAGACGAAGAAAAATGTTGATACGAAGGCTAGTAAAGGCAGGAAGATGCGCTACACAGTGCATGAGAAGTTGCAGAACTTCATGGCGCCTGAAGATAGGGCGAACTGGGAGCCGGACGCGATCGATAGATTTTTTGGAACACTTTTGGGTCAGAAAATGACACTGCGAGAAGAGGAGATGGACGTTGACGGGGACGAGGAAGTTCCTCTTGAAGAGGAGGGCTTGAAACTATTTAGGTCTAGCTAATTAAGATACCCTCATTGTTCAAATGACACAGTTATATATGCAAAACTACTGAGAATACCCGCGCTGTTACACTGAAATTCATGTTTGTGTAACCTTCCCGGAGATGCAATCGAGCAAGTGCTTAAAAAATAGGATAAAATGTTTCACTGACTCTTTGAAAGTTTGGTGATGAAGTCGGAAGTGCTAAACGCCACTCGCTAAATCAAAGGGGTGGTCGCTTTGCTATTAAGACATCTATCAATGATAATATTACATGTTATTTTAGGTAAGCTGCCTTTTCATTCATACACGCTATGCTATGTTCTGTATTCTACTTCAATATTTCTCTTTCGCAACCCACTCTCCCCTCCCTTTGCATTGTCTTGCGACCCCAAAAGCTCTCCGCCTAATCTTTCTGACCCCGCCCAAGAACCTCTTTCCAAACACCCTTAGACATCCAAACCTCACCCCATCTCTCCCACTCGCGCCGCTCGTACCTGATTCGGTATCAGACTCGGAGCTAAACATCAAGTCCGCCCAACAACAAGTACAGCCCTCCTCATCCCTGGCCAATCTACATACGCCGCACACCCCAGCATGCACACCCACATCCACATCCACATCCACTTCAATTATAGCTGAGGTCCTGAACCCCGATCCGGTTCTTGACGAAAATTCGGAATAGAGTTGGGGAGCCGGTATGCTGAACTCTTCACGCAGGAACCATGGTACTGCTCGAGGTGAGTGAGGCGTCGGTGAAGGGAGCGATGGTGTTATGTCTGCCGTTCCCTGGGAGTAAGGTGACGGATAGTCGAGGATAGGAGGGGTGATTGGGCGGGTGTATGGTAGACTGTCGATGGACGTGCAGGAGATGGAGGAGACGAATGAGAGTCGTTCTAGACCTGGTGCTCGCAGAGGTGATTTGGGGGGTATTTTGGGAGTGTAGGATAGTGGTGAGATGTTGATAGGGGAATCTTCTTCGGTGATGTGGACTACTTCGATGATGGGCGATGGGGGACGGGTTGGGTCTAAGAGTTCGGTGACTCCAACATTCGTTTCTGATGTCGACAACCACGTTTTGATTGTTGGTGGCTCACTGGTAGCTTGATGGTCATCCTCTGGCCATGTTTTTCTTCTCGGTGGTAGTGGTAATACTGCAATTAGTGCCGAGAGGCGCGAGTTTTGTGAATGGGAGGATCTCGGTGATCCAAAGATAGGAGCAAAGTGGCTGTAGTTTCCGAAAGTATTTTGACTGTTGGCAAGGGGTGGTTTCTCTGAGGGGAGAACGACAGGACATTGGCTCTTTTGACTGATCTCTTGGATGCAATGCAGAAATGGATCCGTGAAATCGACCGAATTCTTTGGAAAAATGTCCTAATACAGATTAATATAAGTTGCCAAAGTGGCATGCTTCTCAAGTTGTATTTACCTCATTTTCAGTCTCCTCTTGCACCATCGTTCTCACAGACTCCAAACTACCTTTCACTTTGCGAATTCTCCATCTTTCAAATGCCCTTTTAGAGCTTTCCCGTTTGACTAGTGTCCAATGGTCTCTAATAATGTCCCTCCACTCTGTATATACTTGACCAACCTGGCAACATTCGGGGTTCGAACGATGTGTTCCTGCACAGAGACTTCGAAATACCAATTCTGGTAGATGTTTAAGTGTTTTGTCGCAGTCTGAAGACGCACTCATCTCATCTAGAATTCGACTTGCTGCTTTGCGATCCTCGACGAGAATCTGCTTCTGACATCTTTTGAATGGGATATGAGATTCGTCTATGCCGACGCAGATGAAAGAATTTTCGTCTGGGTCAATTTCAAGGAGTTTGCGGAAATTGTAACAGGCTGCCATAGTGAACGATCAAGTGAAAGGGAACGATTGAAGGATGACAGAGTAAAGAAAATATGGTACTCGGTTCCAAATTGATATCTTACCTTCAGATAGACGTGATTCAAATCAGACATATATGCTGGGGCATATTCTAACTCGAAGCTATTCATAGAGCATTCGCGCACACGGAGCAGACATGAGGCACTTAGAAAGACTACTGAAGTAAGGCCTCAGGCAACAAAATATCAATAAAAGAACGTCGTGCAGGTCGTCAGGGAACTCAGCCCCTATTGTTATTTCGCGGATACATATCAGTCGCATAGCCTGCAGCCGTTGGAGTAGACACCCCCTGCCTTTGCTGACAGCAGAACAAGGGCGGGTGTACTTTATGTAACCTCAGGTACTCAGCCATCAACGCCATATTTACCCCTCCCTCATCGACCCCTGAATGAGGCCCTTGGCCGCTATTTGCAGGCACCAGGTCACCATCCGCAAGGCTGTGAACCGGCACCGCCGATTTACACACGACATAGCGATGTCGCACAACCTGTTGCAGACAATTGGAACAACTCGGCCCCGGATATGCAAATCGAAACGCAAATACAATCCTTCAAAGAAGCTTCCTAGATCTCAAATCAACAGGGTGTACGAAAAGGTGAGGCGAGATTTTGAGAGGGCAAAAACGTTTCATAAATTCAATCTGCGGCTATTCATATGTCGTACTGATTCCTAAAACAGGAATCTGAATTTGAAAGGTACAACGAACGCACTATAGTAGGTAATTATTGCTTTGTTTTATTGCTGCGAGATGACTGTATCAAGTAAGAATGACAACAGCTCGCTCTGACAGCGTGAGACCACTTGTGAGGTTCTCATCCGTGATAGATAATTCTGAAGATCGAGGACGATGGTGTTTGGAAAGAGGCAAAACAATAGCTAAGAACGAGCGAAGACGTAGATAGATATATATTTTGAAAGGTAGAGAAACCACGCCGATTACTTATTTTGCGTTGGGTCTTGTCCTTGAGAATTGGAATTGGAATTCAGATGTAGGACTATATACTCGACACGTTTGGGGGAGAGCTTCTCCGTGCTCACGGAGGAAGCACCATTTTGCAAGTGTTCCTCAGTGTTGCCCCCTAGATGATATGGGTTTCGCTGAAATATTTTGGATGGAGATAGCGTAGTGAGGCGCAACCTTTTTAGACGCTCCACGCAATGCAGCCGATAAAACCTTTGCTGATATCCTCTTCCGTTTGTGCACGGAGAGCCCGCCCGGTCGTAGGGGTCATCTTCAGTTGTATGCGTACTATGAGTAAAGTGATATTTCAGAAAAAAGCTAACTGAAGAGGAACGAATGGACGAAATAGAAAGGAAGGAAGAAACATTAAAGTTTATGAAATAGATGCGATGCAGAAAATAGAAAATCTAGATGTCTTTATTTGAGGATGCTTCTTAGAATTGGTATATGCCAAAATTGAGATCTCCCCCTATGCGAATTTTGCTCCACAAATATCATAAGCCCCACCATCCTCAAAAGACAGAGGCGTGGAATCAGCATTCCCATAAGCGTAGTTTGCTAGAAAGCACCTTGTCAACATACTATTTTCATCGTAACATGAACGGAAAGAACTTACAAGGCACAGTGGAATCAACAAGCAAGTTATCCGCAGCATAAAACGCATAGTCATCACTATGATAGTCTGCCTTATTGATGACGGCGCCTAGACAATCGTTTGCATAATCATCGTTGAAAACCAACGCCACGCTGTGTTTCCATTTTCCAAAGAAGGTTTTGGGATGGTCACGATTCTGGTTGTTGTATTGGGATATGTCGTCGTCACTTTCAGGTCATGATTTTAGTTCCAATATCTTTCCGAGAATGGGGCAAGGGAGCTTACCCGTCGAAGGTGTGCATGATACTGGACCATGCGGTGTAAGGATGGTTCCCATCTTGCTCCAACCAGATGCCGTCCCTGATGTATTGGCCATCTGAGTTCTGGACGAACTTTACAGCCGCCCATTCCCAGTCATACGGGTGTCCAGTATCCTATTTGGAAATCAGCTCGCACTCTTAATTTCAGATGAAGTCCCACCTTCTGGAAGAACACATCATAAACCACTCTCCATGAAGAATCATTGGAGCACTGTCTTATGGTATAATAGGTGGGAAATGAAGTAGAGGGTTGTTCCTGCTCGGTCTGCGGCGCCTGGACTGGACAACCGGCATTCAACGAGCCTAAGACCATACAATCATCGTTGTCGACGCTCGGGGTTTGACTGCCGTTAGACTGAACTGCTGCGCTTGGAAAGCAGGTTTTGAGGTCGAGGTGCCATAACGGTGCAGCGGCTTTCACGGCAGTTAGAGGATCACTGGTGAAGACCGAGTTATCGATGGGAGTATTCGCAGCAACGAGGTGGGCGCCCAATCCAAGAGCAAAGAAGAATGTTGGGCTAATCATCTTGAGAAGGTACTAGATTTCATATACTCTCAAAGTCTCTTTACTTACCTTGCTGTATTCTGTATTGGGAGACAAGCCACTTTTTATAAACCCGCAACCCCCCAACCTCAAAGATATACTAAAGACACACATGCAGGTCCGAGTTGTAATAACCATCACGAATGTGTGTAACTGCGCATGCGCGGGCCTACTGCACAGATCATTTCCCCGAACTGTCGAAAGGAAGCCCAGAGGATGTGGTAGTGTGACATTAATAGGGGCGTAAAATGTCCCCGCCTTCCTGATCGGAAAACCTAGGTCACTTGAACCTCAAATGGCAGTTGTGTAGCCTGATTACGTGCCGTGGTCCAATTAGAAGTCGAGCTTTCGATCGTGATAATTTTAATCTCAAATGTATTCACAAACTGCGCTCAAAGTTCAGAAATATTCCTTTTGATGCGATGCGCACACTTTGATTAGTTGAGAGCTGATAAGGTTGGAATGCAGTGAAGTCAGCGAAAGTGAGCCTCTTCGCTAAGACAGATACAGCGCTGCAAAGCATCGAAGTGAGACACTTTTAAGAACAGTAAAAGAGAAGAAGAAATAATCCATGACGATACAGATTTATTGATTAGCTTAGCCAGTTTACAGTATGAATGCTGTTCTCGGCGGTAGTTTGTTGGTATTACTACAATACGTAGGAAAGGAGAGTCCTTACAGCCTTGCAGACTTGCCAAGGTCGTGGGGTCATAACTTGTGTGATGCAGTGGTGACTATTTCTACAGTGAGACGAATTCAAGGTCGCGCCAACTTGCCACGAGATGCCTATCAAGATGAAGAAGCGTCTTGTACTTAGAACAGTAGCACACCATGCCGATCTAATATGGCGCTTGCCGTGAAGCGCATTTCTTTGGATCCTGAATGACAAGACATCACCTTCCTCTTGTGCATATCAGCAACCCGCTAAATTATGACGGGCAAACTACATCCAGCTCAATCGTGTAGCCTCACATGCACATATCTGGTACTGCAACTCTGGGACTTTGGGAGAAGAAGCTTCGATTGATCAAGCAGAAGCAAGAAAGCATTCCGTCAAATGTACAAATTACGCCTGTGAGATGCGTCCTTTCCTCCCAAAGATGAGCGGTCCCATCCTGATGTAGATTTGATCCACCCTCGAGAACATCAACCCCAAGTCTGATCAAGAAATCATCTCTCTAGCAACGCCTCCAGATTCGTGACACCCATCCATCCTTCGGTAATTGTCTATGTGGTTGGGTTGGGGTTCATCTAAGAAACATGTTAGATACTGATGGTCTGGGAATTGTGTACTGTCGATGCTTACCTTCCGCTTGCCACCAGTCAGAGTAACGTTCACGAAACGGCGGGTATATGTGATTCTCTTCTTCGCGCGACCCTTGGGGGTCTTCTTCTTCTCTTGGGGCTCAACCTAGAATCAAAATCCGTCAGCGCTGCCTTGCTTTTGATGCTTCTATTTCCATCGATTCGTTGCCACGAAGGACGAACTGCGCGTCTTTCCCGATTCACCGCCGCCAGCTCCCACCCTCCTTCCCTCCAGATTCGGAATTATCGTACCTTTGGTGTTTGAGACTTGACCTTTCCGGCACGAGCGAGGGATCCGTGGACCTTTCCCATGATTGCGGTTTATCGGGTTGTTCTTGTTCGAAGACTGACCGATCTAAATGTGGCGACGAGGGATTAGCGCTCGATACTGTAGTGGAGTGAGGCTTTGAGATTAAATGCACGCGGTCGAGATGTGCGATCGTATCTGAGAGAATGGATGGAAACTCACAGGTTGCTGGAGATGTTTGGCGATGGAGAGTCGTTGTCGGTAGATGACTTGAAGTATATTCATACTGGTGCTGGTGTTTGTGTGCTCGCTTAGATCCGCCATTCCGAGCTAAGGATTAAAATCATGTGATGTGGCGATAGGACCCTGGTCATACGGTACCGTGTATACTTGAATGCTTTTTGAAACCCCCTCTTATATCTCTCTCTCTCACAGAACTACTCGAAATACATAAATTAAAGTTTTTACCGTGCTTGTCAAACTTGTCCATTATATATCGTCACGTGGCATAACAAATAAAAAAGCCGAGGTATGTAGTGCACGTGCCCGTACCTATATCCTTGTCTCAGCCACCCAGGCCAGGCCAGGCCAAAACATAATACAACCTTGGAAGAGCATCATAACCACATCCAAGAGTCCTTGGCTCACATTTCATCTTTTTTCCGTCTACATAGAGTTTCTGCCTGTACATAGTTCCCAAGCCGTCCAACTCCATCTGTCTCAACTGTACATGCCACACTTGAGTTCATTCAAGATGCAAATCCCACTCCTCTCCCTCCTCCCCTTCACAGCGTCAACTCTCCTCCCCTCCTCCCCCCAATACGTCCTCTCAAATCCGGCACTCGACGAAACCGCCTTCAAAATCCCCACCTCCTACGAATCAGCAGTCCAAGCACGTCGAATCCTAAACCTCACACCTCTAGGCACTCTCTCCACCGTTTTCCCTTCCCCCTCCACCCTCGAACAGCGCCCCGCAGGCCTCGCCGGTATACCCATCGGTCTCATGGACTACTTCGCCGACTGGGAGTCGTCAGGGGACCCCACTATTCTCGCCATCAACATAGCGACATCCTTCAAAAACGTAGCAGCTGGCTCCAACATATCTTTATCACTGCAATGGACGCCTCCCTACCCGCCAAAAAAACGGATCGGGTCTTTCGGCTCCAAAGAAGCTGTGCCATATTCAGCTGCAAACCTGCCGCGGTTTTCCCTACTAGGGTATATTGAAAAGATTGAGGATAAAGAAGTAGAGGCGAATGACTTGGGGAAGTGTTTTACAAATGTGCATCCCGATTCCAAATGGGTAAGTATCCTTCTTGGAGGAATGTTTCCTACTTCAGACATCTCAGGAGTTGTTAGTTCATTCTTGAATGTCTGACGAGTTTTCTACTTCTGAAATTTTTTCTCCACCCCGGCGGAAGAGTATGACTCCCGGGTTTTACCATACCAGTCAATACTGACTCCGAGATCTTTACTGTAGTGGCTGCCGGGCAACCCGATCCATTCGAGCGAGTGGGTGCGTTTGGTAGTGCAAAATATCTATTGGATTGGGGGCTTTGGGGATAGGGCGTACATTGGCTGGATTCCCGTCGACGAATGGAGGAATGTGACAAGGAAGGAGTGGCAGGATATCAGGCTGCCCGGCGAGAAGAAGGGCTGGAAAGAGTGGGCAGTTGAGACGATGGGGCAATGGGAACTTTAGATATGGCATGGAAATCTTATGAATATATGGGTTTATGAATCGTTATCCTACCTTTCTTTCGTATGGAGGGGTAATTTTTGTATGTTATTCTTATCTATTGAATGAGCCGGCGAACTCCTTACATCGAGAAAAAAGCAGGCAGATATACCTCAAGTATCGTTCATAGAAACACCTTTGCAACGTAGCAAAAGAGAGGGGTATGTAGTCCACCATATCCTGTACAATACAAAATGCCATGAACGCCATCGATGAACAAACGCTAGTCTAATGCTCCTGTAAACGCCAATGGATGAAAAATGCGGAAAATTCTAGACTCCTTGCTTAAGCCTCTTTGACGGGAGCGAAGCTGTCTTCAACGAGTTGGCACGCTTCGAAAGAGGGGTATGGCTTCGCTTGGTCTCTTCCACGGCCTTTGTACCATTGGGACTATTATTTGGTCTTGATGCTCTAGTTGAGCGTTTCGGTGGCGTGATTGTGGTTGACTTGGTCTTTGCTTCGTCTTTAATCCCATGGATAGCGGATCGAGGCCTGTTATTGGAAGTTTTAGAAATAGACACAGTATTTCTCTCGCCCTTAGCTTTAGTATCAGGGTTTGAACTCTTTCGACGCTTATGGTTCACTATAGCATCTCGCTTCGTCTGAGCTCCATTGGCACTTGCTTCTTCGCCGCCCACAGCAGCAATTTGTTGGTTATCGTTGTCTTGAGCAGCAGTATCTCCATTAGGAAGAGCTGGACTCGAGGCTCTTGGAGAAACCTCTCCAACTGGGGCATTTCCATTCGTGAGACCAGAGGCGGATGTATCAGCAGCAGAGGATGGAACAGAAGCTACTTCAGCTCCAGTAACTAAGTCTAGAGAAGCTGCATTTCCACCAGACGTACCTACGACAGGCCTACCTGTCATCGGGAGGATCGTGACATGGGTTGAGTACGGAGAAGCATACTGGGAATCTCTGGCAGAGACTCCATTGACAGGCTGTCCATTTGGGAGAGGTGGACGGCCAATGGCATGACCGTTCGTGATCACTTGTCGACGGGACATCTCTTCCGTTACGAATTCCCAGACAGTCACCCAACACTGTGCATTGACTCGTAGGTCCTTATGGTTGAGACGAAGGTAGACCCGCATCGCCTTTACGTCCTCTAGAAGCTCTTGGTCTGTCCGGGTGTCCATATGATACGAAACAAGAATGGCAGTACCAATCAGTTCTAGTGGGGAAAATGTGCGGACGTGCTCAACACCAGGAGCTCGCAAAAAATCGGGCGCTGGGTCAAAGACCGAGTTATTATTGACCTTGAACCTAGTAGCTGTAATCTGGGTAGATGAGAGCTTTACCAAGTTCTCGTACCGGTCGAAGATAGCTTTGAACTTCAGTTTGAGGACATCTTCAATTGGGGCTTTGTCATCAAGCATTTTGAGCAGAGCTTGAGGACTTGCTTGAAGAGTTGGAGCAGAAGATCTTTTTCGCTTCCCTGACATGACCTCTTGGATCATTGTGAAGACTGTCAGAATTAACCGAAATCCAGAGGCACGATTTTGTTTTGATACTTTTCATAGTTTTAGCTTAACAGTAGAGGATAGCATTTTATACTGTTGAACTTACAGTTGACAATGAGAGTGTAGTCATCTTCATATTGTTTTGTAAAGGTAGCCCACTCTGTAGACATAGCTCGCATCTTCTCGGCTGGAGTAAGTGCGATACCTCTTTGGACAAGCTGGAACATCGTTTCCTCGGTTTCTAGTGTCAGTTCATCGTACTCATAGCAGCAGAAGGCTTGCTTGACAAAGAATTCCTTCACGGCCCTCGGCAATATGTTATGATTGCTGAAGGTTTCATGCCCATTGACAACAGGGTGGCAGAAGTACCTAACAAACTAAGTGAGTCTTAATTCGGTAGAATGCAGTGAACGCTTGTAACATACCACTTCTTCTGAGGCGAGTTAGAGTCAAAAAAGCCAATTTGACCTTTCATGAATTTGTGAACAGAAGTCAGTCGCTGCTTTCCGTCGACGCATATCCGGGTATAAACGACCTCCTTCTGGCCATTTCTGTTAACAATACGGTTCTTGACATTAAATATGATGGGAGGAATAAAGTATCCCACTGTCAAAGCATTAGTGAGTAGCACACAAAGTCGGGAAGGAATTGTGTATATTACTCAAAATGGAGGTGATCAAGAGTGAAGCACGACCTTCGTCCCACACTACCTCTCTTTGGTAATCGGGATCTAGTACAATATGGCCGCTATCAATGCAATCTATATTCAGTTAGTATTTCAAAAAGGGAGATGACAGACGAATTTTACCATAAAGTGACTTCAATGGCCGGGTTACGATCATGGGCTTAGCAATCTGCGGAATTTTGAAGTCTTCCCACCTCTGTCAGTAGTGTATTTGCAAAGCCAGCATATGTTGACGAACCTTCACACACAAAGTGGTCTACTCCATTGATCTCCGCGATTCCCTCGTATGTGAGATCAACGACCTCGGGGGCATCAACGTCTTGAAACATGTCGCCTGGTCCGGCATCTGGTAGCGTGGTGTCTACTTTGTCATTATCGGACTCCTCATTCTTGACCTTAACTAGCGCCGTGGCTGTAGATCTTGAGGCTGTAGCTAGTCCTGGATCAGGATCGTCCTTTATTTGAATAGGTTCCCTTTTTGTAGGAACCATATTGGTAGCGATTTCCGAGGTCATCGTTCTTGCATAGAAAGTATGCTACTTAAATGGGTGACCTATTAATTGTTAGGATTGTGATTTGTTCTCCGAAAGCCACAGTGGGTAGTAATTTGAAAGCCCAGTAGCAATCTACCAAGGTTTGAAAGCAGAAAGACACAACGACAACTTGAGAATAGATGTGTTGAATGTACAGTACTATATTGAAATTTGGTTCAGCGTGCATAGACGGAGATCATCGTCAAATAGAATGAAAGAAGTATCAAGCACCCCGCTGATCGGTAAGAGTAATGCTATATTAGTTTCATGTCATAGACAAATGTCAAGAATGTCCCACACTCACTTCGTAACAGACGCGCCTTGAGACCCTTAACATTCCATAAACTTCTAAAGAAACTTTAAGGACTTAGTGAAATATGAAGACACAAATCTTGTCATCGAGAGAATAGTGAATGCATGCAATGAGATATGATCGGAAGAATCAGCTTCAACATGTACAATACGCAAGTAGAAACCACAAACTATGCAGACAAAGCAGCGCTATTTGGGACATGAAAGTGGCCCTCATTGATGCAAATTTTGTACAAACTATTTTCTGAACGTGATTATGTCAATTCAGGATAGAGAACGTACTTTACGAGCAAGTAGGAGATATCATCGTCAGCAGACGGCACTTAAATTCGAGGGGATAAAATGGCATGAACTAATAGTATGCAAACAAACAACCCCCCCTCCATGTGTCCCCCGATGTTGCTTCCAGCCATCTTCACGAAGGAGGAACAGTTGTAAAAACAGGGGTCTTTAGCCAAGTGGGGGGAAAGTTATAACAAAATATCATGGAGCGGGCGTAGTTTGATGCAATCGAAGACTTCTCCGCTATGAATTCATGAAATATTGGAGAACATCCTAAATAAAAGACAACATCCGACACTTGCAACTTTGAAATGCGTCCAGGGGCTGAATATAAAAAAGGATGCGAACTTGGGAGTAAAGTGGAGGATGTGGTCAGTGCTCACCTGAGAAACCGAGAGCTGCATGCAGTCCAAAGCGATCTGAACCAGCAGGTAATTGGACGATAATTATTCGTAAAGCAAGTCGTATTTGCCAAGATGGGTTGTTAGCATCGAGAAGTTCTTGGTGGTAGTGGTGTTGGTTGAGATGGAGGGGGGAAAGCAAAGTTGTCTCCTCAGTGCGATCGAGGGGTTTGATTTGTCAGCGGATGCTGCCCCACTACTTTGGCCCCCAACAAACAAATGGGAAATGGTCCCAACATGGAAGTAATTTTTATGTTGGAACTAACAATATACGATGACGTTCGGAAGACTAAAACTAAGAATATGTGTAAAACTGTTTCTGCCAGTTTGGTAACTACACAATGTTTAAACAACTGCCTACGTACTTAGTACGGCCTAATAGGTTAAGCTTTGGGATGTCGCCGTTGCAAAGTATTCAATTTAGGAACCGGAATTTCACGCCGCTTACAAAATGACATAAATCTTAAAACCAAATTATTACTCCTTAACTCCTCTTTGAGGTATTTTATAGGGTATCATCAACGCCACCACTGTAATCTGCCATGCCTTCAACAAGAACCTTATTCAGAACAGCAGCAGCTCTCCCAGCCTCACCAGCCTCCTTCCTAGCATTCTCCATCCCCACTTGTACAGCAGCCTGAAACCTTTTTTGAAAAACTCTCTGTCGGTCTTCCCTATCAATATACATTTCTCCCTCCTCATCTCTTGAAGACCCAAACAAATTCAAATGCGCAAAAGCATTTGACCTAGTCGGAATCATATGCTTCTCCACATCAACCAGTGGGAACGAACTTACGCTTAGGCGCAAGGACGCTTCAGCTCCTGACTCTACTAATCCTGCTTTTAAGAACTGCGCCAGAACAAGAAGCTGTCTCGGAAATGCCTTCCCCGCTTTCCCAAAGGATGCTTTGCTTGCGGATGTCCATTTCGACGTCCCACTGGTCGTTGCCCAGCCCATCATTGTCATGAAGCTCTTTAGAGTCTTCACCCATCCACCGGGACATATGACAATGTCCTCTTTAGCGACTTCTAGGAGCCATTCTAAGATAGCGAGGGCGTCGACTCGTATCTCGGCGGCGAGGTGCGTCATGCCTGCTCGGGTATAGAGCAATGCTTGCTCGGCACGGTCGCCAACATCTGCTGCTGGCAACAGGCGTAAGAATTTGAGAAGCTGTGACCTTACCGAAGAAGAACCATCCAGGATTAGGGGGAGCAGTTTCGGGAGCAGGATAGCTGTGGGGAGCGGGATTGGGGCGTTGACTGGTTGAGATGAAAGTTGGGTAGTGAGATAGGAGAGAGCATCTCGTCTTTGAGAGTCTGACTTGGAGGAGGAAGCAAGTGAGAGGTAATGAGCGAACTGTGAAGAAGACGATGGCGCTACAGTTGTAAGAGACTGTTGGTTGACAACGATTGCTATAGATTGTAAGCTTCTGAGATCATGTGAGATGCGGTTTATGGCAAGGGGAAAATATATGCAAAAGTATAATTATAAAGAGCATTTATTCGCAAGAACACGAAATTTCCCATACTTACACCTGGCTTTAAAGCTGGTATCTGTGAAGTTATCTGCTTTGGGTTTTGTCTTGCCGACTTTTAATTTTGGTTTCTGTTGAAAGGTTAGGTCAGCGTCGGAAAATGGGATACAAATAGCCTCACCTGAAAGTCCTTCCGCTTGTCTTTTTTCTTGCGAGCACTGGAACCCATTGTCTCGCGATTTCGTAGACAAACTGATCTACAGCAGCGCAACAGGATGGAATACCTAGGTAGTAGGGCTGAAATATCTTTTCTCATGCCTATGCGGCGTTACCTTAGTAATACCCCGAAGTTTAGGCGAGTTATGGCCTGAGAACCTGACTTGGTGCCTTGAACTTCTTGTGCTGGGCTGGCTGGGCAGGTATTGCGGGGTTCACCTCCTCCTGAACTTTATACCGTAACGCGTCTCACGGCACAAAAATCAATTCCTGCGAGACTGATCGTTCACGGGCTTTAAGGCAATTTCTCGCAGACACAACTTACCGACCTGTGCCTTCGTGACAATGGAATCCCAGGCTGTAGGTTACTCTCACACCTATCAAGAATATCTAGCTAACTGGAATCAAGAGCAATGCGCCTCCGTCCAACGTCTCCGATACCATGGCGCGTTTATCTGGAAAGGCGGGCGTGAAGGCAACCATGATGCTTGATCGATCTCTCAATACGGTACTTCAGACTAGTGGATCCTTCTCATCCTTTCGCTCTCTCGATAACAGTCGAAATACTGCCTCTACATCTGCGGAGAATGGCGCTGTAAAGGAAGAAGGAGTGGAAGAGTTTGCAGCCATGATATGGAATTTCGTGAACTCAGCCGGCGGGCTTGTACATGATCTCGACGCAGAGGTATGATAGACAGGGCCGGAGTTGTAGGTATAGCTTTCAGGCTGACGGGCTTGAACAGGACGATGTGAAACTCCTCCGACTCCGAACGAAGAAACATGAACTGGTCATTGTGCCGGATGCAAAGTATATTTTCATTGTGGTACACGATACGCCTCCAGCATAAGAGGACGTGGTTTTTAGATGGCGTCTGGTTTTCTATTACGAAGTACAATTCTACGATACCCATGCATAGGTCAGGAGTTTGAGCGATGGCTATAGAACCCAATTAAAAAGTTATCTTGCAAGTTATATTGCCGGTCTGTTTCAAGATTCCTGTCTTGTTTCGCTGGACTGGTGGAATGCAAAGCCTGGACTGAAATTGATCTTGAAGGTGGCCAATGATTCAGCTGCCATGCTTCCTCCCGGACTCGTGGCAGATAAGGCATATAGTTGTAAACACTTCTTTTGTTTCCATCGTCTTACCAGGCGTATAGCGGGAGCATGGCCTTTAAATATGGCGTTCAATTATTCTACCGAATTGGTGAAACCTTTCGAACGAGGATCATAATTCCACCCTAAGGTAGGTAAGGTATCTCGGATAGATCTAAAAGAGCGGGTTCTTCCGCCAAGCATGTCCCTTCTACCTAGGCTAGCTGGCTAGGTACCTACACAGCCATCATCCTTCGCTGATAAGGAACTTACGGAGTACAAACTGAAATCCAATTCAAGGATTCTAATAATACCGTATCCGGCAACCGTGGACAAGGCAAGCCAACCCAACCCAACTTGCCAGATTGCCCAGGATAAAAGGTGAAGCCGAAGGGTCCGCAAAATGGGGGCAAGGGCAAGCAAGCAAATAATGCATTGTGGAAACGCCATAGGCAGATAGCTAGCTGTTCACCAAACCTGCTTTCCATACCAGCCCCGACACGGGTCAGCCAAGACTGCCATTACACCGTTCACTGCTGTTATACAAGCAAGCTATGGTGCCTTTTGTTTGTCAAGCTGCCAACAGGTCTGGGCTTATTCTCTGATGCTTGCTTTCTCCCCATTTCTTTATTCTGCGTTTGATCGAATTACCCCTCTGCGACCTCCATTTTCACATGTTTAAAGGTTGTACTGCGAGATGCCATCAATTTCCTTCCTGAAGAGCCCCAAAAGGGAGAGCCAATCGATTGCTAGAAATGGACCCGGCAGTCTCGACCATGACAGCACAGAGAAGGCACCAGGGAGGCACTCAAAACGTGGTTACTTCCGCAGCCTGATTAAGAAAGTAAGCGTCGCGACAGAATCCAAGTCACACAGATCGCGGGGCAGCCAGCATCTTTTGGTATGAGCGAAACAACTCTTCCTGTTATCATAAAAACCTCATTAGCTTTTGCTGACTAGAGTCCAGAAGAAACCCAATCCCAACGGGTCAGAGTTGCTGGCATCACCAGAGGCCCCTCCCATCTTAATGTCTACGAACAAGCCCTTGCCCCGCCGTCCCACAGCTGGCACATCGCAATCCGACTCCCCTCCCAACCCTACGAAGAAACTCGAAAGGATCATCTCTCCCATTGCCCTCGATGATCTCTACAAACTGTTCTCGGGTGCCCCTCAGTTCTTTGTCCGCTCCGAAGGTCACCATACAGGAGCTCCGCATCCGTCAGTTGCGTTTCCTTGGGATGTGAGCTTACAAATACGAGACTTGTGCGACCATGTCCACATCCGGGATGAGGCCTGGGGATGTGTTACGGCCTGGCGGCACATAACGTTACAGGCAAGCCAGAACCCGGATGCTGCAAAAGAACCCCATAAAAATCAAAGGGCATGTTTCGTTCCTCGATGTAGAGAACGGCCAAATATGCTCAGTATGCAGGGCATCGAGAGAGGAACAATCGGATACGAAGCTGCTTTGGAAATGGGAGTTGCGGATGCCTCGCAAGAAGAAGTATCAGATGAAACCCCAGAATCCATTTCGGAACGTAGAAGGAAGCTCCTCATTGACAAGGACGGCTTAAGACCACTTACAGATTCAATTCTCATAGATCGACTAATGAGTGTCAGCGATACTTACTACAAAGATTCTAACAAACACCGGCTTACGGTTGAGCTGTACAGTGAACTTTTTACCCAGTTTCTATACCCACCCACGAGAGTCACCGATTCTCAGGATCCTTACAGTCTCCAAGTGCAAATTGAGGCTCTCATTAATGTGTTAGCTGTTCCGCACGTATGGGTAAACTTTAGTTTGGTGGAATGGAGGATTCGACTCGGCCAGATTCTCTGGGGCTTCTCCCCTGGGCCGGATGTACTAGACGAGGTTACTGTCAATAATGAGCATACATACGAACCTGATACTGAAAAGTACTGGCTCCTGCTTCAAATATTATTGTCTTGCGAGCTCTTGCTCCGACTTGACGCTATATCCAAGAACATCGATGACGGCTTAGAAGAACCAAAGCCACCTGAAATTCTTCGCTTCGAGAAGGAGGCAAAAACGAGCGTGAAATGGTCGCTCATTCTAGCACGCCAGTGGCTTGAAAATATAAAGATCGTAAAGATGGATCAAGAGGTAGCAATCCCCACCAAAGCAGCCCCGGGGTGGCTTGCTACATTGACAGGCACTTACGATGAGACCACGCCATTTGAACGCATTGATGTCATCAAATTCCACGGACGGAATCAGACCCGCCAACTCTATGGGCTTCTTCATTTTGCCCGCATCTTGAAATGGCCCAATCTGGCAGCAATTACCGCCAAAGTATCATCGAACGGAATCAATATATCTGATAATTCTGAGACTACATCAGCAGCTGGAACACCTTTGTCATTGTCTACTCAACGCTCCTCGTCCTATTTTCCAAGACAAAGACCCGGTGCACATCGAAGACTTTCAACCCAAAAGATCAAATCTGCCATTATTCATCCTGCAGGTTGGCTTTCTAACTCTTACCTCAGTGGCTTAGTCTTGCCGGGCGAAGGATTAAGTCACTTCCTAATATCAACATTACTGGAGCACGACGAAGCGGCTGTAGACAAGCTTGGTGACGAAGCGAATTTATATGGTGGGTTCGTCTATGCTGGAAGAAGCTTTTGGTCGACGGCGTGTATTATCGGTCGTGTGCTAGCTGCTGGCAAGGGGGCATCAGAATGTATGGGTTGGGTATCGTCTGATGTTATCCCAGAAGGCAGCGATGGCGACCGTTGGGTGGTAGGCTTATTCTCATACAAAAAATAATGTTTTCCTCTATGGGGGCTGGGTAGCTGGGGGCTAGAAGCTCATATGCCGCCTCCCGAGACCACTCCCAGACTCCTCGATTCTCCTTACGCACTTGACTTTTACTATGCTAATTCGTTCGGACAGGACATCGAGGTTGACACTTCTTTGCAAGATGGTAAGTCATTCTATGTGGCCCCGAACATCTCTCATTTCTAAATAAAGGTTTCTTTTTCTTCAGAACGTTGGACTGACGTTCGGAAGACTTAGATAAGCAGACAAGAAAACCCCGCATCTGGTGCAAAAAAGAAATCGAGGCACACGGGAATTTAATTGGAGGAGCTGATGCATCGTCTGTTCTTCCAGGAGACTTCGTTTTCCCATCTGATGAATCGCTTCAACAACCCCTGGCTGTCAATCTTGAATGCCTTCATTTAATCCCAATAGTCGACTCTGTCCGGACATCAACAGATGAAACACCAACCCCAATGACTGGAAACACATATTCTCCCAGAATCGAAACATATTCAGCCATGATCAACTTCATCATTGAAGTTGATGGAGAGAAGAAAGATGTCAACCTGACTCTCATTCATGACGCCTGCTTTGTCACCGCACATCCGTGTATTCCTTCTACCAAAATAGATTTATTGAAATCTCCGACCACTCCATCACGTAATAATTCTTATGAGAGCTCAGCAGGATATCCGGAGTCTCCATCTTTGAGTGGTATGATTTTCCTTGCTTTTTGGTCTTGGGGCTTCAATTTGGCTAACCATGTTTTAGCTGGTCATCCTCTTCACAAGGCCTTCACTTACACTCGCATCCCGATCCTCGACATTCTGAATATGTCTTCATCACTTCCGTTCTCGTCACTTCTCTCACCCCCCCAATCACCAGATCCCGGTTACTCCAGTGCACATACAACCTCTAGCACAATACCCAAAGTTTTGGTCGTAGACTGTACTGATTCGACGACTATTAACTTCCCAACACGTTCGATTACTTCGCCAGAAATTCATCATGATCATAATCATGGCAGCGACTTGGAGATATTAGCTCGAGCTCTATGCGCAGAAAGGGGATGGAATGCGCTCATTAGCCGACGAGGACGAGGATGTGTTGCTTGTTCGGTGAGGGAGGCAGGTGCTCTTGGATTCAGGGTTGTGCTCAGGTTGGCGTAAGGAGAAACGAACGATGCATCCATTCACGGTTTTATTTTGAACGACGAGATACCCGCAATAGGCAAAGAACTATGGATTTTAAGACTCAAATATCAACTCTCGCTTGCTGAAAAGGAGTAAGATTACATAGAAAAAGGGGCGTGGCGTGCCTCCTAGAACAGCTAGTCCACACGTGATTCACGCTTTGACCTCGTCTAGTGTTTTCTTCAACCGCATCCCAACATCGGGCTCTTGGTGCCTTCCAGATTCTTGTGGACTTAAGGATCGAACATTTTATCCTCTACCATTCTAACATTGCTGATCTTCTAAATACAGGAACAGTTTTCAGATCCCAAAGGACGGCCACGACTAGCGGTCAAGCAAGCGTCAACATCATGAAATCCTCGATTCCGACCTATTCCTATACCGAACTCGCAGACGTAAACTTTTGCTACATCCTGCCATTGACGAAAGACGATAACCTTTTCCAATGCGACCTTCTAGAAGCAAGTTGGCTCTATAAAGTAGAGGCACCGCTTCCACCTTGACTCCCTTGACTCATCTTGCTTCCCAAAATTGCAACAAGAATAGCAGCGAATCTGTTGCAACTCATTAGCCTCCGAAGCAGATGATATCTCGAACGAAAGCCTACCCAACAACGCAAAGGAAGAGCTCATGTTCTGGAACGTCGACCCCCGCGGCTATCAGTAATATGAAGACGACACTGGACCCTGTCACTATTGAAGCCATGACCGGCCGATCTACGTCTATTAAGAACATTAAGAATACCGGAACAAAGACTACGGTGATTGCAAAAAATGCCAAGGCCGCTCTACCCAAGAATCCACGAGTCCTAGCTGAGGTATAGTCTACCAGGTCATCTGCTGTCTTACTGTTCCTGTTCGAATCTCGAGTCAATGCCTGGCCAAGTACGTAAGGTGTTAGTTCCGTAGCCCTTCAAAGTTCTCATCAACTTCAGAAGTAGAATCTGGACAGACATACATTGAACCAGCCGTACGGAGACCACGCACGCAGAGACTCGATCAAGTCTTCAAAGATATTTCCATACTGGACATTCCCACCGCGACCGACTTTCGCGAATGCCAGGTCTTCAAGTACTTTGATATAAGCATCCTGCCCTTTGCTTAATGGTTTTTTGGCGACAATCCAATTTTGGACACTGCGTTGGTCACGCAGTGACACGTCGGTAAGAGCTTGGATGGCAGTGTATTTTCTGACAAAATCATCTATTCCTTGTCAAAAAAACAATGCTCGTGAAACTTAGCTGGTTTCTCCTCTACTCACAGTATGCTGTTATCTTGATCTCAAGCTTATCTAGCACTTTGGCTTTCTCGGGATCGCTGTCAGAATCCTCGATGGAATGCAGCCTGTGGTTCAGACTCTCGTCTGCGTCATTTTTCAGGTCGAGCCTGTGTAACTCTTCTTGTAGTTCAAGGATCTCCATCATTTTTCGAAGAATAATTCGAAACGCGATAGGGCCGAATCTGCGGACCATGCGAAAGCTATCGACGCTATCGTGTAGCTTCGCGAGTCGCGGAATACCGCGAACAAAATCCTCTACTGTGGATGAGAGATTAATGGTTACTCTGATGTTTTGTTCTCTGCAAACACTTACTATTTTCATATTTGATATCGTCGTAGCCCCACTCCTTGTCTAGCCGAGCCTGGTCTTGCTTTGTGCTCCTAGAAAAGGGGTGTCGAAAAAATCTAGCGAGGCTATGGACTCTGTCTGAGATCGGCAAGCGAGCTGTTGCGTTTAACGTCAACCACCAGAATAGTAAGTGAACTCTTGAACTACCTCTTATTTCTTCCTGTTCAACAGTCGAGCTGGCATTTGGTGCGGCAGATGAATGACTCGAGCTTGCCACGGTTTCATCTCCAGGAATGTCAGATGAGCCATGATTTCGTGGATTCCTCCATCCAACCTGCATCTCTATGTCGTCCAAAAAAGTAGCTTGGTGTCTCTCAGAGCTGCCGAGACTATGGGCGTAGGCATCGCTTCGTCGCAGTGGGGACAGTGGGCCAATAGGGGCGCTTGATGGTCTTGGAATATCCATATTGATCGTGATGTCTCGCTGGAGGTCTTGTTGCATTTGCAGCGGACTCCATCGCAGCCTTTCCGTACAACACAACACACCACCCCCGATGATGACTAGGAAGTCGATGCCTGATATTGTCAAGGTGTCAAGGCTGAATGTCTGCCAACGCTGTACATGACCAACATTGGGGCAGCACACCTTCTTCGACACCCCTACCGGTAAGCGCCAATGAACGAAGAACTTTGTATTACTTGTTGATGCAACAACACTGTTCTGGAAGGCTGTGAATGATCAACGACGTCGAAATTTCCTTCGTTGGAAATGAAGGTCGATTGTATTCAATGGCCAAATATTTTAGCAGGGAACGGGCGCTGAGAAGAGTACAGAATGGCCGGGGCTCTGCACTCTCTTATATACCTGAGGATGCAGCACACTGCACGTCTCGTAGCTGCCGTCTGATTGCTCTGTTTCGCTGAGAATCAATCACGAGACCATAGCAACGGTGAAGTTCCGTTTGTGAAGGAGCGTGTATATATCAGTCTACCGGTATGTTCTTGTAGTCTTAGAGCCTATATAGTTTATAAACAACCTAGGAGCTACATTCCGTCTATTTTCATCAAGTAGTAAATGCCCACAAATGGAACTGAAGCTGTAGAATGTAACATCCAAATCGACAAATTGGCCAGCACGACCTACCACCATTCCAACCCCGCCTAGCTCATATTTGTCTCACGGTCATGTAGAAGGGATATAAATGTAGTTCCTCCAGAATTGTTAATGGTGTGGATATTATTTGTTGTGAATTCCAAATTTGAACATGTCGTTGCCTTTGGTGGCTGCGATGGCTGGGTTTGCTGTGCCGGTCTAGCAGGCCTTGATGGGGGATACTGATTCTAGATTAGTCTAGGAGATCAGACATGTTCATATCAATTACTCACATGTGGCGGTGGGCCTTGCGGACGGTTGATATGAGCGAGTATACTACAGTCCCCCTGCTTGTATTCCGGGCAAAAGGTCTTGGATCCTTCGGGAAATCGGAGATGGGACTGGTCCATGGCTGTAGATCTAGCTCGGCTTTGAGAGAGAGATAAGTGGGAGACACTGTAGATGGGCGGGTTGTTTCTGCAGCTCGTCAGTTATGAAGTCGAATTTCAACCTTGAGACAGCCATACCGTGGGGGATGCTATCGACCGGAGAGGTGAAATTTGAGACGGCCACACAGTTGGAAATACAATCTCCTACGAAGCTGCTAGGAGAGGTATCCTGACAGCAAAAACTTGATAATCGAGGTTGTGGTAAGCCAAATCGTGGAGAAATCGTCTGGCTTTTTCCTACGGCTGTGTTGAGTCCACATACTGTGCGAAACTTCAAACACCACTCGAGGGTGGCATTAGGGCAAGGATGGCAAGCGAAGAACAAGCTAGCCAAATAAAGCATCGATGCAAACACTTACTGGTCGAAACGGCTTTGTGCTTCGCATTAGACGCGATATCATGCCCGATGCGTCAAGAGGCCCTCTTCGAGACCGGTCCCCCCAAAGCATTGCTGCGCCGCACTTGAAAGCCAAATCTAATACAGGGCTTGAAGAGTCTTTAGTAAATGCTCTGGAGAACTCACTTCAAGTCGTATCTAAAAACAGAGCTATCGGCTTGATATGTGAAGAAATGACGCGTTGAATGACACAGTACATGCGGCTCCGGCCGGCAAAGCGGGTGGTCGTTGATTTGCAAACTGCAATTCCAGAAGCTGTCAAAAGCGGTGCTTCCATTTCTTCAAGTAAAGCCGGGCGCTGAGATCGGAGAAAGGGGATCAAGTATAAAGATATCGGCTTGTGGTATAATCTCGGATGGGGGAGGGCTCTGGGGTTGTTTCTGGCAATCCCACCTTACCACATCGCGCTCGGATCCCGCATCCCTGCCGCCTTGCCGCCCGACTTCTGTGGAAAAGATATAGTCCAAGACAAAATAGGGATCGTTCAACAGTATCTGCCGTGCTTAGCTCCAATATAGAGAGGCACAGCTGCAAGGAAGGGCATTAGAGACCTGTTTGCCGGGAATTGGGCTTCTTAACAAGTCAAGAATCCCATTTAAAGGCCGTAGAATCTTTCAGTGATACGCAAAACTCTTCAAAAGAAGAATCCCATTTTCCTCGAGATGCTCTCGCAAGTGCAATGCATCTCGTGTGATTCTTCCTTCTATCTCTAATGTTTTGCTGTTGGCGCTGTATGAATCAAGCGATGAAAGTAACCTGCATAGTTTCCCGGGAGGCCTAGCCTGTGATTGCTGGACTCAACCCCATCCAACACATCGTGTCTTCTCATGGGATTGACCAGTAAAGAGAACCCACCATCAATTACCATCCCAATACCTGTAAAGAAAATGCTATGGAACGAAAAGGAAATACATGAAAGCATAAAAACTTAGTGCGAGCTTTTGCTTTTGGAAACGATTTTTGGCAAGTGCAACCATCGAAAATAAAAACAGTCGGAGTCAATCATGTATGTGAAAACCAAGTGCTGCTTATGAAATTCAAAGCGCTCAACAAAGTAATACCAAAACCAATCGGTTTTGGATTCGAGCTGTATAAATGAATATGCAGAAGTTATGCCTTGCATAAAATGTCTGATTTGCGTTCCTAATTTGTACTCGTATTTAATTAGCACAAAATCCGTTGCCGCACCAGGACTTACCTGCTAAGGAAACATGAGCATTGTAGCCGGTGACCTGCAAGTTTACTTTCTTTGCTTGGAGGAAATGGGATAAATACATAACATCGTGAGTTGGGTTTGGGCGCACCTTCCTTTTCGCTAGGGACAACTATAGTAGTTGGCAGAAAATGACTGGCTGCATGTTAGTTTTTGTTGTAGACTAGTACCGGTCGCTGAACTGAACTCGCAAGAGCGAACGGCCGTAGTATTTATGTGCGCCTGGCCCTAGTTATAGCTACCTACCTTGGGTAGTCACAAGATCAATTCAAAGGGGGGCTGTTAACTAGCTTCTACATCAATGTCACCGCGGCGTTCGCGCCCCTTTAAGAATATGCGAGGATTCCATCCGATGTATTATCGTGCGGCACCATCAAATCGCAATGACTGGATGGTCTGTAATGGCGTCTTGTTTCCACCAATCTTTGCAGTAATCGAGCAACCACTACGATGTGATCCAACATGCGTTGGGAACGTTTTATGCAGTTTCCAATGTGCTACCAGGCTCTCCTAGGCATATTCCTAAGCATCGTAGACGAAGGAGGTCTGACCATGTAACCCTTACAGGATCAAGGTTCGGTGCCATTTTGCACTGCACAATGAATAAGTCTCCTATCATGCTCCCATGATTTTCATGGGGGAGATAGATCAAAGGTTTGGCTGTCCAGCTTTGATCTCTTTCCTTTGTGTTTATAAGATGTTCCGATTTCATTTATATTTGTTGTTGGTCCCTTGCAATCAATCACCAAGGAAAGATCAATCACTTCTCGGGCACCATTCTTGTTCCTTTTCCGGATGCTAATAGTTCTTGAGCTGCAAGCTCCGGTGTTTGCGGGCAAATATAACAAAACATCAGGCACATCAGTGAAGGCAACATCAAGACCTCAAGTGCGACATAGCATGTGCCTTTTACCTGCCTGTATGATATTTGGTCTGGCGGATGGAACTTTTAGTTGGCGGCACTGAGCGTCAGTGCTGGAAATAGGACTCGATAAAAGCCCTTCTGAATTATCGTTACCTTCCTACCTAGGTTGTTGGCTAATATTATTCCTGACAGTTCCTCCAGCCAACTCCTTTCTCTGATGAATTCAGCGAAAGATGGGCTGACCTGCCACCCTCGTTGAAGCGGACTTGGATTATTAAGGGCCATCTCCTTTGATCCTCAGATCTCGAACCCGAATTACCTACTCTACAGTCCACGATCGACTAGAAACCCACAGCCGTGCTCATAACCCTTCCCTGATTTGCATCCTTACGACAATACAATTGTCGTGGATGTGTCGCAAATAACATACGACAAGAGCCAGTGCTTTCTGCAACGAATCTAGAAGGTTTTGAGCCGTGACTGAGAGCAGCAGAGTCTCACTCCGTGGTGGAAATGGTTACATATTCGCATCAAGTTAGCCGGGGTGCCAAAGAGAGGTCATGGCTAGTTCGCACTGGCCTGATCTCGGCTGGCCTTGTAGCCTCTATGGAGTGCAAAGACGCGACGGCATATCAATGCTGCGACAGACTCAGCGGTAATGCCAGATAGCAACAGACTGCGGTTCAACTCCACCCTTTTCTACCTATTGTTTCCATCTGGTCTTACAATCTTTCAAAGTGGAAGCTGTTACGACGAGGCAGATACGGTAGAACCATCTTCAATACGTCCCTTGTTGCTACCTCTGTCACATTTATCGATATTCCTCCAGGCCAAACATCTTACTTCGTTGACCGTGGCTTTTCTCTATTTTGTTCCATTAGTCAAGAAACACTACATATCCCCTTCAGGGGCAACAGATCTGTCTCCAATAGCTGAGGACATCATTCAATAGTAACTTCGTCGAAACCCTAGAGGCATAAAGGACGAAGTTGATAGAGTTTCTTTGAAAGAAATATCATGTTCTTTTGGCACAGCCATGTTACACAAAATGAATTGGAGGAAACCTTTGGTTCCTTGAAGGACAATGATGTACAAGACTTTGCCCAACATGCTATATGCTGTAGCCTGACGCGAATTCTGGTGTGAACATCCTTAAGAATAGCAAATCTGTTAAATACTACCACCCCTCCACGAGGCTGGTGATGTACTTACCGCCCCCTTTTCTCCTCGCTTGTTACAATTGCCCAATCGGGAATGCAAGGGATTTGAACAGCTTTTAAGTTCCAATAGCCTAAGCTGCTTCTAATTTTACACATTTTGGCAACAGTTTCTATGACTTGTATCCATAGCTATCTAATGCTCTCAGAATGCAAACTGAAACCCTTTCGGCATCCCGCCCCAAGGGAGTCATGGACCGTGGAAAGACTTGGATCCGGACTCCAATAATATGATCGCTCGTGACACACCGTGTCTGTAAGTCTATAACATACCTAGGTAGAATGAACATAGCGTCGCAGAGACCGCTCACAAACATGTTGATTTCGCCCACGTTGTTCTTCCCCTCAGTGTCTAAATCGTCGTCCTTGGTGGTACGAATAACCTTGAGCCATCACTAATATCAACAGCCATGCCATTCTTGGCCCAAAATAGACGGCAAGTAATCGAAATCCTAGCCAAAGTTTCGCAATGCTCATGAGCATTGACATAGGGACTTCTGTGCCCATCTTTCCACCACATTCTGGACGTTCGACGCGTTGGGAAACCCTGCAATGCAGGGCAGGGTGTCGAGGGCTTCTGCATCTTGAGCCTCAGGATTCCCTGCAACATACAAAATCCGAAAGAATCATCATTTCGGTAGCGTAGATCGACTAGGTTCCAACAAGTTTCTTCCGCTCGATTTTTCGACATTTTGTCCCCCATCTATCTTTCCCGCCTCTGTTGCTTCATCAAACTACGATTCTTCGTTGCGAATTATAGTCTAGTGACTTGATGAGAACTGGCGAATCAACAAGCTGCAAGGTCCCATTTTGTAGTCGCAGTTTTATCGATTTCAACGCGCTGAATTCGCTCAGCTCGAAGTCATTTTCCTTAGCAGCTGGGCCATGCAACATCTCTGAACAGCTTCTTTTTCTCAGCCCGTTTCGGAGTTGCGGCCTAATAGCTTTATCATAACGAAGAAGTAGTTGAGACTTGCAGGTATCATCTGCAACATTAACCAGTCAGTTCATGAATATGCGGAGTCCTCCAAATCAGTCAGCTTGATAGGTGTGCGCGATGGGATGAGACTTGTCAAAACTCGCAAGCCATCTCCATTTCATACAAATGTTGCCTTCTAGAAAACTTCCCGAGTTCACTTGGACCGAGCGAAAGGAGTCTTTGTTCAATATTTGAGGTTCAGAAAGAAAATGTGCCAAAGCAAGGAATAAACAGTAATTTGAGCAATACAATACATTCTACAGATTCTAGGACAGTGCAGCCAGGCCAAATCTAACTACTTGGCTAATGTGCTGTCTGTTCTCGAAGTTTACCTCCGAAGTCCGAACAGCTTCATTATTTATTGGACGCTTGAGTAATCGTCCATCTTGGAATTGCACGTGATTCGGTTTAAGAGCTGGTCTCTAGATATGCACACTTCCAACTATACGGATCCAGATAGATGATCTAAGCTCATTATTATTGTGGTGGGTTTGAAAAAAGGTAGAAAGAGTAATGAGAACGTCAGAAAGTTAACGGGTGTTCAAATGAATACTTAAATAAGAGCTATCAATATTGCCTTTGGGAACAGGGTGATTCTTCTTGTATACTAAGACAGAAAAGAGGGCATTCATGGGTGGGGCGGGGCGGGGATAGACATGTGGGAAGCGAGAGCGGTCGAGTGCGGCACAATTTAATATTTCTCGATGCACACCTGCTCAACTCGTACCTAACTTAATTTATTAATCCCACCATCAACCTGCAATAGCTATGAAAGTCCGAAATGCCTCCTCCAAAGAAGGGCTTTACAGGATCTTTCGATATGTCCAAAACCCCCAAGCGGAAAGCTCCTCCCCAGTCCTCATCCAACAGCCAGGACACGAATAGAGGACGCGCCGTCAAACGCGTCAAGATGATTGATTCGCGATCAATCCTGACTCAAAAGTCAGACGCAGCCCTCAAAAACGGAGAGATGGATTTACAGTCCTTCCTGAAATCACGCGAATTTGAGATCAAAGCCCTTGAAGATGGCATGCAGAGATCCAAGGCCTCCTCCACCCAACGAGCTTTTCAGCAAGTCCCTAGGGACATGCGGAGACGAACAGCGAGTCACAATGTCAAGAAAGTCCCGAAGCGATTGCGGAACAGGGCTGCGAGGGAGATGAGAGAGGACAACACGCCAACTGTCCATTCTAGTAAGAAGAAGCCGGGAAGCTCGAGGGGTCGAATTCGTGCAGAAACTGCAAAGCGTCTAGGGATCTTGGCCGTAAAGAAGCGCGCCCAGAGGAATATAGGCCAAGGCAAAGGTGTAGAAACAAGGGTGCCACGTCCAAAAATACGAAAAGACCTTCTGAACGACCCTCCGAAACAGATGTCGAAATTCAGGAAACGGCAGATTCATAAGTCGTGGCTACCAACTCACATGTGGCATGCAAAGAGGGCGAGGATGACAGAACCCAAGAAACCATTGTGGAGGTTTGCAGTTCCAATCACATCTACGGAAAAGTCATACAGACCCACACATCGTGCTGGGGGTGCTAGGGGCGCAGTCGTCTGGGATATGAGTTACATGAGCACCATTGGACTTGAAGGCCCCGTCGAAAGCCTCAAAAAGGTTCTAAAAGGGGTAGGAGTCTTAGATTTGGGACTTTGGGATGGCAAGGGAGAAAAGTGGATGGCAGGGAAGAGAAGTTGGACCGGCTGGCTCTCCCGTGAGACCAAAGGGGAGCGTACGCAAATTGGACCATCTACTGTCATATGGTGTAGCTTGGAACAAGATCCTATACATGAAGCAGACCATATGTCAAAGAAGAGACCACTACGACGAGTTTTTGTGAGGGTACACCCCGCTGCATTTCTGGAAACATGGGGTGAACTGCTCCGACTGTCTAAAATACAACGTCCCACTGTTCACATTGAGGATCTTCGATTTGAGATTGGAAGCATCAATGTCACTGGACCTGGATCAACAGAAGCACTGCTTGGGATCCTGCATCCGTACTGTCAGCCTGACGGCGCGGAAGAGAACCACGCCCAGGCGTTCTCATCTCTAGCTGGAGTAACCAACCCGGGCTCTTTGCCAGCTAGTTCTATATTAGCATTTTCTATCTCAGATCCTAGACTTCACTATCCACCGAGGCCCGCGAAAGTCCCCAAATCTGATAACGAGGAAGCTAATTTTGCCCTTCTTGAAAAGCTGTCCGCGTGGCCATTGGATGAGTCTAGCCCTTCTCATGCCCTCTTTGATCGCAATGCCCGCTTCAAGGCAACCAGACTCCCGGCGCAGAAGTCCATAAATCGACGTAAGAGCCAGGCGAAACCTGGAGAATATCCCTCCATGGTTGCCACTGATCCACATATACCTATCATACTTTTCACCTCACGATCAACATCATCAGCTGCCGCGCAAGGAACGTGGACTCTGCTCGCGCCTTGGAAATGCATTCTACCAATCTGGTACGGACTGGTACATTATCCATTGTCATCTGGTGGTAATCCACGGTTTGGAGGACTCGATGAGCTTCGGCAGATCCATTTCGAGCAAGGTGTTCCTTGGTTCCCGGCTGATTATCCAGGCACGGATTCCGGGTTCTTATGGGAAATGGACGAGAGGGAGAGGAGGAAAGCAGAATGGGATCGAAGGCCGAGAGGCAAGAGAATCGAGTGGGATTCTCTTGATCTCGGCGCTGGGAGGAAAGGCGAGATTGGAAGAGGCTGGGCGTGTGATTTTGAGAGACTTCTTGCCTTAACTCCATTGCTTGAGGGTGGTAACACTGCAAGCTCTGCTCAGGGCACAGAAAGCTTGGACACGGCTCAGCCAGAGAGGAGTGTCACTGAGTCGCCAATTAAGCATCTCAACAGCAAAACGTTCACGCATCTCCTCTCATCCTCTAATTATGAACTACCACACCCATCAACCGTGGCTACCGTTCGAATCAGGCTCATCACTCGTGGTGTCGCAACTCCCTGCGCCCGTATCTACCGCCTCCCTCAAGCAGCAGCTTCTTTGGAATCATCTACGACTAGCAGCTCAACTCCAACGACCCGTGAAGAATGGATGGCTCTACTTCCCGCGGCCTCTAGTTCTAAATCACTTCCCAACCCGAAATCCAAAGCTGCGAAAAGTCTTGGACGAATACCGCTGGATGCTCCTGTGCCTCAGCGTATTCGACTGCTAGCACAATCCCTTCTGCAAAACCCACCTCTCTCATACCCAGCCGACAAAGACGATGGGCATCCTTTGGTGCCGGGCGAAGAAGATCTGATTGGATTTGTTGTGACCGGGGAGTTTAATCTTGCGGAAGGGAAAGGTGTCGCTGTCGGTACATTAGCTGTGGCTAAAGTTTTTGAAGGCTTACGGAGAGATCGGAAGGTGTCCAAAGAAGGACGATTGTGTATAGTGAGGAACGCTGGCGAGAAGATTGGAAGATTGGCTCGGTGGGAAGCTGTCTAAGTTTTCAGTAGAATTGCAGACATGGAAAGAGAAGATACCCCTGTTTTATTACTACATTCATCCATCATGCCCCCATTGTTCTCTGTCAAAATGAAGTAAAATAGGCTCAAAGTGCTGTAAATATTGCGGTAATTCTATCGAGTCAAATGCTGGGTCTTTTAATTTGTGAAATGCTATTGCTGGATCATTTCCTTTTCTGGAAGGAACGATGTGATCTTCGACTTCATCAAAGGTACTAGGTAGTCAGGTACTATTCTTAATTGAGTGCAGGCTGAACAGGCACATTGTCTCCTGTCTAATGGTCCGCAACATTCTTGGCTGGGCGCCAATGCCTTGAATGTCCCCATTAAGATTCTCTATTGTCCTTCATCGGGTTTCCTAATTCCTCTTCGACCAATTTCCAAAATCAGACATTCGTTGCGAGTGACACATATTTATAGAAGCACACCATTTTAAGGCCCCTATTCCAGTTCGTTACAATTGATATGTTTTTCTAATGCAATGGTAGCTCCAAGTATATACCCCTATCTGGCCTACTGTTTTTTACTTTTATATATATATAAAGGTTCCTCATTTCATTTTCAACATAGCGAAGACACCTAACTCTCCTAATGTGCCAACTGTCAAATACACAACTATTATATGCATCCCAGCCACTGTGAAAAAACATACGTAGCTCCTCCTTTGGTCCAACGCGTGGCTGGGTTTTCAGCCAACAAATATACAATTTGAAGCCCTAAAAAGCTTATAGTTCTTATTCAACCTTCATGCTAAATATCGAGCCAATGACCGGAAGAGCTCTCGTAACTTTTGGAGGAATATGACCCCTTTCCGCAAGGGTTTCTGAAGGGCCAAACAAGGAAAGATTAGAGCAATGATGGGTCAGGGGGAACGACGACACTTGAAGACGCTAGAGGTGTACGTGCAAGAAGAATCTTCACTTATTATTTGGATTATGAAGTGGCTGTCATTGAAGTGGCTGTCCCGATAATTAACTACAACAACCGGCTGTGATTGCTCTCTAGCCCTCCTGGCCATGTGCTTCTTTTGCTCATCCCGATGAGCGAACTTGTTTCCTGTTCCACCGTGCTTCTGTAAAAAGTTTCTTCGTCCTACGATCATCTTAGTGCTGGAGCATGTAAAGATGAGATTCAAGGTCGAATACCATCAGAGGTCTAACAATAAGGTCTCTCGATCTTTCATGTTAGCCCAAGCAGTCATGGATTGGACTGCCTGAGATAGCTTGGGGTTTCCAACATTCCAGTTATGTCCAATCGTTCAGCCGTCACGATTGCCTTCAGGTTGGATTTCGGTTGGTGAAGTACGTTTGGGACGCCTCTTCTGCCTTTTTGCTGCCACAGGGAATCTCTTTTCCAATCCACATGTATAACATCTCCGCACCAACACATCTGCCCAGGGTTTCTTACCCTCTTTGCTTTTGTTCTCAACTTCATTTGTGCAAGTAGACGCATCTGTCAGCAAGGTATCGCACTTCTTGCATATCGCATGTTTCATAGTGGGTGAAATGCGCATCTGACCCTTGAGTGTAACTGATCGGAGGTCAGAGATCATGCGGCGGGCTGCGGGACGGTAAGCTGCTTCGGAGGTTGTCGTCGAGCTGCTATGTTGCGCCCCATTGGTCTCTATTGATTTCGGGTGGTTGCTAGGTGTCTTGCTTGTGTTGTTCTCGTATTGTGTAGGTCCTGACTCGGAATGCGGTTGCTGTGCTGCCAAATATGATGCGGCTTGATATAGATATGAGACCCGGCTGTGTAGTATTTTATTCGGAATATTGCCAGTCCCTTTCGCTGCCTTTGCTTTGACCATGATGATTCGGGTGATAGGTAATAGTGACAGCTGTTGTACGTCGTTGTGAGGAGGTCGGTTCTTTTTATGGAATTACTACAGTTACATACCATATACAAGTGCCTAGGTAGGTAGGTAGGAAGTAAGTAAATTGACTTTTTGGTGGGGTGGGCGATCGTGATCGGAGAATATTTTGACCGATCGCCGACCATTGCTGAGTCAGTCTTCGCCTGTCAGCGCTAGCGCTTAGGTACGGTAGCCTAGCCTTCCCTTCCCTTCTCGCGACAACTCCACATTCTCTTCTCTCCAGCCTCAACTTCAAGCCTCGATCCTCTCTTGAATCGCAGCCCTCGACTGACCATCACCCAGATCTCTATCAACTTGTCGCTCGCCCGCTCACCTGAACTTCTTCTCTCTACCTTTTTTTTGTGCCTTTTCGACCTTCAATACACCGCCTGTCGATCTTCCACGGGAGCACATCAACACAACAACGTACACAAACTTCGCCTTCCATCAACCACCATGTCTGCCGAAGAAGATCTCATCGATTACTCCGATGAGGAGCTACAAACCACCGATGCTGCGCCTGCAGCTGGTGCCGATGCAAATGGAGGTGCCAAGAAGGGCGATTTGACAGTTTCTGGAGGCAACGCCGACAAGAAGGGCAGTTACGTCGGCATCCACTCGACCGGATTTCGCGATTTCCTATTGAAGCCGGAGCTTCTGCGTGCCATTACCGATTGCGGTTTCGAACATCCATCGGAGGGTCAGTCATAACATTTCCCCAAGCTCCATATCCTTCCACAGCGCGTCCGTCCATCTCGCAAGCAAAAGCAAAAACAAGAAGAAGGAAATATGAGAATAAATACGCTGGTCCTTCAACCCTCCAAAGAAGTCGCGGCCGATCCTGGAATGTCTCTGTGGCCAGGTTGCAAACCTAAGCAGGTTATACAAAGGGAGATCTCTACGCGCGCAAGCGAGAATCTCGAGAGGGTGGTGCAATCCGGGCGAAGCGGAAACATGCACGAGAAAGGTGGCGCCAAGAGACTTTCCAGGATTTGGCTCGTAATCGACAACTTCGAAATTGTTGCAATCCATGCTCGGTCGACGATATACGCCTTTAAAGGCAAATGTCGCACCTATGTTTCGATGCATACTTTCCTTGGGATCGATGTTGTGTTGTAATGCTTTCTGGATATTATTACGCGATGGACGGACGTTGCGAACTCCTGCCTATATTTACACACTTGGAGAATATTTTGATCTAACATCGGCTCGGTTTACTCTACAGTCCAGCAAGTTTGTATCCCTCAAGCTATCCTCGGTACCGATGTTCTCTGCCAGGCCAAATCTGGTCTTGGTAAGACGGCCGTCTTCGTCCTCACCACTCTTCAACAAGTTGAGCCTGTCGCTGGCGAGACATCCGTATTGGTCATGTGTCACACCCGTGAACTTGCATACCAGATCAAGAATGAGTATGCTCGTTTCAGCAAGTATATGCCAGATGTGAAGACCGCCGTCTTTTATGGAGGAACCCCAATCCAGAAGGATGCCGAGATCCTGAAGAACAAGGATACCCACCCTCACATCATCGTCGCTACACCTGGTCGATTAAACGCTCTCGTAAGAGATAAGTTCTTGCGACTCGGGAGCTGCAAGGTGTTCGTTCTCGACGAGTGTGACAAGATGCTGGACCAAATCGGTATGATATGGTTTTCCTTTGATGTGCCCAATATGCTAAGACGTTTCTAGACATGCGCCGCGATGTCCAGGAAATTTTCCGAGCTACGCCCACTCAGAAGCAGGTCATGATGTTCAGTGCAACCCTTTCACAAGAAGTTCGACCAATTTGCAAGAAGTTCATGCAGAACCCTCTTGAGATCTACGTCGATGACGAGACTAAGCTCACCCTTCATGGTCTTGCTCAATACTACATTAAGCTTGATGAGAAGGAGAAGAACCGCAAGTTGAACGAGTTGCTTGATGAGCTTCAATTCAACCAGGTCATCATCTTCGTGAAGAGTACTGTACGCGCAACTGAACTCGATAAGCTGTTGCGTGAATGCAACTTCCCATCCATCGCTGTCCACTCCGGTGTAAGCCAGGAGGAGCGGTACGTATATCAATTTTATCTGCTGCTCTTCACATACTGACAGAGAAATAGTATCAAGAGATACAAGGAATTCAAGGAATTCAACAAGCGTATCTGCGTTGCCACCGACGTCTTTGGTCGTGGTATCGATATCGAGCGTATCAACTTGGCCATCAACTACGACCTCCCCTCTGATGCTGATTCATACCTCCATCGTGTCGGTCGTGCCGGTCGTTTCGGTACCAAGGGTGTTTCCATCTCCTTTGTCAGCTCCGAGGCCGACCAGGAGGTATTGAAGGCAATTGAGAAGCGTTTCGAGGCTTCGGTTCCGTAAGTCTCCTGCCACCCATCTTCTTTCACCACATTAACAGCTTCAAGCGAATACCCCGCCGACGGCATCGATTCTAGCACCTACATGGCTAATTAGATTCGACAATCCGTCTTTTTTTTGAGCTCTTGTGAAAGGGGTTCTCGGGATCATCAAAAAATATTGCACTCTCACCTTCGTATCTGCGTTATTTTTGCGGTCAGGCGGCATGGCTTGTTCGAGTTATTTCGGTTTCTCTTCGCACAAGATGGATTCTCTGCTGCTGCTGCTTGCTTGTGCGAATGGGCATCGATGGATAGATAGTGGAGGAACTGAAGGTGGGCTGTCTATCTCTTGCTATTTCGTTCTTTCTGGACTTGAATTGCGAGTGATTGTGTAGGGCCCAGGTTTTTTTAGACGTAGGATGACAATACATGAAAGTAAAGCAACGCAGCGGAATAGAAAAGTCTTTTCGGTCCTTTATGCTCTCGAGTGTTTCGACTATGAAATTGATAATGATTTGAACCCACTTACATCTGTCTATGCCACCGAGAAGTCCTCGAGGTTCCGAGTAGTACTCCATTAGACTCCCACAGGCTATTTGAGAGTGGATACTACCCACCTCCCACAGCTAGTATTCCGTGCCGCGGAGAAGGGGATATAGAAGAAACGCGTAGCACAACTCTTCCTGATTCCAGAAGTCGGTCCAGACCCAGATGGTCCAACATTCATGCGAAAGAGTTTGAGACTTGGTAGCGGGAGGGAGTAGGTGTCTAAATGCTTTTGAAGGAGCAAGTGCCATGATAGTGTAAGCCCGGAGTATTTTAATGCCAGCACCTCTCTTGCCTCTCCATTCCGCTCTCAACTCTCATGTTCCTTCTTCCTTGATTAGCTTTTTCCAAAGACGTTACTATAAAGTCGCAGATGAGACGGTCGAGTAATATCTCTCTCTCTGTTTTCTGGCTGATTCTTCAGCCTTTGAATGGAAGGGCCGTGTAATAAGGAACGCCTCCTCGGGGATCGGGAGACGGTATATGACATGTACAAAGGAACGCATCGTGTCGTGCGTAAGAGGAATACAAGTGAAGGGGGGATTAAGCCAAGGACGTGTTTGTTGGTTTTTCATCCAGTCTTGCGTTGCGTGATGAAGAGAAGATGGAAATGGAAATGAAAGCTGGTACGAGAGGCGGCGCGTACCTCATTTTACGGTTGTCAGGCAAGAGTCTTTTCCTCTAAACTTTTGATCTCCAAACGAATGCTGGGTAGCAGCAACGTTTGGGAACGAGGAAGGATTCCTGCCTGTCATCTCACCCACGGGCATTTTGACGAGAACTAAACTCTTGGGAAACGAGATGAGATGAGATGGATTTGGTCGGGGGGAGGCTCCTGTGATGGTTCGCAAATGTATGGGTTGGAGTTCCTGAAGCTTCCTCGATAGCTATTGGTGTTTGCTAGGTGTTCAGCAAATTTGCATCTGCGCTTTTGGGCCCCCATTTCATTGGTCTGAGGGAAGGAGTGTGGTTCGAGATGATATGTAGAGGAGATGTGCAGGATATGAGGCGCGGCATAAGATATGCGTGGTGTTTGGGAACGAATGAGGTTATGGGGCGGGGGCTAGATGGAGATGCAGGGGTGGGGTGGAGCTGGAGATGGTTGATGGTTTGCTGAATGTTGTACCGAAGGCGTTTCGTGTTGGGTGGGCAAGGGCACAAATGGAAATGACTTGATGGGATTTTAGGTTTACCGTGTCTAGGATTAAAAGGGGTTGGGCTCGAGGCTCGGGCCAAGAAGACGAGTCCCATGCGTAATAAGGTACATCTCCCTAGAGGTGTATTCGAACCGTTTCTTGGTCAATGGGGTGTTTCTCAATCGGACGGAAGTAAAGCCACTATGTGAGTAAGCTGTGGGATGGCAATCATAGTTTATCATTCTCAGGCCCTAAGGGAGACGGATATGCTGTCGAACATCAAGTTGGCTATAAAATCATGGTATCATAGAAGCCATCGGATGGTTCATCTGCAAGATGCGCCAAGTCGGCAGTCAGGAGAAAACGATGAGGTGGACAGATCAGAGGATGGGAACTGTAGGTAACGACGGGCGCTGATAGAGTGGCTCGGAGATTTCATTCGTTCCGGGATGCTTGCCTGGCCTGGTATTGGTCTACTAGACCTATTCAGTATTACACAGTAGTGTATCAACCAACTAAGACATATGAGGCGGCACGAAACCTCTTTCTCATTCTCGTTTAGGAGTACGAAGTACCCTGAATAGGGGAGGAAGGCGAAGTGTCAAATAGACGTCGAGACGGATGTGCAGAAGCGCTGATCAATTTTCCATAATTGCACTTGCAAGAGAGCATCAGCGTATAGAGGATCGCAATAACGAGGCTTTATTTGGTCTAAGCAGGGTATATGGAATTAGGAGTAGAATGAGACGCTGCGACTGCACAGCCATGTATGGTGGCAAATCGGGACGATATGTTGATCGGGAATTTACTATTTCATACATACTTACAAGTAGGAAATAAAAAATAGTACCGATGCAGATGTAATTCACGTATGAGCAGCTAGTGGGTTCGAGTATTGGATGAGAGCAAAGCTGGAGTAAGTCTCCATGAAAGAAGAATGATTGCTATTGCATGCAGGAGAGAGATGGGAAAGAGAACAGTATAGAATTTGTTGTCCTTTAACTCCTATAGTGTTTTACGGCCTTCCCCGCAAAACAACTGTCATTATGGACCATTAGGCTCTTTAATTTGCTTCCCTATGCTAGACCTCAAAAAGTGCCACTTACCTTACTCTTATTGACTTTTAAGGTTCCTGCTACCTGGCATATTAGAAATGTCTGCCACCTTTTTCTGCCCACCAGGACGCATCTCCTTTGTGTCAAGACGGCCGTAAAACACTGTAGGGTTATGGAGATGCTTGAAGTACTATGGTACTGGAAATGTACTGCTTGGTTACTAGCCGCTTCATACAATATCGAACTGCGCTTATAGAGTTACAAAGTATAAGCCATGAAAATAAGGTTATTTCCTCAGCTCGCAATCCCGAAGTAGCACAAGCTTCATTAACTAGCCCCATCACACTCTTTTGGTTGAACTAATGCAGCAACTGACTGACACCTGTCACCCTTTACTGGACAACAGAAAGGTGTTCGCCACAGGGACGGCAGAGAAGTGCTTCATTGATGAATAAGGATAAAGATAGCTGTTCAATGCATGCTCTAGAGTCTAGCCTCCATGGCATTGTGGTTTAGCGCTTTAGCAGTCAGACTTTTAAAGTTAAAGTGTCGATCTGAATGATTTTCTGCTCGTCCTCGTCACTTGGTGATCCGCTGGCTTGGCTGGTCAATCAGCCCCTGAATGTGGCTTGCCATCTCGGTTGACAAGATGGCATTCGGAGTATGAATTTTGAAATTGCCTATTATTTTGGCGCGCATTGATATGAAGTGGTTTTTCGTCTAGTGACTCTGGGCAGGGCAACCGGAATACTGGTAGGGGATTTCAACACGTGCTTGAGCTTGAGCTTGGACTTGCACTGACTACACTGCGCTGTGTGCCGTTGTATGTTTGGCTTCGTCCTGTGTTTTCCCCTCTACGGCTTCTTCGGTGATTTGCCAACAGGGGGGAGAAAGGAAGGGGTACCAGGGAGACGGAGGGTAGCCTAGATACCGTAGCGAAAGCACACTGTCAATTTGTTTTGCATTTTGGAGCCCGGGGATGGGATGGCTAGAGGGAGCGCTCATGTCGTTGTACAGCACCTACTCGTAGTGTTACAAATGTAGCACTGCTTGAGGTTGCAGTACTTCATCCATCCTGTATCTCGCGCTTCGCAGCTTTTTTAAAAAGCATTTCGAATAGCATGGCTAGAATTCTTACAGTTTTGATTTGATGTCAGCGTCGCGGTCTCAGATGCCCTAGAATTCCACAAGCTGAAAATAGATTAACTTTGGCCCTTGCCGAAATGCGCATATTTTACCTCATAAAAATCAATATCAGATGCATTAAGAACTATGGGGTATCATCCACTTTTATTCGAGAAATTTTCAGGAACGCGTCAACCGGAATCTTCAGAAGTTCAGATAAAGCTTCGTATTGATTTGTAATATAGCTGTCTATTTCTATGCATAGAGAAATCAATTGTTTCATCTGATTAGGGATTACGGAGTACCTCCGTATATATGGCACTGTAAATTTATTTATTATTTATCTTTTAAATCTGTCATAGCGGTGAGAATTTATTTAGAGCCTGGCTGCAGTCGTGGGCGACTCGTGGCGTGTCTGCTGTTTTTCTCTTCCGGCCCTCCCGGCGCCGTCTTCTTCAAATATTAAATACCGGTTTGTAAAATCAGACAAGCTTTCGATAAGGACCCTGACCTTGAACTATTTGATCTCGCACGGGCACTGTGGAGCAAAAGTCACGTCAGAGTGGTGCTGCTCCGCAGGTCAGTCTAGACGTATGCCCTATGAAGAGGCTGCCGCCGTATTTTACCAGAGCTGTGTTTTATAAATTGGATTACAGTACTAAGGTATCTCTGCAATTGAATGAGAACAGTGTAAATAGCCTGGGTAGCTAGCTACCCTTGTAAATAGAGTATTATCAACCAAGAAGCATAGTCTAGTACCTTCTTTATAACTTTTCATGGTTATTAGAAGCGCGTCTGTAGGGAAAGATGTAACTCTTCATGCTATTATTATAAGTATCCGCGTTGAAACGCCAGAGTGGAAAATTGGTGACTAAGAAAATAGTTATAAAGTGCTTATTACTCTGGAGTATCTATCAGAAGGATCGGAACGCATGGACCAAGGGTTGATTTGACGTTGGACCTTCTCCTGTTCGTCGTAATCTTGGAAATCTTGCATAGCCTGTTTATGTTCCTTGCAAGCTTTACCTACTCGTCTCGTACCTTATCTATATCCTCGATTACTGACGAGTCAGCGTCGCCCCTATACGCCGACACGCTGTACAGATGTAGCTGTGGATTGATATAAACCTCCCCCTTTTCCAGTCTCTTACGGCTCCTACGGAGTAGAGTGTAAGAGCTGCCTAGAGCAAAAGGAATAACAAGTGAGGTGTCTCTCCATACAGTCGAGCTTCATGTGCAGTACGGTACTCTATTTCATACCTTCAACAAAACTTTACAAGCTTCCTCCTGTATAGGATTACTATTAAAAGACTCGCACAGCATAGCTGCAGTAGTGGAATGCAACCCGAGGTCCTTCTCCTTAATTGCCGCTGAGTGTAGAGAGCAAGTAGAAGCAAAGACAAGCAAATTATACTAGGTACTATACTCCCCATATAAATTAATACGCCATGAACAACACGACAAACAGCTGTACTGCGTGCTGATGCATGTCAAGATTTGGTCCAGTAGCTGATGACACGCAGCTCAGCAGATGGCTCTGCCGCCATCGTACAGCTGCATCTCTGCAATGCTGACTGACCCTAACTTTTGATTGTTGACCCTGTGGAGGATTCAGGGGCACTTCTTCATCACTTAGAAGTTGGCATTTCTAGATTGAGGGGGGCGTAGCATTAACAACACTATTTGTCTTGAGGTTTGACTGATATCTCTGTTATCGAGAGCTAGGAAATACCGAGATACCTTACGGAATAGTTGGCCGTTGGTCGTTACTGCCGTTGTCCCATGAAAAAGAAAGGCGTATAATTTTATATATAAGGGGTATCGAAGATAGATAGATACAGAATACTTGGTAGGGGGTTATCGTAGGCCAAGCCTGCCCACCACGAAAATTGCGTGGACGAGTCGTCAACAGCTTACGGTGCACAAGTGCTATGGGATGGGGATGGGGAGACCCTTGGAAAAAGATGAAATAATTTACGGTATTCTAGGAGATATATACAGTCAGTAAGGTAAGGTAAGGTACCGTACCATACCATACTACAGCCCAGCCCAGCAATTTCACAGGCCATCTGCAACGCGCATGCACCCCCAACGGCCATAGCCTCCTTCTCCTTCTCCTTCGCACCTTCGTCTCCTACCCACCTACTTTTTTCCACGTTCAACCTTACATGCCGGTTGCCTGCCTACCTGCCTCTGCAATTCTTCCTCAAGGCACCCCCAAATATATCAACATCGCTAGCTGGGTTTTCGATTAGAGTAGACTACTCGTATAGTATCAGACAACGGCACTCAGGAGACTGGACTGGACTGGACTGGACTGGATTGGACTGGAGCTATCACAAGCCTCTTTCCTGCTTCGAGCTCGATCGGCCAAATACTTTCTTGGAACTCTCCCTGCACCCTATCAGCCTATCAGCCAATCCGACATCCTCGTTCCACCGCCGCACACGAAAAAGGGAAAGCCAGAAAGACAGACTCCACCAATACACCCGCTGGCACGCCTCCTGCTACGACCACGTCCGCGTCCAAACCTCGCGCCCACATCCTCAGCCATCCGCCATCATACACACTCGTTTGTCAAATCAAGCTCCCAAGTCCCTTCTGTAGCTTGGGATCGGCCGGCTCTCTTGCGGCGTCACGCTCGTTATAGCACCCTTCTCAAATCTCCCGTTTGATTGCATCAGTCCTCGCGCGATAGAAACGTCTCTAGCTCCATCGCTGACGACTTTTTTTGTCGGCGTGAGGCGACCCCGTTTGCGTACCTGAAGCTCTAGTCGGCCGCTGCCTGGTGCTGTATGGTAGAGCCCGAGCACGCTCTTGCTGTGACCTGATTTTACGCCTCGGTCTTAGGCTCTTAGATTAACATGGCTCCGTCTCCACCACGGTTGCGGATTCTTTCAGGTTGGTCTATTCAATAGCCGTCCCTCCCCTCCTCCTTCTACATCTCCACTTGTCCTACTAGCACACTCGTTATTTTCTACATTTGTGTTTGTGTTTACGTTGTCACTTGTTTGGCCCTTTTTTGCGACCGGCCTCCCTCCAATCCCTAATGTCGAGATGAAGGATAATTCTCTAATCAATGTGTGCGTAGTTGGTGGTAATGCGGTATCAGCTTTCCTCTCATGGCGGCTCCAAGCCACCAATGCATGCGATGTGACACTGGTCTGGAAATCTGGATTCGATGCAGTTTACCAATACGGGATATCATTCAAGTATGTCCTAGACCTGGCCCTACCAAAACATTGATGGCAGACAACTAATTGACCTCTTTCCAGGTCGACTTCATTTGGCAACGAACGATTCAAGCCCCGGCATGGTACGGCTATCTACACTCCTCGCTACAAGAAACCCCATTGCTAACATATTTCAACAGTTGTGCGAGCCCCAGAAGAAGCGGCACATGGCAAAGAGGGTGCCTTTGATTATGTTCTCCTCTGCGTGAAAGCTCTTCCAGATGTCTACGACCTTGCGTCCGTCATCGAATCAGTCGTTACACCGCAACATACATGCATTCTCGTCAACACCACGCATACACTAGGTGTTGAGGCACAGCTGGAAGCTCGATTCCCTAGCAATGTCGTCTTGTCCCTCGTTTCCGGCGCAGAGATCACACAATTGGGGGCAAGTGAGTTCGAGCACAAGGGCTCTACTGAAATCTGGGTCGGCCCGGCAAACGTGAATCCTGATATGCCTGGAACCATCCAAAATGATATGGCAGATGCGTTGGCCATGACTCTCAGCAGTGGGCAAGTAGACTGTCACGTCTCTTCTAATATACGGCAGCAACAGTATGAGCGTATGATCGGGTAAGCACGGCGCAAATACAGAGTACCCTGGTGAACATTCGCTAATTAACCCTGGTTTAGCCCAATCGCATTTCACCCCTTGAGTGTGATATTCGAAACTCCATCACATACTGCATTACTCGAAAAGGTAGCGGTGAAGCCTTTGGTCTCCGAGATATTCGACGAACTCCTCAGTATCGCTCAAGCACAAGAATGCTCGTTTCCATCTGATTTCAAAGAAAAAGTCATGGGGGAAATGCTGCGACCCCTGGAGTCGAACAGCATTATGTACCAGGATTTTGCCGCCAAACGGCCAATGGAAGTTGAAACTTATCTTGGGTCACCTATCAAGCTTGCACAGAGTGTTGGTGTACGGGTCCCACGCATTGAGACTCTATACGCCATCCTCCATAATTTGAACATCGTTAACCAACAGAGGAAAGATGTCGTGGTGGCTTCTCCAACAGTAGGAAATCCACCTCCTCAAAGATTATCTTCTATGCCACCGCCGCCTAGGCCTATGATGAACGGAGTCAATGGCAATGGAGCGCCTAGGGGGAGAGGCAGAGCACCATCAATGGGAGGTCCTCCACCAGGGATGCGTAGAGGACCCCCGCCAATGAATGGCGGTCCACCTAATGGTTATGGAAGACCGGTGACGGGCAACGGATATCCCGCACCCAGAAATCAGTCAAGAAGAGGTTCTCTGGACGGCGACCTCGAAGAATTCAGTCACTTAGTTCTGTATGATGATATTCCAGAGTCCGGAGAATCCAATTATGGGGGTGATGGTACCGACATGGGGATGCGAGAAAGAGAATTGATGTTGAAGCAACGAGAGCTTGCGTTGAGGGAGCAGGAGATGCGGATGAGGAACCGCGGTGGCCCTGGGCCACGCAGAGGCCCACCCACACCTTCTATACGCAATGGGGGTTTTGATGATGATGATGAGGACGACTACTTTGACCCCGCAGATGGACCTCCAGTTCCAGTGATTGATCCCGATAATTTCGATATGATGAGCGTAACGTCTCGAAGGAACCGCAAGGCTCCAATCCAAAACGCAAGCCAATTTCGCAAGAACCCGGAATTTGGTGAAGGTCCCCCACGACGAGGAGGCAATGGCTTTATGCGCCCTGGGGGTCCAAGAAACCGCTCCAGCGCCAGATTAACAAGCCAATTACCAGGTTTGCATGACAACTTGATGGATGATCCTCTAATGGGTTACTCGTCAAATCGATATGGCATTGTGGACCGACAACAAATGGGAATTGAATCGAGGACTAACTCATTAACTACTGCACGTCTGGATGAACTACAATATAATGGTGGGCCACCGAATGGTCAGCCTGGACCATATCCACGTAGAGCCAGTCAGTCACCTGGCAACCCGTACAGCCCTCAGATGAGCAGAGGGGGAAGACCATCGCCACCTAATGGATATGGACCTTCTATGAATGGTCGACCTTCACCTCCGGGTGGAGTACGGCAACCCGTGCCGCGCCATCCGCCAGGTCAAGGAAATTCAGTTGCGCCGCAACAAGTTGAGCAATATGCTGGGGTGAGCGCCCTCCATCCACCCAAAGGTCCTGTGAACGTTCGAAGTCTGACGGGTAGTGCGAGCGCTAGCGCGGGGAGTGGTGATAGCGCAAATATAGATTCCGAGCCTTCCGCTCACAGCAGCCAGAGCAGTCTGGGGCCACGACCTCCAATGGGCGTACGGTAATTCGAAAAGGAGTTTTTAAGGAGTCAATAGTCGTCATATTCGAAGCGGCATCATATTATGCTTGGGGTTGCTTGCGGATATCAAGCCTCCAGCTCATACCTAATACTGTCCGTAACGGAAGGTCCTCTTATTGATCACGGCCTAAACGTCTTTCAACTTGCATATACACTTCGACTTTTTACTTCACTTTAATGGACTTTAATTTGGGGCTGGAGAAACGAGATGGCCAGCATCCACGAAAGTGGGAAATAATGATGAGTACCGGGAATTAGACTTTGAAGGAAACACATAATTTGTGTGGTTTTCATCTCGCGGACGACGAAGTACATACGCACGGTGCGGCAACAACGCGCCCGTTTTTATTTTTCTCCTTCCGGTAATATTGCATTTGGGGTTGGCGTTCTCGATGTCCTGCATATAATTCTACTTGTTCCCCTAGAAGTGCATCTGACGGCGGTGCTCTTTATAGAGCCCGGCGGTGGTGGTGGGTGATATGGCTGGCTAGAATGGGTCTTCAGTATACGAAAGATGGAGGCCTTGGATTTGCCATCTCGGAGAGGAGACAGTTCGGGCTCTGTGTATCAATCAATCAAAACGGGGAATGAGAAGCAGTACCATGAGCGTAGGGAGTGGTGGAATGATATATTCGGATGATGACTTGGTGGTGACTTTCGTTTGGTAGGTTAGAAGGTTGTACAGAGGGCAGGGGCGCGCGAACGAGTCCTGTGCAGATGGGAACGCAGTCATTTTCAGCAACAATACGACTGTTCCAAGCCTTCTTATATCAAAAATGTGTTTTGCCTTTTCGTGACCTGGAAGATATCTTGTCTTCTCCTGTTTAGAACACCTGGTACTGCCTTTTTGGACTGCAGTTGGGCTCCCAAGCGGCCCATCTGTATTGCAAGTAAGTCTGTTCCTAGGTAGGCTTCACTCGACGCATGCTAACCAAGCCGCAGTAAGCTTTCTTCCACACAAGATATCCGCCTCGGGCGTATTGAATTCCTTGTGAACTGTTGCAAAAGAGTCTTAATTGTTCTACACGTAATTGTCTCTATTCCTTCTCGTGGATCGACCTGGTATAAGCTGTCTTTATCTTATTTTTCAGCTCCTCAAAATCAACAGGTCGAACTTTTAGGCTAATTAGTCAAAATTGATACTATTTAGGCTTGTTTAGCGTGTTTTTCTTTTTCTACTTTATTACTCTTTTCGCTAATCCATTCTACACTCTATTCATCCTGCTTGACATTCCTTACACATTGGTCAAATAGCTGGTTTACTTACGATGTCCTACGAGTTAATCAATAAACCCGTTCATTAACCAATTCGGCGATTTAGTTGGCCAATGACAGAATTGGTAAGTAAATCGGAACAGATCAAATATTCAGTCGGCACAAAAATACTTAGGTATCAACTAGGGTCTGAGCCATTATATTGTTCATTTTAGCCTTCGAGAAGTAAATGTCGAGATCTCGAGAGCTTGTTATGAGATATTTACTTGTTTGTCACTCCGAATAATGCCTCCGCACTAATATCTGGAAATTCTGCAGGCATATCCACAGGCGTACGAGGAAGCTATCGAAGCATATGAGCGGAGTAATATCACAATCAAGCCAAAAAACTTTGCAGCTTTCAAGAAGATGCGAATGAAGGAGATCATAAGGACTAAGCATATGAAGGTTAAATGGATAGATCCGGACCGCGATCCGTGTCCTGGCAATCGCGATGCCATTTACGTGCCAGATTTCGGCGGGTGTTCGGCTACGCTGCTCAACTTTTTGGAAAGTATCATCGCTGATTGTACGTTAAATCCCGTCGCGTTCGAGCTGGATCCTTGTGTCAAGATGAAGGACTTGGGAGGGCTGGTATGGCTGGAAATGCTTCCGGATGTTCGAAGAGATTCGGGATAAAGCTTCTTGCAATCCAACCGAGCCGTGTGACTATGGCGTATATGGCAGACAGTCGAAGGAGGCTGATCAAGTGGATCAATCAGGGCTTGGGCGTCACCGGAAGACTCGAGAGGGTTGGGTTTGCAGGGTGTCCGGAAATTTGGTTTTGGGAAGAAAATAACGGTGCTCTTGTGGAACGGTGTTAATTCCATTCAATTTTCCCCCTTGGAGGTCAATACCTTACAAGCCAAATAGTGTCCAGACGTCAGGGTAATTCGACTCGAAAGTGAAAGAAGAAAGGAGCCATGATGTTCATAGCACTTCAACCACCAGACCACTCTCCCCGTATGTCTATATTCCATGGTAGACAATTCATGCCAATAATAAGCAGCTACTATATAACTTGTGACCTCGATTATTAGCTGGACGTGGTAGGAAAATTGGAGTCGATTTAGCCTTGGGGTTAATCCGGCTTAGGCGACTAGTTTTGGGAGCATGAGAATAGAGATCTTTTGCATATGAAAATTGGTGGAGATTTTTCATCCGTAGCCTAAATGCTATCAAGCACTAGCAGAATTACTGACAATGGCTTGAGATGGGATGGCTATAGACACTAATCATAAAATAAGCATATCTTGCCCCAAGTATCATACATAGGATTCAAGAAAAATTACAAGTTTAACCTCGTTTCGACAAAGCTCGGAATCTAAGAGCAGGGGCTCTTAGGTAACAATTCAAATATCCAGCAATAGACGCTGTCCAATCACTTGGTTCTGGAGAGCCATCAAGGGTTGATTTTAGTTATTTAAGATCTGATACCTTCAACCATCCTCGTCTTCAACCTCCTCCATCATAACTTCTCGCGATTGTGGCGGCAACGACCGTCCTTCGCTGGCTCTCTCAATTTCAGCACTCCCATTTCTTCCCCCTAAGCCTCGAGCTTTCATATATCCCGCCTTTTCCAGCCTGTCAGCTTCCTCCGGCTCGACCAAGCCACCAACCCCCTTAGACTTATCCAATTTCGCCCTCACAGCAGCTGGAACAAAGCTCACAGCCTCCTTCCTCAAATCCCTCACTATAGGCTTAGCTTCATAGGTAGTCTTTGCCTCCATCACAGGCGTGTTCACAATACTCGTCCGTTCTCTATTTGGAACTCGCGCATTGTCGCCCAATGGCGTATTATTGGCATTCGTGCCCCTTGCCCTCGCTCCCTCATCATTATTGTTATGACCCATCTTTTCCCTCCGCTTCCGATACCACTTATCCAACACCTCCTTCGGAATCGGTGGGGGCGTATCCCTCGGCATAGGAATAGCCTTCACATCTTCAGGCACTTCCTCTTCACTACTCTCCCCCTCATCCCTCCTCCGCTTTCCCAGCACACCACCACCTCTACCGCCAAACCCTCCTCGCCCTTCCCTATCACCTCTGGGACCAGAGCTAAACTTCGGCGCCGCATCACCCAAGGTCTCGCGCGCTCGCTTCACAGCTTTGATGTCTTTCTCCAGGCCTTCCAGTACACTCTTTTCGTGCGAGGTGAGTTTTCCCCCACTGGTCTCGATGGCGTGGAGTTCATCGAGTTGTTTTTGAAGGCGATCGGGGTTGCGCCGGGCAAGCTTCTCGTTGCGTCGGCCTTGGGCTTCTGTTTTGCCTGTAGGGAGTATTTGTTACTAGCTGCAGGGACGGAAGAGGAGGGTAGCGTACCTTTTTTTATTGCTTTTGCCTTGTCGGCTTTACGCTGAGCTTGCGCAGGATTGACGCTTTTTTCTTTAGGCATGACTGAGTATGTAAAAAGAGAAGGAGGTTGTATTTGTGGTCAAGATGAAGAGGTGGGTGGTTGTGGTTTAGAAATTCTGCCGCTATTTTGCAGGGATCTGGTTCACCGCCCAGCGCAGCTCTTCACTCCTCCAGCCCCACCATTCGATTGGCACCCAAAATGCAACTTCTTGTCAACAGCAAAACAAGGAGTAGAGGCCTAATGCAGCAGCGTTGGTTTGAATATCCGGTTCCAAAACCAGATTTTGTCAACTCAAAGCTATCAATGCTACTACTAATACTGGAGCTTTCCTAAACCGTAAAATTCTACTTTCTAAATTGTTGCTAGGCATAGGCTATTGGCACAAAATAATGAGTTCGGCCCAAAACATATACTAAAAGCCTGAAATACTTCGATTTAGTAGTATTTGTGCTTGGTCTTCGGGCTCATAGCACCATGTCTTGATCTTACGGTAGATCTTCCCTAGTCATGGAGACATCTGGCGTGACGTTGATTTCAAGCTGGACTTCAAGAGCGGATAATGCGTGGAAAGTGCAGTCAAACACTATGGTAGGAACTTATGATATAGGCATGTACTAGAGGAAATTAACCAATCAATTGGCCAATACTGTTTTAATAGCTGTCTTATGTAGATATTATAATAATATGTATCCATTATCAACATACCGGAAGAGGTGAGATTGTTCAGGGGGAAATAGCCGAGCGAGCTCCTTGTCCTAGCATCCAAATGGAAGTGCAAAATCACAGTTGGAAGATGATAACAGGTGTTCTTATAGCCCGGATAAATGCCAACTAATAAGACGCAACAATCGTATGAGGTGGATGAAACCACACTGCCTGCAACGCTAGCAAACATTACTAGACGCCAGAATCTGTTCGCTCGAAATCCACGAGGGAATTAGAAAACTATCTAAGAACCCACACTGCTTCATCATGGAGATGGTTCATCAGGGAACAAAGCAGTTGCAGATATGATGGTAGTTGTTAATGTTGGAGCTGCGCAGGTACAATGACGAATTGGAAAGATACGGCACGTGGTAAATTCTCAAATGGGCCTCGGAAGATGCTCCGAGTCTTATCTCGAGTAGTAGTGGGCCTGCATGCTCCTGCAGATTAAGGTTGTAGTCTTTCCATGTCATTTCGGATAACGTTATTTCGCCTTTCGCCTTTTTGAAAAGTTGGTGAACACGTACCCTGCTTTCCAGATATGGAACAATTATTGCGCATAGCTAATTGGGATCACAGATAACAGGAGGCGAGAAGGTTCAGAAGATATGATCAATTGAGGCTCAGTTAGACTGACGGGTATATCGGGGTATCAGGTCATCATAACTAGCCATCAAACAGATCCAGGGTATTAGCAGAAACATAGGCCACCATTCAACATACTACTCCATTCCGATGCCATTAACTCTTCCCCACATCGACTTCCCCCATAAAAACAGATCAGTCCGTACTCTCAAAGTCCATAAACTCTGAATTGGAGTTATTTATGCAGCTGCCACGGGAGCAGGAGTTGCGGCTGGAGCTTCTTCCTTCTTTTCGACGGCAGGCTCAGGCGCAGCAGGGGTTGGGGCTACAAATAGTTAGCAAAGGCTCTTTGTTATTTGCAAGCTTAGTTTGCTGCAATCTATGTTTTCTCATCACAACTGCGCAACACATTATAGCAACAGAACTAACTCAAGTCGAGTCCTGAGCGGGGCATAATTTGGTAGGTGAAGAGGGAAAAGGTAGTAGCATACCTGGAGTCTCAGCGGCTGGAGCTTCGGTATTTGGGGCTTCAACAGCCGCTTCAACAACTGGTTCAGTTGCGGCAACAGGCTCGGCGGGCTTGGCTTCGGCCGCAGCTAGAGAGGATAATCGTTAGCCCACGGTAAGATAAGCACGGAGTCACACGACCACTCCGAATGTTCCGAATGTTCCGACTTACCAGCTGGAGCCGGCTCTGTTGAAGCAGGAGCTGGGGCAGGAGTCTCTGTAGCTGTAGCGGCAGGAGTCTCTGCGGGCGTTGGCTTGGCTTCCTCAGGCTTCTTTTCCGTGGTCTTCTTGTCCTTCTTCTTGAACAAACTCTTTAGTTTGTTCTTCAGATTTTCGAGAGCCTTTGGTGCTGTCAATGAAACAAAACGTTAGCAATATTACTTGAACGTCTGCGAACACATGGACGGCATATCGAGGAAGTGTTGTGCAACAAGACTTCCGGGAGACATGTGCCCAGTAGTGTTCCGAGGCGCGTTGGACCGGCCGTCCGATAAGAGCACTACTGGAGGAGAAGGCGATTTGGGTTGACTTACGGACGCCGGGCATGATTGCGATTTAAAGTATTGGGTTGTAAAAGGCTGGTTAGACTTTACTGATATGGGCTGAAGCAAAGTGCAGTTGTTGTGTTGTGAGAAGTGGAGGAACGGGGAATGGGGAAAGTCGATCAGGGAGATGAAGCATAGTTGGACGAAAATACTAGGCCCCGTGGGGTTAGCGTAATACAGGGTCAATGATAAAGGCCAATTGGAAATAATTCCGAGAAAGAAACATAAATGAAACCCTTTAAATAAACTCAGCTTATACTTCGTATGTTCCTAATCACTTGTGAATCTAGGGGATCCATGAATCTAGCTAGTCTACTGGTGATTCTAAGCTAGGATTCACGAGTGAACTGGATTCATACATAACCTAGTTCATTTATAAATCGCGGTGATTTACCTATGGATCCCTCTAGATTCACGAATGAACCGGAACAAATATTAAATCAGCCATTTCTGGAAATCCGTATTGATTTATCTAGAAATCTGATTGCTTTTAGCGAACCGATATGCCATTAGTCTCTTGAATTTACAATCCACATACCGGTGCAGAATCGAGGAACCTTTCAAAATATTATGCGACAAAATAGTCATAAAGAGTTTGCTATATAACCTGTACTATTTGTATCCATAACCAAAGGTTTCTATGGTTTTTTTTTTTTAAAGCATCGCTCAAGTGGACCGCTAATGCATCTTGACGGCACCTAACTAACCCAACCCCACCCACACGCCAGTACCCGCTCCGGGAACGCCGCCGCAATGCTAGCAAGTACATATATCATTATTCTACAAATCCTAATCACCTAAGGCTCTGTGGAAGCTATCTTTGGTTCTACCAAGGCACCTTTGTCGGCCCATCTAGTGCTGCTGGTGGGGGCGGCATTCCACCAGTTCTTTCACCTCTCACGGGTAACTGCCCGGAACCACTGGTTGCCCATGGCGCTCTGGTTGGAGGAAGTCCAGTCTGGGATGGCGCTTGTTGTTTTTGTGCCCAAGGAGCTGGCGTCGGGCCTTCTCCACCTCTTTTTGAATCTGCCCACGGCGCTCTCGTTGTTTGTGATGGTCGCGACGTTGTAGCATTCATTGAAGGCGGATGATTTGTTGGCTGGCTTGCGGTATGCACGGAAGCAGAGACTGCCGGGGCATTGGGATCTTGTTCCCAGCTGAATAGATATCCAAAAGGGAAGTGCTGAACCACTGGGAATTTTGATAGGACTTCTGCATTGTACATCTTGATCATGCCCTAATACAATTAGAACATCGTTAATTTTAAACATTTGAAGACTTACCTTGTTTATTTTGCCCCAACCTGACCGCACACCAGAGATATCAAAAAGAATAGGACTATGCTCCCAGAATGGGCCAGTCTTGACGTCGTTGATGAAACCGACAGCTGAAAAATACATGTTGTGCTGCCTCTCTCGGTCAACAACGTTCTTCTTGGCGATATCTCCTGGGTTTGGAGCGCTCGGCAAAGCGCCTTCAACCGGCATTGCATCGCCCTCACTGATGGCAGGACAGTACTGTGCTGAGCCTAAGATGTATGGCAAGAAAGAATGATCATCAAGGCCCCAGACCCCGTGAGATCCGGCAGGTTCAAGGGTATATGTAAGAATTAGACGCCGAACAACTCGCAAGTAACTGGATTCAACATTAGATCTATAGTTTCACATATGGGTCTAGTAATACATACGGCTCAATAACACCCAGCACCAGACTTCTTTCGAATTCCCCATCTTGTGACTTTTCAGTTGAGAAGCCGCCAAGCTTCCAAATGCAACCTAAAAATGCAAGGAAACTGAGTTCATGTCCTGTACCATAGTCAAGCCTTTGTGCACTACCAAACCCGCCTAGCAGATAAGGAGTAAGCTCTTCCAGAACGGATGTTCCATCTGGGGTGGCACTAACGTCCAGCACAGCTCGTGGAAGATGTGCCTCGAGCAGTTCTTGCACTCGCGATTCAAGAATTTCATACCATTTTCTGAAGCTGACATTGCCAAACCTTCTTGGACCCGTGTCTGGAGGGGCTTCCTCAATGATGGAATCTATTTTCTGCAGAAGTTCTCGAAGCTGTTGGACAGGCTCAGACAGAACATCTATTTCATCAAGCTGCCAGGTTCGAGTGCCGCCTGGATCAGAAGATTTTCTCGGGCACATAGCAATATTCAGCTGCATTATGAAAACGCCGATATCACTGTATGCCCGTGATGTAAGGAAGGCAGGCACATCGTGACCCTCGTTGATTTTCTTTGCCGGCTTCAAGAATGTATGTGGTTGTGATGTATCTAAGAGGGACAAGCTTGTAGAAGCAGCTTGAACCTGGAGAAGATGATTCCGCACTCGAGACTCCATGGTAGATATGGTGGAAACGGAATGTGATGTTGAAGACATCGGTACCGTATCAAGCTTTTTGGATGCGGCGTCGGGTCGCTTGATCCCTGTCGCGCCTGGGCTGAGTGTTTTGTGGGGTTTGTTGTTTTGGGTGGGGCGGGGATTCTCAGACAACTTGAATCACAACACAAAACTCCCAATCTGCCGTAATCTGGACAGGAAACCAACTGCGACTGCAAGCACGAGCGAGACGTCTCTTGTCGAGACGCCCCTTGCTCACATGGAATTGATCTAGAGGAGGGGCTACAGACAATCTCCAAATCGCTCGTTATAACGCCACCATGACACTCTTGCCTGCCAAAGCTCAGTCAGAGGAAGAAGACGGTGGTAGTTATTACAGTATCTGCTGTTGTTGTTCATATGAGCTAACGTTTGTCCACAGAGAATGATGGGGATGAAGAGACCGCAGGGATGTTAAATACAGCAACAAGGAAGGCCAAAGCTGCAGCAGAGCAGCTTGGGCGGTGGGTGGGTGTTTCTCGTACAGCACCCGTAAGGGCAGCACCCGTCTCGAGCATCGAGAACGTCGAGGACGAGGACGATGAGGATGCCAGCAACAACGGGGATGATCCACCAAGGCTTGGAGAATCCATGACCCTAGATGACCAAGAAGATAGAGCTGTGAGCTATCCTACTGTTTCTGCATCCATAGAGGAAGCAGCCACTTCATTCCCTCGAGCGTCTACACCGAGCCCTCTTTCCCGCGTCACATTTGGCCCCAACAATCCTGCGAAACGTAAACGCGTTTCCTCAAAGCCTGACGTCTACGAAGTGCCCTCAACGGACGATGAGGCTGAAGTGACAGTGAAAGGTCCGATCAAGAAATTGGCTAAACGATCTCATCCCAATTCAAAGGCTAAAGAGCCCATAGTAGCGTTCAAAAAGAGCAACGATCAGTGTCTGCCAACATCCAGTCGTCAAACACGAGCTGCAAAGGCTAAAGAGGAGATAGCACTAGCTATACAACCACCAGAAAATGCCACGTTGAACGAAGACACAGGTTCTAAAGTCAAACGTGGACGTGGACGACCTCGGAAAGAACGGCCTCTCACACGGGACAATGAAGAAGAACCAGCAGCAGCTGTAGCAGAAGTCAGCGCTCATCAATTTTCTGCAAACATTATAGCGGGCGAGGTGGGAAGCATTTCGGGTATTCTTCTAGACCCGAGCCCGGTCAAGGTATCTGCACCTCCTGCGACTACAGACACCCCTGCAAGCGACGACGACGAACTGCCAGACGTGGCCAATATTGGGCAGGTACAACATACGGTTCAGAAACCCTCGGAAGCTGTCGAAGAAGAAATCAATACGCCGAGAGCTCCTCGGAGTGAGAACGTTTTTCTGGATTTCGAGTTGCTGAATCGAATACTCGAAACGGCAAAGCACGTTGGGCATAGATTTCAAAAAAATACCCAAGATTGGGAACCGGTGAGGACAGGGGTGAAGCTAAAAACAGGTCCTGGGAAGGAGATTGATCAAGCCCTTCAACACCTGATTACGCACTACAAGAAGCTAAAAGGTTATATAACTACGAAGAGCCTCGATGACATACAGAGGACGAACGTCAAGATCACGAGCCTGGTGCATTCAATTAAGGAGAAAAAAAGTCGAATTCTAAGCAAAAGTCTTGGAAATCCTGCTTTAGGTATCGAGTATCTCGACGCCGATTCGACGCAACCACTCCTCATTGACCTTTACTTCAACATACTACCTAAGCTGCTGAAGTGTATCAAACTTGCAGCACTGGTTTATGATGAGAATGGCAATATCAACACGCCTCATCTCAACGAAATTGCAGATCTTATTGAAGTGCATTATCGTTTGGCAACGGCTGCGATCGGCCAACCTGTAAGTAACCAGCCAAGACAAAGTCAACTCTCTCTAGAGACGAAAAGTGCCAGCTTTCAAATCAAACGACCTACTCAAGTGACTCTTTCTTTAATGAGAGATCTACGTCAGAAAATCAGGGGCGAATTAAACTCCCGTGCAGCGGATGAGAAGGCTGTGGAATCCCTCAAGCTGGCTGAAGAACACGAGAAAAAACTACAAAGGCAGGAGCAGATTGACAATCAGGAGAGACGCCGGCGGCGGAAAGAAATCTACAGAAAGCAACGTGAAGATATTGCCAGGCAGCAGGAGGATCCAATTTGGGGCCCAATCCTTATGGAACAAATGGCCCGCGACCAAGACGCTCAAGAAGCAAAACAAGCGCTCGAGAAGCTTAAGAACCCTAGAGTGAAAAAAACCAGGGTCACCGAGCCTCGGCTGCGGGACGAAGAGAATACGCAAGACGCTTCCTTCGAGGATGATCAATGCGAGCAGCGAGTTTCTGATTTTCCTAGCCACAACCTTTTACAAAAAGACTCACCCCCATGGTCTGACGAGATGATGACTACCTTTCTCAACTACCTGAGAACTCATGACGGTATAGTCCTATTTATCTAAGTTCGTGGACAGGGAATTCTAACATTTCATAGAAGATGGCAGGTATGAGCGGCTCGCCGAACTTTTCCAGTGCAGCATGGAGGAGATCTTTTCGTACGCCAAAGATTTCCAGGAGGCTATGGATCATGAACATGAGAAGGGGCAGCTTGATGGGATAGATGATGAGTGGACCTTCACTGTCTGGCTTGAGCGTTACGCGGGTTGAAATCGCAGGTGGAAGGCGAATGAGCTTACTGGTGGGAGCTCTGGCACTATGATTGGAGTTTGGCTTTGGCGTTTATGCTTTACATCTTTTACGATACCCCAAGTCCGGAAAAGGCGTTTTCGAAATCATGTCTTCATGCTATAGCATTGGCAGCACTACATCTAGAACTAGAATCGATGGATGCATGCTAATACTAAAGACACTATCTCATATTTTCTGTCGTGCTCTCCATTCCATTGCCACATCCTCGTACTTACAGAACTCAACTTCGTCTCCTCTCTCCTTCAACCATGCTATCATCTGATCAATCATGCCGATGATATGAGCCATACCCGAAGTATCGGGATGCAACACGAGGGGGAATATGAAACCCCCCTTTCCAGCTGCACGTTCTTCGTCGTCGAATTCGTTGTATAGAAAGTTGAAGCGCGATTTCCACATTTCCATTATACTACCTGCGCTAACATAGCCGTGCGAGTTAGGCGCAGCGGGGAGAAATTGCATTGGTGTCACTAGGGGCTGTCAGCACGAATTTCGGGAGGGGGCAAGGGAGAAGTACTATCTTCCATATACCAGTTACAAGGCAGCTCGACGAGTGTCTTATCTTTTGGTGGTGCAGGAGCAGGAAGTGGTCTCATCCACGTGGAGGCCGATAATTGAGGCGAAAAGTCTATGCTAGGTATTGGTGGTGCTTGGGGAAGGAAATATGGCTCCGAGTCATGGTGAGTCAAAGAAGTGTCTGTCTTCCAGTCAGCGGTCGTTCGCTTGAATCTCCTCGTCTCTAGAAAAGATGATTTACCGTACAGAAATCCGTGTTCCTCTAGCACTTCTATAGTATGCTCTCGAATCTGATACAAGGGAGCTCTCCACCCCCTAGGCTTCTTCCCCGTTAACGCAGTCGCCAACTCAACACACTTCTGAATCACTTCCTTCTCCTGCTGCTCAGTCATTTGTGCACCGCCTTCATGGGCATATCCATGGCACCCAATTTCAGCACCGCTCTCCAGAACCATTTTCGTCTGTGCAGGAAAAGTTTCCATCGAGTGGCCGGGTATGAACCATGTTACTGCTGAAGATATTCCATGTTTCTTAAACAGCTTCAAAAGTCGCGGAACGCCAACCTGCCCGGCGAAGAACCCGGATGAGTAATCTGCCATGTTATTGCTTGTAGAAGCCCCGGTACCAAGAAATCCAGAGACAGCATCAAAGTCGACGCTTAGGAGAATCTTGATCCTGCGTTTCGGTGGCGCCGAAATTGTCAATTGTCTCAAGGATGCTGGGACAATTAATTGAGCTTTGTCAGTTGCTGTTTCTTTCGATCCTACCCCGACTTCCTCTTGTTTCCAAACAAGCCTTCCCTCCATTCCCCCATCGACACTCAAACACTCACCCGAGATATGTCCCGCGGCTCGGTGGCTCGCTAAGAAAGCCATAGCCTTCGCAACATCCTCCGGTTTAGCAATCTTTCTCAAAGGAACTGTAGCTTGAGCTTCCGCCCACATCTCCTTCGGATCATCCAGCCTTCCCTCGATCAGTGGCGTATCCACCCACCCAGGAGCAACAGCGTTAATCCTCGCTCTACTGTTCAGCCTCACAATCTCATTCTTCACTGTCCGAACAAGGGCATATTGCAGACCTGCTTTTCCTGACGCATATTCAGCATGTCCTGCTTGGCCGAATTTCCCGCATTCTGAGCCCGTAACGACGATGGAGAGATTTTGTAGTTCTTTTCCGGAAGCGGATTGGGCCTCTTCGGCACTGAGGAGGAAGTGCTTGATTGTTAGGAAGGTGCCGCGAATGTTGGTGGCGTAGGTTTTCTCCCACAGATCTAAGGGGAGGTGCCAGATTGGGTAGGAGTTTGATTCGTCGGTTATGCCGGCGTTGGCTATGAGTATGTTGATGGGGCCGTGATGGGCTTTGGCTTGTTGAATGCTAGAGCTGATAGAGTCTTCAGAAGAGATATCTCCTGTGATTGTGAGGAGGTTTGCGGTTGGAGTGAAATTGGTTATTGGACGGAGATCATGGGCTGTTACTTTGCACCCTTGGTCTGAAACAAATTAGAACTGAAGTCATGCTCCTTGGTATGACTAATGTTGACTATGGGGATATGACATAAATGGGAGCAATTCGCTCTCGCTCCTGACATTTTAACTCCTACAGTGTTTTACGGCCGTCTCCATAAAAAGAAAGAAACCTTTGCGATGAATACAAAAAGCGGCACCAATTTGTAATGTGCCTCTTGGCGTGGAACATTAAAAGGCAATGTTATTAGGTGCCGCGTTTTTCTATCCAGCATAAGGAGCATAGGGCTTCTTGTGGAGACGGCCGTAAGACACTATAGGATTTAAGACTTCGTTCACTGAACTTCCAGTGGTTTTGGGACGACCTTAACTTTGGAGGAACTCGTATTCGAACAACATATCCTCTTCCAATTGATTTGCACCAAACGAGACCACCTTCCGCCAAATATATGCCCCAGTAAAAGACATACCAAGAAATTCCTTCACAACCTGACTACCAATTCCCCCAGCAGCGCCGGTACAGAAGACGTGGAGCCCCTCAAGACCCAGGAATGACATTATTGCAAGCAAAACCTGGAGGGAAAGCTGCAGAAATGAAAGCGGACAAGGTTCGGATTATGAGACCCTTTTATTACGAAGTGTTTATACAAAACTCCCACCCTTATCTTTCGTGGCCCTATCAATAATCTGCTCGCCCTCTATTGAACCGGGGGGGAAATATCCCCTGTCTTAATTACTACCGATACTTCTTTCCCCGTAGAATTCCTCCCTCCGGGGTTTTAGCGCGGACTCTCACTTCCCCTTTTTAATAAGACTTCAACGTATATCGAGGTACTAATTTGGGCATTCTAGCGAGTAAGAGCTTCATGCTACTAACAGCACACTTCACGGGTTTTCGATTCACAATAAAGAGAAATATTCGCAAATATGGAGTAGCCGAATACATATTATATTATGGGCTCCCCGTTTGTTCCATCAGGGGTATCTTCTTCCTCTGTCTCTTCATCCTCATCCAAATCCATCAATGGAAATGTCAGAATCGCTGCAATTCCACCCAATCCTTCTAACCTCTTCCCACTTTCATGGTCACTACTCAATATCTTCGCTTCACCTCCACCCTCTCTGACCGTATCCACCAGGGACACCCATCGTTTCCTTGTCCCGATTTCTTGACTTCGGAATAGTGAGTTGTTGATGAGCAGTACTCCACTTGGTCCAACGGCGCCTTTCTCAACAGCTTTCTCCACCTCCGTCGGTCCATACCAAGCTCTCCCATCGTCTTTTCGCAGCAATGTCATGAATTCGTCCATGCAGCTGGTCTCCTTTGCGTACTTGGTATCCTTTAATTTCGACAGCACCGCCTGGCTCTTGAGGACCTCATTCAAGCTGTGCAAATGCCCCGAACTCGAATGAACCACCACGAAATTGCTCTTGTTCGACAAAACCGCCTTATTCCCTGTCCTCGTCGCCTCATCGATAATGTATTTTTGGAATCCCGCCGCCGTGAAGCCCGGACTAGCAAGTAACAACGGTCTCGGCTGAGTAATATCCACATGCCTTAACAGCGTCTCCAGTGTAACCTGAAAGAACCTATCCATCCCCTTATCATGATCCCCTGATCTCCCAGCTCTCTTCTTCGGAACCCCAGTCTCGACTCGCTGCTTCAAGATCGTTTGATGCTCCGTAATGAGACATATATTCGCCAGGCCTTCCTGCATCACAACTGCAGGCACCGTCCCCTCTTTATCCTGCTTAACAGCCTCTCTCACAACATCCAGCGCCACCGAGTCCCAGCCGTCGCTCTTCTCGAGGGTAAACTGCCGTTGTAGCTCGAGATCGAGGGTATGAAACGCGCCATTCTTCACAAACTGATGATCCCCCGACACACGTCCGCTGACGTGTAGTTGTCCGGCTTGTGCGTCGAATTCAACGCCTGTTACGCGGATCAAGAGGACCGTTCGCACTCGTTGAGAGGAGGTGCTGCCCGTTGCGCTTTCTTTTACGATGCGGCGGATGGCGGAGGCGTATAAGAGGTCGTTTGGGGCGATGAGGTTATAGGCGTGCCACATGTCTTCTGACTCTTCGGGGAGGAGGGTGACGGTGCCAGAGCCGTCGCGCTCGATGTTTTGCTTTAGGAGACGCATTTTGTGGTGCGACGTGGACGTGTGCTTCTTATCCACTCTTATCTGGTAAAATGTGCTGCTCGATGTGGAAGAAATATATCGGTGGATATCTGTAAGATTTGTAGGTTATTTGGTTGCGTGAATCATTATCGAATGTTGGAATCATGGTGGGGTGGTTAATGCCTAAAATGGAAAACCTTGCAGACGGCGCCAAATCAGTAGGCAAGAAATAAAGGATTGTTCTCTTACTGAACAGGAGATTCAAGAGATATAATGCCTATTCAGTTGAAATACATGTCTTTTATGAAGACTTTATAGCAACCATAGATTTCCTTAATTTCATGTTCGAGATAGATGACGTCAAACGCGGGGTAACCCTCCTTTATTTCAAAGCTTATATATTAGATATCTGGAATGCATGTTGATACAAAGTACGAGTATTACTTTCTATACACAAGCCTTTGTGGAATTCAACAACTGAATACACCACCAGGCTAAAGGATTGCGCGGCATGAGATCGGCGTTAGCATGGAGAGTAAGGCTGATTCAAAAGCACCTCCCAAGCAAACAATCGGCGCTTACAACTAATTTGTAAGATACCATCTCGTTTATTTGTCACTTGTTGCACCTCATTTTACTCTGGCGAGATGTGTACAAAGTACCTACCTACCTACCTAGCCTAGGTACAGTAGGTGGATTGCGAATCGATACCCCACCTTCCTCTTCCCACTTTATAAAACCATCGGCTTCCCTCGCGGGTTTCTATATATTCTATATTTATTAACTCATTCAGAGCACACAGAGCCAACACCCAATTATTTAGGAGAACAATGGCGCCATTGACCATCAACTCGGTGATTCGCATGGACTCAGGCTTTGATATTCCAGCCCTAGGCTATGGTGTAAGTTATCTGAACCTTCCTAGACAGAACACATCACTTCCAGTTATTACCATCGTGCTTTGAGCCTTGGACCTTATATATTAGTGCCGCTTTTTCTGTCATGCCGACTGCTAATATTATATAGGTCTATCAAACGTATGAGAAACCCGGCTCCTGTAGCCCCTTTACTGACTTCTGAAGCCCGGAAAAAGAATGCGAGGACGTCGTCTTGCAATCGTTCAAGGCAGGCTACCGCCATGTACGACCATAATCAGACACTGAGTCCTTTTGATTGACACTGTCCAGGTCGACTCCGCAATTTCCTACAAGAATGAAGCCGCATGCGGAAGTGCTATTCTAAAGTCGGGAATCCCTCGCAAGGATATATTCTTCACCTCCAAGATCCCAACAAGGACTTTGAGTTACGATAATACCAAGTCTCATGTTGCCAACACTTTGAAGGTGACTGGCTTGGACTACATTGACCTGATGCTCATTCATGCTCCTTATGTAAGTTAACTGCCCGGATGTATTATCCTATTGCGGGTGTCTCAGGAGTGATTTTTTACTCCTCGTGGGAGATTGTCAACTCTACTATTCGAGGCAATACTGACTCCGAGATGGTGATTGTAGGGTGGTTCAGAAGGCCGAAAGGGCTCTTGGAAGGCACTCGTCGAGGCCACTGAGGAGGGAAAGATTCGTAGCCTGGGAATCAGTAATTACGGTGTTCATCACCTCGATGAATTAGAGACTCATATCAAAGAGCTCGAGGAAGAGCGAGGCGAGGGCAAAGGTGGTGTCATCAGCGTTGGGCAATGGGAACTGTAAGTTGCCATTGAAATTACCCAGAATCTCTGCGACCTGACTCAAGGTTCTGAATGCTGACATCTTCTGTCATAGGCACCCTTGGCTTCAACGTCCTGACATCGTCGGATGGTGTCAGAAGCGCGGTGTGATCCTCGAGGCCTATTCACCCTTGGTAGGCTACTTGTGATCCTTGTTATTTCTTATTTCGGCAATAATTCAAGTATTCTCAAGCTTGTCCTTGGAGCTGGGTCCAAGAAAACCCCACGGGGCTCGAGACATTTTTTGCACGCTCCTCAAATCACCCCAAGTATGTAAACTAACCCACCATTCTTCGTAGGTGCGTGGTGAGAGACTTGAGGACAAGCTGATTCAACCTTTGGCTAAGAAGTATGGCAAGACAGCCGCTCAGGTTTTGGTGAGATGGAGCTTGCAGAGAGGCTTTGTGCCGCTTCCAAAGAGTGTCACGCCCAGTAGGATATTAGAGAATGCGGACGTGTTCGATTTTGAGTTGACGGCGGAGGACATGAAGAGTCTAGAGACCGATGAGTACTCGCCGTGCTGCTGGGATCCTACAAAGGCAACTCTTCAAGACTAAGGGAGGTATGATGAAGGCGGTAGAAGTCCTTGAGCCTGGAGGGATTAGCCAAAGCTGCAGGAACGCACCTTCCAATTTAGAATATGAAGTTCATGGCAACATGGATGCTTTCGAAAATCTTTGAAGTGAAATCACCAAATTCGTTCATTATCAGACTTTTAGAGTGACTTTTGATTTCTGACTTTCAGAACCATGGACGGCGACGGCTGTGTAAATATTTACCCCGCGTCGCCAACACGTCAATTGGACCAATGAGAGGCCAACAAGCGACAACGACATTTCCTCCACCACCTACATCTCCAATACCATCTCCCACCCCCCACTCCCACACCCCCTACGCCAATCCTGCGACTTCAGTCTCGCCCAGGTGAAGCCATGGCGGGACGGCAGCGCACCTTTGAGCTGGTGCCGACGACTTTAGCCAATCCCACTGGGCCGAAACCACCCATGACAAGCAAGGCTGCCAAAAAGGCTTACCAGAAATCAAACCGAGGAGGAATACGAATGACTCGAGCAGAACAACGACGGGCCGATGCGGCGGAGCTAGCGCAACAGAAAAAAGAGTATGAAAAGGAAAAGAATTCTGCGAAAGCCAAGGCTGCTCGAGAGAAGAAGACTGCGCAGGCCCAGGCAGAAAAAGAGACCAGGAGGAAGATGGGACTTCCCGAACCCAGCAAATACGTGCGTTCCAGCCAGCAAAGAATATCGAGATTCGTAAGGAGCGGGAGTAAGAGGAACTGGGAGGAGCTTGATGATATCACCGAAGACTCGGATGGAACCATAGATGGTGTACTGGGTGGTGTATCTCCTGCGAAACGGATAGCTGTCGACCATGATTCCGATGATGAGTTTGGAGAGTTTCCTGCTCTATCAGAAACCGGTATTCTCGAAAGGCTTGACAGCTCTTCAGTCTCAATAAAAGAGGAAAATGTTCCCCCGAAACCACCATCTGTAAACAGACCTAGGCCATTGGCTCCCAACTTTCGAAAACCCTCCTTGTTAAGATCAGTCACATCAGAGAATAATACTAGAGCTACAATGGCTACGAAGAAGGGTGAGGATATCTCAAAACTTGCGCCCTTGAAAAAGGAGCTATCGGACATCGATTTTGGAGAATTCCCCTCATTATCACAATGTGATAGCCTGGAACGAGACCTTGACTCTGCGACTCCATCTATCAAAGCAGATCCAGCTATTTTGAAAGCCCATACCCCGAATCTTGAAACTCGGCGCCAACTGCCGACCGGAAACACGTCGCAAGCCATGCCTGTATTGGCGTCAAGTGAGGAATTTCCTGGTGTCACTTCTCAGGAGCTTGCAGATATGGCACCTACCTCCCAGCTAATATCAGAAGTAGCGGATGCAAGATTCAACTCTGTCCAAAAGCATTCAACACCCGTGCTTTCACTTTTAAAGCCTACACCAGGCAGGCTAGTTAGGAATCAAAGATCAACCAACCAGCCAAATTATAAAAAGACATTGGAAAAACAGGGGGAACAAACGCCATTCGGAGTAGCGTCTTTACATAGGCCACCGTTGAAAGAACGTCCGGTCAATATGCCACCACTTTCAATCCCCTTGAAGGTTAAAAAGGCCATATCATTTGCACCTTCCCCCGACAAAAAACGACCGACAATTCAACCCGCGGCCAGGAAATATCCTACAACACCTGCCAATATCCCGCCATCAGCGACGCAAGCTTTTTTGGAGGATAACATCGATAGCTTCTGCCCAAGTCCGAGTCAACAATTACGCGAAATCCTCGAAGATGCTGACGATATACCCTCGAACACGCAAGTTTCCAGGGAAATAAGTCCCAGAAAACCAGCTCCTGATGATGCGTTTGCCGGCATGTTCTCCACGCAAGATATTAGCCTTTCGGCAGAGGATTTGGAGGAACTTACAACGCCTAGTCGAGCTCTTCCAAAATGGGAAGAGACGACATTAGCTCCGTCTCCCAAACCCTTGCGAGAGAAACCACGATTTTTTCGGGAAAAGGAGGACGATTTGCTACATGCTGCGCTTCACGAAAGCAAGACCCTCGCAGCAGCTGCCCATATGGTACAGAAGGAGAAACCTTTAAGGGCGGCAAAGAGGACTTTGTCGCGTGTCAAGTCAAATGCGTCGGATTATGGTGATGACTTTGCTGGATGCTCCCAGGAATTACTCGCATTTCCTTGAGATGCTCGGCAAGCCTATCCTACATCTAATCTTGAGGATGCAAATATGCCGTGGGGGCAGCATCCTACTACGACTTACGACTGCACGACGCACCTAAGCTGATCTCGTGGTCGCACGTTCGTTCATTGATCCAATTTATTCGAAAATATCAAATTGGGGTTAACGTTCAGTCATCCGAGGCGTCGAATAGCTTGAATTCATTGGAGTAGAGGCACTCAAATACTGGGTCGGATTGAAAAACAAGTCCGTGTATATATCTGTTGGGTGAGGGACTTGAGACACCTTTTTATGGTTGGCGTATGGGTTTACAGGCATGGATAGGATGGAAATATAAGATACCCAGATTTTTTTAGGATGGAAGGAATGATGACATAGCCTTTATGTAGATGTAGATTGACGAGCCTTAATTGACTTATCTGACACTCTACTCCTTCCCATTTCACTACTTGCCTTAGGCTGAGTGTTTCTGGTCGTCCTTTCCTTGTGCTCAACAGAAGAAAACCAACAAACACCAACTGCCCCTTGAAAAGCGCATCTACCTCCGTAATTCGACTCGATATTCCTTGCCATCTCGGAGTGTGCTTCAAGCTATGAATACTGGGAAATACTCGCCGTTTGGTTCTTCCTGAGACAGCTCCCCTACGAGTATTAGAACGTTTGCTATACATGATTACACCAATGGGAGCATGGAAATCGCAGATTGTACCTGCCATCGGAGTTTAGCATCACGAGGAAATACAACACAACATGCAACAATCACTACTATAGCAGAACGAAGCAAGCGCGATGCAACCAATAATAACCAAACTATATTCGCTTTTCAAGATAAGATGTCGCTTTTGTAGAAAAACAACGTCTATGAAAAGGGTATCAATATATTCAAAAGGAAACCAAAAAAAAAAAAAAAAAAAACATCGCCCGCTTTTGTTGTCGTAATTCATCAGTTCAGATGGTTATCATACATCGTCAAACATAATAATATGTAGTATCCGGATGACAAAACCATACTGGTCTGGTCGTCTGCCTCTTCAAGAACTTTTACGCGACAATAAGCTGTGATGAAAATGTTAGTCCGGATCCTAGAGAGCTTCGGTGCAAGAGCTTACCTCAATGAGCTTGTCTGTGAGAGCAGTGCATTGTCTTTCGTGCTCGTTCTGACTATGAAATGTAGAGGAGCGCCATAGGCCGCCGAAACCGATGCCATCAAGGACGTCTTCCAGCATTTCTGCAGTATCCATTGCGTCCGAAAACCTGGGGCTGGATGTCATTGTGCGCATTAATTGATGCGCAGATTCAAGAGTGACCGGATTCTGGCATGACATGAGTACTTCGTCTAAAATGCGAATGACCGGCGCACATCTACAATCTCAGCATTGGTTCTTTTTGGGGGCACATCGAGGATATGACTTACAGATGAAGCACTATATTAGGTCGCTTAACAGCGACCCTATTGATCCACAACAAGCCACGATTCTGGATCGAATCTTCGAGGTATCGGAAGTCTACGATTGAAATTACCAGGTTGAGTAGAAGTTCCTTATCCTTGATCGATACGGACTCGATCATACGGTAAACTTCTTCAGGCGTCACTTTCTCCCCTAGATGTGCCCAGCCAGAAACCCAGACATTATTCTTGACCTCATGAGGAGTCATGGCTCTACCGACAAGAATCGCTAAATAAGGCACGCAGGTGAGGTCCCGAGGAAATCTTATTCCAGATAGGGAATTGGCATTTGTGATTTCAAGGAAAGTGGTGAAGACGCGAATAGCCGTAGCTCTTGTGGTCGTATCGGTGAGACCTTTGACTAAACATGCCAGAACGGCGAAGTGGAAGTTTTCAAAGTTGAAGTGAATTCCGTAGATCTCGTCAAGTTGTAAAGCCGCATCTTCGAGAGGCAAGCGGCCCTGCAATAGTGTTGTAACCATTTGGCCATCTTTGAAATCACCGGACTTTGCAAGATTGCTCACAACTGCCTCCAGAAATAAAGCAGTACTGTTGAAAAGCGGAAGCGGAACGAGTCTAACAAGCGATAGCGCAAGCCAGAAGAGTTGCATGCCGTATCGAGAAGCTGGGGGTAATTTGTCCATCAATTTGGTTAAGGACGTGACAATTGCAATGAGCATCTCACTGTCGCCCTCGTCCATGAAACGAGTCATGCTGTTCCTGAGAGCAACAAGAACTTGGTAGAGAAGATCATCATCCACATCTTCTCGGGCTAAGCACCCCATGACTGTGAAGGCACGAGGTTGGATTGCGGGATTACTTTGGAAAGCAGTGCTAGCGACCAAACTCATCCACCTGGAGCGCCATGCATTGGACATGTCGACAGTAGTTGCGGCAATAGTACTGACTTCTGATAGTAGAATGGCCAGAGATTCTGTAGCATTTAATGCTGGAATGCCGGAGTCTTGAGAAGACGAGATTGAGGCGCCTTCTCGAATAGATAGGTTGAATAACGAATCATTTCGCGGTTCCGAGAGTGACAAGAGTAGAACTTTCAGCCTCGCATGTTTATTTTCTTCGAGAGGAAACGTCGTGCAGATAGCATGAATAGTATTAACAAGCAGTCGATGGACCATGAGCCTGACATTTGTTGAGCCAGTGTTGGCGAGCATAGTAACGAGATGAAAGAGTTCTGGCAAGTATAGCTGAGACTGAATTCCGCTATCAAATGAAGCCGAGAGGCACAGTCGAAGCAGCACACAAATCTCGTTCCATACAGTGTTATCCGGCAGGTGCCTGCTCGGACGTAGAGAAGTCCTATTGAGCGCCTTCCGGAGACGTGAAAGCAGCTTGCCTCGAATGGTAATCGTCCCCAAGGAAGCGACGACGGAGCCTAAAATTTCGGTTCGCTCGTCATCAAGGCCGAATGCGAGAGCGGCTTTGGAAACCTCTTCCAGGAATATGTCGGTATAGATCTCGTCGCGACAGATGGCCGGCCAAACACTTTGCTCGAGGGTTGTGCTGAGAACAATATCGGATATGGCGACGTCGATAAGCTTTCTGAAAATTGCGGCAACTTTCTCCCTGGCTTTGTCACTATCATCATCTGTTGGAATCAAACTCGTGCGAAGGCCTGGCAACCACGGAGCCATGTATGCAAGACTTAATGGGCGTTGTGAATACGGAAAGCTTTCCCATCCTACAAAAAACTCGTTGAGGAAATCCGCTGTGAGCTGTGGCTCAGACTGTGCAAGTTGCTGACTTATGTCGACGATGAAACGGGAGGGGTGCAAAGGAACACAAAGTTCTAGCCAAGTTAGCTTTCAGTACCAAAATTACAGAAAATAGTTTACACACCCTTTGCACCTAGAAACTTTGAATCGGTCGCAAATTTGAATGCCCGGCAAAGTGCACAAAGTAGGTTGTAAGAAGCTAGCCGAAGGACTTGATCGGAGCTCGCCATGTTGGTCAAGGCGATATTCAGAAGAGTTCCAGGCACATCTTGTGGTCGAAGAAGCCTTTCGAAAGACTTGAGCGTCCTCAATTCTTTGCCATATTTGGCTTTTGCCCCACGAATTGCTTGAAGAATATCTATTTTCCTTGGACTCGTGAAGTACATCACGATCTTGCCATTTTCCGTACGTAGACCAAAAGCCGTATCATCTTCGGTCTGTATCGAGGTCGGAGCTTCGTCTACTTCAGAAAGACGAAAGATGTCATTGACGGTGGCGCTCATCCTCAAGCCAGGAACAACCTCCTGTTTCTTAGTAGACGTTACCTGGATGAATTGGCTCCCTACTTTAATCACTACTTCAACCTTACCCTTTGTTTTGGACAGCCTGGTAATGGGCTGAAAGACAAATCTGGTGTCTGTCACAACGCTGATTGTTTCTTTTGGCAGGTGCAATTGACTGAGATGGAAGTGGGCTTGTAAGTCTTGAAGGCTCCCAATCATATAATAATCTACTTTCGTCGGGTGGAAAGCACTAATCTCGCTCTTTGCTGCTAGTCGTAAGATGCGACGAAAACATTTACTGATAATTAAATTAGCATCCGAATTCCCATCCAGCCTAAGTAAATTTACCGGAATGCACTGTTCATATTGTACACGAACACTTTCTGTAGCTGCCTCGATAGCTCGGAAGGCGTCAAGAGGTCTAGCTTTCGAAATAATGCATCTTGAGGTTCGTTCTGACCGTTGTAACATGTTGCATCTATAAGTATACCAAAAGGCCGGTGCCACATGCGGCTCGCAATCTATGATAATCAAGAAATGCTCAGGTTTAGTCAAGGCTTAAGGAGTAACGTACTTTCAGATAGCCGAATAAAAGGAGCTCGTAGTCCACAGCTTCGGTATCAATATTTCGAAGTATAATACATATCATCGGGAGACCATCCTATATCGGAATTAGGAAAACACAAGCAAGAACAAATGCCCATTTGAACTTACCTTACTTTCCCCGCCATCGTATATAGACCTGGTGGAAGCCAGCGATTCTGTATTCCTGCCGGCGTTTCGGAGCATGAAGTGTTGGAAGCGAGAGTATGACGGCGGACTATTTTGTGAGGTTGCAGGCCTGTTCCATGAGACATCCATGGGAGGAGGGCCCAAGTTTGAAATAAGTTTCCGAAGCGAATCCAGTATAGGAATCTGGCCTGTGCCAACGTCCAAAGTTGTAATAAATGCCCCCTTCCTCTCGTGAAAGACTATCTTCTGGCGCACATGATCCCAATGATCGTACAAGAATCTATGAAGCGCAACACAAGAACCAAAATCAAAAGACTCCGAGTCAATGGCAGGATCTACAACGTCTGGAGGTACCTGATTTGGTTAGATATTATATCTGATTGAAAGGACTGGTGGTAACGAACAGATATCTCTCGTAGAAATGTGGTGACACGGTATATGTTCTGCGTTAAGAAATCATTTAGAGGGAACATATACGGCTCTTTTGCTCCGAACAAAACGTTGTTGGCCAAATTCTGTACAACTTTAGCTATGAGCAAGAGCCCACGCCGCATCTCTTTGGAAGGCGGCGAGCTTATCAAGCCCTCTACATCGGGAGCAACGATGGCTGGACAGAAGAATCGTAGGAATATGAAGGCTCCCACTGCGGTGAACTTTGCTTCTGGAAACCTCTTCATGACCGCACTGGATATCTGGGACATGTGTTAGTACGTTGTGAGTTATTGTTGTCCATTCATAACTTACAATGCTACATATTCTCCTGAACGATACTGGAATATGCACTGCGGAATTGCAGATGTCGTCAATAAAGACCTTAGTAACAACACGAAGCTGAAGCGCGTTCTTTTGCAGCTCCTCAACAGAAGCTGTTCGAGCAGGATCGAGTTCCAGGTCGAGATCCTTAGATGTATGAACAAGCCGTTCAAGTACCTTCTGTAGTGTTGCTTTAAGGTAGGCTGCGCCTTTCCACTTGGCATAGACAGACAGCATTTTCGTCGCCACACAGTTTCTCCGGAGAAGTTCGGCTTCACTTTCTAGAAACTTGTTAGTCAAATGATGTATGGTATTAATCGGCGAGCTGTACCGGTTTCATCAACCTCATGCTCAATGAGTGCCTCGAGTAAAACAAAACCGAGGCCCCTCGAGTCGAATATATTGAGCAAAGAGATTGTCATTTCATCGACTTCGGTACTGGGGCATGCATCGCAAAGAGCAATCGTCAAATCCATATCATTAATGAGCAACTGAAATTATTAGTGGATGCTGAGAACTTGCTTCAGTGGTACTCACCTCAAGAAGCTCGTCATACTTCTCATTCACGGCTACATCGGACAAGTTGTTGAACTCGGCACCTTGTATTAGGATATTGCAGAGGACCTTGACAAAAGCTGTCCTAATGTCAAGATCTTCATGGTAGCCAATGCCCAGGGAATGTTTCAGGCCAACATCGATGTTCGCACTCAAAAGGTTAGAAAGAGCAGTGATGGCAAGTTCGGGAGTGGTCATGGATTCGTCGTTGGCAGTGGTTATCGATCGTACTCCATTCCGTCCAAGATCTGTGGACTCATAGTTCAACAAGGAGAGAAAACGATTAAAGTACGTGTGGAACATTTGTGACTTTAGGTCGCTTGTATCCGCATCAGTTTGACCCTCAGCCGGTTGTAAAGGGAGTCGATAAGTCAAATCTGCTAAAGCTTTAAGACACGCTCGGTCGAGATCTTTTTGAAGGCGGAGAATTTCATCCGCTCTAGCCCCAGCGGCATGAATAGCATCATTTGGCGTACCAGGGCGAGCTATCCAGCTAAAAACTATTTCCAGTAATTGATTCCGGATACGCACATCGTGCCTTAAATTTAGAAGCTCCTTCTTCTGTGTGACTGTCTCGCACAGTTGACATATTTTGATCTTGACCCGTATGATGCTCGCATTTTCCATCAGCTCATCCAAGAATTTGCGAAATTGAGCGTGAGTGCGCCAACATCAATAGACAAAGATGCCCCAGCATCAGCAGGCCCGCCTAGTTTGTCCACAGTGCTTTTAAGCAAAGCAGAGGCCTGCTCAGCAAATATGACGCGTGACTCGATAGAGAGCGACGTGTTGGTTCGTGGGCTGTCAAACAATACTTCAAGCTCCGTTTCCAGAGTCTCAAACAAGGGCAAGTACAGTGCCGACGCCAATTCGGTGGAAAGTGTTTCCCTTGTTGCTTCTCGTATCCTTACATTGTTGCTGGCGAGTAGTTGAACACTTTGTTTCAAATATATCGTCAAGAGTGTATCATCGGAGTTTTCCGGCGAAACTTTGTCAATCCATCGTAAACCAGCTAGCTGGGAGTCCTCTGGTGCCGGAGTCCGGTCTGAGACGCATGTTCCTCCAACAGATGCAAGGAATCCGGAATAGTTACGCCACTCTACAAGAGTCTTCTCTTCAGTGGGCTCCGCGGAGCTGGAAAATATTTGTTTTGATAATTTCAACCAGGCATCAAAGACGATCTCCCATGCGGCGATAATGGTAGGTGAGGGATACTGCAGTTGTCTTAAGAAACCCCGGGCTCGTTTTTGAAAAGCAACTAAGCCAGTAAAACGAAAATTCCGCGACGATATCTCTAAGCATACCTCAAAATTTCGCAAAGTAGGTGTCAGTGTTTTGGCCGAGGCTGATTCTTTTACAAGCTGCGCCTCTTCACAAAATAGACTAATGCATCTAGTGACTAGCTGGCAAGTTGAAAGATCCGTCGAACACATAGATACCAACAATAAAGTTCCTATTTTTGAACAAGCCGTTACCCTGAAAGGGTAGTCTTCGTCTAAGTCAGTCAATTCCTGAAAGCGATGTTAGCTCTTAATTCCTACTTTATGACTTTGTGATTCATGATTGGAGCCGAGGTAAAACAAGCAAAGTAGGAGTTGACGACAGACCTTGAAGTCTTTTAGAAGTACTAGCCGCGACTCTAGATAATCATGAATAAATTTGAGTGAAGAGTGTTTATCATCGCAATCGTTAAGGAGCTTTTCGCAAAGGGCTATGAGAAGAGTAGATCTAGGAAACTTGTTAGCTGAAGACTCCTATATACGGCAAGATTTTCAAGAAAATAATGTCATCTTCAGCCACCCAATATTGGCATGGCAGAACAAGAAGATTCGGGCTCCACACATGAGACAAGAGACTGCAAGGGGGTTAAAAGACTATGGGAAACAACCAACCCTTATTGTAATGCAATAAAGGTTTGAGTTTAAAATATTGCCACACAACGCATTACTTCGAATCAACATTTGGGACTTACGTTGACTTCCAGAAGGTATGCCTATAAGCTTGAATATCAAAATTCTCACTTTGATATTCAATGGGACGAGCGCCACTTATGAGAAGCTTGCGAGCAACCGTGCATGCCATTTTTCTGATACGATCGTCGTCTGAGACTAGGTAAAAGACGAAACTGTCTAATATATCTTCGACGAAACGATACCAGGCAGGAGAACCAGGGTGAGTACCGGCGCGGAGAGTACGAGGCGATGCTTCCAAAAATGTTAAAATGCTAAAGATAATATCTGAAGTCGCGTTTCCATGTGGTTTTAGGAGGGTGTATTGCTCAACGGGATAAGAGTCTCGGGGTCTTGCAGATGGACGCTTGAACACATTAGCATAATAGCTTGACCGTTACTAGACAACATACTATTAGATTTACTCGAATGAAGTCTGCGACCTGCTCAAACAAGGGTTGGTATTCCCGGGCATTTGGTTGCCTTGCGAAATGAGTACAGGCAGCCATCGCGGAGAGTTTGAAATTGTGAGGTGCGTTGGAAGCAAGACAAAGAGGTGCAAGACTTTCGACACAATGCTCGAAATTGATATGCGTTAGACTGACGAAGGTAGCAGTCATGAGAGTGTTGTCAATGTATGGTGAGTCTATATCGGCAGTAGTTCTCCTGAATACGGCCTCTCGAACTTCTTCCTGGATATCAAAAGCGTAGCTTAGAATGGCTGCATCGCTATCTGGATCGAAATGTCGCGCAGCTCTCAAGACGATAGTCATACAAAAGATAGGTGTCTCGTTCCTGTTTCTTAGGGCTTTCCTGAGCATTTCGAGGAAGGACACTTTCTTCGATATACTACTACTCTTCACATCTCGCATGTTGCTTGCAACTTCAAACACATCAGGGAGTAATAAAATGAGCGATGTTTGAAAAGGATAAAGGAGGGCCTTTCTTTTCCCCCCATCGAACATCGTGTTTGTCATGTCGAAAAGTGTTTCCGCTCCTGTACTGGGTCAGCATATAAACTCATTATCTTCCGAGGATGACAGTAGTAACGCGGGACAAGTAGTCCACAGGAGTGTTGTTAAGGTTTGAAGGAAAATATTGCTGGGGGCAAATCATGAACAACTGTGAGCCCATCAACGGCGTACTTTTCCCACGTGTATATTAAATCATCGTAGAATCCAATGAGAAGTTATGCATACCCCCATCTAGTCTTTTATGCATAGAATGAAGATCTATGAATTCATCAGGGTTTCTCTCCAGCCACCTGGTGATCAGCAATGGTACCACGATCGCCACTGTTGCTTGGAAACATTTGCGCAAGTGCAAGAAAGTGCCGCATAACTCTTGAATAACAATACCTAACTTGTGACTGTCAACCCAGAACGTGGAGATGAATTTAAATGTGATTAGTGCACTCCTGTCATCCTCAGGCGCAAAGGCGGTTTGCACCGCACTCCCAGCAGTTGGGCGAGCCGCATGCAGTAGGCTATGTTTGAGATACTCGAGGACTCGGGGCCAATTAGAGAACGATACGTATTCTATAATCCTTCTGATATGCGCATCAATAGCATCAGTCTTGTCAAGAAGTAGCTCGGAAGCTTCAGTGTCACCAAGATGCCCGTTTGTAGAAGTAGCATTGTCCTGTCCGGGATATATTTCTGTTTCCAAGCGGAAGTCTTCGTCCAAGATGTTACTTGTTGGAAGCACATAATCTTCGGGGATAGGCTTTGAGAACACCTTCACAACATCTAACAATCTTTTGACTGTACCATCCGGTAAAGGCCCCGGTGGGTTGTTCCGAGCCAATAGGGCATTTCGGGTTGCCCTTCTTCTTTGGCCGTGCCATCTTGACGAGCTAGAATGCTTGAAGCCCTCCTCTGAATCCGATGGCTCCGAGTCAGAGCTCTGGCTATCATCTCCATTAGATGCGCCTGGACTTGGATTCACACCATCCCAGTGCGTTGCGCACGACTCTGCTAGAAGATCAAGAATATATAACTCGGAATGGAGGACGTGGATCGGGTGGGTGTGTATTCCTTTGTACGACTTGGAGAGGTTCTCTAGTAGGTGCACGAGGGTATTTACTACATCTCCAATGCAAGAAACACTGACACCGACAAGAGTTGACCGGGTAAGGACAACAATCTCATCTTGTGCAAAATCGCCCGAAGTGGATCCGGTTCGGTGTGGCAGCTGTGGGAGGAAAGGTACAATCAGCAGAGAACAAACACGGGCTATAAGTGTTCAGCGCGGATTGAATGATAATATACCCTCGTTGTTAGCCGGTCTACAAGTGTAACCACTAGATTCAAGTCCCCATTCATGACTGGAAACTGGACCTGCCCGTTATGCCAACCCAAGCAACAGATCCAGGCATGTGCCTTTGGCTACAAACATGTATATTCCCTATCGACTGAGGATAGCGTAATTGCGTTGGTTCGGCTTGGACCTCGAACATAGCCCGGGGTAACTAGGGGTAGGACTGTTGTAGTACTTGGGGCGAAGAGCAGATGGAGTGGATGGTATGGTATAGAAACGGTGGAGGTGGTATCGTGGTTGCGACAACGTCTTGACTTTTAAGATGGGAGGTTGAAGTGCGCAGAGCCCCACGTATTGTACGACCTACCGTTACATGCATTGACGATCCCTGCAAGAAACTCATCCCATGCATACCTACCATGCTTTCCTTCACCACGTGAACAACAAGCAACTTAGTCAATTCACGCAAAATCTCTGGATTGGATAGTGCGAAATATACTTGCGTTTATTAATTAATTAATAATAGTATAGCACATAGCAATGCTATTAACTCCTATATTGTTTTACGGCCTTCCCTATACAAGGACCGCTAATTACAAAATCCTAGACTGTTTATAAATTCCTTATATTAGACAGAAAAGGCTCCACTGGTTTACAATGTGCCGTGAGACAGCTAGGAAAATTGATGATAACGAGTGCCGCTTTTTCAGTCTCCCGCGATGCTTCTTGAAGTCGCAACTTTTTGTGGCGAAGACGTAAGACGTTATAGGAGTAAAGCTTATCTCTGAGTTCCGTCACGGTTGACAAGGTCGACGAAACACACGACTGTTCATCGTCTTGCAATTTTTCAATATTTTTCATTTTTGTGGGGATTTTGAGACTATTCTACATGACGCGAAAACAAAGTGTACAGAGATTGAGCTATAAAAGCATATACGAAAGGCTAACTGTTTCGATTTTGGATAGGCTTGAGCTTACTGGAAAGCATGTAATTCAATGTCGTCCGCGCCATGAATCATTCCGGTGAGAATCTCCCCCTCGATACGAATCACCTCCTCGATATGATCCTCCTCTGCCTCGATAGACGGTAGTGCCGCCGCCCCTACCACCACCTCTCCACGAATCGCTCTCATTAGGTCTTGAATAACCGGGCGGTCCATGGTCAGCTCCTCGTCCACCACGGCCACCATATCCATAAGGCTGACCATACGATCCATAGTTTCCGGGAGGTGGTGGTGGAGGTCCCCCAAACCTAGCAGCTACCCCTGGAGGAGGAGGTTGCCATCCAGTGCCAGGTGGCGGTGGAGGCTGGTAATTGTTGTTGCCATTGTAGCTGTTTCGAGAGTCGTGTGACTGTTGATGATTGGGAGCAGCAAAATTGAAGGAATTGCGGCCCCGCCCATTTCCATTAAGGGGGGCACCACCGTGGTTACGACCTGATCTAGCCGCACGCCCTTTAGTCTGTTCAATGTCGCCTTGATTCAACGCAGCAGGGGGGAATTCCACTCCACGTAACAGCATTGACTTATGGAGGAACTTGGACTTTGGCATCTCATAATGAACACTAGAGAAATACGTCAGAACCAACGGGGAATTATTTTGGGAACAGGGATACATACCTGATAGATCGATCAGCGTCCAGACTTGGCATCGCGTCGGTGTTCAATTGAAATACCAATGAGCCGTGGGGAAGATAAGACTCGTTCTTTTCGACCTTTCCTGTTAGACCCTCAGTGACTTTTGGGTTCAATTTGAATTCTGAGGCTTCCTGCTTCTTGGAATAAAAGTTATCGGCGATATCGGCGTAGAGTGCTTCGTGAGCTTCCGCAAAAAGGAGTGCATCTTTGCCGACAGTATTTCGTGCTGCCATTTCCGCAGGCATCAACGGATACTTTTTTGCCATGGCGTTCAATAGTCGGTTCGAGTCAATGAATGGCAACAGAGCAACACCTTGCCAAGCGAACTTCTTACCGTTAAGATCAACCACAAAATCTTCAGGATAGAAGTCAATGATTTCACTCTCAGGTTCAGTCATTAGGTCATGGAACAGCTCTGGGATAGCCTGTCTCGAAGCCGCAGGCAGAACACTCATGAGTTGTTCGAATGGTCTGAATATGTTGCCTTTTTCAAAGTTGATTTTCATGTCTTTGATGTCGACAAAGTCTGCAGCGAATGGCGCATAATGATAAGGGTAATACCAGTCCCAGGAAGGGCAGCCCTGAAAGTAGTAAAGTAAGACCCATGCGAGTCCTTCCACATACGATCTAGCGACTTTATGTCGAAACTCGAAGTCGCTTGGCTCAACACCAAACTTTTGCTCGTAGTATCGGTCAGCATACCCCTCATCCCATAAGCGGACGGAATCAGGAGGAGGTTCATCACTAGGTGTCTGAGGCGTCTCAGGTTGTGGTGTATTTCGGCCCGGTGTACTGCTATCATCGTCCTCTAGCAAATCGGCCTTTCGCTTTCCCAAAGCTGATCCTGGCGACTCCTCTAAACCTCCATTAGACGAATCCGCAACATCGCCTTCGTTTGATGAACCACTAATTTGGCCTTTCAAAGCTGCCGCAGCGCTCTTGTTGGCTAGATTTGCCTTGTAAATTGCTCCTCGATTAACAACCATATCGTGAGTCATGGCCTTTGCATCTTTGGCTACCTCACCATGACCCGGAGCAAACAGTGGAAGACCAACAGGAGCTTGATCCTTAAAAGGCCGCCCGTTCTGTCCACTGTTAGATGGCGAGTCTTGGAAACTACCACGGCCGCCACGACCGCCTCGCCCCCCCCCGACCACCACGTTCCTGCTCAAGCTTACGTCGCTTTTGGCCAGCCGCTCTCCTATCTTCCGTCTCTTTTCTTCTGCGAAATATGGCATCTTCTTGTTTGCCCAATCCCGCAAGAATGAATTGAGCTCTTTCAAGATCGACATGACCGTCTTTGGTAAGATACCCACCCATATGTGGAATATTGTCACGCCAAATTGCAATCAGTGTGTCAATTCCATTTTCTCGAATCTCAAGACTAGGGAGATGAGGCAAGAAATCATTTCCAACAAAGAAACACATGAAAACCCAATCATCTAGAGCTCTTTCTAGGTCAAATCTGAAAGGTTGGTCTGGGACATACATTTCGGCTGCCAAATATTCTCGAAGAACAGAGACGTGGAGCCAGATGAAGGGTTTGAGCGGAGGAGCGCTATCCTTCTCATCATGCTCTCCATCCTTTACCTTGGCTTGACCAGTACACTCTCTGGCTTCGTGACCAGCCTGGCCACACATGCGGCAGGTGCGAGGTTTTGAGTCTTGCGCGAAGACATCTTCTCGAAGAACGCGGAAATGAGGCTCATGAGTTGCTAAACCCAACATGATCAAGTCGGCATCTAAGCCATAGATGACGTGTCTTGTGTTGGGATTGTGTTCTGGGGAGGATCTTTGAGATCGAATGAATTCCATAATCTTATGTTCACCTTCTCCTGGGACGGTTGAGTCGGAAATGATAACTTTCACCTTTGCCCATGCGGGGTCGCTGTTGAGTTTGTAGGCAATCCAATATCTCAAGCTAGCAGCTAAGGTATCCATAAAAGGGGTACCGGGTGTGATTTCGTTGCTGTCGAAAGCCTTCTTGATCTCTTCCTCTTCGATGCGGCCGCCTTGCGACTTTAACATCTTGGCGAGCTCAGCTTTGTCTTGTGCTTTTTCCTGGGCCTCTTGCGCAGAACGGAAGCGTCGAGAGCGCTGCTGATTCATCTTGGCGCGCGGAGCAACACCATCAATAGCAATCATCAACAACTTCCTCGGACGAACCATATTGACAACTCGATCCGTGTATTTGAAAATGGCTAACATCATTTCTTCTTCGTCTTTGGGGGCAGGTCCATCTTCCGGATGCGAACATGGATGAACAATGCCATTCATGTCAAGGTATAGGTTATCGAACTCTTCTCCATTGGGATTTGGTCCTCTGATGTCGACAGGAATCTGCTGCCCGTCGATTTCGCGCGGTTGTTCTTCAATAACTGGAGCGCGACGTCAGTAATGACCAGAAAAGAACGAGGAAAATTGCAAAACTTACCTCCGGAGACGATCTTCGGATACTTCTGGCTTAGCCAGCGGAAGAGAGCTGGAACACCCATATTGGCTGTCGATAAGATTGAGCGCTGCGAGAATCTGAGGTCGTGTACAGCGTAGCCTGGTAGGGCAGGGGCCAAGTTTTTGGGGAGAGTGGACTGCAGGAATGCGGACGCGTTGTCATCAAGCGTTAGGGTTCTCCTACACCTGCGATTGTGAGGTTAGATATTTTTGCTCCTTTGTGGTGACAAGGGAGGCGGTTCGTTGTTGAAGATTTAAAAGAAAGGGTTCTCGTTACTGTTCTTGTACCCTGCATTTCCATTGTCCGCAACATTATAGGTTTGCGCCTAGCTAGGTATCGACATTGCTTTTGGCCTAGTGTGTCGGGGTTCGGCCGTACCTTTCTCCGAAAGTCTGGGGCCAGAAAGTCAGTCAAGGTCAAGTCAATAGGACAATTTGGCTTTCAGGTTAGTTCAATTCATCAGTTGGAATAGCATCCCGAAACGCAAACATGAAGCATCCACATTCGCTCTGGACTCGAACCTCATGATATTCGATGGCAAATACCTGGGCTTTTAGGGTACACGTGAAGCAATGTTCAATATCGCAAGCGCTCCAGCGAGACAGAGCGTTGGGGAGACCATATCCACGCTGAGCTCGCGCTTGGCCAGCTCCACGCTCCTCGAAGATAGGCGTGCAGCTATACTCGGGCTTCGTAGTTTTGCGAAAGATTACCCTGCGAGTGTGGCCAGTGATTCCCTGCGGGAGTTGATTGCTAGCCTCAGCAAAGATGGAGAAGGTTGGTACTTTGTGATATTTTTTGGAAACACATCTTCAAGGGCTTCTCTAAAGAATCTTTCATGCTGATTGTCCTCTAAATAGATGTCGACACTGTCAAAGTGGTTCTAGAAACGCTGATAATGCTCTTCAACCCCAATGAGAATAGCCCCGAGGCCTCGGAAGAAATTACTTTATGGATAGCGGACGAGTTTACACAACGTCAAGAAAACATCACTCTCCTGCTAGACTTCCTAGACACGAACGATTTCTACGCTCGACTCTACTCTCTACAACTTCTCTCTGCCATTTTGGCATCTCGGGCTGAGCGAACAGAGGAATGTATTTTTACTGCACCTTTGGGAATTTCGCGACTCGTTTCGGTACTAGATGAGAGAAGGGAGGCTATTCGGAATGAAGCATTATCATTGTTGACATACTTGACACCAAACTCTTCCGAACTACAAAAAGTGGTTGCTTTCGAGAATGTTTTTGACCGAATATTCAACATTATCAAATTGGAAGGCTCTCTTTCACATGGGGACAGAATAGTAGAGGATTGTTTAATTCTTCTAGCCAACCTCCTTAGACTGAATGTGTCTAACCAGTCTTTTTTCCGTGAAACTGGCTGTGTTCCAAAGCTCTCCAAGCTACTAAATGATGCCCTTGGTGGGGAAGGAGCCGAGGAAGAGGTTGCTGAGTGGGCGAAAGTTCAGAGGAATCGGAACATATACGCGCTCTTAGCCGTCTTAAGATTATTTCTTATCACTGGTGGTATTGGTACTCAAGCAAACCAAGGCTCCTTCTGGCAGCATGGAGTCTTAGCTCTCGTCCTTCAATTGGCATTCAGTCGTCAAACTGAAATACAAATCAAAGCAGAGGTACGCGCTTTCTCTAAATGAAACTGGAGTTAATTATTGATACCATCACAGGCTTTAATCACATGTGCAGACTTGATACGGGGTAGCCCTAGTCTTCAAGAGGCTTTTGCACAGTTACAGGTAACTTCTGTATTAGATGAGCCTTCTACCGAAGGCAATGTGCAACAGAATGGGATTCCCAAAGTTTACGTGATTGATGGTTTACTTGATCTCACCTTGAGCGTTCCTACCCTAGCAGTCTTCGACGTCAGATTAGCGGCTTGCGAATGCATCAAAGCATACTTCTTCAATCATCCTGCGATAAGGAAGCATTTCCTACGACGAGCTATTGATGGTCATACGTCTGGGGCAGACGAAACCGCCAATGTTTTAACTACTCTTCTGCAACCGCTGGATAGTCATGTTTCTGGAGATCCATATCGATATTGGCTAGCAGCTGTTATACTATTCCATCTTCTCTACGAAGATGGGAATGCGAAAGCTCTAGCTATGAGCGTCGCTGAAGGCGATGCTTCAGAGGGCGAAGAAGTGGTAACATGCATCCAGTCAATAACAGCCAATTTAGTTATTGGGATTCAGAAAAACGTCGACGAGCGAATAATCGTTGCGTACCTCATGCTGCTATGCGGATGGCTATTTGAGGATCCTGATGGTGTTAACGACTTCTTGGGCGAAGGTAGCAATATTCAAAGTCTAGTCCAAGCTGTTTTACACACTACATCCGCGAATGGAATGCTCGTTCAAGGGCTGTGCGCTATGCTTCTGGGGATTGTGTACGAATTCTCTACTAAGGACTCTCCTGTTCCTAGGGCTACCATACATCCAATCCTGGCCTCTCGCATGGGACGAGATCAGTATATTGATCGATTTATGAAGTTGCGCCAACATCCGTTTTTACGTGATTATGAAGTTCTTCCACAAAAGCTTATTTCCGCACCCCAGGGTGGTCTTCCAGAAGTTTTCTTCGACAAGACATTCGTCGAATTCGTCAAGGACAATTTCAGCCGACTATTACGTGCAATTGACCGAGATCCTGGGATGGAAGTCCCAGTCATTGCGAATGGAGTACAAAAAGGTATTTCTCGGGAGATGGTGGACTCACTGCGATCACAATTAGAGGAGAAGACGAAAACACTTCAGAAAGCAGAAGACGAATTAATTTCTGTCGGCAGGCAGTTAGGTCAAGAACAAGCGGACCATCGCCGGGTGAAAGAGACATCCACGATCGAACTGGCGAGAATCCAGCACGTGAATGAGGCACTTCAAAAGCACCATGAAGAAGACATAGAGTATATTATTACATCTCGTTTTGATTCAGATCCAATGCTAATATTAGTCAGTAAATTACGAACAGAGCAGTCTCGAGCGACTCAAGACCTCCAGAGGCAACTTGAAATCATGCAGAAAGCCTCCGAGGCCGAAAAGACGCGAATCTCTCAAGACCACCAAAGACAGCTCGACCACGTCCAAAAAACAGCTGAGGCAAATGCCGAACGTATTCGAAAAAGGACAGAAGCCGAAATCTCAGATTTGCAGAAGCACGTCAGCAAGTTGGAGGCAGACCTTGAGAAGGTATGAAGTCACCCCCTTGTCTGAGATCAGCATTCATTAACATATCACAGGCAAATAAAAACCACCTCCAAGACCTCCAAACTGCACACAATGAATACTCGGCGAACAAAGCCGAACAAATTGGCCGCTTAGAACGTGCGGAGGAAAAGGCTAACGAGGCCGAGGAACGAGCCCAGACCTCGATTGAAAAAGCCGCCAAGGCCGAAGACGCCCTAGTCGAGAAGGAAAAGGAGAAGGCGGCTATTCAGGGCGAACTTGATGATCTTCTAATGGTATTTGGCGATCTGGAAGATAAGGTCAATAGCTATAAAGAGCGGCTCAAGGAGTTAGGAGAAAATGTATCTGACGGCGAAGACGATGACGACGACGACGAAGATGGAGATGGAGACGAGACAGATGATGTCGACTGAGGATGATACCTTTGATCCTTGTTACATATTGTGATATAGCATTTCAGCAAGCGACAAGACGAGTTCTAAAAGCGGTTACATACATACATGGGTCTTAAATATCTTGGTTCCTAAAATGGCACTACGTAACAATTCGCACAACCTCCACATTCCATTATTCCAGGAATTCATTTTGAACTTCATGCACAAAAACCGCAGTGTCAGGATATTTGAGGTTTCAACGCACCACACGGGTAACATAGAGATCTATGATGACGGATCAGCAAGTTGAGTTGAGTTCCACTACCCAGGTGTTTACTGGGGAGGCGAAACAGGAACCTCTCTTTGAATGGTGCTGAGATCTACGCAACCTATCGAATAGATGTGATAACGAACATGATGAAGGTCCTTGAGCTCCTAGTGGCAGGTTCTCGGAAGTGTTACAGTCTCCTTTCAAAAATATACTCGGTTATTCTATCTTGCAAATCCATTTTTCCGTTCCCGTTCTGCCGTTATCATTAATATTATGAGGACGCACATATGTATAGTCCATTCCCATCATAAACTCGTTGCCTCTTTTTCGTTCTCATTCTGGTTCCCGTTCTCATCGTTCCTCATCAATTCAACGGGAATAAGACCCATCATCATAATCATCCCCTCTCCTCCCCCTATCCCTATTCCTTCTCGATCTCGACTCGGAACCATCTTTCTCTTTCCTATCCCATCTATCACCCCTTTTTTCCTCCTCACCGGTATCTTTCTGGGTCTCCTCCAACTTCTCAAT